TTAAATTATTAAAATATCTTTATTATAGATTCAGAAGTAAAAATAATAAAATTAATTCTAAATCTTAATATCAGAAAAAGAAGTTTAAAATTAATATATTAATTAAGAAAAATACTTATTATTAATTTTATTTAATAATATTATAATTAAAGATATAATTTATATAATAAATTATTAAAAAATATAATAAAACTCTCAGAGAAATCTAAAAGAATTTTATTAATATTATAATTAAATAATATAAAATTAATATAAAAATAAGAATAATAATATAAATAGAACTAAATTAGAAAAGAACTTTATTAATTAAGAATTTTAAATATATAAAAAAATAATAAAAATATTTATAAAAAAGTTATTTAAAATTATCTAAAATTCTAAAATTATAATAACTGATATAGCTAGTTAATTAAAAGAAAAATCTTAATTATACTAAGATAAAAATATTCTTAAAAATAAAAAGTTCTTATTAATAACTAGTAAATATCTATAAAAAAAATAATAAAGATTAATAATCTAATAATTATATAATATCTAAATAGTCTATCTAAAAAATATATTAATTTTAGAAATATATTAATAAATTTAAATATACTTTTAATTTTAAAATATCTTATAAATTATATAAATAATTATAAGAATCTGATAAAATCTATAAATAAAAAAAAAATCCAGAGTAATAAAATCTAATAAGAAAAAGAATATAATTTATTTTTATTATAAAAAAAAAGATTATATAATAAGAGACTGCTATTAAAAAAAAAATTAAAAATCTTAAGACTTAAATAATAAAGCTAAAAAAAAAAATTTTATATAAGAAGTAGTTCTTTAAACAGAAAAAAAAATTTATTAAATATTAATTTAATAATAAATTAAATTAGAATAATTAAGAAACAGCTAGTAGAATAATTTAAGAAAAAAATTATTATTTTAAATAAGTATATTATTATATTAAATAAATCTATATTATTTCTAATAATATTAATATCAGAATAAGATTTACAGAGAATATTAATATAAAGTTTAATAATTAAATTATTATTAATTAATAATATTTAGATAGTAAAGCTATCTGTTATATAATTAATTAAAAAGATTTCTTTAATTTTTTAAACTTTTTATAAAAAGAAATATTCACAGTAATTAATAATAATAAAATATTAATAAAAAATTATAAAATAATTAGAATAAAGCTGCTTAATAATTCTAAAATAAAATTAAAAGATATTATATATATTTCTAGCTTAATAAGTAATTTTCTCTCTTTAGAAGTATTTTATATAAATAAATATAAATTATAAGAATTTAAGCAAGATTATTAGTTTTATAAAAATAATAAAATAATTATTAAAAATAAGAGAATAAAAAGAATAATCTATCTTAATATAATAAGATATTTTATAATCTTAATAATTAATTTATAAAAAATTAGATATTATATATATTTAATAATATCTTTAGATATTATTAAATCAGAGAAATAATATTTAATATATTAATATCTTAAATATTCTGATAAATATTTATTTAATAAATATTTAATTTATTTAAATATAAAAGTTCTATAGCTTAAAAAGAGAGATTGATTATTTAAAAATAAATATAAAATTTATATATATATTAAGCAGATTAAGAATTAGAGTTATATTTTTATTTTATATATTATCTAATTATTTAAGCAAGTTTATATAGACTTTTAAAATTCTAATTAAGAAAAAACTAAAGATAAGAAATATTATTTATCTTTAATTAATAATTATAACTAATACTTCTGAATATATAGTATAGAAATCTAAAAATCTAAAAATATTTAAGAATAATTAAAAATATAGCTTTATTATATAAAATATTAAGTAGAAAAGATGGTTATAATAATTTATATAGATAATATAAAGAAATTTATTATTTTAATTCTTTAAGATTAATCTAAAGATATTAAATTTAAATTTATAAAAATAAAGATATTAGTCTAAAATAAAATAGCTGAATAATATAATTAAGTTATTTTAAAAATTAAATATACTCTATTAATAAAGTTAAAAATTAGTTAAATATATTAAAAATAGATAATAAATATAGCTAATTATTTAAGAAATTAGATTATTATTATAAAAGATTTAAAAAAAATTTATAAAAAATTAAAGATATTATTTAAACTCTAATTTAAATATTTATTTAATATAAAATACTTTTAGATATAGAATTACAGAGTTTTATATTATTATAAAAATATAAATAAACTTAGAAGTCAAGTATCTGAAAAGATATTTCTAAGATATAAAAAGAATAATAAATAATATATAATTATATAAAAGAATAATAATATAATAAAATTAATTATAAATCCTAAATTTTATAAAAAAAGTTAGAATATTATTTTAATACTAGTTAGATATTTTATAATTTATCTAAAGATTAATAATTATTCTATACTTAATTAAATAATCTTATTTTTTAAAATAATCTCTAATTTATAAATATAAACTTAAAATTCATTATAAATTCTTTATTAATTATTATAGACTTATATAAAAGCTAATTAAAAAAAATAATTAAATTAATTAAAAAAAAAAATCTTTAATAATATTTTCTAAATATTTAGATTAATTAAATATTATAACTAATAAAAATAGCTTTATTATATTTAAAATATTTTTTACTTAGTAAAAGAATAAGATTAAGAATAAAAAAAAAATAATTCTTATAAATAAATTCTTTAAGAAATAATTTAAAGAATCAGAGATTATATTATTTTAATCTAGATAAAATAAATATCTAAGATAATTATTCTAGAGACTTTTAAAGAGTTAGAAATCTAATATAATAAAATAAAAAGATATAAAATATTTTATTATAAAAAGAAAAGATATAGATAATTATTTAGTATAATATATTAAGATTTTTCTTATATTTATATCAGAATTTTAAAAGAAAAATTATAAATATAAAATAATTAAAAAAATTATAATAAAATTAGATATATAAATATCTAGATTATATAATAAAATAATCAGTAATAAAATCTATAAATCTAAATAAATTAAAGCTATTCAGAAAAAACTTATAGTATTAATAAGCTTTAAAACTTAAAAAAAAAATTATTTAAAGAAAAAAAATTAAAAAAATTATATTCTTTATATACTAAGTTTTTAATATAAAGATAAATATTAATAAAAAAATTAATTAATTTAAAATAAGATTAATAATCAGAGAAAATAAATAATCAGAAAATAATTTTAATAAGATATTTATTTTAATATTTTATCTAAATAGTTTTAGAATTCTTATAATAATATTAATAAAGCTAGAATATAAAGTTTATTTTCTAAATATATTAAATATATTTATTAACTTAAAGCTAGATAAATCTAATTATATAAAAATATTTAAAAATTTTTAAGAATTTAATTTTAAAATAATTAAAAATATAATTCTTAAATTAAGAAAATCTTTATATAAATTTAGATAATTAATTAATCTATAAAATTATAAGATAATAAATTTTTTTAAAAAGATTAGATTTAAATTAATTATTATTAATCTTAGTATTTTTATTAATATTTAAAAAATAATTATTATTTTATATATTAATAATATTCTTATTCTTAATTATAAAAAAACAGAAATTTATAATATTAAGAAGAAATTAAAGAACTTTTATTTAATAATAGATTCTAGCTTAATCTAAAAGCTTCTAAAAATTAGATTTATTTAAAAAAAATAAATTAATTAAAATAGATTAAGAAGACTATATTAAACAGATTTTAAAAAAATTTAGAATAATAGATTATAAATTAACTAATATATTAATAAGATTAAATATTTAACTAGATATTAATAGCTTAAGATTAGATAGAAAAAATTATAAAATATTTAAAATAATAATTAATAAATTAATATTCTTAATATATAGAATAAGAGTAAATATTATATTTTTAATTAATTAATTATTTTAATATTTAATTAATTTATATCAGATTTATCTATCTACTATAAAATATATTTTAAGATATTTTAAATTTATAAAAAATTATAAGATAATATTTTTAATTAAAAAAAATAAGAAAAAAATCTTTAATATATATATTAATTTTATATATATTAATATAAGATTAAAAAGATTAATTATTAAATTTATAATAATAATTAATAATTTATCTATTTACTAGATTAGTAAGAAATAAATAATTATTATTTAAAATTTTATTAAAATAAAGTATATTATTATTATTAAAATAATTAAATAAATAATTTAATATAAATATTTTCTATATATTATTAAAAGAAATATTATATATTAAAATATTTTTATTATTTTATATAAAAATAATCAGAGAATTATTAAGATTATAAAAAACTTAGTAAATTATTAATAAATAAAAAGATTTAGATTATCTATTTATTTACAGAGAATATAATAATAAATAAATTAATTAAAATAATTATATAAATTAATTAGATATATTTAATTAATAATTTAAGACTTATCTAGATAAGCAGAAGAATTAGTTTTAATATATTAATATATTTAAATTTTTTAAATATTTAATATATTTGTAAGTTATTCTTATTTTTTTATTTTATTAATTATTTTAATTTAAAGAATTAATTATATATTAAATAAAAAAGAATAATATAATATAATTAGCTATTATAATTTATTAAAAATAAAATATAATTATTTTATCTTTAGCTGAGTAAGTATATATTCTGATAATTATTAAAAGAATCTGCTGAATAATTACTAGCTAGAAGAGATTAAGTACTTAATTTATTAATATAATAACTCTAAGAAGTATTATATCTACTGTTTACTAGTATTCTATTTCTGTGTCATAGGCTGTATACAGGTGAAGCGTCCGGAAGCCCCTACACCCCTGAGAACTCCACTTCATATATGCTTCCTCAGCCGGAGATGGAATAATCATGTTCCATCCTTAGTAAGCCGTAGTAGCCAATTGCATCATATCATGGATCTATCCCGTAACAAAATTATTTTTATTAATTTTTTTTTTATTCTAAGATATTCAGATCCCGCCCTCAGCAGAACACAAGAAAACAACTGAATAATAGTTGAGTAACAGAACAGAAAACATAAGAGCATCAGAAGAGCACGAAAAGAAAAAAAAAGACCAATTTAAACTTTTTTCAGCTAACGGCGCTGCATCAAGCAAGGACAGTCAGAGCCTCGATCATTCGTTTCTCCCTGCCTTTTTCCTCGTACTGCGTAGAGGTCGTAGGGTTTGTCAAGAGTGATAACATCAGTAGCTTCCACCTAGGAGTCGGATTTCCCTGATTCCCGTCTGGTTCTTTATGTCTTCAATGAGGTCGGAGATCTCCGTGAAATAGCCGGTGTCCTCATATGCGTTGCCCCCCCAGGCCATCCCAACCACAGCTCCGCTGTGGTCGAACACAAACGATCCCGAGTCACCGTGTTCAATGACGCTCCTCTTTCCTTTTGTGACCGACGGGTAAATGGAGTGTTCATGGGTGACCATGGGGGTCTCCTTTCCATCAACAATCCTAGTGGCGATCATTGCAGTGAGCAACTTGTTGTAGAAACCTGCGGTGGCCCCGCTTGCATGCCCGACTTTCATGAGCACACTGTTGGCTTTGATATCCCCCCCGTGTTTGAACCCAGTCAGCTTATCGAAGACGACCTGAAATTTCTGCTTCGCGTCGGGTGGTATCTAGAGCATCTGTTAGGTGCCTTAGGGTTCAGATGAAGCCTGGGAATATTACATACCGTGTTCTCACCGGGATGACGGTTTTCTCTCACCCGAACGAGGGCCCAGTCAAGAGTTGATGGAGAGGCCTTTGGGTCCATTCGCAGAACGCTGGCAAGGGGTCTCTCCACCAAACCCGATGCCGCCATAACGCTCCCCAACAGATACCCCTGCTTCTGGAAGAACAGCTTGACACCATCGCGTTTGGGTTTCAGGATATCCAGGACTCTCCTGTTGCTTTCCCACTGGGCCTGGTCGCGAGGGATCACAAAGTCCTCTTTCTCGTGGGCAGCCTGCACCCGTTTGTAAAGCGGATCATCCTCCAAGCTCTGTATCTGTCCCTTCCACGCGTCAAGGAGTGTCGTGATTTCGTCCCTGCTCGGGCTGTCAACGGTGAGCATTTTGCCCGCCGTTGAGTCACCGAACGGCACTCCTTGTTTCTCCCAAGTGTGAAGAACTACTTTCAAGTCAGCACCACTCCCATCAAGCAGACGGCTTAGAGACTCACCCTTCTCTTCTTCCACGGACTTGTGTCGACCCACGGGGAGCACACAGTGTGTGCATGTCAGAGCGAAAGGGATCCACTGGCCGGATCTAGGGTTCTGGAGCTCAACCCAGCCCCCCAAGGTTCCACGTGAGGCCTGCATCCTTCCTGGGGCCAGGCTAAATCCCATATTAGCCGGGGCACCCTCCAAGAAGTTTTCCATGGCTGGGCCCTCATATGACTCGACACTACGGGTGATGGAGTCCTTGCGGATAAGGACTCCAACACCGGTTAGTGCGTGCTTATCCAGGATCGTAACAACCCTCTCACGGGTTACTTTCCACTCCTGGATCTTTGGATTGACTCCCAATAGAACCGTGACCGGGCAATCATCGATATTTTCTGAACATCCAGCCCTACAACAGCTGATGTATCGGATATCTTTGAGCCGGATTGCGTGGATTATCTCATCGCGTACGACACTCCACTTGGAGTAAATGTCATCTTTGGGAGTGCATGGGCTCAGCTGGAGGGGCCGAAGAAGCGCGCGATCAATGATCTCGACATTGATATTCTCTATGCCCTTTTGGTGCAGCAGGCCTCGAACTGCACGTGCAGCCTTGATCCATTCTCCCGCCGAGTGGGGTTTCCTGCGGGTCAACAGAAGAACGGTCAAGTTCGGGATCTTCGTTGGCATGAAAGTGCAGCGACGACCACAGAAATCAACCTCCAGGATATCCAGGTCGTACTGTCGGCAAATCTTCAAGATATCCTCGCACAGACGCACGCGAGCTGAACCTGTCAAGCGTTCGTATTGAGAGTGAGTGTCGGGGATCGGTAGCTTTTCACAAGGAAGATCCGGTAGGTCTGGTCCCCCAGCACGGAGGTCTTCTTCAAGAAACCCGTCCCAACTTCGGACTGGGGCTTCGTCGCTGGATGATCTGTTCGATCTCCTCGAACGGGTTTCGCTTCCAGTTCCATGTCCAGTCTGAAATCCCGGGCTCTGCAGTTGGACCTGTCCAGACACATAACTGATTTCACCTGAGGTGATCGGAAACACCAATGGGTTTGCTACCAGCGCCATGTTATTAAGACAACTCTTGGTAACAGACAGCAGCAGTAAAGAGAGCAGGGTACGAATAGTTGGAAGTGAGAAAGGTAGAGGAGCAGAGTAACTTCAGAAGTAGAGAGAGTAGGCAGGGGGAGGCTGTAGTATTTAGAGTGGCCGAGGGGTATGGATGAATGCAAGAGGTGATTTTTTCTTCATTCTAGGAAGGAGCCTGCTGAGTCAACTCACTTGTCATAGTAACTGGATGTATTATTCCGCTGAATGAATTCAATATCTCGTCATATTACATCATTCTGATGAAGCAATTAAATAGGTTGCCCGCTAAGATGACTTCAATGTATTGTAATACCTATTAGCGATGAATATTATTATATATAAGGGTTAGTCATCATTCTTGACTTACAGTGAGTATTTCTATACATTCAAGTGCCAAGGACTTGTATTAGGAGTTCTGTTCCCAGAAAGGTGAGCACTTGGGTTTACTTTCTCAACCCATAATTATGCAATCACCGGGCAAGGTCACATGACTGCCTAATTAAAGTCAGTCGGACATATTCGACTATCCTACTAGGATATATGGAAATGCAGGTTGAATGGGCCACGCGCAGGCAGGTTGTCAGCGGGGATGCTGCCTGAGGTTACCGCCTGCAGTGACTGCCTCCGCAACCGGAAATATCCTGCATACCTTACTACTGCACATACGATCGTAGTTACAAATAACCATAGAGCTTGGGAACAATCCCCATTCCCAATCCATAATACGTCTCGTCTGTGGAAAAATAATATTTTTAAGAGGGGGAGAATCAAAAACCCAAACAAACAGACAAGGACGACAACGAGCAGAATTCATGGTGTATCGATTCATCAACTCATGGGCGAGACGTCACGGACGCCTCGCAAATGCTGCAGTGGGAAGGAATCACATCACATGACATGACAGCCTCCTGGTCCACGTTCTCTCCATTATGCAATACAGTAAGTAATCTCTTCCCTGGAGACAAGAATCATGATGAGACAAGTGGTCTAGGACCCCGGAGTTTGATTCGCTCTATACAGACAGAGTCGGGTGGCGGTCTGCTGCAGGGAAAACGTCTGCCAAATGCCGCTTCGAAGGAAATGCTGAATCGAGATGGAGCACCTCGCGTCACCGCCGGATGGATCATGCTTCTCGGGAATCCCGGTTGGCATCCCGTTGTCGTCGGGTCTTTCCCGATCCCGCCGACCTGGACGAGTTAGTGCGTGTTCTCCTGAGAAGGGCCGCTAGAAAGAACTTACATGCTGATCCGCCGAGCCACAGTCGCCAGACCCGCGTCGTTTTCGGCCTCGTGGTGAGCGCGCTCCATGGCAATCCGTCTGTCCTCTTCACTCCGCCGGATGACCTCCTCCTGGGACGGAGGCAGATGCTCGTTCTGCAAATCGACCTTGCGGGCATCCTCGAAGTTGGTGATAGCCTGCTTAATTCCCTCCGCGCCCAGCATCAGAGTACCCGCCGGCAGACGACCGCCAGCCGCGGTCTTGAGTTCGGTGACTCTCTCGGACTCTTCACGCAGCACCTGGAACACACGCGACAGACGACCAATGGCCAGAATTTTGTTCTTGATAGCCCGGCGCTTGAACTCGCTGCTCTCGACATCCATGGCCACAGGGGGAGAAGTGGGGGCGGTGGGCGAGACCGACGACGTCGGGGTGTCGTCTTCGAGCTCCTCTTTGGAGCAGGTGTTGAGAATGGCAATGAGCATGTCCGTGATTTTCTCACCAACGAAGGGAAGGGACCAGGTGAACACGTCCATGAAGTTCGGCAGCCAGTAGGGGTGAGGTGTGCAGTTGAATTGGCGGATGTTCATCACGTTGTTTTCGTATTTTAGGACGGCCGCTTTGTTGTTGTAGACGTCCAAGTAGTTGGGTGCGCTGAAGATCGTCATCACACTGGGGAAGCCTGTCGTCCGAGTCTTGCGGTACATGCGGTAGCCGGCGTCCTGGGCCTCGTGCGCCCGAATGATGGAGAGGAGGTTGTTCTTTTCGAGGAAAGCGCACGCCGCGGGGTATGAGAAGAAATACGAGCATCCACGAACGCTGTTGTGGATGAAGTAATCCCCTGTCTTCTCCTGTCCAAACTCCTCCAGGGGATCGGCCCAAAGGATGTCGCACATCAAGCCGTGAGTCGGGGGCTCCCGAAAGCGATCGATCTGTCGCACGTCAGCCTCTTGCCCGGCCTCAAAAACAGGCCCAACCAGCAACCTACCGCCTTGATATCTTCCAACGTGTGCAGTTCCGGGCTCAGACCGCCGTGGATACAGAGGAACTGCTTGTTCATGACCGCCGCCAGTGGCAGCGAGCAGAAGGACTCGATGCAAGCCTCGTAAATGCGCTCGCTGTATTTGTGTTTGCACTCGAGCTTGAAGGTGAAGTAATCCGTCAAGTGGCGACATTCGTGGTTGCCCCGCAGCAGCCACAGCGTGTTTGGATACCAGATCTTGAGAGCCCAGAGATACAGGACGCACTAGGGGTCGGGTTAGTGGCGAGAATTAGACTCGTGCAGCGCGCGACATCACGAACCTCAATACTGAAGTAACCTCTATCCACATAGTCACCGAGGAACAGGTACCGCGTCTCGGAGGGATCGCCGCCGACTTCGAAAAGCTTCATCAGATCGTAATATTGGCCGTGGACGTCACCGCACACGGTGATGGGCGCATCCATCTCCAGCAGGTTGGGCTCGGCCCGGAGCAGCTGCGTGCCGGCCTGTATGATCCATAGCGCCTGGTCCTCAGTGAGACGGCCTTCGCGGTAGAAGTGTTGCTTGAGGTACTGAAGATTGGGTTTGGACGGGTCTTCACGAGACCAGAACATGTCGTCGGGCGGGGTGTTCAACGCCGGCGCTTGCACCTCTGGAGAGTCGCCGGGGTGTCAGAAGAAGAGCTTCCAGTCTTGAAGACTGTCACAGGCGGATGATTACCTTTGATTACACGCTCCGTGGTGGACACCTGGGTGCCATCTTCCATCACATGTAGCGTGAAGTCGATCTCCGGGACCGGCTTTTTCTCCGTCACCGCACGCGCGATGGCCCGATCCATGGTGGCTCGAGATATCCTGGATCTGGGGGAATCGCAAGAAGGTCGTGCCCCGGGGGATGCGAGAGGGGGAGGAAAAGGGGAAGAGCGACGGTGCGGAGGCCGACGTTGGTGGGGGTTTAGCGGCGGCGGGATTGGATTTCACACACGGTCTGGAGGCTTGCCGACTGGAAAGAGAAGCACGATGGAGGGGTTGCCTGCGAGGTGGCGAGGGGAGGGGGGGGAGAGGGGGGAAGGAGAGAGGGTGATCGGGGGGCACAGTCAGGCGATAAGGGGACGCGAGGAGGGCTGGAAAAACGAGAAGCAAGACAAGCGTGGGTCAAGTCGAGGGGAGAAGAGGAGAAGAGGAGAGATGGAAGATGGGGAGATGGAGACTGGAGAGGCTAACTGGGCAGTGCAGCCCGAATAGGAGAGACTAGCTGCTATCGGGGATGGAGGAGGCTGAACGCCCTCGTGCTGGGCCCAGATGCTGCAGACACTCTGCGGGGGACGCGATGAGACGCCAACAATTGCCCGGGTATTTAACAATCCCCAGAAAATGACTCCAGCCTTCAAAAGCCGGCTTGTATCACCGATTCTTTGATTGCGACGTCAGAGCAACAACTCTCAAGGCCGTAATTGTGCTGCCACGGCCGATTACCGGGCGGTTACAGTCCCTGTAATCTAATACGCCCAATACGCCCGCGGGGGTTCAGGACAATCAATCAATCAATCAATCAATCATCCGTGATTACATCTCTCTTCAGACATCTCTCTCTCTCTCTCCTCTCATTTAACGCAACCACCACCATGTACGAGTCCTACCGTAAGTTCTATCCACTACCCCAAACGAAATACTCCTCCTCACCTTCCTCTCTGCAGGCCCGCCGCACCCCCTCCTCGCCCAGGTCCCCCTGACCGTCTCCCCCTTCATCAACCTCCCCGCCTCCGTCACTCTCCCCTACACCTACAAGTCCGTCCCCTCGACCATCCCCCCCTCCGTCACCGTCGACCCCAGTAACCCCGACGCCATCCCCCGCTATGTTGTCTCGGCCAGCGGCGAGCACGCCGCCTCCCCGGAGGAGATCCTCGCCTCCTGCAACTCGCTCGAGCAACACCTGAATAAGGCCCGCAGCGACGCCGAGAAGGCGATCCGCGACTGGGAGGGCTCTATCACCCAGCGCGAACTGGCAGAGAAGCGCCGGGTCGCACCGGGATGGCTCGATCGCGACGAGAAACTACTTCAGCCGAGCAATGCGGCATTGGGGTTTCAGGCATATGGCCAGGCGCAACCGAGTCTCCTGGACAGCGCATCTGCCGACCCTAGTGCGGCCGTTTTACCGTCGATGGTGCCGCGCGATGAGGGCGAGGAGCTAGATCGAGCGTTTGGAGGGCTGGACGTGAAATGAATGGCTTAAAACCCCGGAAATACCATCACCTCTTTACTCAGCTCTTCTCTATGAGTGCTCCGGATCGTGCCATAGCTGCTATCGCAGCGGATAGACACGAATTCCTTACAGTGGCTGGGCAAGCGGGCACTCAACATCCCAACACCGGCGTCACCGCAATCAAGTCCAACTGTCCGAAGTTGCGCGCACTGCATCTGCACCAGATCGCGGTGCAGGATGATTTGCATCCCGCGGTCCCCGCCAGCAGGTACCTCAATCCCTCGGCGGCCGCCGGCCGCAGTAGCGTCATCCCACCGGACGGGGCACCTACCACCTCGACCACATCTAAAGCCTCAAATTATCCTAACCAGATAGAAGCCATCAGAATACCACTCTCCAATTTCCACCTCTCCTTCCTAGTTCTCATTCCCAGTCCCAGCGGATATCGTACACGACGTAACGTAACCACTGCGCCCATTAAAACATACCCGCGCCCGCGTCCCGCAGCGCAACCGCGGAATCAAACACCCGCTAGCTCTCCGCCCGCCCAAGCTCTATCTTCTTCCCTCCGACCTCCCCTCTTCCCTCTTTCCACCTCAACCCTCACCTTCACCCTAACAGCCACACACCCAACCCCCAAAATGGAACCCCTCACCACCGCCCCCGACACGACGACGTTTGTCCCCATCGCCGAGCACCAATCCCGCACCCCGAGCTCCTTCTACTCCGGCCCCGCCGTCCTGCACTACCACCAGCAAAACTGCTCTCTGGTCGTGCTGGAGCGCGATCTCGCCGCCGTGCCAGCCCTGGCTGCTCTGCGCGACACCGCGACCACTCCCGCGACCGCGAACGGGCACACCACCGACGATGCAGAGGAAACGGAGGTCGTGATTCCCGGCGTTAGTGTCTGGGTTACTTCGGAGTGAGTTTTCCATTACATGCGCAACACAGCCATCCCAACATCACAACCCTAAAGAGGACCATGAACGCCCTCCATACACTATCCCATCCACCCCCCCTCCCCCAGAAAAGAAAGTCAACTAACCCCCAACCCAACCCAGCAAATTCCTCCTCTACAACCCGACTACCCCATCCCCAAGCGGCCTCTCAATCCCCTACCCGTCCATCTCCCTGCACGCCATCCAGCGGCTACACCTCCCCAACACGGAATCCCAAGTCCAAGGCCTCTACATGCAAATCGCCACCCCCACCCCCAACCCGGCCTCCATAATGTCCGACGACGAAGAAGAAAGCCTCACCCTCACCCTCGTCCCACCCCCGGCCTCCTCCCCCTCCCCCTCCAACTCCGCAACCTCCTCCGACCTCGACTCATCCACCCCCGCCGAACTACGCGAAACACCCACGCAAACCCTCTACGCCGCAGTCTCCGCATGCTCGAACCTGCACCCCGATCCCGTCGAGGATGGTGATGACGACGAGGAAGGAGATAATCTATTCCAGTCCGGGCTGGTGACTATGGGTGATGGAGCGGGTGGTCTGCCGCCGCCGGTGGAGGGCAGTGGAGGGTGGATTACGGCGGAGAATATGCATGAGTTTTTTGATGAGGAGGGGAATTGGATTGGTGGGGGAGAGGAGCCGAGTTTGGGGTTGAACTTGGGGCTTGGGCCGGGCGCGGGGACGGTGAGGGCGAGGGAGGATGAGGATGAGAATGAGATGGATGTGGAGGGAGGGGAGGAGGGGGTTGATGGGCAAGGGGAAGGGGGGGAGACGAAGTGGCGGAGGACGGATTAGGTTTATTGTGCGGTTGGTTACAGTAAGTTGTGGCTGGTGTAATAATAGATCGGTCAGACGAAAAAAAGGAATGAAAAGTTGAGTTGTTCATAAATGAATGTTGCTAGATGAGCAGACGAGAAAATTAGATGTATTTTGATTTCAAGCCTACCTACGCCTATCTTTACAGTGGATATCGGACACGCCCGCATGCTAACCAAGCTAAGGAACTGAAAGTAACAAATAAAAACGCCCTCACCAAACCCTTTAGTCTACTCTTTCAGAAATCCATCTCCATCATACAGACTGGCCGGGGTGGCCGCCCCGATTCCCAACCCTACTGTCTTCTTCGTCGGCGTCCGGAATTCCTGTCTGGCCCGGTGGCTCGATTTTGGCGGCGACCTCTGGCTCTTGGCCCGTTCCGTTCGGGTGGGGGATGAGTCGCCCTGGAGCTCGGCGGGTTCGCTGCCGACGGACGTCGATCGAGTTGGTGCCTTGCGGTCCATGGCCTTGTCTTCCCAGATGGGAACAATTATCCCGCTGTTTGCGTGAGGCGGTTTCGGGACACCGGCCGACGATGGTCGTTGCTGCTGTGGGCCCTTGCGGCTCGGCCGTCTGTTGGGGTGTGCGGCTGCCACTTCTTTGTCGTTCTTCGCTCGGAGCGGATCGGACGTTTTGCGTGTTGGCTCTCTCCTGGTGCTCTGAGGGCGCGAGAAACGAACGGGTGGACTGGAGGGCGACTTGGCGCTGTCCTCGAGCGGGTTCATGGAACGGTAGCTGCTGCGTGCTGCGGACTTTGCCGGTGGGTGGCGCGGTCCCTTGACTGCTGAGCGGCGTGGGCTGCCAGGGCTAGAAGCATTCTCGTGCGTGGTCGGCGAGCTGTTGTAATTGGGAATCATCCATACCGGGCTGTTCTGTTCGGAGGACGGGGTGCTCGACAGGCTCGTATCAATCTTGGGGGGCAGTAGCGTCGTCACGACCTCTGGCAACATCTTCTCAATGCTCAGAGTGCTGTCTTTGGAATCAGCAGGCGCGTGCCTTCGTTTCCTTGGTGGCGCTGTGTAAGAGTTGCGTGGCTCATCACTAGGAATCTCGGTGATTCGTGGTCGGTCTTTCAGCTGGTTCTGGTAGCTATTTCTACCCATAGAAAGATTGGATACGGTGGAGTCCAGTGACACATGAGGCGTCAACAATCCAGAACCCTGTGATCGACGCCGATCATTCTCTTCGAGTTCTGGCTCTTCAGCCGTAGGAGAAAAGACAGAGCCCCCGAACGTGATTGGCGGATGGATGGAGATCCGCACGCAGTTCTGCCGCCTGTGGCCCTTGCGAGAGCCACTGCCTCCCTTCAATGCAGACGGTAGAGGCGGCTTGGGATGGACGGTCGAGATCTGCATGGAAGTGTCCTGGATCAAGGCACTCGTGGCCCTCTTTCGCGGCTGACCATTGGGCGTAGTGAAATTGCCCGCGCCGCTGTAGAAAGGATCATGGTCTCTTCGCTGGTCGCCGTGCATTGTGTGCCGCTGCATCTGACTGAAATGCGGCAGCAAGCCTACATTGCGACCTACTGCACTAAGCGGAGGCGCGCGGTTCAGATCCAGGGGTTTCACCCATAGGGACGAATCCCGCTTGGTCCTGTTTTCGGACAAAGACTCGCTTCTCCGAGGAGGCGGGCTGATGCGTTCCATTGAATGAGTCGGGCTGCGTGCTGTGAGACTGCGGCGAGGAGATGTGCGGTCTGGAGAAGATTCTATTTTCTGTCCTTCCCACACAGCACAAGACGACGCAGGAAAGATGAAAGGGGCTGGTACGACTGAACTGGGTGTCACAAAGCTCCTGCGGTCATACTCCATCCGCCCAACATCGTTGGCATCAAACGGCGCGAACGTCGGACAAGGGGGCAGTGCTGGCGAGGTGAAGTCACTATCGATGTTGGTCGAGGTCCTTCTACTGTCGTCCAGGATGGAGCTGTCGGCGGTTTCGAGGCTGAGCGACGAGAGACAGATCGAGTCATTCTTCGAGAGACGGAAGCGGTTGGGCGGATACGCACACGGGGGCGGTGGTACTGGTTGCTCGGGTGCGCTTCCGGATGTCTGAGCAGTTATGCTCCCTCCTCGCACCCTGGTGTAAGGTGGGTGGAAGCCTTCCTGGTAATCTTCCATGAGCGGGTACAAGCTCCCGGAGCGCTCTCTGTGATGCATCAAGGGCCACCCTCCCGAAACGGGCCGAATGGAGAGTTCTGCCCTCGCCTGGTCCTCCTCTCGGTCTGGTGTATGTCTAGGCGTAGTCTCCGTTGGCAGCTCAAAGGCCCCCTCGACTGCGGAGCTCACCACGCCCTCATCGATTCCCGAGACGGTGGGTGAACCAGAGTATCGCTTCTCCGATCTCTCCGTCAGTGGGGACAGCGAACTGAGACGTTGAGGCCCCAGAAAGTTCCTTGAATGTCGCCCAGATCGGGCGGAAAGGGAGCGAGAGAGCGAGCGGCGGAGATCACGGGCCTTTTCGATCAAAGGAGAAGACATTTCCGAGTCCACTGGGGATTGTGCCAGACTCTCGCGAGAGGAGAGGACTCCCCATTCGGACGGCTTGCCATACGGGAGCTGTCCATACTGTCGTAGCGCGGTGCCCTCTTCCCGTGAAAGTTCGGTCAGCGTCTCTGCATGGTACTGCAAGGCTAAGCGGCCGTTCTTCGCGGATGCCACTGCCAGCGACAGGCGATCTCGACGGACTCTGATCCAGATGACGGTGGCCACTATGGCAGAGACGATGAAGATGACTGCGCAGCTGACAGCTATCGCAATAACCGTGGTCAGGGGCGGCATGGTCGTTCCCTGATGCGTATCGTGCGAGACCGACCAACCTGTTTGCTGAGATTAGAAGACGCGTTGACCCATCCACCGGGGTCGTTCCTATTCTTGCTTGATGAGTATCCAGCTTATGCCAGGTCCCCGGACACTCTGGACAACATCCAAGATGGTTGAAATCAGGCAAACAAGGAACCAGAAGCCACGAAACCACCAGCACAGGAGGGATGGAGCAAAGACAAGCGAGGCCATGAGGGAGATGCACCCGTGAGGTAGGTAACATTGCGTTTGTTGTGGCCAACCGAGGCAACGGAATGTGGTAGCATTACAGTCGGCTACGCGAGGAATGCTGCGACGACGGATGCCCCCCTTAGAGAGCAGTATCTCTCGAATGAGGATGCTCATTGGCATGGCTCTGGCCTGACGCCGGTGCCGTGACACTGTCGTGCTCATTCAGTGGATGATGGAGAAGGACGAGGCTGGTCGATCAGCAATATTGGAGACCTGATAGCTGGAGGAATGTTAGTTGAGAGATAGAGCACGCCAGTTGTTTTACCGGACACCGAGGAGCATGACACCCGCAGCTCCTGCACGGACTAGATTCTTAGAATATGGTCATGGTTGATGCGATGGAAATATACAGGCCGCTATCTTTGGGTCTGGGAAGTGAAGGTTAGCAATGCATCGTGTTGAATCTCAGAATCTGCCGGATGAGTTCTCGTGGATGCAGCAATTAACAGGCTAGGTCTTTCTTCCGCATTAAAACCGGATAGATTTGGATAGTCTAAATACTGTGGATACTGGTGGGATCCTCACTGTTTTCCGACAACGAAGAGAAGGACGAAGATGGCGTGGGGGTGCCTGGGGATGCGGCACTTTCCCATTCGGGAAGACGGGCAGCGGCCGGAAAATCAATAATACCCGCCAGCGTCGGAAATACCGCGGGGCCGATGCCGCCCGCTCCGGGGGGTTATGTGAGTAGGGTCGAGGTCTTTCCGTTGCAGTCCTTGTTGCAATCATCGTTTCATTTCTTGTATCCCTCCAGGTTGCATCACTGCAACTAGAGCAGACAGGAGGCAACTCGATGATGACAGTGATCGAGACGCCCCGATAAGAAGAGCGCAGAACAGGACCATGGCATGCATGTTGTCAACCAGCCGGGTACCCCAGTGCCTTCCGCGGGATTCTGGGGCGGCATAGCGTCATGAACCCACCCGCATCCACCACTGCCGACGCCGACAGCGAGAGGAGGCCCAGCCAGTGCAGCCACTCGAGGCAGCTAGCAGCAGGGATACAGTGTCAGCCAAACCCCGAGCATCGAATGCGAAAATGAAAGTCCAAAACGGTCAATGGATCCGCAACCCCTCAGCGGCATCTCCCAAGCGGGCTAGCTGCCTCTATGTTGCGTCGCCGATAGTGGTGTATATCTAGGCTCAGGCCCAGCATATAAAGACTGCCTGCCGGATACGAATCCCCTCCATCGTCCCTCACATCCATACACATCCTCTCTTCCCCTGAGCTCCGTCTATTGCTCTGATACATCCGCTGAATTCTCACAATGGCTGCCAATCCCGTTCACAACGGACTCTTCGTCCACGATAATACCGCCCCCCCTGCCCACCCCAGCTTGCTGAGCATGTTCTCCTTGAAGGGCAAGACCGCCATTGTCACGGGCTCTGCCGCGGGCATTGGTCTCGCTGTGGCCGCCGGACTGGCTGAAGCCGGTGCCAACGTTGCCTTTTGGTGGGGTTCGAACTCCAAGTGCCCCGAACGGGCCGCGGAGGTGGCCTCCAAGTACGGCGTTCAGAGTCAGTCACTCGGACCCCACCACACCAGAATATACTTTACTGACCTCCTGCAGCCAAGGCTTACCAGGTCGATGTCACCAATCCCGAAGCTGTACAGGCAGCCGTTGACCAGGTTGTGAAAGACTTCAATGGCCGACTGGATATCTTCATCGCCAATGCCGGTATTCCATGGACCAAAGGCCCCATGGTGGACGGCCCGCTGGACCACTACACGAGCGTGGTCGACATCGACCTGAACGGAACCTTCTACTGCGCTAGGGCCGCGGCCACCCACTGGAGGAGACAGAAAGAAGAGGGCACCGACATCAACGGGAACAGGCTGGAGAACTTCACGTACGGTAGCTTCGTGGCTACTGCGTCGATGAGTGGTCACATCGTGAACGTCCCCCAAATGCAGAGTGCTTACAACGCTGCCAAGGCAGCTGTCATCCACCTGAGTAAGTTTCTCTAGAATGCACCCGTGCACCGTTCTAACGCAGTCTCCAGGCAAGTCGCTGGCTGTCGAGTGGGTCAAGTTCGCCCGTTCCAACACCGTCTCCCCTGGATATATCGCGACGGAGATCTCCAACTTCGTATCACCGGAGGTCAAGGGCATCTGGAAGGACAAGATCCCGATGGGCCGCGAGGGCCGTCCGGAGGAGCTGAAGGGCGCATACCTGTACCTGGCGTCGGATGCGTCCAGCTACACGACGGGCGCTGACCTGGTCGTCGACGGCGGCTACTGCGCTCCATAAATTAAGATTTTGTTTGACGATATATATATATAATGACGCACACACCTGATTACACTTTGGAGGGTATCTACAAGAGCCATAATGAACGATAGACGAATTCCACGATTGCTTGAAACCTTCAAACCTCGCGATCCTAGCCCGGCTGGTCCAAACGCCTGGGAATCGGTGGCGCCCGCCCCCGGGCCTGCCACGAAGCCATGCAGACGTGGCTTGCAGGCCGCAGGGCTTAAAATCCGAGATTAGGCCGCAATCGCGTGAGGGGTATACCACTGGCCGGTATAGGTTGATTCGTCCCGCCTTCACACCGCTCATCAGACAACCCCTCCATCCATATTTCCGAGTGTAGACCCCTCCATAAAGCACCCACATATGTCATATGTAGCAGGAGGATGGATAGTGATATCAATGCACCCGGACAATAACCCATCCAACCACCCGATCCACCGCCCGATCCACCCATCCCTCTTCCTCGATATCCTCTTCCCAGAGAGGGAGACACGGAGACGGCGGTTCCAGGATATGGCTGCGTAGTAGGTCGGTAGTCGGATCGAAGTACTTTGCGAGCGGGGACGTGGGGTTTGATGGCTCGGAGGGGAATTCCTCGCTGCGGCATTGGTTGTTAGCACTTACAGCCAGCATTCAGCAGGGGTGCATGCACGTAATTACCTGTGGTGATCCAGACGGGTGTAGGGTGCGTGCTGCGGGGCAAAGTAGGATCGGATGGCGCGGTGGTGCAGACACGCGAGGAAGATGAGGGAGAGGAGCAGGCAGATTGTAGGGAAGATGGGCATTGGGGATATCTTCATGTCTGATGATCGGAGCATTTTTGGTGTTGGTTGGTGAAAAAAGTCGAGGATCGAGGAATAGAGGTGTCAAGGTAGGAGGGAGTGTAGAGGTAGATTGTTAGGATACTACCTGTGCAGACTCAGACCTCTCGACTGAATACTCAGAAAGAGCAGTATAGGACACATGAATATATCTTATCTAGGCCGAATAATCATAAGCTCTATTTACTGGTATCATACCCCACCGGGAAGAACACCGACGGTGTTGTGTTACTATAATTATAGATCCTTTATATGCATTGTTTGAAGGAACGCCTTTGCTGATATTCCATGGATTGCGGGGATATTGTTCTCTTCCTTTTGTTCTCCCATTCAGCCCTACTCCAATTGCGCAAAACCGGGCGTGTGTTAAGCGGTAGTGTCGATTATAGTAAATATACTAGTACCACACCTCGCATTTGACTCTCGGCTTGTTAACTACAACCGAGTCCCTTAGTCTGGCAAGGCCGATCTTCAACAAATATGGCTCGGCGGTGGACGCAGGGCAGACGGGGGTGGGGAGAAGAAGAAAGCGGGGAGATGGGTGACGATGGGCGAAACGGAGGGGGGGGGGTTTATACTCGCGATAAGCCCCTAAATTAGGAAGGAGGCAGCTGCGCCGCCAGATCGATCGCTCGACGGCGAAGCGCAATGCAAGCAGGCGATTAGTGTGAGATTCACTGCGCAAGACGCAGCCCAACCTCAGACAACTCTAGGTCCTTCTCATGTTTATCTCTTTAGCGAACATTAAAGTCTACCACGGAACTGTCTCGGACTCCATCATCGGATTGGATCCCTTCCGGAATGCTACAAAGTCTAATGCTGCACAGGCAGATATGCAGTCAACCCAACAAAGAATCCCGACCGGCCATCTCATACACACGCACCCTGCAGCACAGCCAGTCCTAAAGTAATCCCCCCTTACGCACCAGGAGGCTGACACTCAATCTCCCCATCACCTCCACCACCTCCCTGGCAATCCACCTCGTCCGCTGATCCAAAGCTATCACCCCAACAGTCTAGGCAAGCCTCTCCTTCCAGAACGCCCACCGATCCCTTGACCAGCACAGCCGTCCCATCCACTCTCGCCCCACGGTCCCCTCCTCATACATTTCTCGCTCTCGCCCACAATACGTGTACCACCCATTTAGAATCCTGATATCGATTTCCTCCATCAACTTATCCCGCTGTTTATTATACACCTCTTCATTCTCATCATTCTCTATAAAATCAAGATGATCCTCGATGTCCTTGTGGTGAAAGATCTCCCACAGCGCGATTTCGGGCGTCTTTCTCAGCACCCTGTTGCCGTGGGGGGGGGGGGGGGGGGATCTCTTTCCCGCTGATGGTGGGATAGATTCCCCGGGCGTATAGTCTGGCGGTGAAGATGTTGACGATAAGCCAGCTTTGATGCTGGGTGTCGCGCACGAGAGGGCTGAAGGGGTGGTCGCCGTCTGTCGTTCATCGGTTGGAACCGTCACCTATCACATACTAATCGATATCCATGATAGACATATATACAATCGACAACTTAATAACCTCCGTCAGATGCTGTCCTAGTCCGTCGAGCTTATGAAACGCCCCGTCGCAGTCGGCTAGCGCTTGCAAAAGTGAATACAAAATCGAACAGTCGGTCGTTTTGTTCGATCGCCGCGAAGAGCAGCGACAAGTCTAGATACCTGACGGAAAAGGGTAAGATTTAGCATTCCATAATGAGCTCTTATTATGACGAACTGCAACCCAGTAACGGTTTCTGTACAGAGTAAAAAACAATCAACCTCTACTAAAGATAATCCAAAAATGGACTGCTCATATGGTAAACAAAGAACCCGCGGTAGTCAAAAGGCTGGCTGGCAACTCCACAGTAAAGCATCATAGGGCTGATGCGATCGCGATCTATACCCGACAGACAACCAAAACATGTTCAAAAATCTAAAAGAAACAATATACACAATCTGATGGTTCAGAGCCAGCTTTAATCCCACCACCTGGAATAGCCAATCTATATCTGTAGTATCTACCCTATCTCCATACCTCGATGCATCCCATCCCAAACCATGACCTCATCGCGATCTACATGCCCCCATCCATCCCACCCTGACCCTCCCCCCTCATCTGACATCCCCTCCAACCAACCCACACCATCACTTGACACCACTCCCTCCCACCACCTTTCACATGAACCCATCATCTCCCAGCCCTACTTCCCCCGTTATCTCACCCATGACTTCCTGTCATGTCAGGCGCAGTATACGGGTGTGGTCACCACCACCGTCATTGTTATCATTCCTTCCCGAGCCCACCAAAGAAATATGTATACACAAAGAGTTCAAAGTTCCAACCAGAAACAAGAAAGCATTCACGCACGCCCTTATCATTCACTCGTGTAGGAAGTGAACCTTGTATTCTAGCACAAAGGGACAATGAGGGATGATGAGTAGAGTGGAGGGGGGGGGATATATATTTAGAACTTAATTCTCTCTGGGTTTGATTCTCTGATCTTGAACTAATCGCTCTCTGGTTTTATTTTTTCAATAGATGGTTGCTTGATGAGTGTATATCACTCTCCCCTCTCCTCTATGCTCCACTCTACGCCTCATACTGTGTAGTACTATACTATATCCACCCATACAGCCCTAAGCAGTCAATATGCCGCCGACACACCCGGAAGATATAGAGTTGGTACGTGCATGCATAGTTACACTTCCTGCACTGCAGCTTATAGTAATCTCTGCAATTACCCTAAATTCCCCTGTGTCAACATCTCTTACACTCAACCCCCTTACTTCCTCCCTACACCATCCCCCTATTCTACAGCCATAACTATAATCCCAACACTCACCACCCCCCCTTTCCCCCATCCATCCCCCACCCTACAACACTCTGTATACTAACCACAAAAAAAAAAAAAAAAGAACAACGCCCTCCACGCGGCCCTAACCTGCACAACATGCTCAATCACCCACATCCCCAAATTCATCTTCCACCTCGACTTAAAACGAGGAATCTACAATGCTTCCCGCAACCCTCCGTTCCGTATAGCCCGGCCTGAACCGGATGTCGCCCCGGATGAGATCCTACAGTCTAGTGATTCCCAATCCCTGCAATCACCACCACTATCGCCGACGTCGCTATCACCATCACCATCGGCTTTCCAGTCACCATTACCCTCACAGCCACCATCTCCGTCTTCGTATATAGCAGCATTCACAGGGACATCGATATCCACATTGACACTCACGCACCCCTCAACATCATCTACACCTGCAACTTCACCACCAACATCGCCATCACCACCAACACCAACACCACCCTCTCCCCATCCAAGAAACCCAACATTCCAATCCTTTCCCCCCCTTACAAAACACACCACCAGCGCCAGCGCCAGCGCCAGTACCACCACACCCCCCAAAACCCGCCTCTACCCCCTCACCCCTCCCAATCCACCGCCTACACCTCCCAAATAACCACTTACCTATCCCTCGACCCATCCCACGACGAGCCCTTCGCACAATACCTCGTGGACTATCACATCCACGTACACTACATGTTGCAGCGGGGGGTGCTGGGACTATGTCGCGACGTGAAGGACGTGTATGAGGTGAAGGGGTGGAGGGGAAGGGTTCACGAGATAGATTTGCGGGACAGGGAGCGGAATGAGAAGCATAACGGGAATGGAAATGGGGATGGGGATGGGGGTGGGAATTTGGCACCAGGAGGTGGGACTCTCTGCCCGGAAGGCCAGGAACAAGGACAAGGACCACGATCAGAATCAGAACAAGTGCAAGTGCAAGCGCAAGCGCAGTATAAATCCGTGGGAGCACGAACACGAAGCGGCTGGACCGACGACCCGAATCTGCAGATGGTATACCAGATGGCGCTATGGCGGAAACAAGGGACAGCGCGACAGCGGCGAATCGACGAGGTGAGGGTGCGATGGGCGGGGATTATGGAGGAGCGGCGACGGCAGCGCGAACGAGAGCTGCAGCTCCAAATGCAGAAGCAAATGCAGATGCACCGGCGCAAGGGCAATGTCAAGGTGCGGGTGTATTGCAAGCAGGCGGCGGGGGGGCGGAGTCTCTTACGGGAGGTGGAGCTGGATGAGGTGTCGTTTGGCGAGTTGATCAGATGAGATCGATCATGAGATCATGACACAGACACAGAAACAGGCAGAGACAGAAGCAGAATAGAAGACCTATGAATGAATGATGCAGAACTTTTCATAATCGCTAGTACAAACTAGAGTGAGCGCGAGGGTTCAGACATGACTTGCCAATTGCAATTGCCAAAGAAGCAGAAGCAGAAGCAGAACTCAAACCAAGTGGGAAATATGTACCAGTGGAATGAGAAAGAATCGAATCAAATCATCGAGGGAGGTATTCAGGCCCAGATCCAATTAGAACGCCATTTCAGACAAATAAAGTCAAGGTAAAGGCAGGGCAGGGCGGTAGCTGCAAGTAGTTAAATGCAATAGGTCGGGAACAAAGGGAAGTAAGGAATGAAGATCCGGGATCAGTCAGGGATTGGGTCTTGGTGATTGATCGGTATGTGTCCTAGGCATTGCTGTGCGTAGGAAACAGGGAAGGACAGTGTGGAGGCCATCACGAGCTCTCCAGTAATGGATGGTCTGCGCGAGGAAGATAAGCTACATGTCAGTTATTCATACCTTCTCCATTCCCGACATTGAGACATCCCCGGGGGACGGGGCGTGGATAGGCTCCTTGATATCCGCCGGATACGGCTCGTTGCGCTGCGCGGGTTGATCGGCCGTGTTCTTTCCATCCGAACGCTTGCGACCCAGCCGCTCACACCAGAGCTCCGCGCTGACCAGCGTATCGTTGACCACCCGGTTGACCTGCGACATCATATCCAGGCCCTCTTCAGCCAGGACAAGGATCCGATGGGCGCCGACCGTCGCATCAGAGGATGCGGCAGTAGAATCCGGCGGGGGGTTGGAGGTCGACGCGATCTGGAACCGATGCGGCAGCGACGTGAGATGCCGTCGGACCAGGTTCCGCGCATTCTCCGGCAGCGCGCCGCCGGCGTACTTGGACACGATATCCACGACCCGCTTCAACGTCGTCAGGACATCTTCTTTGACAGCCTGAATGCGCCGCGTGAGGAGGGTGGTGTTGGAGGCGTCGTGCGCAGCAGCCGAGTCCCCATTCTGCTGCGAGCTGTCCCATTCTTTCAGGGCTGACTTTAGCGTATCGATGGCCTTGTCCAGCCGTCCGTTGGCCCAGCGCAGCCAGGTCAAACAGTACTGCAGGCTGTGAAGCGACTCCTCGCTCATCGCGACACCAAGCCCCGACGTGGAGATCATCAATCGACTCTGCCACGTCGGCGGGGTCTTGCGGGAGGGGCTGTCGCGTCTGATTTCATCGTAGTTGGGGGATTTCTGGTCGTCGTAGGGCGGGAGACCCTCCGCCGGCGACAGGTCCGAGGAGCTGCGCCCCCGTGGATCATCCATTGTACCGTCGTCCGCGCCTCTCTCCACGTCAACGTCCGAGGGGTGGTGATCCCCGCTCACTTTGCGACGCTTCGAGCGGCCAGAATTGGCGGACGAGGAAGCTCGGCGCTGGAGGGCCCAGCGGAGACCGCTTTCCACGCCGGTCTTGCGGCCTACGGTGCCGACGGTGCTGGCGACGGGCGAGCCGATGTTGCGCTCGATGAACTCAACGCCGGACTTGAAGCGGGGGGAGTAGGACTTGGAGTTGGCGTATGCCGAGACGGAACCGTTGATGGCGGACTCCAGCAGCGGATGACGGGAGGTGAGGAGGGACAGGAGGGGTTCCGCTGATGGCTTCTCGGAGGAGTTCAGCGAGCTTGCTTGCGCTGTTCGAGGGGATTGACCGTATTCTAGAGAGGGTATGGTTATCATTATCGCCCGTCACAACCCAGGAGAGCTCTCATCGGGACGCCGAGACCGGCGGAAGCTGCATTTACCAGTGCGAAGACCCTCGAGCGCTTGGGCGGCTTCAATATCATCCATGGACAGCACGCTGGTGGCTCGGCGAGAACGGTCATCAGCGACGGAACCGTTATCAAGTTCCATCATGGGCGGGGGGACATGGTGGAACGGGGGATACGCGGTGGGAGGCGCCGAGTAGGGCGCGGGAGCGGTGGTGGTGGTGGTGGTGGTGATGGCAGTGGTAGCGGAGGGAGCGGTGGTAGAGGGAGTCGCGATGGAGGATGGCGTGGAAGAAGTATGGCGAGGGTGAGAGTGAGGGTGAGGGAGAGTGGCGTCACGGACAGCAGAGAGAGAGGCCTTCGGGACGGAAACGCCGTTCGGACGAGGGTCCATGGCTGCCCGGAGGCCAAAATAGGCGGAAAATTGGCTTTGGCGAGAGTTGGAGAGAAGGTTGGATGAGCTGGATGGGGTTAGATGGGGTGGGTTGGGGGATGTTGGAGTCGAGGAAGATCGGATTCGAGGTGGGCAGACCGACAGAGGCAGACTTTCACGTGAAGAACAAACGAGGAAGAAAAGAAACGAAACGAACGAAGCCACCCAGCGCGGGCCAACGAAGAGCCGGGCGCCGTCAGCAGTCACTCACTTCCACTCTCAACTCACTGAGCGACTGGCTGTAACTTGTCTCCAACACAATATGTCTGAGGCCCGTTTCATCGCCTCCTGTCTACAATCTACAGCCTACAGCCTAGATACAGCCTACAATAATCTACTACGAACAATCCCAAGTCTGGTCTGGCACATGCGGGCGCATCAGAAGCCCGGTACAAACTCTCGTCGCTTCCTTCACATGCGCCGACTCGGGGCCGGCCGGCCGTTCCATCTACCGGACAGGCCAGGAATCATGCAGTGCCGTCCAGTCTCTTCCAGGGCCGAGCAGTCCCATCCAGTGGCCTCCAGTCTCACCTCCAGTCTCACCATCGTGGAGGCTTCCGCATCCATCATCCACCATCCACCATCCATCGTGTCAATCCTGCCGAGCATGTGATGCCGCGTCATGATTCTGCGCCGCCCCACCGCCTGCTTCATAGGGGCCGTGCCACATGATCGCCGTTCCGGGCGTGGCTATTACTAAGCCCTCGTGACGAGGCCTGATTCGGTAACCACCTGGCCAATCAACGAGTAAGGTAAGAAAGTGTGCAGTATCCAACCCAGTTAAGGCATCTGCATGTCTCATCCCAATCATATACAGCACAAATGCTTCAATAGTTCCATCCGATAACATGTACCAATGTAGATCCCAAACCCAAACCCAATATCAATCCCAGTCCTTTATTCCACTGACATCCCATCATCCGGATCAAAGTATCCTGCGGACGGCCGCAGCCCAAACAGCATCGCTTCAATGGCCTCATGTCCCTCGTACTCATCCTCGCCATTCGTATCATCTTCCTCTTCGGCGTCCCGCGCTGTCAACTGCTTAATGACCTTCTGGTTGACGCGATAGCACGCCAGGATCTCGTTCGTCACCGACCGCGCCGGCCGGGTACTCGTCTTGATCTGGCACAGCGTCTCACCGAAAGCATGAATCACGAAACTGGAGTGGGGATGTTGCTGATATGTATACGACGCCAGCACGCGGAGCCACTCGTCGCGACAGTGCTGCCATGCGTGGATCAGGGGATGATCGCCCTCTGGGGGAGGGATGGCGCGGGCCTCCTCGGCGGCTTCCAGCGCCAACGGCGAGAAGGAAGCCTGTCCTCCTCCGATGGCGTTGGACCATTGGTCGTAAAATCTCTTGATCGCCGCCGCCATGCCTCGGAGGGCGACATATAACTGCCTGCTCTCCTGCTTGTCGGATTTGGCCTGATCTCGGGCATCTTTCCACGGCTGGACCAGATCCTCGTCGCGGCTGCGAGAGGTCTCTGCCTCAGGAAAGGCTTCTTCCATCTGTCGCAATGCCCTGTGTCTCTCCTCGCGCGCTACATCGAATCGGAGATAATCGATGATGTTGGTGCGCTTATGCTTGCGCTCGGGGTTCTTGTACGCGGGCAGTTCGCGAACCCGCGGGCTGATCCGCTTGCGGTATTGCTGCCATGCCTTCTCCGAGAGATGGACGCCCCCTTTGCGCCCATCTACCAAGTGGCTCAGGAGACAGGCGAGCTCCTTGGCCTTCTTGCAGTCGATCGACTCATCGTAGGCAATCTTCTCGTGCTCGACCGTGCAGCGTCCCAGATTGGACAGCGTCAGGTTGAACGTGAACGCGCTCTGGAGGAACTCATCCTTCGACTGGATGTCGCGCATGGGAACAGAATGCTTCGTGAGACCAAAGTGCTCCGGGGGAAACTCCACGCCCGGGAGATCCGTGTTGTAGAAGTTGCGGACTATATTCTGGTCCCAGCAGATCCAGGGAGTATCGCCGTCGTAATCGCCACCCGAGAGCATATGTGCCAACGGAACCTTGCCCACACTGGGGAACACGATAACGTCCTTGAAATGTCGAAGCTCGGGTTTCCACACGGCCCGTCGGCGTTGGATGTCGGACGGAAGATGTGCCGGAAGACGTCCAACAAGCACATCGATGCCATCTAGCAGATTATCTTCAAATTGACCCTCCCCATCACGCCAGTTGTTCGAAAAGCCAAAATGCACCTCATCCTCTTTCAGCACATGGTATGGATCCGCGATGCAGAAAGCGTAGGTCGAAAGGGGCACTTCAATATGCAATTCATCCACATACCGCTCCAGTAGATCTCGGAGACACCTCCCCAGTCGTTTGCGCAGGGGATAGAAGCTCCGGGGACTAAAGCCGGCTTCGGTGAGTCGAATTACGCATTCCGCGTCATTTGCCGTCCACTGTTCAAAGCGCCGGGCTTTCTGGGACATCAAGCCAAAGCCATCGTCTGCCGATGGCCGGATCTTCTGGATCAGACTGCGACAAAGCACCGGACTGTCCGACCTGAGGACCTCCTCAAAGTCTCGATAGACCCCTTGGATCCCCAATCGGGTTAGGTCTGCAATATGCTCTTTGACATGCCCACCGTGGTCCAGGATTGCCAACAGCTGGGTATTCAAATCTACGGGATGCAACGGTTTGGACCACTTGACAACCTCGAATGTGAGCTGCTCATCATCCACCAGGCCCCGCCACTCGTGCGGGTGCGGCTTGATCTTCAACTGCGAGTCGGATATCTGAATCCATATGTTATCCCCGCCAGCGGAGATGTGGGACTGATGTCGGTCGACCATCCACAACCCCTTGGCTCCCGCAATGCGGCCCTGGAAGGAGCTCGGGGTATTTCCCGTCAGCCCCAAAGAGTCGCAGATCTGGTTGGCCATGGCTCTGGACATCAGGGCGCACCCATCGTTCATAACCGGGGAGTCAGGATCATCGGGTAGCGGGAAGACTTGCCGTGGTTTCAACACCACCGTAGCAAAGGTCTTCGAAAGCCCCAAGGAGAAACGCTGGAACAATTTGCAGTTGGATTGGCCCCGGTTTGCCTCAGAAGGCATGTGCCAGTCAATAAGCGCGTCGAGGCTCATTGGCGTGTGATTTCCACTTTCCTGCCCATGAGGAGCGATAGGAGGCACCGGACGTACACCATGATCGAAATCAATCCCATCAATGGCGAAGAAGTCGACCCGGAATTTCGGCTCCGACTTGATCTTGCGCTTGGACTTGACCTCCTCCACAAAGAATGGCTTCCACATCCTTCCCAGGCACCGGTGCACATTCTGTGTCAGCCACAGAGCCAGACTCTCGCGCAGAAGGGTCGGCTGGGAAGTGAGTCGAAGATGCGGTGGCGGCCGCGCCGGGGCGGGTATAGTCAGGCTAAGAAAGCGATCGGATCCAAACCGACGGTGGAAGCGACAGGTGCGCTCGGTCTTCAGAGGGTTCAGCTTCATTTTCAAGATTCCCGGTTCGGACTCAGCGCACCACTCCAGCTCCCCCGTGAGAACCACCGCCTCGGAATGGTTGCTAGTCTTGAAGTTGCCAATAGCTGCGTCCCAGGCCTTGCGACTCGGCTTCTCGGGGAGTCGTTTCCCATCCCGTTGATTGTGGCCCGCGATCCACTGCCAGAAGTCATCGAGCGCCTTGAAGGAGATGGTGGTCCCGCGAAGTATGCGGTCCAAGGGGATATCCCAGGTCCGGGCCACCCTCTCCATCTCGTACCGGTACCGAAGAGGGACCGAGCTGGGGAATTCCTGGTCCAAGGTGAACGGTCCGTTGTGGAGAAGCTCGCCCATGATCTCTCCCTCGAGAGAGTAACGCGGCTCTTGTATGTACGACGGCAATGTCTGTTGATCGAAGGTCGTTCTCATCTCATCGCTCATCATATGTCCCACCACAGACTCCCCATACATCGACTCATTATCCATGATTGGATCGGTGACCGTCGAAGTAAAAGAGGTATTATATGGCCCATTTCGCGAACTGAGAAACCCAGAGGAGAAGGCAGGCACCGTGGTTGAGAAGCTGAAATTCGCACTGTCCTGAGCGGGCTGCACCGCGTCGAAAAGCCGGACATTATCCGGGGCAGTCAGTCGCTCCACGAACCTCGACGGCTTCTGCGCCGTGTCCGGCTTCTTGGGACTCTTGAAGATATGCACAGACGCCGCTGTAGTCGGCTGAAGATCCACCATGCCTCCATTAGGGCCCCTGATGCCCAGATCGTAGAACTGCTCCGGGCCTATCGCAATCGCAACGTTGTCGGGTCTATCCGGATCCTTGACTGGGGAATTTGGAGCGGTGTGGAATTCCTCCTCCTCTACCGAGAGTCGTCTCTTCAAAGACCTAGTTGTTGTAGCTGACGGCACCTCTGGATGTTCATCTTGAAGTTCATGTTCATCTTCTTCCCTGAAAGCCGTAAAAGAGCCCTTGTTTAGGAGATACACCTCGTCCTCGATCAATCGGACGAGATATCTCAGACGCTCCTCCTTCTCATACAACGACAAGATCGTATGTCCACGTTCATTTCTCCCCGACAAGCTTGCGAACGACCCGGGTACATGTCCCCAGTGATTGATGCCATGGCCCCGGGTTGTGGAATGGGACAATACCCACTCCTCGAGGTTGTTCAGGATTTGGTTCAGATCCACATTGCGATCGAAGTAGAGGCGCTGGATTCCGCGGTAACTGCGCCACGCGAGCGACTTGTCGTTCCGTCCGACCGAAGGCGAGTAGAGACGCGGATTGGGAATATCGAGGCCGAACTCGTCGTTGATGGAATCAATCAGCTGACTCAATTCCGGGCCGCTCCTGACGGGCGTCCGGGGGACGGCGACCATTGGCCCGATGTGGGTGTCCAGGAATGCTGGTGCCCCTGATGGCACGATGTAGGGCAAGGGATCGGTTTGTGTGCTGCGGTCGATCAATGAAATCGGTGATGCAGGCTAGTCTCGGAGGAGGCGCGGGGATGGCTCGACGACTCTGGATGGGATTGGAGGGCTGTGAACAAACAAGAGGTTTGCCGGACAACAACCCGAGTCTTGCCCCGAATACTGTTCAGATGACCACTTGGTGCAGCCGGGAGAGGACGCCCGAGGCCATGAAGAAAGGAACGGAGGCTGGAAGCAAACATGAGCGGTGGAGGAGGGGCGTCAAGTGATGGAGGGGATGCACTAACACGGCCATGACAGCTCCTCCCCACCCCGCCGAATCACGGCGACGATCTGGTCGAAGCACCACCCTCCCTCACCCATCTTCCTCACGTCCGCCTACAAGACTGCCCATCTGGTCAGCCAGGCCCCAGATAGTTGGTCCCTCTGTCGCATGTCTCGGTGCCAGAAGGTGACGGTTCCTTTCGATGGCTCACCTTGGCTTAGTTACGGCTCGCGGTTGCTGTGTAAACAAATCCGGGTTGCGCCGCTGGTGGTCCCCACCCCTTGCCAGCACAAAGACACAAGAAAAGAAAAGAAGCCAGTACGTTTGTTCTATGAAGGAGAGCATTTGGTATGTAACAATATGGACAACATCCTTTGAATCCTCCACGCTGCTGTGTCGGAGGACGCCAGGTCGCCAGGTCTGACCAACAGTGACATCACAGAAACCAAGCAAAGAGTCTTTGGCCGCTCCAGGCTGGTTTCTCTGGGATCGGGTTGCGCTCTTCCGGTCCCATGGAGATGGCATCGGCCCCGTTTGGCTCGACCGTGGGAGTCAACGATCCCATGTCGACGTCCTGCGGCTGCACGTGTTTGCTTTTGGTGCCGATTTTGTATCCAATGACCAAGGTGATGTAGAGCGGAATGCCGATATACGAGGTCACGAAGGCCGTGCGATCCACACCATTGGGGTAGGATGCGCGGTCAACCAGGTCAAACCCTCGGATGACAACGACCAGGACACACGCGATCAACGCGAGCCACGACCCGAACAACCCGAGCGGAGCCTTGAATGTTAGGAGCTCATCCGTGATTTTTTGGGCTCTCCGGGCACGGATGAAGGAGAAGTGGATGATAATGATTGAGACCCAGGTAAGAATGCTGAACATGGAGACGAGGTTGACCGAGTGCTCGAAGAGCTTCTTGGAACCACTAGAGATATTCAGGTACGCCAAGCATGCCAGGGCAGAGCATACGCCCACAGCATTAATCGGCACCCCCCTGCGGTTGGTCCGGGAGAGAAAGGAGGGAGCGTTTCTGTCCAGGGAGATACCGTAGAGCGTCCTGCTCGCCATGAGGAGCGCATGGTTCGCCGCCGATAGGACGAACAGAACAAGGCAGGCGTTGAGAAGGTGTGGTATAAAGGCGGGACCGGCGGACTGAGCGACTGCCACAAAGGCCGAAGCGGTGCGATGCTTGTCGGCCTGCTGGGATACCTGCCGATTAAATGCCAAGATGTGTGTGTCGTAGGGGACGAGCATACCCAAGAGTGTGAGATTGACAAGGTTGAAGACCAAAATCCGATAGAAGGTCACTTTGATCGCCCGGCCTGCAGCTTTGCGGGGATTCTGGGTCCGCAGGATCGTCATCCCCATGAGTTCGCTTCCAACGTAGGCGAGCGTCGCAGAGGGGACGGTTCTACAGATGGCGCGGAGGGTGCCAGCCACGGCACTTCCCGAGCCATTGGCAAAGGCCCCGGGGTCTCTCCAGTAGCGGAATCCCTTGATGTCGCGATCTGGCCCGCCCCCGAATGCTAGAACCACGCATAGACCCATCAGCCCGGACATCACCAGCACCTTGAAGAACGACAGGACGACATCCAACTTTCCCAGGTATCGACTACACAAGGAGTTCGCGGTGATGATCGCTCCCAAGAACGTGGTGATCCAAAAGACCGAATATTTCGCTTCGTCGTCCTGCCAATATGCGATCAACAACTCCCCAGCTGCCAGCTGATTCGGGATGATCAGCATGAATTTGATCCAGTATCTGCCATTACCCAGTCAATCCATCGCCCCGCTGTAAAGCATCACCGGGCAGGGAGGGAGCTTACATCCAGCCCAACGTGAAACCAAGCGCCGGATCACATAGTCGTGCAGCATGGTCTGTCATCGACGGCTCAGGAGACCACGACGCCACCTCGCCCAAGGCACAGAGAACCAGATACACAACGACCCCCACGCATGTATACGATATCAAGATGGATGCAGGCTAACGGCGTTGTTAAAGAGGAAGGTAACCCGCCAGTCTGGGACACTTACCCCGGCCCTGTTCCAACGGTTAACTCCAGCGGCCAACATCAGAAGATCATGCATGCTCTTACTTAGACAGTGCATTCCCCGCACAGATCGTCAAGCCCGTATTGATCGCTCCACCAATGGCTCGGGAGGAGTCAGTACCACCTCCTCCTCGACAGGGAGATCAACGGGAGACGAACCAACCATGGTCATCTGGCGTGGCTTCAACGCCCCGTAGGAAGTCACGGATTTGGAATCCTGACTGGGCGATTGAGTTGACCGGGCGTCATGATCGTTCGCCGTGGTGACGCCGCCCGAATCCGGCGGTGTCGGACGGCCTGCTTCAGGCATCTTCATTCGCAGGACACGATCCGGGATAGATAAGTCGCCATGGGTTCGGATTACTAGGTGATACTGGCATGGTTGTGTTGGGAGCATCACAACGGGAGACTTACCCACCGGATGCAAAGCACGGGGAAGGAGCGTGGGTGCTGGCAGGACGGCAGGGTACTTGCCTGTTCGAGACCGTGGGTTTACAGTACAGATGCAGCAGACAAATCATGGAGAACGGTTGATCTATTTGAAAGATATAGGTCTAGTCTCGCAGATATGAGCGTTGTCAAACGAAGGCCAAAAGGCTTTTGGATACACTGGTATAGTAAGAAAGGTGGAGTGGGGAGGGATGTTTCCCACTCAGACAAGCCATAAGCCATCAACAGGTACAGAACGCCGGTCTAGAGCCCCCAGGGAATGAAAAACCAAGTCCAAATGAAGGCAGAGAAAAAGAAGGGAACCATCGTTGCGTAGCGTGGTCCCCACAGGAGTCATATACACATCACGCGGAGATCCAGGAGGCACGTCTAGCGTCGCCTCAAATTCCCTTTTTAAAAATGCAAAGTCTATAATTACCGAGCGTAGAGTGAGTCGCTCGACTCGGTCCTCGGGAATATGCGGGTGTAGAGGGAGTCGCTCGACTCGGACCGGGGGAAGAATCGTTGCTGGGCCTTGGAGATGTACCGGTCTGTGTAGACGCCCTTGGCGGTGCCCCGGACCACGGTCTCCAGATATTCCTTGAAGTCGTGGGGACGGAAGTCGGGGTACAGGTCCTTGGAGGTCAGGTAACCCAGGTACTTGGCGTAGTCGGGGTGGTTATCGCCGCGGATACCCCATGACAGTTGGTTCTCGGCCAGGTATCGGGGAATGAATTTGACGGGATCGAAGGGGTACGTCTCGCTGGATTGCCGGGCTGCAAGCACTCTGGTGTAGATGCCTTCTTCGGGGATCTGGAGCGAAATGGTATCAGCCTATGTCCGGAGGTCACGGCAAAGCACTTGGCGGAACTTACGTAGTTTCTCTGGACCTTCTCCTCACTGATCTCCTCCAAGAGATCGTAAATCTCATTCTGCGACAGCACGGTGTTGTACGCGAAAACCATCTTGTTCAGCGTCCGGTCATCGACAATGATCTTGGCAACATAGCGACCGATGTCCCTCAAATCCGTCAATGCAACAGGTGTGTTGCCATCGCCGACAATCTCGTTGTTCGCTGTGGTCATCGCATAGTCGGTACGTCCGGATCCGAGACGAGGGTAGGAGAGTTGGTACCACCAGCCGACATCGATGATGGTGTAGGGGAGTCGGAGCTGCTTGATGTGGTTGTAGACAGTCTCTTTCTGCCGAGGGAGTAAGCCGATGATTCGGTCATGAGGCGTTCCCATCGCATTAACGTACCTCATCTCTCAACCACATGATCCCACCGGGTGGTGCCACAGTGATGAAGCCACAGGGAACAAACCGCTGAACTCCGGCACTCTTCGCGGCCTTCGCGAGGGGGATCTGATCCTGCTGCTCAGCAGGCCCGACGCAGCTAATGACGACATCGATTCCCGTCAACACATCAATAAGGGATTCCTCGGGACCCTTGAGATCACCCTTGCGAATCTGGACCCCACGATCTTGCAGGGCTGTGATAGCGGGCTTTTGGACCGACCGGGGGCGAACGAGAGCGTGCACTTCCTGCAATGCCAAGAAGATGTGCGGTTAGAACGGTGATCCAAGGAAGAGTAAGGATGGTAGGGGTCTCTTACAAAGTTGGGGTTCTCGAGGAGTCCGTTCGCAATAGAGCCGCCGGTCTCACCCGCGGCTCCGACCAACATAACTCTAGTTCGCGACATGATAGTGGCGAAAGGTGGCGATGGATGGAGAGGAATGCGAGGAAGGGATCGAAGAGGTGGTAGGCGTGGTTGGCGTGGTTGGAGGTGGTTTGGAGAGAGGGGGGAGGGAAAGGAATATATCAGGACGGACCAGGCAGGGGAAAGAAAATCAAGATCCTTGCCCTGAGGTGGGGTGTGTGTGTTGTGTACCTGTGTATGGAGTATCAAGGCGATGTATTTTTGACGTTGACGTTCGAGGCGTGGGAAGGGAGGGCGACAGGACGTTATAAAGGGCGGCGGCGTACCGGGCGGACCAGGCAGGACCAGGACCAGCGCAGGCTGTACCCGTGGAGGAGGGATGGCACTACCCACTTTTCTCTTATCCAGAAGTGGCCAGCGGTGGGTCGCGGTGGATGTTTGGCTCCCTCAGAAACAACGCCCCCCCTTAAAGCTGCGTGAGTCTGGTGGACGGTGGACAGCAGTGCTCCGGAGGGAGAACCCATCCTGCGTCATCGTATCATGGGGTTGCTACTTCGATCTCTCTGGTAGCCTTCTAGACCGCGACCGAGTGGGCAGCTCAATCATTTGATTCTGCCTTCTCTTGCAAAGTACTAGACCCTGTACCGTCCGTCCTACATGGCAGGGGGGATTCCGAACCAAGCCCTCTTTCCCTCTCGAGTCTTTCGTACCGGTGCTGGTAGCCTGGTACAAGTACTGTAAGCGTGACCGTCCGCAGTGCTGCGGCCCGGTGGCTCGGGAGTCAAAAACTCAGTGCCAAATTACGTCACTTGACTGGCCTTTGCGGCTTTCCGGGCAGGGGAATAGAATGAACTGACTGCAGAATCCCTCTGTATCTTCTCCTGCCACTTTGGCAAGTGACGAGACCATACGGCCCAAGGTCGACCACCGTCCGCGTTCCATGATCATTCCAATTCAATTCCTTGCCCCCCTGGTGGCCGTGTCTCAGCCCACACATCTCCTTTCCTTCAGCTTCCATCATCGTACCACTCGCCCACTTGCCCCCCTCCCCCCCGGTCATTTGGGTATCTTCTCAGGCTGCCGGAGCCTGGCTGATTCGGCATCGCCCATTCTCCTCTTCTGCGCCCTTTTTAGTTCTTGTTAGTTCCATTGCATAAAATGCGGGGTGGAGGGGAGATGACCCCCCTCAAATCCCGGCTGAGAGGGACGCAGAGGACAGCGTCCGGCGCATTGCTTCTCCCTCCCTCCCTCCCCCCCACGTCAGTGATCTTCGGATCGGCGTGGCGGGCTTCATATTCATGGCCATCTGCAACCCTGGGAGCATGACGACATGCCCAATGTTGGCATCGCGTCCTATGAAACATTCCTGCTATTGGTGGAACCGTCTTCGGGTTCCATGGTTGCATGCACTCGTCCCTTCAGAATAACTGGGTGAGAAGAACTTTCGCCCAGCGCTCTGGGAAAAGGTGCGTGGATCAGGTCTTGTTTGCAATTTGATCCAGCCTAGTCTTCTCATGCACATCCGGGTGAGCAACGACTCAACAGCGGTGGTTTCATGCCACCGATCAAGCCTCGAGCTGGCCTTCTCCGCAATATGCAAGCTTCCTCCTGGCGACTGATCAGGTGGTCAGTGTCACCGGAGAGATCGAAAGATCGGATGCGCATTTGCCTGCTTTCCATCTAATTACAAAGTACAAGCCCATCTTCGTAGACGGTTGGAGACTGATGTCTCTGGCCTTTTGCCCTGTATCTGTCATACCAGTGGAGCTGATAATAGCCATGCTGTACACAGTACTCTGTATTCGCGGAAGAAATTCTTGACTCGAGAATTGGCAACTTCTATACTCCTGACGGTCGGAGGCAATGCAACTACACTCATTTCTTTAGCATCTATCCCTCCTTAGGGAATGCGGGGTTATGAATCGGCCTTCACTGCTGTTCCTGGCCTCGGGTCGGATAGCACTTAGACTTTGTACTGTGAGCACCGGTTTGATCCTTTGCTGAGTTTATCTCCAGCTCAAAGCCAATGGCCTCTGGACGCCAGGAGGCTCGCGTCTGGCGTATCGGAAACTCAAATCCCATCTCGGTGATCGAGATGCATCTCTCATGTCCAGGCTTGGGGTGGTGGAACCAAACATCCCAAATCATCTGCATGTTCGACTTCCGGGCACTAAAGAAAGTACCGTACGGAGTACTCCGTATTCTCCATACCAAATGTGATTTAGGCCCAAGGCAAGTTCTCCGAAGTGAGGAAGCCGGCACCAGCATAATAATACCAACATCCTACGGGGTATCCATCTATCTAGATACTACTATAAGAAGTGCAGCCCGGTCGTCTACCTATTGGGCCGACCATACCTGTCTAGCCTTCGCGCTACTGCAGCCATCCAACGGCAACCAGCCAATGGCTTGAAACGAGGCGAACTGGATTGACAACTAGAAAGCAAACCGCGCTGGCAGGATCGCGACTATTTATTGGGGAGTGGTTTCTGGGGAATTCCAAGCGGCTGCCGGGGCATGTGAGAATTTCGACCTTCATCCGGTGCTCGATCTGCAGCTCCATCACGGCCGCCTCCGCCAATTGCACCCCGAGTCAGTCGCCCCCCGATGCAGGCTGCAGCCGAGACGTGGATAGTGTCATCCAACGCTGGGGGGGAAGAGGGGAAGTCGGTGTGCGAGCTGGAAAGGGAGTGTCCAGTGCACTCGCGATCCCCTTGGGGATTGGAGGGCGCGGGCAGGAGCGCTCCGAAGGCATGCAGCTAAACGGGAACGGCTTAGGGGCGCCGCCCTAGTCCCCTCTAGTGCCCTTTTCTCCAAAGTCCAAACGGTGGGGTTCGAACAATAATGCGGGCGGAAACGAAAAGAATGGGGGAACGCGGCACGGCAGGCGATCCTTCCATCAATCCCAATAATAATGACCAATGTAACCACCCCGTTCGACCTGACAGCCGCAAACCCCAACCCGGCAGGTTTCATTGATCCTCTGATACCGAACGGCTACTGCTGGGGCGAAGCGTCGGGTTGTCCTGATTTGGCTATATACATACCGATCTAGCTGGCAGTATGGCAATCAGCAAGTCAACGACATCCCGCTTATCCTGATGGCTCAAGCACATCTTATTTTTCTCCATGATTGGGCCCTGATCGGTGATATATCCATATCTGCAGATACGTGGAAAGGGTCTAGCGCTCTGACTATTCGGAAAAGGCATCCCGTGATCGCTTGGCATCATCGGGATACCCCATGCGATATAGCGTCCTGTCAAAGCGCTATGGCGATGATAAGCCTGATGAATCAGGGTGGCTGATGAGGTTGGTGCTTTGTTTAGGAACAGGATGGCCATGTGGCCGAAGATCCTTCAACAACCTCGCCTTCTGACTCTCCTTGTCTGTCCTTTCTCCTGGTCTTGCTATTATAGCCGAAGCATTACACCAAGGCCCTTCTAGGACTTTCTGCGCTTTGGCCTTGCAAATGGTATGACTAGTAGAGATACAGTGGTGTGGGATCATTCAAGACCAGATGGTGCTTTAGATACCATGAGACCTCGTGGATCACTTTGTGGTCGGCATTGACAGCTACGAGAGTTTAGCAATACCTGCGTGGCTCCTACATTCAACGCTGTCATTTGATGGGCTCTGAATGCCGGAACCTCAAATCATGTGTGATTGGCTTGCTTGAGGAAGGGGTATTTTTCCGCCATACGCCATCTTCTTCCGGTCAGCGTCCACTAGATATTGATTTGATTGTCAGCTTTAGCTGCTTTGTCTCATGCAAAATGGAGGAAGACTATACCACTACCTAAATCCAAGAAGGCTGTGAGATGCTTACATAGATGCCTCAGGCTCCGCATGAAGTCTATCAGACTTGCTATAAGCCATGCTTGAGGCTCTAGATAACGTCTTTTAGGGTTTGGGCTATCATGTTACCCAGGTCAGGTTTATTCTACCTGCCCTACGTGGGCCTTTTTTGCTTTACAGCGATTTTTGCCAATAAATCTGTGTAACCGTTGTGCTGCAGTGGTAGTGTGCGATCAACGTACTAAAAGCAATGCGAACTGATAAGATGGATTGCAGATGCTTGCTCCTTTATTTGCTTATGAATTAATGACAGGGTCATTCTTAATGAGATCGTGTCTGTTTGACTATATTTGCTAGTAAATGTTCGTTGGAGGATCCTTGTATCTTATCCCCCTCGCCTGAGGATGTTTTCTTTCTGGAAACGGCACATCCGCGCTACCCTTATTCAGGATTCTAATTCAACTCGAATACTCGTGGATACTCCCAACAGCGTCCTCGATCCTGCAAGACTCCAATACCTGTCTACGTCCTTCGCCTATCAAAGAGAACCGCTACTATGTATAGAATGGGAGCGTTAGATAAACATCTTGCTGAGATACTTGCAGATATCTATAATGGGCATGACCAGGACCCTCTGCCTTTCTTTGATGATTACAATGATTAAAATCTATAATACAGCAACCCGCGCAGCCTCCGGCGTGAAGATCTTTTGTATGCTCGCTCTACTTTAAGGATAATGTACTCGATGATATGATTGAAGGGAATACCTTATTATTGATGAATGGATAGTCAGTGACAGAAAGGGCTATCACTGTAAGCCTATTCGCCCTCAAGAATAAGTGGAAGGACGATGGTCGAGGCCCTTCACTAGGGCCTACCCTAGGGCCTACCCCGGACTGCACCCCCACGCGGGGTCCCCAGGCCCGCTCCCGCTCCACTTCGGCGCCTCTTTGTTCGAGTTGCTGCTTGAAGACACCCCAGTCCTTCCGCCTACCACGCTCAAAGCAGATCATGAAACATCCTCCCCTCGATCGGCATTTCTCCGAGACCTGCGATGTGATCTTGTGTCGTGCAATGAAGTTGTCCAGATATCAGTCCTGGTTTGGGCCACCAATGACTGATAGTCAACACGCCACTAGCCACCAGGCTGAACATGACAGATGCCCGCCGGGTTAAATGATAGCCTGAGGAAAGGTGCCGAATGGACTGCTATTATTGATAGACTTCCGCATCCTGGATTTGGAGCTGTCAAGCCTGGTAGTCACTTGACATATGAAGGTTAATATCTAGTTGCGTCCATTCATCATCCCTAACTTCATCAGAATGATGGGAATATACCAATCCAAAACCAACTCCATGCATCAGGAAAACATAGCTGACCTCTCTGCATACATTCACAATGAGAACACTCCAGTTGGGTTGGAATGGGATGGCAAGCAGCCAGCCGATGGCGATACTGCCATGGCTCTTTTTCCCCACAAAGAAGTCGACCCGGAAGGAGCCAGAAAGCTGCTCTGGAAGATTGACCTAATGACCTTGCCCTATCTCGCCGTTTGTTATGCATCTTTCTATATTGACAAGGAATGCTATACCTAGCTTTCGTTAGATGTTCCTCATAGCTGACTGCGGGCATAGACTACACTTGGCTATGCGGCTATCTTCGGTATAGAAGACGACATTCATCTGCATGGTACACAATATAGCTGGCTGTCAAGTGTATTTTATTTCGGATTTCTCGCTTGGGCTTTTGTAAGTTTAAGATGCTTAAGAGCTCTTCGCTTGGCTAATGGGATAGCCCACCAACTTTCTTCTTCAACGCTTGCCTATCGGTATGTCATGATCCTCGTGTCTGAGTTATAGACTAATCATCTTCAGGCAAGTATCTGCGAGCGGAAATGAAGCTTCATGTGGTTTGTGAGGCTCTACCGAAAACCTATAACATTACTGAATCTATAAGGGGAGTGTTCCTCGTAATTCAGGCAGCGTGTCATAATTTCGCCACTCTTGCTGCTATGCGAGCCCTAGGGGGTGCCGCAGAAGCTTGTTCAGACCCTGCTTTTACGCTCATCACCAGTATGTGGTACACAAGGCGTGAGCGGCCCGTACGCATCGGTCTGTGGTACACTGCCAATGGCCTAGGCATTGCACTTGGTGGCCTCCTAGGTTATGGGATTGGACAGATCCGAGGAGCACTTCCCTCGTGAATACGAATTCATTGTCATGTAGGGACCTTTGTCTTTATATCCTGTATACACTAATGGCTGTTAGCGGCTGTCTATGCGCTACATGGGGTATTGTCATGTTCATTTTTCTGCCCGACTCCCCGGTTACGGCACCTTTTCTCAGCCAAAGGGAGCGTCGAATTGCTGTCGAAAGAGTTAGAGAGAACCAGACCGGCATCGAGAATAAGCAGCATATCAAGCCGCATCAGATTGCGGAGGCATTCATGGATTATAAGCTCTATTTCTTCTTCTTCTTCTTCTTCCTGGGCTTAGTCTGTAATCTACCTGCATTGTCCAGCCAGAGTTAAGCTGACACTACATTTGAAAACAGGCAACATTCCAAACGGAGGAATCCCCAGCTTTGGAACCCTGATCATAAAAGGCTTTGGCTTCTCAACCCTAGTAATCACACTTATGCAGGTGCGTGCTGAATCCCAGTAGACGAATATCGCTGACTGAATAGATCCCCTACGGAGTTATCGTTGCGCTCTCCATTCTTATTTGCGTATGCCTCAACGACCGCTTTGAGAACTGGCATTGCACATGTTCGTCCTGATCTTTCTCCTCCCAAACATATCACTGCACATAACAGTATTTTGCAACTAATCCCCTTCATCATGCCATCTTAATCTAGCCCGTCAACTCAATCAGGAATTGCTACGGAGTACTAACTTGGTCATTAGCACTGAACCATCCCAATAGCCTGGCAACAAATCCAAATACTACCCTAGTCGTGTATCCGGGCTCCGTCCTTCAGAATTGATCCCATATGCACTACTACCACCTGATCCACCTATCAGCCCCCAATCTGCTCTACTATCTACATCCCAAACCTAAACCGACCCTGGAACGTATATAGACCCCACGTAAGCATTCATCCCAAGCACAGATGTAGATGGAAATAATAAGTTGGGCCCGCCGTATTCAATTTAAATTGGGGGTTTGAGAGGAGAGTTGGTTACTAGGGAGCTAAAGTCTGGGAGTTTGACGGTGTGTAGACTTGAGATAGAAGGTGGCAAAGATGGCGGGATAGATGTTGGGTGAGGTTAAGTTGATCTTCAGCGTGTGTTTGCTCTTCGATGAACCAAAACATCATCTTCTGTGAATTATAGACGATTTAAGAGTCCTGATACTGTTCGGACAGCATCTGATAACATCCCCAAACGTTGCGTCAATGGAAGACATTAACCCCAATAAATTCAATATACACGTGCTAGTAATAATACATTCGCCAAACCCAAGTCGATGCCCGCAGGAGTCTATTTCTTCGCCTTGACCGGGGCGCGCTTCTTCCCGGAAAGCATTCTCTTCTGCCGGATGTAGTTCGTGACGATGTTCTCGACGGTTCCCATGTCGTGCTTGGGGTTTCTGGAGCAGGTAAAAAACAGATACACATTAGCCAATTCCGTTCTTGTCTTGATAGTTGTGTCGTGATATATACGCACCTCATGTAGAACAACCGAGCTCTCCTCTTCCGCGACGCGGCTCTCTGGACAATCTCCACGCTCTCCACATTCGGACTGTACACCTTCACCGCCATCTCGACGCCGACTTTCGTCAGCTGGTTGCGCAGTAGGAACGAGGTATCCAGACCGCGCAGACGAATGCTCAGACAGACTCCGTTGAACGGGTCGCCGTTCTTAAACGTCACCCGCACGATGTCGCCGGGCTTGACACTGCGCTGACTCCGACGGTAGTCGAACAGCGCGCGACGCTCGCCGGTGGGATCCAGCACCGCTAGTTGGGCGTCGGCCACCGCGCCGACGGGGTCTTTGCACTTGTTGAACGCCGAGGGAGGCGGGGGAGGGATGGGCCGGCGCGCCTTGGGGTCTGTATACACAAATATCCACCGTCAGAATTGATCGTCGGAGATACAGACTCAAAAAAAAAAAAAAAAAGACATACCCTTCGGGCGCAGGTGCAACGGTAATTGGCGAATGAACTGCTCTGGCAGGTTCTCGGGAATAGGCTTCGGCGTGGGCTTCGCGGAATAGACGGTGCTGAGGGCGCGGCGGTTGAGACCCGTCTGCAGCAGGGACTGGGGCTGGGGCTTCAGGAGTGACCGGAAGCAGCCCAGCTGCCGCAGGATCGGAGAGGGAGAGGCCATGGCTGGAGGTCCTGGCGAAGATGTCGTTTGGGGGGGAGGACGGCGAGTGACGAGGAGATTCGGAGTTGGCGATAAATTCGGACCGGCAGAATTTCCGCCAAGCCGCGAGTTGCCTGTTTGGGCTCTCCGCCAGATTCGTTTTCTGCCGCCGCCCATCAGCATCCAAAGCAGCTTGCCCTCTTTGCTCCCTGTCGATTGTGATTGTCTCGAGGAGGCTGGCAGCATCGACTGTCTTATTTTACTACTCAACTCTGCCGAACATATATACCCCTCCTCCATTCCTGACCACCATGGCCCAGAACGCCGTGGGCAGGCTCTTCCGCAGCCACAATGCCACCACCACGCTGCGTCAATCTGTGGGCAGCTTCACCCAGCAGCGCAGTGCCTCCGGACGGGGTACGTACTGCCTGGAGATCAGGATTGGATAAGACGAGCAGAGCAGGTTATGGACTAACACGCCCTACAGCACTCCCTCACTTCCGCACCGCCGACACCATCGAAGTAGAGGAAGCCCTCGATCGGCTCCGCGAAGAGCTCTTCGTCCCCTTTGGCGTCGGCGTCCGCCAACGCCGCCTGATGTTCCGCCAGAAATACGCCGAAAAGCTCGCCCAGGAGCCCGTGACCGCCAGCGTCGGCGACGAAGAGGTCACGCTCCGTCCGATGAACCCGCACACGCTCCCCACCAAGAACGAAGCCTTCGAGGCCATCGCGCACATGAAGACCTACAACGACTGGCGGAACCTGTCCCCGCTACTGTCGGGCCTGAAGATGTCGAACCGGATCGTCAAGCCCTCGCGGATGGAGTGGATTGTGCGGAAGGCCGGCGAGGCCGATGCGCTGGGCGTGCTGCTCGGCTGTGCCCGCCGGGCCAAGATAACGGGGATGCGGCTCAACGATGTCGACCTGGTGCAGCGCATTTTCTTCGAGCTGCATCGCAAGGCCCAGCGTGCTGGGTTCCAGGGCGTGGAGGCGTCCAAGGCGTTGAGTTTCGCGCGCCAGTTCACCGAAATGATGGAGTCGCCGGACCATGTGGAGCACGACATCACGAGGGATCCCAAGCGGAGGCCGTTTGTGATCGGTACGCTGCTGGAGCTGGCGGCTGCGCGGGCGTTGAGCGAGTTTGAGGGCAAGGACCTGAAGGGTGAAGTCCGCGTCTACGCCCAGCGTCTGCTGGCTTGCTGGAAGCTGGGGAACTTTGACCGCGAGGAGAAGGACTGGGTCGCCATCGATCGTATGCTGCAGGAGAACGTTCCCATCCTGACCGGAATGAAGCTGGCTCTGCAGGTGAAGGGCGTTTCTTCGGACCGGACCGTCTCTTTGAGCTTGAAGTCCCATTCTGACAAGTTGGCGACGCTGGTTGCGAATCAGGCGAAGCTGGCGCCGGCGGACGTCCAAGCAAACCCCTCGCTGGGCCTCCAGCAGGCTCGGATTTTGCTGGAGGAGCAGAGTTGAAGTCGGCGTTTGATTTTCTAAAGTTGCTTATGAACTGTACATTACCACTTTGAATTGTCTGAGCAGTGTCTGTATTTGAAAATAGATGCCATTTCTTTTCATGTTGAACTGATAAAATACTAAGCTTGCTACGTCCAATGGCTGTGATGGGATGGGCAATCAAATGAGCTCCTGGGAACATCGACAGAAGATATCAGCAGAAAAAGGTAGATACGAAAGCCCGAAACGCTCAAACGCTCATGGTGCAAATGAATCTAATGACGCAGCTCAAAAGTGTTATCATTGCGGATGCGGATTCGCCCAGCCAGAGTGGTCTTCCCACAGATGACAGAGGGGCCAGACACCGCAATCTAGAAAGCGTTAGCGAACAGGATTGATACGTATGCATAATTACAACTTACCTCTCCCTCTTCGTGTTCGGCACCATCAGGCACGCCCTTCAGAACCACCTCCACACTGCTCAAAGGCGCACCGAAGTGGTTCGGGCCCGGAAAGCGTCGGTAATCGAAGACGTTGGTCTGGGAGACCGCGCCGGCAACACCGGGGCCAGTCAAGGCATACACGATACGGGCCCCAGTGAGGATGCGCAGGTCTGCCAGTTGCTCCGAGTCCAGCTGGACGTCAGGGTCTGCGTCAACCCGGTGAGAAATGCACAGCAGACGAAGCTTGTCCAGAGAGAGTTCTGAGGTGGGCCCGGCATTGGCCACCTGATTCAGCAAGCCGTGTGATGGCATGTATCCACCATCCAGGCTGCGCACTTGAACCCAGCGAGCAAATTTCGATACGGGGCCAGAGTGTGGCTGCATGAACTGGCTGTGGTATTCGGACATTGTGCGAGAAGAAGCGATAATGACAGTCGGGGACACACCCACAGTGGCGAGGGCGAAGTCGACATTTTCTCCGGCCACGGAGTTGACCGCAACGGAAGCGTTGGAGAACAAGGCAGCCATGATTTGGCATAGCGGATACGACCGTGACAGAGAGTCAATCGAAAGCACGACGTCACTGGGGCTGTACCGCTGAGGACGAGGCAGAGAGTACAAGAGGCCGGCAATTCCTGACACGATATTCTGCTCTACTGTTAGCATATAGGACAATTGAAGTCAATGGTAAAGCGCTTACCTCTGATTGATACTCGACGAACTCGCCTGCAGACGACTTCGACGGCCAGACAGTGGTGATAGAAGACGCGGGAGAGCTTGGGTCCCAGCTGGGAACTTCGAGTCCAGCCAGGTCCTTCTTCTCCTCCACCAGCTCATGCCAAACACCGACTTCCAAAGTGCCCTTGACGTCCTCGGGGACATCGTTCCAGTCCATGTGTCTACTTCCGAGCTTCGCGACCCAGATGACCTGGGAGAGCTGCTCGTTACTCTTGGCCACGAGAGACAGGTCAAGAGCACCAGCCTCGCCAATCAGAGCTTCCGCGCCTGACTTCTGGAGAAGAGTCGACAAAGCCTCTGCTTCAAGGTTGTGGGGGATCATGATCGTCTTGATTCCGTAGAAAGCACCAGCTAGAGATCGTCAGCAGAATAGAAACCAGTCAAGGTAAGAGATCCCGAACCGAAGATAGCAGCCAGAAGCTCCACCGAGTCTGTCAAACAGATCGCGACCGTGTTCACCTTGGCAGACTGCAGGCGAGTGCCAATGACATTGAAATCCTGGGTCACCTGGTCCAACGAATGCTCGATGGCTTTCCTTCCAAGAACTGTATAGATCTTGCCCTGTTTGCCAGAGACCTTGCCATCTTCTTCCATGGAACCGCGCACCGCAGCTTTCCAAATATCGCGCAAGTCACCCTTTCTGCCGCTGGTCCATCTCGGAGCTCCAGGGTCCTTGACGTTGAGGCCGGACCGGAGAGGGAAACCGTGTGGGGTCTCGAGGCTTCGGTATGGGGCGGATTCACCGGGCTGTCGGACGGGGAATGCAGTTGACTGACGTGCGAGAAGGAACGGATGGATATCGGTGTCCTTGGAGGTAACAAAGGAGAACACGACGAAGGCAGCAATGCCGCAGACAATCAACGTGCTGTATACATTCCAGTCGGCCAGAAGCTCTGCCGCGAAGGCATCCAGCTTGGCCACGATGGACGTGTTTGGGTCCATTTTGAGGTGTGTATCTCTCAGGAGCAGTGCGACATGAAGAGCCCGGAGATCGAATGGCTTGTGGGTGAAGAGAAAGGGAAGGGAAAGGGAAAAGAGGCAGAGTGAAGCGAGTGAGACCAAGTGAGACCGAGTGACGTGAGCGAGACTGGGCGATGAAGGCCGATGTGGGGAGGCGCTTACTTAGTCAGGCTGCTAGCAAAACTTGGCGGCAGTGGCGCCTGCGGTTGCCAATGAACCTGCGAACCTGCCCGCGCACTGTTCATCAAAACAATCAAGTCGAGTCCGTCGCTGCTCCGACCCTCACCCTTCCCCCTCCGCACGATTCTGCCTGCTGCTCCTACACCTCCTAGGATCCCGTCGGATCCCCCTGGTATTTCATCCTCAGCAAGCAGCTCCCCGATGTGGTAGCCCTCGTGTGTCTCGTTTGCAGCTCCTCCAGGTAAGTCCCCCCAGCAATTTCCCTTTCTTAGAAGGTAAGTGATCACCCCTCTTGACCCCCCCCCCCCCCTCCTCCCCCTGGCGACGAGCTCCTGGACTCACTTAGAATAGTCCTCTCTTTTCCCAGCGTTGTTTTCTCTTGAGCCACGTCAATGGCGTCTCCAGCCCCTCCATCCACTCCCAGAGTTGCATCGGCGCCCGCACCGACCCCCGATGGATCCCAGACGCCTGGAAAGTGGCGCCATCCGCATCTGAATGAGGTGGTCCGTCGACAGAATGCTGGCACATTCGGCGATCGCAATGTCAAGAGACTGGTGTGGAACATCGTGGCTCTGTTTGCGACCTGGGCGTTTGGAAATACCTTCAAGTCATAGTGAGTGCGACCAGTGGATGCAGTGCGGTTCGGCCCTCCTAACTGGCCCGGTGCTACAGTTCGCTTTGGCTTCAGAATATCAGCCAGCTTCCTACATATCCTGATATGTCGCTGCTTGTTCTGCGTCTCATCTTTGCCGTCAACGTCCTTGTTGCATTGTACCCGCTTTTTGGACCGAAGGACACTTTCGCCGATATCCCTCTGACCCCCACACAACGCTCGCTGCTTGGGCTCGATCCCTCCTCCAGCCACTCGTTCACCCCGGGCACGACATACGTCACCCCGCCGAGGTATCGACTTTCTGCGTCCCGTACGGCGAGCCCCGCGAGCAAATCCGGCTCTCCGTTTTCCGCGAGTGCCGGCGCTTCGGGTCGCAGGCTGTCATCGGGCGCCTCCTTTTCGCCGTCGCCCAGCCCGCTATTACAGAAGCTAGTGAGCGCGGGGAGAGAAACCGGACAGAGACCGAGCTTTGGGTCGTCCTCGCTTGGTCGCAGCTCTTCTTTCTCGCCATTCAAGGATTCGACTTCCACCTTCAAGGATTCGACTTCATCGTTCAGGGACTCAACTTCTTCGTTCAGAGATTCCACCTCCTCGTTCAGGGATTCGACTTCCTCTTTCAGAGATTCAACCTCCACTTTCCGGGAGACCACCATGTCCACCCTATCCACCATGTCCAGCGTTGCGCCCGCGACTCCCTCGCCGGTCGGAGGCAAGCGCGTGAGCCTGGGCTTGAGTAACAAGTGGTTGTACGAGAGGAGCCGGCGTCTATCCGCCAGCAACGGTAGTCTCTGAGACCGGACGGGGCAGAGCGGAGACGATTGATGTAAACTTGTGATTTTAGCGGGGTGCTTTGGGAAGTCCTTTAGAAACCGCATGTACCGATGAGCGGGTGTATTTTAGTTTTATTATCACTTTATTTACTTCGGGAAGATTTGAGCATAAGGTGGGATATCAGGAAGTAGAGAGTTGTCTAGTGTAGGTTCCCCAGGCGATCTCCGGGTCTCCGCGGGCCTAGTGCCTGGGTACCCGCTTTCCAAGGCATTGACCCCGAGAAACGCCAACATGCCACAAGTTCACCCACACGCGGCCACGGACTACTGGGCTTACGTCCCGAGCAACTCGCCTCGGGATCCCCTCGCTCCCGACTCACTTTCCCCGTTCCTACCGCTCCTGTAGCACCTTCTGCATGAGGTCACTCAGCGCCGAGGTCAATCAGCGCCGGATTTCGTGATCTTCGCTGAGGCTTCACGATGGGAGCTTCGGAGTCCAAGCTTGTCTTCAAGCAGGGCATCTTCCGTCTGTCAGAGGAGAAGGACATTCCTGCGGATGATCCCTACTGGGCCAGAGTCCGTTCCTTTCCCCCCTTCCCTTTCGCCCCTCCTTTTTGTTGTCGCGATGAGGTCTGTGTGCTGATTATCCTGTAGTTCTGGGAGCTCCCAGAGTCCACCGAGGATGTCTTCAGCCTGTTCACCCCCGCCGATATACGACGCACCCGCGATCATGCTTTATCGAACTTCGAAACGCTTCTTCTCTCTGTCACCTCTCGCCTCACCGTCCTGAAAAATCACCCATCGTTCCCCGACCCAGATCTCGCCCCCGACCGCGATGCGCTCAACTGCATCCGCATCCTCACCCGCATCCTCCCCTTCATTTACGAGGCGGAGCACCTGGAGGACTGGGAGGAGAAGTTCTTCTGGGCCCGCCGCAAGAAGCGGACAAGAGAGACCCAAGTGGCTGCGGAGATACTGTTCGATGAGGCGCAGACGGATGAACAAGAGAATGCCCCGCGGACCAGCGACTATGAGGACGTGAAACCCTTGGCCGAGGAGCTGATCGACAACCTGTTGGACCTGCTTTTCTACACCGGATTCACCATTCCTCAGCTATCAGCGGCGAAGAGCAAGATCTCGTACTCGATTTGGCAGAGTGGTGTGGGCTGCAACACCTCCATGGGTTCCACAAAAGAGCTCGAGAGCAACCGCTGCGAGGTCCTCCGGTTATTCCTCACGCTGACGGGGAAAGCCATGTACATGCCGTCCAGTGAGTATGGTATCTGATCTGAAGGAGCGCTTGCTGACAGCGTAGGTCTACTTCCCGTGCAGGGCGTCCGGGCAATCTCCTACATGACCACTTGCTCGGACAAGCAGGTGGTTCTGACTCTACTCTGCTCGCTACTTAACACTGTACGTGTATAGAATCAATAATGTGGGGAGAATGCTCACAGTTTACAGGCTGTCAAATACAACCCTGCCTCCTGGAGAGTGCCGTATGACCATGTCGTCTGGAAAGACCCCAAGCAGATACTGGTCATCTACTGCTTACAACTTCTCCTGGTGCTTCTGCTATATCCGGTCCCCGAGGACGGCCGCGGAACTCCACCCAAGAACTACTATCGGCACTACTTTGGAAGATTGCATCGGCCGCAGGATTTCCAATTTCTGACTGACGGCATGACCAGGATCTTAAACCAGCCGGTTGGTTTCCCTGGGAAGCAGCAGCAGCACGTCTTGCTGACTTTGTGAATAGATGCAAGCGACGAACGCGTATCTCCCCGGTAGTCAGAGATCGGTCAAATGGGCACCTGAAATGCTGGTCCTCTTCTGGGAGGCTTTGCAATGCAACAAACGGTTTAGGTCCTTTATTATCGATTCGAACCGCTCGCATGATTTTATGATCCTCTGTATCTTCTATGCCATCGAGTACAAATCCGATCCTGCTAAGCAGGGTGTAGTCAGGATGTGCATCTTTATCATGCAGACGATGAGCGTGGAGCCCAATTTCGGCAAGAGTCTGAACACAAAGTTCGAGGCACAGGAGACTCTTCCCCAGAGTATCCGCATCCCTGGCTTCAGGGGGTCGCATGCTGATTTTCTCATCATGGTTCGTCGCCTACGATTTACAAGATTGCAAGCTTGCTGACGCGAATCAGTCTGTCCATACCCTGATCACTGCGAGCAAGGGAAAGCTGAATGCTGTGTATCCCGCTCTCCTGGCGATCATCAACAACATAGCACCGCATGTCGAACATCTGTCTCCGGGCTCGTGCTCCAAGCTGCTGCAACTCTTCTCGTTTATGTCCGCCCCGAGCTTTCTCCTGGCTAACGAGACGAACCATGTCCTTCTTTCTTCGGTTCTTGAGTCTATCAACTCAATCCTGGAGCACCAATTCACCCGTATGTCTCAATCCCACTCCTCTAGACTTTACTAACGAGACACAGAAAACCCTTTCCTGGTGTATGCCATTCTGAAGTATAGAAAGCGTTTTGAAGCAGTGCGAGAATTTACACTCGAGAGTGGACAACAAGAGATAGAACGCCAGAACGAGAGGAGAAAGTCCGGGGGTGACTTTGTCTCTAGTCCTGTTCTTGCGCCGTCCGATGAAGACACTCGTGTTTCTTCCGAAACGCGGTCGCCATTGGGCCGCATCCCCGAAGAGAACAGTCCTTTTGCGATTGGCGGTGATGATGACTCGGACGACGAAAGAGAGGGACAGAGCACACCGGCGCAGGACTCGCCTTCCGTGCAGACCTCTCGACGACCCTCGATCTCCTCCGTCGTGGACGAGAGCGTCCCTTTGCAGCTGCGAGGCATGTCCGAAAAGGCCCGGGGCAAGATGCCTGCTGGACAGCCCTCTTTTTCTCGGCAGAATAGCATCACGAGTCAGAGTAGCATGTCGGCAGCGTTCTTTGCATCCTCCAGTGGTTTCACGCCGACCACGGCTTGGGTAAGTGTCGTAATTCCTTCATCTTCCGGTGTATACTAACAGATAGTTAGCTTGAATCCTGGTTGCCTGAGCTACCCCTTCACACCATCCTTACGATCATCTCGGCCATAGCACCTCACGTTCCCGAGTCCGCCTTCCAGTCGGCCTCTAGCCCTGAGGCCCGCACCCTTATCACGAACCTCCCCTCGTTTCTGGAGGACCCGGTGCTCAAGACCATCGTTTCAGAACCCTCGCCGGTTCGCGTCCACTCATTTGAATGGTCGGCGCTGTCATTGGGCTGGTACGAGTCGCTGCTCTGGGGCTTTATCTTCTCGAGCGAGATGGTCGTGGGGTCTGCATCGGGGGCCACGCCGGGTACTGTGGGTGTTTGGAACGGAACTGGGATCAAGCTGTTCAAGGTCCAGGAGGCCGCAGCTCAAGGTCCCACCCTGCTTGCCCCCAAGGGTGCCGTCGATGCTGTAGGCAGCAACCTGGTCCAGCGCATCGGCAACCTGAGTTTCCGGCGCAGTAGCACGCAGGACTCGCAGACCAGCTCCAGGCCACCGTCTATCCGGGAGGTTTAAGGTGACCACCTATCCATCCGTTCAGTTCCTGTAATTCCCGCCCGGCCAGGGATGATTCATGTCATTTAGTAAAGTAGCTTTTTTTCTAATGATCGTTATGGTTTCCATGATACCTCGCGGCGTTTGCGCGATGGCGGTTTTTGTATGCGCAGATTACCCGGAGGTTATTTAGCATATCCATAGAGTGTCATCCGTGCTTCAACGTAAATTCGGGAAAGAACTAGATATACTGTACTGTAGGGTATCCACGGTGTTGCTGGTGCTCTCAACGCCGATCAGGGCTGGCCACCACGTGAGGCCGCGATTGGCTCCTTTCGTTTCTCGGCGTTCTGCAGCTCCATCCATCGCTGTCCCTCCACCACTGCTCCTACTGTCTTCAGTCTCTTTGCTCGGTTGCTATCACTTGTATTCAGCGGTTAGCATCTTTTTAATTATTGTTATAGTCGCAAACGACTGCAAGCCTGTTGCCGCGACGATGGTTCTCGCGCGATCGCTCCTTGTTGCGGCATCCGCGTCGCTGGTCGTCCTTCCGTCGCAAGCCGTGGGGACGTCGGAGCTGCAGAGCGTCCTGAAGAACACCCACGGGGGCAATGAATATGGCTATCCGACCGATTTCACCAGGGGGATTATGCCGGTGAGTATCATTTTCTAACCACATCATGGAAGTTCATTGCATGGTTTATTTAGATCGGGGCTAATGGATCCTCAGATCCCGGTACATTCTCATAAGTCAGTCACTCTGTTGTTTCGAGAATTTTAGGCATGGTCAGATGTTGACAACGTAGCAGTGATTATTGGAGAGATATACCGTTCTACACAGGTATGGTGTATTATGTCCATTATTATATGGATCTGTGACTGACAAGCTTACCCCAGGGATTTCCAAAGGATGCATCTCGACGGAGGCAGATGTGTGGCTGTACAACGGCACGCTTTATGTGAGTGACTATCTGGCCATCTTGGTGATGATGGTGCTGACAGATTAGGTCGGTCACGACGAGTCCTCCTTGACGGAGCAGCGGACGTTTGAAACACTCTACGTCAACCCGATATTGGACGTGCTCAAGCGTCAGAACCCGACGAGTCGGTTCGTGACGTCTCCTACGAAGAAGTACGTTCCCTACCCATTGCTCTATAACTTGACCCCAACTGACAATTCCCAGCGGCGTCTTCGACACGGACACTTCCCAAACGCTGTACTTCTTCATTGATGTGAAGACCTCCGGCCCGGAAACCTTCCAGGCCGCGATTGATGCGTTGGAGCCGCTCCGGGAACGGGGCTACCTCACGACCCTCAAAGACAACAAGATCACCAAGGGCCCCGTCACGGTGATTGGAACGGGTAACACGCCGCTCGACATGGTCTCCCCCGTGACCAGCCGGGACTACTTCTTCGATGCGCCTCTAGAGTCCCTGGGCGATGCGAAGTATTCCGATCTCACGGGCCTCGTCTCCCCCATTGCGTCGACGAATTTCGAGGCGGCCGTGGGCAGGCTCGTCAGCGACGCGCTGAGTGAGAAGCAGCTGGATGCTCTCCGGTCGCAGATCCAGACGGCCAAGAGCAAGGGCATCGGGGCCCGGTACTGGGGGACGCCGTACTTCCCAATCCGGAAGCGTAATTTTGTGTGGAGGACGCTGCTGGAGGAGGGCGTGACGCTGTTGAATGCGGATGACCTGGATGCGGTGGCGATATACTTCTAAGGGTCGCAAGATGTAATTCAGTTATAGCGACGAGGTTATTCATATCTCATTCATAGGCATCTGTAGTATACCAACCAGCCGTGTGGATCGGTCAATGCATACAGTAGTCCCGACTCGCCATTGAGTTGTGTAACACCGTCCAGTGAGGTTCTATCTGTACTGAATGCTTCACACTTGCACGTCACCTTCACCTTCACTTGTTCGCACTGTGACCTGTTGTCCCTCCATTGTTCATGTTCTGCAAGGAGGCCAAAGGATGCCGACGGCACGTGATGGGGCCGGGGGTCAGCGAAGCCCTGCGAGGGACTGCGAAGGCTGAACCTCGAAGGACTGCGCCAGAATCGCATCGCATCGCATCACAGAAAGAGAGTATGCCGGAGCGCGTCGAGCGCGCCCTCGCACGAGCCCTCGCACGAGCCCTCAGCAGAGCCTAGCCCGCGATGTCTCAGGCGGATGTCGAACTGGGCGACCTGCTGGCCGAGTCGCTGCCGGCGGGCGTCCAGCTCACGATTCGCCATGTCTCGTCGACTCCCTCGCCGACAGCCGCCCTGTTCGCCGCGCCTCCCAACGAGACCCCCGAGCCCACCTTCTGCGAGACGCACTTCCTGAGCGCCTCCATCACCCTCGACGATCGCGATGGCGCCGAGATCATCATCTACGGCGTTGAAGTCCTGGTCTACAGCACCGCCCACCTGACCACCATCTTCGTCTCCAAGGCCGACTCCACCGGCCACCTGCATCGCCTCGCCCACGCCCCCAAAGTCTCCATCCTGCGCCGCGTCTCCCACACCTTCCTCTCCTTTCTGGTCCAAACCCACCAGCGCCCGGGCGTCCGTCTCGTCGTCTCCCTCTTCGCCCGCGCCCAGAACCAGTACCTCTTCCCGGGTAGCATCGAGAACCCCGAGAAACACGTCCTCGATGACCGCGGCCTGATCAAATGGTGGTGTCGCGTCGCCGACCCCATCCTGCGCGACTGCGAGCCCGAGTCCGGATCGCACGAGAAGGGCCTGCGCGACCACCAGACCGAGTCCGCCAAATGCTCCGCCACCGCGTTCCTTATCGTCCCCGGCTGTGACCGCTTCGAGACCAGGGGTTTCTTCCCCCCCACTGCCCGAGCAGACGATCCGGACCGCCCCCGCTGGGTGAACAGCTACCCCGTTCAGCAGCTGTGCGACAACCCTACGGCGCCACCGCGGTGTCTGGTGCCCCGGTTTCCGGACGATCCGAAGACGCGCTTCCTGGTGGACCTGGATGATGAGCTGCCGGGGCGGAGAGACAAGGATAAGGAGGGAGGGGAGGCAGAAGAGGGGAATAGCAAGAGTGAGAGCACGGGCCAGTGGCGGAGCGTGCGGTCTTTGGAGCAGTTCTGGGAGATGATGTCTTTTCGACAGGAGTGTTCGGCGGGCCGGCTAGTGGGCTTCTTGTGGCTGGTTATCAATCCCCCGGGCCTGGTCAACTCGGTGCAGATGACCAGCTCACGCTCGGTGCTGAGCGATGGCAAGGGTCTGGCAGACAACGTGGCCCAGACGACGTCGGGGGAGTGTGTGAAGATCCCGGAGCAGGCCGATGATACTACGTCTGCTGAATCCGAGAAGCCTACGGATCCTGCCCCTGCTGTGTCCCCGTCTCATGATCCGACGGAGGACTCTGCTCCTAATGAGGGTATCAAGTCACAACCCGCGGGTGCAAGTGCGTTCTTCTGGCCAGAGGCTGGTCGCGGACATGCGGTTCTGAGCGACGCGGACTACAAGACTGCGATCAATTTTCTGATTGACCAGGACTTCTACGATGAAGACGTCTCGATCGCCAGTACCAAAGCCTGGGGCGAGAAGGTGGCTTCCCTGGCGGACCAGCTCTGGGTTGGACAGCTTGTGGTAGGCAGAAAGACTTCGGACGAGTCGTCCCAGACGCCCGTGGAGGTCAACACCATGATCACCGGGCTTGTTCGGAAACGCAAGAAGGTCGACCCCGATGTCGAGCCAACAGGCAGCGCGATCAGCGACGAGGGCGACGGGAATATCAATGCATCGCCGGGGGATGCGGCCGCCACCTCGGGGTCGGAACCGCCGTCGGGGGTCAATGTTCTGCAAGCCAACTTGATCCGGAAGAAGAAGAAGAAGAAGACATAACCATAACAGCTGTATTCTCCTAGAGCCGACGGTGTTGCATATCGGAGTCGAACTTGGGCATGGCGATCAATGGGTTTGGCACATCGTGTACAATAGGATGGATAATTGGGGTTTGCTTTTTTTTTTTGGAAGGGGATATAAGGTCTCCTTACGTTAATTGGATGAAATGAATTCTGGGGGGAGGGTTCATGGGCCTGTAATCTCCTGGAATGGTAGACGCTATTTGTTGCCTGAGGCGCCGGCGGCTGTCCGATACGGACACGAAACGCTCTCCGAATCGAACCTGAAGCTGTTCCACTTCCTTCTCCGGAACCCACTGCTGCGCCCGACCAACCAACCATCCGGTGTATCCGACTGGCACGCGGCGACTAGTCCGTCGACTGGTTTCATTGTTGTTGATTGCTCGCCTCGACGGTTTGCGTGGCCGTCGCATCCCAAAAGCCACGGATCGTGCCCCCGACCGCAATTTCCCTCACCGGTCGACCCTGTCTCGTCTCCCTAGAATGTCCTGCTCGTTGCATCGCTCTGCTCGCTCTTACTCCGTCCCCCGCCGTGTCCGCCTATGTTAGAGCTTCAGTCGCGTTCGAATTCCCCGGAGGTTGGACCCGCCATTCATGGCGACGTCCCGTGGACGGTCCTGGTGGGCTGGGTTGGGCTGATCTGGTATACGACCGTGGTGGTAGTGTGCGTCCTGGGCTACTCGCAACTGTATGTTCCTCCGACTCTCTGGACCCTTCCTGGTTCGGTCATTCTCAGCCAGACCGACAGGCACTGACGACAAACAGCTGGAGACACTACTACCAGAAACCCCGGAAATCCTCATCCGCCGCGGCCTCAAACGCCCCTCACGTCACCGCCATCCGTCCGGTCAAGGGCCTCGAACCCAACCTCTACGAGTGTTTGGCTTCGACCTTCCGTCAGGACTACCCGGCCGACAAGCTGACCGTCTGCTTCTGCGTGTCCTCCCGACTGGACCCCGCGTATCCCACCCTCCAGAAACTGGTCTCCGACTTCCCGCACGCCGACGCCCGGCTCTATGTTGAGGATGATGACCCGTTGCTCCAGCCGGACAACCTCCCCGCCTACGACTTGGGTCCCAACCCAAAGATCCGGAACATGAGCCGGGCCTACCGCGAGGCCAAGGGCGATATCATCTGGATCATCGATTGCAATGCGTGGGTCGGCAAGGGCGTCTGCGGACGCATGGTGGACCGGCTTTGCGGGACGGGCTCTTCGGGGAAGAAGTACAAATTCGTGCATCACCTACCGGTGGCTGTGGACATGACGGGGACCGCTAGCCTGCGGGAGGAACAAGAGGCGCTACTGGAGTCTTATACGAACGGGGATGCCAACGCCCTTGAGAGCGACGCCCCCGCGATGCTGGGCCCCGGAGCCGGCGTCCTTGCAACCGGGGGCGGTCGTCTGGAAGAGCTGTTCTTGTCGTCCTCGCACGCGAAGATGTACACCGCCATCAACACCGTGTTGATCGCGCCGTGCATCGTCGGCAAGTCCAACATGTTCCGCCGGTCCCACCTCGACTACTTGACCGTGTCTCCGGACGCGCGTCGCCGCAACGCGGGGATCGACTTTTTCTCTGACAACATCTGTGAGGACCACCTAATCGGGGACCTGCTGTGGAAGAAGCAGATCCGCGAGGAGAAAGAGCTAGGTGAGCGCTGGGGCAAACACGCGCTGGTGTTCGGGGATCTGGCCTTCCAGCCGGTGGCGAACATGAGCGTGCAGGCATACGTCGCCCGGCGGGTGCGGTGGCTGCGTGTGCGCAAGTTCACCGTGATGCTGGCGACGCTCGTCGAGCCGGGCACGGAGTCAATCCTCTGTTCGTGTTACGGGGCGTGGGGCGTGACGACAGCCCTAGCACACTACCTCGGAGATCGAGGAGGATACGCCGTCGCGGAGACCCTATCCACATGGACTGCCTTCTGGGGAGTGTTCTTCCTTAGCATGGCGACCTGGATCCTGATCGACTGGACCGTGTACATCATGCTGCACTCCGGCAAGACAGTCGAGCTGGACGAGGACACGCCGTCCTTCGCCCGGGCCCCCCGAGGCATCACCCGCCGTGCCTTCCGGACGTGGCTCGCCGCCTGGCTGGGCCGGGAGATGCTGGCGTTTCCGATCTGGGCGTGGGCAGTGTACGGCGGAGTCACGGTGACCTGGCGGGATCGGCAGTTCCGCGTCGGTCTGGACATGAAGGTGCGCGAGATCGAGGACAGTTCGTCCGTCTCTACGGAGGGTGCTAGCTCGGCCTCGTCCCCGGACCACAAGGCCCGTCGGGACTAATCATGGACATAAATAACGCTTATAGATCATGCTGTACGATAGAGATCAAGAAAGACAAGAACGACAGGACAATGAACCAACTTTTGTAAATGCTCAATCTACCTAGCACTCTATGCAATATCCATCATAAGATCATCCTATCTCCCCGACCACCTCTAGTAGATCCATACCTAGGCAGCTTTACCTAACCTAGACCTAGCCACAGCCCTCCTCAGAGAGCGAAGCGAAGCGAGACCCATCTGACCAGCCAGTAAAGACTCGGAAATCTTTAATTCGCATCAACATCCATCTTCTCCCCCTCGTTCCCATCCTTATCCTTAGCCCCCACAGCCCCCAACTCCGCCTTCTCCGAGCTCAACAACCACTCCACCACCTGCCTTCCCCTCGACATCGTCCCCGCATCCTCACTCTGACCGTCAGCCCCAGCCTGCCCCTCCCCAATCTCAACCTCCACCTCCTCATCCTGCTCCTCCTCCTCTTCCGCCCCCGGCTCAGCAGCCTTCCAATCCGCCCTCTCGGCCAAGAACACGGCGTCCAGGCCCGCGGCGTTGGTGATGCTCACGTCCGCGCCCGCCTCGACGAGCGCTTTCACGCACTCGAGGTGCGTGTTTAGGGCTGCCCAGTGCAGGGGCGTGTTGCCGGAATGGTTGCGGTGGTTGAGGATTTGGGGAGCTGTGGCGTTGGAGGTGGAGGTGAGGGTCGTGAGGAGATAGGTGAGGATTTCTGGGGTTGATTAGTTATGGTTCTTTTGTGGGGGATGAGGGGGGGGGGGTAATGTGGTGGTAGAGGGAGGGTGGGGAAGAGGGATGGGAAGGGGATGGTGTTTTTTCTGGAATAGGACTAGGACTGGGGGTTGGGTTGGACGATTCCATCCCCAGATATCATATATCATATCATATGCGGAGGGAATACAACCCCTCCCACCCCCCCGTTGCACATCCACAAGAAACAGAAAACAATAGTTCTCAAGAACGTAAACAAAATGGGGAATAGACAATAGGCAATATGCGTGTGCAATAGGAAAGAAAAAATAAATTAAGGGTGAATACGGGGCAGACATACCCAAGTTCCCATTCGCAGCAGGGAAATGCAACAAGCATGAACCACTACCGCCCTCCTCCTCCGGGGCGGAGTCGATGGCCGCGGCGATGATGGCGGACTCCGGGCAAGACAGTTGCGCGCTCAGCGTCGCGAGGTCTTCCTTCAGGGCGGGCAGATCGCCAACCCGCGCGGAGTAGATCAGGTCGTCGATCGTGTCGGGGGTGAGGGTGATAGAAGACATTTTGGCGGTGGTGGGTGAAATAGGTGTATATGTGTGTGTGTGCGTCTCTTGTTTGCTTGTCTTGGTTGGAGACAAGTTGGCTGCCAATTTGCGTGTGAGGGTATCTGGAGTTTGTTAGTGGGGGTTCTTGATTGATTCTGTGGTGTTTTATGTATGCGTTTGGGGTGCTGGGAGTGGATGGATGGCAGGGGAGAAAATTTTTGAGGTTGATATGAATGATATCAAACCACACAATCATGAATCATGCAAATCAGATACAAAAGAGAGGGCTGAGTGGCTTGGAAGACAGGATCCATCTCCCGAGTACGATGCGATCAACATAGCTGCTCATCTGTACTCCGTAGTTGCCCTCGTCACATATAACTTTTTTTTTCCCTCTTTTTTTTCTGCCCCTCCCATGTGAAAGTGGGATGCCCCTCCAAACACCCCTCTTCAACCCCAAGACTACAAACAGAACACTCGCGGAAGGAAGATAGCTCACCTTATGTATATGCGTGACTCGTTAATGGCTGGTCCTCTTTGCCATCCGACTTGACGATGGAGAACTTTGATGCCCGGTCAGGTGACATCGGGTGGATCTCCCAATCCGGGGGGTTTCCTGCCATCTACATAGTATCTACATAGTATACAGCCAGATCTCACCACCACTACCAGTACCATCACTACCATCATATGTACCGTACGTTGTACTGTGACCAGTCAATAATTGCTGTAAACCAGCTAAATATACATTCTATCATGCAAGTTGTAGCTACACAACGCCATGCATCCGCAGTAACCATAGTACACAGAACTCAATAGGTATCTCAATCGGATAAAAAATAAAGAAAAAAAAAAAAAAGAAAAGAGCGATCCATCAATCCCTCAGCCAAGCCCGCCGCTTCTCCTCTTTCTTTTCACGCCGCTTCTCCTTGAACATCTTCAGCTCCTTCTTACTGAGCTTCTTGGCGCTGCGCTCCGCCCGCAGACTCCGCCCGTCGTGGCTATTGGCCGCCGCATCCACATCGAAAAACGCGTTCATCTGCCGCCGCGACTTGTTCTCATCATTGTGATAGTCCGGGTTCTGCGACTCCGCCTGCCACCGGCCCGTGAAGCGGTTGAACGCCCCAACCGCCTGATACGCCGTGCCCGGGTCCATCGCTGCGGCCCCAGACGGCTGCTGGTACTGCTGCTCGTACTGCTGCGCGTACGGTGCCGTCGGATCGTAATCCCCGTGAATGGCGGGGTTGTAGCCACCCACCACTGGCCCGGGCTGATCGGCCTCGTCTGCCTCCCCTTCCTCTGTCTCGGCCTCTCCTTCTCTCGCGTCAATGTCACCCTTGCGATCCGCCTCCACCGGCACCCGCGGGTTCTCCCACTGCGACACCCCCGTCAGCCGGTTGTAGAAGTAGTACGCCTGGGCGCCGGCATCCCAGACGGGTTCCCAGCCGTCGTCCTCGCGCGGCGGCGCCTCGTTGGGGAGCGGTGGGGGGACTTCATCGGGTAACGGCGGCGCTGATGTGGATTCCTCTCTTTCCTCCTCTTCCTCTTCGCCCTCTTCCTTTTCTTCTTCTTCTTCTTCTTCTTCTTCTTCTTTTTTCTCTTCTCCTTCTTCTTCTTCTTCTTCTTGTTCCCCCTCTTCTCTTTCTTCGGGTATTTCGTCGCGTGTGTCTATCCCCGACTCCTTCCCTTCCGCTTCAGCGTGATGTGTTGTGTCGTCTCTCGTCTCCTCAGCCGGTCGAGCAGATCCCGCCGCGGCGTCGGTCAGAGGACGCGGGCTCGGACTCGCGGACATCCTGGGATTAGCAATTCCTGGCTCCGGGATTGCGGGGGCGTGGTATGATGATGTGATAGTGTGTTCGGGGGGCGCAGAGGATTTCAGCAGTCCTCTGGAGGCATGAACGTATACAGCAGATAGGTTGGATGGTCGCTGTGCTGTGCTGTGTGGATGGTATGGGTATGAGTATGAGCATCGCAGGCAGGATGGAACCAAACTAACTAATGGGTGATGGATGACTCAGCGGGTAGATCGGGCTAGTTAGTTAGTTGTGGGTAGTCGGGTTGCAGCTAGCTTGGCTGGGTTAGTGAATGTTTGAGCCACAGGCGCCACAGGTCTTCGGGATGGGTGTGTGTGATTGGTTGGTTTGGGGGTATGGCTGAGTGAATGAAGTACTGAGGTGTATAGACACCAAATGGGTCGAAGGTGTGAGTGGATTGAAGCTTGGTTACTTGGTAAGTGGATCTGAAATATTAGTGTTGATTAAGGTGGAGTATTTTGGGTTTTTGACACGAGTGGTGGCTGAATGTAGGCTGAGTTATATATATCAACACCACACTAACAGGAATAAGATATTGAGCATCTATTTGATGTGAAATAGCTTCATCTTCACATGATCTAACCTACTGCATATCCTCTGACATGGGAGCTTTTAAGATACAAAAAGACCAAGGTGTCCTAATGTGACCTCAAACTAACCCCTCCCAGCCAAGAACCGCCCGCCTCTATAATAAATCAAGCCAAGTTATTCCTCAACCAGGAACCCAACATGAAGTTGAAATGACCTTATACGTCAACATGTGACCACTGACTCCAACATTACTATCAATATAATCATCATTCTATTGCAAAGGAAGTTCTCGGACTCTTTATATAGTCTCAATCTAACTGGGCAACAATCACTCCTCCCTCAACTCTGCCTTAGTGCTATATACATCACCCTAAACAAAACTAACTAGCCAACCAGACACAGAACTCTTAATCCCATACAGGTATCTTTCTAGCTTTTTATACTAAATGAAAAGCTAAGTATCCTTCATGAACACAGACCACAACCCAGTCTAATGACTTCAATATGTAACAGGATTTGAAACTCGGGATAGCAAAGTCCCAGTTACTCGTGAGTAAATGACTCATCATCCAAAGGTAAACAGTTTAAAAGTGCCGATCATGCCCCCTGAGGGAGGTAAGTAGGGCAGGGCAGGGCAGGGCCTTAGGGTTGAATCAAGGGATGGGATGAGGTATGGTCTTTAGTAGGATAGCAAGGTCTCTCACTCCGCCTGTTCTACACTTCAGTGTTCATTAGAGAAGATCATAGCGACCTTGCTCTTTATGATGGAAGTAGTGTTCTTGGAGGGATGTATCATTGGAATAGATGATAAATTAGAGCTGTGATGAAATATATGGTCTAGAATGACAGTGCAGATGTGTGCTGCTTGAAGGTGGTAGAATCTGGAGTGCATGAGATAAGCTACTTCTTAGCTTGTAACTGATGCAGGAGGGTAAGAAGTAGTAGTGATTGGCAACACTGATGAGGGGACTTGGGTATACACTTACCATACTATTTCTTGATATCGTGTCAATATGCATTGACGAAACAACTTTGTATACTTGAGATTTACCAATAGCTTTTAGACTGTAGATATGAGCTTTTTATGTCACTCCAAAGAGTTGGATAGATAATCAACACTGCTTGGGCTGTGTTCGGATGTACTTGGGGTTCAACTTGGGTTGAACTCGGTTTGGATATGATATGGTAAACCGACACCGGTGTCAACTATGGATATTAAGTAGTTCTGGTCAGAAATTGGAGGAGTCTGGAGTAGATAGATAGTCTTTTTTTTAAATCACGTTTTGAAGTCTTCTACTCTGTATCTTGAACTTTTTTGGATAATGGTTGGAGTTAGATCGGTGTCGTGCCAGCTCTATGTCAGTACTTCAGTTGTAGTAGGCTGTGCCCGGATATATTTCCACTGTCTGACACCACGCTTACTATTTCAATATTCCACCATCACTAGGAAATGATGACTCGAAATCAAGAAGCAAGCTGTTCTGGAACAAACTTTATCGATGCCATATCTGATGGGTCTACAACATCTGTACTAACCCGCGCTCTCACCATATATTTGAATACTGCTTTAACTATATACAAACTTCTATACAATTTCAACAAGACCAGTCCGTTCAGGCCACAAGGCCACGAGGCCACGAGGCAGCAAGGCAGTCGGGCGGCAAGTGTCCTGCCTGATGACTGCCTGATGTATCCCTCGTGCCTCCTTCTCTCCTTCTCTGCTTCCATCCATCCTCACATGCACGGTATGCTGAAATGGCTACAGGCCTGGAATGACCACGACTCCAAGCAAGATCCGGCCATATCGACACCGGTCTCGACGCCGGCCTCGTAAGATGTTTCGGATTGAGTGAAGAGAACCAAGTTCTGTTGGAACGATCCCAGCAAGGTGAATTCACTAGCACCTCCAGACCCCCATCCCATCTCCAAAACCTGCAGAGCCGTCCCCGCGGCGACCCCGGGAGCATGCGGCCGGAAGTGCCCGTGCTGCACTCGGAAATTAAATGGCAACTAGTGAGGCCCCCTTGCCTACCAGAAAGGAAGAATCTCCCTGGCCCACATGGGCTGGGGAGCAACCCTTGCAGCCCAAAGCATGCTATTGCATATGCCCTGCAACCTTACTCGCGGATCCAACGTTCCAGCAATCCTGCGCGCCACCCGCATACCACACGAGCGACGCGGATTAGAGGCACGAGCGTGTGCAATTGGTCAGGTGCTTGTCAAGGTGTCTATACACCTTATCAAAAGTCAGCCGTGGCTGATGCCGAAGGCGTTCTCAGTGATCGGTGATGTTGATTCAATTGTTGCACCGCAGAAGGCGTACTCAGTGTACAACTGCAACTGCAAATGCACATGCTGCAACCTAATCGTCTGAGTTGGCATTGCAGATACCAGGGTAATCTGCAAAGCCAGGAGACTGAGACATCCATCGCCTGCAATGCACCCCAGTTCTCCTGCAAAGGGTCGGATCAAGGCATGCGAGCGCAGATACCAGCAATCACAGCAAAAGCTGAGAGCGGATCCATACCGGTGGGGACCTGTGGGCGAGGGGCCGAACAGCAAAACATGGAGAGAAGGGACATCCTTGCGTGGTGCATTCCACAGGGGGAATGAGAGGCTGGCTACAGCCATTGCCAGCACGATTCCTATGCCTGGATATGTCTTAGCGAGTCGGTCAGAAGCCTCCACCCAAATGTATATAAGGAGGGTGAAAGTTGCCTCTCAATCGATTCTTCTCATCATCACAATCACTCTCGTTCTCTCTCATTCTCTAGCACAGTCTCTTCCAGACCAACCGCTCTTTCAAAAGCAACTCCGAGTTTCTATCTCTCGTTCAAATCCAAACCCACCGTCACAATGAAGTTCTCCATCGCCGCTGTCCTCGCCATCGCTGCCACCGTCACTGCCCTCCCCGGCGGTGTTGGTAACGGAGTTGGCAACAAGGGCAACAGCGACGTCAAGTTCCCCGTCCCCGACGACCTCACTGTCGAGCAGGCTGAGGCCAAGTGTGGTGACCAGGCTGAGCTTTCCTGCTGCAACAAGGCCACCTATGCTGGTGACTCTACCAACGTTGACAGCGGTATCCTCGCCGGTACCCTCGGCAACCTCATCAGCTCCGGCTCTGGCTCTGAGGGTCTTGGTCTCTTCGACCAGTGCTCCAAGCTGCCTCTGCAGGGTGAGTATCTTTCTGCATACCCATGGAATCTAGCTAACGATCCCAACAGTCCCCATCATTGCTGTCGCTCTGCAGGACTTTGTCAACCAGCAGTGCAAGCAAAACATTGCTTGTTGCCAGTCCTCTCCCTCCAGCGCCGTGAGTCTTCCACCACAATCTTCCTTCTCAACCACAACTAACCTATCCAACAGGATGGCGACCTTATCGGAGTCGGCCTTCCCTGCATTGCCCTCGGTTCCATCATCTAAGCGACTCTTCTGTTCGCTTATGGCCGCCGCTATTAGTCACGCCGTCCTCACGGCACGGACTGGGGCTGGGATCAAATCAGGGTCTGCTTTATTTCTTCGGGATGTCTAGCTTGATTCCTGTTTTGTTTTGACCGATCATGTACCATTAATGTGTCGTGTGGAACCTCGGAGAAAGACGACTGTGCTGATTTGCTTTTTCGAAACCTTGTGCTTTTATTAAAGTGTGCATCAACCGGTGCGAAGGTGCCGGTGTCTAGCATATTAGATTAATGCATTAGATTATCTATATCTCTCTCTATTTTCGAAAACCGTAGATGTTAATGATAACAAATTTCTGGTTCCTTCCGAACCAGAATCACATTCAACCTCATCATCATGGATATCTCTAATTTCCATACTCTCTCCTCGCACATTCTAGCTAGATATCATAGCACCAATGCGTATTTGAACTTTGTCACATTGTACTCCCAATTGTGATTTCAATCTTCCATCCACACCCTAGTTACTGGTGATATCTTCTCTTTTCCCAATCACATTTCCCCCTTCTATTGATTCCATCATTGTCAGTCCCTCTATCTGGTAGACCGCATTTTAACCCACTCCATTACACACACACACATACACCTACGCCATTCATGCAAAGTAAGAACTCACGGAGTAAGTAGTAAGTAAGTACTTAAACCTATGTACGTACCTACTACCTACTACACCCCCCACTCACACCCTCTCAGACATCCATGTCCGCACATGGCGAAATCACTCACTCACTCACTCCTTCTCCTATCTCTCACTCACTCTCTCATGTGGGTGATTGATTAGTCCTGAGTCATTCATTCATTCATTTATTCATTTATTCATACTCTCAGATTTAGTTAGCCCCCCTCCCTCTACCTATCCAGCTTTCTAGACATCTTTTTAGCCCGAGTGGGCTTTGTTTCATCCATACCCACCCACCCACCCAGTACTACCAGTAATCCCTATCAGACTAGTTAACTAACTTAACCGGCAACAAGCCAACCAACCATCCAGGACCTAATCTAATTACAATTACAATTTTTTGCCTTTTGCAGTCCAGGCAGGCATTGTTATCTTCACTTCATAGAAATTCATCCATTATCATTATGTATACCGCTTTGCGGATGTGTCTGTTTGTCCATCTGTATGTATCCCACTAATCCCTCCATACATCCCTCGCTGAGTCCCTCCAGCCATCCGATATCTCACTCCCCTTCCCACATACTAGCGTACACCATCACCGATACCATCCAACTCAATAATTATCCAACTACCCCCAATAAAGCACAGAGAAAGAAAGAAAAAAAAAGTGACAAAAGAAAGAAATCCAAAAGTCGGTCCCACACAAACAAAATCCCAAAGAAGCGAATAAAATAAAACCCAATCCATCAATCAGACTCAATCGGACTCAATCAGACCCAAGCCAAATCAATCAATCAAACCCAAGCGAGATCAAATCAAATCAAACCCAAAAAGCAATAATCCACCGTCTCAACACCCCCAGAAACCCCCCCGAGATAGACCAAACACACCAACAAAATACAACCCCCGTGCCTGTACCCCGAACTCCGTGGCTAGCGAAAAAGAGTCTGATTGATACTGTTACCTTTGTTTTCACCGTTGGTGGTGGTCTGGTGCTTCCCCGCGAAGGTGCCCAGAGTGGGATGGATCTCGGCCCATTTGCGCGTTGAGATGGGGAGGGGGAAGACGGCTGTTCCCATGCGGCGTTGCTTTTTGGTCGGGCTGGGGGTGGGCGTGCTTGGGTCGGGGTGGTCGTGGGGGTGGGGTGAGGGGAGGGGTTTGCTTGTTGTTGTTGTTGTTGTTGTTGTTGTTGTTGTTGATGATGATGATGCTGCTGCTGGTGTTGTTGTCGTGGCTGTGGCTGTGGCGGGGGCTGTGGTTGAGGTTGATGCTGCAGCTGCAGCTGCAGCATAGGGAGGTGATTTCGGGGGCGGAGTAGGGGGGACCGGGGAGGAAGGTTCATCGTAGGAGGACGAGGTCATTGACGCACGGAGAGGGGAGCGACCAGCCAGCGGCAGCTTGAGGTTGGAGAGCTTGGGGGCGGAGGCGACAGCAGCGGCGGTGGATTGGAGGAGGTTGAAGATCTCGATCATGGACTTGCGTTGGCTGAGACGCCAGGTGGATCTGCGTTTGGCGGACGCGGATTTCGTGGCCGAGTCGGGGTCTTCATCGGTCTCACTGTCTTGAGCGGCGGTTGATCCGGTCTGCTTGGTCGGGGTGTGATGGCCGGCGGTGGTGGTGAGGGTGCGGCGGAGAGGACGCACGGTCATGTCGTTGTCGTGCTTGCCTTCCTCTTCCACGTCCTCGGGGATGTCTTCGATGATCCGGCTTTTGATCTCGGGGAGCTTGGCGGCCGCGCTGGGGGGCACGTCCATGCTGGCTGGACGGGGCTTCTTGTCGGGGTTGCGGGGGATGCGGCGGGTGGAGAGCTCGAGGTCGAGGTCGTCTTTGCTGCGGGGAGTGGTGATCTCGTCGTCGTCCTGGGGGCGTTGAGGGGTCTGAGGCCCGACTTCCATGGAGATGGCCCGGTGGGGGTTCTCGGGGCTGGTGGACTCGACGTCGGTCTCTTCATCGGAGAGAGTGCCGGTTTGTTTGGCGGAGGAGTCTTCTTTGCCATGTGGATGGCCCTCCTCTGGGCCTAGGGTCGAGCACTCCGAGTCCCCGGAGCTGACGAGTCGGATGGACGCTGTTGTCTGCGGGCCTTTGGTGATAGCGTCTTTGGGTTGTTCGGGCAGACGCGATAGCTCGGTCGACTCGGGTGGGGAGTCGTATCGGTACTTGTGTTCGTGATGGTGGTGATCTGCCTGCTCAGGACCCTGCTCGAAGTCTGATATGCCCGCACAAGTCCAGGAGGTGTGGTATTCCTGTCGTCGTTGACGGCGGAGTTTCCGCGCCTGCAGGCAGGGGAGGAACAGCGAAGATAGGCTCTTCATGTTGCGTGGACGACGCATGAGGTCTGAGTTGAGAGCGGATTTGGTCATGATGGTGGTGTTGTCTTTCTCTCTTTATAGTAGTGAGGTGGTTGCCGTGACCGTTCGTGATGCCGGGCTCGTCGTCGGGGCGATGGAGGAGTTGCGATGGCGGTTGATGCGGGGGATTTTATTGATTCGTGAGATTACCGACGCGGGGGTGAAGCATAAAGACTGCAGCTCTCGGATTGGGATCGTGATGGCCAGTGCACATGAGGCGAAGTTGTTTGTGCGGGATGCTGCCGATGCGTCTGGAGACGATGGCGTCTCATCTCCCATCGCGCGCAGGTTCTTCAGGTACCTGAAATAGATCCTCGTTAGCAGAAGCCCTAGCGAGAGGCTCATTCGAGACTAACCAACAGCTTTGTCTCTGCAAGGAGACCGGCCCTCTCCTGATGCAAGGATGGCCGGCCATCTTGGTTACTCAGAGCAAAGGTTTCTGGGTCATCGACCTTGTCCATAGCCTAGAGATGGCAGATCAGATTACACGGTCCTCATGATGCAAGCCCTCGCGGATCCTAATAGTTGTGGCGAGGCCGAATCTGGAGGCTGCATTGAGGCGACCATCGGCATCACGACAGATGCATCCGAACGTCCGAACTCTACGGCCATATACGGTGTACGGAGTAAACGTCCGTGTACCCTCGTTCTTAGGAAATATCTGGCTCATCGTGCAAAACCCACGGGTATTCTTCCCCGAACGATCTTCTCCATCCCTGGTTACGGGGTCCCTGCAAGGGATGCTCATCACACTTGACGGATCGCTACGCTCGTTGCCAAATCTCCAGAATAGCCTCTATTCCTTGCTTAGTCTGTAATAAAAAAAAAGTCTCGAGTGCACGCTCCAATCAAACCGGATATCAAACCTCTACCCATCCTCTACAACTTGCTCGGCACCGTTGCCGTGAGCAACGACCGGGAGCGGTCCAGCGCCTCCACGGCCTCCTTCTCGATGCGTTGGAGCAGCTGAGCGCAGCTCGGGATATCGTGAATCAGGCCAATGACCTGACCGGCCGTCCAAACCTAAACTCATTAGCAAGGGTTCGACGTCACCAGCTGACCAGAACTTACCCCGAAGTCAACATCGCCGTTCAGGAAGACCTCCCGCCCTCGTTTGCCACTCACGAAGGGGGCAATCTCGCTGAACTCGCCCGTCTTGCTCTCCCTCTCCACCTTCAGGGCCTCCTGCGTCACCTTGTTGCCGAACAACCGGGTGGTGTTCTTCCACCGCCTCAGCACCAACGCCGTATCCGTCTCGTCCGCCTTGACAATCGCCTCCTTGACATTGTGGTGGATGGGCGCTTCGATCGTGCACATGAACCGCGTGCCCATGTTGATTCCCTCCGCCCCGAGAGCCAACGCTGCAGCGAGGCCTTGCCCGTCCGCAAAGCCACCCGACGCAATGAACGGCACTTTGAGTTCCTGGCGCGCCCGGCTGAGGAGAATGAAGTTGGTAATGTCAGTTTCGCCGACGTGACCGGCGCACTCGAACCCGTCGATCGACAGGAAGTCCACTCCCAGCTTGATGGCCGATTTCGCGTGCCGGATGGTGGTGCACTTGTGGAGGATGATTGTGTTGGCCTTCTTGAGCTGCTGGATCACGGGGCCGGGGTTGTTGCCTGCTGTCTCAACAATCTTGATGCCCTCATCGATAATCACCTGGGCGTAGGCACCGTAGTCGGGAGGGACGAGGGCGGGAAGGAGGGTCAGGTTGACGGCGAATGGCTTCTTGGTCATGGATCGACATCTGCGGATCTCCTTGCGGAGGTCTTCGGGGGTGGGTTGGGTGAGAGCCGTGAGCTAAACGGTCAGCCTCGGATCTGATTCTTGAGCCAGCGCATGCACGTACGATGCCCAGTCCACCAGCGTTGCTGACGGCCGCGGCGAGCTCCGCGTATCCTACCCACTGCATGCCCCCCTGCACCACTGGGACTGGGGACCGTTAGCAGAAGTGCCGAGCGCATCCAGGAGACTGGTTACCTGAGATGCCCAGCGCCCTTGTCAAGGCAGTGTTGAAAGGCATTCTGCCTATAGTTGTGTCGGCGATCGGAGGTAGTGCAACGTGTGAGTTGTACGGGTTGGGGGTTCGGGGGTTCGGGGGTTCTATAGATAGATAGTCGGACTGAGTTAGATAAGTGAGTGCAGATGAGAGGCTTCCCCTGGGTGGATCGAACTTAAGAGGGAGAATATTATGGGGAAGAGTAATCGAGGAACCCACGCTTTGCCGCGGTGGGGAGGCGGAGTTGCCGAGGTCCAGCCCGGTGGCCGAATCTGGGGGTGGATCAGGCTCAAGAGTGATGAGACGGACTCTTTCATCGGGGAGTTCCAGTTCCAGTTTAAGAATGGCCCCTCCCTTCTCATCGCCGTGTGACTTGTCCCTCCGGCTTTGCCAGGCCAGGGCCGCATGTGATCTCGAATCTCGGCAAGTTCGGTCACGCTGCCTCATTAGGCGCCCCATCGCCTGATGGCTACCAGCGAAATCAACGAGGAGTACTGAGAATTAACTCATCTATCCCGAGAGAGCCCACAGGCAGAACCGCCTTTGAGAAAAAAAAAAACAAATCCAAACTAATCAACAGCTACGCCAGTACTCCGTAATAATGCATCCGAGAGCGTGATCTTAGCCAATTCTCTGTACCACATCCGACATGTGTGAGTTCAAATTGGTCGCAAACTCTTTCGACTTGGTTTTAGCGTCATGAACAGTCCCATCAAGAATATCCTTCTTGACGTTTTCTCTTACAAACTCTGCAAATCGCAGGCGATACTCTCTTTCTCGCATCAAGTTATCTCGCTGCTCCTGGGTCCTGTTCATTAATTTCAACGTTGCGAAGAAACCCAGGTCTTGTGTTTCGGTGGAGTCGTAAGGCATAGGTTCCTGCAGATCTTGACGGGTTCTCTGCTCAATGTACCTATCGAACGGGGAGAGAGCCGATCGATATCCATATTGAAGGCCTGTCACGTCGATGATCCGTTTCTCTCCGACATCCGGCCGCTCAATCTTTATCACTTTATGAATCACGTCGGGATCACCTCGACTAGGAACAAGCACAGTTGGCCTCGGCCTGTTGGATGTCAATCAGCTTATCTCGGTGGATTCACTGCGAGGTCCTATGTTACCTTCAAAAAGCATTCGGGCTAATGGACTCAACAGCGCCATGGAGGTGGCGCCCTGTTTAAATGTGAGAGCTGCCCCCATGTGATAGGATCTATAACCTTGAAGACGACTACGAGGAAAGGGTCCACGTGGGCAATGTACAAAAGCGTCCCTTTCATTGTGATGGAGGTAAAGAGCCCCCTCCTGTTCTTGCATATCTGTGAGATCGAGATCGTACACAGTTTCTCTGTACGCCAGCAGGGCTCTCTTGAGGATGAGAGCTGCTCGGAGGAGCCTCGATCGCCCGTAGAGGAAGTCGCAATGATCTTTATGACTTCGCCGGTGGCTTTCTTGACAGCCAAAGCCACAGTAACACACACTGGTATCATCTGGCCCATATCTGGGAGCGTCCCCACATCTCTCGCATCCAGCCTGCTTGATTGTGTTCTCCCTACAATTTGCACATTGGACTGGCGGTAGTGGTGTCATGGCGAGTGACTGAGGAATAAATGACTGGGGTTACCTTCAAGTGAGGATGTAATATCTGTTTGAGAGGGCGCTCTGGTATCGTGTAAGAATGTACTATTATAAAGAGATAGTCAAGACAGAATAAATGAGAGAGAGAGAGAGAGAGAGAGAGAGGGAATCACCAAGTGCGTATTGGGGTATCTGACCAGGGGGAAGAGAAAAGGGATCAAGGTAGACAGAAGAAGGCGAGGAAGATAGATTCACTACCATCCAACTGAGAATAGGCCATAGTAGGCAGGCACGCTTCCCTTCACTGTCAGCCAGGAATCTTTCCACTTCTCACTCTTTCTTTCTCCTCCTCCTCCTTCTCATCTTCTTATCTTCCATCCCACTTTGACCTTTCTCCCTCCCTTCCTTTTTCTTACTTGCCAGGTTTTCTTCTCAGTCTTATTTCTTGCCGCGTACTGTTCACTGAACGTGCTTGATTATTCCTCCCGCTTCCTCTTGCCTCATCATCTCCGTAATGCCTTAACGGCATTTTTATCTTGCGCTGAATGTTACAATCAGTCCCCAAGTGCGCCATGACCAGTGTTACCACCGCTGGTACGTCCAACGCCTGCGCCCACTGCAATGCCCCAACAAAGAAACGGTGTACTGGATGCTGTGATGCTCCGATCTACAACAAAGATGAAAAGATTCAGCCCACGTTCTATTGTGGCCCATTATGTCAGAGAGCCGACTGGAGCCAACATAAACTCACTTGCGAAGTATTCAAGGACCGCAAAATCGTCCATCGAGCTGAATTGCTTCTCCAGCAAGCGATGTTTCGGATCTGTCGGCAGGTCTCCCCTTTGCAACTTCACTCGGTGCGAATTGACGGCTTAACCATACACATTCAGGGATTCCGTTCACTTGAATTGGTTCAGAGGTTACATTTAGGGCCTTTGTCACTCCCCATACACTGTGTGACCAAGACCACTTTGATGCGATGTCGGTATTCATGACTTGTACAGAAGGCTTTCTGTATCTCTCCGGTCTGGCAGGAGAGTTCCTGTCGGGTTAGCCCAACAGAATGTTCTACTGGGACAGATACTAACCATCGCGACAGGGGTTTGCTCGAAAATCGAAGAGATCAATGTCAGCATTATAAATCAACCGTTGGAAATACTTAGAGTTTTGCGGGATGGGCCACGGCAGTGGATAGACTGCATGCATAATATCTACAGAGTTACGCTGAAGAATGGGGAAATGTGGACGATCGATCCTACCGGAGCGCAGTATGGCTTTCGAACCGCGCTACGTCCCTGGCCCTTCTTCAAGAAACAGCACACATCCAAGACAAATGTGGAATGGAAACTCGGCTTCACCAGGGCTGACTACTTGGAATCTGGAACACTCCCTGTCCGGCCCGTTATAGCCATGAGATTTGAAAAATGGGGGTTAGCGACAAGGCTTGATACCTTTATCACTGTCTTCCTTCACCAGCATGGTAAACGTTTGGGCAGTATTCTAAAAGGCTGGAACTCCGATTTTGAAGAAAGAAAATACCATTTTTGCGAGAGTTCGAGGCCCATGTGACAAAGAGCATGGGTGAACTCTCAACCCCGCAAGAGAATCTGAGAAGAAACCGAGAGATCGAGCGTCAGCTGGTCCAGAATCTCCTGCATCCTGAACGACAGCGCGAAGTGGCCGATATGGCAGCATCTGTGGCAGCCGTGACAAAGTACAATACAAGCAGGCGAGTCTGGTGCTGAAAAAAAGTCTGCACGAGAAAAAAGGGAGCCGGTGACTTGGTGCAGGATTTGCAAGAGACAATTGTTGGAGAGTTGGATTGTATTCGTGGGCCTCTAGTTGTGGAATTTAGTGAGCAGATAACACCTTGTATCTCCATTGACCATTGTCTTTTCTTTCTGTGTCTTACGTAGTTAAAGTAGCGATCACCAGGTTCTATTATTGAATGAACAGAAGGAGTTCTTTCTCTGCTTGTCGTATAGTGGAAACCGTCCAATCATAGACGGCGCCAGAAGCAGGCCACGTGCCAACAGCCCTAAGCCCTATGCTGTGTCCCAGAAGGGTCTAGAGCGGAGCATCTTCTGCAAATGACGCCGCATCGAAAGAGTCTGGATGCAGAAGACTGCAGTTCGCATCGCGTCTCGCACTCTCCCTCGCTGTCGCAGGTAGTACAGCCCAACTACCACCGACGATGCCGTCCCCCTTCCTCACTCCCGGCTCCCACTCGAGCCTCGACCAGCTCGCCCTCCTCCACCTCCGCCGCGACCATGCCATCCCGACGGTCCTGTGCCTGCACGACGAGGACAACGCCGGCTACAAGGAGGGCAAGGTGACGACGACGCGCTTCGGTTCCTTCCCGCACAGTACCCTCACCGACCAGCCCTGGGGCTCGCAGATCGGTGCCTCCAAGGTCGACACGGGCTCGCGCCGTGGCCGCGGCCCCCAGAAGAAGAACCACAAGCTCAAGCGCAAAGCCGAGGAGCTCGACTCGGCCACCACCACGACGCCAGGCGACGGCGATGCTCCCCAGGCCGCTGTCGCCGCCTCCAGCGGCTTCCTACATCTCGTCTATCCCACCCCCGAACTCTGGACCACCTCCCTCCCCCACCGCACCCAGGTCGTCTACACCCCCGACTACAGCTACATCCTGCACCGTCTACGCGCCCGCCCCGGCACCACCATCATCGAAGCCGGCGCCGGCAGCGGCTCCTTCACCCACGCCTCCGTCCGCGCCGTCTTCAACGGCTACCCCTCCGACCCCTCCGCCTCCAACAACACCAAGAAGCGCCGCCTCGGCAAGGTCTGCAGCTTCGAGTTCCACGAGCAACGCGCCGCCAAAGTCCGTCAAGAGATCACCGAGCACGGCCTGGACGGCCTCGTCGAAGTCACCCACCGCGACGTGTACCGCGACGGATTCCTCCTCCAACAGCCCAAGACCGGGCCCTCCCCCAAAGCCAACGCCATCTTCCTCGACCTGCCCGCCCCCTGGCTCGCGCTCAAACACCTCGTCCGCCACCCCGCCGACGGCAGCGAATCGCCCCTCGACCCCTCCTCCCCCGTCTACCTGTGCACCTTCTCGCCCTGTCTCGAGCAAGTCCAACGCACCATCAGCACCCTCCGCCAGATGTCATGGCTCTCCATCTCCATGGTCGAAGTGAACCACCACCGCATCGAAGTGCGGCGCGAAAGGACCGGACTCGAGTATGAGCGCATCCGCGGTGCCGTCGTCTTCCCCAAGGATGTCGATGAGGCCGTCGTCAGGATGCGCCAGGTCGAGGACCATTCCCGCAAGTACCGCGAACTGATGCTCAAGATGGATGACGATGAGACCACGCCTATCCCCCCGTCTTTGGCCAAGAAGACCGGCCCCGAAGATAAAGATCTCGCTGCCTCCGATATCCCCACATACAAGCAAGGCCGTCTGGTCCATCGCTCCGAACAGGACCTGAAAACACATACCTCCTACCTCGTCTTCGCTGTGCTTCCCCGTGACTGGACGGAGGAGGACGAGCGGAAGTGTCGCGAGAAGTGGGCCCCTCATCAGGTCGACGTCGTCTCGAATGAGAAACCCAAGGGAAAGAGGCAGTTGAAGCGGGAGAAGAAGCAGGCCGAAGAGCAACAGGAGGGTCAGAAAGAGGAGACTGCCGATGCTGCTGCTGAAAACGCGTAATAGAGACATGCTCGCATGGCCGGGTAGATTATAAAAGGATTTCTGTCTTCTTTTTCTTTTTTTTAATTGTTTTTAAGTTGTACAGGTTGTATATCATACACTTTTTACTCTCGCTTGGTGTGAATTCATAGCGGAATTTGAAATATGGATAGATATTCGTGCCTTGACTTCTTGTCTGGCTGTCAAATACCAGTGTCAAACGCTCGATTTGTGAGTAACACCTACCTAGGTAAAAGGGGAGCATTTATTTTACTGTCCCCTCATGTAGCATGGTCTGAGGTATCTAATGGTAAACGCACCAGCTCTACAACACTACGAAAGCAAATAGCCCCAGAGCCAACCACCATGATGCATTCAGTCAGCCGTGAACCGCTCATCCCATCATATCAAAAGCAATGCGAAAAGAGAAAAAAAAAAAGAAGTCTATGTATGTACAGAGTTATAAGGCTCAGCGCAAATAAAATCATGAGCTGGTGTGCCCGCTTCACTGCGTGGAGTACAATAGAAGAAAGTGTTCCATTCCATGGTGTAGAGAGACTTTGGGTGGTAGGTAAGTAGGTAGGTAGGTTGGTTGGCTGGTTGATAATAAGGTTGTATGAAATCAACCCATCCCGGGAATCTAAGGGAACAGATATTTGGTTGAGATAATAGAGATGAAGAGAGTATAGACAGGCATATGTGTGATATCAATTCAGGGATATGGATGGATGGATGGATGATGGTGAGATATGAGGTAGGTAAGAGAGATGCTAGAGGTTGTTCTCCTTCTTGAACTTGTCCCAGGATTCGTTCAGGACACCGAATACGGCACCTGCGATCATGCGTTGTTCGGTCGTGGCGTCGGTGGAGATCTGGATAGATTATTAGCTATGATATTGTGACATGATGATTATGGGAGTAGATAAGGTAACATACCTTGTCGGGGTGAACCTTTGCAATCCCCTTCATGTACTGTATCTTCACCTTGTTTGGCATGATCAGCTCGGACATGTTCACCTTCTTCCATCCGGATTCCGGCCATAGGACAGTATCCAAGCTGCCTAGCAACGCTCGCAAGTTGTCTTGTTTCCCGTTCTTCCATGCAGCCAGTCGAGCATCGACGCTTTCGGAGAGAGCAAATTTCTCTTCGTCGGCGCGCTCGGCCGCTTGATTGGCTTCTCGCAGGCGGGTAACGGCCTCGAAAGAGGTTCCAGCCGGGGTTGAACGGCCCTGGAGGTCATCCAGAGCAGACACTTTCTTGGGAGCGGGAGCTGCAGCAGGAGGCCGTCGGGCCGGTGTCGAAGGCTTCGGGGCAGGCTTGCCAATGCCAGCTGCCTTTTCGCACCGGTTGCGGCCTTGGATACTGGTGCTGCCGCCATGGCCATTCTCAACCGCCAGTTTCCATATCTGGGCAGCCTCCGCCCATCGTTCGAGATTTTCCAGGGCTTCGGCTTTCCGCATCACTGCCTTGCCAAAGAAGTCCTTCATTGACTTATTGGGTTCGCCGTTGCCAAGCTCGATGCTCTCGTTTTCACCCTTCGCGGGGCCGATCAGTTCTAGGATAGTGTCCGCGTCACTGATGGCCACCTTGGGCTCTCCGATTTTCAGAGCGGTCATGGCACGGTTGCTGCGGATCATGATAGTAAGAGGGTGCTTATCTGGAAGTGGTGCAAGGGCCGCTGTAAAAGCCTCGTGGGCAGCTGCATAGTCGCCTCTCTTGTAGGCTTCTGCTGCGGCGCCACGCTGGCGATGCGTAGTGGCAAGAGCATCTTGAGATACTGGTGGTACAGCTCGAGGCGGAGCCTTGGGCCTTGTGGGTAAAGTGGAAGATGGGGGAGATGTCCACGACGACTGAGCCGGTGCGGGTGAAGGCCTCGGTCGCTGAACGGGCGTTGGTGCTGGACTCTCGAACAAATCGACCTGTGGCTCCGGAGCAGGCGACGGGGCAACGGGGCGTTTCCTTCGTGCAGGACTGACATATGCCTGTGCCGACTGCTCCTCCACGGCGGCTTTTGTTAACCGAGACCGGGGATCCTTCGTTTCTGTTCGGAGCTGCTGTTGCATGAAAGCCGGTTGTTGGACACGTCTTTCGCTCGCTGGGGACGGTTGATTCCGGAAACCATTACTGCTTGCACGGGGGGAAGGCCTGTCATTCGATCGCATAGTATTACGAGACGGGCGCATGGGCCCGCCTGATTCTAGCAGAAGTGCCTCGTCGGTCATGGTTTCAGGGCGAGCTTCGGACTTCTCGGAGACCCGAGTACGGTCACTGAATGACTCCTCACGCGCGGAAGGCTCTCTCAGCCACCGAGGCTGGTTTGGGTCATGTTCCGCATTGAACTCCTGGACCACCTGCTGTACCTTCTTGCTCCCAGACTTCCAGAGGGAGTTCGCTGTTTTGAGCAGATTGTTTCCAAACGCCGCCGCCACTTGCGACGGATCCTTGTCTGCGGACGAGGGAGTCCGGTTGTTGCTGCGTGACCGCTCTTGTTGCATCCACGACGGCACATCGCGCCCGTGTCTCTCACTGCGCTCTCTGCTTCCGCTCGGGTGTTCAGAGAGCCGTTCGTTCGGACTTGGTCGACTCCTGGACTTTTGGCGAGAGTCTTCATGCGCCTGCGTGAGGAGTAGACCAACAGCCGCCTGAACATCGGTGCCGGATGACGTCATCCTCAGGGCCTGGCTGGCTTTGTCTGCAGGGAATCCCATATCAACGAGCTCGGCAATCGCCCGATCAACTCCATTAGTCGGTTTGGGAGGCGGAGTGCGGTCTTCGCTTCGGGTCGGGGAAGGTGATTTAGCAGGGGGGTCTGGTCGAGGGATCTCCGATACAGGCTTGCCCAGCAAGCCGAGGAAGTCATCGTCATCGGCCTGAGAGGGCTGGGGCGGTTGCGCAGGCTTGGGCTTCAATTGATTCAGACCGAACGGATCGTCGTCGTCGGGAAATGTCATTGTGTCCTTCTGCCGGGAGGCGCCTGCATTGTTCGAGGCAAACGGCGACGAGCCTGTGTGTATTTGCGGAGACGGGCTGGGGCTGGGAACGGGGAAGTTTGTCGACGCGTCCACAGGCGCAGAGGCGTTGAAAGCAGCAAGTATATCATCCTCATCGGCAATTGTTGCGCTCTGCTGAGCAGGGGTACTTGACGAAGCAGTCCTGTTGCTCCCACCCGTTTCCAAGTTGTCCCAGAATTGAGAGTTTTGTCCCCCGTACTGTTTCTCGAAGCGGGATCTGTTCTCCGCCTCCTTTTTGGCTCGCTCCTGCTCCAGTCTCCTTTGCTGCTCGATCAGAGAAAGGTTCTTGTTGGCATTAGAGGAACCGAAGGACACCAGGTTCGCAAAGCTGTCTTTGTCGGGGATCGCGGACTTGGATTGAGCAGCAGTCGCGGGGCCCGAGGAGGCAGACAGGGGTGTAGAACGGCCAGAGGTGTTATTCGGCCTGGCGCTCGGGAAGAGGCCCGAACTCATCGGCGGGGGCTTGCGGGCGTCGTTGGACGAACTGGGGGTCCAGTTCAGACCGTTGAGGTCGTCCATGATGGTTATGTGAGGCGTATCAATGAGGATGGAGACGGGTCTGGAGGGGTTGGATTAGGATGGAGGCCGATGTGGATGTGAGGATGCCATGATCTTATCTCACCATCAAGCGGGATGAGTGGATCCAGTCGGGGAATTGAGGGCTGGAGCTCACAGATGATGCTGGATGTCTAGTCGCGATATGACCACGATTCGGTCAGAGACTCATTCCGGCGCTCAGGGCGGGGGACGGTTCGATGGTCCCGCCAACTGTTGTCTCGACTTGCCCCTGGCGATGCGGCGATGGAAGAATGGAGGGCCGCGACCGTCACCGTGGCTGAGGGAATGGGGCTGATCGGGGGCCGCTGTGGCGGTGTCATGCGTATTAGTCACGTGGTACGTTGACTGGCACGTGCTGCCGTGTCACGGTATCCTGCTGAATAATCATGCCCGAGCTCGCCCGTTTCTTTACATAACAACAACAACAACAACAACAATGACGACGGGAGCCGTAACAAATCTACCTGATGGACCTAGTCGGATCAATATCCACCACACAGTGGACCCCGAATCTAGACTGTTGGCCGGGTGAGATTAATATTGGACGGACGAAAGGGATTTCTGCAAGGTTAAACGACAGGGGTTCGACACTGGCATGTGAACGCTCAAAGTACATCGACGCCTACGCAATACGCGCATGCACTGCTAAAAGAATTGCCGTTTTGACGTGGACTGCGAACGCGCTCTAAAACCTAGATTTAAACGTCTCGTGAGGCTGCCTCTGCCATCTCTCTGCTCGGTTCTCCTTGCACGGCTGCACCTTGGGTTTGCTGTGTAGATCAGCGGCTGGCTCCAGTGGGGATAACCTCAAAGAGTCGAATAGGAGCACTGGTATCTGGAGGACTGTATCCGGATCCGTTCTGGACACACGGCAATTCGCTCTGGAGAAGTGGGAACTATGGCCAGGACCGCCGTACCACACGGTCAGGCTTAGCCATCCGAGGTTTGCCCACGGTAAGAACTGGACCGGGCGTCCTGAGTGGATGATGGAGGCTGGAGCCGTGGTCCTCCGGAACCCCAAGGAGAAATATTAAACGGGAGAGACGCCTAAGCGAGAGGGTCGTACGAGAGAGTGAAGCTCAAGAACAACTAGCGATCGCGCTTCGAAGAGGGGAACAAGTCCACAGGGCCGGTGTGACTGACAATTTCTGGAGCAGTTTCACGGTGAGAGCGTGTCTCGGAGAGCAAAAACCAACAGCGTCAGCCGGATCCCCCGCACAGAAGAGGCCTCGAAGGCTCGAACTCGAAGCAGCCATTATTTTTTTTTTCGCAACGTCGTTGCGGGTGATATCGAAAGGGTTCCTACAGTAGTGGGTGCATGGCAGCCACGGCTCACCAATTGGAGAAAAGACCTGCGCCAACCTGGCATGTCAGCACTCAGAGTCTCAAGGAATCCCGACGGGAGAAGTCCGCTCCCTGCCAATCATCGCGGATGACAGCCGTGGCGGACAGGGATGCGCGATAGCGTCGCAGGGAGCATCGGGAATTATTCCAATACCGACCAAGCGGGGGACTAGGCCACCACCTTGACAGGAAGCCTGACATGGTGTGCACGATCCCACGGGTAAACCGTCTGGATGTCTTACTACGGAGCACTCGACATGTCTTTTAAGCCCCCGACAGCCGAGACTGGCCCCGGCATGGTCATAGTGACGGATCACGGATGGATGGAGGGCCACCCGTCATCTCCACTGGATGCTGATGTTGGTGGCGGAATTTCGGGAAGCAAATGTCGCGATAAAACGCGTAGACAAGGATAATAATAATAACAATAACAACAACAACAACAATCGCACTAAAAACCCAGTCGGAGGATTGGCATCTGATCTCATCATCTTTGGGAGCCGCTGTGGATTACAGGCTCCGGGTAAGAGCTATCGACGTGCCTTGATCGCCATGAGTTTATCCAGGCGCCAGATGATGCCCAATACTAGCAGCAAACAGTAAACAGTAAACAGTAAACACCAGTACTGGTCGTTACTCTCCTCGAGAAGGAAACCTTAAACGTGAAACCCGCGCGACCCAGCAGTATGGCCAGGCCGCCAGGGCCGTGTTTTCCGCGTTAGCGGGTGCGCCGGTGCATTGACATTTCGAGGGGAGGAGGGGCTTGCGGGCTTGCAGTTGCAGCATCGCAAATCACATAGTACTTTGCTCTGCCTAAGAGATTTTCTTTATCGTATCGAAAAAGTACTGCGATGTACCTACTACCACTTCGTCCACTTACAGGTCCCGCGCGGAGTCCCTCGGACGTATCCCTCCCCCTCTCTCACGCAGTCACTTCCCTTGAAAGGGCTGTTGTCCCCTCATCATATGATTCTGACCTGCCTTAGGTACCTAAAAAGCCCCCCCGACTAGTAAAAATACGCCCATGGGGGACTGAAGTGCCCTTCCCTACTCGTTCCTGTCCAACGGCATGCAGGTCGATACCACTCCCGCTGCCCTGCAGTGGGTCCGCTCACGCAATAGAATTCATTATTATCAATAGCAATGTCAGTCCAGTCACCATGGCCAACCACCACACTGCCTGCCCACAATAGAATATTGTAATATCATCAGGTAATATACCTTGCCCTCTTCGACCAATCTTGAATCTAGGGTTCGCCTCCCTGCAGAGTTCCTCAGCTAATGAACCCAGGTTCTGTCTGTTGTGTGGTACGTGCCTGCTGCCTTCATGGGTCATGGATGGCCCCGGTTTCTGAAATTTCCTTCCCGTCCATACATACAGTACAGACTTTCATACGGTATATACGGTACTGCAGGTGATTTAGTACCGGACATTGTTGCCCGTCGTACAGACAATACCTGTAATGATCACTTGCAGCACACACACAGAGAGACTGGCTTCTCCCCGGCCGATCGTCTTGGACTACTGCATCTATCGTGACTCGAAAGGGACCTCAGACGCGCGACATCGGCGACGCGGATATCGCTGGAGGGGTAAGAAGTCAAACTTAATGTCAAAGACGATTCTTCCGGCCGAACTCAATTTAAAGACCAACATATCTATCTATCTACTAAGTAATTTACAGCTAGGGGCGACTTGATAAGATACTTCAGTCAATATGGTCTTCTGTAGATACCACCTACTGACTGTCTGATGTGAGCCTTCAAGCGCCAAAGCAGACGGATGTGATGAATCGTGCCATGACTGTGTATAGGAGCACCAAGTTCCAGCAAAGGTACAACTGAAGAGGGTTCCAGACTTTATGTATTATTCCTGCCTCGTGCCGAAGCGATTTGCTCCACAGGAGCTCGCTGGTCCAACTACTGCTACTTATATCCTTGGTTCGACCAGGGTATGCCCTCGAACCCATGATCTGGATTTCAGGCCCTGGCCCTGGAGAGGAAGCCGTAAAAATGAGTGACCTCGCAAGTTCCAAGTCTTTCGAAAATGAGCCCCTCGTCGAACCAAATGTCCACCATAAGTACGGTAGATTCGTCAGTATGCACCAACGGTGTAAATATATCAACTCTCAGGGGGCCTGATGTGATGTGTGGCATTTTCTCATCGCACTCCTGGTCTGCTAGCCAAAAGTACTAGACTTTCTGACACCTGAGGTTCATTTATATGAAGCAGCTGTCAGTGCGCCACATGCTCGGATGTAATTAACTTGGCGACCCCGCGAATGTACTCCGAACTCCAACTCAAATGCCAGTAAATTAGGTATGGAGTACTGGTCACAAGGGACAGGACGGGATTGACATGTTCTCTCGGCCCCTGTGTAGTATTCAGTTGTGTCAACTCTGGATATATATCCCGAGGGTACATCCCAGTACTCTGTACCCCCCAAAAACTGTCATCTCTTAAATATGCCGAAGTATCTGAAAGGAAACAAAAGACCCCGCTAGCTGTCCAGTACTAGTCGTTTGCTATGGAATATCTCGCGTCATTGAGATCGACGCCGCAAAACCTATGTGCCGAAGGACGATCTCCACTCGAGCCATAGCTGCGCGTATCGGCAAGCTCCCTTCGGGAGTCGAATCGCGTATCTACGAGATGGAAATAGAGTTGCCGATCTATATGCAAATTATCGTTTCTTCGTGTCGGTTGCTAAACTTGGATGCTGTGGTCGGCGGCGGTACTGGGTGTGCAACTCCGAGCATTTCGAGTTCGCTTGAAGCGCTGGGAGTTTGATCATTGAGTGTCTCGTGTTGGGAGGGAAAGGAGGGGGGGCTGGTCCCTGCTCCAATTGCGTACCACAATATGGCCAGCACCCATAATACTGAGGCTATTGTCGAGGTGTGCCCCCTGTCTTACCTACATGGCCTGGCCGTCGCTTGACATTGCTCGAGCCCAGCGTTGTGGCGCAGCAACGTACGGTAAATACTGACATTACCGCACTCAGTATACGTGGCATCAGACTATCATCCAAATATAGTCCACTGGGGAGTTCGTGACACTATTTCCGCTCCAATCGCCTTCCTGGGGGGGCAATTTGCCACCAGCGGTGGATCGGGGTTGGATTAGTATAGCAGAAACACCTTAGTGCGCGGAAGGCTCGAAGCTGCAGCAAGGCTCAGTGCTGCCGGACCACAACATTCGTCGTATGAGATAGTAATCATCTTTCTATGCTGGGGCGATATTCAGGGCGAGAGGACGCTGACGAGATAGGCTTGCGCTTCTCACCCAAAAACAAGCGCAGACCATATATCAATAGACCAGGGGATTTTCCTGATAGGCAAACTATAGCAGCTCACGTGGCATCTGAATAGGAACTATTCGTTCTGTCGAGTGTCGTTACTCGATAGATACCGATCAACGAGCCACCCGGGAAAGTGGTCAGGTGCTACCCCATATCCAGACATGTGTCGGTATCTAAGGGAAACAATGTCAAATCGGTGGAGAGCTTGACTGGCATCCACAAATGCTGTTCTCAGGTGACCAGATGAGGGGGTGGTAAGGTGAGGCTCATTGCGTATGCTATACACAATCTGTCCTCCGGTCGAGTCGGCTCCGGAGCTCCTAGCTCCCAGCTCCCCTCAGGGATTCAGGGAGAAAGAGACGCCAGAGCCAAGAATCATGACTCCAGTGTCAGGCAGCTATTGTGATTCGGTGGATTCCCTGGGTTGAGGCGCTGACTCGAACCCCTCTGACTAGCAGTCAGATCCGCCGCGCTGGGGCGAGGGGAAACAGCAGAGCCCGGTATAGCCTTGAGCGCACGCTTGTCTGTGCTCATGGCGGTCCTCTTTTTTTTCTGGTCCTCGCTAACTTAACCTACATTCCATTGGTTCCATCGATCTGGATATTGGCTGCCTTGGTCGGCCGTAGCACCGAGTAGTCAGTGCTAGAGTGCTAGGGGAGGTGCTAGCCGTCTAGGACCCGTTGGAACCGCTCCATCCTGGGAAATTTGCACTTTACCAGATACGGGCCGGTATAGGACCCCACCTCGGAATACCGCTCTGGTATGGTATGGTATGGTATGGTCGGCGTCATCGTATGGGGGCGTATGCGTGGTGGCGTGCAAGCACCACCATGCGGGCATGTACTAAGTACTGCACCTACTGCACCTACTTACTGCTAAGTACATCCTTAGGGCATATCGGCCATGCCTCAATGCAGACGCCCACTGGTCTGATAGATATCTGAGCTCACCTCATCTCCATTGCCACGGACTGGAGACTCCGCGGTAGTCCTGGTCCCTGTGCGGGTGTACTATCTACTATCAGTCAGATCCTCCCGGTGCCCCTCCCTTCTATACTGGTAAGTATCTACCAGTCTCATTGCACCGACTGCACTGCACTGTACCTACATCTTACAGTTTACATGTACAAGAATGTAAACGGTAACATCTATTACGATTCGGGCCAATTGTCCCTATCAAACGCTAAATCGGCCACTCCGCCATGCAACCCTTTTTAACAATTAACATCGACTGGAGCCTTTCCGACAAGGCCTCTGCCCCCCTCAAGCTCTCCACCTCCCGACTCCGAGGCTCGACTAGTTTACTGGTTATGCTCCGTGTAGGTACCAATGTGGCTACTGGCCACTCCTTTTTGCTCCAATGATGGCGTCCTAGTTTGGCTGCTAACCTCCCTAACCTTTCCTAACTGCCCCTAAGCTCACTCGTCTAGCCGCCCCGCTCCGTATTATTCTGGTTATTATTATTGTCCTTCTTATTATTAGTATTATTGTCCTTCCATGCCGGAAGGGAAAAAATAGACCCAAAGGGTGAAAAAAGGGAAAAAAGAGGACAGAGAGTAAAAAAAAAAAAAAAAAACAAGAGTCAGAGTGAGAGGCAAACCCAAGCACACCCATAAGGGCCTTCCTTTTCTTCTTCAGTCTCCCGCAACCGCTGCAGATTATCATCCATCCTTCTGTGTACTTCTTCCCCCCCCCTCTTTTCCCCTCCGGCGCCCATTTTTACGCCCTGCATTTCTGCTCGCAGGGAACTCCTGTGCAGCTCCATTCTTCTCTCTCTGAGTTCCACCTCCCGTCCAGACCCCGGGCTCGACCACATATTCTGTTTTCTAGGCGTCAGGGAGCGTTTACTGTGCTTCAACCCCCGTTCCCGAAACCCTCCCCCCCCCCCGGAACACCCGATCTTGTCACCATGGGTATCTTCAAGCGCAAAGACTCGAAGAACTCGATCCAGAGTGATCGGGATGACCAGGAATCCTTCGCCACCGTCAACAGTGCTCGTACCTCGAATGCGTCGTTGAGATCCCCCGGCTACAAAGGAAGCGGCCTGCCTGCCTCCATCCCAGAACTACCGATTGCCAAACCACCTGACCCGGCATTGGACCCCGCCGCCTACTTGCGAAGCATCCATGCCGTCCGCGAGAGATGTAGCTTGGTTCTGAACAAGGCGAAGAGGAACCGACTGAACCACTTCGATGTGGATATGGGCAAGTTCGAGGCCACCGCATCCTACATCGTATCGATCATCAAGGTATGCCATTCCTAGCGGTACTCTCCTGATCCTTTCATGTGAGTTCTTTCCTTCGGCTTGCTGACGCGAACCTCCCTCCAGAGAGACTACTCCCCCGACTACGATTCCATCCCTCCTCATGGCCGCTGGCAGCACTTCGACGTCGGTGGTCGACCCCGCGTGAACCAATTGCTTCAGTCGTGGCCCAGCACTATCGACGCGCAAGAGCGCACCCGGCGGTTGATCGATCTTTTTGTTGTCTCTGTCCTTCTCGATGCGGGTGCCGGTACCAGATGGTCATACAAGTCGAAGGAGTCGGGCAAGATCTACTCCCGGAGCGAAGGTCTGGCCGTGGCTACGCTGGAGATGTTCAAGAGTGGCCTGTTCAGCAGCGATCCTACGGAGCCTTGTCAAGTAGACGGCGCAGGGCTGAAGAAGATCACGGTTGATGTGCTGGCCAAGGGGATGCAGCATTCAGAAAGCAACGCGCTAGCGGGCATTGAAGGCCGCGCGGGGCTTCTTATCCGGCTCTCCGAGGCTCTCAACAACCAGGATTTCTTCGGAGTGGATGCTAGACCTGGCAATATGCTTGGTAAGGACATCTCGCTGGATGTCGTACCACTCGCTAACGTCATTAGACTACCTCCTTTCGCATCCCTCGACGCTTGCTTCTTCCGTTCCAATCGTCCCTATCACCACTCTATGGAGCATCCTCATGGATGGGTTTTCCCCCATCTGGCCCCCCTCTAGAACGCAGATCGATGGACTATCTATTGGAGACGCCTGGCCATGCTCGGATCTACCCAGGTCCCCTCCCGCGCAGCCCTGGGAAAATATCGTCCCGTTCCACAAACTTACGCAGTGGCTCTGCTACTCTATCATGGTGCCGATGTCGAAGTTGATGAAGATCCACTTTGCTGGGAGCGAACTGCTCACGGGTCTTCCCGAGTACCGGAACGGTGGTCTGCTGATCGACATGGGCCTGTTGAGTCTGAAGGAGAAGGACCTCGAGCGAGGCATTACGGCGTTCAAGGAGAATGCGCAGATCAAGGGCCAACCGAACATGGAGGTCGTGCCCCTCTTCTCCACGGACGACGACGTGGTCGTCGAATGGCGGGCGGCTACCGTGGGATTCCTGGACGACCTGCTGGACGCCGTGAACTCCCAGTTAGGACTGGTGGGAGAGGACCAGCTGACACTGGCGCAGATGCTTGAAGCTGGATCATGGAAGGTATGTAGAATTCCCGGCGACTTATGTGGATGTCCGTTAACATATGATGGCAGGGTGGACGTGAGATCGCGGAAGTCTCGAGGCCGAACACGAAAGAACCCCCGATCATGATTCGCTCCGACGGCACTGTTTTCTAATGATCGCATACCCTGTTGATGTTTTGGATACCTGACACCGCCAGTTCGGCACCCGTTCCACGGCTGGTGGTAGTGTTTACGACTTTGATGACCAGATGTTTATGCGTCTCATTCCTTACGGCCGCTGGGGCCCTTTTGAGCTTTGTACCATGCCTTGCTGCGTCACTTGGCACCTTTATACCTAATTGCTTCTGCTGTAGAATTGTCTCCGTGGGAGGTTTCATCTTTTCTTCCTGTACACATTTCCTTGGTTTCGTTCCACTTCTTGGCTATCTTGGATGAAAATGGGATAAAAAAAGTTTTGATGATCTTGGTTCTTTCTGTCTCCTTCATTCTTGACCCTGGTTGACTAGCTGAGCCTATAATCCCTGCAGTCCGCTGTGGGTACTTTCCGGATGATAATGCACTTGTCTTAAGAGCCACCAACTGCGAGCGGAGCTTCATGATTGGCAGCACCGGAGGGTTTGTAGCACGGCCCTGGAAGGGGGAAGTCAGCAGGGACTGTCAAGGAACGCCACTGACGTGCGTTCCAGAGGGTCAGTTGGGACCGTCTCTTGCCTCCGCTGCCAGCCGCGGCCAGCCCGGGCGCTTGGCCCGTGCCTCGGGCATCCCCACGTGACGGGGCCGGAACATTGTTGACCCCGGCGGAGCTCATGCAATGACGCCGGAAGGCTGGTCATCCGCTGGCTGCTCTCCGTCCAACCACCCTCAGCCCCCCATTGCTTGCGGATTCAGTAGCCTGCCTCGCCTGGAAAGGTCCCAAACCCCCATGGGCACGAGCTATCTAGGCAGCTTATGAATGTCACTCCTCTCCACTGCTGTCGTCCTCTGCAACGTCCACTACCCGTCAGTGCGGGGTACGGTTACCGGGTAGCACGAGGGAATCTGCCGCAATGGATATGCGCAAGAAGAAGAGAAAGGTCCTCTTGATGGGCAAGAGTGGCTCCGGGAAATCGTCCATGCGCTCCATTATCTTCAGCAACTACGTCGCCAAGGATGTCCGGCGGTTGGGTGCGACCATTGACGTCGAGCACAGTCATGTCAAATTCATGGGAAACCTCACGTTGAACCTGTGGGATTGCGGAGGGTAAGTCCACGAGCAATTGCGCGGCCTGCCACTGTCTAACCAATGCCCCTCGTGTCCAGGCAAGACGCATTCATGGAAACCTACCTCGCCTCCCAGCGAGGGAACATTTTCTCCGACGTTGCGGTCCTTATCTACGTCTTCGATATCGAATCACGGGAGGTCGAGCGGGATCTGGACACATACAACTCCATCATCAACGCCCTGAAGGAATACAGCCCCAATGCCTACGTGTTCTGTCTCGTGCACAAGCTGGATCTCATCCAGGCTGAGCACCGCCAGCGCATCTACGACGAACGGTCCGCCCTGATCCGCAACCGTTCGGAGCATTTCACCATCGACACCTTCGGCAGCAGCATCTGGGACCAATCGCTGTACAAAGCCTGGGCCGGCATCGTCCACAAGCTCATCCCCAACCTCACGGTCATCGAACGCTTCCTGCAAGCCTTTGCCAAGCGAATTGACGCCGAGGAAGTGATCCTGTTCGAACGCTCCACCTTCCTCACCGTGACATCCGTCTCTTCCGAAATCGGAGACATGAACCCCATCTACGACCGCCACGAACGACTCTCAAACATCATGAAGGCCTTCAAGCATTGCGCCGCCCGGAACACCCACACCACTCCCGCATCCGCCGGCTTCGTCGTCATGCATACCAAGACCCCGCAATTCAACGTCTTCCTCGGCCGCTTCACCGACAACACGTACATCTTCCTGGTCGTACCACCCGGCGAGGCCGCCTACAACTGCGCTGTCTTGAACACAATGCTCGCCCGTGAGGGGTTCTCCAAAGCCGCCACCACCGGCCACGGCGACGGATTCCCCCTCCTCGCCGCCGAATCCCCCGACAACTCCACCCACAACAATAACAACGGGATACACTGATTGTCAGGCCTAAAACTCCCCCCTTCCAAACAACCTCCAACACACCCACCACGTCTAGACACCCAAAAACCAAGGGTCCACAACCCCTACCCCCCAATCCGAACATCAATAACCAAACCAAACCTCTATGCGTTGCGATGTTCGACGCTCTGATCCGATCCGATCCGATCCGATCTGATCGGCTTGGTCTGGTCGGTCTGGTCTGGTCCGGCCTGGCCCAATCTGGCCATGGAGTGAGTACGTAATGCGACCTGTTTCTTTTTCGAGATACCCTATAGCATGCATGCATGGCATATTGTATGTATTCATTCATTACTTCCGACCAGTTCATCAACCCACTTACTATCTATCTATCTATCTATCTAACCACCCTCCTATCTGGTACCTTTATCATCCCGTGTTCCATCTAATGTAACATGCTGACGAATGAGAATTTAAAAGTTAATTTCATCCTTTTTTTTCCTTTTGCTTTTTTTTTGTGATTTTGTTCTTGTTATTACATTTACCTTTGTTATCTCGTGAATTACCGGGGAGGTTATATGTATGGTCTTCAAGACAGGATTGTGACGATGGTGATGACGGTGATGTGATGTAAGCGGGTCTGAGCCTTACGAGTATAAAAACCCGGGGGGAAGAGAGGGGGGGAAACAAAGAAACATCCATCACATATGTATCATAGCAGAAGAAAGAACGGAGAAGAGGGCAAATGGATCCGATGTTTATGATTACCTATCTATGTAGAGCGGACCCATGGATCGACGGTTGGAGTTTTCTGCAGCCTGATGGGGGAAGAGACAACAAAGCTACTTTAGCCACTACCTGGTGCTTAGTTACACCTAAGCCCTATCTAGTACTTCTAGGCGTCGGAAGGAATCTGTTTGTTTGCTACAGACTAGCCCAATACAAAGTATACAAGGAAATGAAGGAAGACCACCACAAAAACAAACCACCCCGCAAAAGATACGATATCTATTGGAACTAAGAAAAAAAAAAGGAAGGGGAAAAGAAAGAGAAAACGCTTTACATCATTGTACATCTGGCATGCGGACAGCAATGTCGCCTGATTGTGTTATATATCGGACCCATGGGAGGGAGGGGTATTGTAGCTGCAGTGGGAGGAAGAAACAGATCAGCACGGTCCTTCTGACATATTACGCCAAGGCAAGAAAGATAGGGATGGCTTTATCTGGGAAAGAAAGAAAGAAAGAAAGAAAGGAGAGGGGTGGGGTAGAGACATACCTTGGGTTCAGTAATCTTCAAGTAACGGACTTGAATACCACTGGTGGTGAAGTAAGGGATCTCGAACTTGACGCTGATGGGCCGCTTGGCCTTGCCCTGGCCGGTACCGCCCATGCTGCCTCCAAAGCCACCGGTCATGCCGCCGCCGTGCTCGTCATCGCCCTTGACAGAGGGGAGGCCCAGCTCGGCGCGCATGAGGAACTCCTTGCCGCCGCCGAACTGCTTGATCTTCCAGATGATGGCGGACTTCTCGGGCGCGTAGTGCACGGTGCCGATGTTGGTGCGGAAACGGGGCGAGTCAGCGTCTTCGGGGACGGGGACGAGAATTTCGACGTTGTTGGCCGTGCTGCGGCGCTTGAATTGGGCTTTGGCCTGTGGGGGTGTGGGTTAGTGGTGGGCGGATTTGGTTGTGAGAGAGAAGGCGGGAGGGGAGGGGGAGACGCACCTTCAGCATGTATTCCATGCGGGAACCGGAGTGCGACTCCACCAGACACTCCACCCAGATGAGAGGCTTCACTTGCGTGTTGAGACGGTAGCTCATCAGCTCGAACTCGCCGTCCGGGGGGATGAAGCTGATCGTGCGGTCGTTCTCGAACCGGGACAGTCGTACGCACTGGTGGAACTTGACGTCCTCCATCTCCACGGCCTTGCCTCTTGTCGCGCGACCCGTAGTCTCGAACATGACCTTGTCGTTCAGACCCAGACGCAGCTCCGGCATCCCACTCAGGTAGCACTTCATCTTTATGGCTCCCAGGATCTCCGATCGTAGCACGTTACCAGACGCAGATACGAGGAGGTTCAGGGACTCTACAACATCAAGGAACACTTCGTTCTTGCGGTACCGGATGCCCTCACTACGCCACGAGACAGCGTTGGTGACGGCGATGGGTGGTCGGGCTTGGACCTCCAGCTTGTGTGATTCTTGTGTGATGTATCTGCCAGGGGTTTGTTTCGTCAGCCGGGGGTGTGTCTGGTCTCCCGAGATCGCCTTACTCTTGCAATATCTTGCTCTCTGTTGTCTGTGGGTACCCGAAGTCCATCATCTCGTCGAGCAGTTCGTAGATGATGACGAAGTTATCGCGGATACTCTCCTCCTCCAGCACCTTGAAGTATTCCGTGAACACCTCCACGATCTTGTGTAGGAAAAGGAGGATCTCGGTGGCATTGGTGTTCTTCTTAGTCAGGGCGAGGATGTAGAGGTTGCTGTGACGGATGTAGAGGTACTGAACAGAGCGTATGTCAGCAATTGGTACTATCAGGTTACGTTCCATGCGCGGCATGCATATAGTAAGGGTGGGAGGCCAGCAGCGGGTTGCGGGGAACGGCGGGGGAAGTGCAGGAGCGCCGCAACGAGACCCGGACACGAATACGTACGTTGATGCCTTCATGGGAGAAGCACGGAGCCACGGCGGAGCTCTCTTCTTCGGCGTCACTGAGGAGGATGGGAAATTTCTCAACGGCGGACATGGGGATGTCTCCGCGGTAGTTTCGGGCTAGAAGGGTCTACTAGACGGTCAGGTTCCAGGGGAACACGGAGGCATTGGGGGGAGGGGGACAGCGCAAGGAGCCCGGGGAGACGCACCTTGCCCTTCAGGTCCAGGAAGAAGATGGCCGACGCCATCGCGGAGGATATGGGGGATAGGTCGTCGGGGGGAGAAGATGGAGGTCAAGAGCGCAAGCTGCGGGAAGGCAGTCGGGCAGGCAGTGGAGGAATGGCGGGAGGCTCTGGGCGAGATTAGATTCCACGGGAGAGGCCAGCGAATCCACTAGTCACCGGTGGAGGGAGCTTGGGTCGCGCATTAGCAGGAGGGGAGGGAGACGGAGCACGCGATGCTTCTCGGATGTGGCAGTGGGGCAGAAGAACTCACAGGCGCTGCAGAATGAGACGTCTTGGTCGGCGTCGCTGCGATGAAGCTGGAATGGCTCGAGTGGGCGATTGATGATGCGGCCTTCGGCGATGCGCTGGGGGTATGGCCCCGTACGCGATACCCCCGCCAAGAAGAGCTCTAAAGGTGGGTAAGTTACATGGGCCTGGTCATAGATTCGTTTAACGTGTATTGATGCCTCAGGGGCCAGAACCCTGAACGCTAAACCCGTTTCGAGCAGACAGATGTACTCGCTAGTCCCGATCAACGCTAGCGCGGGTCAGGTGCAGAGGATTTATTTCGCTCGCCGCGATTTTCGCTTCCTTCTCTTTTCTTTTCTTCTTTGTACCATACGCCCTTCCTAGACAGTGCATGGCAGTGCAAATTGCTTTTGTGATTTCTGCGTTCCGCATGGCATTCTGCTGTGCGGTCCTCGGTTTCCCATTGCTGCCATAGCGATACAAAGGAGCGAAGACTATGCATCGTTTTTCGAGGGTTCCATAAGAGCTGGCCGGGTATTTTGCTTACTGTTACCTGGGCGGCGTCAGAGGAACCGGACATTCCTTTTGCTATACCTGATAGTTTTGACCAGCATATATGCGTCTTATAAAAATGATATGATCTGATGGAGAGCAGAAGAACTTCCAGTGGTATTTGCAGTCACTATAAGACAAGTCGTAGATAAAAATACATAATATACGGTGGATGAAGTGTGCCCCCAACACATACAGAGAAGAACATCCAAGAAAAGGAAAAAAAGGAAAAGGAACAAACGCCTTGAAAATGCACCTGCGGCCATTTCCCGTAAATCAGCCTCCCAACTTAAGCCGAGATCTTGAATCCTAGCGGTTTCAGTATCCGCTCGCGGGTCACCTGGTTGGCAACCAGATTGCCCTTCTCCAGAGAGATGGCGCCGATAATGGCGTACATCGTGTGAGCGAGGACGAGCTCGATGCCGGAACTTTCGAGGTTGTTGGGCTGCGCACGAGCCATTGGTTAGCAAGGACATTGATTGACCATAGACCGAAACACAGAGCATCCATTGCAGGGATGAGACTCACCTTCCGAGGACTCCATCTCACCACTCTCTGCATATCATACTTGTAACCAAGCTCCGCCAGCCGCGTCTTGCTCGTAAGGAAGCTCTTCGTGTTGGGACTGAGGCTGGTCAGGGCATCCAATGCCGGGTGGGAAAAGGGCTTGCGGCCGTGGACATCGCGGCCAGCGGGGGGCATATTGTTGGGGCTCTGTACTAGAGCCAGAGAAGCCTGTAGGTGAACGATTTGTTTGCCTGTCCAAGGATCCGAATTAGCATCCTACCACCATCGTCATCATCATCATCACCATCACCATCACCACCGCTAATTGCACTCAATCCACATACCGACGAACGCCAATCGGTCGTTGAATCCTCTCCGACCCTGATCAAAACTCTTGTGCGTCAGTGCCAGCCACTTGGTTTCGTCCGAGAGCATCTTGTCGCCGCCACTGCCGAGCAGGAGGATGTAGAACCGGTCCACAACCTTGGGGTCGGTGTTGACGGGGAAATCAGGCCGCGTAGAGTCGAGCCCCCGCAGGGAGAAGGGGGCCTTGGTACGAGGGGGCGTGTACGACCACCGCGGCTTGTCTGTGTAGTCTACCGGTTCCTGGGTGGATGTCGACATGGCTCGCCGCGGAAGGAGAGCGGCCTCGACCGCGCCGGGGCGGATGAGGGAGCGGCATGCGGAGCAGGAGGCGGTCTTGACCGCGCGAGTCGAGAGGAGCGAAGCCATTGGGGGGGCAAGTGGCCGGAATTCGGGGTGGTGGGAGAGAGGGAGAAGGTCGCCAGGCCGGGTCTTTTCTCACGATCGATGGCGGCATCAATAATTCCCTCGACGGAGGAAGAATTCGGAGTCGACGCGCTAGCCCCGATCGGGATAGCGCCACCCGTCTCTTGGCCATACAGTAGAAACAGAGACATCAAACACTACATTCGACACGATCTGCGTCCGGATTGTCGTGATACGCAAATCATGCGATTTCGCCTCTCCAGTCAAACTGGACGCGTCTCGGTATCGGGAGCAGTGTCGTTGAGAGACACGGAACAGTACATGCCACACAAACTGCCAAACTTGGCGGATACGTGACTTCTACATGAGCGACGGGAACCAGTGCGAGCCACAGGCCAGGATCAGACCGATAGATCAGGCGAGGCTGGTGGCTAGCAAGCGGCATCTCGCGGGAAAGCGTCAGCTGGAAGCACCTTTGCCGTCTGGCCTCCGTTATACAGCCCGCACGAACAACGAGTCAGGCTAAACAGCCGAGCTGCACCTCCTCCGTCCCCCAGTTTCGCTGCGCGCGGGAGTCTACACCGCAACGTCGAGTGGCGACAAGTATATCTTCTGATCCCTGTCAGGATGTGAGACATGCCGGTTAGGAAGCGGGCAATGGTACGGAGTACTTTGTACTCGCAGTGACACTCGTGTCCCACATTCCCCGTGCGTTCTATACATCATGCTCCTCGAGCGGGTGAAGGCCCAGATGCCAATGGGGGAGATGGTATGGTTTCGTCGCCGTTTTCCATTGGACCATGTCGCTACCAGGAAGCATCGAGGCGACCTGCTGGACAGCATCGGAACCGGCGGTAAGCCTGCATGCCTCACATCCGACGGCACATAAACTTCAGGGTGACACAAGTCTAAGAGCCCAAACAATTATATGCGGATCATAGCAATAAGCATCATTACCGGCCGGCTATTTACGTCCGCCGAAAATTCCTGTCAACTCCTGTCGCACGGGAGAGTCGGGTTAGGGCTCAGGCATAGTAAATAGAGCAGATGCCCTCATGCATGAAGGCTCCCGGGACCGTTTCCCCCCACCTGCTTTTTCCTATTGAAGATTGCTCAGACCTCTCTGTTCTGGCCGTTGCTGACTTGCCTTGGAAAAGCAAAACTGGATCCCGACCGCGTCGACAGGGGCGCCGTGCAAGGATGCTGCGTGTAGATCACAACAGGAAACGCTGGCATTGGAGGAAGCATTCCGCCTCGATTTTTCCCTTCGCGGTCGCCGGCGGCTATCCAACTGTCAAGATTCCGATTCGACAGCAGCCGTGGAGAACGGTTCAATGCAGCCTCTGCAAGAAGAAGGAGCATTAGGTTTGCTGGCACTATTGTCCGGAGCTCTCCCCGCTTTCCTTAATTCTCGCCTTTCTTGGGTAACACCGAGGCCAGAAATAATCCACGTGTTCACATGCAGTGGACCTTGTACTCCAGATAATGGCCTGTACAGGGGACCCATTCGTACCTTTGCTGCCGTTGGAATCCCGTTTGGCTTGGGCGGACAATGAAGTCCTAGCCCTAAGGTATCTGGAGGCTTGGCTGGGCGATCTAGAACGGTACATATAAGGAAAGCAACAGCTGCGGACGAAGGGAGGATGGGCAAGAAATTGAACTGCTGCCAAGTTGTTGCTTTGCCGGTATATAGCAGTGAATTTGGTGGATTGGACGAAAATGTGAAGTTCGAGTCTGAAACCATGTTACGAAAGCAGAGTCGCGTATACACCAACGCTTCTCTGGGCTTCCAGGGAAATGCGAGTCACTGACGAATGTCTGCGACACGCCGACGCAGGAAACCATTCCGAAGCGAAGCCGGCAGATACTATAGCAGCCTAGATTAGACGAGTATAGGCGCAATCTCGGAGTTGAAGTTTGCCACAATTCGAGCGGCTGTAGTAAACCGTGAAGGAGCTTCTAGATTGTCAGTGATGCTAATCTTGTAATTCCCGGTGGCTGGGTGACTAGCCGGGCGAGGGAACAGACAGAGAAGAGACATACGGAGTACATAGCACGTAGATCATGATGCATCGAACCTTTGCAACGCTGGCTTCGTACTTTGAGGCGGATTTGACGATTGGTGGAGACAACGGCTGCAAGAACGCTGTTTAACATTTTATACCACCAAACATCCGCCGGGCCCTTGCAGGACTGGCGGAAATCGCATCAAGATCCGGCGACAGCCATGAAGATCACCGTTAGACCATCGGGAGGGTCATATCCACGCGGTTTCTTGCCGTTGATCGGATGTCGAACGGTATGGCGGTGTACGACTCAGCATCCTTCGGATCCAGAGCTGGGCTCAGGCTGGGTATTTAAGGCAGGTGGTAGCCGGGTCTAGAGGATAATTCGCATCCATCTTGCCTATCGTCATCTAACCGATTCATTGATCAGCAGATCCTATCAAAGTTCTTCCTTCGCGATATCACAATTCCCCTTCTTCTTGCCAAACGAACCGCCTAAAGTTTGTCGGTGACATTTGATGACCTTGACATTCAAACTCAGCTTCACGATGCAATCCTCCGCTTCAAGTTTCCCTTCGGTACATAACCTTCAGAGCATGGAGACTGCCGCATTAAGCCATTTTTCGGTGCACGATCCACCTTCGCCCCGACCTTTCCCTCCCAACCCACCGCCGAGTCCGGCCTGATTTCAGTCGATTGGTGCTTTTCAGGAACACAGAAAATAGGTGAGTCACTCCGTTTCAGTTACAAAGCCTCCAAGCACTAACAGGCCTGATAGAAAATGACCGAAGCAACGCTGCGATCAACTATAAACGATAATGATACCACCCAAAACGGACTTGAAGGGAAATGCACGCGTCTGCGAGCTGCTGGTTGTTGGATCGATGCACGCTTGAGAATGCACATAGACGCATGGAAGATTGTTTCGAGGGGTTGAAAGAGCAGAAAGAATGCACTTTAGACAATGACACGGCCATGTTTTATAACTAGGATCTGTAGATTGTAGTTTCTTTGCAGTGAAGCGTAAATGCCGATGACTTCGATGCCATATTTGTTTCCCCTCATTTGCAATACTTGGCCTCATCATTTCCTACACCTGTATTTTCAGCTAAAGACCTGTGATATTATATCAAGTTCGGGGAGGATAAAAGTGGTCCAAAAACAGTCAATTGACTGGTATAATATATTGCACGAAACATTTTAAACAAACAAGAAGCAGAGGTATGTCACAAAATCACAGGAAAGCAAGTAGAAGAGCGCTAATCGTACTCAAGCCCACCACAGTCCAGCCGGACTTGATGACCTGGGGGTTGGTAAGACCGGTGCCGAGATCCCAGATCAAGTGGCGCACTCCGTTCATGCAGTGGTAGGTGAAAGGCAGGGCCAGGGTAGCCTTCAGGGCGACCTTGGCGACGACGGGGAGAGCAGCGAAGGCGGCGACGGCGGAGGCAGATCCCAGATCCCAGCCCAGAACGGGGGAGGCGAGGTAGGCAGTGGCGTAGAGGTACAGACTTCCGGACAGCATCAGACCGGTGACACGGTGAATACTACTGCCGATCCATGTGATCTGGGGACGGTAGATGGTGAGGTGGGGGGAGACGGGGCGGTTCAGGCGCTGCTTCTCGAGAAGCTTGGTAGGGTCGGAGGAGTTCGTGGAGGAGGCAGCGTGTCTATCGTGTGTCAGTACTCATGTCCGACCAAAGCGTTGTTCCCCCCGCGATCCTGGTTCATAACGTCGAATCCATGTCGCGCCCAGAGACCGTCGCAACGCTGGATTGTGCCTAGGTAGCGATTCACCTAGTCTGAATGTTTCTTCCGAGGGCAACGGCGGCGGGAGAGGCGGAGTTCATCAGAGACCACCGCAGAGCGTAGGGCTGCTGGACGGCAACTGCAGCCAGTTAGTCGCGCGCAATTAGCTGAAGAGGAAGAGATCAGACGTACGCCGCCGCAGCGATTGCTGAGCAACCTTCTGGGAAAGCATGGTGAGAGTGGAGTGGTGACTTCGAAGATGGCGTCGAGGCTGGAAGCGAGGCAAGGAGCTGATTGTCGTCGTCGTCGTCGTCCAGGAAGAAAGTGCCTCGAATTGCCGACTCTCGTAACGCTTCGGAATCACGGGACGGACAACCTCGGGTTCACCTCCAGTCACGGGACTTCTCCCGAAGGCCGCCGGCCAGCCAATCAGTAGTGTTGCATTACCAGTCGGAAGATGGATCTTCCGTCCCCTGACCGCCCGGCTTTTCTATTTTGTGGGATTTTTCGCGCGGCTTCTCTCCTTCCCCTTCTTTTCTCTCCCAAGGGACTCCGCCCACGTTGTCTACCATCCGGGATGATGTTGACGTGCGTAGCAGGGCCTCACTGGTCCGGCATTCTGTCGTGACCGCCGAGGTCAATGAGATCCCCGAGAAGGAGCTGACCTGTCGTTAATCGCCCAGTCTTCCCTGTCGATGGGATTGAAGGGTTTCATATCAGGGTTACATGATGTAGCTTGTAAACTACGTACAACTAGTGGCTGGAGAGATGAGTCTCGTGTTTTGCACTTGATTCAACAGAATAAGCAAATGACTTGTTCGGACCAGTACTACAAACAAGTGGTCACTGGAGACATGTAAAACTGGACGGGCCCCAATGTGCCGAACCTGCTATGCTATGGCAATTTCCTTCCACATCTGCATCTTCCCTGGGGAAGTTCGAGCTACCGACCCTGAGTCCTTAGCTCCTCTTCACGGTCATGATCCGCACGAAGCACGAGAGCAAGTACAATAAGACCAAGATGATCCATATGCGGCTTCTTCATTGTGTCAAAGGGACCAACCTCGTGCATTGTGAGGAAGGACAAAGGGTCGGTTGCCTTGCACTTCCCCTCCAGATAATCTAGATACTTTCCATTGTATTCGGCAAATATCAGCCAGATCTCATGCCTGTTTTGCGACACATGGACGTATCGATGAGGCAGGTTTCCAGGAGTGTGCGGGTTCAACTTTATCCAAGCCACCATCTGAGCGCTCTCTTGCATCCGTACTCCTAAAGAGTTCTGGTCTCTGAGAGCAGCTTTGACTTCTATGAGAGCACGCACATCCCCGGCCTTACCGCGGAGATAACCATCTGTCCTTGCTTCGTACTGTGTATTGGTAAAGCGAGGCTTGAATGCTTTTCGGTGCGAGGTCCACTTGCTCGAAACAGAGGGGAAACTTTCAGTCAAAGCCTCGAGGAAACAAAGAAGAGCTGAGTTGACGAGTTACTCGTCTTCCGCATCTGGATACCTATCTTTCCAAAGTTCTGGGGGTCCACGAGAACCTATCGACAAAAGAGGACTGCTGTCTGAAGCACTGTCTTCGAATATTCCTTCCGGGGTGAATGGATCTATATCGCTCGGATCATCGTCTCCAAGTATCAAAGATTCCATTGCAGCTTGGGTTGTCTTTGACGGAGTGGATGCTAGTTCTTCGCGTCTCTGCCTAGCTCTTGGACACGTATGTTTGGAGACCGGGGAAACGATCACGTCGCTGGTTTCTTGGGTGTTACTCACATGATCGGCCTTGAACTGACTTCTTTTCGCGCTGAAAAAGTTCCCTTCGCCAATATGGTCTATATCGACATCGAAACTATCCAGATATGCCTTCCAGGAGTTATAGCCCCGTAACATCTCCTTCGCGGGCTGTAGCCACTGATCTAGATGGAATCTTTTGGGGGTCAAACTTGGTTATCTTGACTTGTGTCCATAGAACTCGCAGAAGGAGGAAGTGGCGTGCTTGAAATTTGGAGGCAGAAACAAGCCGTTCGTCGTGTATCGACTGGTCCGTTATACCTTCCTTCGCCGCCCATTGCGCCCAATCATGGGGCTTGGAGGGGGCTCGCTGCCCGGCTCTACTCATGGCCGACGTGAGAGAATAGCATCGAAGCTTTGACAGCGTTTGTCAGGGTGAACTGTCGTAGGCTGTCGTAGGCTGGCCCAAATTCGAGACCATTAAAGATTTTGAAAAGACATTGCATATGGAGGGGGCTCGAGCAGCAGGCTAAATTAGTACGCGCCTGAGCACTTTCACTGATATGAGGGGTAGGAGAGTGGCAGATGCTACAGAGTATGGATAGTATGTCTATAATTCACCGCAACTAAGTTGGCGGTTGAATTACCCGCCCGTCCAGTTGGCTTGCGAGGTCAGGGGAGGACCGAAGGGGACTAACGCGTCCAGATTATAGTTGCCCCCCTCCCGCAGTCGCCCCAGCAATTTGACGGCCCGCCGCCATGACATGAAAGCTATCGAGAAGTCAATATTCAAGCTGAAATCAGCGCAATACGTGCCGCAGGACCTTGAAAACATCCCAATCGAAATTCTTCCCCTGCCCCTGGATAGTGATGGAGAGCCTCTATTTGAGCCTTGCTTTTTTGATCCCTATCGGGTGCCTTTCCAGGACCCCGATCCTGAGGAGAACTATACATCGTATGGGGTGGTAGAAGGCTGGGAGCTGAGTCCGATGGATTGGGCACGCGATGTCTATTCCTATCTGGATCGGTATATCGCGGACGTCACTTTCAACGATAAAGACCTGTCATTTGGCCAACACCCCCCCCATGAGTATATCATATCTAACGACCGCGGACAGACAATGCACCAGTACTAAAAGTTCTTAGCCCACTCACTCACGGAACCGGGCAGCTCTGGGAGCATGAAACCTCCAAAGGTCACCATTTGGATTGGCGTGCTACGGCTGGATGCAGTATCCCAGATGGGCCTCAGTACAAATGTATGATGCTGGACGATGTTGATACTGATGATACCCGCATCACTCGTGGGGAGCTCTTGTGCGCCTGTCGACTTATGATCAAACGCCTCAGTCTCCGAGTTCATGCCAACCATATGATTGCTCCGGTGAGTCTTCTTCTTGGAGTTTAAAACGTTTACTGATTACTTATGCTAGGTTCTGCTACTTTCCTTCTTAGGACCAAGACATGCTCGCCTTCTCCTGGCACATTATGATGGAAATAACCTGGTCATACGCAAGAGCGAGCTGTTTGACTGTCGCGAGAAAAACATTCCAGCTTTCCGAGTCCCTCTACGCTGGTGGTGCTCATCTGCTGTTGGAGACACAATCACAGGATAGGATTCGTCTTTCTGACTTCTTTTAGGTCGGCGTTTTGGATAGGTTGGTTTGGCGTCCAGATATTTGGGAAACATAAGCGCGTCGGTATCGGTCAGGTCGGTGGAAAGGCCATGGGTTTTGGAGCCAAGGAAGGTGTTTTGGGTTTACCTACTATTATTTGATCACGTTGGATTATTGGCTATTGTGCTTCCTTTATACTCACTCATACTTGTCTCAGTTAAGCAGCCTTGGAACGCCGTAAGAGACCAGCTAAATGTTCTGACAATACATCGGCACTGGACCGATGAGAACGAGCCCGGAAACTTAGTTAATAGTCAAATGCTGTGAATTGCTGATAACACTTTGGGATTCTACATTCAACCCAAGACTTGCAAGCCCATGGATCAAGACAGACAATCAATCACCCGATGAGTGACCATACAAATCGGTCTTTCCCCGACCTGCTTTGCGGTCCGAGAAGTATAACCATTTAGGCTAAATGAATGGATGCATCGGATTGGCGTGAGGGGAACAGCTATACTCTCCTCGTGTTATTTCCCCTCTTCCACTTCTCTCTCCCCAGTCTACACTCTCACCCTCCAACATTCACACCATCACATCAACAAAGCAATCATCGAAATGGTCATCCAAACCGGACTCGACTACATCCGCTCCCGCTCCATCGTGGACTGCGACACAATGGACGAGCAAGGCGCGCATACATACCTCCTCATATCTACGAGCTGCATCCACTGACCAGAAGCAGTCGCCAGAACCCTCGGTCCCTTTGCGGACTGCACCTCCAACCAGGTATGCATCCAGCCCGTCCACATATACAGCGTTCCAGCAGAACTAACAATAACAAATCAACAACAGGCAATCGCCTACGGCGAACTCTCCAAGCCCAAACACGCGTCCATCCTACAAATCTCGCTCTCCAAATCCAAATCCCTCGTCAACAAATACCCCGGACTGGCCGTCGAAGAGCTCGCCATTGAAATTGCTGTGCGTCCCAATCCCATCCCACCCCAATACCAGAGACACACCTACGTGGACAAGAAAGAACATCCCCCCCCCCCCCCCCAAACTAATAATCAAAAGATGATCTCCCTCTCCCTGAAAATCGCCCCCTACATCACCGGCTACATCCACATCCAAATAAACCCCTACAACGCCTATTCAACAAAGAAGACCGTCGCCAACGCTCTACGTAAGCCTCCACTTTCCTCCCAACCCATCCCATCCCCCAATTCCACAACCTGCCTAACAAACCCAAACCAGGAATAATATCTCTAACCCAACACCTCAACCCTACATACCCATCCTCCCGCATCTGCATAAAAATCCCCAGCACGTGGGAAGGCCTCCAAGCATGCCAGATCCTAGAGCGCGCCGGCATACGCACCCTCGCCACAACCCTCTTCACGTTACCGCAGGCTGCACTCGCAGCTGAGATGGGGTGTATGTATGTAGCACCGTACGTGAATCAGCTGAAGGTGCATTTTGAGGATGGGTATTTCTCCCTGCTTGTTCATATTTACAATATAACTCAACGCAATACAACAGAACACACCATAAGACAAGGCTAATAATATGTATATGTATATACTTATCAACCCCCAGATTCACCGACCCAGCCCCCCTCCTCCCCCTCTGCGCCCAAATCCAGCAATACTACGCCTCAATTGGAACAAACACCCAAGTTCTGCCTGCGAGTCTGACATCCGTCGATGAGATCTATGCGCTGGCGGGCGTGCAACATATTACGATCTCTCCAGGTCTGCTGGAGGAGTTGGCGAAGCCATTGGCTAATGCTGCTGGGATGAAACCTTCGTTGTTTGATAACGAAAACCCTGCCGTCGTGGGGTCAGTACCGGAGCGTTTGTCGTTTTTGCATGATGAGGCTGGGTATCGGATTGCGTTTAGTAGGCATCAGGCTGGCGAGAGTGAGGGGAAACTTACTCAGGTATGTTCTAGCTGTCTGTCTGTCCTGGTTCCGTGGGAGAGGGGGGAGAGAGAGGATTGGGCTAATCATTACGTCTAGGCTGTTAATATTTTCTGCGATATGCAGGATAAACTCGTTCGGCTGTTTGAATGGTTGCAGCAGCCCTCGCGCTCGGCTTCACGGCTGTGAAGTTATAGGCGTTGGTTGGGTTGGTGGTATACGTGGTTGATATACTCAATCCTTGGACTGTGTAGTATTGGCTACGTAGTGTCAGAGCTACGCCAAGCGAAGGAGCGAGGCCAACCTCTCTGTTTCGCGTATGCAGAAGAATACAAGTCCATTCTCTTCTACCTACCTACCACCCTCATGGTGTCATTTATCTATCCAACGACCCGCCCACCCGCCAGCCAAGAAAACATGCCAAACTATCTATTGATTGACTATTCTAGCCCTCATCCATACCATAAACGCAAAAGCAAAAGAGCATACAGGCAAACGGTAGTGGTAAGACTGAAACGCCTGCTCATGCAATAGAATGCCAAACTATATACCCTTTTTTTTAATCCATATTTCCGGAACAATGACCGCGAGATAACCACAGACAGACAGAGTGAGTAAACGGGAAATGCCGCCGAGAGATCCAGTGCTTTAAGTTGTGTTGTGAGGATGAGTGTGGAAATGGTCACAGAAGAACATCAGTCATCAAACCAAACCGTGGGGGAATCTAGGACTGAAACAAATGATCGGGCGGAGAAAATATAATAAAGAAATCGATCAGATATGATCGTGAGATGCGACGAGACGAGAAAACACCACAATATTATATCAGGCGCTCAATCGCTGGATAAAGGACTTTGGAGGGTTAGTAAAACTTCAGAAAGCGTTATGGATAGACATACCGGGAAGAACATGCGGAATCCCTTCAGGTCCAGCCGGCTCAACGCTCCCACAAACTCTTCCACCAGGTCCGCTCCCATGCCCATGCCCGGCAATTCGCGGTCCCGTAGGTACTCGATGTACTCCATTCCTGTCTTACCGTATATCGTGCGCTGAAGACCACCCACCTCCATTAGGACCTGCTTGGCCTGCGCGTCCTTCGAGTTGAACGTGGGTGTCGCGGGGAGTGCCCAGCACAGCGGGGACAGTCGGGTGATCATGAACTGGCCAAAGCCGGGGAGGGCGGGCTGCTGAGGCGCCATGCCGTTTGCGCCCTCCGGGCCAATATCAGGTCCGCCCCATGAGCTGCCCATCTTGGTCAAAACCGAGAATGCCATCTTGGCGGTCGTGAAGTCCTCGACGTCTTTGGCGAAGTGCTCGATCGTGGTGATAACCGTGTCGAACATAGGTTGGTTCCCTGATATAGTTAGTTAAAATTGAAATTGAAATTGACCCGAAGATACTTACGCTCGCTGATAATCACAGCTCCGAGTTCGTTGTTCAGAACAGCCAGCAAGAAGTTCAGATACTCCCGCTTCAGCTCGGCCAGCTGCACCTCGTCGTCGGTGCCAGTTGGGGGATCCGCGATGCCAGAGAACACCCGCTGCAAGAAAGGAGTCAACAGGGTGTCCAGGATGGCGTAGATCTCCGACTTGAACCCGAAGATAACCTGGTCAAGCAGCCGCAGGAACAGTGCCATTTCGTCACGTGACGATGTCTGCGTGAGCAGGCCGTCGATCCACCGTGGCAACTGGGGAAGGATGCGCGATCCTAGGACTCCGATCAGGCGCGAAAAGGCAAACCGCGCCGCCGTCCTCACATTGAACGAGTTCTTCAGGGACTCCAGCGCCACCAGAGTGGCCTCTGACACCTGCATGAACGCCTCTGACACTTCCGCCGCGGGAAGAGCGGCGGGCGAGCTGGTCCCGGGCATCCAGTCGGAGAAGCCTCGGGCTAAGGTACCCAAGGCCATGATGTCGTGGTGTATTTGGAGTATGGCCCGTTCGTCGTTGGTCTTGGCCGCAGCCAGGTTCTTCTCCATATCCATAAAGACGGGGTTCAGGACAGACTGTGCGTAAAGAACCTGCTTGTCCGCGGGAACAGTGGGCGTAGAACAGATGATACCCACGGCCTCGTACAGGTACAGCTGGCTGTTGAAGACGGCATCGGCTGACCCCTCATGGTCCTCCGAGGACATCTCATCTCCATCCGATCCTTCGGAAGTGACCTCTGCGGTGATCACAAGCACATCGCCCAAAGCCTCGACGACTGTCTGCGCCACATTGCCGAGGTGGGCACGCAGCTGCCTCACCAAGCGCTGGAACAGGTACCACGACCGCGTCTTGACCTTCTTGACGGGATGGTGGACCAGCTGGAGGAAGCTCTCAAGCACACTTGGGATGAGGTGAGTGTGGTATTGAAAGAATGAACTGTAGCGGACGCAGATTTCCATGTACTGCAGTTGCGTGGCCGGGTGGGTGAATGACCGGATGTCCGACTCGACCATCTTCAACATCATCTCGACCAATCTCTCCGCGGCTTGGTTATTGGGGGAGCCCTTGGCGTACAGACTGCCGGCCCGGACGGCAATGTCACCGAACAGGAACATCTCGTGCAAGGCCAGGTCCAGGTCCCGCCAGTCCAACTGAGCCCCCGACTGCCGCAGGTTCTCGAATGTCGTGCCCACCACCTCCGACACGGCCTCCATGTAGAGCTGTTCGTTCACGGTCGCGACGATCTGCTGCAGCACAGCGAGGCGCTTCCGAAGCTCCTGGAACTCTGCCTCATCGGTCTGGTCATCCTCGTCGCCCCAGGACGAGGTCTCGTCGTAGCGCATCTTGGCGATGATGGCCTTCAGGATGGGCAACAGGATGGACGAGTGCTGGGCAGCCAGGACAGGATTGACCTTGGCGATCTTCCGCAGGTAGGACAGGAGGTCACTGACGCAGGGGATCACGGTCGAGCAGACCTCGTCGTACTCATCGGAAAAGTATCTCAGAATGTGCGGGAGGAAGGCCTGCAGCAGGCCGGTGGCCTTCTCCCTGCTCTCGGGCAGAACGGTGTCCTGCTCCAGAACCCGTACAATATCAATGACGGTAATATTGACTAACTTGGCCACGGTTTCCGCCAGGTCAGTATCGTACTTGAAGGTAAACCTATTCTCAAAAAGAGGAGGGCTATTGGACAGCTGGGTAACAATAGTGTCGAGATTCAAGAAAATAATCATATCAATCTTATCCTCAGGCTTCATCTTCTTGCCGATGATCTCCGTGAAGACATCGACCGCCGCATCGCGCACCTTCTCTTCCCCGGCTCTGAGATCCGCCTTTTGCGCCCGGCCCAGTTGCTGGAACAGAAGGTCCAGCATGGTCTGGTTGACGACCAAGCCGATGTCGATCCAGCTCACCCAGCTTCCGACCGCCTTGAGGGACATCTCCACGATCAGGTCGTTTCCGTCCCGCCACTCCGACAAGATCTCTTGCCACGAGCTGGCGATCTTCTGCATGTCGCGGGAGCGGATCAGGTCCTTGAGCAAGTTGGCCTTGTCCTGCTCGACGCGGGACCGTGACACGAGCACATCGCCGATCTCCTCGTGGATCGAGTTGACGACCCGCAGGTAGAAGACGATCCCGAGCGGATTGTCGCGCCCCGTGCTGGCCGGGCTCTTGTATGTGAGGCTGAGGAGGTCATCGAAGAAAGTTTCCCAGCCATTGCCGTAGAGTGCGGAGAAGAGGAAGGTGATAGTCTGAGCGATTTTGTTCTGGATGTTGGGCGGGTCGGGCGTGGCGTTCTCCTGGCCGTACACCTGGCGGAGGTAGGTCATCAAGCCATCCCGCACGTATGCCAGTGCCTGGGGATCAATGAGACCCGCCTGGGCGGCACTGTTGACCACTTCCAACGCCACATGCCGTATGATCTCGGAGTATTGGGGGGTCTTGGTGAAGAGGGCGAGGCAAACCTGCCATCCGGAGGGGTCGGTGCGGAGTTGGTTTAGGTAGTCGAAGGCCTGGGCCTTGAGGGCTTGGTCGGAGGACGGGTTCCAGGCGATTTCAATGGCATTTGCTACCTGGGAAGGGTCAACGTGAGCAGATCCGGTGGGGGGATCGAGTGAGTGTAATCAAGGGAGGGGGAAGGGGGGCACCGATGGAGGGGAAGCGATCGGTGGTGGGGGCCTATGAAAAAAGAAAAAAGAACGGGAAAAAAAGACAAAGCAAGCGTCAATGTGCCAGATGGTGGGGGGGGGTGCTAACCTGCTCTTCCATCTTCGACCAGCCGGGCTGCCTTCGGAGTCGGCGGACTCGAAAGCAATGAGGGGGTGAGGGGGAGTTCAAGGGACGATGGAGGTGGATGTTCGGTCAAAATGCAGACAGCGGCGGAGAGTCATAGCAGAACAGAACAGAAAGGAACTAGTCGCAGCGAGTGTCCGTCTATCGACCCATGACTAGCGCCACTAATTAGTCCAAGCCTCGGGGGTGGGTTCGTGTGGTAGACCCAGTTGGTCGGGGAAGTGAGATAGAGGGTGTTGTGCTCACGAAGGGGGGAGGGGGGGATGATGACTGTTGACACAGTGGCCAAGTGTTGTCAAGTCAAAGTGTTGTCAGGATGGAAGGTTCTTGCTGATGACGTGCCGCCTGAAGACGCAGAAGAAAGGGAATTCGTGCCTGAATTTGGCCGACTTTGTGTGGCCGCCGTTTGCTGCCGCCCGAAACGGCAAGGGGCGGCGTGCGTGGATGCCTGGTTTCCCAGGCCGCCACTTGATCGGCAGAAGACATGCACTGAGTCTATTGATCTACAGATGGCTGCCATCTTGCTATCTTCCTCCCTTTCTTCTTCTTCTTCTTCTTCTTCTTCCTCTTCTTCTTCTTCTCCCCCACAACCCCCACAGCTTCTTTCGCTCTCCAACCCCTGCCATAATTACTACCATTCATGGCACGGCTACGTCTCCCATGAATCTCAACCATCCTCAACCATCTCATCAATACCACAGTCAAAGCAGTTACTTCTCGATTTCCAACACCGACTGCCTCGTTTTTGTGATAACTCTGAAATGAAAACGCTGTTAAGACCGCTGCCCAAGTCCTAGCCGAGGAGCCAGAGAATATAAGTACTTGCCCTCTAGTATTATGATATGGCTGACTACGAAGGTTTGTGGGGAGTATCGTCTCATGGCGGGTACTATATCGACAGGCAGCGGTTAAGGTTTATTGACATGCTGTCCGCTGCCGTCCATGTACAGGTTACTATCATGATGCCTTTAAATCGAGTAAAGAATCAGACTGTCGCCGAAATATCATCAGTAGAAAGTGGCTGTCCTGATATAATATTCCCTTCTCTCTTGTTCAAACCAAGCAAAAAGCTTGTCTGCCAATAACTCGAATAACTTGAAGGCGCGGGGACTCGGGAGGCAAATTAGACAGCCAGAGCTGCTGGGGCGGGGCCACTGGGACCCGTCTATCCCAAGAACTGAAGGAAAGAAACCCGAGGAGTTGTCCCTGGCCCAGCTGCTCCGCAAAGTAGAGCTCGAAGTCGAAGTGCCATTGCTCGAGGTAGTTAGGCTCGGGGCTAAAATGGAAATAGAGCAGCAAGCCCGGGCGCTTTGGGACCAAGGGTGTACGAGACTCAGACTGGCCCTGTGGCTTCTGGAACTGGAGCTGGAACATATATAAGGCCAGAGAGGAGTCGAAGATGGCAGGGGAGATGAACAAAGAGACTCAGGTGGGACTGGAGACGGCAGAGATATCAACCGGGTCCCATAGCTCAGTTGGTTAGAGCGTAACGCTAATAACGTTAAAGTCGAGGGTTCGACCCCCTCTGGGACCATTTCTTTTTGACAAATTATGTTTTTTGGAGATGGAGGAGCAGCAATCTCACTTGCCAACCTCGTGCACGTCCTATGATGCTAAAGAGGCAGGGGGAAATAGTTCTGAAGACCCCTGATATCTTTCTTACGTGATCCGATTATACTGTATACTGCTCCTGGCTATATCCTTCTGGGCGGGGGTCTTCTATATGTGTTAGCAATGTATGATGAGCCTAGGACAGTGTACAGTATGTATATGTTACACTTGCGTTGGGCTTGGGGGCAGGGGGGTTGGCGGCGGCAGCGCGAAGACGGGTTTAAGATTTAAATTCGTCCATATCAAGAGCAATGCAATGGGCTTCGGCTGTAGGGGTTGTAATCGTTCTTAATCAAAGGATTGGGGACATCGACAATGGCAGCATTCCATTCACATCACACGGTGGTCATCATGGAAGGACCATGTCCATAAAGGACAAGGATGGGATTGGGATTGGGATTGCACCTCGGGAAGTGAATCTTCAACCGACTCAGAAAGGGCTCGCACTACTGCTTTCTCTGTGTGCACCCCCTCCGATCCCCAAGCAGGTCCTTCAAAGAGCCGTGCATTGGCTTTGCATAGATTTATACTCTTGGCTATGCTCAATAGTTGTGTCTGCTTGAAATGTGTTTATCTTTAACGGCCCAGACGTGCTGTGAAGCAGTAGTTGGCAGTGGGCTCCCAGAACGAATAAAACTGTGCTATTTCCCCAAAGTCCATTAATTGAGGTAAGAAGAAGAGGTTAGTCATGAGGAGACGGTCCTTGGTATAGGCATTGAGATGGAACGAACAAAGCATAGGGGCCTTTAATGAGACTTTCACGTCAATGGGCCACTCACGTCTCGGGTAAGCAGCAACAGGTGTAGGCTGAAATTGGCCATTGGACATTGTTCCTCTCTTGTATACTCCGACTGGAACTCTGTCTCAGCATTCTAGATTTTGATCTTTGATCGGAGGTCCTTACCGATAATGTTCTCTGTTTGATTAGCTTGAATGGCTTCAAAAGTAAAGCCACAGATACAACTAACCTTAATGTCATTGATCTTCTCATCACAGGAATTATTGCCCTTAATGAGCGAGTGATGGCCTCTAGGCTTGTGGGCTCGGGAACAGGAAGGAATTCTGCTTCTTCTCTGGCTCAAACTGAATCTTGCCGCTCTGTTTATTTTCTTTTTATAAAGCTTCCCGGGATTTTGTTTCTTTTTATTGACGATAGAGTTGGTTCAAGAGACCTAAGAAACGGGGCCGCAGAATCCCTCGACGCGACTGACTTTCATCCTTAAACTTTTTGTCATAGTCATAGTCCTCCTCCTTGCTCTAGGCGAGTATGTTCTGGAACCTTCACTGGAGTTTGGGGTTCTGGACCAGGAATTTTTTGTTTTACTTGTCTGACGAATACAAGAAAGGTATTCTCCTGAAGAATTTGTCTTCGAACACATTGACAACACTTTGGTCGTGGGTTTCCGGCACGCTTCCAGAAAGGGGAGTCTTTCGTCGCCTTTTATATCTGATCAATCAGCTTTGAAGCATCTGTAAACTAGATACGGATGACTACCAGAGACTGCATGGCTGTTTCTTGAAAAGCGACAGCCGTAGCATTAAAATAGGTGGTTTTGTTAGGACAAAGTGAGGAGGGGGCAAAAATGGTGAGATAAGGTGGAAATAAATGAAGGAACAATAATAACAGGGGAAGACACAACGCATGACTTTTGTCACAAGGCCGACGGACTGTCCCGAAGTGCGGATAATTTCTCGGAAGGCATGACGATGTTATAACTTTCTCCTAGAAGGGACTATTCGAAAAAACTTACAGTCCAGCGTTTAACCTGTGCCTTTTGTTTCTTGCGGACGTAGGCCTGGATTTGCCAACACGCCATGAATTGTCGAGCAAGGCCCACCGATAAGCCAGCATCTTCGTGTTGAATCTTGAAGAGAAGCTCCGAGGACTTGATGGTTAGGATCTGGAGATCTGACTCCAAAAGATCATCAATGCAATGAACACTCTTCCCAATGCTCTGTCTCCGCAGATAAATCTGAACCAATGTTGCCATTTACTGGTTCGCCCTAGACCACCTGATCAGTATCAGAGATCAAAGTCGACACAGAGATCACTCCCATCGACGTTCTCGTATTTCCCGATTCCCCCCTCCGATCAGGTCTTCCTTGCATCATTTATCTTTGATTCCTTGCATGCTGAAGTTATCGCTTCGAGGTGGACCAACTCCGTGGACTGTTTCGTAGGTTGTATGGGTTTGATGAAAGAGCCTGGTAGAGCACAGCAACAGTCGCGCTGTAACGGTAATAAGCTCGTCTCGTACACACAGGGATCGTTAGGAAGGATGTTAATTCAGTAGAAACTTCGAAGTCGTTTAGGATCGGGTACCTGGCACGTTGTCACTGTACCTCAGTCTCTAGAAGATCCAGATCAGAACGCGGTCTCCATACTCACGTATAAAACACGGTACTTCGATCGAGGACTTGAAGAACACGCGTCGAATTGATCAGGACAAAAGGAATATGGCAATGGACGACGAAGGCAACAAAGCTTTATCAGATCTGGCTCGTAGCTAGACCTCCGACTGCTCGGTTGGTGCAGGAAGCAGGAAAGAGGAAGGTGGTCGTCATTCAACTGATAGCCACGTCACGTGATATGTGGTTATACTGTGACTGGCAGCCTTCACAGCAACAAGATGTACTCACCGGATAATCCGGACATCAGGTTCCCCGAGGTGATGGGTATGTATGTTTGCATACAGAAAAGTAAGCTCCATCTACATAGAGGGAACGACCGGAGATGGTTGGGGGTCATCAAACTGGACGTGTATGAAACGATTGTTTTCGAGTTGACGTAAGACAATGGATACCGAGAGAATATCTGCAAGGTACATCATGAACCTGTAGGTCAGCTAGGTCTCAACGGGCTCGCTAGCAATACGGCGCATGCGATGATGGTTAAAAAAAGTTCGTGGTTGCCAAAAGTGGTGGTGAGTCTCCACGCTGAACCGCATCACGTGATATCGGGATAGTGAGGCTTAAGTACGGCATCAACCCTAACATCGCACACTACAGGCTACGAATGGCAACAATTCAAAGCATTTTGAAGTCATTAAAGCAAGTTTTGATTTCATACGACCGTAACTTCTAATAACGTAAAGAAAAGTAACCGCCTCGAGCTTAGAAGTCCTCATCCTCGGAAACCTCCTCACCACGCTTCCTATATCAAAAGTTAGCAATCCGGGCTTCATTTTAAACATATTTTTTAATGTGACTCACTTCCTCAGCATGCGCTCCTTTCTCTTCTTACGAAGCTCGGCAGAAGTAAGCTTCTTCTTCTTCTCGACGACAGTCTATCAAAAGTTAGCAGAAGTTCTGGGGACAGCTTCAGGAGGCGCCAGGAAGCTGGGAATGGCTTCAAAACGCGGGGGTCACGTTACCTTGTTGCCCATAGCATCAACAACCTCGCTCGGGCCGTCCTGTTCGGTCAAACGAGGTCCAGATCCTTGTCCTTGAACCCAGTTGTGGCCGGAGGGAGTCATCTTTCCGTCGACGACAGCCCAGACTTCCTCAGTCAGGTTCTCAGTGAACTCGCGGGAGTGAGTAATGATGATAACACCACCCTCGAAAGTCTTGATAGCCTTGGACAGAGCACCCAGGGAGTCACGGTCCAGGTAGTTGGTGGGCTCGTCCAGGACGATGACGTGGGGGCGCTGCCACGAGCAGGCGGCGAGAACGACCTTGACACGCTGACCACCGGAGAGACCGCGCATGCGGGAGTGAGAGACAAGCTCGGCGTCAAGACCGAACTGCTCGCAGTGGGCCTCGACTTCCTTGCGGACCAGGGGACGGAACTGACCGCTGGCCAGAGCCTCCTTCTGGTCAACATCGGCGACCATCTTGGCGTGGGACTGCATGATCTCGTTACGGGGAATCCAGGCGTTGTCCGAGGTCATCATGGGAGTCCACTTCTCGCTCTTCATGCCGATGTTGTCACCGAGCAGGAAGGAACATTCGTACTCGTAGCTGTTCTTGAACTTACGACGGGAGTGGATACCAATGACACGACGGGGGGTACCCTCGATCTTGTAGATCTTGTCCATGGCCTTCTCGTCCTCGTCGGTGACGATCTTGTTGGCACGGTCCATGGTCTCACGGTCCTCACCGGTCTGGAAACGCCACTGGATGTACTCGGAGGGAGTCTTGTCGAGGTGGTTATCGATGTGAGCGAAAGCGTGCTGCTTGATGTAGGCGATACGGATGTTCTCGTGCTGGTAGACCTCACCGGCGGTGGGGATCAGCTCACCGGTCAGGACGTTGACCAGGGTGGATTTTCCGGCACCGTTGGGACCGATGACGGCGATACGGGAACCCAGGGAGACCTGGAAGGAGATGTCGGTGATCTGGGGGCGGGGGGTACCGGGGTACTGGAAGGTCATGTCGCTGACACGGATGATGGCCTTGGCCTTAGTCTTGACACCCTCGAGGAAACCGGGCTCGGGGAACTTGAACTCAATCTCAGAGGCACCAAGCTCGTAGTAGGAGCGAGCGGAGGGGACACGCTTGACGAACTCGCTCAGGTTACCACGGTAACGCTTGAGCTTGAAGCGCTCGTAGTGGACGACGTGCTGGATGACGTTATCCAAGAACTTGCTGTCGTGGGAGACGATAATGGAAGTGCAGGGGGAGGTGCACAGGTAGTTCTCCAACCAGGCAACGTTCTTGACGTCCAAGTGGTTGGTGGGCTCGTCAAGCAGCAGAATATCGGGAGCCTCGAAGACGGCACGGGCAAGGGCCAGCTTCATCTTCCAACCACCGGACAGGGAGGTGATGAGACCCTCGAACTGCTCGCGGAGGAAACCGAACTCCTCGAGCTTGGCCTCGACGTCGGCCTGCTTGAGGTCCAGACCGACCTCGGCAAGCTTCTTCATGGTCCAGCCGATGACGGTCTGCTCAGTGTCGGCAGCGTCCAGGTCGTGCTCGACGTAGACAGTCTTGACCTCGCTCTTCTTGGGGAAACCCTCGAGCTGCTCGTTGTTGATGGCACGCATGAGGGTGGTCTTTCCGGTACCGTTAGGGCCCAGGAGACCGTAACGCTGGCCACGCTTCAGGCGGAGACCGGTCTGGTTCAGCAGGATCTTGGCACCGTAGGCCAGGGAGAAGGTGCAGTTGCACAGGTCCTCACCCTCCTCCTCGTCGGAGAGGACGGCGTCGGCCTCGGCGGCAAGGGGAGAGGCGCGCTTGCGGAGGTCCTCAACGACGGGCTTAGCAGCCTCCTCGCCAACGATAGCAGTGATGTAGGGGAGGGCGTTCTGGGTCCAGCTGGTGACGTCGGCGTCCTTCTCGTCAACGAGCTGACCGGAGATGGCAGCAACGTAGGTGATGACAGCCTCGGCCTTCTCAGCCTCGGCCTTGAACTTGGGGGCAAGGAGCTCCTTGAGGATAGCGGAAACGGTAGCGATGTCACCAGCGGTGGAGATCTCGGGGATCTTGCCGTCCTTGACATCACCAACACGGCAGAGAGTCTCCAGAGCCTGCTGGGTCTTGCCACGAGCCTCAGGGTCGGCCAGAGTCTCGAAGTTCTTCTCGATACGGGGCATCAACTTGGGCAAGAAGGGAGCGACAATCTGGGGGTCCTCCACAAGCTTACACATGTTGTCGACAATGACAGCGGACTTACGCTTGATGGCGGTCTCACGCTCGACCAGACCACGGTCAAGCAGGGGGACCATGATAGCGAGAGTAGGTCCGGTGACATCGGAAACGAAAGTGGTGGCACCGAGCAAGTGAACGGTCTCGGGGACGTTCTCAGGCTTGGCGATACACTTGATAAGCTCGGGAATGAAACGCTCGATATCCTTGTTGACGATCAGACCGCAGACCTTCTCCATGGTGCTGTAGGCAGCCTTCTTGATCTCGCCCTTGGTGTCCCACATGGCCTCGGAGACAACGGGGATCAGGTCAGGGACACGGAAAGACAGCTGAGCAGAAGAGGACTCGACCAGAGCGTTGATGCACTCCAGAGCGGCCATCTTCTCCTGCCACTTCTGGGCGTTCTGGAGGGACTCGAGGATGGGGGGGAGAACGGCCTTGACGGCGTTGCCGTTGATACCCTGGACGATAGCAAGGGCAGCAGCCTGGGCAGCGTTCTTGACGGGAACCATCTTGTCGCCGACGGCAGCGAGGACGGAGCTGAGGAGAGTGACGAGGTGGGGCTCGACACCGGGGGCGATTGTGGCATGGGAAGCAATAGCACGGATGGCCTCGCAGGCACGCTCACGAGCGTTGGCATCCTTCTTGTTGGCGAGCTGCTTCTGCAGAGCCTCGACGGCCCTAGATGATCCGGTTAGTCCACGTCCGTTAAGATTTGAGGTGGTGTATCAGGGTAACATACTTGAGAGGCAGAGTCTGCTCAGGGATAGGGCCGCTCAGGAGGTGAGCCAGGTTGTCGGTGGCAGCGTTGACCTCATCCTGGGTGGAAGAGACGCTGAGGTTCTTGAGGAGGTCCTCAAGGACAGCGACAGACTGAGCCGTCTCCTTGCTGGAGACAGCAGGAACGGAGGAGACATCAACAGCAGGCATTTTGGATCGTAAAAGCGCCGAAAGACGAAATCGTAAGGTCGGAGGAAAGGGGTGGTGGGGTGGAGGAGGAGGAGAAGGGCGTTCTATTAGGGTATCTCGAGAAGCGGGGCCCACGAAACTGCGTCTGAAAAAAACGCAGAAAACGCTCTAAAATGGCCTCAAGGCAAGTCTAATTTTTGTCTGGAAAGACGACAAAAACAACAAAAATTTTAAGAGAAAGAGAGGACCAAAACCCCTATGGAGAGATGAAGGATGGGAGGGAGAGAGAGGAAGAGGGGGGGGGGGAGGGAACGGGGGAGGATGATATTTATCGCTTTGTGGCCTACTTTTCGCCGCCCAACACCCGGAAATATCAGAAAAAAATTTTCTGTTCCTTACAATGGGCCCGCACTAGCCCCGAAAACGGCCTAGGCTGGCTAGCAGCGATGGCTGTCGAAGCAACCAACCCAATCAAGTCCGTGGCTCATCATGCAGCCTCTGATTGGCCGCCCAGCCCCCTCCATTCCCTGGTCGATGCTGAGTCAGCCTTTTTGCATGAGATTTCGTGGGAAATGATGGAAGAATTCGCCCTTTCAGCTCCCAGAATGAGTGAATCCTCTTGGTTTACCGTGTTACTCCTGCGAATTCATAGTATCAGCAGTAACACATCGGTCATTGCCCCCCTCCGTGCCGCCCGAGCCTGGAGACCGACCGAAATTATTCCGTCATACTAGATTGCCTCTGGCTTGGTTTCCCAGCCAATCTGGAGGCAAGCTACCAACACACACATCTTACATCTCTCTTACAAGGTTGATCAGAACCCCTTCCTTTTGACAGGGCTGTTCTCTTGTTACATATGACACTCCCTCCCCTCTGGTTGATTCGTCTGGATTCCCTGGCGGTTACAGAATTCCGGAGTCCGGGACGCCTAGCCCTAAGCCTCAAGCATCACCGCGTCTGGAGCGCTCCGTTCGGACAAAGAAGGAGAGTAAACGATCATCTATCTATCAAATGTGTTACGTCCCTTGATGGACAACAGTCCATGAATCCGGGGATGCCACTGCGGCCGGCTAGTTGGTTGCCGCCCCCCGTGTGGTGATGCGCGCCTGGTTGGCCCTGCAGATGATTCTACCTCGGTCGCCACCCCCGGTCATTCGCAGCTCAGGTGGCGCAGCCCACCTAGACTCTCATCTTCTTTGGCAGAGGAAAACTGGACAGAGTTCGAAAGGGGGGGGGGGGGGGGGGGGGGAAAGGCAGAAAAAGAAATAAAAATAAACACAAAAAGAAAAGTTTGCTCTTAGCTAGAGTTATCAGGAGCCACGGACCGCCCTAGAACCTTTTCCGTTTTTGCCCGTCAATCTGACTTGCTCAAGGGATGGGCTAGATATCCTTGGTGAGATAGGAAAGTCTTCATTGCTACGTTCGCTCGCACATTTGAAAGAAGAGAACAACTTCCCAACTCCCCAGCGATTTTGATTTTTCTACCTATGTACCCCACAAGCAATGACGCCCAACCTATCCCAGGATTGAGATCTGCATCACCATACAGTAAGACGGGAGACGTAACTACCCGAAACATGGCCGCGATGGCTGAAATGGCCATCAAGGGGAAGGAGTATTACGGTTATGCGCCCGGATATTGTTCCTCGGGGAGAAACAATCTCGAATACGAAGGAAGGAGCAATCTCAGTGATAAATCCGAGGTTCAAGCGTTAGAAATCAGGCCGTCACAACCCATCTCTGCCTGAAACGTCCGTTTATGCATCACCGCGATTTTCTTGGCTCAGGGGTCGTTCACCGCAATGAAAAATCTTTTTTCTCCCATCAACTATCCTATGATATCGCTGTGATCAGCACAAATTCAGAATCAGGTCTAGTTGGACTGACTTACATACATATGTATATCCAGCCCTGCACGAAGGACCGTGCCTAACGTCTAACGATGGGGACCTCCCTGCCTTATCGCGCTTATCGAAGCTTGGGAAGTCCGAATTCTCCGGATTCCCCCTCCAAGCCCTTATCCCCCGCGAAAACGCCGGTGGCAACCGCTGTACCACTATTGCCACCCCAGGTGGGTGGAAGTAAAGAACTTTCGCGAACCTGCTAGCATGACTGGACCGATCACTGGGTCAACCTCGTTGGGTTCGTAATCGCACTTCCAGAGTATATACATCCAGCAGCATCGGCTATCGCATGATGCATCGCAATATTACTCGAGAGACCTGCTCATTCTTGTAAATTGACCATCATGTTTGTATCATGGTGCGTCACTCTATAGCGGCCGCTCCGTCTCTGGCATACTTTCTTTTTCGTTGTTTTTGCTATTAATTTCGGTTCGGTAGGTTTACCCTTCCATGGTACTTTAGCTGCTTGACTCCGGCATACTCTAGGCAGCCTGTGCTTCCTCCTGGATTACCTATGTAACCAAATGACTCACTCGAGGTCTTTTGATCTAATAGTGACATTTTTGAGGACACTATTACGATTTAATGTTTACATCTTATACCACTCCCCTTCCACGAGTCCCATATTCATTCCAACGTTCTGTCATAACTAAACGATATACTAGTCCATCGGGTCTACCCAAGCGTCATAGCGACCTATTACGCGTACATCAACAACACTGAATCTGCGGTAAACAATAAGCGTTTGTTAAAGCCGTTGTTTCTCTCTAGTGCCTCATGCTGAACTCATAAGCCCGCGAAGCGGATGACAGGAACATGCATGACTTCGAGATGATCATTGATGACTACTAGGTACATAATGGATACTCCTCGTCGCGAAAAGGTTGCACGATACCATCAATTCTTCGTCGCGTCTTTGCTTTAAAGGCACTCTAGCTCTGTTATGGAGCGTTTGTATTCTTTCTAAAACTTTCATCCCATCTTTTATCCGATCATTCGGTGTTATTGATATCTACAAGGCCCAGGTGTGTTACCATCGCAGGGTGGGTCTCGAACATTCACCTATTAGTCGCCGTACCTATAGCACTAAAGTACCCACTTTTCCATGAACCAGCATCATTGGTCTAGTGGTAGAATTCATCGTTGCCATCGATGAGGCCCGTGTTCGATTCACGGATGATGCACAGCGATTTCCTTTTTGCTCTTCAGTTTTTTTTAGCGGACTGATCTGCTTTATGTTTTATTCGCGTTGGGGATAAGGAGTCGAGTCGCCAATTTAAGGTAGAATCTTATCATGATCTGATAGCGGCATAATCCGGGGGGCTTAACATACCCCAACCTGTCGACCAAGTCTTTGGTACAGGAGCTTACAGTCTCGCGGCATTTCGTAGAATCTCATTCGATTCTGTCCAGAATTTCATCGCTCGAGCGGAGAATATATAAATATCATTGCGCAAGGGTAAACGAAGCCACCATCACCACCCATTTATCAATAACCAACAGACGGCTGCAATGCAAGAGAAGGTAATAACCATGATCACAGACAAGACTAATTCGCGGGATAAGGCATAGGATAGTGTACGCTTTTCATCAATCACTATCACTGGAGGAGCTTGAACTCGAACTCGAACTCGAACTCGAGCTCGAGCTCGAACCCGAAGAACTGGAATATCCGCGCCTGCCGCTCCGTCTCCCATGATGCCTTTGCTTATGTCTTTTGCGCCTAGTGACGGCATAAGTCAGTGCATGAGACACATGTAGGATGGCACAGGCGTCTCAGGAAACCTACAATTTACTAGCGATATTCATCCCTGCAGCCCCGGCCAATGCACCTCCTGCAGCACCTAGCATCCCACCCCCGAATTTCTGGCCGAGCAAGCCACCACCAGCTGCACCGGCCACCGTCGATATCAATCCTCTTTCGCCCTCTGGCGCTTTGGTATCCGGTGCCAACGACTGTTTGGTATCCAGAGGAACCGACTGGGTGGCATAATATGAAGAACTCTCGCCCTGGCGATACTGAGGCTGTAGGGGATACGACGGATCATATCCGTAGTTCATATGCGCGGTTTTTCCATCTGGATATCCGCCTTGAGGTGTCTTTTCGTCGTAGTTTGGTGCGTAGCCCTGCTGCGCGTATGGAGGAACGTTGTTGACGAATTGGTTGGGATACTGAGTGTATGGAGACTGAGACCAGGGTAAAAATGTCAGTTAAAACTGCGTCTTGAGAAAAGTTGCATACTTTTCACGGCTTGAAAGGCTCGTAGAGTATTTGGCATACTTACAGTAGACTGGTTGTGTGTATATTGGGGAGGCTGACCATATTGGTCTTGCTGAGGAGGATAATAGCTGGAATAACCCGGATTATTGTGCCCACCGTTTTGCTGACCGTAGCCAGCTGGTGGTTGACCGTACTGGTTGTAGTAGTGGGTTTGGTATGGATCGGACATGATAGCTAAGAAAGACAAACGACGGATATCGATGGTGCTATTCTCTTGTTGTCTAAATGAGCTGCGAAGGAAACATGTAGTGTGAGTTACAGATGAGCTTTAGTAAATACTATCACAGTACCACCTGCCCAGACCTCCAAGAATACATGACAATCTCCATCACATTGGGAAAGAACTAACATCGCAGCTGCCTTAAATATCGAGCAGCCAGATCCAAAAGGAAACCATTCACATAGTTAACTACCCATCAATGACAAAGAAGCATTGACTGCAAAATGGCTGTATTTGATATTCACCTTTGCTAATTTATTTGGATCACCGTTCTTTGTTTCCCCTCCCCCATATCTGCATGTTTCTGGTGTTTCTGTTCCTAGATAACTAGATATTTTCAACCAAGTGGTTTCAGTCAGTTTTCATCAACCAGAGGTTAGCAAGTCCTGACCGGGGAGTTCTCTCTTTGCCTCAGTGCTCTTTCGCTGTAACATTATGTTTATTAAATGACCAAGGCTTACAAAGGCCCACAATAAACCACGAATCTCCGACATAATCTCGTCGCATCTTAAGGATCTGCAAGACCGAGCCCCAACAGCAAATGGATACCACCAGTTTCTTGGAGATGTTGCATTGGTTATTACCGCAGCTTCGAAGGCCAGTAAAGCACCGGGAGCTTCCCCGAACAAAAGACCCCATGTTCACAAGCGCAGCGACACCACAGCGGCTGCGTTGATTGCAATTATCTATAAGTTGGCCCGGCATCCGGCACAAGTGCAGAAGCCCTGTGTCGAACCCACCAACTTTACCCTGACTACATTGACGAGAAGATTGCAAGCCAGCCACATCTAAACGGGATCATCAACGAGGCGCTCCGTCTACACTCACCGATCCCAAACATCATTCCCAGGGAGACTCCTCCAGAAGAACTTGACATTAATGGCGTCTACATACCATGTAACATGACCGTGTCCTGCCTGCAGTGGGTAATAGACAGATGTGAGAACATGCCCCTTCCCCCCCACCCATCCCCAAATATTCGCTCGCATTACTCTGTTACGTCGAGGTTTTTTACTCAGACGCACAAGAAGTTGTCCCTGAAAGGTGGTACAAACACTCGGAGATGGCCATGCACAAATCCGCCTATGCACCCTTCTTGATTGGTCAGTTGATCTTCTTTGTTCACGCGTGTCACCCAAAATGGGCTATAACTGACAAATTCAGGTCCTTATGCCTCCATTAGAAAACCCCTCGCACTCATGAACATGCGAACAACTATCGCTTGGATTATTACAACCTTTGACATGCGACTTCCCGCAGATGATAACGGTACTTTTCAAGTGCATGCCGGAGCACTTTTCCAGTTTCATTGGAAGGCAATATATATGGAGTATTATAGTTACCAAGCAGAATTAGGCGCCTGTCCTGGAGCGGTTGGGTAGACTATGCTGGCACTCTCCTACTGCTGGACTAAATTTAGTATTGTGCTTGAAGCTAGGGTTGCCTACCAGGATCAGAATTAGGTCGGAATATTTGATGTCCTTCCGGACAAAGTTATACCCGTCGAACAACTTACACTTGTTTCTGTGACTAGGGCTGAAGGAGACTAGGGTTATAATCATACTCTGGCTGAGAGAAATGCATCCCTAGGTTTGACACTCCGGAGCTTGGGGCATCTCTATCCTGATCTGGAGACAAATGCAGATTAGTTAGTTGAACTATGAGTAAATGACAAAGACGCATGCATAAGCCCCCAAGCATACTAGTACAACCTAGTATAGCCCGACAACGCAGCCGGTGAGCAAGCGAGGAGGTTGGGAAAGTAAGCCCAGGCCGTAGTTCCGAAACAGGTATGACGGCTGATAGCGACCACGATCATGGCCACCATAACTCTGATCTACTCGCGTGGCACCACACCACCTGACCACCCCGGAGATTGAAGGCTCCCCGCGGAAGTGCCCCGGAAAGTATAATAGCAGGCCTCTCGGTCGGAGTCCGCGCAAGGTGACCTAGTGAGGGCTTGGACTGGGTCTCGTGTTCGGGCCGCGACCCGTTCATTCGCCGGGCAGAAGATGATGAGGGCGTCGGTGGCTGACTGGACCCAACACGCCAACCTGACGGTCAACTAGCTTCAGGTCGGGTTTACCCCGCGATGGAGAGAGTAGCGCTTGCTCACTCGCACGGTCGGGGATTCGAGTCACCGTTGTGCGTGCGGTCAGGGGGGAAGGGGGGGGGGGGGGGGAGGCCATTGGTGGCTGTGACTCTCGTGAAGGAGGGAGGGGAGAATGGTGAGGACAGTCTGAGGCATTTGCGAGTGTGGGAGCGGACGAGAAGGGTAGGAGATGCTGTCGACCTCGTCTAGACCGATGCTGGGCTGGAAGAGGGTCGAGGGAGAAACAAGAAAGTGTGGAGAGCGGCTTGGCAGTCTGGGGAAAGCTTGGCGGCCTGAGGGTTCAGGAGGGGGGATCAGATGCGCGGGACTGAATCATAACCACAGAATCAGGAATTACCACTCTGAGATCACCGAGTCCAGAGCCCGGAGCCCAGCCAGAACCCTGGGTTCGGCCTGAGTCAGATAATCCCCGAGCTGCTGCCCCGTTAGACTTTCCCTCCTGTCTCAACCTCGAGCCTCTTCCTCCCTCAGGTGAGCGATCGGCATCAAACCCGGGGAGATAAGGCTGCCTGCGGGGTCCCTGGTCCCCTCCATCGGCTGGCTGTCCGTCTGCCCGTCTGTCCGATCCCGGACTTTAAAAACCTCCGCGTTACCCCGTCATCTTCTGCTTTTCGAGTCGCTATCCTTTCCCCGTACCTCTTCTTCCTTCTACCTTCCTCTGTGCAAGGGATTGTCAACCCAGACTTGACCGTCCAGCATGGCTTCCTACGAGGATAAGAGCCCTACGGGTGTCCCCGTCCAGGCTGTGCCCGTCCAACCCTCCGAGGACGAGCACCCACGGATGGGCTGGGGTGAATACCTGCTCACTCGGATCCCAACCTTGGTGCCCCCCATGAACCCTGCCCCCAACCCTTTCAAAGCTCTTGCTCTCCTGACCCGGAAACAATGGCTCTTCTTCGGCGTATGTATATACTGCCCGCCCACCCCAATTCCATGCGCACGGCTAACCGAACTCACTCAGGTCGCCTTCTTCGGCTGGTCGTGGGATGCCTTCGATTTCTTCACCGTTTCCTTGACCACCACCCAGCTTGCGGCTGACTTCGACAAGTCGGTCACCGATATCACCTGGGGTATCACTCTCGTGCTCATGCTCCGGTCCGTGGGTGCCATCACCTTTGGAATCGCGTCCGATCGTTGGGGCCGCAAGTGGCCGTTCATCGTGAATAACATACTTTTTATTGTGCTGGAGCTGGGAACCGGTTTCTGCCAGACCTACAAACAGTTCCTGGGCTGTCGTGCCCTCTTTGGGATTGCCATGGGCGGTCTGTATGGGAATGCAGCGGCCACAGCACTCGAGGACTGCCCCATGGAGGCGCGCGGTATTGTGTCGGGTCTGCTCCAACAGGGCTATGCGTTTGGATACCTGCTGGCCACGGCGTTTGCCCGCGGATTGGTCGGGACCACTTCGCACGGATGGAGACCCCTGTACTGGTTCGGGGCTTGCCCTCCGGTCCTGATCATCATCTACCGGCTTTGTCTGCCCGAGACGGACACGTTCCTCCAGCGGCAGGCAACCCGGGCGGATGTTCGTGGAGGAGTGACTGGGACCTTCTTGTCAGAGGGCAAGACCGCCGTCCGCCGACACTGGCTGCTCCTGATTTATCTGGTCTTGCTGATGGCGGGTTTCAACTTCATGGTACGTCGCACTCTGTCTTTTCCCCTCGGGCAGATGCAGATCCCCAGAGCTCATCCCATATGTACATTTCACTGACTAGAACTAGTCTCATGGCTCACAAGACCTATACCCAACCATGCTGAAGAGCCAATTCGGGTTCTCTGAGAATGCCGTCACTGTCACCCAGGTTGTCGCCAATCTAGGTGCTTTGACGGGTGGCACACTATGCGGCTGGGCAAGTCAGATCTTTGGCCGACGATTCTCCATCATTGCGATCAGCATTGTGGGAGGCGCTCTGCTCTACCCGTATACTTTTGTCACCTCCACCAACGTCATGGCAGCGGCGTTCTTTGAGCAGTTTTGCGTGCAGGGCGCGTGGGGTGTCATCCCCATCCATCTGATGGAACTGTCTCCGGGAGCCATTCGCACGTTTGCCGTGGGTACCGCGTACCAGCTGGGCAATCTCGTGTCTTCGGCCAGCTCGACCATCGAGTCGACGATCGGAGAACGCTTTCCCTTGCCCCCCACCGACGCTGGCGCCATAAGGTACCAGTATGGCAAGGTGATTTGCATTTTCATGGGTTGTGTGTATGCCTACACCATTATCGTGACCTTTTTAGGCCCCGAGGCACTGGGCCGCCAGTTTGATGTGGCGCACGATGCGGACATGGCGGAGGTGGCCGCCCACCGCGGGACTGCGGAGAGGAGCGAAAGCGACCCGGAGAAGGGCACGGCGCGGACAGTGGAAGGATGATCAATCTAATCATAATAATTGCTTGGAACGATTTATGCAGCCTTTGTGAAGCGATGATTTGCTTGTATTTTGATATCACTAGTAGTACGATGAGCTGAATGGACTTGCTTTTGCTCCTGAAGTACACTCCGGATGGCGTGATTGACGCTGGCGATGAGTCCAGCCCGACCCGCCCATAACCCTAACAGGCTAACCCAGCATTTAACCTACGGGATGCGATAGAAAGTAGATTGCAGGCGGCAGGGACGCGAAAGACAAAAGAAATTAATCTGGATTGCAATCAACGCAACAATGGGGGAGAAGAATAGGTGACATCGGTAACCCACCATGCTAGAAAGTCAGCCACTGTATGTAACATCGGACGGAATCGGGTTGGTTCAGCACTTGAGAGAGAAACAAGGTTGCATCAGAATCTGCTTAATAAACGTGTCCATCACCCCCGTCGAGGGACGGGTCATCGGGTTGAAGGATCATCATCATCTGCGTGGGACATGGAGAGGGAAAGGAAATAAGGACCTACCCGTGTAATGATAACAACAATCAGCAGGGGCATCATTGGCGACGAGTAAATGTCCGACTGCGATTGCTCCCCAGGGACGCGGGCGGGTTTATAGGCTGGCGCTGCAACCCCGCACTGGACGCATCGCGTCAGGGACGAGGGATGGGATTAGAATTGAGGGTGGTGTGATGAGGAACCTCCATTGTTATTCGATGCGTGCGTGGCCAGAGCTGGCGGTCGGGGTGACCACCGCAAGGATACACACAGTCGCAGTCTCGCATTAGTTTAGTGTAGCTAGCGAGCGGTTACAGGACTCCTCCTTACTCCACTGTCGGACATTGGGACCTCGTGGAGCGGATCGCCCGCGATGCTCAGGGTCTCATGGCCCTAAATCCAAAGCCATCTGCTGTTCCAACGGGGAGGAATCAATCCCAGACTGCAACATTTTGACTTCCGAGTAGATGGTGGTTGGCTCCTGTGATCGTAGCTGTCAACCCAGTCGCATCCATGGTATGGATGAACCATGAACCCTGACGGACGAACAGGTCGTGCCTCGCTTTCTCCCCATCACGTTGTACCACCCTCGGATGCCTTCGAGCCCTCAGCTTCACAGCACTCCCAGCGCCAGAATCCACTCGGGCGCAACGCAACGCAACGCCATTGACCGCACTTAACTGGGGATATCGCGCGCGTGCTGGACGCCATTGAGCCCTTGAGGGTTGAGGCCGATCGCCGCCTGGGCAGAGAGCCGACAGCACCCGCCAAGCCTGTTCCGTCGAAACGACGTCTTGCTTCTTCTTTCGCCCTTCTCTCGCTCTTCTCTCTTCTCTCTCTCTCTTCCTCCCTCCCTCCCTCTCTCTTCTCCCCCCGTTGCTCTGCCTCCATCTCCCTCCCTTTCCCCTCGTCTTCCATTCCTGTCTTTTCGGATTCTTCCCTCTTCTCCACATTCCTCCCCGTCTCCTCTCCTCCATCCTCCTCCCCTTTCTCCGCCGCCGCCGCCGAAAAAAGAATCCCCTCCTTATCTCCCCCGGTCGGTCACTCGTTCGTCCGCAGTTCACCCGAAATCCACCCCCCCCCCCCCCTCAGGGTCCGATCTCACCGCAGAACGAAAGGGAGGAGAGGACTACCAAATACCACTCGAGAGAAACACCATCCTCCCCCGACCATATCTCTGCGCCGTTCGTTCGTCCACTCATTCGCCCCGATTCCCTGACTCCAGACTAGTGGGCGCATTCCAACCTTTTCTTCAGGGTCCAGCACTCCTAGTCGATCCCCTTGCCGCCTTCCCTCCATAAACCCTCCGACCCCGTTTGCCTCCGATCGATCCCCCTACGCGCTGGATGAGGATCACGATCGCTGCCTCTTCCAATGCACAGACGCTCGTCTGGCTCGCCGGTCGAGGACGACGCTGAAGATTCCGTGATCACCGTCTCTCGAACCCCGACGGAGCCCGCTCACGGTCCCAATGTTCTCGATCCGCCGGAAAAATCGCGTCCGCAGGCAGCCAGGACTGGCACCAGCTTCGATCTGCGTCGAGATAACGCGGGCGCCGCAACCCCTCGCTCCCGAAACTCGAGCCTCTGGCGCACCTCGTCCTCCAATGACACCCGTTCCTCCTCCGTCATGATGCCGCTGGCCTCCCAGCGACTGCCCATGGAAGTCTCCCCCGACGGGCAACACCGGTTTCGACCGTCGCGCCTCCGCAGTCCGTGGCCGATCTCCATCCTCTCGGCTCTCACCACACTCGTCGCGTCCATATTCCTCTTTTTCATCCTCCAATCCTTCTCCGCTCGTCAGACCGGCGGTGATGGCTGTGGCATCCCTGTCATGAGTCCCACGTTCATTCGCATGGATGGATTTGATACGGAACACACACGGTTTGCGAGCAAATACAATCTGTTTCTCTATCGGGAGGCAGGCGTGGACTCGTACCACCAGGACAATCTGGGTGTAAGTATCTGTGTTGTCTTTCGCGTGGCTCTGGCCTTTGTACGATCCCCGACTCATTGCCATTTCCCTCCAGATAAACGGCGCCCCTGTCCTCTTTCTTCCCGGAAACGCCGGCAGCTATAGACAAGTCCGATCCCTTGCCGCGGAAGCCTCGAGACACTACGCTGATGTGGTCCGACACGACGAAGAGCGCCGTAAGACGGGCACCCGCAGCCTGGACTTCTTTATGATCGACTTCAACGAGGATCTCGCCGCCTTCCACGGCCAGACACTGCTCGACCAAGCCGAATATGTCAACGAGGCGGTGGCATACATTCTGTCGTTGTACCATGACCCGCGACGGTCACGGAGGGATCCCGATCTTCCGGACCCCAGCTCCGTGATCGTTATTGGGCACTCCATGGGAGGAATTGTGGCACGGACAGCATTGACCATGACGAACTACCAAGCCAATTCGGTCAACACCATCGTGACCATGTCAGCACCCCACGCCAAGCCCCCCGTCTCTTTCGAATCAGATATCGTCCATACCTACAAGCAAATCAACGACTACTGGCGCGAAGCCTACTCCCAGACATGGGCGAACAATAACCCACTGTGGCATGTGACGTTGATCTCCATTGCGGGCGGTTCGCGCGACACGGTGGTTCCGTCCGACTACGCCAGTATCTCGTCGCTTGTTCCGGAGACCCACGGCTTCACCGTGTTTACCTCGACGATCCCTGATGTCTGGATCGGTATGGACCACCTGTCAATCACCTGGTGCGATCAATTCCGCAAGTCGATCATCAAGTCGTTGTTCGACATCGTGGACGTCCGCCGGGCCAGTCAAACAAAGCCCAGAGCTGAGCGTATGCGAATCTTCAAGAAATGGTATCTGACCGGATTGGAGCCGATAGCAGAGAGAACGCTTCCTCGGAAAGGTATTTGGAGACTGTTTCTCACTCGTGAGCAGCTACTGACTACTTTACAGAGCCCAGCACGTTACTGAAGCTGGAAGACAGCAGCAACACGATCTTACCGCAAGGCCAGCGACTGATTCTTCGCGAATTAGGCCACAACACTGGCCCAAATGTGCACCTTCTGCCCGTCCCACCGCAGGGTGTACCGGGAAAGAAGTTTACTCTCCTTTCGGACCAATCGTTTGACGACACCGGCGATCAGGGCTCACTGGAAGTTCTTTTCTGCAGTGTCACCCCCCTGCACAACAGCAAATTCGCCAGTGTCTTCTCGATGAACATAGACCTCTCCGGGGGAAGCGTGGGAACTACCCGACTTGCTTGCAAGAACGCCGCTGAGGACGGAATTCATCTCCCCGCGTCGACACGCACTTCCAAGCAAGCCTGGGACCGGACCACGCCCTTCTCTTACTTGCAGTACGACCTGGAGGACCTGGTCGAGCATCAGTTTGTGGCTGTTGTCGACAAAGCGCGCTCACCCACACGTGGCTGGGTCGTGGCGGAATTCTCCGACAGCTCCGACTCGGTCATCCGGGCCCGGGTGGGCTTGGGCGGCTTGCTCAGTGCCGGTCTGAACATGAGACTACCAGCGAATCGTCCCATGCTCACGGAGGTCAAGATCCCCGCGCTGCACTCGAGCTTGCTGAATTACAAGCTGAAGATTATCCGACGGAGCTACGCGCAGCAAGAGCTGTTTGCACCGTTGCTGCGACAGTCCATCCCGGACCCTCACGAATCCAAGTTTTTCGTCAACGTGAAGCAAGTCAATGTGAACTTGCACGGCCTCGCGCCCTTCATGCCTCCCCCGCTTCGCGATCAAGCCGCTCTTGGTGGGGTGTCTTTCCAGCTTTGGACGGACCCGAGCAGTGAGTCCACGGTCGATGTCTCTATATCGGTGGACATCCTAGGTAGTCTTGGGGAGCTTGTCATGCGGTACCGGACCATCTTTGCTACCTTCCCGATCTTGGTTATTGCTCTGGTTCTCCGAAAGCAGTTCCAAGTGTACGACGAGACTGGCTACTTCATCACCTTTGCAGAAGGACTGGATAGTACTTTACGGTCGTCCTTTCCCCTCTTGCTGGTCGCCATGTCCTTACTGGCGTCGTCTCTGGCCACGTCTAGCACCCTGCCCCCGAACGATGATCCGTTCCATTGGCGCACGAACGCCACCGAGTCTCCCATTGATTTTACGAAGAACGACCTCCTACTGGGCTCACAAGACGCATTCTTTTGGTTCCTAGTGCCTATATTCGGTCTGATCAGCGTGGGGGTGTGTGTCATCATCAACTACGTGTCGCTATCCCTTCTCTCTGTGATTTCTCTCGTCTATGGTCTTCTAAACAGCAAGTCTGGGTATATCAAGCGCGACGACAAAGGGTAAGTCATATTGTCAACGTTCAAGGCGTGTGCTAACCATGATAGAAATCTTCCCATCTTCTCGGCCCCCACGCCCAGGCGGCGCTTGATCAACACGGCTGCCCTCTTGGTTCTCGTCTCGACTGTTGTCCCGTATCAGTTTGCCTACATGGTGGCATGCATCGTGCAGCTGGCCACATGTGTGCGGGCCCAATGGCATGCCAAGGAGACAGTGCGTATCTGCTTTCTGATTTCTGGAGCTTGCTAACAGTGCATAGAAATCGACGACCCACTATAACTTCGCCAACTATACGTATTCGATCTTCCTCCTCATGTTGTGGATCCTCCCGATCAACATCCTGGTCCTGCTTGTCTGGGCCCACAACCTGGTTGTACACTGGTTCATGCCCTTTTCATCTCATCACAACGTTCTATCCATAATGCCGTTTTTACTGCTCGTCGAGGCCATGACCACGGGGACGATGATCCCTCGAATCAACTCACGGTATGTGCCATTGATCGCAATAAAGTACTCACACTGACACGAGCCAGGCTAAAAAACATCACCTCCCTTCTTCTCTTCGCCCTCGCCATATACTCGGCGGTGTACGGAGTCTCATACGCCTACCTCCTCCACCACCTCACTAATATCTTCGCCGCGTGGCTTGTCGGGGTATACCTGTTCAGCAGCGGCTTCTCCCTCCGACGCCTATGGCGGATCCTGGAAGGCAGCGACGAAGCGACGTCCACCCCGGAACCCGGGAGCCACACGAAGAAAAAGCCGTAATCGCGTTTTATTTTCTACCCATACATATATGTTTTTTTTATTCCCCTTACTTATACTTTCTGTCTTCTTCTTTTTCTTCTTCTTCTTCTTCTTCTTCTTCTTCTTCCTCCTCATTCTGCATTCGGCCGGTTTGCCGGACCATGACTATACGGAGTTCATTTTGCTTTGGAGCGGTATTTTGCTTTTATGCCAAGACACGGATCGTTGTACAGGATTGTTTGTTCTTTTATGCTCATACGAACGAATATCTGATTCGAGCCTTCGGTCTGCTGATACGTCTGTATATAACGCTTGTTGATCTGGATATAGACTTGGCCAGTCATAATATTATGTAGGCAGATCTGGGTTGCGTGTGCGTGATACAATTTCGTATGATGATTTTTTTTTTTTTTTTTTTTTTAGAACCTACCTTTCACCCAAGCGATGCAGCCTTCTCGCAATATTCTCCACTTCATCGAAATTTTCCTGCATCCTTTTGATGCCTTCGCTGATTTCACTTCGGGCGCGCCTCACCGTACGCCCTACCAGCATCTAGTGTAGTATCCTCAATAAGGTGTCAGTTCGAGGGGGGAGGACGAACATCATCACTGAAAAGAAAAGAAAACGCCAAAAATGAAAAGAAAGCCCCCAGAGAGAGGGAAAGGAGAAGAGATTCAGACTTACCGACACGCTCTCGACTTAGTATCCAGGGGAATGTGTCGTTGGGGGAAGGAGCGGGTGTGGTGTATAACACCGCCGATTCTCAATACAGCAAGCACACTCGACGGTGCAGTCCCACCGTAAGTTTTCATCTTCCGGGCCTGTAAAAGGTTCTGTGATTATTCGGAACATCTTATTTCAGTGGTGATTCGTGAGATAGACTTGAGATAGAGGTAAAATGAGAGTGAGATACAGGTAAGATGGATGTGAGGTGGATTTATGAAGGGAAAAAATTGAGGACGGTTTATAGATTGCTTTCAGCAGACTCTTTCGCCCCAAAAACGCCCCATCGATGGCTTGCATTTTTGAGGGTTGTTTTGTGTTTCTTGTCCTTCTTGTCAGACAACTATATGTATAATCAGCGTCAGTTGCTGTTGTTTTACCGTTGAATCCTACAAATCTCGTGGTCCCCCCCGAATATCCTTGCCGGATTCTGTCTGATTCTGGCCTATAGATCGCATTTTTATCCTACTTATGTCAGAACCAGATCTTCTTTTATTCTTCATACTAGTTTACACAATTTGCTTTACCTATGATACTTTCTCCGACCATCATAACTACCAGGCAGGTGAGGGGCAGGAAATTAATGAGTGCATTAAAGAAAATGATGCTCCAGACACGAACGCTGGGGGGTTTCACATTGGAAGACAGACTGATCTAATGCTGAGCATTTACCGACCCCATGTCAGCAAGCGAACAAAGGAATTGCCAGATTTGCAGCTCGTTATCCTCGTTATCTGGAGTTCTGTCTCGCAATTCCACCTGGCCCTCGCTGCCATCAGCCAACGCCGAAAGTGGATTCATGTTGCCAATACCGACCAAGAGGCGACACATATTTGAATCGCCAAGCTGCACGGCTGCCCGCAAGGGATTTTGCTTTCCATCCCAAGAATGGCTTTTCCAGTCGATGTCGCTTTGCAAGAGAAGGATTCTCGCTGACTCATATCGGTCTTGTGACGCCAAGGGACTTTTGATAACCCGCACCAGGGGTATATCCCCTTGTTTGTCCGCTTGATACATACCTCCTGGAAAACGATCAATTAGGAGGCGGAGTATGTCTGGATTGCAGTGCCTTGAAGCTAAATGCAGAATGTTTTCACCGCGGGTGTTTTGGTATTGTAGATGTGCCCCAGTGCCATTCTGTTCCAGTAAGTATTTTACCACGTCGACGTGATTTCCCCAAGCAGCTTCTCCAATCGATTGATGGACTGGTTTGGCAGGTAGGACTAATTGCTGTTCGAGTCTGAGCCCATGTAGCAGCTCACGACTAAGCTCTGTATTATGCTCAGAGCTAGCTATCGATCGCTGGATTATTGCAGCTTCTCCAGAAAGAGTGCACCGGCTTAAAGACGCTGGAGACTGTCATATATGGCCAAGATGCCAGCGGCTTGGAGCGGTTTGGATCTCCGTTCCCCCACTCAGGACGGGTTTCACTCCATCCACTGTTGCCTGGCATGGACCTTGGCGCTTGAGACCCCTTCTAGACCCCCAGCAAATCTACGTAGTGGTATGGATGATGTGGTCAGCTCAGAAACTTTATATGTATTAGCTTCAAGATTACCAGGACCAGTGAACGATCACACGGGCTAGTACGGGTTGCCCTTAGCCGGGGGTATGATTGAGACATGCATAACGGGGAACATGTAGTTGGAGCAACAGCTAGGATCTTCAGTTGAAACAAAACCCTGTCTGGTCAAGCCTCTAGTCGTGTTCAAAGGCTAGGTCATATGGGTCAGGGGCCAGAGAAACCTTCAGACCCTAAGGCTTCCCTTTGAGCATCGGATAATTTCTGGAATATAAGGGGATACAAACTCGGCGATGAGGTTCTGACGTAGATCTGCAGACAGAGGCTGACCAGCCAAATATCCGAAGAGGGATTTCGTGAGGAGAAAAACAGCAGAGCATGGGATCGAAATGAAAAGCAATGAATGGTCAAAATTTGATGAATAGTCTGCTCATCTTAGGGCTGCTGCCATGGCGGCGTGAGGTGTGATGCGTGATTGGTTCGGAGTGGGTGGATGACATCGGAGTGGATGGATCGGATTAGAATTCGGATTGGAAATCGGATCAGACTCGGACTGCCCTGCCCAACTGTTCTGCCTGCGCAGATATCCGATCGACGATTCTAGATTGCACTCCGCAGGCAAATATAATCAGACTTAGCCTTTGCCGGACTAGGCCACTGCTTGCCAACTCTCAGGATCGAAGGCCCTAGCCTCAGGCATGAGTCATCGGGACGGATCATCCGTCACAAGCCGTGGTTGAACCATTTGGAGACTCCGATCTCTCGGCCCAGCTCCATCAAAGCGTATCCAGACGACCATCATCAGCCACCGCCATATCGTCATTGGTGTTTCAGCGATGAGCCAGAAAGACTCATACACCTTGAGTCGAGTCAAGTAGGACCCCGATCGCGGAACTGCTGGCGTTAGCGCCTCGTGTTGACATTCAACCACGCCCTTCGCTCCTTGGTATGCGGACCAGCAGAACGCCGGTGGGCCACACACGCACAATGGCCCGTCCATAGCCGTCCATCGCATGTGAAGTCTAGTCCTCACCATCTGATTATGATGTCGTTGCACCGCTAAGCCTTGCTCTAGCAGTGGCTGCCTGGTGGGTCATGGCGTGGTGACGAGTTTGAGTTTTATTCCGTAGGCTTCGGAATAAACCATCGCTGGCGGAATGGATGAGGCCGCCGCGAAGTTACTCGGTATATAAGGGCCATGGAACCTCTACCAGACTGACCCCTTGCGATTGTACATTCCAGATCACCAGCCTCTATTAAAAGATTGAAATATTTGATATATCAACAACTCATCATCTCCTCTCTACACTCAGTGAACTATATAACCGCTGTGATCACCCCCCCAACAACAATCCTCTCCACCAAATCCTCCAACACAACCAAAACCATGTCTTCCCACTCCGTCAAGACCACTTCCACTTTCGACGACGCCTCGTCTACCTACAGCGTCTCCTCCTACGCATCCACACTGAAGGGCCTCAAAACCACAAGCAAGAAGTGGTTCTCCGGGGAAGAGAAGCCCGCCTCGAAGCCATCCAAGAAGGCGGCTCTGAACCCTCGCACCAACTACACCACCCTGGCGACCTACCTGTCTTTGAAATGATCGTCTAGTCGGCTGGGTGCTGGCCATACAACGATGGAATCGGGGCATAGTTCAACTGCTATAACGACGTCACGCGCATGTCCTTCAACCACAGATGTTTTCGACTTTGCTGCAGCTTTCCTAATGGGTAATCGGAGTTGGGGTAACGGGGTGAAAATGATTGATACCGCCTGTGGATATTCCGGGCTTTATTTTTGGTCTTGTGTTAAATAGTTGTTTCATCATCAATCAATTGGATTAGAAAAAGACACAAGACCTTTCCAGAGCACTCACTGCGGAGTAGTGTATAGTAGGACGGAGGACGGAGTACTCCGTACGGAGTAAAAATACTAAAAATACTGGGGGAAATCCACCGGACTGCTTAATCATGAACCAATCCGGACTAGCGCGTCACACGCGTCTTCACGCGTCGCATCCAAACCATCAATCCAAACCCACGGAGGGATCAGACTGAATCAATTGATGCTGTCCATCGGCATGACCGCTTAGACGCTTTGATGACGACGTCTCCCCCGTCCGTCCCTCCCTCCTTCGACCCAGCCCTCCACCTCCACTCCGAGGGCGATCCCCCCGAGCCCCCCTCCGACACCTTCTCCGACGACTTCGAGGCCCTGCACTTCCAGCGGGAAGAGAACGCGCGTAAGCGAGTGGTGATCCAGCACCGGGCGTGGAATCTATCGGATGTCTTTCGCAGCGACGAGGACATCAGGCCTGGTATACAACACCATCCCGGTCGCTGGGAACGAACACTGACTGGGCAGATACCCCGACAAAAACGCGCAAACACCCACTGCAGACCATCTACTCTCCAAATCTCCTCCCCTCCTCGCCGCCTACCATCAGAATGCCGTCCATCGCATCCCCCGCCCCCGCTCCCTTCCCGTCAGATGCTCCGTCACCGGAGGCGCAGAAGCGGAAGAACGATGAGCCATCGCAAACGGCAGAGCCCAAGCGGCAGAAGATCATGGGCGGTTTCTTGGACGATGGAGACGAGGACGAGTGGGACGCCTTCGACGATGCACAACTACGGAGTGACTTCCAGTTCCAGGAGGAATACATCCAGAAGGGGCCTGTTGAACTTCCCGAAATCCCGCGACCCTCTCAGACAACAATGGAGCTGCCCGTGATTGAAAAGCCCGCTGCCGATCCAACCCCGGCCCCAGAGCCAGCCCCAGAGCCAGAGCCAACCAGTACAGTAGCCACCCTCCCGGCCCGCGGCCCCTACAGATCCATCCGCATAAAGACCTGCTCAGGCAAGACCCACTACGTTCCGTTGAAGAAGACCGCAACCCGGGTCGCCTACGAGAAGCTTGTTGCTGGTCGGTCTGTCACTGCACCTGGAAGGGCCCAGAAGAGCTACTACGGTATCGAGATCCACAAGCTTATAGATGATGCCGCGAAAGAGGAAGAATCAAAGACCGTTGCGCCCCCACCTCCGCCCCCGGTACAGCCGTCCATTGAATCTTTCGGCAACCAGAAGAACTCGAAGTTGGCAGCGGCCATGTGGACGGAGAAGTACCGCGCGCGCAAGTTCACTGAGCTTATCGGAGACGAACGTACACATCGATCCGTATTACGCTGGCTGAAGGGCTGGGAGCCGATTGTCTTTCCCAATATCGCTAGGTCGAAGCCGAAGAAACCGATGCATGGCAAAGAAGAAGAAGAGCGGCCGCATCGAAAGGTTCTGTTGCTATGTGGCCCTCCGGGTCTCGGAAAAACTACGCTGGCGCATGTATGTGCTCGACAGGCTGGTTATGAAGTGCTAGAAATCAATGCGAGTGATGATCGGAGCAGAGATGTCGTGAAGGGGAGGATCAGAGATGCCCTCGCCACGGAAAACGTCAAAGGAATGAACGTGGAAGTGGGCGAGGAGAAAGTGAGGAAAGCGGGACGGCCTGTCTGTGTCGTTGTCGACGAAGTGGACGGAGTGGTCAGCGGTTCTGGAGGCGGAGGTGAAGGAGGTTTCATGAAGGCCTTGATTGATCTAGTGATGCTTGATCAGAGGAATTCGGCCGCATCTTCCGAACAGAACAAGGGCAAGAAGAAGGGTGATAAATTCCGCTTCTTGCGTCCACTCATCATGGTCTGCAACGATGTATACCATGCCAGTCTACGACCATTGCGGGCATCTTCCGTTGCTGAGATTATTCATGTCCGTCAAGCGCCGTTGGAAAATGTCGTCTCGCGCATGAAGAGAATCTTCACCATCGAAGGCATCCCGTCTGATAACGATGGTGTCCGGCGTCTCTGCGAAGCGTCCTGGGGCCTCGCCAGAAAGAAGCAAGGCGGTGTCAAGAGCAGCGGAACGGCCGAAGGCGATATCCGCAGTGTTCTCGTCGCAGCAGAGTGGGTGGCGCATAAGCTCAGGAATGAGTGCCCCTCTACTCTGCGGTTGACAAGAAGCTGGCTGGAGCAGAAGGTCCTCAGTGCAAGCACCGGAGGTGGAGCCTTCTTCAAAGGCCTGAATCGCGGCGGTGTACGCGATCTCGTGGAACGAGTGTTTACCGAGGGAGCCGGGTTTGCTGATGCGCCTGTCGGGGTTGAATCTTTCCGCGATCCCTTCGACGAGTCCGAACGAGTGCCGGTTGGTGTGGCGGAGCTCAGAAAACGCCATGCTATCAACAGACTACGCGAGATGATCGATGCCAGTGGTGAACATGACCGCTGCGTCACCGAGTGCTTTGCGTCGTATCCTCTGCAGACGTTCCAGGACGACACATTGCTCTCCAAGCCGAACTCCGCCTACGACTGGCTTCACTTCCACGACACCATGTCGTCGAAAGTCTTTACGGCTCAAGACTGGGAACTCAGCGCGTATCTCAGCCAGTCCATCGTTGCTTTCCACCATCTCTTTGCCACCGCCCAAGGCAAAGCCAAGCCCGTCGAAGTCGACGATGAAGAGGAGCAGCATCCTTTCTCCGGCCCCAGGGCCGACTTTGCCGCCTACGAAGCTCAGAAGCAGAACCGGGCCATTCTCGCGGAGTTTCAGACCGGCTTCACAGCCCCATTAACCAGACTCTTCCGTTCGACAGACTCACTAGTCATCGATCTCATTCCGAACCTCATCCCGATGCTATCCCCAGATGTGAAACCGGTCGTTGTGCGCGGGGGCGGCGACCAGCGAAGCGTAGCCAGTGTCCGCAAGGAGAGTGAACGGTCTCTCGTCCAGGTCGCAGTCCGAGTGATGGCCGGTCTGGGCGTGCGATTCGACAAAGTGCGCATCGAAAATGCAGGTGCTCACGGCGGCTGGGCCTATCGAATGGAACCGTACGTTTCCCTCCCCCCCCCTTCCATAACCAACCCCCATATACCCGCCAACTAACAACCCCACCCCACCCCAGACCCCTCGACACCCTCACCACCTTCTCCAAAATGACCGGAGCCGCCAATACCAGCAGCTCCGCCCCCGTCCGCTACGCCGTCCGCCAAGTCCTAGACCAAGAATACCGCAAGGAGAACATCCGCAAGCGCTCGGAACCTGTGAGCTCAGCCACCATCAGCCAGAAATTTTCGTCCCGGAAATCCACCGACGGGACCGGCGACGACGGGAAGAAGAAATCCCCCCGCATCGGCACGAACGTCAAACGCGACTTCTTTGGTAGGATCATCGCGGAGCCCACCTCGAAGCCGGATGACTCGCCTGAGAACATCGCGCAGAATGAGACGCTGAAGGCCGGACGGAGAGTCTGGGTTACGTATCATGATGGGTTCTCGAATGCGGTGCGCAAGCCGATTTCTATGGTCGAGTTGTTGGCGGAGTTGTAGTGTTGGGTTGGCGGGCGGGCTGGGGTGGCTTGTCCGGCTGGGCTTATGATTGTATGATAGAACTTGTATATAGATAGGGCTTTTGATATCCAGGTATTTAGTTAGATTCGTCCATATGAAATATAATGCATTATACGCATTTCTATCTAACAGTCAAGGTAGCAGCAGCAGGAGGAGGAGGAGGAGGAGGAGGAGGAGGAGTAGTAGTAGTAGTAGTAGTAGTAGTAGTAGTAGTAGTAGTAGTAGTAGTAGTAGTAGTAGTAGTAGTAGTAGTAGTAGTAGTAGTAGTAGTAGTAGTATGGTATTGGTATATGTGATCCCCTACCAGCTCATAAACAAAAAAAAAAAAACAATCAAACACAATCATGTTACATACAGCTGAACCCAACCCAAAACAAACCTCAAATCTAGATAGGTAAGTAAGTAAGCATCTACTGACCCTTCAACTTCTCCGTCAACTCGGGCACCTTCTCAAACAAGTCCCCGACCAACCCCACATCCGCAACCTGGAAGATCGGCGCATCGGGATCCTTGTTAATCGCCGCGATGACCTTACTGTCCTTCATACCCGCCAGATGCTGGATGGCGCCGGAGATACCCGCACACAGATACAGCTGCGGCGCGACGTTCTTGCCCGTCTGTCCGACCTGCAGACTGTTATCGGCGAACCCGCTGTCCACGGCCGCGCGCGACGCCCCGATCGCCGCCCCCAGTGTATCCGCCAACGGCACGATCACCCGGTCGAACTCCTCCTTGGACTTGAGTCCACGACCGCCGGAGACGACCCGCTCAGCGGTGCCGAGGTCCGGGCGCTCGGATTTCGCCAGCTCTTCGGATACCCATTCGGTTTGGGCGGGGACGTTGGGGTCGGCGCCGTCGACGATCGAGGCCGAGCCGCCTTCGGTCTGCACGCCTTGGAAGGAGGTGCCGCGCACGGTCAGGACCTTGATTGCGTCGGTCGATTGGACGGTGAGGATCGCGTTGCCGGCGTAGATCGGGCGGACGAAGGCTGTGTTATGCTGGTTAGTATTCTGTTCTTTTCTTTCCTAAGCTGTTATTGGGTGGTGGTGGTTGGTGTTGGGTGTTGATGCTGGGATTGGTATTGTAGCTCCGACACCGGCGCGGGAAAAGGCGAAAAAATAAAAAGAAAAGAAAGAGAGGGTCTGGAATGGTTGGTGAACGTACTATCCTCGCTCTCGATCCCCGTTACGTCCGACACCTGCTGCACGTCCAGCAGCGCCGCGACCCGAGGCAGAAGACTCTTGCCGAAGGCCGAGTGGCCCGCCACCACGTGCGTGTACTCGCCCTTCTGGATGTTTTCGACCAACAGCGGAGCGTAGTTTTCGGGGAGACCCTGTTCGGAGCGATCTGTCAGCTTTTTTTCCTTTATCGATTTTGTTTCTTTCTTTTTCTTTTTGTGCTTGTTGAAGTATGGTATCTGTCTGCTGGACCGGACCAGGAAGAGGTGCGTGGTGGGTAGGTAGGTAGGTACCTTCTCGTAAGCCTCATTCTCCACGGCCACGACCTTCTCCAAACCCTGGATCTTGGCCGCCTCGGCCGCGGAGGAAGCCTTCACACCAGCACCGGCTACAAAGGCCGTCACGGGCCCGCCGAGCTTCTGGGCGGCGGCGATGGCGGACAGCGAGGAGTTCTGGAGCTTGCCGTCGCGCTGCTCGAGGACGGCGAGGGTGGAGAGGAGGCGGGCGAGCGCGGAGGTGGAGGAGGTTGTCGTACGGAGGGGGGACTGCTGGGCGCGCAGGGCGCGCAGGGCGGAGTGTCGAATCTGAGGGAGGAGCATTTTGAGGCGGTTGTGCTGTCGAGTTGGGATTGCTGGGGAGGGGAGAAGAAAGGCGGAGGGGAGAAGAAAGTCGAGTGGATGGTTATCGTCGGGATTCCCGCCAAGCTGCCCAGCGCCGATCCGTCGGAGTCTTCGGCTTAACGCTGCCTCGGTGCAGCTGGCGGGTATGTCTGGCCCGGCTGGCTTCGGTGTGAGGCATACGTCATTGGAGTGGGCATTCTAGTTTATCGCCGTCACTGGGTTGGATTAGGGGACGGTGAATGCAGCGCGTGAAAGCAGTGTGGTTTTGGCTGGTAAGGTTCGTGAATTGGTGGTTGTTAGTTCGTAGATATATGGCTGACCTTCACATGCTGCGGCTTCACTCGGGGTGACTGATATTGAAGGTAGGGATGATGTTCTCGAATGACTTAGTTATATGCTGGTCCTTTTACTCTAATTTATCTCTCTCCTCCATCTCCCCTCCACCTCGCCATCATCAACTGGGGGCATCATCTCGAATATACACTTCCTAGCTGATCATACTTAACTCCCTGAGACTAAGTCTTCCTGCTATACTTCTCACTGTATTCTTTTAGATTTTACTATACATCGTGGTTGCTGGCTGTGCTGTGCTCACTACCAAGAATAACTGATCTAGATTATCTATGGGACAGTTCCGGTGACATACTTTCTTTGCAAGCAACCTTCACTCGGACTTTTGATTCTTACCTGGATACAAATACCTACCCTTCTTGACCACGTCTCGCATGAGAGCTGCGGTCTTCGCAGGTCGAAGAGCGACCTCGCTCTGACATGCCATCTGAAAGTCATTCTAGCCCAGCATCACACTGGCTGTCTTTGAAAAACACGGAAATATCATAGTCTCAATCCTCGGGCCGCGGGATCTGCAGTCCTATCATGTCTTCACCCTTACCAGCTCCGATGGAATTGTTGGCTGAAACTGCCTCAGCCATCCGACGGTCATCACGTCAAATGCCCGGTCAATGAGGTAGGCACCCAACGATGCTGCGAAGACGGTCCAAAATGGCTCGAGATACTATTTATTTATTTTTTTTGCCATTAAATTGAATTACTTCCACTCCTCCGTCCCACGCGCGTCAGTATTGCCTGAAAAGCGCAAGAAAACGCGAAACGCGCGGCTATATCTCATGACGGATTCCTACTGTATATCGCCAACACGCCTATATGCTCCCAACACCGGCTACAAAGCGTTCATGGCCAGATTGTTCAGACGATTGCAGTCCTACAAGCATGAGGGCGCATCTCCCGGGTGGTTTTAGTCTCTCGAGACTGATCAATTCATGCTCTTTGCCAGCCTGCGATGTGCTTGCAGCAATCATAGTCAGGAAAGGGTGCTGGCGCTTCATGTCGGATGTCGTCGCTATTCCATGGCATCAAGCCCACCCTAGTGCCCCTGCGAATAATGTGCCGTGCTAGGAGCAACCAACCAACCATACTGATCTTAACTCTGAACGGATCGAGGATCCTCCTGCATTTGAATGGTGGCCGATACTATACTGTCTTTACCAGTGGTCGTGCAACCAACTCATCTCCATGGTGCTGGCAGCGATGCGTTTTTACATATCATCGACCACAACGGGAAACATAGAAAGGCATACTTCAACCCAAAGTATCCCTCTACCCTAGTGCAACTTCTACAGCGCCAACAAGACACTCTCCGCTATGTCAGTTTAGGTTCATTAGGGAATAGTCATGAATCCCACTCCACGTTTGTTCTGGGCGTATGTAGGCGAACGGACTCTTGGGTATTGAGATTAAGGTAATAGAACACTGGGTGGCATGTAGTATCAAGGACTACTTTGGCGAGAAAATGAAGATTAAAAGCTGTAAATAGCTGTAGATATGATATGATAAACCTCTCATATTTATCCATGTCCCTCTCGATAGCTACGAAGCCGTATCTGTCGACGTTGATGAATGAGGCTGGCGATGGCGTGAGCGACGATGGCAACGATGGCAACGAAGCAGACGATCCCGATGTTCCTATGGCTTCCCCGTCGTCTAGTACACACGAACAGACTGTTGGGCGTCGGCCAGCTGCTCCATTGCTAACCGGGAGAAGGAGGGCGGGGGGGGGGGGGGGGGGGAAAGGGGCGATGGCCACCTTCCTGGGAGGCCCCGACGGGGAGTTCTCCTCTCTTTCCCCAGCGGTCGTCCGTCCTGTCACATCCAACCCTCGGAATGCTATCGAACCTAAGGCCGTCGTCGTCGTCGACGCCAAGTCTCGCGGGTGCAGGCGTGACCCGCCACCCCAATCAACTCGCGTCCGACATGGAGAACCTGGATCCTGGATACTGACCACAGGCCACACAAGAAGACAAGTCGTACTCGACGGTGGGGGGTGGAGGACGCCCCATCCTTGTCTCGTCATCGGGGTCTCTCGGACGAAGGATCAATCTACAGGCCTCGCGTTGACTGCGAGTGAGTACGAATTGCGATTTGCTGTCTCTGTCGTCGGGTCCAACAGCCTAAGGATCGAAGGATGCATATGCACGTGGCGAGCCTGAATTCTATGCAGGGATTACGGTTGCTGCTGATTCTCCTGGTCAATCCGACGCAGAGAACATCGAGCATCGAGCGGAGGTGGAGGGAGCGCCGTGAAGTTGGAGGGGAGACAGCTGGTGGGGGATTGCGGGGGAGGGGGGGGGGTTTATACTTCCTCGAAGGCGTACGCCTGAGGCCACGCCCGAAGCCGAAGCGGGCTTTGCAAGTTGGGTAGTAGTATCCATCAGCGCACCTTCTACTTCGGCATCATCGGCCAGCCGCATCGAACGGCGTGGAGTGAACCCGGGCGTTATTGGCTAACTTGTACGTCGTGCTTCAACGAACCAAACAACTTGGATAAAGATGCGACGAAAGATATCGTACGACGAGCAGTGCAAAATGTCTAAACTTTTATTCGTCCCAGGGTATTATTGCCCTGATGTATAAACGATCAAATCAATCGACAGGCGCCGCCAGAAACAGACCCATTGCTATTCAGTATACAAAGCCGTAAAGAAAGTAAAAAGAAGAAACAGCAACACCGATGGTATATCAATGATATTTGACGATGGACCGACCCGATTATGAAGTCGACTTTCTCTTCTTCTTGGTGGCGGCGGCCTTGACGACGGGGGTGGTGGTGGTGGCACCGTCTTCCAGGGCCTTGGCCTTCTGCTTCTGCAGCTTCTCTTTCCTTGCGGCCAGCGACAAGGCGTCCTCGTCGTCCGCGGCCGGCTTGGCCTTCTTGGACTTCTTCGGCGCCTCGATCAGCTTCTCGCCCTCCTCCTCCTCGCCGGCGCTCTGCTTGCGCTTCTTGCTGCCCTCCAGCACCTTGGCCTCCTCGGCGCCTTCCTCCACCACGTCCGCATCCTCAACCCACAGCTCGCTGGCCAGCCAGATCGGCATGGCCATGGTGTTGGCGCCCTTAATGTGAAGCGCCTTGATATTCCTCCACCCCTTCGTGATGAACTTCTCCGTCAGACCCTGGACCACGGCGTCGACGTTCTCGTCGAGCTGCTTCGCAGAGAACTTCGAAGAGCCGACGCGGATAGCAGCGGTGGTAGCGGGGGCCAGGTGCACGGGGGCGCAGTTGAGGGCCTTCTCGATCTCCTTGGCCACGATGGCGGGGGCAGCAAAGGCGCTGTCATCGTCCTTGTTCTTGGTCTTGGGGTCCTTCTTGACCTTCTTGCCATCGACCTTCTCGATCTCGGCGATGCGGACGGGGATGGGCCGCTTGCTGGACTTGTAGAAGATCTTGCCGAGGGTGTTGACGAGGCGCATGATGATGCGGTCATCGGCCAGGAAGACATCGTGTTCGGCGAGCAGTTGTCTCCGGCTCTCGAAGCTCTTGTAGCGGTCCTTCAGTTTCGAGTATCCGATGACCTTGTCGATGCGGGAGCTGAGGTGTTGCGGGAACGCGGCGTCGGCGACGATGTTCTTGACGGACCGCTGGGGGTCCGCGGTGATGAGGCAGATGCTGAGGGAGGGGGAGGCGTTCAGGGAATGCGGGATGGCGATCTTGCCGGGCTTGAGGCGGTTCTTGTCGACGACGTGCTTCTTCGTCGTCAGGACCAGCCAGACGGCCTCGTTGTGCAGAGGCGAGTTCTCTTCCGCGTCCGAGTCGTCATCGTTGTCGCCGATCAGCGTCTTCTTCGTCGCACTCTTCTCCTTCTCCTCCTGCTTCGATTTGATGTGTTTGAGGAGCGCGCTGGAAGCCCGAGACACCTGTGCGACGAGACTGCGGTTAGCGGTGATCGGAGAATTTCAGATTTTAGATTTGGAGGGTACTGCACGCACCTGGGTCTTGTCGAGCTGGTAGGGCGTGCCCGAGGTCACCTTGGTTGTCAGCGCCGTTGAAGACACCATTTTTGCGGAATGCGGTGGATTGTTGCAGAGTTCGAGGTCTCGAATTCCGCGATAGTCTATCATTCGAAAAAAAATTCATGGGAAGGCGGTCGCCGCTTCTGCCGGTCTTGGCGTCCGCTTCGATAACTCATCACGTGGGGGGGGGGTGGCTGTGGTCATGTGACCGCGTGGTATCGAGATGCTAGAGGCCGAGACTTGATTGATTTATACGATTCGTCTTACTCTGGTTACTGTGTTCTTGTTCAAAGATGGTGTCCTGAAAGGATGTTACAAGGGAGACAAATATCCGGATTTATCCGGCATTCCGACCAGACACTGCTAGCAAGTGCCGTACTGCATAAGACTGATAGTAGTAACTGTTCGACAGCCAGCAAGCGAGTAAAGCTGCAACAGTCTTCAAAAACGAGTAGTGTCCTTAAACAACGAGTAGTGAATGCATCGCACAAACAGTCGAGACCGACCTGCTTATACTCCCCCTTGAACGGCAAGCGTCGGTAACGCTCCTTGCTGCAACCATGGTACGGATTGATTCAACGTCTTCGCAATTTCCAGCCCTCGCATATCTCGATACCGCAGACGCAGACCGCATCTTTGCAGATAGGATGGGGAACGGCAAGCATCGTGCACGAGTGCCGGAATTAATGTCCCTCGCCGTAAAATGGCTAGCCTGCCACCTCTGGCTCTTTATTCGTCTGGCCTCTGGTCAGGGATATGAGGTGTTTCATCTTTGCATGAAAGAGATGCAGTATCTTATCCAATCATCGCCCAAGTTGAATTAACGAACAAGTCGAATCATCGGACAATCCGGAGCTTAAGAATCTAGGGCGTGATTGTCAGCTGGATTGGAGTTCGACGGTGGACTCGGAGCCATTGATGGTCCAGAAATAGATCCAAAGGTTATGTAGTGTATATGGGCACCGTTTGCTCCAAGCCCTGCCCTGCCACCGTCTTTGTCAATGACAGAACATTCCTGCCAAGCCTCCTGTGAAGAATCAGATCCCGAGGCCCGCGTGCATGGCAAACCTAATTTTCACGGGTCCAGTTCCGCGAGCACTCCTTGCATGTCCCATGAACGAGAACATTGTAGAATCGCCAAGGGTTCCAGAATCTCTTTGTTGCAGGTAGCAGGCTCTACCCAGACCGCAATGATCATCCAACCTCGAGTTCAAGCAGATCACCTCATTGTGGCTGTTGCAAGGCTTTCTTTGTTTGCGCGTAAGGCTGCCGAGGCAGTGACATGGCAGCTTTGTGGGTTTCAGGTTCAAATGATGTGGAAAGTCGCAGGCTGGCTGTTTCCCTCTCCTGTGCATTATGGAATATTGACAAAGCATGGCAACGTGGAGCCTGTGCACGGTACATTTACCATATTGGCAGCCCGAGGCACAGAGTATTTCCAGGAGATATGGCACGATTCAACAGAAATTGTTCGAACTAGTGAAGTTCACAGACTAGAGTGACGCAATATCAACACATAGTCAATCCCATATTGCTATAGCTATATCAATGCAAGATAACAAGCCTTCCGAGACCCTCGAGATAGCCCGACAGGTGGATCTCGGTCATATCATGCTCAAAGAACCTCGGGGAACCCCTTTTCCGGCATAAGGGGCAGCAGGAGGCGGCGGTCCGGCAGTGAGGAATTAATCACGCCAAGCAGGCCTGAAGCCCCCAGTATTGTCGCGATGGTTCCGTCGGTGCCAACTAGTCTACCAGACTCAGGCCGTGCGTGACTCCTTGACCGGACCCAGCGCTCACTGCTCACTCTTCAGGATGGGGCCAATTCCCAGACAAACCATGAACCAGCGGTCTTCGGAGTCCGGAGAGGCAGCGGAACAGCGGAGAGCCAACGGATAAAGGAACGGTTCAGGTACGCGTCGACAGTGATAGGGCCGAGGGAGCGTAGATGAAACAGTCGCGGGTTTCCCATTCTTCCCATGGCACCTCCGTACGGAGGACACCGCGCAGACGCAGGCATTCTGACTGCGACAGTGACTAATCGGAATGCGAGTATAGCTATAGCCTCGTAGAGCGGTTCATATTGGGGAGGGTCGACAGCATGCCCGTACCGCTTCTTGGTCCGGGACACGTCAATAGCTGATGTGTTGGGATCAATAGTCGCAAGGGTAAACGGCAACTATTTGGCCACGGCAGGATATCTGGGAGGGGATCAATCATGGCGGGCGAGGATGCGTGGAAATACGGAGCCCGTCGTCAGTCTACCCGCTGCGACGGGGCTAGTCTCCGAGGTAAGGAAGGTAAAAAAGCTTCGGATCCCCACTATAGGCCACCAGATATTTTTGGCCGTCATTGAATGAATCGTTGAATACGGACGGTGGTCACGGTCGAGCTTGAAGAACGCACCACCCACCACAATCCACTCCACCTAATCAATCAAACTGTCGGCTCCCACTCCGTAGATTAGTTCTGCGGAGAAGGAACTATCAGATAGGACGCGAAGATAAACATGCCTGGTAACCTTATCCAGCCACTTGGCATCGTATGAGTACGTAACTGACGGGACTGACGGGCTGAAGCCGCGCAAGCAGCGAGCGACTATTGAGCGTCTGTCTGTTAGATGGGTTCTATGGCGATGGGATGGGCGACCCCGTGTTGCTGCTTGCTAGTGCTAATTGACTCGGTCTTGGCCGCTTGGGGGTTGGAGTCTCCAGTTGCCAAGCTTTGGGCCTGGGACGCCGACTGCGAGATCAGGCAGGCCCGATAAGCATGGGGCGCGGCCCCTCAGGCGGTTAGTCCTCCTTACCAGTCCTCCGTACCTGCCCGTACGGTACGGCGCGTATCGCCTTGTACACACTATGGCACTTAGTCGGACCTGGTAGAGGTCGTGCAGCTCAGGGGTCCACGAGCAATATGCAAAGGGTCCAAATGACTCCATCTGCCTCTCTAGTTGTGAACGCAATGGCCAGGCGAATTGGCCCGGGGGCAGGGGGGAGGGGGGCGGAAATAGAAGCTGGCTGTGTTAGAATCATATACGAGTAAGACACCTGGGCCGCTTGTGTTTGGCTGGCCAAGCAATTCACCGACTTAGCCCGTCGATGGTCATCTTATACTCCGTACCTACACTGCGGCTAGTTTGATGACTGTCTTGGTCTGGGTCAGGTGAACCTAGAAGTCAAGGCAGAAGTCACGGGAGCAATGAAACAGTCTGACTAGGTTATCTAATAGTCTTGGTCTCTCCAGTCCAGCAAAATTGAAGCGAAGCTTGTGCGGTTACTGCGGATCTCCGTGGCAACTGCTGGCACCATGAGGCTGTGAGACGGGACGAGCGCTAGTACGAGGAGGCGTTGTGGCACAGGTCGCCATAGCCATCCAAATGCTGCCCGTAGCTCGATATCGGATATCCCCATGCCAAACCGGCACTCAAGCTCGATGAGATGAGATGAAAGTCTGCAGCCAGGACGATCTCTTGATGTGGGTGACATCACGCAATCAAACCAAGATCTGCCGGGTAATTACGGTGCGGTGGATCGGATTCGCGATGATTCTATAAGGCTGGGATGGCCACTAGTTGTTCGGAGTCATATTGTTGGGTGTTGGATCAGTTGCTAGGACTATCTAGAGTTGCAATGTTCGCTGTACGGAGGGGCCATCCGATATGACTCCAGCAAATGGTTGCGCTCGTTAGTAGTCGGGCACTCATTGTTGATCCAAAGGTATCCGCTATCACACCGTGGAGTTGAAAAGCATCAGGCATGGTTGGGAGTACTGTGTATAACTATCTTCTGTACTCTGTACTCCGTACTCCGTAGATCAAGAGAATTAAAGGGGGGGGGGGGGGGGGGGAGGCCATGATAATACTAGATTGGACTCCTGACACCATCCCAGCTCCGCCCAGGACATCCCTGCCACGTACATGGCTGCATGGATACTGAGTACGGAGTACTACTGTAGTATACTGTCCGGACCAAATTGAGTACCTGCATATGTACCCAGGGGAACAACGGTGAAAACACCGCCAGAAAGCCACGACATAAGCCGAAAGAGCGGGCAGATCGATCAGCCAATAGACCATGGGATTCTCAACGTGACGCTGCACCATTCGATGGAAGGGATCCTACTGTGTATGACACAATAGGCAACAATCCAAGGCGCGGTCACTGGCAGCCAGTGAGAGGCTGACAGCCACCACATGTAAATGATGTGTGCGACTGATCAAAAATATTTTATCCGACGCGTCTAGGATTCTGCCTCGATACCTAGGTACACTGCGGTGCACTCACACACTGGCCGGGGTCTAGATAATCATGCCTGATAAACGGCTGCATGCTCCGCAACGGGCCTTAGTCTCGAGAAAATCACCTGCGCATGGCTATATGATAGGTAGAACAATCTATTCCATCACTCGCGGGACGTGTGCACTGTCTCGGTCAAAAGTGGATTCTCCATCCTTGGGGGGAGTACTTTATATGTAACCGTATGTGTATGGCGGGGTAGATAGCGGTAGGTAAGAGAAGGGTTACATCAACGTAGGACATACAGTGCGAGATTTGAGGATGACCCAAACGCTGGGATCTGGGATGGCTTGAACCTGAGGGGAAGTCAGAGATAACATCTACTCCGGCTGAAAAAACCTTTACCGCCCGTCAGACTCAGGACACCCTCCTGCAGACCAACATTATTGAGATCGGACATGAGACATTCCCTGGTAGGCCAAAATGGTGGCAATGGTTCGGCAGGGCTGTGCAGCCGCTGATTGGTGTGCCTGGCCGGGGGGGGAAGGTTTGAAGCCCACCGGTTGGTGCCCGAGGGCACCCGCTGATTGGCGCGCCCGGCCCCAGAGCAATTTCGGTAAACGCCAAGCTCACTTTCAGGAACAGGAAAGCCCCAAACACAAAAAAAAAAGTAAGGGTTTCAAAGGGGAAAATCACTGAATGAGCGGCCAGCAGCCCCTCCTCAAGGCCCAGCGTTCCAGACAGCCGGCGGTTCTTGCCCTTGAAGAGGTACCCAGAAGTACCCAGACAGCACCCCCACTTCCAGCTGCAATTCTGAGAGGCGCTCACGTTGCGCCGTGGACGTCGATTTTTTTTTTTTTTAATTCAACGCTGGCGGATTTCTTGGCTTTCTTACCAACGCCCCCTGTTTGTTGTCTGACCACCTCGAAGCCTCCCAACAAGCTGTCTGGGGTCGAAGTCCCTAAGGACCACACAACGGAGGCCTCCGAATGCGATAGACCGCGATACGTATTATGCTCCTCTCCTTTCCCGGCCGCCAGCCCTTGTAGATCGGAGGCATGTACGATGTACCTTTTTTATATCCCGAGCCTCGACATAAAAATAGGCTTTCACCCCCCGAGTACCATTACATACATACAGTGACCGCCACTGTACCAGGCTAATTTCCAGCACTAAATCCTAACAGTCGACACTAACTTAAACCAATGTCTTGAGCGGTTGAGCCTGCTGGCTGGTGGGCCCCCCTGATTCTATTAGTGCGATTAGTGTTGTTATAATTACTCCGACTCGTACTAGTATTACTGCCAGCGACAACTAAACCAGTAGCCACTCGAGCCAGAATATTGCCGCGCTTTGTCTGTCCACTCATCTGGTCCAAGTGCCACTTGCTTTCTTTTGGTTCCTTGGGCTCACCCCCTGGAAAAGGTCAGCGCACGCCTTCCCTGTCCCTCCTGCCCACATTCACTCTCTTTACCCCCCCCCTGGAAGTCTGGTCCGAACCAAGTCTTACTCCTCCTTCATCTCCTTTTGATTCCCTTTTCTCGCTCGCGATCCTCCACATTTCCTTCCTCCCCTCCCCTCCCCCCCCCAGAGCGTTTCATCTCCGGCCTTCGCCTGCTATCCTTTGCGAGATTTCCTATCCGACCAGAGGGACTAGTTTCTCTCTCGCACGCTCTTTTGGGAACCTCCTTTACTTCTTGCCTTCACTCACTCCTTGTCCTCTCATATCCAATTCTCGGCAACTTGCTTCTTTCTCTAGAGACTTGGAGCAACCACTGCCTTCCCTGGACTTTCGTTCGTGTACAGACTTGTTTGCGAAGCGCGCGACTGGTTTGCTGTGACGTTTGTGTAGGTGCCCCCCATTCTGACTCTATCCGGTGTCTGGGTGTTGCCTGCTATAGTACCACCGCAGACCCCTGGCACCCACCAGGCAATTGGGTTTTAAGTGTTGCTCTGGTTGGCCCTCACGGGTCGCACACGTTTGTTGGGACAAAGAATCAACACAGGCCAAGCTCTGCGGTTAATCAGGCTTCCCGTTCAATAACTGAATAGTCCAGCGCATGCTAATATGTTGGCCGGCGCCTGCCATTGATTAGATCCACATTTTGACGCAATACCCAAAACCTCGCGCAACGTGCTTTGAATCAACACAATGAAGTTCAACACCGTTGCTCTCACCTTGGCTACGGCCGGCTCGTTGGTGTCTGCTCAGCACAACCACCAGCACCGCCACCACCACAAGCGCACCCCCGACACCGAGGTCGTCACTGTTGCGGGTCCCACTGTGACCACCTACATCCTCGACGGCAAGGTCATCTCTCTCGAGGAGGTCTGCGCAGGCATTGCCAGCAAGACCCTGCAGTGGGCCGGCGACGCTCCTCTTGACGCTTGCTCGAGCTCCACCACCTCCGCTTCTACATCTGCTACTAGCGCGACCGCCACGCCCTCTCTCGAGGCCGCTGCCGAATTCATCGAGGTCGCTTCCGTCAAGCACTCGTCGAGCAGCACCAGCACCAGCTGGAGCAGCGCCTGGACCAGCAGTGCGTCCGTTTACGCCTCCTCCACCGCTTCCGCCACCAGCTCTTCCAGCTCCTCTACTGCCACCGGCATCGATGAGGACTTCCCCGATGGCGAGCTCTCCTGCGACACTTTCCCCTCCGCGTACGGTGCCGTGGCTCTCGACTACCTTGGAATCGGCGGTTGGTCTGGTATCCAGTATGTGACTATCGTCGACGACGTCGTGGACACCATTGTCACCGCTGTGACCGGCGACTACTGCACGGATGGAGCCATGTGCTCTTACGCCTGCCCCGCGGGCTACCAGAAGTCCCAGTGGCCCAGTGCTCAGGGCTCCACTGGACAGTCGGTTGGTGGTATTGAGTGCAAGAACGGCAAGCTTTACCTCACCAACAGCGCCTTGTCGAAGAAGCTTTGCATTGAGGGTACTGGAGGTGTTTACGCCAAGAACTCCCTAAGCGACTATGTTGCCGTTTGTCGTACTGACTACCCTGGTAAGCTTCTCCTCCAATATAATCCTGATGCACGGCATTAACAGTTCCAGGTACCGAATCTGAGACTATCCCTCTCGGCCTCGAGGCGGACAGCGACTCCCAGCCCCTGACTTGCCCCGATGGCGACACCTACTACAAGTGGGAGGGAAAGACCACCTCCGCTCAGTACTACGTTAACCCCAAGGGTGTTTCCACCGAGACTGGTTGCCAGTGGGGTAACGGAAGCGAGGCTGTTGGCAACTGGGCTCCTATCAACCTTGGTGTTGGTGCGGACGACGGTGTGTGGCTCTCTATCTTCCAGAACAGCCCTACCACCACCGAGAAGCTTGACTTCAACGTTAAGATCGAGGGTGACGACCTCAGCGGAAGCTGCAAGTACGAGGACGGTACCTTCTACTCCGAGTCCGGCTCCAACGACTCCGGATGCACTGTAAGCCCCCTTGCTTCCTTCCTCTCTCCCATTCGAAGTCTCTCGCTTACCATCATTTTCCGTACAGGTCGAGGTTCTCTCCGGTGACGCCACCTATGTCTTCTACTAAAGCAGTCGATGACCCGGCCCAATCAGCCGCCACTTGCTCGGGCTTGGGCAAGCCCGCTTTCCTGACCCTAGCAAGGGCGACTTGCAAATAGAAGAACTTTTTACGCCTCTGTTCACCCTGTTCATGATTCTCTGGCCAGTGCGCTTGTTTTCTTCTGTGTATCTTACTATATTGTCTTACGTGACTTGGAGAATATAGCCTGTCACATTTGTAAAGTCACCATTCGTTTGATGGGGACGACTGTGGTTAGACCTTACCTTCTCTACTGCAAAGTAACACTGACTTCCGTCTTTCTAACCGCAGTCTCTCCTGTTCTTATTCCCCATAGGCAGCCTGGTCTGCTCAGCATGTCATAACCCCGCAGTTACTTGTACAGTAGTATGTTTCGTTTTTTTTTCAATTGAAATGTTGCCATGTTCTTCTCGTTCCCAGCTCTCCGGATTCTAGTATAGTCTGTAGTGAAGATTGCGGGACATTGACATGGACATGGATATTGACAGTGGCGTCGAACTCAGGGCTGGGACGTAATAAAGTATTCGGGAGGCGGTGGACACATTCCAGTGCGGCAACCACATGCGTCATGCACGGTCTACCGTATCTGATATCACCGGCCTTGGGAATGTGCATAAGTGGAGCCATCGATCGGTCGGTGAGTGACTGGCTGACGGGCTGGCTGGCGGGCTGGGCTGGGCTGCTGTCAGTGTGATGTGTGGCATGCCATTGTGCCTGAAGCGGATGCGGACACGGATCCTCTTGGTTCCATCCCTAAATGCGTTCATACATACCGTACACTCTATCTTGATTGGGTATTTGGGGGTGAGGCTGGAGGAGGTTGGATATGGGGCGTGTTTTATTGGTTGTTCCTCTGTATTCAATTTCTAATTCAAAGTCCGCCCCTCAGTGTATGCCTTGGTGGATATATGAGGTGGCGGACATGACATCGTGTGTTCACTGTTTAGGCGGGCGGGATATATATTGGAAACATTGAATGGCATGGGGTGTACTGCGTACTCCGTGTAAGAGTTGAAACCGAAAGCCTGCGTGTAGATGTCAAGTCTCATAAGAACAACCAGTTTTTCTTTATTAAATTATTGGTAACGCCAGAGAAAGTCTTCTTTGGAGATTTCCTGGGAATAATTGCATTATTAACTGGTCAACATGAATGACAGTATAAAAAACAGTCTCTGTCACAGTCCAGTTGAGGTCATCCCGCGGTGACAGTCCGCCCGACACGCGCTAGTCCAAAGGGGGATGGCGAGTCACGATCTGTACGAAATCCCTGCAACGTGCACATGGCCTTGCTTATTTCGGGCCAGGCGCAGAGCGCTCATTGGTCGAGGCCGGGCGCCCCGACAGCACGTGACCAGGCGCGCAGTCACGGGTCCCGAACCAGAAAACGCGGAGCACCTGACTCCTAGACGCGGAGACGCGCCGGGCGGCCTGCCTGCCTGGGGTGTCCGTCGACCGCCCGAGGCATCCATACATACATACAGCAGGGCTCGTATACCGAAGCAAAACAGGGCCACAGGGACTCAGGGACTCAAGGAGCCGCCAGGATTGGACCACCCTCCCAGCAAACCTCAAGGTCTGGAATCTCCCAGCTTCACAGATACTTTTATGCGGTGGACTGCATATTTTCGGACGGTCAAACCGAGAATCTGCGCGAGCTCAGTGGTGGAGCACAACGAACCCTCGCCCGGCGCCTATCGAACGCGTCTCGGACTGTAAGCGTGCATTTCCGCGCTGGAAGGACGAGACGCTCCGGTCCGCCAGGCATTCCACCACACACCATCCTTTCACCCTTTTCTTCAATGTTTCTTGTCCTTCCCATTAGACGAATTTTCCTGCTTCCCAACCTCCTGGCCCTCGTCTTGGGGGGTGAAGCCCACTCAAAGTTCCTTCCCTTTCTTCCTTGACTCGCTTCATCTCGTCTTTCTCTCCTTCCCTGCTGCCCTGCTCACGCGATTTGCTCTGCTCCCCCCATAGACAGACAGACAACCCATAGACTCCCTCCCTCCTCCCCCCCCCTCCTCCTCCACCCACCCCCAAACCTGTTTTCGACGCGACGGAAGCCCAATTGATCTATTTTAATACCCCCCCCCCCACCCCTCTGGCACTTCTTCGTGTGGCATCGGAGCCTCTAGGGTCTATGCTTGAGGCACACGGCCCGTCGAATTGCAGCATGGAGTCTTCGCCTCCTAGGAGCAGTTCTACTGCTTCTGTGGCAGGCGTGAAGCGTCCGGCGGCCCTGTTGCCTGCCTTCGAGCCATTGAGTTCATCTCCCTCCCTCCCTCGTCCGCAGAAGCGTGTAGCACGCGAAGATCATGGAATCATCTCGACCTATCCGACTCCCGTGCCGACCTCGTCGACTCATATCATGTCCTCCTCCCCCCCTCGAATGGCTCTGCCCCGGACCGCCTCGCGACGTACCTTCACCTCGACCAGTTCCGAAAGAACCCCGCTGTCCGCTGTCCCGACCCTGATGCTCTCTGAGAGTGGGGAGGCAGTCCTGATGGGGAGATCGAGTGCCTCGTGCCACCACCAGCTCGCGGCCAACCGCATGATATCAAGGGTGCACGTCAAGGCCACCTTTAAGCCAGCACCCAACCCGTTCGACCGCGACAGAGTGGAGATCATGTGCTTGGGGTGGAATGGAATAAAGCTGCACTGCCAGGGGAAGACCTATGACTTGGCTAAGGGGAAGACGTTCACGTCTGATATCAAGGATGCTGATATTATGATCGACGTCCACGACGCCCGTGTGCTGGTCCAATGGCCGCAGCATGACAGAAAGGACTACGCCTCGACCGACTCGGAACAGACCTGGGAGGAGACCACCCCCAAACGTGCAGCTCATGCCCGCCGGAGCCTCCATGAAAGCCCCAACGTGGAGCGCCAACGCTTGGCTTCTCCTGTCTCCCCGTCCCCGGCGGTTAAGTCTCTGGTTGCTCCGTCATCACCCCTGTATACCCCAACACGTTCACGTAATGCAGTCGTTGTGTACGAGGACGAGGCTTCACCTGTCCGTCGCAACAAAGCCGAGGATGAATCGGCTGAAGCCACTCAAATCATCGAGGATATTCTAGAGAGCTCGCAGTCAAGTGACCTGAGTGATCTGAGCAAGCACGACGATTTCTCTGACCATGATGAGGAGAACGACCCCATTATTCACTCTTTCGGACCTTTTGGCGACAACCTGCTCCCTCGGATGGCCTCCTTCAATGCTGATGAGTCACCGCTCCAGCCCGCACGTCCTCGCAATCAGGCCCCGGCCCAGCCACTCCAGCCCGCCAAGTCCCCGAGACAGCTGTCTAATACCACCGAGTCGACTGATAATGTGCCCACCAGGCTGGAGCCGCTCGATGAGAGCTCCGAACGCGTTCAGAACCATGCTGTCAACCAGCTAGCATTCTCGCGTCTTTCGTCTACCCCATTCTCGACTATCCTGCAGAATCTCCCCCCCGCCCTGTGGAAGCGGGAAAGAGATTCCAAGAAAGGCCCCTCGAAGGATGAGATTCGTACCATCCTGGACACGACCAAGTGCATCGGAAAGGTCGCGCGGGAAGGGAAGGACGCCGCTGGAAAAGCACTCGAAGCCGAATATTACTATATCCCCGACTTCGATGAAGACGATATGCGTCGAGAGGCGGTTGTTCATGACCTCAGAAAGCCAGGCCTCCGCAATTGCCGCAAACAACATAAGGTAAGCACCGTCAATGATGATCCCTGATATACCGCTGACCGTCCACAGCAATACTTCTGGCGCAAACCGAAATAAAAGAAAACCTGTATCCAACGCCCTGATAATATTTGACACGACTTTTCTTGATTCTGAGTACATATTTGCAATGTTCCCCTCTTCTTTTAAGGACTCGCATAGCGTGGCGTGGGCATACCCTGTCGATTTTATGTTGTTGTTGTTGTATGAAGGTGTATGATGACGGAGATTCTCCTTTCTTGCGTTCTATTAACGGCCCCCAAGCCAGATGTATTGTTTTTGTCCACGTGCGATGTCTATTGTGTTTCCTGACGGCCCCAGGCCACATTGACCATGAAGCGTCCCGGGTTTCTACTGGTGATGGTGTAGACCGGGCCTTTGTGGGTGCCAAAAACCCCTCCCTGCCTTGTGTGACGTCCGCCAACGACCTTGATCCTTGAAATTTCCCTGAGTTTTGTCCGCCAGTGAGTTGTTGGTAACCTCCATCAGCATCAGCCTTGGACCAATCATGACCTGTATGTTATCAAAACAAAAGCGTTTAGTTTCATGTCTCGGTCCGAATCTTTCATAGTGCTACTCTTAGTATTTGGTCAGTAGTAATTGGCGGGGAAAGTAGGGTTCGTGAAAGTCAAAGCTGCAGCATCACGTGTGGCCCCGGGATGATGATGGATGATGATGTCTGGATGACTTCAGGCCCAGCATTCCATTGTTGATGCTGGAGGGACAGCATTGCTGTCTTATCCAATACGAGCCAACTCCAGGGTCCTACTGTGTATGACATGTTCTCACCCTGCAGGACGGAGGCATATTAAAGCGACCTCATCTGCGGCTTCTCTTTTTGATCCTCATCTCAATACAGGCTCGATATCACCATACTACATCTACAAACAATCAAGAGTGATTATCAAAGCGATCACTCTCTCAGTTACTCAGTTGCCTTTATTATAATCCCCGCTTCGCTCCATCTACACCTACGATCCCAACCGCCAACAACCAACATTCAGAACCAATCCACTATCCTCCATCCTCCATCCATTCATCCATTCATCCATTCATCCATCCATCCATCCATCCACTCTCCCTACCGGTATACCACCTTTTGCCTCCACCACACCCCAAGGGAAAAGAGAAGAAGAAAATGTCCTCCGTTGACTGGTCAATCCCCTTCCTCAAGTCCCGCCACACCGACGACCAAAACCCCGACGCCCACGCCAACACCGACAGCCCCGTCCCCGACGCAAGCGGACTACGCAGCGCCCCCAGCACTTCTACTTCCACTTCTACTGCTGTTCCTGAAGACCCCAGCACCCGCATCCTAGGCGAGACGGCGAAGCCTCCCGTTGTGCGACATTATAGTTGGAGCGAGGAGGACCGCAAGCATGAGCTCCAGGCGAGGTTGTTGGATATGGAGGAGGCGAGGAGAATGGGGTTCTCGGAGAGGGAGGGAGGGAGAGGGGAGGGAGAGGGGGAGGGGGACTTTGCGGTGGAATAGATGTGGGTGTTTGTGGGTTTTGTGATGTGTGATGTGGTGCTTGCCGTGGTGGTGATTAGGTAGGTATATTGGGTGGGATGGGATGGGACGGACGGACGAGGTTGTACTTGTGGTGAGCTGGACTGGACTGGACTGGGCTGGGATAGGGTTATTGGGGGGGGGTTTCTTTTTACTTGATGATTGATGATGATGACGATGATGCTGCTTTTGATGATGACGATGCTGACGATGGATGGGTATGGATTATGCGATGCGGCTGTCTAGTAGTAATTTGTTTGTTTTCCTGGGATTAGGATTGCGTGGAGGGATAGGAGGATGGTGGCGATGGGAGATTTAAATATTGCAGTTAGTGATTGGGGGATTTGTGATATAGTTGGTTGGTGGGGATGGGATGGGAGATTGTAATACGATGCGATGCGCATAATGGATTGCTTCTGATGATGCGGTTCTGAGAATGGGGTTCGTAGTGTTGATGCACTGATTTGAGTTGCAGGTACCCCGTAGAAGAGAAAGTAAGAGGATGATATTTGATGGTGGTGGTGGTGGTAGTGGTGGAGAGAAGCCGGGCGGAGCTGCAAGCATTGCTTGTCCCCCTCCGCCTTCGGCCCACTTGTGCTGCTTGCTCTTCTTCACTTCCACTTCCACTTCACTTCCACTCCGCCAGCCACTTCAAGGCTTGCATCTTCTCCGACGAGACATTGCGCGTCACTCCCTGCCACGTCTCTCCCCAATGTGGCGTCCCAGTCACCCATGCGCTCTCCTTTCCCACTCTTTGAAAGGACCCCTTGACAGTTGAAATCTCCCCCTCACGCGCGCAATTGCTGTGACACCACACCGCACGGCGGCAAGCAATGGATCGCCAGAGAAAGCGTACGTTCTTCGGCCAACACCCCCCCACCCTCGACTCACGTCTCCGGAATACGCATCGCTAACGATTCTTTCTGCTGACAGGGGAGCTCCGCCTTCTCAATGAGAGAGTCTGGGCCGGCGAGAATGGTAAGCGCCCCTCCCCTCCCCGATAACGACGACGGCGACCACGACGATGATACCTCTACTACTGCATTCACTTGCCCGAACTAACAACTCAACTTCCCCGGAACAGACGTCTTCCCCGTCAGCAAATCCCTCGACTCCGCCCTGAAGAAGAACACCGCCTTCATCAAGCGTCTCCGCACCGGCGTCAACGCCGCTGCCCAACAAACCTTCCTGGCCGACATTCGCACCCTATCGCTCCACAAGTATCTCTCGGAAATTATCTCCGCCTGCTACGAAGGTCTCTGCAAACTCAAGTCGCCCGGAGAGATCGCCACCGGCGTCGAGATCACCAGCGCACTGCACCAGCGGTTCGGACCTGCGGAATTCACCAGGCAGATCGGATGGCTATTGGGACGCGGCTTGAGTACGCCGGATAAGGGACAGTTGAAGGCCCTCACGCAGGAGGTGCGCGAGCGCGAGGAGAAGGAACGCTTATCTCGTCACCGAGTGTTGCTGAGGGTGGTTACGGAGCTTTGGCTAGTGGGCGTTCTCAAGACTCTCGACGATATTGAAAAGCCGGACGATGTGGGCGCGAAGGGCAAGGATGGTGTCGTTGGCCTGGGTGGCAAGGCAACCGATGGCCTGCCTAAGAGTAGAGTTCCCCCGTCGGCTGGAAAAGATGGCGATAGGGAGCCGGAACCGTTTCCTTTGGAAGTGCTGAAGGATCTCCTTGGGCATGATCGCGATCACTCGAATTTGCCACTCGCCGTTTTGTTCGTTAAGAGCTTTAGTTGGGATGTGCTCGGTGTGAAGACGGTTGAGGAGGGCAGGAAGACTGTTGAAGCGGATGGTGCTACGACGAGTGCCCCCGCAGAGACGACGAATGGTGGCGGCGAGGGCGTGGAACAGGCGGAAAACGACCCCCCGCTTGCTCCGGAGAAGGTTCAGCTTCGGTTCAAGCATATCCTGAATAGGTATCTTGAGGACGTCAAGGCTCATGTTGTCCGCGATCAGAGAGCCTTGACCGCCCAAAGTCGCCGCAATGCCGAGGCTTATGTGAAGAGTGGTGAGATCTTCGAAGATCGCCAGGCCAATTTTGAAAGACAGACGAAATCGCTGGAGAGACTGGTTGCGAATACTCAGGTCTTGTGTGAGGCTCTGGGTGCCGAAATGCCTGCCTTGGCTGAGAAGGAGACCGCTGATTCCGGGGCGGGTGGAGGAATCGGCTTGGTGAAAGCGAGCGAATACCTACGTGGTCAAGGCGAGGGTGCTGGCATCTGGGAAGACGAGGAGGAAAGACGCTTCTACGAGAACCTGGTCGACCTCAAAGGCAAGGTGCCGGCTGTACTGTTGGAGGATGCCAAGAAGAAAAAGACCGAGACCGATGAAGCAGGGAAGAAGAAGGCAGACGGCGAAGCCGGCTCCGATGCAGAGAAGCCCGAACCTACCGGCCAAGCTCAACAATCCGAGGAAAAGACTGCCGCGGACGCCGATGACCAGTCTACAGCCATCGCAAGCAAGACTGTCGGAGCCCAGGTCGACGCACTTCTCGCCAAACTGCCGGACTTGCAGACCAAAGATCATGTCGACCAGCTAGCACTCGACTTCTGCTTCCTTAACTCAAAGGCGTCGCGGAACAGGCTCATCAAGGCGGTCTCAGACGTCCCCAAAGGTCGCATTGACCTTTTACCCTTGTACTCGCGTCTGGTTGCAACCCTTGGGCAGTACATGCCCGATATCCCGCAAGGTATCACCACGTATTTGGATGAAGAGTTCCGAAGCCTTCAGCGCCGGAAGTCGAAGGAGTTCCTGGGCCAGGTCCGGATGAGCAATGTTCGCTATCTCGCGGAATTGACCAAGTTTGGCGTGGTTCCGGAACATATCATCTTCCATTGCTTCAAGGTCTCGCTGGACGAGTTCTCCCGCATGAACATTGAAATCATCGGTCATCTCCTGGAAAACTGCGGACGGTATCTGCTTCGAAACCCAGATACCTCCCCAAGAATGGCCTCCTTCTTGGAGACTCTCAGCAGGAAAAAAGCTGTCCAGCACCTGGGTCAGCAGGAACGGATGATCATCGAGAATGCGGTTTACTACGTCGACCCGCCACCGCGACCTGCCATCCAGCAGAAGGAGCGCACACCCATGGAATCTTACATTCGCAGACTGGTCTACTTGGATATGAACAAGCGCAACTACACCAAAGTCCTCAAATCGATCCGAAAACTGCACTGGGAAGAACAGGATGTGAGTATTCAACCTGGTTTACAGAGGATCCGCTAATTGGGTGATTAGGTGGTCGACATCTTGGAGCGTGTCTTCAGCAAACCTGTGAAGGTCAAATACGGCAACATCCACCTTCTCGCTATTCTTGTCAGCGCTCTGTACAGATACCATCAGGACTTCGTCATCGGTGTTGTGGACAACATCCTCGAGCAGATCACTCTAGGTCTAGAGCAAAACGACTTCAAGTTCAACCAGAAGCGTGTCGCTGAAGTCAAGTACCTTGGAGAGCTCTACAACTACAAGATGATCGATTCGCCTGTGATCTTCGACACCCTGTATCGCATTGTTACTTACGGTCATGGTAAGTCTGCCGATGCCAGCCTTTAACAATCACTAACATCGTCTAGAGGGCGGTACGCCGATGCCCGGAAAGATTAACCCGCTTGATATGTACGATGATTTCTTTCGCGTCCGCCTGGTCTGCACGCTTCTTGACACCTGCGGTCACTGTTTCGATCGGGGTTCTGCGAAGAAGAAGCTCGATTTCTTCCTGACTTTCTTCCAGGTACGATCTTTTCTTCGTTTTACTACTGAATCCCGGCTAACACAGACTAGTACTACATGAACACCAAGGACCCATTGCCGATGGACGTCGATTTCCTTGTCCAGGACACCTTCTCGATGACTCGTCCCCAGTGGAAATTGGCAACTGATCTGGAAGAGGCCACGCAGATCTTCAGCGAAGCTGTTGCGCAGAACTTCAAAACGCAAAACGCCGAGAGACCCACAGACCCGGAGGAGGATGACTCTGAAAGCAGCTCTTCGGATGAGGGCTTGGAGGAAGATGCTATCCCCGAAGCGGAAGACGACCAGGAATCGAGCGATGAGGCCGAGGCTGAAGTAAGTGTCTCATGATCCAACGGATTCAGTGTATTAACGAACCATCAGGGATCCGGACCCAATGGCGAGAAGAACGACGACAGTGAGTCCGAAGATGAAGAGATCTTTGTGACTCGTCAAGAAGAGGAGCGTGACCCCGAGGCGGAAGCCGACTTTGATCGCGAGTTCGAGAAGATGATGGCAGAGAGCATGGAGTCGCGGAAATTCGAGCGCAAGGGTGTCTTCGACATTCCCCTGCCGATGAAGCGGTCAGGTCGCGAGGCTACGGCCGAGATCCCCATGCCCCAGGAGGTGCCTAAGCCGATTGTGAACACGATGGCCTTCTCTCTGATGACCAAGAAAGGAAACAAGCAACAGGTGCGTCCATACTATTCCTACCAAGGCAGCACTTACCAACCATAATCATTTAGACTCGCACGATCGACCTGCCCTCTGATTCCAGCTTCGCAGTCGCCATGAGAAGCCAGCAACAAGCCGACCGCGAGGAACAGCAGCGGATCAAGAACCTGGTTCTCAACTACGAAAAGACCACCGAGACCGAAACAACCGCCGAGGGTGAGAACCAGCCCTCAAGCTCTTCCTCCCTCCCACGCACCATACTGACCAAGCCCCCAGCCGCGGAGAAGCGTTCCCCGCACCGTGACACCAGAATGGACAAGTCTAGCGCCAACCGCCTGGCCTTCCGCTCCAGAAAGCTCCAGCTGAGCGACGTGAACTGGTAGATGAACCCCGGACTTCTATTCCATCTTCAGTACCTTCGCAAGAGCAACAGGGTACATACACACACACACATACCTTTCAGACTAAATCCGGAGAAGAACCAACCACCCTACCCTACGCTTTTCCAACATCAGCGTCTGTCTTCCATCGGATTGGTGGAGTTCGATCGTCGGTCGGCTTGCCACAGTTACTGTTTACATCTACAACATGATACCAAGGAGGGAGTCTGATACATCCAGAGATTCTTTATTAGCTATCAATAAGTTGTGGGTCTGCTGTCGTGCAGGCTGTTGGCTAGGCTATGGTGCGATGCGAGGTATTGATTGATTGATATTGTCTCCGTCCTCGCTGTCATTCATGTGATGTGATCCGGGTGCGTGTGAGCAGAGCAGAGCATATCACCTGTTCAACACAGTGATATGATCATATCGTGATCGTTATCCCCCCGTACGTCCGAACAACGCATGGTTAGGTGGGTAAGGTACAGACGGTACAGACGGTACGGGTGAAGGTGAAGGTGAAGGTGACAGTGACAGGTTGGTTGGCTCACTTGTTTGCACAGACAAGACAAAGCAATACAAGAAGAGAAAGGAAAAACAGATCATGTCTCACTGCCGCTCAGCCAACTTGCGACCTGGGCATTGCGACATTCAGAGGTACTGCAGGTACAGGTGCAGGGGTACACAAGTGCTTGACTGGGTCAGGTGACAGTCACTCTCATCATCATGATTATAGTTTCTGTAGCCTAGCTACGGACAGGCAGATAGACAGACAGACAGACAGACAGACTCGACCCATCATCTCGTGACCGACTTACTTACTACCTACTCTACCTACATGGAATGAATGTATCTATCTATCTATCTTTTTACCAAAACTATCCACCCATCCACCCGTCCACCAAGAGTACAAAGCACAAGGACATGATCAATCTTAGTATGAAAGTATAGTACCTACATCATCACACAGAGGTGGTTGGTTTCCTTCCTTTTTTATAGAAAAGAGAAGCAAAAAAAAAATAAAACGAAAGAAAGAAAGAAAGAAAGAAAGAAAGAAAGAAAGAAAGAAAGAAAGAAAGAAAGAAAGAAAGAAAGAAAGAAAGAAAGAAAGAAAGAAAGAAAGAAAGAAAGAAAGAAAGAAAGAAAGAAAGAAAGAAAGAAAGAAAGAAAGAAAGAAAGAAAGAAAGAAAGAAAGAAAGAAAGAAAGAAAGAAAGAAAGAAAGAAAGAATACATTTATGTTCTATTCTGCTGCGCTGACATCTTTTTTTGGGGGGGGCGGGGGGGCGAAATGCTAAATGTAACATCCACCCAAGGAGACAAAGGTGAAGAATAGAGAAATGGAAAATAGGAGACAGGAGACAGGAGACAGGAGACAGGAAATTAAAGATAGGAAAGAAAACATACAAGTACAAGTACAGGTAGGTAGGTAGGTAGGTGGAAGGCTACTTACTTATATAGATACAGGTACAGAACCCGGCAGACATCTAGACAACAGGCAGGCAAGCAGACTGCAGAAGAGGAGGGTGAGTTGCGGGGAAAGCTGGAGATGGAGACAGGGATTGAGCCGCAGCCGGAATTCCAACACAATGGAAGGTCGGATGAGAGACGAAGACGAAGGCGAAACCAGAACGAGATACCACGCCCCTACTCTATCTATATCGATTGCAGCTTCGTGACCAGGGACGGACGGAGAGACGGGGAGAGAGAGAAATAGAGGGAGACAAAGGGAGCTGGGATTCGGCAAAAACAGCGGCTGGTGTATGGTGTATGGTGTATGGGGGTATAAAAGATCAGAATTTGAAAGGCCCAATCAATCCAAATCACAATGATAGTAGTACATAGTACACACAGCCCGATCTCCACGATCCGGCCCGACTGTCCTCTCTCTCTCCCCCTTACTCTTACTCTTCCTCTTCTTACTCTCTGCGGTATGCATGCACGTTCTTTTGACTCCGACTCCGACTCCGCTTCACACTGAACCAATCCACCGAACAACCCCGTTTGTATGTATGTCTCACAGTATGGTATCGGATCATAGCTCCACCGCATCCACAGGGTACCGAGTTCTAAGCAGATAGGTTGAAAAGAATTGAATTTGGAAGAAAGAGGCTAGATTATTTATTTCTGGTTCTGCTCCTCGGCATCGTGGGCAGCCTTGGGGATCAGGGCCTCGCTCTCGGCGAGTTCACCCGCCTCGGCGAGGGCCTGTTTCGTCTCAGCGTTGACGGCCTGTGCGCGGGCGTGCTTCTCGTCTGGGTGGGAGGCGGCGTCAATTTCCGCGGCCGACAGGGGCAGCTCGTCGCTGGATTCGGGGGCGGGGGCAGCGGGAGCGGCCTCATCGTCCTCGAGCTCGGCGCCGTAGACGTCGGGGTGTTCTCTGAAGCAGTTTTGCATGGCCCTGTGAGGTTACACGTTAAATTGGCTCGAATCGGGGAATAAGGGAGCTTTGGAGGAGACGTACTGGAACTTGTCGATGCAGTCAATGCCCTTCGGCTCCTCAGGCGAGTACACGAAGCAGCTGAACGCAGCCCGGAAGTCCTCTCCGCAAGGGCCGTGGGCCATACCGCCCAGACAAGGGCAGTCCCAGTTGATCTCGCCGGTCTCGGGGTTGAAGGCGCCTTGCTCATCGGCTTCCTGTTGGAGCTCTTCAGGGGACTTCACGGGGGCATCGTCGGTGGCGGGTTGCGCATCTTGGGGGACGGGGGTGGGAGCGGGAGCGGGCGCCTTCTTCTGTTCACGGATCTTGGGCTTGATGGACTCGAGGGTGAGGGGGGATTCTCCGTCGAGGGAGTCGGTTTGGGGTTGCGAGCGGAGGGAGACTGTAGAAGGTTAGTGGTTGGTTGGTTGGGGGTTTTTTTTTTCGCGAGCGGTTTCGTCATATTGGCCGCGGAGGCCAGTGTGGAATCTTCCAGACGCAAGCATTGTCGACAGCGGGATTCACGTACAGGTCGGTCTTTGAGCGAAGTAGGGGCTCGTGTTGTAGTAGTAGACGGCACCGGCGGCCAGACCCAGGCGGACAGCGGTGTTCTTCCAACTCCTCGGCTTGGACTCTGCGGGTGCGGTGCTTATCAATCGTCTGCTGGCCGGGCCACGGACTGCGACGGCCGGGGACCGGAGGAGGGCTCTAGAGGCGGGACGGAACATGGCGGGCGGAAGAGGGGGGAGGTGCGATTGAGGTCACAGCGGGGGAAGAGACATGAATGGGACGACGGAGAAGCGGCGGAGGATGAACAGGATGGGATGGGATGAAGATGGAGGAAGGCGGAAGCCGGACGGCGGTCACGTGCCGCGCTGCAGTCCAGCAACTGTTGCTCCGATCTGATATCCAGATCCAACCCTTCTACAGAGCAAAAACCAGATGGATTCCTGTTTGGAACCCAGGATGGCTCCTGGTAAGCGCCTACTGCCATCTCTCATGTCTCTGGTCTTCTCAGGAGAGGTGCTCGATTTCTCGCATAGCGCATAACATCTTGGCCAAGGAAGCCGACAAGTCAATTACCGAGCCTCTTTTCTTACACAATGAATTAGATATGAATGTTCAAAGTAACGAATATGAAACTCCTCTGATATCTGTGTGGAAATGTGGGAATTTGTGGCTGGTTAAGCTCCTACTTGAACGGGGCGATTTCAATCCTTGACATCCGGACCGAATTCTACTTCGACCCGGTATACTGGGCCCTGGAGAGTCGGAATATGTCATGTTTGCTCTGCACCAGACAGATACTTAACTAGCCCGAGATGATTAGTCGCCATGTTCGAGAGTACTTTATATCGTTCGAGAGGATGAACGGGACGTCGCTCCAAGGTCACGTTGCCATTGGCCAATCAGCGCGCCGGTTGGCCCTGCTGCAGGCTCGGCGGTGGTTCCGGCCTCTCCATTGGATCGACTATATCTTGCTCCAATCTACATCCTATCATTTTCGCGGTTCAAACGCGGGACTTATTATCACTGGCTAGGTCCCTGATATCCCGCCCTTTCAACAGTCCGTTTAAGACGGATTCCGATGGGCGATCGCCACTGTCATATGCGGCCCAATATGGAGACGAGGTCGTGGAGTTGTTGCTGAGAGACGATCGGTTGTTGGCAGGACAATTCGACGAAAATTTCCGATCACCACTCTCCTATGCAGCCGAATCGGGACATCTGGGGGTGGTCAAAATGCTGTTGGAATATGAGACGGCCCACTCGATCTTTAACGAGGATGATCGGAAGATGGACCCATTTGCTTACGCAGAGGCTAATGGTCATGATGAAGTTATGATATACATGGAGGAGTGGATGTGTGACAAATATTCCGCCGTTAAACCCGTTGGACTTTCTAGACGACCCTTTCGATGCTTCTGACGTTTCTGACGCTTCTGATGCTTCTGATGCGGAATCCGAGCACCCTTCATCATGAAAAAAAAAAAAAAAACATTGGGATAACACCGTCCAGCCAGAAAGCATCTTATGTACAATAATGCCGTTGACATACTCCATGAAATCAGAAAGATACCCCTATAGATTAGTGCTTGTTGGAAACTAGCACCCATATAGATATAGATCCACACTGATTGGCTAGTTCCGTCAAGATGACGCTAAACCCGAAATGGTCATTCATCGCGATGTCTCCACCGGCCCTAAGAAGTCTTCCATGGCGATGCCATAGTCCTCAATGAAAGGAGGCGCAAGAAAAAGAGATCAATGGCAAGATTTCTGGTATTTAAAGGTCCGGTGGGCTCCTGGCTTTTCATCCATACCCCGTTTCTCGATTTGAACATCCAAGACCCTTCCTAGTCTCAGTTCATTAGTATTGCTTGGTATCCAACATGGCAAAACTGCAGTCTGTTTTCACTATTCCTCGCGAGAGGCGTTACATTGCTATCGCTGAGATTGTCATTTTCTCTGTCATTCAGACTGTCCAATTCATCATGAAATTTATGCAGGAATGGCGGTATTGGCACCACAACAAACGCAAGAGCTATGCGCGCTGCTTTCTATACTCCTGGTTTGGATTGCTGGGCATATTGGCACAGCGTATGTAAACCACACTTTACAATTTTGCAAAACTGACATGGACCAGTTCGCATCGCCGGATCTGCTATGGTGATCGCCAACTCCAGGCCAGGCCAGTCGTTGCTGATTGCCGAATCCGTCTTACAAAGCGTTGGTCTTTCGCCTCTCTTGTTTGAGGTGAGCCTTGTGCTTTTGCGAAGGTATGTCTGAATCTCTCCAGGACAAGACAGAGCTGACAGCCGTGTAGTGGCCAGTCTGGTCGATCCGGTCCTGGGAACTCCCGTTATCCCAAGCATATCCGCATCCTGCTCCACGCCTTCCGCTTTCCGGTCATCATATCTATAATCCTGGTAGTGGTGGGTGGGATCATTGGCATTCGTGCATGCCGGGACACAGGAGCAGCCGTTTTCGTGGCCACTTTTGCTTTTGTATGCAGCCTTATTGGGTGGCTCGCAGTGAGGTTTCGTCCTGTTCTCCCTGCTGGCGGATACCATTGTGTATTGGTGGTGCTGATGACGCTTCCTTTCTTCGCTGTCAGGATTGCTTACTTCCTGCTGGGTCACTATGGCTCGCAGAAGTTCAGCCCTGTCACTGGAAGCAGAGGTGTCATGGTGGGGATGAGTCTGGTGATGGAGATATTTATCGTTATCCTTCTGTTGCTGGCCCGTGCGGTGGCAGAGCCGTTTTTGCCTGCGGGTGAGATTGAAAACGATTCGGTGGCCTAAAGTATACAGGGAGAAAGAGTCTGTCTTCTGGCGGCATGTAATGGGTGTAGCTTCACACCAAGTTCTGTGGGCGTATTGCAGCGTAAACCTTCGACAGTCTTTCCGAGCAACTTTCAATCCACAACTTCGTTATATAATCCGCAACCTCGTAGGCTACTCTCAAGGAAAATGCCATTCGATAGGGGCCTAGGAGACCACGGGCGTTGAATTCAACCGATCTGCAGATCTGGTCTCGGAAGTAGACAACCGTGGCCGCGTGCTCCCCAGGGTGACCGCAAACCCTCAATATCTCGTGCAGTATCAGCATATAGGTGTAGTAGCCGCAAAAGATCGTCGCAGCGTTCTCATCCGAGTACCACAGAACGACCGGGTGGAGATTGTCACCGGATGGCGATGGGACCTCATGAGGAGCAGGCATGGCGCGAGAAAATCGACCATACCATGCAAGCAACCTCGCCTGCATGTCGAGCGCCCGGGTTATCAGATCGGCGACTCGCACGATAGTACTCTGGCTGGCATGGTCTGCTTCCTTGAGATCATAGAGTTCATGCACCAGACTCGGTGTAAAGGTGAAGAGGGCAAAAAACTGCTCCACCAGGTCGACGTCTGCAGAAAAGCTCCCGCTGAACTGCTGTTTCATGGCAGATTGCCAGTCACTCGAGGTCAAAAAGCAGCTTTCACCGGAGAACAGAGAATGCATGACTATCAAGCCACGAGATGCCTTGAGCAAAGCCTGGTCAAACGCGTTCAGATAACGGTGAGATCCTCTGATCTGTACCAACTGACTCAACGCCTCGGCATGCTTCATCCAGGCATCTGCTTGATCCATGTTTGCGAAAAGCTATTCCAGATGAGACCACGCATCATGAGTCTATCCCGGTCAAGAACTCACCTCGTATAAGCACAGCAGCAAGACTGCGCAGAACACTTCCGATGAAAAGCATTCATGCGGGTCATCTAAAGAGGCCCGGAGTCTATACAACGCCTGTCCGTACACGGACTTGGCATATTGCACCGCGTACTCGTTGCCATTGATTCTGCCTATATGGTGCGCTGCAAAGGATTTAATTGTGGAGTCTAACGTTCTATTGCGCCCGTATACCGACGGGAGGAACGCGAAACAGTGCGAGATGACATGCGCCGACGTTGCAGGGAACGGACGAGAGAGCTCGGTTACCAGGATGTCGAGACTCTGCATCACGTTGAGATCAGCACACTCCATAGACAACGGCCGCTGGACCAAAGCCTGAGACACAGCTGTGGAATGCCCTGAGGGATGTCCGGCGTCCTGCGGACTATTCCCTCTGTCGCTTGACTTGTGGCGACGGGTCCGATGTGGCTTCCCAGTGACGAACTTGAATCCCCGGTCGTACCCCGGACAAGGTCTCCCGTACGTCTCGCATCTCAAGCAACCAGGGACTCGTTCATCGCACTGCAAGGTATCAGCAGCTGTCAGTTGGCCATTCAAGCATCAAGCATCAACGTGGAAGACAACCTTGACTCGACGTTGCACGCACAGGGTGCAGCCATTACTCCGGGCCACCATCGCCTAGACTGATTGGTTGCCGAACCCAGTGAATCCCAAGCATGGTGGTTGTTGGAAGTTGTCAAAAAAGCGAAGAATACGAAGCACGAGAACCAATGGAGCGTGTTGGATTTAGTCAGCCGTCATTTCACCTAACCAACTAACCTCAGGCTCCGAGGCTTGCACTTGCCTGACATGCATGGAGGGAATATGAACATTGTATCCGTCCATTCCTGATTCCCACCAGAATCTCCTAACCGATAGGCAGCGTCTTATCACGGGATCGAACCCCAGTCGTCCCCCCACCAGCTGACATCACCCCTCCATGCAATATCTAAATATCTAAAAGACCATACATATCCGATCCCGCGACAATTTCTCCCTCATCCCGGCTCGCGGATATAACCACCCCTGCCCACCCTTACCTCAGCCCTACCGGTACATCCAAACCTCTCAAGATGGAATGGGATCCCACGCAATTCTTCCGCGGTGGCGAGAAACCCACGCCATTCGCCCTGCTAGTTCTCAACCATCCAATCAACCATAAAGCATACGATGTTCTCCAGAAACACGGTACGATGCGATTCATCTCAGATGTCTCTACCTTCAAATACCTCCTTTATATTACATTTTACATTTTACAACCTACATCCTGCATCCTGCATCCTGCCTCCTACACTATATTTGCGAAAAACCCAGCTAACGCCCCACACAGCCCTCATCACCGTCTGCGCCGACGGCGGCGCAAACCATTTCTACGACATGATGCGAAGCCGCGGCCGGGAATCAACTGATGTATGCATCCCATCATCTCACTCAACACAATTTACTCACCAAAACTAACCAACCTCAGCACCCAACCCTCATAATCGGCGACCTGGACTCCATCCGCCCCTCCGTTCGCAGCCACTACGAAGCGCACGACATCCCCGTCATCTACCACCACGACGACTACTCGACGGACTTCCAAAAAGCCCTAAATTACATCCGCGCCCACACGGACGAGATCCTCTCCAAGACCTCACCCTCACCCTCACCTTCATCCTCGCCCTTACCCTCACCCTCATCCAGCAAACTCTCCCCATCCCCTCCCACAGGCGAACCCCAACCCCAACAGCACCAGCACCAGCACCAACATCAACAAGACCAACCCCCCCTCTCAATCCTCATCCTCGGCGGCCTCGGCGGACGCGTCGACCAAGCCTTCTCGCAAATCCACCACCTATACACCCAAACCCAACGCCACCGACACCTGCAATCCGCATCTCAAACCAAGCCCGGAAACCTGTACCTGATCTCCGAGGAAAGCATCACGTTTATCCTCCACAGTGGGAAGAATATCATCCACACGCCGCGGGCGAATCGGGCCGCCCCGAAGCCCGATGACGAGAAAGATGGGAATGGGAATGGGAATGAGAGTGGGAGCGAAGGCTATCTCCTGGAAGAGAACGTCGGCATCATCCCGCTCTCTGGGATGACGCGGATCACGACGAAGGGGTTCCAGTGGGACGTGGAGGAGTGGGAGACGGAGATCGGGGGCCAGATTAGTACGAGTAATCATGTGCAGGCGGATGTGGTGGAGGTCAGTGCCCCCGTGCCGGTTTTGTTGACGTTGGAGTTGGCGGGGAGGTTTAAGAGGTGATTATCGTTGTTATTTTATTATTATTATTATTTTTTTTATTATTTTTATTATTATTATTATTATTATTATTATTGATCCTTCTTGTGGGGTTGGATGGGGTTGCAATGGGAGGAGGATTACATTTTGTTTGTTTGTTTGTTGGTTGGTTGGTTAATTGATTGGTTTGGGAAATGAGGATGTTTGTATCTATTGCATCTGCATTGGGCCGACTATTCGCATGCTAGAAATCACATAGACTTCGCTATTTATTCGCTGGAACCGATGAGAGAATAACCTATCAGACAATAAATTCATTCCTAACCGACTAAACAGTTACTAAACCAAGCGCCATCCCTTCGCCATTGCCATTGCCATTGCCATTGCAATCAAACCACAATAGAATTGTGAATCCAATCAATCACGACAATCAACAAGAACGCAAAGTATCACCGATCCCTCGCTGATTACGCCTTCATGGACCTGAAAAGACAGAAAGAAAGAAAGAAGACATAACTACACAGCAAAAGATAAGCACCAGACAACCCAAAATAAAGCACCAGAAACAAACACCTATCCAGAGGCCCCGCCAATTTCCTGAGGTCCAGTTGTTCTGTGCTCTGTTCCCTCTCTTTGCAAAACAACGTATCCAAACACAACATAGCACTGATTGAAGCGGCTCCGCCACCAGGTCACATTTACACATGTACAGAAATCACTTCTGGAGAATGGCCTCATACAGAGTCGCAATCACGCCGATCGTCGAGCCGGTGAGCGTCCCAGTCCAGTGGCCCAGGATGGCCTTGTCCACCATCTCGACCGTGTAGGGCGCGTAGACGTCCCAGAAGGTGAACCCGCTCCCAAACACGAGATACGTGAGCAGAGCCTTGGCGATGTGGAAGCTCAGAGGATCGAAGCTGGCGTGGGTGGGCCGACTCCGACGCGTCGGGCTGCTGGGCCGCGTGCTCTGCAGGCTGAGGTTGAAGAAGTACGCGACCGTCAGGGGGAGGAGCAGATTGGTGAGCAGCCACAGGGAGAACGGCGCCCAGAACGAACTCTCAACCAGCACGAAGACGTCGGGGACCTTGAGCGAGAGCGCGAAAGGCACACCGATCGAGTGCAGGCTGGCCGTGGTCACGAAACGCAGCGGGAAGAGGATCCGAGAGAGGCTGAGCGCTTCTAGAGAGAAGAGCAGCACGCTGACGGCCTTGACGCTGCTCAGGTTCGAGCGGAGCGAATCGGCGCGCTCTTGTACTCCGGACCCGGACCAGGTGTCGCTAATGGCCTTGCCCCACACGGCTGTCTGACGATCAATCGCGTCGGTAACCACAGCCGGCGACGGTGGCAGCGCTGCGGAGAGCGACGGCACAGCGGGCGGCTGCACGCTCAACAAGGGCTGTGCGGGTGTCTCAGGCACATCGGAATCCGGCCTGCAATGGGGCGCTGGTCAGTAAAGATGAGCGACATGGGAAGCGCGTCGCGCGCATGGTGGTGGTGGTAGTAGTAAGACAATGCGCGATCGACCGACCGTGGTGGGGGCAGGGGAGGGGAACGGGAGAGACATACGACGGGGTGCGCTCCAGCTTGGGCTTGGGCGTGGGCTTGGGCGTGGGCGTGGCCGCGGCCGCGGCCGCTGGCCGTCGGCGCACGGATTTGGGAGCTTCATCAGCAGAAGGGGTCTCCTCAACCTTGAGACCTCGCTTGGCGGGCGAGGCGACGCGTGCGGCAGTGCGCGGAGATTGCGCCAGACGCCTGTAGTAGTCTGACAGTCGCGTGTCCGAGTGGAAGATGGAGCGATTCTTCTGAAGATGGCTGTCTAGAGCGGCAGCGAGCTCGGGTTTGGTGAAGTCCTCATACCTATCGGCAGTTAAGTAGGCGGGTCCCAGGACATAATAATGGAGAGAACCAAAGATCCAGGAGGTCCAACTCACTCGTTAAGATCGGTGAACTCCGCCCATTCCGTGAGTTGCGGCTTGCGCAGTTTCTGCAAATAAGGCAATGCGGTAGACATGACGAGATGATGCGCGCGGTTCACGACCCACGTAGACCATGCGACAGCTGACGGGGAGCAAGGGGGATGGGATGGGTGTGACGAGGGGATCGACGCAAATGGGAGTGGAAGTCAAGAGGTAGACAGATACCACAAGAGCAGTGATATACTTGACGATGAGGGGAAGGATGTAGATAGAGAGATAGTAATGGGCGCAGGGGAAGTCGCAGGAGAGCATGTCTCCAGGGAACGGTGAGGTCACGGCCGAGGGGGCCAATCGAGGCATCCCGTGGGGCTGACCGCATCCGGCTTTGTTTACATTCGCCCGTCATGCCCCTCTTCAGTAAGTGGACAACAACAACAACACCACCCACAACAACACCACTAGTCCTGTACCCTCGGTTCTGGTACGCTCGAACTTTATTCGTTTGTTTCCATGCGTCTATCGTCGTCACGTCTGTCTGGTCCTAGTGTACAATGCCGTAATTAGCTAGCCCTGTCTAATGTCTGTCTGTCTATATGTAACCGTACATGATCCTCTCCAAATGAAATTGTATAAACAAAACCCACGCCATGATTGGAGATGCGGACGACCGTGAGAGGGGAATGGGGAATCCAATAATTAGAAACACACGAGAGAAACGAAAAGGAGAAACCATGCCACACCCCTGAGACGCCGCTCCAATCCAGCCGTCTATGATGCAGATGCTCCGTGGTGGTGAGTTGTTTTTTTTATCTACAACGGACACTGTTTTTGTCCAAGGCTGTCTTTAGCCTGTCATCCTCGGTTCTGATGCCAGTTGATCAGGAACCCGGGTCGCACAGACGCACCTTCAGAGTGAGTCCCCCTCCTCACCCTGGTAGGCGTCAAACTTCTTCAACAGATACTGATACATGACCAGCATTGTCCCGCTCTGGATACTAGTCCACACACCTCGGGGCCCGACACCGCGGAACCACCCTGCCAGGCCTTCGGTCTGATAGATCATCTTCAGCCCTGTGAGGAACGATGACGTATCCAGGCGGGGAGCTCCGGGCGGCGCTACCGATGTCGAAGCCCCGGATGTCGAGATGGGTCGTGAGTGGGCGCGCAAGTTGGACGTGGTATGGGACGGCGCATGATGCCGGGGTCCCTCCTTGGTCGATGCAGGGTCGCCCGCGGCCTTCGTTGAACCCAACGTGCGATTCGAGCTCGAGGCCTCCGGATTTTTCTGTGTCTGAATTCGGGTTTTGACGACATCCATGGGGCACGTCATAACGCCAGCCATTCCACCGGCCGTGACCGCCGTGAGGATCTCCAGGCCCAGTCCAATATCGCGAGAGCCGACCCATTCCTTAGCCAGTCGGTGTTCTTGTTCGTAAAAGGCGAATTGCAAAGCCGAGAAGGGAAGGTCGCGGTAAATGGTAGCCCTATACCCATAGAACAGCGCCCTGAAACCTTCCTGTCGAACGATCGTGCGCAGCGCATCCGTAGTTGAGCGGTAGTTATATCCCGAGTTGAAATGAGGATTGTCGTACCGGCCTTGAAGCTGTAGGCGCGTTTTCAGGACCTCGGACGGGACATATACAATGGAGGCGGCCAAGTCGGCGAAGAAACCTATCAAGCAACCGGCTTAGCATCTCGAACCAGCGGGAGACGAACAACAACATGGACATTCTTACCTCCCGAAAGATAGGCCAAGCTCGGATTGATGCCCATGTCAATCATCTGTCGCTTGGTGAATTCATACACTCCGAAGAATATCACGGTGCCTGGGAAGGAGCCGAACAGCGCAGGCGTAACTCCGCCGTAGAGGCCGCGGAACAGCCCCTCCTGTCGGAAGATGGTCGCATAGGACGAGGTCATCGATGCGTACTTGGGGGGGAAGTTTGGATCGCCTTGTTGTCTCGTTTTGACTGTATCTAATGAATGCATGAGCATGTCACCGCATGTGCCTCCTATCCCTCCAGCGAACATGGCCTGTATACCGAGGCGTTAGCCAGCGCGTCGGAACATCTTGAAGCTATGCAGTCCCTGTAGGTCGCAATGGGACTGCAAGTTGCCCGGATAAAATGAAACATACGTGGATGTACGGAGGGCGAGGCTCCTCCTCGTCGAGCAATGACGCAGCATCATGGTCAGCCGCAGGGCGGGCATGGTCGCTGCCGTGGATGTTCGGGAGATGGGAGGCCAACGCGGGCGAATCCGAAGACGGCGTCTCTGTCGTCGTAAACAGGCCCAGGACGCGCGAGGTCAAGCTCATTGCAATAATACCGCAACCCACCGGATCGTGGTGCGGGCCAGACCACGGGGGTTGGGATGCGGCGGCTTTGGATTACCGGAAGGACGCCACCCCGGACGGAAAGGGGATGACGGGGATGAGGAACGGAAAGGCGTAGGAGACGGGTGGACGGAGCGCGATCAGACAAACTCCAACGAAGGTTGGGGGATGGGAGTCGTGAACATCGCAGCGCTCGATAATAAAAGATCGTTCGGGCATCATGGCGTCCGGACGCCGGAGGGCCCAAAATTTCGGTCGGTTTCCTGCTTTCTCCGCCGCCCGAGGCCGAGCAGCGGCCTCGCGGCCTCAGGCACACAAGGGCCTGCGCCCCTTGGTTGGACTTCAACCCCGTCTTGCCACTGGGTTGCTTTGCCTGGATCGCTAGGGGGGAAGTCTAACCGGACCCGCAAGCCACTACTGTGTAGTGTATGGACTACGGAGAACTGTCCGAGTACAGCAGTCCAGTCGGACAGCTGTAAATACTACGGGCCAATGGACGAACAGAACGGGACGGTCAATAGCATTATACTGTCGCATTGATAGTATATAAACAATGAGACGTATTCAAGGACAAGAATGTTGTTGAGACATCGCGCATACACTTCCCCCCACACTTGACGTACTCCCGAGCAATTAAAAATACCTGGATCGAAGCTACTTCCTCGCATTTGCGCTCCCCCATCCCCACGATTCTCCATCCCCGGCGTTCATAAAATGGCCACGCGTCTCACCAAACGATGATACAGGAGGCCGTTAATTCATTAGATGCTCATCAGTCATAGTAGCCAACTTCCAGAACACACGGCTCCCGTCAGACCCAACCAGGCCCATGCCCGGCTGGTCACGGGGTGATTCGTCCAATTCCGGCACACATCCTGGAGTCGCCACTACCCATACTAGCGGTCCTTTATTGAGGCTTCTTGGCACCCGCTCCGGAGGCCATGCGGTTGAGATCCGTAGCCTCGTAGGCCTGGCGCACGAAACCCTTGAACGACTCCCATATCTGACGCACAACGGGCGGGGTGCTCTGGTGGGAGATCCACGAATCGATTCTCGCAATGGCGTAGCGGACAGACTGCTGAACGAAAGAGCTCTGGGCGTACCGCGCGCGGAAGAAAGCCAGGTAGAAGGCCAGCAGAAGGAAGCTACCCTTGCTGAAGGTGAGGATCCCCACGACCAAGCGGACCAGCAGTGCGACCTCCAGCTGCGCGACGACGTGCATGCTAAAGTCATAGTACTGCTTGACGAACCGCCCAATGCTATCAGCCAAAGGAGACGGTCTCGCGGCAGGCCGGGGCGCGCTGGGAGAAGCGGGGGATCCCGGAACGGCAGCGCCTTGGGCGGGGCCCTGGATGGTAGGAATCAGGTGGGCACGGGTGTAGGTCGCGACGTGAAAGAGGGAGTAGACGCTGAAGGGAAGCAAAGCCAACGAAATCTGGCGCGAGTACAGCCAAACCAAAGCCATGGCTGGTATCTAGTCAGCCACGAGAATCCCAACTAGTCGTCCACCACCGGGCTGCTACTTACCAAGGTACTGAACATTCTCGTCACCAGCCAGCTTCAGCGCAATGTTAGGCACGCTGCCCTGGAGGCGGCCGCGGGCAATGTGTCCCTTGTACACCACGATTCCGTATGTTGCAGCAGCCGAGACAAACGCAAGGCGGTAGGCCGCCTGCGCGGAGGAAGAGTAGTAGTTGAAGGTGATGTAGGACAGGAGATAACGGATGACCGACAGCAGCAACGTCACATGTCTGTGGCTCATTAGCGAACAGGTCCGGTCCGACAGCTCAAACGCGAAGCCCGGGCGGGGGGGAGGGATACGCAGGACACGGTAACCATGTCCTGCAGGGCTGGGAACCGCAATGGGATGGGGAGGAGTTATGATAGCTAGCCCATACGGGCGACAGCTCGACGGCTACAAGGCAAAATCGTGGAGACCTACCCAACGAACCACGCAAACCTGCAGTAGAGTCATTCTGTTAGTACAGCACCTAGCAGGTCGCGAAAACACGCGGCACATACTGCAACGTCTGGGCCAGAGCCTTCAGCCTCTCGGTCAGAGGCAAGTTCGAGGGAGGAGGAGGAGCCATGGCGGGTAGGTCGGACAGTCGACGGCTCTTGGTTGGTGGTATGGATGAGCGCGAAGGGGTAGGGGTAGGGGAAGATCGAGACAGAAGCTGGAACTGCTGCTGTTGCTGAACGGCCAGCAACGAGGAGATGAGGTGAGGTGTAGGGAAAGGGGGGGGAGGGTCGAAGAAAGAATGGAAGAAAGGAAGAATGGAAGAAAGAATCGGGGAGACTAATTGAGCGGTGGAAGGCTATGGATATCCACTTCGGGAGAAGGCTGGGCGGGGACAGTGGTGGGCTAGGAGGGAGGATGGCGCTTCGGTTTAAAGATGGACGGACGGTGGGCGACAGAGAGGGAGTAGAGCTGAAGTACGGTGGTCACTACGGACTACTGACTGTTAACGCCGGAGGTCTCCAGGCCAAGGCTCCCAGGCTGCCAGTCACTGCCCGTCGCAGCTCAGCCCCGTGACGTCGCCCGCCCGCCAAATGATGCAACACAACCGTCCAGCTTAAAGCTTATCTTCAAGCTTTCTTCGTGTCTTCGTCTTCCGGGTCCTACTACTGCTACTTTTCCATACAAAGTACTCAGTACTGATGAATGGTCTATTTTCTTCCGCTCATCATCCGATAATCCTGACGTACATGTGTGGCGCGGCCTGCCTGCCTACGTCCCCACCGCTCTCTGCACCGCAGGTAAACATCCCGTTCTATCATACTAGTAGGCATGGCTGGCTGAGGTTGCTTTTCCGGCTCGCTCTTCAATAACACTTCAGATTGACAACTAACAAAACAGGAACTGCAGAGAGAAAAACAGGAGAAAACGTCCAGGACAAAAAGAGAAAGAAAAAAAAAAAAAAAAAGGATGGTCAGGGGTGGGTGATCTCACTAAAATGTGTAGAAGAGGCAAAAGTGTACCGAAGATAAATAGAAGTAATAGTACCAGGCCACAACGGGGAATAGGAAATCGGCGGGAACAAGGTATAGCGTCGGCAAAAGTACATAACAAGAAGCGAAAGGTGGACATGAAGCAGTGAATTCCGAACCCAAAGCGGTCTTCCAGGCCGTCACCCCGTGCGTCATCTTGCGAACCCAGGACCAGACCACTCAGAGCATCCAAGCAGATAACCGAGCCGGATGTAGCTCTTGTGTTCCTGCACATCTCCTAGTCAAGCCCCAATTGGTGATTAAGTCGGCTGAAAAGCGAAAAGAAAAAAAGAGGTATTCTTTTTCTGCGGTCCACCCGGTCAAAAAAAAGAGGATAATAGAGTCATTACTGGAAGCAGATACGAGAAAGTAGAGGTTGTTCAGGGAGTGTGGGGGAGAGGGAGCAAATAAACACAAGAGAAAAAAGGTGGAGGGTTAGAAAGAGCGTGCGGCCGATCGGGAGTCGTGGGGAAATCAACGTAAAGCCACCAGAGTGCCTCCAACGATGACCATACATAACCTCGGTGGTCCTTTGCAGAGGCCCCTGGGCAGAGGCATCGGGGTGCCGGTCATGCGGGCGTTCGTCTAACGAAGAGAGAATCCCTTTCGCTTCCCCTTTTCTTCGATCGGTCTCCCACTCTCGAGGCGGGACTTCTTCTCGTCCAGTTCCAGGCGTTGCCGTTCCAGTTGGTCCTTCATCTCGCGATGTCGGGCGTATAGTTCGTCTTCGCTCTGTTTCAGCTTGCTCTCCTTCTCCGCTACCTTTTGCTGGAAGACCATCTTCATCTCCGTCTCCATCTTGGCGAGCTTCTGCTCGTGGAGCGCACGTTCCTCCTCCTGCTTGACGGCCGGGTTGACCTCCTTGAAGACGCTGGGGTCCTGGGCCACACCCATCTGGGTGAGCTTGTCGGAGCGGTAGTTCTCGTACAGGGAGTTGTTGGTGTGTTCCTTCAGCTCTTCCATGTGAGTGCGGATCAACATCTGACGCAGCTTCACGAAGTCACAGTGCTCCTCGTTGTCGACTTCGATGATACCCCAGGGGTAGCTTCTGCCGCGCACCTTGCGGCCATCGGGGGCGGTAACCTCGGAGTTGGCACCTACAACGGCGAAGGGGACCTTGGACATGATTTCCTGGTTCTCGGCGATGGTTTCTTCGTCGTCAAGTTCATAGCGGGGGCCTTCGAAGATTTGGATGGAGTGGTGCTGGATATCGGCGAGGATCTAAGGAGAACGTATGTTAGCATTGGAAAATGGAGTTGTCAAAATTGCATCGTCTTACTCTCTGCTTGAAAAGCGCAATCTCCTCGTCCGTCAGAGTGTCGGCCTTGGCGATGACGGGAATCAAGTTGACCTTGGTGTGCAACCTGCGCATCACCTCGATATCAAGAGGCTTCAGAGAGTGGCCGGTGGGCTGGATAAAGTAAACGCAGGCGTGGATGCGGTTGTCGACAATGTTGGTTCTGTTGACCTTGTTCTCGGCCTCGAGGTAGGCGTCGTATCTCTGTTCGATGTTCTCGACGATCGGGCGCCACGAATCATCGTTGTTAACGAAATCACCGAAGCCGGGGGTGTCGACTACAGTCAGACGAAGACGGACGCCGTTCTCTTCAATGTCGGCGCTGATCGATTGGATCGACACGGTCTTGGGAATGATGTCGTGGCTGGGGCCGGTGCGCTCCTTGGGAGGGTAGAGGGAGGTGTTGAAGAGTGTGTTCACGAGAGTCGACTTTCCGAGACCGGACTCACCTGAAAGCCAAGGTCAGTTCAACTGGGGCTCCCAGCTGGAAGACCCGCATCTTCGGCGGGTATGGATACGTACCAACGACCATGACATTGAAGTTGAAACCCTTCCGGACACTCTTGCGGTGCCATTGGTTGGGCAGGTTGGCAAAGCCAACGTAGCCAGTCAACTTGCGGCGGACGACGTTCTTCATATCCGTGGCAGCCTGAGCAGCAGCCTTGGGGTCCTTCGAGCTCACGGTCTGAATGTTTCCGGAGCCCATTGGGTTGCTGCGTTCAACGAAGGGCGAGCTGGGCTTGCTGCTGGGGGGAGAGGCAGAGACGGGGGAGCCATTGGCAGCCGGTGCGGGCGGTGGTGTAGCTACATTGGCGGGAGCAGTGTCAGCAGCGGGTTCAGCATCTTCGTCTTGGCCCTCGCTTTCGGAAGACAGGCGTTCCAGGACAGGTGAGTACGAATGACGCTTGGGTTTCTGAGAGCCCTTCAGAGGGGACACGGCCAGAGTTTCAGAATCCCCTTGCGAGCGACCATCCGCACTCCGGTTCCTGGAACGTGACATGGTGATATCACGATGCGCTAGTATTCCGTATCGCAGACAAGAGGCTGGATAGCAGGTGGGCAGGGAGGGTTTCAAGATCGCAGGTGGTGGTGTAGTAGTGGATGGGAGGAAGAGAGCTGTAGGCAAGAAGCTTACCCATTGTGGAAGTGAGGATGTGCAGGTGGTATTAGAAGCGAGCGTAAAAGGGACAGGAGGTAGCGAGCGTCGATGAGGAAGTTCCCCTGAACCGGTAGCACCTTCTCCGTTAGCGACAAGTCCTTGCAGGATGGAATCAAGGGGAGGGTCTCGAAGAAGCAAGAGCAGAGGAAGGAGCAACGTGGAAGAGGATATCACTCGGACGTATGGTCCGTGAGACACCGGGGCAGGGCAGGGCAGGGCACGGCAGGGCAGGTGAGGGAGGAAGTCGGGTTCCAGAAAGGTGCCATAATCATCATCACCATACCTGCGATACTGTTCACCGGGAAAAGGGTGAGGCTTCAATCAATCAATCCAGCAATCACGAGCAAAAGGGATGAACGGAAATCCAAGGAGGCTGTCGAGGCACAGCAGCGACGAGGCAGAGTGCAGGGCAGGGCGGAGGGGCGAAACAAGACCGGAAAATGAAACAAAAAAGAAGCAGCGATGAACGAGAGAAGAGAATACGTACTGAAGAACAGGGGAGGAGGAAAGCGATTGGGAGCTGCGGAGTGGATGGGGGGTGTTTAGTGGTTGTTGGAGCCAGACTGCAGACTGTTTGGTTTGGTGGCCCTGTCCGAGAAAGAAAGGGGGGGCTCCAATCTTAGTCCTGAGTCCTTGGTGGTCCTTAGTGTTCCCCCCGTTCAGTTCACCTTTCACTTTTCCCTTGCCCACCACGGACCGATCGATTGGGATGCCCGACCTGTCTATCGGACGGAAAATTGCCAATTGTTGGTTACAGGGCTACTCTTCCCTCTCCTTTCTGATCTCCGGTGTCTTCCCCCCCTCCCCCCCCTCTCTCTCCCCTTCCGGGCTTGGTGTGGTTTGGCACGGCACGTCATGAATATTTCATCAGGTCCAGGAACTGATCTGAATTGAATTGAACTCAACTGTCACCACTACTGCTACAGTAACTACTACCTTCTCGCCGATGTTTGACTGCTGGCCACGGAACCAGTCCTTTTAGTGCATACATGCATACATGGTACATACATGCAACCCGATACGTCAAAATCCAAACAAAAATGTTTGTTCAAGAAAAAAAAAATAATAATAAGAGATCCTCAAAAAAAGCAAGTTCAGGGCCCCTCGAGCCCTGTGGACACTGGATAGACACACTTCTAGCTTAATAAGAAGCACCACGGCCCCCAACAGAGGGATCCTGAAATCGTGGGGAAACCTGGAACCATAGAAGGCTATCGAGGATTTCGATTACCACATTGGGAAGACGGGTTGGAGCAGTACAAGGACCACCGTACGGGGTAGTTAATTGAGGCCTAGGGGATGGATTGATTGAACTCCTGACCCGTGTACTCGGGCCCTGCAGCAGCCAGCAACTGCGACCATCGACTGGCTCTCCAGTCTGGTTTGGTTTGGTTTTGATTTAATTTGCTTTACTTTGCCTTCCAAGTCCAAGACAGACAGACACACAGATCTGCCGGATACCCAAGAGGGGGGGAAGACGACTCACCTATTCTTAGCTTCCATCCAGTCAGGTGAGGATCATCTGGAACTGGCAGCAGCACTGCAACCATCATCCGATACTACTACTGCTAGCCATCCACCCACCACCCATCCATCTATCCATTAACCAGCAGCCATCCATCCAGCCATATCCACGCCAGACATACATACATGGGGAATACCTGGCCTCCCATTTGGTCCCAGCGCCGGTATGGTCTGCGTCACCGCGTAACTGCCGGTACGTTAGTAGCAGTAGCAGTAGTGCTCAGGGGGGGGATTGGCCCAAGCCGCGCTGGAACGGAAAAACCCGGACCCCCGTCCGTAAGAAAAGAGCCAAGCCGCATGTCGCCCGCCAATCAGGGGTGGCAGCCAACGGTCTGGAGCGCGCGTCACACCATGGGAAACCTGCCGGGGGTTCCAGCAAGTGCAAGTGCAACTAAACTAACTACGGGGTAGGAATTCCCTTCCGTCTCTAAACCAACGGGAGCCAGGGCCGATCTGTATTTACCTACCCTTACCCTTTACCCAACCCCCAAATTTAAGACAGTTTCCTGTTAGGGGCGCCGCCAGCTGGCCGGTGCTGGCTGGGCATGACCGCCAGAATAAACAATAATAACAATGGATCGATCCGGGAGTGCGGATTAAATACCTCTTTTCTCTTTGGTGGTGGTGGTGCTGGTGGTTGTATGTAGAGCGATACTGTTCTGTCCAGGTATCTATCTATATATGGAACATGCATCTGCGATAACGATGCATGGGAAAAAGGTGGCATTACACAGCAAGGGAGACACCACCGGATGCAATGCTCGCTTACTCGGAGTAATGCTACACCACCCAAACAAAGGGCCCGTAGCCCTTCTGGTCTTGTGTCTGTCTGTCTTGCTCTCGGGATCTGGACCCGACGGGGGAACCACCTTCTGTCCATCCAGCATTCACCCCCTACACCGCACTTCATTGCCCGAGGGGGGAGGGGGGCACGGTAAGTAATCTCCCAAATGCAAGACAGGCCGGCCTCACCCATGCTGTGGTCGCATCGTGCAGGAGTGAGTGACGGACACGCCGCCGTATGTAGGTAGAGTAAGTAACCCAGCAACCCAGCAAGTATCTAGTAGGTAAGTAGGCCGTAGTTGCACTTGCACCCTCCTAACCTACCTGGGTTGCACTATCCTAGTGCCGTATGATCTGTCCGCAATTGCCATTTATTGATGCATCGGATACGAGGTGGACAGTGTGGGAGGAGGGAAAATATGGAAATGTTCCAGAGACAAATAATCTTTTTATGATCTACAACACATGGAGCCCCCCCCCCAATTCCCCCCCGAACTCGGATGGGTCTTACTTACTACGAGGAGGGTGCAGTATGACATATATGTACATGCAGGAGCTCGTCAATAGTGTTATCAATAGCAAAGTCAATTGAGAAGCTGGCTTGTCTGATCGGCCAACCTGACATATCATTTTTCCGCAACGCCTGAACTGACAACGGGACTAAGGGGGAGGGTACTGGGTGGTGGGTGGTGATGGGATGCTAAGTATGCTACATTTGCAGATCGGAACCAATTCGATGTCCTTGGAGCGACGCCCGTGAAACCGAAAATGCCGACATGCAGTGTTCCAGAGTACGATTAAGCTGAGCTTCATGGGATCCCCAGGGCCCTATCGGCAACTCCCCGGCCGGGGAGGGAGAGTGGCGGGGAGCATCCCCGTTCCAAAGCGGTGGCTTTTTGGGCTCCAGCGGACGAAGACATGGTACTGAAAGTCATTTTGCTCTTGTTCATTATGCAACAGTCATCAATGGAGTCGGTCAGTCCGGCGATTCGCTCACTTTCCAACCTTGGTCTTCTTCTTCGGCCGCTTTTCGTCCGCGTCAGACATCGGCTGGTCCTGGTCATCGTCACCGCCGTCGGAAGCATCTCCCATCTCGGCGTCACTTCCGCTTCCACTGCTCTCGTGGTCTGAATCGAACTCCTCTGCGACATCCGAGTCAGACTCGGTCTGGAAGTCCTCATCAATGGATTCTTCGTCTTCGTCGGCCGAGCCGCGGTCAGCCCGGACGTTGTCATCGTCGCTGGAGCCCATGTCTTCGTTGTTCAGGGCAGCAGCGATCATCGCGGAAGCCTGTTGAGCGGGTCAGCCATGGTGGACATATCACTGGATCCAGGTCACACATACCTCGTCGGACATTTCATTCTTGAATCTGATGTTCTTGGCCTTGAAGAATTCCTCGAGCGGTTGTTGTTCCTCACTGCGAGCTGTCAGCGTCGACCTAGTGAAATGCCGGAAATCCACCTACCGGTTAATGTTGCTGAACTGGTGTTCTCCCAGACCAGCCTTCAGGCTGACCGTGATATCGAACGTTCTGCTAGCCGAGATGGCACCACCCACACGAGACATGGTGATGATAGCAATGTTCTCGATCTGAATGTAGGTGGCGGGCTTGGGAACGAAGATCAAACTCTTGTCCAAGAAGTACAAAAGGCCTTCGTTGGCCTTGATGGAGCACTTGACTCCGCTGTGGCCGTGATGGCTGTATAACACGTCAGTCAGTCGGAGATGCGCTTTCATACGGGGTATCCGTTTACTGACCTCACAAAGTCCTTCGACGGCATGATGACCTTCTTTCCTGACAGACCACGGAAGACCTTCGTGACCACCTGGTGGATGGGTTCTTCATAGCGGGTCTCCAACTTGTCCTTGTAGCGGGATTCCAAGAGCTCACTAGGAAGACGTCAAAAGGTTGCAACCAGCATAAAAAAAAGCTCGTCGGCGAAGTACTCACTCAGTCATATTCAGCTCCAGACTGATTTCTTCGTCCAACTTCAGCTGCATAACCAAGAATGGATAGCGGGTCTGGCCTTGACGTAGAGGGGGGTCAAGGCCCAGAACAACCAGGGTATGTGTGTCGTCGTTCTTCGGAAGCAGGAAGAATTTCTTGATGGCCGCATATTGAATCTTGTAGTCGTAGGTCTTACCGCGTAACCGGAAGGACGCTTCGTACATATCGATATCGAACCGACCTCTGCCAAAACTGTTATCACACTGCGACTGGACTTTTTGGGCAATACGCACCTGGGAGTAAGATGCAGGACATCCAAGAAAGTAGCGAAGGTGTCACCGGCCACATCTCCAATCTCCGCCTTGTCCATGAGCGTATCATAGAACAGGTTCGCGGCATTCTGTTCTTCAACCTCTTCTTCCTCGCCATTTTCTTCGTCCCCGTTCTCGTTCTCTTCCTTGACGCCCTTGTCTCCCTTCACGGCAGTTCCCGGAATATAGAATCGCATTTCGACCAGTTCGTCCGGACCAGAGGCGGCTTTCCGACCACGATTCTTTGTGCTACCGGCTGGTTTTGAAGGGTCGCTACCCTCTCCCCCGAGGGCGAACTCGACGGCGACTTCATTCTTTCCGGCCAAGTTTGTGTTGGAGATCTCGCTGTAGGGAATTTCGAACGCAGGTCGATTTTGCACGTTGAAGGCGAGCTCGGCTTTCGCAAACTCCGCCTTACCCCAGTTCCACCCACGGAGGGCATGTTCTCGAGTCTCCACGTTGATTCCGTACCAGATCTTGAAAGCCTTGCTCAACCGCTCGAAGTCCTGATAAATTTTGACGGTCAAACGTTAGCTCGACAGATCCTAAACCCTTCAGATCCTTCTCAGCCCGATCCCATGACATACCTCTTGGTCAAAACCATCCAACTGGATAACACCGGAGGTGCGCGACAGGATTTTCAGCTCGTGTCCCTTCGCGGCTCGGCTCCATTGGGCTGCGCCGATGTTGCTGCTGTCGAGCGTAAATGTGTCGCCTCCTCCAGACGGCTTCCATCCCAAGCCAGATTCTGCGAGCTTGCACTTTCCGTGCTGCTTCGAGAGATCGAGATAGATGTTATCGAAGCTCTCCCTACAAGAGCGATTAGCATGGTAGACACCAACCAACGGCCGCAAGTGCGGAAGGAGCTCACATGTTGGAGGAGCCTTCAGTTGGGTCACGATGAGGCGGAAGGGGTATTAGGGGTGTTGAGAGGATCGGGTTGACGGGTGGTTGAAAAGATGACAGGTGCCAGAAAAACAATGAGTGAGTAGTGGTGCTTTATTGAGTGAATGGTGATTCCAGGTTATCTGATAATGAGCTCCGCTATCCTTTTTCCTGAGGCTCGCGTTGCGCGCGGCTATGCCTTTTACGCGGCAGGTGATCTTGGCGCCACTTCTGCAGGTTCGGACTAGCGTGGCTTTGATGCCTCAGGCATAAAGTGTTTACGAACAGGGCTTGCTCGAAGAAAGAAGTACTTACTCGCTCTGGTTTGGGTTGGGTATGGGGTTCAGCATGGGCAATAACCTCCAGGTAATCTAGATGTAGAAACTGGATAATGAAGGATACCATGGTTTTCTAGCATGTTGATCTGTCAAGTGATCACTTTGATCTATCTTGATTGCTATCTACATAGTATATGTATTGATGTAGTGAATGATCCAGTCAAGCAAGAAGCAAGAAGCCAGTCAGATATGTGCTAATTTGAAGTCTTACAAAGATATGAAATTGATATGTGCAAATTCTCAGAACTTTCACCAAGACACATTATCCCTCTTCTTTTCAAAGTCCCGTTTGTGTCTCTCACAGCTTGATATGTGGCAAAATGCATTTGTACTCTTTGACTGCCATCATCTACACATCTGTCTACCTCAGGATCTGCAACAAGAATGAAACTGAAAATGAAGTAACACTGTACCTGAGAACTAGATCAAGGCCCTCTCGGAACTCTCCAGTCTACCGGCTAGCCCAGAAATTAGTTGACCAAGATCCAATTATGCATCCCATGAGTCTCGCCCAACTTGACACGAATATACCTTTGATGAGCACATGTCCACTCATACTGAAACAACGCAAAGAGCCCTTTTGAAATGAATACCACAATGCGGAATATCATGCATGGGATAAGGCATCTAGAGGGGTCAGATATTCTCTGCTCACTCTACTATATCACGCTCAAAACTATTAGATCCGCTTTATTTGCAAGGGTAACCCGCTTCCTAGATGATGACCAACCACTGCGTATCCAGCACATACTCTCGCAAAGACTAACCGTTTGTTTAGACCATTCAAGAGCCCACTGCCAGGGAAACCCAGGAATTAACCAGCTTCCCCGCCTCTGCAAAATTGGCGTTGTGTTACAGATTCTGCATCATGTAGGGAGCTTCGTGAGAGCTAAATGCCGTGACAGGCGAGGATGAGGAGTGGAGGTAGGTAGCGTGCTTGAAACTAGAACTTTAATGGCTCATGCAGGCGAGCAAATATCTGGACGATGGCTGGGTGATAGAGAGGTATGATGAGGTTGAGAGAGCTGTTTCATGATCTGCGAGTCTTTCGGCAATGCCATTGATTTGAAAACCAAGCCAGTAGTGGTTGTTTTGTCTTGCTTCGGAGCGCAAAAGAACATGACTATATCAATGTTCTAGACGTCTTTCGGCCAGCATATACTTTCACTGAGCTACCTAGAATACTGAGTTAGAGCGAAAACCCCAATGACCAACGTGATGAGGAGCTAAGAGATTAGCGAGTAGGGTAGCAAGAATTGGGATAGATACCCCAGCATCGAAAATTGCTCCTGTGATATCGAATATGCGGTAAGCTTCTTGCCCATGTCATTATCGCCTCATACAGATCCCGATGAGGGCTGAAGATGACGAGTCAGATACAGCTTGGTATTAATCACTCGCTGCTCGAGGGCTGGCGATCTTCCCTCAGCTCCATCGGTGGCTGAAAATTTCTGGGGTCTAGTACAGAGCAGATCGAAATAAACATGATGTGGCTGTATGTAGGTAGCTGTAGGTAAACTTAATGTACCTCAGCAGTGGGCATATTAAGTTAGGCTTCTGTAACCCGTTCATGCGAGTCCAGCTTGCAGGGCACACCGCCAGTAGAAACCGGCTCAATGAGGTGGAAATGCACGGGTCCTGCGATGCTGGTCAGACAGTCAGGCCATCAGGACCGTGACGGAGCTTCCTGGAAGCAGTCCAGTCCGTCGCTGCGAGGCCGTCAAATATCAGGGGTTGGTGTCGTTATCAGAGAAGATCGCCTAATAATAGGAAACCCACCGGCTGCAAGGTGTCTCCCTCAGGCCAGCCTCTTGTTCCTACCAAGTAGTGCGACTGCAGGTTCTTCTACCTACATGGTACATGCTGATGCTGAAGAGGTATGCAATGATGTGACCACTCCGGTTGAGCTGAGGGCGTGGAATGGGCCCCTACTCCACCCGGAGCGGCACCGGCAGCACCAAGCAGCGGCGCCAGCATCGCCGGGTGGACACGGCTCCATTCCACGGCCAGACAACAGGGCCAGACGGGACCAGACGGGCGAGTAATAGGACGTATCGCCGTACCGGGGCGCAGGTTAATCCGGGCCGCCCCTCCCGCGGGTTCGCTTACTACGCAGCCTTCCCACTAACTAATAACAGCAGCAGTGGAACCGGGCCCGCGGCGGTGCTCAATGACCGGGCGGGAAATGATGGTACCTGAAAACCACCGCCATCCAGAGCCCAGCAGAACCTTGAACCTGAACAAACCAAAGCCCCTGCTGGCCATGTCACTCTTTCGGTCCATCCAACTTCTTTCAGTCATTCGTTAATTAATTGCTTTCACCGGGCTGCCCGTCAGTCTCGCCAGTCCGTCTATCTATCTATCGGGCCTCTCTGCCTGAGATCACACTCGTTCCTTATCTTTCTTCTGCCATTCCTTTTGCTTTCCCTGCGTCTGCCCACTATTAATTAATGTTCCTGGCTCGACCACTCCTTTTCTCGCGTCCACCGTGCCGATAGCTCCCCCCCCCATCCCAATTCAAGCACATTCATTTATTGTCTTTCTTTACGGCCTTACTACCCCATTTTCCCTACACGTTTTCTCCGATCAAGGCCCTTGGAGATCCCTCCCCCACCCCCTTCTGGGCTTCACCGTCTCGCTAGCCTGTCGTCGCGCACCTAGACAATGAGGGCACCCTCACTGTTTGGGCCTGCGACGGCTGGCTTGTCAACCGTCCTCCGCCTTTGGCCTTTGCTCCAACTGACCCCCGCTTACGGATTGACCTTTCAGTCGGTTACAGAGCCAGACTTGGACCTGTCGCCATTGGGCCAGGTCGCCTTCGCGGGAGACTTCGATGCGATCGCGCTCTACCAGTACACCGAACAGGCGGACACAGCGACCGACAATAACGATGCGCAATCCATTCTCACCCCTCTCCCGAACGGCATCCTCACGTCGCTCTCGACATCCGATGCGCAGATCAATGCCATGTGCCCCTTCACGAAAAAGGACGGAACGTTCGAGGGAATTTTCGTTGGGGGCAATTTCACCAGCCTGGGTGGGGTCGAAACGGAAGGCGTTGCGTTGTATAATCCCGACTCCAACAAGGTGACGGCCTTGTCGGGTCTTTCGGGCTCGGTTTCGGCCTTGCTGTGCGACCAAGATACCAACAGCGTATATGTTGGGGGAAACTTCACATATTACAACATCTCGAACGCCGTCGCTTGGGTCGGAAGTGAGGGCTGGTCGAACTTGACTTTTGGTGGCTTTAACGGACCCGTCAGTTCCATCCTCAAGGAAAGCAATGGCAAAATTATTTGGGGTGGATCGTTCGACGGTATTGGCAACTCGACCTCGTCTGAAAAAGGCCAGCAGATCATCAACCTCCAAAATGCTACGATCACCTCGGACGCAAATTCATCAACCAGTGGCTATATCAGTCCCAGCAACATTGTCTGCCAGACAAGCGGCGACGATGGCGAAGGAAAGACATGGCTGCTAGCGAACAACTCCCCGGGCTACTGGCGTGCAGAGATGGAATTCGAGTACTACCCCAGCATGTTCAAGCTGTGGAACACCCATTACGAGGGAAGAGGAACGAAAACATTCCTGTTCAGGAGACTACCGGACAATGGAATCATGAACTTGACTTACACCGATCCCGACACTGGCAGCCATGCTTACTGCGACCAATCCTGTCCGCTTTCCAACAGCACCACCGAAGAGTATCGCGAGTTCAAATTTGTCAACAGCGTTGGCATGAGTGGATTCCAAATCGAGGTCTTGAGCTGGTACGGTGATGGTGGCGGTCTGAACGGGATTGAAGTCTTCGAGAACAGTGAGTTTACCTATAATCATTTCTTGGTGGCAGCCTATGCTCACTGGCCGTCAAGATATCTATGCCTATGCCATCAATGCCTTCAACGAGCCAACATGTGGAAACATAAGTTATCCATCCACTGCGACACACACAGGATCATGGGCTGTGGCACCGTCGGGCCAAAGCTCCTCCCAATACTTGACGACGCAGGTTACCGACTCCAATGCGACCAGCGCCTCGGTCATCTTCGAGCCCGATATCAAGCTGTCAGGGAACTACTCCATCAAACTTTACACCCCCGGATGCGAACAGGATGACACCTGTGACTCACGCGGTATCGTCAATGTTACTGTCACTCCTACAAGCGATACTGCCGAACCTGCTCAGACGACTCTCTATCAGACCAACTTGTATGAGAAATACGACACGATTTACACAGGCCATGTGGATGTCAGCGATGGTTCGTTTCGCCCTCGTGTGGAGCTGAAGCCGATAACCAACCAAGGGAACAATATCACTGTGGTGGCCTCCTACGTCCAGTTTGTGGCGAACTCGGTGTCAGGAAACTCCAGTGATGACTTGAATGGTTTATACGAGTTCAACCCATCAGGCGCGAGCCCAAATGTTACCAGTTCTGGTGTCGACGAAGCCGGACTGGCCCTTGACGAGGATGCTAATATCATGAGCTTGGCCACTTATGAGAATGTCATATACGTCGGCGGAAATTTCTCGGGCTCCGACATCGAAAACATCATGTACTTTGAAAAGGACAGCAACGCGACAGCAATGCCCAAAGGCGGCCTGAACTCCGAAGTGACAAGCATGGCGGTGCTGGACGACTACCTTTATGTAGGTGGAAATTTCACGGATACCTCTGACGGTGGCAACGACGGTCTCAGCTATATCGCGGCGTATTCCTTTGATTCGAAGACCTGGTCGGCACTTGGAGCAGGTGTCAACGGCCCTGTCAACAGTGTCCTTGCTCTTTCGCTTAATGTTTCCATGGAACTTAACGAGACCATTATCGGTATAAGCGGTGATTTCGATCACTTGCTCCCCTTTGACGAAAGTCCGTCAACAAATGTCTCCGGGTTTGCTATCTGGGTACCCTCGCGCAACAACTGGCTGCAGAATCTCAACATCAGCCAGCTGGAGTTCGCCGGGCAACTGTCAGCCTATGCAGTGGGAAACAACACCACTATCCTTGCTGGTAGTCTTTCGACAGGCGGAATTGCTGCCGCTGGCGCTGTTGCTCTTCTGTATGACGATGATCTGGGTCTGGAGCCCCTGTTAACCGACTTCAATACAAGCGGTCAAACCTACACAGGTCTTTACGACACAAGCTCTGGCAGCAATCTTACGATTCTTGGAGGCCACTTCACTACCAATGCGAGTAACGGGTCTGTGATAGAGAACCTTGCTATCATTGACGGCAACGCCGGTACCGTCAGCGGTCTTGGAGCAGGAGTGGACAGTAACTCTACGTTTTTGACCCTGTCAATTGCGGACAAGGTGCTCTACGCAGGTGGAATGGTCTCTGGAACCGTAAGTGGCGCGACTTTGAATGGACTTGTAGCGTTCAGCATGGAAAACGAAACATTCGTCCCATATCAGCCGCCCCATTTCTTCGGCGACAACGTGACGGTCAACGCTATTGCTGCTCGCCCCAACAAGAACGAAATCTACGTCGGAGGACGGTTCCAGACGGCTGGTGCTCTTCCGTGTCCAGGCGTCTGTTTCTGGGACACGTCGGAGCAGCAATGGAATAGACCAGGCGCAAATCTGAACGGCACAGTGATGGCGCTCAAGTGGATGAGCAGTAATGAATTGCTCGCTGTGGGCGATTTTACTATCGATGGAAACAATTCAGTGGTTGCTACCTATGTCAGCAAAAAGCAGAGTTGGCAGACTTTTGAGGGTGCATCCTCGTCCGACATTCCTGGAACCATCACAGCCTTTACCCCCGCTAACACCGCCGTGACTAAGTTCTGGCTTGCGGGAGTCTACACCAACGGCTCCAGCTTCCTTGCCGCCTATGACGGTTCCAGCTTCACGTTTCTCCGGAACGTTTTCGACGAGGGAACCGATATCCGTGGCCTCGAGGTGCTTCCTATCTCCCGGAACCACGATGATGTTAGCGTTCTCAACGACGACCAAATGCTTTTGGTCACCGGCCAGCTTCTGATCCCTGATTTTGGAAACGCTTCTGCAGCCCTGTACAACGGGACGGCGATGGTGCCTTTCATTCTCTCCTCGACATCCGATGGTCAGCCGGGCAGCATATCCCACATGTTTTTCCAGAACCAGAACCCCTATACCAGCGGAGGTGCGTATTAATATTTACAAGCCATAACTGAATATACCTGAATACTAACAGTTCGCAGGCAAACACCTCTCCAACGGTATCGTCGTGTTGATCTCTTTCTGTTGCGCGCTCGGCTGCGTCTTCCTGATCGTTATTGCCGGCATCATCTTTAACAAGATCCAGCGCCGTCGGCAGGGTTACATGCGGGCCCCGCAGGGAGTGGGAACCGACCGACCCTCCAACATGCGAAGACTTCCCCCGGAGTACCTATTCAACTCGATCAAGCAACCCAACCCCGGCGCGCCCGCCATATGAGTAGAAAGGGGGTTCCGCATACCCCGCTGAATGACATTTCACCGCACCATCTAAGGAGCAAAAACGACATCTAAACTGACATCTCGTTGATTCAATCTCATCTGATACCTCAGAACGGCGTTCTTGGGCAACAATCCATCATATACCCGATTCTTTATTTTTAATTATTTGTTCTGATCCTGTCCTCCTCGTTTCGGAAGGAGGCCCCCGTGCTTTCATGCCTTCAATTCTTGTGTATTGGCCTTGTGCCTCTTGTTTGTGCTATTTGGCCTGGGGCCCTCTCAGTGGAACCCCCCCCCAGCTCGAAGTCCAATCGTTGTGAATTTTGTGTGTTTGTCTTGATCTTGTACCATAGTCTTCACTGGCGTGACTTGTCCGCGTCTTCTGATCCCTTGGGCGGTGGATGTCATGTTACGGGGTGGATATGTACATAGCCCGCGCGAGATCGCGGTAATGACAATAGTAACTACTAGTACCTGCCAGTACCTAGCTACATACTATATATAGATCGGTATACACGTTGATTGACTCCATTTTGCCCGCAGGATGGGGGCCGTGAACACTCCGCGTGTCTACCAGTGTCACGTGGGATGAGGTGAGATGGCGATGATTGGCAAGGGATGTTGCCTAGCGACCTACTCTGGGCTACTATGTATCCCAGCCGCTGCCATCATTCGTGTAGATGGGCTCTCAGGGTGGCGATCTTGGGGGTGGTGATGCGTATGTGGGAGGGCCGGTGTCAGCTGAGGAAGGGGAAGGGGACTCCGGGGGTCGGTCTGTCTTAGAGTGGGCTGGTCCCGACTCCAGCGGCCCTGCAGCTGCGCAGCTGCCAGCCTGTTGCCTTCCCCGCAAGGCCAACAATCCCCGGGCGGGACAACGATAGTGCGGACCGCCGGGGCGGCAAACTGGCCAAACTCCCAAGGCCGCAAAGGCTAGACCGATGCTAGTGTCAACCCCAATTGGAGTCTCCAGTTCCCACTAGCGCTAGCCAGTCAACACTAAACCCCCCCCCCGCTTTCTTTTTCGCTGCTGCTTCTCACCCACCCAGCCCGTCTGCTGCTCTGTTTTCCCCCGAAGGAAGGAAAGGCTGAACGCCCGCTGGTCGCTGGTGAAAGCCTGGCCCTCTCGCTCTCGCTCCCTCTCAGTCCCTCTCCTTTTTGGGCCTCTTCTTGCCCTCCTCCTCGGCCTCCCTTCCTTTCCCTCCCCTTCCCTTCCCTTCCCCTCTCCCTCAGTCCCTCTCCCTTTCTTCCCCAGATATCGGTCTTCGGCCCTAGTCGATTTTAGCTCGCTTCGGGGCTAGTCTCACTGGCCGACCTTCGACTGCCTTCGCACTTGCTTCCTCCACCCTTCCCAGTGTCTATTATTATTGGTTCCCTACAAAGTCCTTTCGGATGCTGCAGCTCAACCGTCTACGGTACCCTCCGGTATGCGATCCCGCACAGGCTGGTACGTTCAAAAATCAACCCCCCCCCCTTACAAATTATCGTCAACCCGTCTACAATCCCTGTCTCCAACCTTCTCGCGATCCTGCTTTTCATCCTTGCTGTGCCCAAGAGATCGAGAGGCTGACTTCCCGCCTCCGTGGCCCAACCACCGCAGCCTGACGTGTCGCACTCGTAAACTCAAATGTAAGTCCACTACAACCTTGGCTTACGATGCCCTCCGCTGCGATGGCGCAGAAGGCTAAACAAAGTGACCGGGCTAGGTGACGAGCAAAAGCCGGAGTGTTCTCAGTGTCGCAAGGGTGGGAGAGAGTGCCGTCCCAGCGAGGGGATCGTATTCCGCCACCAGCAGAATGCCTCGATGAACAAGGACCTGGAGGGTGCCTCCACTGGGCGCGGCAGCTTGAAAGGCTTTTACTCGTATAAAAACACCTTCGACAAGGATAGTGTGTGGTTGGATATTCCCAAACATGGTACGGACCAGGGGATGCTTTCGGTTCGAGGTTTTCGGCAGATGGTCTGACAGGTCTCCCTGCCTTTGTTCTAGTCATCTTCGTCGACAACTCCGATCCCTACGCGGAAGACCTAGAAGCCGCCCTAGGAGAGTCAGAAGCAGCCATTCTGGCCGCAAATTCCCAAACTCGCGCCTGGAGTGCCCATCGCACATTGTCTGCTGACGGGGAAACGCATGGCTTAGAAGCTCTCTCAACCGTGGCTGCTCACGATCGCCTTTCCTACCCTTCCGTGAGCATCGACCACCCATCCATCTCACCGACAGATAACAGCGCACCGTTCAGCAACGTCCCGCCCCCGTTATCGTCCGGTTCCTCTCCGACTCAGATCCGCGGCACTATCGCACCGCTGGTCTCTCCTCCTCTTTCGATTACTTCCACCAATAACCATAATAATAATATCAACTTCCTTCTCAATCCTTCTCAATCTCGGTCACCGCCCGTGGACCCCCATATTCAACACGCCCCACAACGTAGGAGCTCCTCCTTGACTTCCAGGACAGCAGCGCCGCGAACGACATCCTCGGATGCAAAGCCGGATGTGTCGCCCGAAACAGACCGTGAGGTTGCGTACCTCCTGAGGCATTTCTCCGAGGTTCCAGGGCTCTGGTAAGTTATGGAAGCGCATCGCATTATCCTTCAGCTCACAGTTGACCCTGGTAGGATGGATCTCTTCGATCTGGGGACATATTTCGCCTCATACGTCCCTGTCCGGGCGCTCCGGAATCCGTTGTTGAAGTATGCCGCCTGTGCATACGCTGCGAAGCAGCTGGGTCGCGTTCGAGGGGGGAAGGTATCTACCGGCGGGGTCTATACAAGACAAGATGCAAACAACGTAGACTGGAGCTGGCGTGGCGCCAAGTATTATGAAAAGGCGATCCAGCTTCTGATGAAAGAGCTGCAGCCGGATAAAGGGCCTCCGCCATTAAGTACTCCCGAGGCATTTGGCCAATGGCAGGCCGCTGAACTCTGCGAGGATAACGAGAACCCACGCAAACGGAGGAGGCGCTATTCCGATAGTCGATTCTCGAAGGGGCTCCATTCGGATGAAATCCTTGCCGCAACGGCCATATTGTCTGTATATGAGTTCCTGGATGCCACCGGACCGGCGTGGAATCGGCATTTGAGCGGGGTGAAATCTTTGTTGGACGTTGCTGAGGTGGGGATGATGCCAGTTGAGCAACGCCCGTCTCCGGGAGGAACCTCGCTCCAACAGCCGAAACTGTCGGGACTGTCGAAAGCGAGAAGGGCGACCTTTTGGAACTTTGCCCGACAAGACTACCTGGCGGCCTGTAAGTTGATACCGGTAAAGAGATCATCATCTCGGCCATATTGCTAACACGGGCTGCAGTTATCAATGAGAGCCAAACGAGATTGAATACCGACGACCTGGTGTTGTGGACTGAGGCCGGACTTCATATTGACAATATGGGCTTCCCTAGCAGTACGGGCACAGCTGGGTACCTTGACAGCGAAGAAGCCCCTAAGGAAGACCTGATATCGAATGCCCTGGTCTGGATCCTGTCAAAGATCGTCAATTTTATCAGCGCTGGGGATAACATCCAGCTGGGCCATCCAGGGTCTATGGATGCGAGTACCTTGGGCCTGTCACAGCAGGTGTTACTGGAGCGGTGGTACCGGCTGGAGGCTGAGCTTGATGTGTGGCATAACGGGCTTCCCATGACGTTCCAGCCCTGTGCACGAGTGGAACTGTGCAAACTGCCGCACAATAAGGACAGCAAGACCTTTGACGCTGGCACGCTGTCCGAGATCTGGTTTAGCCTACCTATGTGCTCGTCCGCCATGCAACATTATCACATGGCTCGTATCCTTCTCCTGATAAATAAGCCACATGAGTCGACTAGCAGACGAAGTACCATCACGGACCGCCTCAATTCGTATCGCTCGATTGAGAGCGATATCCGGTCCCATAGCCGGGAGATCGTGGGGATCGCCCTGGCCTGTCCGAACGGCTCCGTCCGCATCAACTCTCTCCAGCCGCTGTTTGTCAGCGGCCAGTGCCTGAACGAGCCGGGGGAGCGACGGACCGTTCTGCAGCTGTTGCGAGGAATAGAGGCCGATTTGGGCTGGGCGACGGAGTACCGCGTAAATCAATTGCTCCGAGAATGGGGCTGGAACGAGAACCCTGTGGAGATGGGCGTCTCGTGATTCCGCGATATAGGCAGCACCAATGATTTTGCATACTGGTCTCTTCATGCCCGCTGAGGGTCTTGGAGCGCACCCAGACATCTTTGCTCCTGGCCTTGCGATGCTCGCTTGACTTCCGCGGACGCCATTGAGGATCGATCCATTTTCCAGATCAGGAACGGCACCGATACTCCCTGCCGCCTCGACCAGCGTCCTCGGCGTCTGAAGCAAATCCTCACTGACGACCATCTTGTCGGACCCGTGTCGGTCAACATCGACTTGAATGGTTCATACACACGTGCATCTGCCTGAGAGTCAGCTTGTCGCTTACTGAATGATACCAATCTGTTCATGCTTGTTTTTCAAAAACCGCAGGAGGGGGGAGGGGAAAAGTCACGAAGGGGACGGCGAGCGGGGAGGATCTAGGATCGATTTCGATCATACCTTGGGTCGGTTTTCTTCAGTCCATGCATGTAGTGGGCGATAGGCGATGTTCCTGACTTCCTTTTCCGTATGTTTCCGCATAGGCGACGGCGCACAATAGCAAATGCATTGAGGGCGATGTCCCAACGAGACCATAGACCACCGCACAGGCGTACAGTCGGGCAGGAAGACGAGGAGGAGATCCAGCCCCTTAGATAGTGGGCAGCCTCGAAAATTGCGCCCTGAACCGGATTGATTCGTCCTCAGGCACTCGGCTGAGTTGCCTGGCGGTTCTGCAAGTTCGGGATGCACGTGCCGCCATGACGATCTACTTCAGACTAAGTCAAGGACCACTGCAAATATTTAATTAAGGATGTGCTTACTGCTACTAACTAGTTACCTATCTAACAGTTAGGTAAGTTGTTCCCTTCCCCGGCCTAGTCCCCGTCCATCTGCATCCCAGCCTAAATGCTTGCTAACTGTATCTAACGCTTGCTTGCTACTGTGGTCCTAAAGCAGCACCGTCTTTCCTGTTGCACTGTTGCCCTCTAATGATCGCCGCCGTGGATACTGGATGGGATCCTGGATAAGTGGATACTTACACCTAACTGAACGGAAGGTTATCCGACCAACCAATTCAATTCAATCCAATCCCATCCCATCCCATCCCATCTGCCTGACTGCCCCGCGCTGCTGCGATCGATGCAATTCCACCAGCCTTTCTTCAATCTCCAGCCTGTCTGCAGAGTTTGGACTTCGGAGTGCAGACATCATCGTTGTTAGATTGGGATCTTCGGCCTTTTTTCCCTGCTTTTTCTTCACTTCACTTCCCCGTTTTTGTCTGCGCCCAGTGCCCACTGCTGCCTTGGACTTGCCCTGTGCTTCCTCTGTGGGATGTGATGATTGATTGATTGACTGACTGACCGACCGGATTACTGTTCTCCATGGGGAAGGGAAGTAGTTAGGTTGGTTGCTTACCTGCCTACCTATGTACTCACTTGGTTAGGCTGGTTTCTACTTATCACTAAGGGAGTTTCTGGTCTGGGATCTCTATCTTTATGTATCTACCTATGCTTTGGAGATGCTCTACTGTAGTTGTTATATGGGGTGGGTAGTACGGAGTACTTACTGTGTGGTATGGTATATTGTGGATTCTGGATTGTAAATTGTGGAGTATAACCACCCCATAATAATATATGTCCGCCGTGCTCAGTATGTATAGTATGTATGGATGCAGGCAAGTGTTCCGATTATTCGCTTGGTGGGTTGGTTTTGGTTTCGATTTTCATTTGACATGTCTCGATTCTTCAGGCCTCAAAACTTGGCTGCCTTGGCTTGCTTGTCTTGTTTAGTTTGTGTTGTAGTTCGGACTGTCTGCATGCTGACACACCTGCTGTAGTTAGTTAGTCTGTGCGGTTATAGCTTATATTAATTATATGATGATGACGATGATGATGATGTGATAAGGTGACAATAGCTGCAATCTGCAAATAAACAAATAAATGAATGAACGATTAACCCTGGACGGATGGTCGGACGGATGCATCAGATATATCTACTAGGTACTGTGGTATCCCTGGATTCTGGATTCTGGATTCTGGATTCTGGATATCTAACTCTGCCTGTTTACTCTGGTCTGGGCTAATCTAAATCCGATATTCCTACCTTAAAATATCAGCTAGCAAGTTCAGTTCTGTACCTTATTTTTAATTTAGAATGGAAGAACAGTGCAGCAGTGGGAACGGCGAACGGGGAACAGGGAACAGGATGGCGAGTACAACTTTGCACATCGGGTACGTCGTTGTCTGAGATAATGAAAGACATGGATTAGCATGGGTGAGGCGTGTGGGAGGTGAATCTGCGGGGCGTCCGTACCTGCCTAGCTTGTAAACAGGTAGGTAAGTACTAACTAGTTACGGAGTACGGAGTACCTGCTTAATACTTATCTAGGTCCTGAGACGCGGGATGGAACTGCATATGATGTGATATATCAGTGAACAGGTTCGGTCTGGTTGGCTCTGTTGGGTGTTGGGCTGTGGGGAATGAGAGTGGATGGGGTACCTAACTACCTACTATGGGGTTCGTGACTGTGGCCGGAGTGGACCGATGGTGCCTTGCTTTATCGAGTCGATAGATGACGTTCTGACGTTCTGACTGATTGACTGACTGGTCTGATGGGTTGGTTGCACTTCATTTGGGTTTGAGATCGCGTCTGGAGTGTTGTGTGATGGTCTTGTTTGGGAATTGGGGTAGAGGATATCCGTCTTTTCTTGGGTTGAGGTGTATTTCTTGCTTGCTTAATTATGGACTAGTTGCTTTTTTTCTCCCCCGAACTTGGAGAAGACTTGGAATTGCCTACTACAGACTGTGTGCTGGGGTTGCTCGGTGGGGGTGGTGGTGGTGGGACTAGCTGTGTGAACTCGTACATTGCATCGCGACACGAATGATATATGAAGCTAATTTGGGTTACTGTCTACGCCGGAGGGTGCCTGGAGTGTCGAGTCGAAGTACCGATAAGTTCTCTGGTCTAATATATACAAGAATATGAATATAAGATGCAGTAGGGGGTTGTGGTTCAGCGGTTCCGAAGCCGCTTCGACATCCTCCTCGTGCTTGAGGCCTGCACAACAGTAGGCTTCGTATCCACTTTCTCCTCATCATCCTCGGTCTTCACCTCGTCCTCCGTAAAGGATCTCTTCAAGGGCACTGCCATCGTGACCTTCGTTTCGACTTCGACATCCTCCTCCTTGACCCGAATATCCTCCCCCTTGACTTCGACATCCTCCTTCACCTTGACTTTCACCTTCGTAGCAGCCAACCGATCCGAAAACGTCTTCAAATCCGCCGTGAAAAGCACACTATGCGCCCACCCCGCCTCCTTCCCCCAAAGCTTGCGGAAATGGTTCCCTACCGCATCATACGTAGCCTTTGTAAGGGACTTGTGCGAGCCTTTCCCGAACTTATAATCCCGTTGAGCGATTTGCCAAACTAGAACCCGGTCAGCCACCAAACAGCAAACAGAGGAGAAATCAAACCAACCATGCGTATCAACCGGCACCGCCTCCCCCCAACCCAGCCCCATCAAACACACACAATCCGCAACCTTAGGCCCGACCCCCTGCAGCTCCAGCAACTTCTCATGCGCCTCGCGATACCCCTCCCTCCCCTCGGGCCTCATCTCTCCACCGCCCGCCGCCTCCGTCCCCCAAGCCGGACTCTCCGGATTCCGCAGCGAATCCAACCACCCCTGCTCCCGCTCCTTGGCCACCATCACCGCCGTCTGGTAGATATACTTTGCGCGGTACCCGAACCCCAAGCTCCGCAGCTTCCCTTCCACGTCATCCGCCGTGAGGGCCTCCGGGGCCGGGAAACCGTGGTAGGCGCGCCCGCCAATGGAGGCGACATGCGGGCCGTAGTTGAGACACAGCTTCTCGACCATCTGCGAGATGCGCGCGATGTTGTTGTTGCTGCTGCAGATGAAGGAGACCAGGGCCTCCCAGGCATCCTGGCGCAGGATGCGGATGCCCGTGAACTGGGGGGCTTTTTTACGGAAATTGGGGTCGTTGGCGGACCATTCGGTGTAGAGGGTTGTGAGGTTGGCGGAGAGGTTGAAGTAATTGGTTAGGAGGGAGGTGATGGTTGTGGTGGTGGTGTCATCTTCATTCTTATTGTTGCCATTAGGGGAGGAGGGCGATTTTGATGGGCGATAGGTACGGTAGTAGAGATCATTGGGGTCTTGTCGGAGGGAGAGAAGACGACCGTGAATTACACAACGCCATTCATCACTGTCTGGGACATTGTGCCATCTGGGTGGTAAAGCACTGGTTAGATTGGTGGGTGTCCTGGATAGAGAGTATCGGGGTGGGTACGTGCGGTTACCGGAAGGATTGACCACAGCGTAACGTGGTGTTGATGCACAACTCATTGAGGCTCACGGGCAGCTTGCGCCATTCGGAGAAGGCGCCGACGGTCATGATTTCAACGGAATCTCAGGCAGCCTGGTCTGGTGCGACTGGGGTGAGTGGCGTCACTGGGAAGAGCGAGCGACAAGCACCAAAAGATTCTGCCGGGTCCCGGCCCGACACAGCAGGCGGTCAGGACGGCTGCTGCTCTCGCCGATCGTCACCTGCGAGTTTTCCCTCCAGCGCAGCTCCAACTTTCTCCCCAGTCCACCCTGCCTCCATCGTGACGGTGTCATCGCGGTTGCCCTACGGAGAGTCTGATCGTACTGGATCTCGCTCCCATTTTTGTCTGCTACCCTTCCGTTTCACCCGTCGAAACGGCTTACATCGAGCAAACGCTGCCCTGCCGGAGCTCTCACAATGAACGGCGATACCTACTCGTCCAGAGGTGAACCTTCCTCCCGCCTGTCGTCGGATCGGATGTCTAACAGGCGCGGCGCAGATGGTGGTCGCTCCCGGGACTACTACGTGAGTGATACGTGAAACAGTGCCTTACTGATCTGCTTCTAACGGTCTTTCAACGTACAGCGCGAGGAGCGCCGCGAGCGCGCAGACCGCGGAGATCGCGGTGACAGAGGTGACAGAGCCGACAGAGGCGAGAGGAGACGGTCGAGGTCTCCCCACTTTAGCTCCAGAGGTTCCCGGCGTGATTTCGAGGTAGATTCGTACTCCACTAGCCGCGACTACCGTGCCAGAGAACGGGAGGACCGCTATTCCAGCCGCAGAGACGACCGGGAATGGGACCGGGATCGTGGCGACCGCCGACGCAGAGACTTTGAGGACCGACCCGCGCGTCGCGAGAGAGGAGACAGAGATTTGTTTGAAGAGAGACCCCGGCGGGAAGGCAGAGGAGACCGCGGCGAGCGCCCCGAGCGACCTGAGCGGGCTGAACGTGGTGAACGCCCTGAGCGCGGCGAGCGTGGTGGTGAGCGCGGAGGTGATCGCGGTGGTGACCGTGGCGAGAGAAGGGAGCGGAGACGGAGCGCGTCGCCTCCTCGCAAGAGAGAGCCCACCCCCGATCTGACAGATATTCCTTCGGTGTTGACTCGGAAACGTCGCCTGACGCAGTGGGATATCAAGCCCCCGGGCTACGAGAATGTCACTGCTGAGCAGGCCAAGCTGTCAGGTGAGAATTTGTGATTGACTATTGTTATTGACATGCGTGGACTAATGCAGTTATGCAGGCATGTTCCCCCTCCCCGGAGCGCCCCGACAGCAGCCCATGGACCCCAGTCGCCTCCAGGCTTTCATGAACCAGCCCGCTGGCGGGAACGCGGACACCTCCACCCTCAAGCCTGCCAACTCTCGCCAGTCCAAGCGCCTGTTCGTCTACAACATCCCCCAGAGTGTCACGGGAGACGCTCTCCAGGCCTTCTTCAACATCCAGATTAACGGCCTCAATGTCGTTGAGAATGTGGACTCCTGTATCTCGGCCCAGGTGTCCGACGACCACTCCTTCGCGCTCCTCGAGTTCAAGTCGCCCAACGATGCCACGGTGGCGCTTGCGTTTGATGGAATTACAATGGATGAGCATGAGGCCACCGCTGACGCCGCCGCCAATGGTGCGGCCCAGGGCTTGGAAGTGCGGCGACCCAAGGATTACATCGTGCCTGGCGCTGTGGAGCAGGAATACCAGGAGGGTGTGTTGCTGAACGAGGTTCCCGATTCCCCCAACAAGATCTGCGTGTCGAATATCCCGCACTACATCCCGGAGGAGCCCGTCACCATGCTTCTGAAGTCGTTCGGAGAACTGAAGTCGTTTGTCTTGGTGAAGGACGGTTCCACGGAGGAGTCGAGGGTAAGTGGTCGATGTTTTGTGCATGGCATGCGCTAACATGGTCCAGGGTATTGCGTTCTGCGAGTATGCGGATCCCTCGGCCACGAGCATCGCTGTGGAGGGACTGAACGGCATGGAGCTGGGCGACCGACACCTGAAGGTTGTGCGCGCCAGTATCGGCATGACGCAGGCGTCCGGCCTGGACATGGGCGTCAATGCGATGTCGATGTTCGCCAAGACAACGTCCCAGGACTTGGAGACCAGCCGCGTGCTGCAGTTGCTGAACATGGTGACGCCCGAGGAGCTGATGGACGGGGAGGACTACGAGGGTATGTCTTATACTAGATGAACCAGCTGATATGAACACATACTGACGATGACAGAAATCTGCGACGACGTGCACGAGGAGTGCTCCAAGTACGGCAAGGTGGTGGAGGTGAAGGTGCCTCGCCCGTCAGGCGGCAGCCGCCAGTCGCCGGGTGTGGGCAAGATCTTCGTCAAGTTCGACACGGTGGAATCGGCGACGAATGCACTGAAGGCGCTTGCGGGCAGAAAATTTTCGGACCGCACTGTGGTGACGACCTACTTTTCGGAGGTGAGTTCTCTTTCTTTTTTCCACCAATCTTTCTGGCGGCATTCTAACCAGTGGTAGGAAAACTTCGACGTCAGCGCCTGGTAGTGTAGGACGGACATAAAACAAACCTTTTCCTATCTGTTGCTGTTTTGTTCAATACTTCACGATGCGTAATTGATTCCGTGGTCTAGCCCGGGGCAGGCGATGCACAATCTGTAACGGGGAAGAGTTGGGATTCTAAGATCCGAGGAATGAGGATTGAGGTTTTGAGGAAGGTTGAGAAATCTTTCGACTGGGTTACGATGTATCATAGCGAGAAATTTTGCTTGGATCAGATTGAGTAGATTACCCCGATTACCCTAGATTTGCTAGCGCTCTGGGTTAGAAGTGATAGAGGAGTACGAGTACCGCAGCTGGTCTGTCTCGTAGATTAGACAGACACCCACATGCAAGTAACCTGCCTCGGGGACTCTCGGGGACTCCGATGGGATGGGATCTTCAATCAACATGTCGATCTAGAATCTACATCGCCTCGGTATCACACACCATCACACCACCACCACCCTCCACTCCCCTCCACAACAAGGGTGTTGCTCAAACGGCCAAGTCGACCCCACAGAAACCCCGCAGGTTTATACCCCGAACTGTGATTGTGTATCACTCACTGTATTCTCATGTACTGTTATATAGTAGTAGTTATTGGGAACTCACGGGTTGGTGGCTCTTGACTAATATGATCCTGCTCTTGAGGGATCGTGGATGGTGAGTTGGCGAGTTAATTGTACGACATTGACATAATGAAAGAGAGATAGTTAGACGGATCAAGGAGGCAGGGGCATGCCGTCGGTGCGTGTCTCTTGTACGACCTTCAACCTTCAGCACTAAACATCTAAGTTACGGAGTACTCCGTAGATATCTGCCTTCAAATCTCCAGGTGGTATGTTGTAGATAGTACTCCGTCATTGGTGGTGGTAGTCTTATAATGATGATGATGATGCAATTGTACTACCTACCTACCTGTAGTAGTACGCCCTGTATCTGAAAGAATCCATTACCAACTGTCTCGATAGGTCTACTACCCACTCCCTAGCAAGTACAGGTAGGTATATAGGTAGGTAGCACAACCCCTCAACCCATCCCACATATACTAAACAGAATATCTCTGCGCCCCTGTCCCCCGCCGTAATTATCTATCCACATGGGTAAGCAAGTCCTTAGGCGGAATCATATAGTCCGGTCTAGCCCTAAGCCTCTTTCTTCCCTTCCCTTCGCTTCCTTCCCCTTCCCAATCTAGGTACCCTACCGAGGACCGGACCGACGTGCAGCTGCGTGCCGGTGCAGGTGCATGCTTACCACTAAGTACTACTACTACTACTACTACTACTACTACTACTACTACTACTACTACTACTACTACTACTACTACTTTACTGACGTAGTACCACTTACAGAGTACATTTACCTACTAGTACATACCTACCTACCTATCTACCTATTTGCCCATCCAAACACAGAATACAAGCGAAAGAAAACCCGTCGCGGAGCTAAAGAAATTAGTGTCCGTGCGCGCCGAAATGCCATGCGATGCGATGCGATGCGATGGTACTCTGTAGTGCTAGTGGCAGTGGCAGTGGCATTGGTACCATTACCCCGGTCCCCACCTATAATAGGTGGACTGGACTGGACTGGTCTCTGGTCTCTGGTCTCTGGTCTCGACGGAGTAATCCCCTCCAACCGAACCGACAGTATGTAGATTGTGTCCGTCTGTGTGTCTGTCTGTCTATAGCTTGGCTTGGGATGTGATGTTAGATGCTTAGCTGTAGCTGTAGCTATACCCACACCCACACCCACCTATCTGAGTATTTATTTTGGATTCTATGGGGGATTTATTATTCTATTTATCAGGGAGAGTGGGAGAAAGAGGAAGGAGAAGAAGAAAGCGAAGAAGGAAGACAAGGATGGAGAGGAGAGGAGAGGAGAGAGAGAAGAGGACGGCGCAGATTACCCCTTTTCGGGTAGAAGAAGGAAGGAAGGAAGATATGGGACGGGGGACCCCGATGTGTGTAGTTATGTAAGAAAGTGTCTAGATCGATCTGAAGATCAGATGTGATATTGTAACTACTAACTCCGTACTCCGTACACAGCCTACCTAACATAACCTACCTAGACTAGATTATTTGCTACATAGGTTATATACGTATGTATAGTAGGTACCCCGTAGATGTAGCTTCTCTACATTCTAGACCAAGGGGGGAAAAAAAAGCCATGGGGTAAAACAAAACAAAATGAGTTCAATGTAACATGGAACTAGCAAGTACCTAAGCAAGCAGCTAGATCGTAAGCGAGAGCAAGTGTCGTGCCACTAGAATAAGTATTTAAGCGTCAGATCATAGCATGCGGGGATGTCGCTGTTTACAGTTTGGGGGTCCGCCGTTGTGGGCTTTGTTTAACTTATTAAGGTTTGCTGGTAGTAAGCACTTGTTCGACTACTGTATGTATTTCCCACAAGGAAATACACCTACTTACACACACACACACACACACACACACACTTTCCGATGGGATCATTGAAGATATTCATTCTATTGAATCAAATACATGGAGGGGTATATAGTAGTGTAGTAGAATCCGTACAGCCGTAACAAAACCATCGCTCTTGCGCCGAAGAAACCCCACCCGAAACACCAAGCCAGTAATCCAAGCCCAATCCCGCCCAGCCCGGCTGGGTTATTGCGATCCCGACGAGGAATGCCCCCTGGCGAACGTCGCCTCCGGATCCCATTCGCGTGCCGCGCCTTGCGACACATTGGGTGGCGGCTGTGGCGAGGAGAAACTCATCGATGGGCGCACGTAGCGAGCCTCGCGGCCGTAGCCCCCGTCGGGGGTCTTAGTTCCCAGGGTCCGTGCGGCGCTGGGGGTCCGGACTATCGGTTCCGGCTCCTTCATGTTGTAGGGGGGTAGCCCGCCGTTGTTGCTGAGCATTTCGTATGCGCGCGAGTCGGGGGTTCGTCGCGCGTCCACAGAAACGAATTCGCTGGGCTTACCCATGCGGGATTTGAAGAATTCCGCCCAGCCGATGAAGATGGATGGGCGTGCGAAGAGGACGAAGTTCCAGAAGCCGACCAGCGCGAGGAGGATGAGTACGGCGAGGAGGGTGGCTCGGTTGGGCACGATGGATTTGGCGAAGGTCAGGCACTCTTTTCGCTCGCCTTGTGTCAGAACGAGGCAGGCTAGCCACGGGGCGGCCCGGTCTGCGTTCGCGGTCGTGGGGGCCAGCTGGTTGTCCATGTTGATGAAGACAACGGCGAAGAAGATGACATTCCCGATTATGATCAGGACCAGGCTGACTCCGCGCCACTGGAGCTGGAGAACACGGCGGACCCGACGGTATGCTTGACGGGCGGTCATGGTTTTGACGCTGGAAGAGTAAGAGGGAATGCCCGAGCTGTTGGTCGTTGCCGCCTGGTCGAAGACAGATTTGACGTAGATGTAAATGCAGTACGCCATGGTGACCAGCTGCAGGATCAATGCGACGACGGCAAAAGCCATGACGGGGGCCCAGTAGTCATGGTTACTCTCGTGGATGTTGATATGACACACAGTACCGAACCGGTAGGACACCCCTGTGAGGATCAGCATCACGGCCAGCCCAATGACCGGGATGCCCCATCCGAGGACCAAAGCTGCCCACATGAATTTCTGACCAAGCACGACCTCCCAGCAGACTTGGAGGTGGAAAGCCAAGGTGCGGATGAAACCTGGGACGGTTAGCAATTACATGTCGCTATGCATGGGCAAACGTACTGAATACCACCGTCACCCAGCCTCCGAATAGAAGCATGGACCCGGTAAAGGCACAGGATAAGTCAGTGTGCATATCATTGGGTGTGATCTGGTTGTAGCATTGCTTAGGCTCTACCCCGAGAGGGATAATAAAAGCGACCTGGAACACGTTAGAAGGGTCAATTGATTCGTCATGGCCAGCCATCTCACCTCCATAAACAGGATCCCCAGCGTGAAGCAGATGCTCAGGTAATGACGATGCGTCCACTTCGCGGGAAGAACGGCGTATGATACAAGGAGGAATATACACAGAGGTAGTACTGCGACCCCGAGCCAGCTCGCGACCTTGGTTTGGGAGATCAACTCTATATGCGACAAAGCCATTAGCCTGTGTGGTTCCCACCAATGCGGCCGACATACCATCACCATACGTCCATGCTGCCAGCGGGCATGGTAGACAGCAGGAGACGTTCCCATGGGTGGTGGAAATGGCCTGGCAAAATCTTCCGTCGATGACTGCAAAGAAGCACGCGATCAGCCCCGTCAACGGCAACAAGCAGCGGAGGATAGCTTACATCCACCGTGAGATGGGAACAGGGTCTCCTGGAGAAACGGGGAGGGACAGAGCCCGGTCATTGTCTGGTTGGTCATGATTCTAGCTCACTGGCGTCCAGAGTCTTTGTGAATGCGCGGAGGGTGCGATTGGGAGAGCGGGAGGGTCATGTCCTTCGGAGAGGACGGATGGTAAGGGTTATCAGAAAACCGATCCCGGGTGGTACCCCGCGCAAGAGGCTGGTCGTGCGCGACGGAGAGACGGACCGAATATAGCCTGGATGGGAGGGGAGCGAAAAGCAGGTGGACGCGAGCGACATGGGGGGCAGGGAGATCAGATATAGTAGTACTAGATGCGATGTACCCTGGGAGGGCCACTCCGTTACTGTCTGGGTACTGATAGGCATTGGTTGGGGCAGCTCTGATCGAGTGATAGGAGGCCCGTCCACGCCATGCAGCAGAAACGCCATTGTTCGCGAGTCCGCCAGCGTGATTGGATTCTGGGACGAAACCTAGGAACCTGGGAACCTCGATGCTAAGGTTGGCACCAGGGGCACGCCGCGATGGTGGAGTCGCGCAACCCACCGAGTGGTTTCGTGCGACAAGGCCATTCTGGGAGAAGGTTCCATGCTCCGTCGGGGTTCCAATCGACTGGAGCTAGCAGTAGCACCGGGGACCAGGCGGAATTAGGAGAAGGCGAACGAGAGGAGGAGGAGTGGGAGTGGAAGTGTATGGAGACAGAGACTAGAGTACGAGGGCAGGAGAGGCGGCGGGGAATCAGATGCCAACGTCGCTGACTATGGGTCGCGCTAACCCGTTCGGGCCCATTGGCACAGCTGGGGGTTCGGCTGGATCGGGCAGTCCGGCCTGCTGATTGGCCACCGAAGTACCGATATTTACACACGCCGTATTGTCTCGGGGTGAAACTTACCAGAACCAGGCACACTGCAGGCCGTCCATCTTTTGGGAGGATCCCAAACAGACTGTCCCTTTGCCTTCCTACTCCGTACTATCTTTCGGCCTCGTGACCTTCGCATGCAGATTGCAGCCTCCCTGCACCGCCTAAGGCTCAGCGATTACAATCCTATTATGGCCGGCTAGTCGAATTCTCAATCTCGGGGGTCTCCCTGTTAATTACAGCCATTCTCCGGGGGCAATGGCACGGAGAAATCGAGCACCTATCGCCGTGTGATTCCGTGTTCCCAGGGGCCCCTAGTAAAGGCTTACCCGGCGCTGCAGTGCCAATCAACAGCACGAAGGGGATTTTCCTTTCGGATGGAAAAGGTCTGACGACTCGTGACGGGGCAAGTGACAGTAACCCCGTGCCTTACAGCCTCGGGTCCAGCCCGGCGTCGTATGCCTGCAGGGGAGACAATAGCGGACATGTACTAAACTGTACAGTGAGCGCACTGTACAGTGCACAGTATGATTGTATCGTGGCGATAGACTTTGCGCGGGGCCTGCCCTGGCCACTAAGCCCGAGAGGAAAGCGTCTCCAGCGACTAGATGGCTGATCCCTGTCGCTTTGATTTCGACGGGCTTCGCACGAGTGTCGCGCCGATTCCCCCGTGTTGTTGCTCAACTGCCATTATTCGGCTCCAAACGGACGATGGCCGCGGTGCGCGTCTCCTGACTCATGATTGGGACTTGTCTGTTTGTTGATTTTCCAATCCGCAGCCAGACTATGATTCTTCCAAAGTTCCAATGCTGATCGACCCCCCTGCGCGGTTGCTTCCAGAATCGGTGTGACCACTGGTCAGCTATGATGGTAACCTAAGTGTACACTGTACATTGACCAGACGCTAGTCGACCATATGTGCGCCGCAATAATAATATCGCAATGGCCACCGATTCGAAATCCACCACGCTCAAATCGAGATCCATTGCCCCGTTCGCCGTGCATGGACCATCGATGACCACACCGTCGTACCGTCCTACCGTCCCCCGTAATGCCCCTCCAGGCTCCATGTGCAGTTGCCTCCGAGTACGCATACGAAGCTGGACTGTCACTACTGACAGTAGTGCTCCTGTGTATCTAGACTATAGCCGCATGTCAGACCTAGCCAGGCCAAAGTTTACGACTCCCGGTATCCGTTGTGCCTGCATTTGCCGCGACGCCGATCGACATCGCAGTCGTCAACACCATCCATGGTTGACAATTGAGCCACGGGGAGTCTTGCTCCGGCTAGATAGCTCTAGGGCTCCCGCGCCGGCAACGGACTGCATCCACCAGGCTTAGTTCAAGGAGCTTTTGCGTGATTCAGTATGGATTGTCGGCTGCTAGCACGCTTCTTGTTGATATAGTGGGTGCAAATAAAAGGCCGATCCCTCGGCGGGAATACTATTATGCCATTGATGGTGAACCGTGAAGAATTGCGGGAAGTTGTTGAGAAGGAAAGTCCCATTCAAGCTTTGGGTAGGAACTCTGATCTGCCTCATCAGGCTATGTGGGCTGGGTAGGCTAGGTCTGCATTAACCCACAGAGGTTGCGACGCCATTTTGCTTCTTCCCACAATCCTATTGTGCAATGTCTCGAGCCTGGGCTGCAGTCGTCAGTGCAGAGCACGCAGATATAGACCGATAAGGACTGCATGCGAATGGGCGACGTAAACACACGTGGAGCCCTGCTATAAATGGCGACGACAGCTTGGAGATACACAGTCCCGAGTCGGTGTCGGCGACTGACCTTCCTGGTAGGGCCGGCGCGTCCTCCTCGGCTCTTCACGCCGTATTTAGTTTTTAGGTTGGCTTTTAGTCCAGGTCCGAGATTAAACGTCTCAACCGCACCTCTTCCGTGATTCCGTCATCCTCACAATTGCGCCGTGGATCCTCAGCAAATACGGGCGACCTTAACTTTGATTTTCTGGCCTACGTCAGTTCTGATACACGACAGACTCCATTGACGCCCGTCGTAGAACGTTCCATCAAAGTATATCTCGCCCTGCTCACCCTTTCCCCCTTTTACCCCTCTACCCCTGGACTGGACCCTGATTGGAACGCCCCTTTGCCTCTGCCGTGGCATCAACACCGCTGGTGCGGGACAGAGCACGGCTGGCAAGTCATGCGGAGGCTGCAGCCTGTACCAAGAATTGGATGCACTACTGGATCTGCACAGATGAGACAGAAGGAATTATGTATCTCGTCAAGTACCTTGGACGAAAACTCTGCATCCCAATCACCAGCGGTGATAACTTGCGATTGAGCATCTTCCTACTCGGGTATGACGGAGGACGGGTCAGAACAAGGCACGAGGATGCAAGCAAGAGTAAACTCCGTCCCGCTGCCGGCGGAGGTTTGCTTTTTCATGTCTGCTCTGCCTTGGAGGATCGATGGTACTTTTTATCTACCGACCCCCCCTCCACCCCTAGCCATACTTGGCTTCATGCAATCCCAAGCAGTAGGCTTACCTCCGACCCAGCCAAACAAAAGCTTAAGGGGAAAGGAGAGGAAACACAGGCCAGCTGCCAACTACATTCCCATCTGGATTTCCTTTGTCTCTGCAACTCGACAATTGTTGGTCGCCCGTATCGAAATCCCATGTCACCTGGTCGTATCAGTGCGGGTCAAGATACCCCTGGACCCATGAAGATGTGGTGGACTGGGACATTGCTGCACGGTCAATGCGCCACTGGACTGAATGGTGGGGGAATCAGCTTGCAGGGACTTCAACGTGCAACAACCCTCACGATGATGCGATAGCTGATGGCAGTCGGAAAACGCGCATCTGCAACCTGACAGGGCCGCTGCGTGCTCAGTCCCAGGATCCTTCTAGCTGCCGATCCTGTAGCGAGGGAGTATACTGTGCGGTCTGGACAATGACAGTCTTGCAAAAGGCAAACCCCAACACTAACAGCGCCGCGGGGTGGATGGAAGACCGGCCAATCAGTCCCCAGCAGGCGGCGCTGACAGTGACGAGCAGTGCCTGGAGTGCCTGGCGGGCGGCGGGATGGCGACCCGTGGAGATCATAGGCTCGTCGCGCCCTCGCCAACCTTGACCGGTCACTCGGCCTCCTCGATCGCACCTCGCTATCGGTCCCCTCTCCTGCCCTGCTATTGATCGGGGGTCGAATCGGACCGGATACGGGTTCAGCTTGCCCCTCTTTCCGCTCGCTCGTCGTCCATCTGATTTGGCGACTGCTGAGCTCAGACGCTACCCCGTCGCTGGAGGGTGTCAAATCACAGCCTGATAATCGCTTGTGTCGTCTAATTGCGGGCACAGGATGTCGCTCTGGTCTGGATTCCTGGCGTCGATACCACGGTTGGTCAGTCTAGACTCGCCCAGGCTCCATTTCTGTCTCACTCAGTTTACACGGTACGATGGGACAGGGAGCATGCCCGTACGAGGTACGAGAGCTTCTGGCTCGTTCTCCTCGTTTCTCTATCCTATAGAATGTGCGTCTTATGCCCAGGCAATAGGCTTACCCACTCACGATCCACAACTGGCGGCCACATCGAGACGAAGGCTTTCATCAACGGTTTATCCCTCGTCCTCAGCCCACAACTAGTTACATACTGGGATATGACACATCGCAACCCCACGTCCGCGAACACACCAATGATCCCCCGCCCGGCCATACGGCTGGGAAAAAGACGCAGATTAGGGCTCACATTGGGCATTTCCGTTGTTTCAAATTGGCATATGGCATGCTAGTCTAATTGCCGCAGCACGAGGCAAACCGCCCAGCACAGCTTGTTCGCATCAAACACCGAGTCTGTCGGCTGTGGTTCTCCTGCACGTCCATGCAGCTAGGAGTTGAAAATTTTGGACGAGTAGAGATGATTTCCGAGTTTCGGATAAGGTCCTGCAGACTCCATCGATCCTTCATATGTTGGTACCTGGGGCTGACGGCCATCATGAAGATGCATCTCTAGGTGCATTTCTGTCAAAATGCTTGTGTTTGAGGAGCGGTGTGATGTGCCTGCATTGCCTGACCAATGTCATTTTCCAGAGGGTATTGTTGTTATCGCTGCCTGCGAGTGACTCATCGCGAGCTGAAGGCTGTGGTTGATGCTGCATAGGCTGTGGATTTGTTTTGCAGGCTGTCTTCCGGCCGAGTTTGCGGGTTGGGGGTTGCAAGCATGTCCTGTCAGGAGTTGGCTGGAAAGGCTGATGAGCTCCTCAGACAGAAGCGTAGCATTGTACATCCGTAGCATGTAATTGGCACCAGCCTTCAGGTTGCGCCTAGAGGACGAGGATAGTGATCATATACGAAGTACGCGAGGATAACTCCTGGCGACATGGAGCAGTCACGCAATCGAGAACGGTATACAGCAACACTACGTCGTAGACAAAGAATCGTATAGCATATCGGGCATAAAATCTTCTTCATTTGTTTCTATAATCAAATCCGGGAACCCCATTTCGGAAACCATTTCCAGCGCAGGACTCAGCGGTATCCTCGTTCGCAGTGCGAATCAAAAGCCTATCCAGAATGCGAGTCAGTATCACATGCCACACTCCCATGAATAACAACAGATGTATGTGAAGTTGGTATCAGAAGTCCATTTAGATCATCGAGACGGACCGAAGCCCGGCTCTGACATAAGAGGTACCAGAAAATAAAGTAAAGAAAGGTGTGTTTCATCATTTAAACCAGGGGGTAGGGAATAGGGAGTGAGAACTGACCGGAATATGTAGCCTGTGAGCAAGATGTAGCTGTAGCTGTAGTTGAGCTGCAGCTATAGCTGTTAATAATAAGTCGAAAATGCAGATATCAACAAGAGCATCAAAAACTCTGTCTAGCAAAGCAATGCAGTACTGCCAAATGAAAAACCTCGAGAAAAAAAATCCGTTTAAAAACCCGCCCCGGACGAAAAAATAAGCGAACCCCGAGCGTCACCTGACCGACCCCACCCACACAACGAAACCCAATCGCCCAATCCCGCGCGAGAAAAAAAGGAAAGAGAAAGAAACACGTGACCCACGACCAGGGCGGGCGGTTCGCAAAAACCAACCAAGCCATCGAAACAATTTCTACTCTTCCTCCCCGACCAACGCCGACCGTCGACCAGAACAACACCACCGTCCCTCGACAACCACCACCTCAAACAAATCAAAATGGGTCGTCTTCACTCCAAGGGAAAGGGCATTGCGTCCTCCGCTCTCCCCTACTCTCGCACTCCCCCGACCTGGTTCAAGGCCTCCACCGACCAGGTTGTTGACCAGATCTGCAAGCTCGCCAAGAAGGGTGCTACCCCCTCCCAGATCGGTGTTGTTCTCCGTGACTCCCACGGTGTTGCCCAGGTCAAGACTGTCACTGGTACGTTTTATTCTCGATGTCTGGATTGGAGGGTTGGATGGTTGCTAATAACGGAAATAGGTAACAAGATCCTCCGTATCTTGAAGTCCAACGGTACGACATTACCACCACCACCAATCCCTTTCGTAGTTGCACCGGCTGCGTGAAGTGTTCGGTTGCAGGGACGGGAAGGAGAGAACGAGAGCACCGGGACGCGGATTGGAATATATCCGGCGAATTGAGCGATCGATTCGTGTCGATGCGATGTGCAAATTCTGATTCCGATGCATGGATGGATGAGTGCTTGGATGCATGGGTACAAGATGGCCGAGGTTGAAACATACCCGGATCGGACCGTCTTTATGGGACCTTCATCAGCTTCGTCGTCACCATCGGTATCATCGGCTAGGCCGCAGATTTGTTTCATATCCATCCATCGACATCGACATCGCTATCGCAGCACTCCCACGCTCTCCTCTCACCCTCGCATCTCAACCCGGCACAACACAAAACCCGGAGGGGCTGAAACTGGAACTGGATTCCTTCGCGGAAACGCAAGAGCCAGTTTCTTTTTCTTTTCACCACCCCGTATGCCTCTGCTTGGTCATTCACAGGCTGACAGAGTGATCTTAACAGGTCTCGCCCCCGAGCTCCCCGAGGACCTGTACCACCTCATCAAGAAGGTAAGAATGCCCCTCCCAACCCCCAGATTTCTCTGTGAATTTATTCTAATGACGATATCCAGGCCGTCGCCGTCCGCAAGCACCTCGAGCGCAACCGCAAGGACAAGGACTCCAAGTTCCGCCTGATTCTCATCGAGTCCCGTATCCACCGTCTGTCCCGCTACTACAAGTCCGTCGGTGTCCTCCCCCCCACCTGGCGTTACGAGTCCGCCACCGCCTCCACCCTGGTTGCTTAGACGTGACGCGCAGTGCCACGAGCGAAAGCTCGAGTTCTGTGTCTGTTTGTCTGGTTCGACGGGCGTGGCCGTGGGCTCCTCGACTGTCGTCGTGCTGTTGGCCTGGGTCATGGCGTAGCTGCAGCCTGGAAGGGTTGCCGTCTGCCCATGTCTCCGCTGTTGCAGGGCGATGGGAGGGGAATAAAAATAAAATTTTACGATAATTTATGTTCATGGTGTAATCTTGTAGATCATGTAGCGTAGTGTAGTGTAGTTGTTTATGAGTGATCGGGATGGGGTTGTATGTGTGTGAGTGTGTCTTGTCACCAGTCACTTATGGACATCGTCTGCTGTGCACATCTATCTATATACTCTAACTAACCTTCCCATCTACATATACCCTGTTATGTATGCACTCCACTCCGTCCACACACCACCCTAACCCAAGCAGATATACAAACAGAAGATCATCTATGTACCCCACACTCTATCCATATACACCCCTCACTCAACCCACCCAAACCCAGTCATATACAAAGCCCTAAGACAAGACCAGATCGAATCGGATCAGATCAGATCAAATCAAACCACCCCCTCCCTCCCTCCTCACCTCCCCCGCAACCGCATTACACAACTCAACCCTCACCCCGGCAGCCACCAAAATATGAATCCACAGTCGTTGCGTATCACTCAACCGATCCCTCTCCGACTTGACCTCCACGAACATCACCTCGCCTTTCCCTTCCCCATTCCCCTTCCCATCCTCCTCTCCACCGCCATCCTCCCCCTCAGATTCCCCATCACCCCCTTTATACTTCCAAACCAACAAATCGGGCACCCCGCCACCCCGTTGCGCATACTCCTGCGCGAGCACCTTACAAACCGCCGCGAGCGCCTCACCTCGAAAACATCTCACGACCTCCACCAGATCCTGCAGCTCAAAGGACCAATCCAATCCAATGGCGCAGGTCTGGGCGGGAGATTCGCGCGCGTGGACGTCGCGGATGATGCGCTCGGCGGCGCCGTTGGTGATTTCGACCAATCGGTGGTTGATCTCCGAGGCGCGGGTCGGGTAGAAGGCATCGGTGTGCAGATCGAGCGGGCAGGTTTGGTAGGGCGTTTGGAAGACGTTGGGGACGTAGGTGAAGAGGATGTCGTAGAAGAGGTAGGTGAACTATTTATTTTTATAAAAAAGAGACTGGGTTAGTTTGGCTGTTTGGAGGGGGGTGGGGGAAGGGGAAGAGGGAGGGAAGAGGGAGGGGAGGGGATGTACAAGTGTCTTGATGATTCCTCCTTCGGAGTGGTATCCCTTCCAGCCTTGGTCTCGGTACCAGTTCAGACACATAGATTCGACACGACATTCGCCGCCTTCGCGGTCGTCGACCCAGATGGTGGGACGGCCGCGACGGGAGAGGTTGTCTGCCGGGGAGAGGCCATCCCGCTCGATCTGGATGCCTGTGATAGTGCGCTCGTGGGGCTTGGAGAGCATGACGTGGCCGAAGTCGTGCTGCTCTCGTTTGACGACTCTAAGGGCTCTTTCGAGCTTGGTGATCCGTTTCTGGAGGTCGTAGTGGTAGATGAGGTGGCAGTTTGGGTCCTCGAGGCCCGTCTCGCAGGTTCGGAGGGCGGTGCGGCGCCAGTGCTTTCTCTGGGCTTCTTCGTTGCGGCCGTCGTGGGGTTGGAGAGCCCACATGTAGTGCTCTTCCAGCAGGGCTTTGCGCTGGTACCATGCGCCGCGGCGAGCGGCGTGGAAGAGCCGTTGATCGAGGAGTTCGCAGAGCAGTCTGTGTTCCTCTTCGTGTTCTTTGAAGCGCCCGAGTGGGTGCAGACCCTTGTGGATGATTCGCGTGTAGACCCAGGCGGGGGAGAATCGGCGCAGGTAGGCGCCTTCGCCGCATTCGTAGATGGTGTCTTCCTTGCGTTGTTCCTGCTGCAAGAGAGCTTTCCAGCGGGGGTAGACTTTATATGCGAGGTCTTTGATCTGCGTTAGGAGTTCGACGGTGGGCGTGCCGTTGAATTCCAGCATGTTGTCGATTTCGTACTGGGTTCGTAGGGCGGATTCGAACTCGAGTAACATCCCTCTGGAGGAGAAGATCGAGTTGGATCGACAGACCACGTATTCGGGAAAGGTTCTGCGGGAGATCTTTGCGAGGATGATGGTGGTGAGGGACTTCTCTGTCCATTCTGTGGATCTGTAGAAGACAAGATGGACTCGTTCGAACAGGGCACGCGGTCCGGACGCAAGTCGGATGCAGTCTCCGGTATAGTCGAGGATCTTCTGTATGAAATGGTCGTCTCGGTTGCCGTTGGGCTTGTTGTTCCAGTCAAAGCCCGTCTGTGTCTGACTGGATGAGTGCAGGGCTGTAATGAGCTCCTTTTTGCTTTTCCCTTGCACCTTGGCGTCCTTCGCGAGGGTCTTCAACTCCTCGAGGAGTAGCAGCGACGACGCTTCTTCCAGCGTGGTAATCTGATCCATCTCCTCGGCGAATCTGAATTCGCCATCAAGACCTAATGTAGCAAGAGCATCGGCAGGGAACGTGTCGACATTGGCGGAATTTCCATCCGCTGAGATCGACACAGGAAGGTCTCGAGCGCGTCGCAGCTCCGCCACTACCCGGGGCATGTCTGCGATATCCGAGTAGTACCCTAGCCGATTGATGCGGTGCCAGGCGGAGGTTTTTCGGAGGAAGAGGCGAACATATCTGTCCAGTCAGCCTACTTTCGATGTCTCATCTTTAAAAGGCCAAAGGTAAGAAGGACAGGCAACGTACAGATACTGAGCCTCGTAATCCAATTCCCGCCACTGCCTGAAAACCTCCATCTCCGCCTCATCGAACAGATGCGCCTCTTCCTCTAGCACAGTTTCCAGCGCCAGATTGAAGGCGTCCACGTAGATGGAGCTCCGGCCCTTGCGCCATTTGCCATCCTGCAGTCTTTGTCGCAGATCTGGCTCGTCCTGGTCTGCCGCTTGAGAGGATTCATACTCCTCGATTGCGTGGTCGTCAGCCTGGATGGCAGGAAGGGAAGACTCGAGATCGGTTTGACTGTTCGACGGAGCTGCAGTGTCCTCCTGTAGTTCCCCCACTCCGGATGAAACCGGAGTGGGATAGTCGTCTACCTGGACGGTCAGTGGCGTCTCCGGTTCCTTCACCAAAGGACTATCGCAGTCGTTGTGGTTGTCGTCGCCACATCCTTTCGCAGAGTCCCTCTGGATCGTTTTCCTGCGCTTCGCGGAGGGACGTCGAGTATCCCAATAGTCCAGCAAGGACATGCTGTGCTGGCCGCATCAAGACATCTCAGTCAGCAATACGGAATATAGCGGAGGCAAAGACGAGACAAAGGCCGTGACGCGAGCAGACACGAGGTCACGTGGTCCATATATCCCGAAGCGGCAATGCAGCCCCGGGGAGTGTTTGCGGTGTTTGCAGCGGTGTTTGGTCCGCGGCAACGATCAGGAGGGGGAGGCAGTCAGTACTAAGTAAGCACCGCTGCTGCTGCTGCTGCTCTAGACCTCCCAGAGCCGTCGATGATGACCCTCTCTCGACCAGACACCAGCTATCCATTTCTCGTCCCTAAGAATGGCTGACCATCCGGTGAGATCATCCATTTCCCTTTCCTGTCATCAACCAGCCAAGCAAACGCAAGCCACTTCAGCCCAGCCCAGCCCAGCCCATCGCAATCCCCACAGGCGGAGCAGCTGGGCGCGAGCTCCGCTTTCATTTCGTCGCAGTATAATTTACTCCATTCCAACACACACACACACACACACACTCTCTCTCTCTCTCTCTCTCTCTTCTCTTCTATTCCATTCTCAATCCATCCATTATCTGCAATTGACCCGTCCCACTAAATCGCTTACCTACCCACCTGTCTCAACCAACTAATCCCTCCTGATACCAGTCCCCGGCAATCGCAATCGCAAGCGCAACCCAAGACACCCCGACCCCAAACCCGCCCTTCAATCCTCCTCCCCAGAAACAGCCACCACCACCACCACAACCAACGCAACTCCAACCTCACCCCCAATCGCAAGACCGCACCCGCGACTCCTCCCACGAAAAAACCATGCCTCAAGACTCCGCCGCAAACACTCCCACCGCCGACTCCAACGCCGCCGGCACCCCGACAGCCACTTTTCCCACCACTACCAACAACACACCCGGCCTGGTCCGGCCCGGCGGCGCCCCGGCGAGAGTATACATGAATGAGAAGATAGTGCCATACCTGCTGGAGGGGATGAAGAGCGTGACGAAGGAGCAGTGCGTTATCCTATGATTATTTCCCTGCCGTTCATTACATATCTCCGCCCCCCCTTTCGTCCAATCCAATTCAACTCAACCCAGGGCAAGATCAGATAGAACCGGACCAAACACCCCCATGCAAGAAAATACATAACTAACGCTATTCAAAACCAGACCTCCCAACCCCCTCCGCGTCCTGGGCGAATTCCTCATCCAGAAGAGCAATGAAATCGAACAGCAGCAGCCTGGTACCACCAAGACACCGGAGTAAATCGGCTCGCATTGCGGCTTACTTACTTCCCTCTACTTGTTCTCCGAGGGACCAGTCCATGTTGAGAACGCAGATTCAATCTATTTGTTGATCATATCGCACGTCTGCCTGGTTGTGTGTACCCGCTAGCTAGGTAGCAAGCGACTTACCTGCTGCGTGGGCGAGATGGTGGGAGGGCTGGCTGGCCGGATCGCCTCTTGCTGGAGATACCGATACTGTGGGATGGATGTGAATGCGCAGGGCTGTGAGCTGGTTATTCTTTCTCCGTCTGCGTCTGCGTCTGCGTCTGCGTCTGGGGAGGCGTAGAGAAGAGCAAGAGGGGATGTGGCACGGTCAGGCTTTATATGGATGGGAACTCCGAAATCCAAAATCCCAAATTCGGAACCCGAGTCGAGACCGCTAGGTCTCCACTGTCTGGTGTGGGTGATATATCGATCATCGGGCATCGTAGCTGGGTGTCTGAAACTAGATCCTGGGCTTCATCCAACATGTCCAGTCCTATGGAGTTGACGGTATGCGAACAACCATAGGGATGTGGGTATGGGTATGGGTATGGGTATGGCCATGGGTACGATTTGGATGAACAGATACTATAAGTTCTACACTCTATACTACATAGAAGCTGTTAGTATGGATATCTACATTCACATTTACTGGATATGGGTGCTTAATCTAATTTATTTTTGAAATGGCGTTCTTTTTTACTTATATACATATACTTATAACGAACTGGTGTTAGTCTCGTTGCTCTGGATACTTAGTATGTATTGGTGTTGGCATTGGAATTGGCATACCTGCCTGCATTCCGATATATATATACTATATATATATCCATCTCCCTTGTCTATCTCCCAGGTTGTACCTTCAGTACTATTTCATACTATTTCAAGTAACTCATTACAGAAATAACACAACTGCTGATGCAGGAAAGACACGCACTCAACACTCAATCTACAGTTTCATTCAATTCACTTCTATCTACCTATTTTATCTAATTACCTGCCTATCTACCTATATACTAACAATTAACCATACCTGCAGTTAGCTTACTCAGTCACTCTCACTCAATCACTCAATCACAAACAGACCCTGACACCTCCCTCCCATATTCCCTCACAACCAAAACCTATCGAAATCAGAACTCATTCCCAGAAGAACAAAAACAAAAACAGAGACAGACAGAGAAACAAAAGAGACGAGACATCTCCCTCAGTGAATGCACCCCAGTCCACATTCATCAAGGGAAACAAACAACCTACCGAAGGACTGGCTGACCGGATAGCTAGAAGCCCATCGACCGACCGACCGACCGACCGATCGAAGAATGACCAACTCAGCCAGCTGGCTGAGAGTCGGAAATACAGGAGTTGGAACCTGTCTACCAGCCAGCCGACCAGCCAGCCAGCCAGCCAGCCATCATCATCACACAACAAGCACGCACGCAAGTATCTATGGCGAAAGGCTCCCAGATAGTAGAGAGAACTACAACGCACGCTATGGCGAAAAAAAAAAAAAAAAACAAACAGACAGACAAGAGAGCCGAGTCTTGCCGCTCGACTCACTCATTCACTCACCGACTCACCCACACACTCATACTCACCCAGAAAATAGTCGTCCACTCACCAAAGACAGACTCGACTCAACTGACTTACCGTATGACCGCCAGCGGCAGCAGAGCTAAACAGCAACCGCCAGATAGATCCAGATAGGGGGTGAGTAATCCTGCATTGGCTGCACAGCACAGGTTGTTTAATGATGCCATAATAGCAGTAGTAAATAGTAGTAAGAGCAAGAATTGGTCTGGCCGAATACAATCGAAGAGAAGAGTCGTTACATTAAGATGGAGAGTAGGTAGTTGCATAAGACGAGACAAGACGCACACACACAAAGGCGAGACAGAGCTGGACTGATTGATGATGAGACTGAGACTTGACTTGACTGAAGACTGAGAGATTGAAGACTGAGACTAGCGAGACAACGACCCAAGTGATTTTTTCCGGAAGAGTTGAAGTAGTAGGTAGTAGTAGTGAAAATGTAGCAGTAGCAGTGACAGTGCTGACCCATCTGACTGACAATCCGAGGAGAATTACAACGTTAATGTAAATGGTTCTTCTTCTTCTTCTCTTCTTTTGGTTTCTTTGACTTTCCCTGCCGCCATACTTATTTTTGTGTTCTTTCTTCCGGTGTCGCGAGCGAATTTAACAAAAGAAAAAGAAAAAAAAAGACATCAGCGTAACTGTGACCGACCGACCGACCGAAGAGCGACGAACTCCCTAGTAACCGGGCCTCTTCTTGTTTTCCGCTAGTCCGGTGTTTTCTTCCTTGGTTCCCATCTTGAGTGAAAGTCGACTGGTCGCATAACCGTAGCCATATCGGAATCCGTCGGATTGGACATGTGTGGGCTGCGAGCAGGTCGACTTTTGCTCATATTTCATTTCCTTCAATTTTCGATAAGATAACACAAATGACGTCCCCACCGTGGCCCATTGAGCGCGATTCCATTCGAATGGGGGTATTGAAAATTAAAAACCATTCCAGGAGAGAGGGAGAAAAAGGAAACAAGGGAAAACAAAACGGGGAGGAAGCAAGGGAATGTCAGAGAAAAACAACAACGACGCAGGGGTAAGGAAAGAAGGGGGAAGCCTAGACAAACCCATTACTGGGAGAGGGGACGCGCTCTCTGGCCCTGATCCGACCGCTGAGATGATCAAGACAACTTCACCTACCTGGAGCTGTACCGGTCGTCACCACGGGGCTCGTAAGACCGGCCACCACCGCCGCCGCTGCTGCCACCACCACCGGCATAGGCGTCCCGCGCCGGAGCAGCAGAGGAGCCGCCGTAGCTGGCAGCGTTCGCATCGCGGTCGTAGTAGCCACCGCCGCCGCTGGCGCCAGTGCCACGACGCTCGTCACGGCGATCGTCACGGCGGTCATCACGGCTGTAACGGTCCTCGCGACCACCACCGGAAGCGTAGCGATCGATGCCGCCACCACCGCCGCCACGGTAGCTGCTGTAGTCGTCACGGTAGTCGCGGCGACCACCATAGTCACGGTAATCACGGCCGCCGTAATCGCGACGGTCGCTGTAGGAGTCGTAGCGGCCATAGCGGTAGTCGTCACCACGGCGCCAGCTACCACCGTAACCACCACGACGGTCGTCGTAGCGATCCCCACCACGGCCGCCACCACGGTGACCTCCACGGAAATCTAGATATTCAAAGCTGTCAGCTGTATTGACCAGTGCACAGGGATGGCTCCAGGAAACCCACCACGCTTAGGAGGACCGAAGTATTTGCCGGGGGTCGGGGTTCTGGGACGGCTACGGCGAGCCTTCTCGATGCTCAGAGTGCGGCCTTCGATGACCTCGCCCTGGAGACCCTCCTTGGCGGCGTCGGCCTGGTCGGAGGTCACCATCTTGACGAAACCGAATCCACGAGACTCCTTGGAGTGAGGGTCCAGCATGATCGAGCAGTTCTCGACATCGCCGTACTTCTCGAAGAGACGCATGATATCCGACTCAGTCAGACGGGGGTGGATGCCGGTAACGAAGAGGTTGGAGCCAGTGTTGAGAGCACCCTCCTCATCATCGTCCAGCTGCTTACGGGGGTCGATGGGGGGAGCGCTGTGAAGGATGAACAGTCAGTCTCCGGCTCCAGACGATCCCTGGCGTCCGGGGAGTCGTGCTGAGTATTCGCGTAGACATACCGGTCTTCCATGCGGACGTTGGGAGAACGGCTGCGGGTACGATCAGCACGAGGCTCATCGCGAGGGGATGCGCTGCGATCGCGAGCGAAACGAGGCTCGTCTGTGAAGGCGAAAAAAAAGCATCAGGTCAGTATTGTTGTTGTGGTGGTGTTACCCGAGCGAGTACCCGGGCGGAGGAGCCCAGCAACAGCTTCACATACCGTCGTAGCGACCGTTTTCGTTATCGTATTCTGTGGCCATGATGACGGGAGTCGTAAAGAAGGGGATTGGAAGCTGGGGAAGGGTGAAGGGGTGAGGTGACGCGCGCGCGACGCAGAGGTGACGAGGGAGGCAGAAAATTCAACGACCAGTCGGAGAGGTATCTCACGCGGATACCAGAAAGTCAGATAGCAGAATAGCTTCTGTACCTGAGCAATCTAAAGGGGAAGATGAGGGAGGGGGAAAGAAAAGTAGGGAGAGGAGGAAGTGGAAGGATGGGGAGAGGATGGGGAAATCCGGTGGTTGATGATGAAAGAAGGGGGAGAAACCGGGAAGTCGAAGAGAAAGTCGAGCGCGGCGAGTCGGGCTTCCATAAGCCAGCCTGGACCGGCGGCGGCTCTGCGCGCCAAGCTATTCATCTACACAGAAGACATTACCACTACAACAACAACCAACCACGGAAAACCAGTGAAAGTGCAATATCACTCTGTTACCATCCATTATATCTCGCCAGTCACTACCTATCTACTAGCCTAAATCCTGTCATTCACCTTCACCCATTGTACCATGTGGAATCCCAACGCCTGTCCAGCCCGTTCTTCCCTTACAGCACAGCTGGATTAAAAGAAAAAAAAGAAAAAAAAAGCAAACATCCGCGGAAGAGAAAACAGAGAAAAAACAAAGCAGAGGGGGAAAAGTTCTAAAGAAAAAAAAAAAAAAAGAACGAGGAAGCACCGCTTAGAATCAATCATATCTCCATAGCCTGAGCCTGATCATTTGAATCCGCGCCAGCGTCTTCGGGTCCGATGCACCTTCACACTCGGTTGGGACGGGCCGTCGCCACCGTTGGCAGCGTCACTCGAAGCGTTCGCCGTCTGCCCTTCCAGCTCGTCCTCTTCCACCAGGTCTTTTAATTCCTCTTCGTCCAGTTCGCTCAGCTCCTCGCTCATTCCCCGCATCACATCGCGCCCGGTCCATCGCTCTTCGTGGACCGTCGTCCCGATGGGGTCGAACGGTTGCATGTACCACTGGATCCCTCCTTGCGCCAAAGGATATTGCTGGTCGCCCTTGAAGCTGGGTGGCGGGGTCAGTGGCCCTTTCTGAGCATCCCCGGGTTGCGCGTTGTCCTCTACCCGCCCATTCTCTCCATCGGCAGCTGGTTCATGTTCAACAATAGGCTGTATAGCAGTAGATGCGACCTCGGCGCCTTGCGGCTCCGTCTCCTGCGCAGCAGCTGGAGCAGCTTCCGCGTCCGAGGCCTGTACCCGGGGCTCTGTAGACTTCTCAGCATGGTCGGTTTCAGCTGTAACATCCTCACTCGTATCCATTTTGTTAGGCAGGTTGCCAATGCTTGCACTATCCTCCGGTTCTGATTTGGCCGCAACATCTGCCTCCTCGACCTTCTGGGCGGTCCCATTCGGGAGCTCAGACGGATCCACTTTTTCATCGCCACCTTGCTCCGCGGAACCGACCTCGGACCCTCTTCTGGACAAAACGCTATTCTCCAGCATGAGATCCAGGTCTTTGAGTTCCTGCTCGAAGGGCTTGCGATTCAGCTCGCTTTCCTTCCGGATCGCATCCTCCAGCGCAGGTTGGATGGCTTTGATGATTCGTTTCGCCAGCTTTCTCTTCTCCCGTTGTTCCAGGCTCAGTTCCGGAGCGCGACCGCTGATTTGCATCTGCAGTTCGGCGGTGTCGCCAGCTGGTTGCACGCCGATCTCAGTCGTGAAAATGTGAGCCAGGTCGGCGGAGAATGCGGCGATCGATGAGTAATAGCGCTCCTGGAGCTTCTCGCGGATGGAGAACAGCCCTGGTTTGAAGACACCCTTACTGTCAAGCCTGCAGGGACGTTAGCACGGGCCCTGAGAAGCGGTTAAAGATGAAGTGAACTTACATTTGAGCTTTCTCAAAGATGGGCCAGAGTAGCGGAAAGATAGGAAAGTAGACGGTGTCCACAACAGTCCGAAGTGTCTCCACGTCCTTCAACTTCTCCCTCTCGCGCTTCTTGACTTCGTCGCACAGCATCCGCAGCCGATCCAAATCGTAGTACAGCCGCTCTCCGAACTCAATACGCCGCTGTAGACGTTTGCTGCCTGTAACTCCCATCGCAACATAGTCCCTTCTTGTCATCTCCATGGACGAGAACGTTTCCAGCTGAAGCTGCAGTCGCTTCAATAGCGCGGCTCCTCGTCTCGCCTCGCGTTTGAGGGTCCAGTATCTGCAGGCATCTTCGCTAAATTGCTTCCTCTGCCGAACACCAAAGCGCTGGAGCGAAGCCACAACGGAGTTCAGCACGACCTGCGGGATCACAGGCGCCCCGGACGGGAGCTTCCAGATCGTCTTGGGAATGGTGGGTCGCTTGCGCTTGTTACCGCCCACGGTGAGCGTGATGCGCGGGGTATGTGTACGGTGCCCATCGTCGTCGTGATCGCAGCCGAGCGGGTGTGGAGGCTCCAACGAGAGAGCTGCCGCTTGACTGTCTCCCCATCGGCGACCCTGCATTGTATTGCGATAATACTCAACCGCCTCCGCGGTGGCAGCATCGGTACCATGCTCTCTGCGCCATTCAGGTGGGACGTGCTTGTCGCAAAAAGCCTTGAGAAGGTGAGAATCCATGACAGCCGGGGTCCCATGACCCGACTTCATCTTCAGGTAAAGCTGAGCCCTCCGTGCGCACGTCACATGGAACGCGACGAAGCAATTCTTGTTGCTGCACTGGATCGAAGCTCCCATCCTCTGACGGCAAATGTAACAATTGAGCTTCCACCGACTGCGAGGCACTTTCTCGACGTCGGTAATCGGCTCCATCAAGGACGGATTGCCAATGGACACCTCGGGGATCCAGATGGCACACAGCAGATGAGACCACTTGGAAGACGTAGTCTGCTTGAAGGCACCCTCCGTGTTGGGGCAGAAGATGCATTTGACAGACCCTCTCCCAATCAGTTGACACTTGCGACAGAGCCACTGTCCCTCGGGGATGAACGGAACGCCATAACATTCCTGATGGACTGCCAAATCGCAACCGTCGCAAAAGACAATCGCATTGGAGTTTTCACAGTCGCCATCGTCGCAGATAGCACACTTGCTGTCCTGTTCTTCTCCCGGCGCCGTTTCGCCATTCACGGCCGCTGCAGAGCTGGAACGCGGGCGTTGGGTCTGCGGGGGCTTGGGGTTGGGTTTTGGGATACGTTTCTCGAGAACGTGCCACTCCTTTTCAATTTTGGTCATGGTAATTTCGAAGACAGCCGGCTTGATCGGCTCCAGCTGGTCTTCTCTTCGCTTCGCGTTGTAGTCCTCCAGCCATTTCTCATCCTGCTCATCCATGTCGTACTCCACTCTCCCAACGGAAGCATTGACCTCCCCTTCCGAAGTCACCGGGTTGACATCCAGATCATCTTCCTGCCCACCCTCCGTCAGACGAATCAACCGCCGGTCATGGCGGAGGAACAGATCGCTTTCCTGATACCCCACACTAGCCATGGTGCGATCGACATAATTCTGCTGACCCACACCGGGCTGATCGTAGAAGGTGAACGGATCGCGGATGCGGAACGAGGGCTTCGGCAGGGTGAGCCTCTCACGGGGGTTCGGACCGGGAGGCGGGATGGGCTTGTGCTGCTGATTGAAACCCAGGGCATTCAGAATAGCTTCGGGGCGACGGGGCGGACGGCCAGGGCGACGCTTGACTGGGGTCGGGGATGCGCCATTGGCGTGCGCGCGGATCAGCTCGGCAATAGGGTCCTTGTCATTCGACACCTCGAGACCGTTCGGCGACGACAAGATCTGGGCTATCGACGCAGACGGCGGGGGACGATCTACTTCGTCGGCGCCGAAGACCGCGAATTTCGCATCAATATCCAGGTCCGGATGGAACTCCTCCCAGCCTCGCTCCTCTCGCGGTTTGTAGCCATCTCCCTGTTGCAGAGCCAGGGCGGCGGCGGTCGATGAGCCGAACCGACCACGGTTCTGGCTCTTTTCTCGTCGCAGACGCGCGGAGGGTGGTGTCGTCGGGACAGGGGGCGGTGGCGGAGGAGGCAATTGGACGGGTTGAGGTTGCGGTTGAGGTTCAGGTTGTTGAGGTACTGGGGCGGAGATTGGGAAGTTGCGGTTGCGGGAGCTGGAGGAAGTACGCTTGATGGTGGGACTGGACTTGGGTTTGGGGGGTTCCTTCACGTCGAGCTCGATGTATCTCCCTCCGCCGCCGGGACCGCCAGGGACGTACTTGCGCTTCTTGAGCGGCGGGCCTTCATTGGCGGTGGTGTCCGAGCTCCGGGGCGGTTTCAGGGTCACTCTAGGCTGGGTTCGAGTGGACTTTCCTGGCGACGAGCGATGCTTGGATGACGAGAGAGGAGCCATGATCGGAGTGGAGATGGGGGGGTTGGAAGGCGCGACGAGGGCCGGATGGGAAGTCAGACGGAGTATTTGTTGATGGTCGTAGGCGTAGAACGTCGCCGAGCCTGCCGCTCAGCCGCACGTTCTGGAATCAAAGCGAAGCAGGTGGCGCTGTAGAGCAGAGTGAAATGAGATCAGACAATAGAACAACGAGATTAAGCATGACTCGACTGGGGGAGGGGGGGGGATTCAAGAGTTCAAGAGTGGAAAAGAGGCGGCCGAGCGGGCGACAGCGAGGGGAGACGCGCAGAGAAGCAAGCAGGAGTTGTCCTGTGCTGGGCGGGCTTATCGAAGGCGGAGAGAGAGCCGCTCTCCACATCCCGGAATGGATTGGCCTCCTCTCCAGCTCAGAGCTGCTGCTGTCCCTCTCCGCTTTCCTTCCCCCCCACCATACTTCATTACACTCGACTGGTCGGTCCACAATGAGTGGCACCGGAGAAGACCGGTAAAACAACCTCATTATGACTGTCTGCCCCGGACAGCAAGTCCGGCATGGCTAACCACCGCGGGTGTGTGTCTGTCTATTTAGATGGCGCGGAAGCCGCCCATACGACCAGAACCGTCACCACTCGACGCAACGCCACAACAACCCGTCTCGCACCATGAGCGCCAACAGTGGATCGCGCGGCGGTCCGAATAATACTTCCACATGGGGGGATGCACGGGATCAGTTCGCGTCCGGGCCCCAGCAGGAGCAGCACGTTCCCGTGCGAGGCTTCAATGCCGCCGAGGCCAAGGCAGCTCTCAGAAAAGGTACAGTACTACCTCCCCTGCATGGTACAGGCACAACCAGCATAGCATGGGCTAACGCGCGGCTTGCTCGAACCCTAGGGCCAGGAGGTATGGAAATATAATACTCGTGGAGAAGATTACTAGATATTCGCCGATCGTCCAACCCGCTGACCCATCGCATCGCCAGAATCCCGACCTTACTACTACAAACCGCAAGGGAAGGACGTAAACAACCGCGCTAGCGGGCCCTGGGGGGCAAAACGTACGTTTCTCGTCTGCTGGGCTACTGACAACAGCATACAACAAACGAATGGCTAACTCGAATCATGTCTTCAATACAGCCAACCAGATGGCAAGCGGGAAGGACTTCTTCCTCGAGCTCCGGAAACAAGTCACCGCGCTTCAACAGGGGGAGAATGTTGCGGGGGGTTGATGGTTGATGACTGATGGCTGATGAACGAGCATGTGTACAGCGTCGATCGAGGATGAAGATAAGCCTGGAGGGAGATGGTTCCATCTCAGGCGGAGTTTGGACGGTGTCTCAAGGCTCCAGGCGCGTGTCGCCCGCCACTTGGGAGGGTGGGGTCCGGATATCAGAGTTTCGCGGTGCGGATGACAGAAAGAAAGGGTTCCGAGCTGTCGCGTCTGGATGGCAGTCGGAATCGAAAGAATCCCAGCTGGGAACAGATGATTGCTGTAGTAGACCATTGGTGCGGTCTTGCGAGATCGGATGGCATCAAGCTGTCTACGTGGGGAAAGCGCCCTTAGCTTGATTTCAAGTATCTATCTCATGAAATAATATGTACATGGTTTGTCTTTAAATAAAATTCTATGTAGTGAAGATGTACGCTTATGCCATCCAAATTTCAAATATAGCCGAAGAGTGAAGAAAGGAGAAACAACAACACCAAGCAGACAGTGATTAGTTAGTAGTTAGTATACACGGCGTCCCGGACCCCGTATTTTCTTCCACCCAGAGGGACCCAACAGACCACCATCCTCGGCCCTCGCATCAAGGGACCACTTTCTGATCGACCGAGCACTTAGTTCCGTGCGCCAGTTATCCTCAAACATCTCGATGCCCGCCCAGCCGATCATGGCGGCATTATCGACGCATAGATACGGCGGGGGCGCGATGATCCTCACGTTGCCGAACCCACGGGCACCAAGGAACTCATTCAGCACGGTCATGAGATACTTGTTCGCGGCGACACCGCCACTGATAACAAGGGTATCGATCGCGTCCGCCTCATTCTGGTCCCGATGTTCCTCCAGCGCGATCACGGTGCGCGAAGCCAGATGCTCGAAGCAGGTACGCATGGTCTCGCGCGCCAGATCCACCCGCTCTTCCGTGGACATGGGCTCGCCGGACTTCTCCTTCGAGGAGATGATCCGATCGACCATGCTGCCGATGGAGGAGAAGCTGAACTGCAGCTGGCGGGTCGCGGCGTAGGGCGCCGTAAGGGACCAGCCCCACGGAGACTCACGTTTGGCGATTTCCTCCCCGCGGGTTATCGGCGGGTGGTAGTGGTAATCCCGGGCGCCGTTGGGGAAGGCGAACTGCTCCAGCAGCGGGCCGTACATGGTGCTTGTGGATTGTTGGATGATGGAGGGGGGCACGATCATGCGGGCGGTTTTGTCGATGGCGTCGCCGATGGCGATGTCGGATGTTGTGGCGAGGATTTCGTGGTCGATGAGGGATAGGGACTTGACCAGCATCGTGTGGCCGCCGGAGACGAGGATCGAGAGGAATGGGAAGGTGGGGTGGATGGGCGCCGAGTAGTCTTCGTATTCGATCATCCCCTTGATCTCCTTGTCATGCTGTCGCATGGATGCCACCAGACGGGGGGTGAGCAGGTGGGCGTGCATGTGGTGGACGCCGACGAAGGGGATCTGCCATGCGACGGAAAGGGCCTTTCCTGAGTCTAATCCGACGGCGAGGTTGGATCGCATGCCCGGCCCGCGGGTGGCGGAGATGAAGTCGGGTTTGCGACGCGCTTTCTCGTCACTGGATAAGGTGACTGTTTGGCGTGGGTTGTGTGTCTTTTCGCAGGCGACCGGCAGGTGGGTGAGGGCTTTGTTGACGAGGATCGCGATGTTTTCTTGATGTGATTCGAGGGCGACGATCGGGTGGATGCCCTTGTATTGCCGGGAGTCGCAGGTGATGTTTTCGAGGAAGTGGATTTGCGCCTGGTTGGCTTCCTTTTCGACGATGGCGACCGATGTATCATCGCTGGAGAGAGTGGGCAAGTTGGTTAGATGGTTGATCTGCTGGGCAAGCAAAGCAGTACGGGCCGTGGCACACTCACCAGGATGTTTCGATCGCAAGCGTGAGCAGCCCACGGCGTCGAGGAGCAGGGCCCCATCTCGAAGCAGTGAAGGCGCTTCTTCGCAACGCGGACGTTGATAATCTGCTCAACATTGGGAGGTCGATGGACGAAGGAAACCTGCAGTGGCGATCTTTTTGGCGGAAAGTCCGCGGAGGTTGGATGAACTCGGGTTTCTCCCGCACGGGCCACGGAAGCCCTGGGAGGCTGCCCTAAAAGGTTGAAGATGGAATGTGACAGGTTCGGCCATACTGCTCATTGGAGGAACTAGAGTAATACAAGTAATACAAGTACGTCTACAATTGGTATCCAGAAAGAAGAAAAAAATATACAAAGAGCCATAGCGATTGTCATTGGATCACTCCAAGGAAAGCTCCTATACTAGGGGTAGTACAAAACGCCGGACCACATCATCAAGTCATAAAACATAAATAGTATCATAAACACGTGGAAACACTGCTCTCACTCCACCGATGCACTCATTCCAGTCATGGTTCATCATTCTGGAGGACATCCGACGCTCTGCGCCGACGGTCCTAGCCCAAGATATCGTCGTTGCGCTCAAGGTGCAGGATTGACATGTCGTAACCGAGTCGGAGCCGGACCCCGGGGACGAGGAGACCATGGCGAAGGGAAGGCCGTAACTTGCTCGAGATTCTGGCCTAGCGCTCCCGCCAATTCGCTTTTCCTCGTGGTGCTATTTGTTAAAGAGGACGCGATTTCCGCCTCATTCTCGCGGCGTCCAACGTCGCTCCTCGCGCGACAGCTTGGTGTACGTGCCGTAGTACTCCTCGGGGTTCTCAATCGGCGTCACGCAGTGAACTGTGGGGGTGCCTTTGAAGTGGATTCGCTTCTCTGCGTGACTCGGAACGCCCGCAGAGTGTTTCTTGAGGATGCTCTTCGACGAACAGGAGTTGGTATAACCGTAGCTCTGGACTTGGAAGAAGGAGAACCGCTTGGCACTGGGACTGGCGGGAGAGATGGGTGTGCGAGGAATGGCACCGGGGGACTTCAACGACAACGCCGGCCGAGAGGCGTTCTGAGCGGCAGAAATGCTCAACGAAAGCTTAGGTTTGGCGTACATTGTGACAATGGTGAGAAGATGGGAAGAGAAAATGCAACGGGGAATATATGGTTTTCTGAATGGGAACGGTGTTTGGGATTAAGCGCGGAGAAGCAGCGATGCAGATTGTCAGTGGAAGCTTCACTTTGGTCAACAAAGTATTCCGCAGGAGGCAGGCGTGTAAATGATACTATTATTAATTGATGATGTCGCGGTAACAAGAGCGGCAAACAGATAGTCGCCTGGACCAGCCAAACGAACTACTCGGGGATGAAAGACGAAAGACGAAAATAGAACGAAAACAAAACCCCAGCAGACCCAAAACAGACGGTGTGTCAAGGAGATGGGGAAGGGTCCTGACAGCCCGGATAGCTGCGCGGCTATATAGGAAGCGGCCGGGCCTCTGGGCGCAGCCAGAAGCAGAGACGAAGGCCCGGGAGTGCGCCAGGGCGGCGAGGGGCCAAGGCGACCGGCGGCCAATGGCCTCCGCCCATCACACTCTAAGCGCCGACCTCCTGCACGACCAGGCACAACCCAAGCACATCCCACTCCTCCATCACACTTAGTCTCGTGGTCCCTGCTGCCCCAAGACGAATCGCTGCCCGCGCATCGAGGGTGCGAGGGGCCGCTTCCCCGCCACACGTCCCCAAAAATAGATGTGCTTCCCGTCAATCCTCAGGTCAACCGGCATTTTCGCAAATTCTCGCACACGACGATGCCGATTTCCCCTCACCGTGACCCAAATAAGCAGTTATGCAGAGTCGGGGATGTCGAATGAGACGGCTGCTCGCCTCCCGTGAGCGGGCCAGTGTGTGGAACATGGCCTGCACTTGCATATAGGGCACACCGACTTCACCTCTGCCCGATTGGCTCTCGTCCATCACCATGGTGATATCCCCTGTCTGCCCGGGTGGAAGGTGGAGGGGCACCGAATGTGATGCATTGACAGGCGGCCGGCTAGTCTTCCTGCCACCAGCAAATGGCCAACCTATACGGGACCACGTCCATTGTACAGAGCTCACACCTCAGAAATCTCAGGGATGCGCAATTCCCCGCAAGTCCAATGGTCTCGTAGGCATAAAAGATAGCGTCCGGCATCACTCATGCAGCTGGTTGGGAGCCCGTGCCGCAGCATGGGTTCTCTAGAACTTGGGAAATGCACCCACATCTGGTGACTTTCCAACATTCATGCCAGGTAATTTGTGTTTGGGCCCCCCGTAGTTATTTACCCGGTCATGTAGGCGGAAGACCAAGAACTCAATGAGGTTTCAAACCAGTGGACATCATATCAGCCATTTCTCTCAGATTTAGCACTATCAGATGTCACTCTCCGCAAAAGGGTTTGGAACCGATTTTTCGAGGTGGGCGTGGGCTGCGTGGTCTCGCTGATAGTGGGGCTAGCATCGGGGCGGGCATGGTCTTCGTCTAGGATGTATTTCCATTTCCCATCCGGCATTTCCAGCCTATCGAGTTTGTATCGTTTATCGAGGTCGGCAAAGTGTTTCTCTCGTTCGTTACCACTCCAGGCGTACGTGCCCTTGAAATCCTCCAGAACTCGGCCGTGGATGACCCATGGGATGACGGAGCCGATAGACCGCGGGATGCGCGGAAACCGGAACCGGCCTCTCCGGGTAAAGAAGACCGAGGCCACAACGCACGTGTCGAAAAGGACGATGAGTAAAACGTATAGAAACGACGAGAATGATGGGACCACTGCCCAGGACATATTGTATATGATGCCGTCATTGACAAGGGCAGGAGGGTCGGCGTGTTGGAAATAGGAATCCCGTTTGAGCGTGATGTCGGTAGCAAAAATGGTCCGGTATACAGAACGGGAGGCGACTCCCAAGACATCCGCAGCAATGACTGTTGTGTTGCTATCAAGGATACGGTAGAGGCTCGCTGTCAGAGTCCCGAACCAGTCAGTCTGATTTGAGTTAGAAACTTCTAGTAAGGTGCCATTGTTAGAAATGCTGGCCGGACTGGATAGCCATTCGTTGTAATGCAGGAGATTGGCTGTTCCATTTTGCAGCATATGGCTATCGACCACTGAGGTACCATTGAGAGGAACGGAATACTGTATGTACCCCCCCGAGTTAAAGCCAACCGAGAAATTTTGCATGACAAGTTGGGACTCGCAGTACAAGGCAACTGTGTTATCGGGTGTGATCTGTGAGTAGTCGCTTCCGCTCGGATGGGCAACGACCACCAATGCCGGTTTCTGGCACCCAGAGGATTCATTGGACGGTACCGAGGGGAAGAAGTGGACGTCCAAGTTCGATCCCTGGCTGGGTTCAATAATCCGAATGGTGTTCAACTGGCATACCGTTCCTGACTCGTTGAAAGGGGAGTACTGCCAAGTGGCCACGTTCGACTCAGCATCCTCCGAAAAGCTTTCCGTAATCGAGAGCTCCTCGCACAATAGATCGGCCCCGACCCCCATTAGAGAGCCTCCAACAAGCCATTCGTCCGACGTGTCTGTCCATGCGGGAAGAAAAGACAAGGTGGACGTGGTCCAAGAAAGCAATGACGTGCCACTGTAGATGCTACTCTTGATGGAATCGAGTTCGGGGAATATTGACGAAGGCTCTCTGATAGCGAATGATGTATAGCTGTAATTGGATTTCATATTCGCATCCGCGCGTGTCGGCCCAAGGTCATGCTGGAAGAGTCCGCTGGCCAGAACATTCATGACGGTATTAAGAGCGCACGCCACTCCTACCAGTCCAAGTAGGAAATGGCGATAACCGAACCACTTGAAGAGGGAGGAGAGAGGGTTCAAAGACCCGTACTCAAGTAGTAATGAAGAGGCGGCAGATGCGCCTCCGGCCTGCAGAACTGACCACGGTTCTAGGACGCACAAATATCGGTACATCGAAAGGCAAATTGCCCTTATGATGGAAGCAATTGCCGATGGGATGAGTTGAAACAGCACGGCTAGGCTGTTTACATTGAGGTAAGTCAGGTAGTGGAAAGTTCCATCCTTGGCACACAATGCAAATATTGTCACGATACCGGCGAAAGCCGTTAGGAAAAGCAAGATCTCAAGAGCGAAGATGGGGATGAGGAGGAAATGGGGCCTCGGATCAGATTTTGCTTTGGAGAATTGTCCTTGGGAGCGGGGTACTATACATTGTCAATACCGTGCAGTTATTGGGGATAGCATTGGGGCGGACTAACCAGCAGATGGTTCGATGCAGATGCGTGGAGGCTCCGTAGCTTGCTGCCAACGGCAAGTATAGTTTCGGAGAATAGACTTGAGCTGCCTAGTCGATAGTTGATCAAGACTCAGATGAGACAGACATGAAGCATCGATAACATCGGCCATGAGGCCGCACATCGACGCAATAGACGCCGGGTCACTTCGAAGCATGTTTGGACGGCGTGGGTAACTGTAGGCGAGATACGAGACAACTGCGATTCCGAAAAGAAGGATTGCCTCGGACACAAAGGACTGCACCGGGCCAACAATTATGGCCATCTGGTGTGTCACGTGGGAGGCTTTGACGTAGTGCGTTTGCCCACTGAGATCAAATATCCTGTTCATCAAGGGCACAAAAGCAGTCGAAACGCTACCTTCGAGGTTCGACATCAAATTGCGCTGGGAGGTCGACGTTCGCATGGGCTTCTTATTGAGAAAAGATGTGCCGTTGGTTGTAGCCACCTCTTGCAATATTATGCTTTTGAAATGTGTGGTGTTAAGCGCAGCTTCGGACACGGCTGTTGTTGAGTTTTCTTGCAAATCGATCACGGAGAGCGTGCCATTGACCTGCACCGAGATATCGGCCGGGGATGACTTGTATACAATATTGCAACCGAACCCATTGACCTGATGAATGTAATCCGAGCCTGTTAGGTCGTTTTTCGAACGCTCAACGTTTTCACTGGATCTGTTTGGGCTAATATCAACCGTCAGACCAATGAGGTCAAAGGAGATGCACTTGCCAGCGAGCGTCGTCGCAGCAGGTGTGATCTGTTGCCAATGTGAAATGTGCAGAGACGAGTTGGTCGGTGGGATGAAGATCTCCTCGTCCAGTTCCACGGAGCAGTTCTGCGCTGTTGACTGGGCATCATCTAGATTCCAGAACATGGGCTGGGACGTGGGTGATGTGACACCAAACGTGGAGGTATTGGAAGATACTTCAATCGTTATGGCATCACTCACATACACCTCGGCACAGGATAACTCCGTCCAATAGACGGACTGGGTCAACTCCCACAATTTCGTATCGTACTGGATCTCCAATGGTATATTCACCGGCGCCATGGCGTACCTGCTGGATTCTGGCTGATTGTAAGAAAGATCCCGATGATCCCTGATCCCTGAACCATTCGACGTCCCGCTGTATACCAAGGAACCCTGTTCCTCCAAGTTCACGATATCCGGCCAGGTCTCCAGGTGTTGGTTGCTGTAAACCGTCGCATCATCCATCTTGAACAAGCTGCTCTGCAGTGTGGGGAAGACGATTTGCAGCATGATACTCAGGAACGATATGCAGACCGCCACCCAGTGGCGGTTCTTGATCGCAAAAAACGGGGCGGTGGTATAGTGGCCAAACTCATAGTTAAGGAGGAGCACGTCAGCCGACGCCCCCTGCGGTTTTGACAGCTGGAAGTACGGTTCGAGTCGAAGTGCGTCGTATTCGACGAGAGACCATAGGAGGGCCATGACCATACTCAGGATGCTCGGGACATAGGTGTAGACGAATCGTCGCGAATCCGTGATTTGGTCCGTGGAAGTGAATAGCGTGAGACTGCCTCTATCGTTGCCCAATTGCCGAAGCCATTCCGTGACCAGCAGCATGAACAGCATGAGGCCGGCCAACGGAACCAAGTATGATCGACGCAAAGTCCGCGGTAGCCATCCTGGAGTCCGGTTTCGAGGAACATCGAGGGTAGCGTCTGTCATCGTCCGTCTTGTCTGTAGAGACCACCACCGAGGGGAGAAAGAACCAAAGAGCCGGTTGGCGTAGCGAGTCAACCCGTCACCGTGATCAACCGCGATTCGACATGGCTGGGAGGGGGACCTTTTAGGATTGCGAGTGTCGGAGGCTAGTGAGCCGGAAATGGGCCATTTCAGGTGGTCATCCGAGAGATCTTTGAGCTGATCGGGTTGATCGACCGGTTGGCGCCAGGGTGGACAGTTGGCAGTCCTCGTTCACGGCGAGGCGGAGGGTTGCGCGAGGTTCCGGGGCGGCGACGGCGGAGGTGGAAGTTGGTCGACCAGGACTGGCAGGAATGAGATAAGAAACGAACGGGGTCGTCGCCCTTGGGTCCTTGGGGCTTGGGAAGGTGAGCCCCGGCGCCAAAACCAGTTTAGAAAAAAGGACGGCGTCGAAGTGGGCGACTTGGCCCGTTTGGGATTAATTTAACGTACGGGGTCTCATTGGTACGTGTCGCGGGTGGAGCCTGCACCGGAGGGCGAAGGACGGGATGTGATGGATGATGCGATCCACACTGCGCACTGCAGCCACTGCAGCGAGAGAGAGAGAGAGAGAAGGCCTTCCTCCGTTCCTTCGCTCGCCCTGCGGCCCTACGCAGGACACGCCTGGCTGGGACCCCTAGGCCAGTTTCAACACGGGACGGGGGAGCGAATTATTTGCCGTCAGCCTCGGTATCGTCGGTAGGTATCGACCAGACCTGTACGGAGTACGGAGCACGAAGTACCTATTGTGTAGGTATCTAGACTGGAGAGAGTAGCATCGCCATCGGGGGGGTGTGGTGGGCCGTCATCCCATATTGATTGATCTCTGTGAGTCTGTGAGAGTCTGACGGTTCTGACTTCTTGAAGTTCTGACAGCCGAGACGCTCTGGATTCCTGGTTGACACTTCGGGAATCGGGAAGTGATGGGATGGCATGATTTGTGGCATTATTTGCGCCGTCATGCGCAAGAGGAGAAGGTGACGGAAACTTGGCGAGGAGAAATGACGAATCTAGAATAATGGGAATAATAAAATACGGGCTTCTGCGTCCTGTGTATTTTTAGCGCGCGCCGCTGCCCCGCCGCCCTATGCTGCCTGGCAGGCCTGATAGGCCCCCTCGGCCTCTCCCTTTTCCTCGATGACGATCATGGTCGGGAATTCGATAGAACCCTGGGCTTAGCCTGGATCGGGCAGTCTCGCTCTCTACAAGTTCACCCCATCAAGACAGAAGACAGAAGGCAACCCCTTTACGAGTAAAGCATTGGCGTCAAGCCTGCATATGGACGAGGTAAGAGCCGTGCCTACTCCGTACATTGCTCTTGTTGGGCACGCGTTGACAAGATATCAGTCCATCCATGATCGCGATCTCTAGAAGTGCAAGTCCCCGAATTCCACATTTGACCACTCATGGATGGCATGAACATCGCCTGGTGGATTGATAGAGTGAGGGGGTCACTAAATAAACCCTCCTTGCAAGGCCAAGTGAGGCACATCAAGCGGGGAGGCAGCCCGGAGTGACCAACTGCTATAACCTCCTGCACCGGCTTTTTTATGACTTCGTACACGAGGGATATTGTCGAGCTTCCAGCCCAGGCTGACGTTTCGGGGGGGAGGGCATCTTCAGGAATGTGGGTAGAGACGTTAATTCCAAGGTGTAGATCTGGGGTCCAGCTTTGAACCTGTGGGGGAAAAGTCTGGATTCTGGACTCTGGACACTGGAGAACACGCAGGAGAGACATGGGCTCATTGTTCTATATCTACCCCATCGCAGACAGCATCACTGAAGAAAGGCTCCAGAACCGCGGAATTCACATTCCGCCGAGAAACCAGCCGGTCGGCACGGCCCCGCAGGTGGATAACCAGCATACCTGCTTAGCAATACTGTGATCAGGTGCTTTAGGGGCCAGGTCCAGAGGATTCTGCCAGGCCTCTGATGTCAAGAGTTGCTGTGGCAAGGGCCACAAAAGGGGCCACTTATAATCAGCGTATGATGTGGAATTACTACACATAGTAGCGATTATCTCTATACAGCTTCAAATCCTTACACAGCTAGGAAGCGGTCAGGCTATTGCCACAGTGGCCTCGACCCGCTAAACAACGTTCCTAAAGCACTCTGCCACAGCACCGAGACAGCAGCACTCATCACGTCTGGCAGGAGATTATATCTACACGACGACCAGGTCGGTGTCCATTCGACCTGTCTCTGACTCGCTGCACCATCTACACCGCTCCCATAGTCCTGGTTGAGTGCAGCCATGCCCGATAGTACCCGGCCTGTTCCAGAAGGCAGCTCAACGTCATCCACCTCGACTGCAACCCACAAGCGGAATTCACCCCCCCCCCCCGGGACTGGGAAGGACGAACGAAGTCGGTACGCGTTAAAAGCGTGCGAGGAGTGCCGATGGCGCCGTGCAAAGGTGGGTCAAACTTTGATCTCATCTACCGGGGCCGTGATTCATCCATGTGTTAGACTGGCTGACAGGCAGTAGTGTGACGGCAATAAGCCGTCGTGCTCGCGATGTCTCGGTCGTCAGCTACAATGTGTTTACACCGCGGATGACGATGGTCGGGGAACAACGCCCAAGTCCTATGTCCGCCTGCTCCAAGCATGGATTAGTGTCTTCGAATGGATTCTTCAGCTGCATTCTATTGATGTTGACGCTTCTGCTGCTTATTTGCTAGAGCAGGATGTCGCCCATGAATCGGCAAAGAGGCGAGTGAAGCCAAAGTGATGAAGTTCATCAGCTGTGCACCGTGCTTGAGGGCACTCTAGCTCTGGATGAAGATCTAAACTTTGACCAAGATGGCGAGGCGCGCTACTTCGGTACAATCAGTGGTCGCCTCGCTTTCCAGATATTGAAAGGTACCCTGCACATTCTGCTACAAGAAACTTGCTTGTTATTGTCTGAATGTAGATCATTGTACCGATTGCTGATACCCAGTATATAGAGACGCAGGAATTTTCCTTGCCTGGACATTATTCTCAGGTTCTCAACCTCTATACTCAGGCGGTCCAAGATGAAAACCAAATTCCAGAGGAGCTTGAAACCCATCTTCTAGATTTATACTTTACCTGGGAGCAACCATGGTGCCAGGTGGTGGATGAGAGACTTTTCCGTGAGAGTAAGCGCAACGGTGGGCGATATTCCAGCCCACTTTTGCTCAACTGCATCCTTGCTGCTGCATCCCGTTACTCGGACCGGATTGAGATATGATCGGATCCCGATGATCCCAATACCGCGGGACGCATCTTCCTCGAAAATGCCGAAATGCTTCTTTTTCTTGACATCGTACAGCCTAGTATTACCACCCTTCAGTCACTCGCAATCATGGGGACTGTATATGTCGTAAGTCGAGTCCTCATAATAGCCGTCTCACTCTATTATTAGAAGGTATTTGGCTGCGATGCAGCGGGCTGGCTGCATAAAGGCATGGCAAATCGAGTGGTCCTAGACATAGGTCTTTATTTAGACTCAAATTCGTTGGCTGAGCCTAATCCTATGAGCCCCCAAGAAGCCGAGCTTCGACGACAGATATACTGGCCGCTTTTTTGTGATGATAAATTGGCTGCGATCTATACGGGACGTGTTTGTACCATGCTTGTAAGTCTTCACAGCTACAGAGGCTTAGTCAACGTACTTACACGCTGCAGGACTTTCAAGGAGTCGTATGCATGCCTTCTGTACCTGATCCGAATGAGCATGGCGAGCGCTGCCCCTCGAGCTCAGTTAGCCGCACATCCCTCGTCCGTTTACAAATTGCCCTTGGCACACTCAGCCAGATCCTTGAAAAATCCTTCTCAGTCTGTAAGAACCCTATCTATATGTTGCGATGCTTTGTTGACATTGCAAAGGTAGGCCCCAAAGAGGCCTACCCACGACGGCCACAAGCGAACCCTTTTCGATAGCTGCCTTCTCGCACTTAGAAACTGGTATTACTCTCTACCTCCCGAACTTAAGCCCGTCGGAGCAGGAAAAGCAAACCAGTTTCCACAAGCGTATACTTTGTGTATGGTTTACCACACGGCTGTTATTCTTCTCACAAAGCCATATCTGAAGGATTCGGGCTCGCCAGCCCCGTCGAGGGCACAGCAGCTGCAGCAAGACCCTTCCACCCAGAAGCCATGGACTCTTCACATCGAGGCTGCGAATAATATATGCTCGCTTGGTGAACAGTGTCGTCAAGTTTTTGGCGGCTTCCGGAAAAGCCCCATAGCCGCCACCCACTGCACCCTTTCGGCTGCTCTAGCATTGCTTTACCCCCAGAGTCAAAGCCTACAGGACACAGGCCTTAAAAATATCGATATGGACAAGGTGAAGTCGTGCCTCAACACATTACAGGAACTATCCCAATCATAGACACCACCTCGCAAGTGCCACGGAGTATCTTACGTGTAAATACATAGCCAACGATCAAGCAAACTACAATTGGATCTAGAGGCATTCAGTGTCTTTCCAACCGAAGAGCTTCCACAGCTTTACCAAACATCTGATAATATTCCAGGGGGGCTAACAGGAGAGTCGGGATGGGACCAGACTGGCCCCGAGTTCGACTGGTCAATGTGGACTGAAATTGTGATGGGAAATAACCCCGCCATTTCCGGCGAGCAAACAATGGCATTTGGGGATGGTTATGCCTGGATTGACGACGTCGATAGCACTCCCAATCTGCCTTGATATCATTGACGGGAGCTACATGCCACTGAAAGCGCCGGTAGCTAGCATTTGTTATAAAAGCACGAATCCTTTCCACTCAATTTCTTCCTTGCACAAGGAGCACGCTTGTCAAATGCGACTACAAAGATGCGGACATTCTACTATACGATGACCGTTTCATGTACAATAATGTGTCACGTCTATCTCTTCGATGATGATCGATCTTATTTTGCCCGAGACAATGCGTTAAAGCATCCCCAAGGCCTCCTGGCGCCCATGAATGAGCTCTGGCTCCCAGTCAAAATCCAAGCCGTATTGAATCAGGGTCTACATTTCAGGTTGACAAATTCGACCGCTATACCTGCTGACCGAGACGAGTGATTGGTTTCTACCTGAGATGATGGCCACGGTACCCATACACGCTCTAGGCATCTAACAGCAAGATGAACCTACGGTACCTCATTCCGGCTTTAAGATAGGACGATGTAACATGAGAGATACCAGTGAGATGAAGCCAAACTCCCTCACACCAACATATTGATAAAAGGCCTCATTGTAGCGGCCAACGCCGTTTTTGCTGATGGAGGAGTTGCCAGGTAGTCAGTGACGAAGATTATCATTCAAGCTGCATTATGGTGTCTTCCTCCGCATCATTGCTAGTCTACTAGTCATGCATCAAGCCCTCAGGGGTAAGCGGGTCATTACTAGTACCGTGTGACTTTGCCACTGGCCTCTGCAAGCATCGGTGGTTGCATATCCAATCAACTACCTCGGGGGTCAGGTTTGGAGCTGTCAACATCTCTGTTATGTAGACTGTGGACCTTGTGAGCTCTTCATCGCTTGTATAGAAAGTCGTTTGTTGTGGTCCTGTGGAGGCCCGATCGAGTTGGACTGTTGGAGGAATCAGGCCACGCTAAAATCGGGGCCCGAGGGGTTCTTCAAGCTGGACAACCGCGGATATACTCGCGTGCTCCATATCCGTCCTGGGACTGGGAAGCAACCCTAATCCATCCAGATGATCGTGCCTCCGATGCTCTGGACAGCGCAACAACTGGGGAGAACTGGAATTGGCCAATGAACTCAAGCCAGCTGCCCTGTTTCCCCCAGCCATGCAAACAGGCCAAAACCAACCAAAGGCCCGCATCAGTTCCGCGATCGACCGAGGACGGCAGCCACGGATCGACGCAGCCTTACACCTCCATCATGTGTTGTCCTCCAAAGCCTCCTCTCCATGTTTCCTAACTCTCCCTCCAGAGTATTGTTACTGGAGCTCGAACGCAACGGAGGACTGCCCGTCAAATCGAGAAAGCCACCAATTCCGCTTCTTCGCTCGGGGACATAGCACTTTTGGTGACGTCAACATCTCCGATTAGTCCTGCGAAGCTCCCGCCTATAACCCACCTACGAGACCAACGCACCACGCTGTATATAATTGCACCCCCGTTTATTATTTTTTGCCCTAGTTCACATATAACACGATGGGCGTTGCGAAGAATGTCCTCGAACCAGGTGGTGAGTGCTTCCTGTCCCCAGTCGCAAACCCGCATCTTCCGATCACTGATCGGTATTCCTCCCCATAGCAATCGTCGCCGCGTTCACCGCAGGAACCCTCATCAACCGGCGCCGGCACGCCAGCCTGAGGTCCTCTCACCCCGATGTCGAATCGCCATTACTCCATAGTGCCCCCGAAGATCTGAAGCCAGACGACGAGGGCTACGACGAGCGCAGGATCCGCAACCGCCGCACCATACAATCCCGGCTTCTGGCCAAGTTCCCCTTCCTGCTAGAAATATGGTATTGGTTGCTCACGTACTGGGTACGACAAGCCCACTGATCGGCCTGCCCTCTCTCAGCACAGTGCACGCTAACAGCATGAGCAGATATACCAGGGCCTCCGGGCCTTTTCCGCTCGAATGATCAGCGGCAATAAACCCATCTTCGACAGGGCTGAGCGCCACGCGCTCTCCATCCTATCTCTTGAGCACCTCCTGCACCTCGACATCGAACTATCAGTTCAAAGATTCGTCTTCCGGCAAAAGCCATGGCTCATGGCCTTCCTGGCACGGGTATACTACTCACACATTGTCCTCGGGGTGGTGTTCGTGGTCTATTGCTACACCTTCATGCCACGGGACAAATACCAAGCGATCCGCCGCACCCTGGCCCTCGAGAACGTCATTGCCTTCACGATCATCACACTGTGGAGATGCATGCCTCCCCGTCTCCTACCGGAGGAATATGGGTTCATCGACGTCCTGCACAGCAACAGAGGCGGCTCCGCGTGGACGCAGAATAAATTCCAGCTCACGATCGCGGCGATGCCCTCGCTCCATTTCGGAAACTCGGTCTTCATCGCCCTCTGCTTGCTCAAGTTCAGCCCCCATTGGTACCTGCGTGTCATCGCACCCTTCTGGCCGATGACAATGGGACTCACGATCGTCGCGACAGCCAACCACTTCATCCTCGATGCGCTTGTCGGTGCCTCCGTGACTGTCACCGCGTTCAACTTCAATCAGTTCATGCTGTACCTCCTGCCCGTTGAGACGATGCTCTTCAGATTGCTCCGCTTAGAGAAACCCTAGATGATAGACTGCCCGCCCTAGACTACATGCATATCTGGATAACCCGTTGTGTGTGTATATGCATCTTTAGCTCGAGCAGAGGAGTAGATATTTATATCTTGCGTGTCTCTTTTGTCTGAAACACGTACATGATGCAATAGATGACAAGCACGCCGGCCATCATCTCGTTGCTGCATGCGCATCGTTATCCAAGCAAAGCTACCCGATATCAGGATGCATCTGCAGTCTGCATACCGCGTGATGTCACTATTACTAGTAATACTAGTCCTGTGTAAAAGCTGTCTTTCATACAACAACATTGATCACCGCTCTGTCCTGTATCACAGCAATCACTATCTCCTTCTCCTTATTCTTCTTCTCTACCTCCACCCCCACATCACCACAGTAACAGCAACAGCAGCAACAACAGCACAAGCCATCCCCACCCCCATCTCCAAACTACACTACCAAATCACCTATATATGAAAGGTGCCAACAAGCTAATATACTAATTCCTTTGATAATCTATCATACCTGCATACGGCCAGCAATGAAGAACAACACTCGTGCAGAGTGCAGAGTGGAGTGCAGGCCTTTGCCATGTGGCAGACCTGGCCCACGGGTGGGTATATGATATGAAATAATATGATATGTAACATGATCTGGTCTGCTGGGGGTTTCTCTGTTATTTTGAAGATGGGTATCTAATGCTAGTGGGCTTAGCTCAACTCAACTCTGTTAATTGTGCTGTTGTGGATAGTTGTGGGTAACTATAGACAGTTATAGACAGCTATAGACAGCTATAAACATCTATAAACACCTATTAAACACCTACAGATATTTCCAGCAAGTTGTGATTCTAATCACTTTCATTATCCAGCTAGCTAAAAATAAGCAAATACATACATAACCTAAAATTACAACAAATAATATATACCAACTTAAATATCCTTACACTAACCTGTCCACTTACAACATCCGAGAGGTGCAGCGACCCAATTCGTCTGCAAATCTTCCATAAAGTAGAATTAGAATATCCTTCCCTCCCACCAGACTACTAGTAGACATAGCAAGCTATATATATATATGATATCATGATATGATATCATATATATATATACTATAAGTACCCAGAAACCAGACTTCCACCACAACCCCATCCAAAAAATATATACTGATACATTGAAACAGTATCCACCCATACTTGCAAATCAACCAACTAATCTAGCACCTCATAAGTACCTACTTACTAGTCAATCATCGCAACCCATCAAAACAATCGCAAAAACAACCCGTAGCGATTCCTCGCCCTCCCCGGAGCAAAGGGTCGCCATTTCTACTCCGTACTAACTTCCCTTCACCCTCGACAGTGGGACCTGTCCCGCGTCCACCGGCTTCCGATCCCCCTTTCCCCATTGAGAATTGAGATTGAGGGGATCGATCCTGTGTAGCGTCGTACGGAGTACCACCTTCGGAGGAGAGCTGCAGGAGGGGAGAGGTCGGAGCGGTGCCGAGGCCGAGTCTTTGTTACTGTACACAGTACGGAGTAGATAGAAAGCTACTGGCACTGGCCGGAGAAACGTCGGTTCCGCGACCGATCTCCCTCCCAGTTTGCCCCTGGATACCTTAGGCTTGACGGGCATACACAATATTAGACATAGCATAGCATAGCATCGGGATGGTCCCTTTGTGTAGCTTACGAGATGTTGCTTCTACGATATAAATAGTCTGCTTTAAAGTCTGCCCACGGGGCCATAGCGGAAGTATCCAGCCTCCAGATTCCAGCCCCCCCCCGGGGTCTCGTCTTCAGCAGCAGCTCCGTGCGGCGTGTGCAGTCGGGAGAGAGAGTATGGGGAAGGTCATTATTATTGGGATCAATCGCTAGCCTCCTGGTTGTCCCGGGCCCCCACCGACCCGGGGTCGCATCTCGTGGGTAAGCCCGTCTTATTCGCGGGCACGCCAGGCTGATCGGGCCGAGACGGGGACAGGACTGGCTTTCTGTTTGTCAGACGGAGATGTCATGTGAAGAGCCAGCCTTGCCTTGCCCTTCTGACTATCGCCGTTCAGCTGGAAACCCCCATCCGAAGGGGACGGGGATCTGGAGGGCGGTCTCCGAGATCGGGTGGTAGGCCGTGTCTGTCTGCAAGCAGTGCAGTTAGATACCCCGAGAACACGTGTGGCATCTACTTACACACTCCGTACATAGGTAGAAAGATGGATAGAACATCCGCTAAAGATGGCATGCATCGTGACCATCCTCCTCCGGAGATAAGAGGATGATGTCTCTTGCGAGGGAAGCTTGGACTTCTTCAGGGCCAGGGGTTGGTACGTAGATAGAGAGTTGGGAGTTATCGTGTGGTGGCCAGCGTTCCGGAGTTGCCGTGTGGCACGCCGAGAGCTGCGGTTGTCGTCCATGGCGAAATCCGGTGAGGGGGCGTGGATCGATTTGATTCCCTTGGGTCGTTCTCGTCGGCCTCGGGACTCGCCATGTTTCGAGTGTCCGCGAAAAAAGTTTGATTCCGTATTATTCAGTATATTCGATTCAGTAATCCCAGGCAGGTCATCCACCGCCTTGTTTCTTTGTGCTGCATTCCGGAGTCATCAACACGTATCTAGCATATCGCATCCCCTCAGGGACGTGCGGAGTTAAATAGGGCATGGGCAGACCCCCAGCTGACCAGCGATCGGCCCAAAGTCCGAGAGGGCATCAGCAGGTTCTTATTGAGTGAGTGTCCTGCGAAAAAGCCTCACCGGGCGGTTAATTAGCAGATAACTCATGCATGCCAGGGGCGGTGAGGCCACCCGATGTATTGGCTGATTCCAGAGGCAAAAGGAAAAGTCAGCAGAGCCTTTAGCCCTTTTTATCCGATCATCAGTAGAGAGAATAATAATGAGGAAAATAAAAACAAATTTGCAAAAATCGAACTGGAACCTGTAACCGCGCCCTTGCTTTTGAGAACCCGGACACAGCTGTCACAGTACCAGCCCAGCCCAGCACCGCACCGCACGCCGCGCCTGCTTGCTTTGCCTCCCCCGGGATTCATTGATCCCATACATAGTAATCAACCCCCCCGTTATTTTTGTCGGGTCCCCTGCTCCACTCTCTCTTCTTATCCCAACCCCTTCTTAATTCCCCATTCCCCCCTCGCCTGCTTGGATTGCCTTTCCCTGTGGCTTTCTTTCTTGCACGGTTTGATCTTTGTGCACTTGCTTTCGTTGTCTCTCGTGTTTGTTGGTTTTCTTGCATGCCACAATGGCCAGTGTGAAGGACGCGGTCAAGGAGACCTTGGTGGGCGGCTCCCACGAGTCGAACGACGCCCAGACGTCGCATCAGATTAAAAGCAACTTCCTGCGCCACGCCCGCAAAGATGAGGAGACAGGAGACCTTTTTATGTCCCAGGAGGACTTCATCAATGCCATTGCCCCGAAACACGAGGACTACGTGAGTCCCCCCCCCCCAATCCTCGCCCTTCCTGCCTTCCTGGCGGTAGGTGTCATACGATGCGCGAAGATCTTGTTTGGGCTAATGCATGTCAACTCGCCATCCAATAGCACAAGATCAACCGCGAACACTATGGAGTGCTCTTCATGGTCGCCGACAGGCGCAGGACAGGCAAAGTCACCCTCTCCGACTGGGCCACCTTCGAGAACCTCCTGGCCAAACCCGATGCCGAGTACGAGATCGCTTTCCGGCTGTTCGACACCGATGGCACCGGCACCGTGAAATGGGACACCTTCAAGAACGTGTACGATCTGAGCAAGAGCAGCGACAGTATACCCTTTGACTGGAACTCGGAATGGGCCTCCCTCTACACCGGAAAGACCAAGCATCGCCACGACATGTCATACCCCCAATTCGCCCAGATGCTTCGGGGATTGCAGGGGGAGCGCATCAGACAGGCATTCCACGTTCTGGACAAGGATGGTGACGGCTACATCGAGCCCGAGGAGTTCCAGCGCATCATCCTCGAGACCTCGAAGCACAAGCTGTCCGACTATGTCCTGGAGAACCTCCCCAGTCTGTGCAACATCTCAGCCGGCACAAAGATCTCGTACGCCACCGTCCGGGCTTTCCAGAACATCATGCGCGAAATGGACATCATCGATGTCGTTGTGCGTGAGGCAACCCACAACAGCGACGACGGCAAGATAACCCGCGCGGACTTCCTGAATGCGGCCGCTCGCGTCACTCGGTTCTCTCTTTTCACCCCCATGGAGGCGGACATCTTGTTCCACTTCGCTGGACTCGATGCCCCCTCGGGAAGACTGTCCCAGAAGGACTTTGCCAAGGTCATTGACGCATCCTGGCGCATGCCGATTGTAGCTGCTGGACAGGCTGCCTCGGACGCGGCGCACAAGGCGGCGGACAAGACCAAGTCGGTGTTGTACAGCGTGCTCGAGTCCGTTCACCACTTCGCCTTGGGTAGTCTTGCGGGTGCCTTTGGAGCGTTCATGGTGTACCCCATCGATCTCGTCAAGACCCGTATGCAAAATCAGCGGTCCGGTCGTGTCGGAGAGAGACTGTACAACAACTCAATCGACTGCTTCAGGAAGGTCATCCGTAACGAAGGATTCTTGGGGTTGTACTCTGGTGTCATTCCCCAGCTGATCGGTGTCGCTCCGGAGAAGGCTATCAAGCTCACAGTGAACGACCTGGTCCGTGGGCATTTCTCCAATAAGGAAACCGGGAAGATCTGGACCGGCCACGAGATTCTGGCCGGTGGTACTGCGGGTGCCTGTCAAGTTGTGAGTGATGGTTTGCAACTGAAATCCCATTCGGCAATGCTAACTCTACCCCCTTTAGATCTTCACCAACCCTCTGGAAATTGTCAAGATCCGTCTCCAAGTTCAGGGTGAAATCGCCAAGTCCGTGGATGGTGCTCCTCGTCGCTCCGCTCTTTGGATTGTCAGGAATCTGGGTCTGATGGGGCTGTACAAGGGCGCTAGTGCCTGCCTGCTCCGTGACGGTATGCAGTCGTTCTTTCTTGATTCCTGGCATGCCGCTGACTTATTGTAGTTCCCTTCTCCGCTATCTACTTCCCCACCTACTCCCATCTCAAGACCGACTTGTTTGGCGAGACACAGACCAACAAGCTCGGCGTCGTGCAATTGCTCACCGCGGGTGCTATCGCCGGTATGCCCGCCGCCTACCTCACCACGCCATGCGATGTCATCAAGACTCGTCTGCAGGTCGAGGCTCGCAAGGGAGAGACCGGCTACACCGGTCTACGCCATTGCGCGACCACGGTCTGGAAGGAGGAAGGGTTCAAGGCCTTCTTCAAGGGTGGCCCGGCGCGTATCCTTAGGTCGTCCCCGCAGTTCGGTTTCACCCTGGCCGCCTACGAAGTCCTGCAGAAGATGCTTCCCATGCCGGGAGGCGAAGAAGTCAGCCCCACCGGACAGGTCGAACCCGGCGTCGGTCTGGGTACCGCCAAGGCGCCTCTCCCGTACCTTCGGTCAAGAAATGCTCTGAAGCTGATGCTTGACCTGGATCAGAACATTGGGCGCGTTCCGATTCCCACGGCCGAGAGCTGGCCCAAGTTCCTCCAGCAAGCGAAGCAATAGATAAGCATATCCCTGTTTTCATAGCGATAAAACGGTTCCTTTCTTTTCTGTGTTCCTTTGTTCAAATGGAAATATTCTGTCATATTACCCGGCTTGTTTTCTCCTTGACTCATAGATTTCTGGCTTGGTTAGAGCAAACACTACCTTGTCCCTCTATATTATCCTGTTCTCTCCGCAGAAATGATTTGCACGAGCACATGTAACAAAAGCAGATAGACTTGAAAGAGGATATACACTGTTCGAGTGCTGCTTGGGTATTTAGGTGTCAATTCGTTGGTTCGGACTGATCAGTCCATGCAGTCTGGCTGGCTGGTTTGATTTGGTTTGCAGATGTTGCCTCCTACATATATCTATGATCTGGGCGCTATGTATCGGTGTACAAGGTATCTGGGTTGCTTTGAGTTGTCTTGTCGAGTGCCGTGTCGGCTTGATTCTTATTATACAGTTTTAGCTTCCACTAGATGGTCATTCACCTACGTCGGCTTAGATCCGTCTTTGCCTTGAACAGTTGTCGAAAAATACAATCAACAGCCTTATGTGACATGTTTGAAAAATTGAGACTGGTGTCACATTGTAATCCTGTCATATGTACCGAGCTCTTGCCGTCATATATAATAGAAATCCAGATCAACGCCATGTTGGTATCATTTGAAGATAAGAAAATGGTACAAGGAATTTTCAAACACCCTTCAGAAGAAATGCATATATACACAACTAAGGCCAGTAGAGAGATACAATATGCGCGTGCAGTCACACGACGATCAGTGTAACCTCTGATGACCGAGGAAATCGTCTATTCTGGAAAACGATCGATAAGCAGCCAAGAAAGCCCAACAAGACAGGACAACCTTACCTCGATCCAAAGCTCACTCGTATAAGCAGCCTCCAAGCCGCGATATATCCACGCGGGAGAGACGATCCAATCCGATATCGGAACCCAACACCCCCCAGCATTCCTTCCACCGTCAAGCACACGCTCTTTAAAAAAAGTTGAGCTTCTTCTTCGCCGCACTATCCGCCGGCAGATCCGCACCCGCGGGACCCTCAGCAGGCACGACCGAGTCCTTTGACGACTCTTCCAGCGCCTTCTGTTTCTTCTTCTTCTTCTCCTCCTCCTCCTGCATCTGTTGCTCTTGCTCTTGCTCTTGTCCCGCCCTCGCCGCATTCTTGCGATGCCATAACGAGTCCTCCGCTTCGATTTCACGTAGCACTGCACAATGAAACATCAGTCAGCCCAGCCCAGTCCACCCAGACTCCCCTCCAAACCCACATTAGAGCTGGACCCCGGTAAAACAGAAAGTAGAAAAAGACTCACCATCCTCCCACTCCCTCTCCTTCCCTTGATCCTCCGTCCCCAACAACTTCTCCACATCAACCTTCTCCCCAGCATTCACCTTCTCGATGACCTCCCGCATAAGCCGGATCTTGGCGTCCGTCGACCGCGTGTACGCCGCGTAGTCGTTCTTCAGCGCGATCATCCGGATCGCCTGGGACCCGATCAGGATGAAGATGATGATGTAGAAGCTTGCTGGGTTCCATTCTTTGGATTTGGGCGTGTAGGGTCGGGTTTGTTTGGCGTTGCGGTTGCGCAGGGATTTCGGGATCAGGGAGTGCCATATTGAGGATTGAGCGAATTTTGGGGTCGTGGTGTGGTGGCGCGTTTGGTGGAGGAGGAGGGTTGTTGCGGTTGCTGGTGAGGGTGATGGTGGGAGGAGGATGCGCGATTGGGGAGAGACGGTGCGATTGAGGGTGCGGAGGGGGAGGGTGAACCGTGTGCTGTTCATGGTCATGGTCATGGTGAGAGAGGCCGCGGTCGGCCTGGGTTGAATGGGATGGCGAGGTGAGGTGAGGTGAGGTTGGTATGTAGATAGTTCTGGAGTCTGGATCGTACTACTTACTGCACACAATAATCTGCGGAGTTCGGCCTGAGGCCCGCGGCGGTGCATCGGCGAGGAAGGGCGCTAGGCCCGACATGCACTAGTGTTGGTCGTTGTTGCTGCGACAACGGGCTTTGCTTGGCTTCCCGCCGGGCGGCTGTCATGATCACATCGAAAGGCATGGCTGAACCTCCACCATCGATTGATTGCCAGTGCCTACACCACTGACTTCACATCTACACCCGCCACCCATGACGGTCTCATCATTACTCTCCGGCTCCCCTGTGGAGTCGGTGAAACAGGCCGTCCGCTCGACATCCACATGCTCCGATGCCACCGTGTTGTCGCTCCAAACACTCTTCCGCGGGTCGTCGAAATCGCCCTCCCCCCTCGACATCGAAACCGCGACCGTGAAGCGGGTGAGCAGAACTACTAAGACCCCATCCAATACTACGAGTCGGACGAGGACGGTGAGGGGCACCAAGACAAAGGTCTCTGCCGCAGAGGCTGCACTCAGCACAGTGGTGGAACAGGACGCTGCGCGTCTATCTAACCAGGAGAAACTCGTTCTCGCTACGGAGGTCTTCAATTCGACGCTCAAGACACTTTCAGAAGCCGTGAAGCTCCATTCGACAAAACGCGACGATGCTCGATCCTCCGCGACTAGTACCCCCCGCGAATCGCCCTCGCCAAGTCGCCTCGCGAAATCACCCAGACGGTCGAAGACGCCTTCAAGTACAACCGGGACAGAGGGGGGTATACCGGCGGTGGCACAGTGTGCGGCGATGGCTCTGTCATGCTTGCGAACCTTGAAGGGGGACCAGGAAAAGGGGGTCCCCAGTATGCAACTTGAACAAGGGGCGTGTGTTTTGGCGGGCAGGTTTCTCTCCCTGGGTCTGAGTGAGATGGCCTACAAGGAACTGAGAGCTTTGAAGAGGAGGATGCAACAATATCTGGATGGCCAGGGTGCAGGCGAGAAGAAGGCCCCGAGCAGGAGAGGAACCCCGGTAGAGCCGGAGAGCGAAACGGTCAAGGAACGCATGTCTGATCTGCTTAGCTTCTCGCATATCAGCAAGGCAGGGTCGCTGCATGGGCTTCTCGTATCATTCCAGTCTAACGCGCTCCGGCTCATTGTGTCGGAAAAGAAGGCCGCCACCGTGCAGAATACCGCCCCTTCCTTGCAGTTGACGGACCCGAGCAGCCCCGCAAATGTGATCCTGGCTGCGCTCGAATCAGGGAGTCTCACCAAGGATAAAGCCGCGCTTCAACTTCAGCTACTGTCCAACACCGTTTTGTCCCTATCATCCACATCGCAACAATCTACGACCAACCAACTAAAGCCGATCACGTCGCTGAGCCTCCAATTGCTGTCTCTTGAAATCCGCTGCATGTCTTGGAATATCTCCGGCCATGTGTGCGATGATGCGAAAGAGATGTGGGATCCTCTGGCGCGGTATGTCGCTGCCTACGCTCACCAAAGCAAAGGAATCACGAAGTCCGAGTTCGCCTCCCTCTACAGGACTATCGTTCGCTTGCAGTCGACCTTCATTACCGTCAATAAGCGTTCTTCCGCCAGCATGAAGGATAATATTTCTGTCGCAAAAATTGCAACTATCCTGGGCCAGCTTGCTCAGGAAGCGGGATGCCTTGATGAAGCTTTGCAACTGTTCACAGAGTCTCTGAACCCGCTCTCTAATGGACAGTGTCTTACCCTAGCTACTGTTCGTTGCAAAATCGCATCCCTTCATCTTCAGGCTGTCAAGCAATCGACAAAGTTCGGCTCTGGAATGTCTAGCGCGATTGTTGAAGCCACCAATGTGTTGTGTATGCCGCTAAAAGGTAGCGCTAACGACCTCGACGAGTTGTTGGTTGAAGCAGGTAAGCTGAAGAAACTCGCCATGGGCTCATTTGGAGAGATTGTGTCGAAGGCAAGAGACTCGAACAGTGGGGATGGTGATCTGTCTTATCGGATCTATGGCTACTTAAACGGCTTCGTGAGGTTCTTGCGGCGGTACATTGGACGCCGACCGACGGAGGAGGACGGCAAGGAGATCGAATCGTTCCAGAGACGTGTCGCTGCGACTCAGAATATTGCTCTTGCGGCAATCGACTCGGTCGTCGCCATCGGCAAAATGTCAATTATGTCGCAAAACCCCTCCTGGGAGGAAATGCAGTCCACCTTGATTGACAGTCAACGCCTTCTCTTGACGATGGAATCCGCCGAAGAGTACGCTGAATCTTCAACTGCTAAAAGTATCGGGAACGGTCTTGTCAAGCTCTCCAACCTATTTTGGTCCCGGTACGTCAAGGAAAAAGAAGCTGGCAAAGGCTATCGCGAGCTTTTGCCCTTGTTGAAGCAGTCCGCCAGCCTCCTATCGAGTTGTTCGCCTTCACAAAAGATCACGGGATTCTCGCCACTGAAGTATGAACGCCTGGCTCATGTCTATATGGAAGCCAATATGGCACGCGAGTCCGAGCAAGCGTTCCAGCAATCAATCACCGAACATATGGAGACGGGAACTCTTGACCAAATCCTTTCTTCTGATGCGGCAGGCTTCCCTCACCGAATCTGCCAGTACCCAAAGAGCAGCGGTTTTATGCTTGGCCGTGTGCTTTACGCCTTCTTGAAGATGAGCTTGAGAAGCAAGGCAGCGAAATCTGGTTTCTATGACGACAATAACCTAGACGATGTGCAGCGCGGTCACCTGCTCGAATGGCAGCTGGGCATATTGACAGAGCTGCCTTCTCATCCGTCTCTCGATCAAAAGTTCCGTTCTACGTTCGGGCTGCTTTTGACGAAGCTGCTTGACCTCTACTCCTCACAAGCTCACCCCGTTCGACGCCTGCGCGCAGTTCTCACGACCCTGCGGTTTTCACTCGAACGCCCTAACTCCTTGGATGCGACAATGGTACAAGACGTTGTCGATACAGGCATGGACAATATTGATATGGGTGACGTTGGCGATGATTCCGACCTCATTAGCCTGGCAATCCATATGAGGAACTCGGTGCGACTTACCCTCGGGCTGCACGAGGGGAGTCTCCGGCCTAGAGATCTGCAGGATATACTGTCCTCGTGGAGCTTGATGGTGCGAAGGTGCACGGATTTGGAGTCGCTCGTTGCGAACGTTGGTGATGTGGACCACTACCTAATCCAAATGAAAGCGATCGTCGACTTCACCGAGATCCACGGCCTGTGGAAGCTCCAGTTCTCCGCTCTTGAACTGGTGCTGCGGGTTACGGAGATCCGGGGAACTGGCGACTTCTCCGAAGCAATTATTGTTCTCTCCCGATTGGCGCTGCAGTACAGTCGACTTGGGTATTGTACCAAGGCGGGTGATCTTCTGAGCAGAGCGGATCAGTACCTTGGTCATAAGGATATTTCCTGTCTGGCATTGCTGTCTCACAACCTCGCTAGCGTTGGGTACCTTCTCGAGATCGGAGATATCCAGAAGGCGTCAACTACACTGTCAGCAGCACGAGCTCTGTATGAGAAGAATCAGAAGAAGGAGGATTTGAATGCCTGCTCGGTCTTGTCCAAGATCATGTGGGAGCGATTGGTAGCTGACGCCGCCTTCATGAGCTCCCGGCTTTCTTTCGCTGAGGGTTCAGTGAAGGACGCTCTCTTCTTTGCGAAGCTGTCTGTCAGACTGAATTGCAGGATTTGGGCCAAGATCGAGAAGATCTCGCAGAAGAACCAAAACAAAGTTTCTCAAGGCGGCGAGAACCCCGAACTTGAAACCGTTGTTGAGGGGATGGCAAAGCTCGAAGTCTCGCAAGCAAATGCAAACAATGCCGCTTATTTCCAAGGAGCTCCGTTCTGGCCTCACATTGGCTCGCACCACACTGCTCTTCTCAACCTCTCTAGTCTCTCTGCACACCACGGTCTCTTCCAGGACGCCATCTACTACGGCGAACAGGCCCTCAAGATCAACAAGACATTGAACGCGAATGTACGGTTGATTGCGTCTCAAGCGCAGCTTGGATCGCATTGGATCTTCGGAGGCCACATTACGGAAGGCCAGGAGCTCCTCACTGCGGCGGAAAAGTTGTCAAAGCAGCTCGACAGCAGCATTGAGCTGGTTTCGCTGCAGATTGGCCTTGCTTCTCTTCATAGAGCCCAGGGCCGGTATCGCGAGGAGCAGCGGGCTCTTCTGGAGGCGGACCGGATAATGGCTGAGTGTGCTGCTTCCGAGATCTCGGACCTGGGACTAGGAGACATTGAAAGCAAGATGAAGAAGCTGCAAGTCGAGGAAGTTGCCAAGAAGACCCGGGCACGAGCAGCCACGACGACGACCAGAAGAACCCGCGCCGCGACAACCACGAGTGCACCGAAGGTATTGAGCGTGAGCTCGGAATCGACTGGAGCCGACTCCACCTCGCTCCTTCATCTGAGAAGCGATATTCTTCGACAGCAAGCGGCCTGCCTGCGTGCACTGCGTGACTTCGATCAAGCGTCCTGCTTGTTGAACGATGCACGCAAGTTCGCAACTTCCAGGGACAGCCAGATTTCTCTCCACATTGGCGAAAGCGAGCACCTGCTTGCAGATGCCATCCGTAATTTCGCTTCTCATGCAGTGTACTGTGTTCTTCCTGAATCGACAATTTCTCTTCCTTCGTTGCAGTCTCCAAGCAAGACAGGCCAAGCCAGTTCCAGCAGGACAACTTCGACAAGAAGGACACGGGCGCCAGCCAAGACACCAGCCCGCAGCACCCGCGCTAAAGCCCCCAAGCCAACGGAGGACTTCTCGGTGATGCTGTCGAAAGCGGGTGAAAGCCTGAATACCATCTTTCCCACCGCCACAACGCTTGGATCTACCCTCGACAGTCATGCTGCTTCTCGCCTGATGAGCCGCATCTCGATGTTGACGCATGCCACGGCGCTGGAGTCTTCGATGTCTCAGGAGCAGTCTCCGGCCAACGTGAACGAAATCGGCCGTATTGGAGCTTTCACGCGCGAGCACGCTGCTATCGATCTGGACAAGCAACTGGCCGACTACTGCGACCCGCTCCTTTGGCCGACTGCCGAGTCAGCGGTGAAACTGGAGGATGATCTCTGCTCGCGGTTCACGGAAGAATACGTCGATATCCTCCCCGAGAACTGGAACGTCCTGTCTCTTTCCCTGAGCGCGGACTGCACGGAATTCGTGGTCTCGCGGTTGCAAAAAGGTCGTTCACCCTTCCTCCTGCGGCTTCCGCTCAAGCGTGGAAATGCCGACGAAGAGGAAGAACAGTTCACTTTCGAAGATGGAAAGGAGGAGATGCAGGAGCTCATCCGCCTGGCCAACGAGAGTGCGCACGCCGCCAAACACCAGACCGATCGGCAGATGAAGAAGGATTGGTGGAAGAACCGCGAAGCGCTGGATCGCCGCATGGGTAACCTGCTCGAGAATGTCGAAAATGTCTGGTTCGGTGGATTCCGCGGAATATTCTCTCCAGTGCCCCATGAGACGAGCTCTCTTGCGCGGTTCGCAGACTCGTTCCATAACATTCTCGACAAACACCTTCCCTCCCGGCGGAAGGGTAGTCGTGCCGGAAGCCCCCGGCTGACGCTTCATCCGAATGTGCTCGAACTATTCATCGGAGTCAAGGACCTGGAAGACCAGGAAGATCCCGAGGAGACGTTGGTGGATCTTCTTTACTTCGTCGTGGACATCCTGCAGTTCCAGGGCGAGCGCAACGCGTACGACGAAATCGACTTCGACATGCTTGTCGTGGACACCCTTGACGCTCTGAGAGGATACCACGAGCAAGTCCGCCAGGAACAGGGCAAGCCATCACTCAACCACACCGTCTTAGTCCTGGACAAGTCCCTTCACATGTTCCCTTGGGAATCTCTCCCCTGCCTCCAAGGCTTCCCGGTTTGTCGAGTGCCATCCCTCGAATGTCTCCGCGACCGAATCCAACAATTCCGCCGCGAAGGCGCCGAGACCTCAACAGGCTTCACCATCGACCGCACAAACGGCGCATACATCCTCAACCCCACCGGCGACCTGCACACGACCCAAGGTACCTTCGAGAAAGACCTGATCAACCTCGACAAATGGTCCGGCGTCGTCAACCGCGAACCCACCGAAGCCGAATTCAAGAAGGGCCTCGAGTCTAAGAGCCTCTTCCTCTACTTCGGGCACGGCAGCGGCGCCCAGTACATCCGCGGCCGCACGATCAAGCGTCTCGACCGCTGCGCCATCACCTTCCTCATGGGCTGCAGCAGCGGCGCCCTCACCGAAGCCGGCGAATACGAGCCCTACGGCACCCCGCTGAACTATTTGCATGCGGGGAGTCCGGCGCTCGTGGCGACTCTCTGGGATGTCACGGATAAGGATATCGATCGCTTTGCGCACAGCACGTTCGAGAAATGGGGGCTGATTGGGAAGGCGCACGAGCCGGTTGCGTTGGATGCTGCCGTCGGGCAGTCCAGACAGGCCTGTGTCTTGAGGTATTTGAATGGCGCGGCGCCGGTTATTTATGGTGTGCCGGCCTTGTTTTTGGCTTGATGTATAGGGTTTTCTTTCTTTTTTTTTTATGGTGTTGGATGGTGTTTGAGCTTGGAGAAGTGTATATGACTTCCCTGGTTGTTGTGTGTTCTGTGTTAGTTTTTAGCGTTTGTTCATACTTATTCTTAATTTATGGCCAAGGAAAGATCAGGACTTGGTCTAGTTACTACCTTGTCAACTTCATAATACGGCTCGTCGAATTACTATATAACTTCAAGGCGCGGGACAGCGGCAATACAGACATTCCCATTCCCGAAAGGGCAAAATTTCCCGGGGCCCACACGGCGCCCCTCATTTCCCCTCATGGCCTTTCCCCTCATCCCAACTTCCCGTTATATCATATCTTCTCTATCCCTCCTCTCCCTTCTCCCTTGGTCTTCTTCCCCAACCAAACCCACATCAGACTGAAAAAACCCATAATGTCTCTCACCACCAAAGCAACCATCGCCTCCTTCGGCGGCAAGCTCCTGAAGCTCTCCCACCCCGCCACCTCCACCAAATGCGAAATGGCCTTCAACCTGTACCTGCCCCCGGCAGCCCTGCAGTCTTCCGCGTCATCCACCAAGACCCCCGTCCTGATTTACCTCTCCGGACTGACCTGCACCGCCGATAACTGCTCCGAAAAGGGCTTCTTCCAGCATGCGGCGAGTAAAAAGGGTATTGCGGTGCTGTATCCGGATACGAGTCCGCGTATGTTCCCCCCCTCCCTTCTCTCCCTCCCCCTTCCCATGATCGAGCAATTGGATATGCCAATTATACTTATTGGTCATGATCGTGATGATAATCATGGGGATTGAATTCAAGTATACTAATAATCCTGTCTATGATGGATGGTATAGGCGGATTGAACGTCGCCGGCGAAAACGACAGCTGGGACTTCGGCACGGGCGCGGGCTTCTACGTCGACGCGACCAAGGCGCCCTACAACGATGGCTATAACATGTACACATACGTCACGGAGGAACTGCCTCTCGCTGTGTTCGGGGCGTTTCCGCAGCTGGATAGCTCGAGGGTGAGCATTACGGGTCATAGTATGGGGGGACATGGGGCTTTGTCTTTGGTACGTCTTTTACCTCCCGTCATCACCATCCCTTTCCCCCCCCGCCTTCTTCAGGAAGTCTTAGTGGTGTTGGGGAACTGTATCCAACAGTCCAGCCCATCTTTGTATGAAGAAAGGAAGATGCGTTTCAGATTCAAAGCTTACTGACAATGATTGATTGTGATCGTGCTAGTTCCTGCGCAACCCCGGAAAATACAAGTCCGTCTCTGCTTTCGCGCCCATCTCCAACCCCATCAACTGTCCGTGGGGCCAGAAGGCGTTCTCGGGGTACTTTGGCGAGGACGCGCTGGAGAAGTGGAAGGAGCATGATGCGACGGAGCTGGTCAAGGGGTGGAAGGGGAGGTTGGATGTTTTGATTGATGTGGTATGTTCTCTTTCCCCCCACTCCCCCCCAATTCCGCCCCGCTCTCTTTTCCCTCATGTGTTGAGCTTGAGGGGTTGGAGGTTGGATCGAGGGGTATCATAAGTTAGTGTGTGAGTAAGATGCTAAACCCAACCAGGGCACCGGCGACAACTTCTACAAGCAAGGCCAGCTTCTGCCCGAGAACTTCGAGAAGGCGGCCAAGGAGGCGGGCGTCGAGGGCGTGAACATCCGGTACCAGCCTGATTACGACCATAGTTATTTCACGATGGCGACATTTGCGGATGATCATGTGGAACATGCGGCGAGGTTCTTGTTTGCTTAGTGGGTTTCTCTCTCTCTCTCTATCTCTCTCCATATCTATCCCTTTGCTTGAATTGAACGTATGTAGGAGGATGGACTAGAAAGGTGTATTAAATTCATGCATGTGGACTGGACGGTTCTGATAGTGTCAAGCGATCGACAGGTGAGAGCGGTGATTTAGTTTAGTTTAGATGATTGGACTGGACTGGACTGGATTGAAGTGATGTGGTTCATAATTAGAGTATATAAAAGATCAATCGACAACCGCTCAAACGCTTTGCATGCAGATTACCGCCATGTCAATGAAGCCAACTCAGAGCGCCCTCAATGCAGGACGCCATCCATGCAAATGCATCCATCCAAACGCCTCGCTTGGAAAACAACCCCATTGAAAATACCTTTTGAACGCCTTTCATGCGGATTATTCTCAATCCAGAACTCCTCCCATGCAACAAGAGACCTCCCAAGCAAATGACATCCGTAACACCTTCCATGCGAAGGATTTTGCGCCCGGACACCCCTCCATGCAATGACTTCCATTCCAACGCTTTCAATGCAAGATACCACCCAAGATAAACACCCCCATGCAGAAAACCACCCATGAAAAGTCCCCATTCAAACGCCTCTCATGAAAATCACCCTCATCGAGAAAACCTTTCGAGCGTCTTCCATGCAAAACACCGCCAATGCAAAACGCCACCCATGCGAAACACCACCCATGCGAAACACCACCCATGCAAACCCCTCATCCAAAACACCACTCATGCAAGCCCCTCGACAGGGCACCCCCCCCAAACCCAATCACAAAACAACAGCAACAACCCTATCCACACCATGCATCTCGCCCGAAAACCGACACGCCTCAACATCATGCCCCGGCGAACTCTCCCACGGACACTGATGCCCCGAAATACACCGCTCATCCTCACACCATAGACCCTTCGCACAGGCACTCTTCCTCGAAACCACCCTCAAATCCAGCAGATCCTGTGCATTGAGCTTGGGCCCGTGTTTATGCCCGCAGTCATCGCCTTTTGCGCACTCGTTTAGCAGATGGAACCGGTGGCAATATTTGACGGATCGGAGTCGAATGACGTTTTCTTTGCTGCTGGGGCGGATGGGAGGGTCGATGCGTTGGTTTTGAGCATTGAGGTGGATTTTGTGGTATGGGGGGGTCGGGGGCGTGGGGGAGATGTCGAAAGTTATGGGGCTGCTGGCACTGGTGGGGGAGGGGGCTGGCAGGTTGAATTTGGCGATGGTGGCGTAGTCGCGTGTTGGGGTAGCGGGGGGTGTGATGAACATGGTACTGCTGGTGCTGCTGGTGGGGGATGCACTTCGAATGCTTGATGTGCTGTTGGTCCGGGATGTGCGTCCACTGCGTCTGGTACTGGGGGTGGGCGAGGTGCTAACCCGTGGGGGAGACCTGTTGGCGGAGCGGGTTGCGGCCGCGCTGAAGGAGGACGCGCGGACGGGGAGCTTTGTGGAGCGGAAGACGTCGGGGAAAGAAGTTGTTTGGAAGTCGCTGGCTAGTTGCTCCATCTCCCATGCGAAAGGCGGGCCCTGGACGAGGGAGATGCGGTTGCTGTCGCGGTGGGAGCCGAGGAGACGGGCGTAACCGTTGTCTGTGGAGGCGCAGAGGATTATACGACGGCAGTGGACGTCGAGGATGTCTTGCTCGAACGTGGCTATGGTTGTTAGGATTATGTTGATATGCATATGTAGGGCAACGTACCCCGTATTTTGACGTCTGAACACTCCTTCCCATTGCCGGCGTCGATGAAGTCGCATACACTGCTCTCCATGTTGAACCCCCGAATAAACGGATCCAACCCTTCGTTTGAACGGAGAATGCGGGCTTCGCGGTACGCTTTCACCAGGCCCGGAACGTTGGCATAAACGCGGATCCGATACTGGATGCTGGGGCTGGCTTGAGGATCGATGTCACGGAGATGGCGTTCGACGGACTTTCGCAGGAGAAGAGCTGCTTTGCGTCCACCTTTGTAGCCTTCCCGGACGAGAGCGTTGTTGAACTGGATTGTCAGCGATGGCATACGAGAAAGGACAATTGGCTTACATTCATGCAGTCGCCGTCAACCAGTACGGAGACGAAACTAAGTTTTGCCTGCGATCATGAGTGGGTGTCCGAGGAAGTATAAGGAGGAAATGTACCTGGTCGTGGCGCAAGTCATCGTATTCTGTCCTATAATTCTTCATTTCATTCACGAATGGAACTTCGTTATGCTTGATCGTGTGTTGGAGAACTCGCTGAAGGCCCTCAAGTTGGGCAAAGAGGTCCTATCGTCCGTCAGAGAGGATCATCCATGCTATAGACTGTGGACAAACCTGGATAATTTGGTCTTTGCTATCATCGACCGACATCATGGCCTCATACCGTCTTTTAATGCCGAGAAAGTCCAACATTGTGACGTTTGAATCAAGAGGATGTTTTGAACCACAAAGAGAATAGAAAAGGGTTGTGGAATGCAGAAAAAAATTCAGCGATGACTGCAGTTATCACCTACATATTTATAGCCTAAAATCCGAGCAGACACCACGCTTCTCGTCCCACGATTCATGAGGCTACCGTCACGACCCCATGCTTAGGATATCTGTGACATGTGTAGTGTTGGACTCCACCTCCATGTATGGGACGTGTTAGCTTCCCCAGCCCGCATGAATCACGCCCAGCGGTCCAGACATTGCCGTCAATCTTCCCCCGATCCCCGATAGTGCTTCTAGCGTCTCGCGAGGGAGCCGTGCGGCGGGTAAAACATGGCCAGGGTTGGTTTCGAGCGGGTAGAGAGACGCCTGGGGTGGCCCGTCCTGCAGGCCGGCCGGGCCCGTGTGATAGGCGCTGTGCTGCGGCAGACGGTGCGCAATCACGCCCGGCGGGCGCTAGAATGGTTGGCTGGCAGTGGATATTGTCGGATCGTATCTAGCTCCCGGACATATTCTTAGCACATCTGTCGCCTAAGGTTTGTTAGCTGTTGGTAGCGGTTATGCATCTGCAGGCCCGACTTTAGTATTTTTGTCTTCAGGGGTTCCCTCATCTTGGATATGGTCACATTGGTTGGCCCACAGGGATTTGTATGTGACAACCAAAGATCAACATTCTACTAGGTCTTGCCTAATAGTAGATCTTCGTGTTGGTTTACCCGGAATCCAACTTCATTGTGGATCGCTTGCTTCCAGCAGGGGTCGACCCCTCTCATCAGGCCATCACATGTACATACGAGCGCATCGCTGAGCGCATCGCTAAGCGCGTAGCTAGGGTGTCGGGTGGTTGTATCACATATGAATCAGCTGGATGGAAGGAGAAGTGATGAAATAGTCTATTGTTAGTAGTACGTCGGTGAGGTTGATTGTCAGAGAGAGAAGAGGAGGAAGAAGAGGAGGAAGGGGAAGGAAGAAGCAGCTTTCAGGCCCTTGACCGACGGCAATCACATGACGCCGTCTGTGTCTACAATGGCTAAAAGGCATTGTACCCCCAGTCTTCTATGTAAAAGTACGTGACGGAGTAGCGTTGAGACGGAATCCTTGTCTAAGAGATCAGTGCGTTTAATGACTTGATGATATCGAATTTATATAGTGACGCCTTCCATTAAATCCTTTTCTGCACATGAAGCTCACAGATATACTCGGTTTTGTATCCCACAACACCTATATCCAACAGCTCAAAGCTTCGAAGATGCCGATTCCACATCAAACTCAGTCGTACAGAGCAAAAGCGTATCTTTCAAAGCCTGTAAACCCGATCAGCATCTCAACCACACATGAACAACCAACAACACCATGACAAAGAAAACCCACCGATAACCTATACTTCTCATTGATCTCCTGATAATCCTCGCCAGCAAGCATATCGCAGAAATGCCTAATAGAAGGGTAATGCACAATGGAAATCTCATTCCACCACTCCTCTTCCTTCCTCTCCCAACCTCCCCTCGAATCCACCTCGACCCCAACCGTAGACCTCGGTTTAACGACATTCCCCACCAGCTTCGCATCACCACCTCTTTTCCCCGCAACGGGGACAAACGACTGTCCGTACTGATAATAGCTCTTCTTCCCATCAGGATGGCGAAAATGCAGTAGGTTCAGCATTGTCACTGGGCCCGGATGTAGAGTGGTAAGTTTGTCCATAAATGAAACAAGTTCAGGAGAAAGTTCGAGGTTCTGAGAGCTGGGCTTGTTGCACGCGTGGTCTAGCGACCCTGTCAACGGGACGGATTCGGTGTTTCGTTTTAGAGCTTCGTCTCGGGATGGGTAGGTCGTGAGGAGCTTGGAGGGTATTCCGACTGTCACATGGTACTGGGTCTTTATTTGCAGTTGGAGAGATGGTGGCATTGAGGGCGAGTCTGGTGGTGGCTGGATGAGAACGAGTAGGTCCCAGGGTGTTTTGGTTAGGATGTCCTTGTCGAGGTCAGTCGGGCGGATGACGACATGGCGCGGTCGAGAGGCGACGATGACCGTACGGGTGGATCGGAGGGAGTGGAGGAAGGTGGTCGCATCGGTGGAGAGGGCAAGAAGACATAGCGAGGCAACTGGCATGGTGTGGTAGTGATTGGACTTGACGATGGGAGACGATTGATGGAAAAAGAGAATTGTTCAGGGGGGATGTACGAGACGAGAAGCGGGGAGCGGGGAAATGGAATGCGGAGGAGAGGCGGGTGGAGAATAGGCCCGCCAGTCCGATGATCCGACAACTTCTCCCTCATCTTTCTTTACTACGTGTTCGAGTACACTGCGATAGCACAGCTTTTGCAGCTCCAGGAAAGGAATCCTGGAGGTTTAAGGGACACTGGGTGACATGAAAGTCTTTCATTTTGAAAGAAAGGCTGACAATCCCTGCAACCCTCAAGATTCCCTTTGCTCCTCACCATCCCCCCCTCTTCCTTTTGCTTCCTCTTCTCCTCCTGCTGCTTCTTTTCCCCTACTCCTTATCCATGCATTGGTCCATCTCCGCCTGGCCTTGACGTGATAGGCGGAAGACTTGGCTGTCCCAAGCAAACTCGGTATCATCCACGCAATACAGTGATCCAACAGGAGAAATTACTAGCGTTTGGCACATAGCTCTAAATAGAATCTCCCCTCTCCAAGAGCTACACAGATAATTGCGACAAATATGCCGCCAAATCGGTGCTTTCTCGAGCAAGCTTCGAAACCAATGGCTCTAAATGGAGACTTTCACACGAACAAGGGCACCGAAAATGAGGTCGACAAGGCCACGGAGGAAACTCACAGTGGTCAGGCCCCAACTTTTTAAGAAACGAGCGGAAAGCCCGGGCCTCATCAGAAAAGCTATGCCTGATCACTATAGCGCTGGCATAAATGAATTTGTACACCATTTCCTGGGTTACCACCCATCTTTTCACCGTCTCCCCTCGGCTCCATCGCCACTTGAGGAGCTCCTTGCTCGTCCCGCTCCACGGGCTCTCTCATATCCCTGGCTGGGCAGTGGGGCTGACGGCAATGTTAAGGAGGGCCATTCTGGTGAGGGCATCGACCAAATACACCTACACTATCTCCTGGCCGCTGGATTGCACGCCGATCATTTGGCAGTCAATGGCTGCCGGGGCGACAGAGGGCCCCCAAACTTATATTGGAGCAGCGTGCATATTGGGGCTCAAACGAGTGACGGTAACGAGCGTCTCTGGTTTTTATATCAAGATATACCCACGAGTGCTGACAGAGATTCTAGCCAAACGAGTCACTTTCAGAAGGAGGGAATTTGATTGAGGGAAAGCAGGGGAATACGATTCCTTGTTACAAGGGGCGTATGGAAATGAGTAAGTTGTAGTTTCCTTGTCCTTGACAGCTAATTGGCCCATATCTTTGAGGAACATGCTCTCTTTCGGGAAAACGAACCCTGCCCCTAAGAACTTGTACTACTAGTACTATCAGTAGGAGGAGGAAGATCCGGATGGGGTGTATAGCATCCTCGAAGCTTAATACAGCAAGCGCACTCCTCCGTGCAATGCCCAAACACCTTGACGATTTGCCTGACATCGCTTAATCCCTCCCCCGGCCGATGATGCCGATAAAGAACCCTTTCGCAGCATCCACAAGATCGACCGCAACATCCCCCCGTGTCAGCACATCTTCTCCGGCCCTCAACCCACGCAAACGTCCGTCTGCATTTATCATGATACAACCGCGAAGTGTTGAACAAAATGGCAAAGGAATTTCCCTTCACCTCCCCCTTGAGCCCCTCCATACGATGTTGATGCTTCCAGTACTCTCCACGAAGCGTTGCCAGTTGTGTCTCGATGATGTTCGGGTTGACTGAGTAGGGCGGAGGGGTATCGTCAAGCCAGACTTCCGTGGATCCGAGACCGAAACTCGCATGGCTGATCTGCTGCTGCTTCTTGGCTGCTTCATATTCGAGTTGTAGACGATGCTGGCGTTGTAAGATGGCAACTCCCTGGGTTTCCTCCCTCTGGACCCGGGTTCTCCATGTTTCCACATCAGTGCCTTTCCAACAACCGCGTGTATCATCTCGGGCTTTTTTTAGCCGATAAGGATACTCGCTTTCGAAACTGCGCTTTTCCTTGGGTTGACGAGACCAGAATGGCATTTTGGCGGATAGTGTGGGAGTTGGTGGGAGAAGGTATTTGATTCGTAGATGTTGGTAGATGTAGGGAAAGTGGTGGTTGGTCTTAGGTTACATACTATTACGGGAAAGAACCCTAGCTCCTCCGAATGACGCTGAAGTGATGATCGGGGATTTATCATATGATGCAAAAGCAAGATCATACTCATATAGTTACTAGCACCTAGTGGCCTCAGCACGTCAGCGAGTATGATGCGCAAAACTGCTGTCACTTCAGCCACCGACCGTACGCAAACTCATACCTTGAAATTAAGTAGTATACCAGGTGAGTAAGCGGCCCTGGGTGCCTGGGACCATGCAGAGAAATGATATATAGTACTCTGGTCTCTGGCTCTCAAATACTTCTTATATTGGGGTGCTGTCTGGTAAAACTTACATCCCCCTATTTACTTAGGGTCGCGTTCGATCGACCACCCCGGTGATTTGAGGTCCAACATGTTCATCTTATAAAATTCTCGTGGCTTACATGCTGCGAGAGTCGCGAACACAGTGCACCATCTTTTAGAGATTGCCATAAATTCCAGCAATTTATTGAAGTGGCACTGCATGACATCTTCACGGCCGCTGGTGACGAAATAGCTTGCTGGAGAGAACATCTTCGAAAAGGCTGCCCGGAAGCTTGGGTCGGCTTGCTTCTCACTCGACTAACCCATATTCACATTCTCCGGATAAACTTTTGGCGTGGCCATCTGATCAATCAAATCGTGGTCAAAGCAATAAGGCGACAACAGCCTTTCCACAACAGGTCTCCTTTTCCGTACTTGCGAACAGTTTGGGTGGATGCCTGCACAACCCCAGACCCCCTGAGGATGTTACCAGAATTGGCTAAGTGGATTGCATCGTGCGAGAGAACCAGGGAACTTATCATTACAGTGTCTGTGAATGACTATGGTCCCGACTCTGTTCCTTACTATTTTGATGCGACAGCACTGCGCATGTCCCTCCTCCCAGCCAAGGACACCCTTAATTATCTTGACATTGCCTTTGACGTCAAATTTGAAGTCTACTGCCAACAGCCTTACCGAATTCAAACGAACTTTCTTGATGATTGTCCTTTTGGCTCACTGAAAGAATTCCACGTCTTGAGGACTCTGTGTATTCGGCATACAAATCTCCTTGGTTGGGAGCCTCAGAGTTCAACTCCCTTGTCTGACTTGCTTCCACCCTCTCTTCAGAGTCTGACGATTGAGTACATTACTGGGTACTGTGCTACTCATCTCAAAAACTGTCTTTTAGACCTAGTAAATAACCGAGAACGGTCCGTTCCTCACCTTCGTTCGATCGAAATCCGATCTAATGTCTATAATGACGCGGTCAACATCTCGGATGAGCTTTTGGACGCCCTGAGAAATGCATGTGAGACCAAGGGCATCTTTCTGAAAGTCGACTTGCGCTTAACTCGTTTGTGCTAGAGATTAATCATTGAGATTTATCCAATGTTGAGACAAGTCTTGTTCTTTGTTTTCTTTCCACTATTCTACCTGTTCTTAGTGACTCTTGTCTCTTGTTTCAGTTATTTCCATTAGCTACAGTCTCTTGATCATCAAATCTACTCATAAAAAGCCTCAAGCTCTGCCTCTGAATGTGGGGTATCAATTAGTCTGTAGATCTTCTTTTAATTCTTCAATACCATCCACATCCCTGCTTATCCTAGTGATTATATTTTAATCATGAAGCATCTGGAGACCCCTACATCTACCTTAGGAATCTCTCTCTACCTTAGTGGTCAGGGTAGGGGAGCCGTTGCCTCGAAAGGTGCGGGCCAGTGATTCCTTCCTTTCTCAGCATTTCAAAACATACAACCTACTCAATATCATTGTAGGTGCGACCCCGAAGTGCTAGGCGGAGGGGTCCGTTAATAGGTTTTGAATGATCCTTAATCGGCGCAACCCTTTATAACCAGCTACAACCAGCCGCAACACCACCATCATCATTGCAAGCCCCCCAGTATGTATTACCTTCTATCGCAGTGCCTTCAAACATGCTCTTTTTGGTGGGTTCGTGGGTTGTCAAGGGCTCGGCTAGTGAGCGGGAGTGTATATTCGGCATAGCCCGTTGAAGCCAGTTGCATCGTATGAATTATATACATAGTATGGAACGGTGGGACGACTGCGGTGCTAATAAAACACCGTCCTAGATTCCACAAACAGGCTAAACTCCCCACGACGCATCATGCCAACTCTTTCCGTTCCCGGCACAAAGTGCTCTTTTCTCTCCTCAATTTCATCCAACTCGTCCGCGTTGAGAATACTCACCCACCGCGCATACATATCTAATTCGGACCTCGGGGCCTGAGGCAACGCGGGAGAACCGTCCCGTGAGGGCAGGAGACCCAGCGCCGCCATGCGTTCCTGGTCCCAGAAAACAAAGCCAAAGCAGCGGAAGACCCGGAAGCTCACGTGTAGAAGCGGTGATATGCAATGTGTAGCTAATCGTCTAGTCACGAATTTATAGCTCAGTGCTTCAGAGGTGATCTCATCATCCCTTTTTCCAATGTCGATAGCGCGAGGAGGAGGACAGTTGCATTGATACTGCCACTGTGCCCTCCGTGCGAGTGCTTTCGCGGCATGATATCTTTCCACCGGACATGGCAAGGTCGGGAATAGACAGCTGCACCACTCGACCATGGTCCGAGCTTCCTCCATAAGCTGGCCGGAAACGTGGCCTTTCCATGTTTGCTCACAGTGCCAGATATTTTCTGTGTGTAGATTCTGGAGCTTTTGTACTTCATCCGCGGACCAATTCAAACGAGGGCTTAGGCCGTAGACCGCGTCACGAAGCTCCCATGTCAGAAAAACCGACCAAAGAGCCCGAATCACCCTCTGCTCTTCAACTGCAGATGGTGCACCTACATCTTCCTGGTACATTCTCTCCCGCGGCCCGGTTGGGTGTCGACCAAACCCGCGCATGTATTTCAGATCTTCATTTTTCGTGTGGAAGAACTCCAATGCCATACAGCGGTCGATCATCTCGTGAATACCGGCGTGAGCTAAGTAGTGGATGGTGGCTGATGCAGCCAGAATGTCGCAAAGAGTTCCCAGTGGAAGCTCCCGTGGTAGATTGGTATACTTGTCGTTGTTGACGTACTGCTCAATAAACGAATCCATGTCGGCCACAAGACGGGCGTTCCATCGCAAACAGGCGAACTTGCAAATCAAGACTCGAGTCTCGGCTGGCATACTGGAATCCATGATTCTCTGGATGATTCGGCGTGCGGTGCCATCTTCGTGCAGGAGAGAAAATACCGCCGGTGATGCTCGATATATGCTATGGAGAGACGAAAGGTCTTCCAGTTTTTCAAGAATGGCCTCCAGGATGTGCCATGGTAGGGTGGTAAAAATGTCAGACTGATGTTGGGACATGACTTCTCTTTTTGGTTGAGGTGCAGGGGGAGGGAGACTTGCAAGGCTGGCTAAATAAACAGTCATTAACTTATAGCTTCTTCTGGATTCACCGCCATTTTGCAGCTAGTCGATCCGCTTTTCTTGGTGGCTGCAGCCTTGTTGAGGAAATTAGTGGTTTATCCCCAAGTTGATAATCTGTGGCGGGACCTGAGGAGGTGTTGTGTGAGACTGAATGTTGTGTCAGCGGTGCCTAAGCTTGGTAATAATCAGTGACTGCCTCGGCAGTCCTACGCGGCCTGCAGCCACCTCTGACTTCCTCCTCTCTTCCTCCTCTCTCCCCCCTCTCCCTCTCCACCTCCTCGCGAGTTAGCTGGCTAGACATCGCCTATCGTCGAGACAGCAATCCTATAGCCTTGGTTTCTTGCTGTGGTTCCGGTCCAGCTCCTGAACTCATTTGCTATATTTCGCTTCGTCAACTTATGATTGACCTCAGAGAAACCCAGCTCTCCAGCTGCTTTCCTAAGAACGCGAGGCTTATGATGACTCTACGCGCTCTACAGCGCTCAGAAGATCTCTTCCCACCAAAACTGTCTCTTTAAAGTTGATACCCTAAGGGGTAGACCAGCTATCTCTGAAGAGGAATTAGCGCACCTTCCCTGATTATTTGAGCTTAGCCTTCATCTTTCCCTGTCAGCGACTTCTCGTGCTGAAGAACATCCAATCACTTAGAAATCATCTATCTCGGAGCAATTACAGCAACTCCTAGGACAATTAAGATTTTCCCTGCTACATGCCAATGATCAAAAAGGATTCGATATTCCGATGCCCACGAGATGGATCGGACGTGGAGCTCTTTCATTTAGTGCAAGATCAACGAGCCCAGCAAGCAACATTCGGGACATTTATTTATCATATCATGCAATCCTCCCCACCCCGATGTACGATGGGAACTATACCGTGTTGATATGGGATTGGATCACGGAAAGTAACTTGACTTTCGACAATGGCGTGGAGAAACAAACTGGTCAACAATGGAATAGTAACCCCAATTCTCCGCTTGTGCTTCGGGCATAGTTCTGAATCTCGCCTCGTCGGTCCCATTTGCCGAACATGGATCTACCATACTCCGCAGATCTCGCGAGATAAGGTCCGGACTCCGACATGAATATCCCAGATTCGGTTTGGCACCTTCACTGTGGGGCAAAAGATGTTTTCAAATTGAGCCAGAAAGAGCAAATACTCGCGATAACTCGTGCGAAATCATGAACCTAGTCCTTCAGCGGGGCGGAGCTGCCGCGAAACCTACGATTCAGTAGGATATCATTGTTGTGGCTGAGCTGGTGTCAAAAATGGATGCCTAAAGAATCAGGTTTCCAAGCCTACGCGTGAGATTTTAGACCTTGCTTTTTATCCTGACTTTCAATTTGCGCACGGTGCGATTTCTAAAGACATTGACGATGCTGTCAGATATTTTGTACCCTTTTTCTCCTATTGTTTGAGACGAGGAACAGGCCTCACCAAAGGTCGGAGATTTCCCCTCGCACGCTAAATCCCTACTCTTGTGGACTAGATCCAAGCCCCCAGCTCAGCCGCAAGCCGCAAAACAGTCCGGCAAGAAAAAAAGTGGAAATTTCAACCGAGTTGCGCTCCATCGCAAGGCTAGAACGCAAAGACTAATTCTGGCCAGGACGCTTCAACTCTCAGGAATATTTAATTCCCATCCTCCCCCAGAGCGGGCACCCGTATATAACCTGACCCAAGACTAACACCCGACCTCACATCAACCCACCACCGCAATGGATCTGAACTACGATTCCACCCACCTGGCCGGCCGAACCATCCTAATCACGGGCGGCGCATCCGGCTTTGGCGCCGCCTTTTCCACGCGGTGGGCCACCGCCGGCGCGCAGATCATCATCGGCGACATCAACCCAGCCGGCGCAGAAGTGGTCGCGCGAATGCGCACGGAAACCGGCAACGATGACATCCATTTCATCCAGCTAGACGTCACATCGTGGACGTCGCAAGTATCGTTCTTCCGGGAGGCCGTCCAACTGAGTAACCATGGCGGCATCGACGCCGTCGTCGCCAACGCGGGCGTCAGCGACGGCGCGGAGGCCCACGCCTTCGAAAACCCCAAACCAGACTACCTGGATGGACCCATCCCGTCCCCTCCCAGCCTCCGAACCGTGGAAATCAACCTCATTGGCGTCATGTACACCGTCCACCTCGCGCTGTCGCTCCTGCCAAAGAACCCGGACTCGAAGCCCTGCGAGGAGGCCACCAACGAGCTGTCCTCTCCCCGCGATCGCCACATTCTTCTCCTCGGCTCCGTCTCCAGCTTACATCCCCTCCCCACCCAGTCGCCATATTCCACCACCAAACACGCCATCCTCGGCCTCTTCCGCTGCCTCCGCGTCAGCGCCCCCGTCACTGCCGGCGTGCGCGTGAACATCGTCTGCCCGTATTACACCGACACGGGGGTGATGTCCGCCGCCGCGAAGGTGATCCTGGCTGGCGTCCCGATCGGCAGGCCCGAGGACGTCGTCGAGGCGGCAACGTATCTCGTTGCCAACAAGAAATGCATCGGGCGGTCGCTGGTCACAGGCCCGAAGCTGAAGCTGGATATCCCTGATAATGTGTACATGCGTGGAGATGATGCCCTAGAGAAGGTCAAGTATGTGGTGGAGAAGGCGGACGTCGAACGTCCCATCTGGGAGGTCAGGCTGCATGATGTTGACACGGCGGATGTGTTTACCAAAAGGATGATTCGCATTGTGGCTGCGGTGACGGCGCTGAGGGGCTGGGTGGGTTGGGCGCAGGGGATGGCGGGCGCTGTAAAGCTTTGGTGGTGGGGGAAACGATAGGGTGCTTTTTGTTTGATTAGATGGGTATATAGACCGGTTGTATATTTTGATTGTTGGGGGTTAGTGGATATAAACTAACAGATGAATATTGTCGATGGCTGGGTTCGGGGGCTCTGGTCTATAGGATGGACTTATGGATAAGATGGGATCCTATCTTGGGGCTTGGAGGTTCTGAATAGGTACCTGATCGAACCTCATAATCTGGCACATAATCAACAAGAAATTCTAAGAGCTTACCCGGGCAGACAGAGTAGGACAGTTGTATTTGTCTAGCGATTGACATTCTAAAACCATCATATATCTTCCCGCCAAAATACGTACCACCACTGCCCCTATCCAGGTACAGACAGGTACATGGGGACCTTAGCAGTGGGGTGGAGTTGATTCCTTCCACCCCCTCACGCAGTCCGCACCGCACGACACAAAGCCGGCTGCGGAATAACCGTCAACCACCCATCTCGCTCATACACATCAACCCAGTGCTGCACTCCTTCCGCGACCAGTTTCTCCCGGACGAGATCCTTCCATCCCAAACCCACATCAACAAGACCCGTTGAACTCCCATTCCAGCTCATCATGCGCCCTTTCTCCCCGAACGCCTCCCACGCGGGGCCCTTATCACCATATATAAAGCTAGTGTAGGCGTCGCTCATTCTATCTGCCGTGGCGCTGATTTCCGGATCCACACGAGCAGGTGGTTGGTAGAAAAATATGCCGTTGCCGAACGAGTGCCACGCGTATCCGCCTAGCGGGCCAGGGCTGTTTCCTTCGAAATCTGTTCCGGGGTAGGGGTCCGGAATGTCGATTGAGTATAGGTAGACCTTGCGATGGGGTTTTGTGGCGTTGCGGGTGCAGAATTCGAGATCGGGCGCGGTGAATAATGCGTGCGTGGCGATGGAAAGGAGAGAGTGGAGGGGTGAAATATCGGGGCTGGGACGTATGGCGGATAAGGCTATTTCTGCGGGGCGTGGGTGGGAAAGGATGGTTTGGACATGGGTTTTGGCTTCTTCCTCTGTGAGGTCAGAGGGGTAGGCAGGGGAGAGGAACAGGGCGGCTTCGTCTTTGAGGTGGCCGATGATTATCTCGGGGCACCAGACGGGCAGATTGGCCCAGTAGTCCGGGGAGGATATCTGCTGCGGATCCCAGTCGGCGAACCAGTTCGGATCTTCGATAGGGTAGGATACGACGGGACTTGGGTGGAGTGCGATCAGGTCCTCGGGGTTGTGGGCTCGGAGGGCTTGTAGTTTGACCTGATAGGGCGCGTCCGCGTCGATTCCGATGCCTTGGACGAGAGAATCGAAGATCTGCTGGGTTTCAGAAAGTTTCCGGAACATTGGTTTAGGACAGGAGCAGAAGATCGCTTTCGAGAACAGAGGTACGCCGTGTTTGAGCAGGTAGAATATAGAGGCTGCGCCGGCGGACTCCCCCGCTACTGTGACCTGCGAAGCGTCTCCGCCTAGATGGCTGATGTTCTTCTGGATCCATTGCAGAGCAATTTTTTGGTCGTTCAGTCCTTGGTTGAGGATTGGTACTTCCCCGGCATCACTTGCCTCCGCGATGAGTTCCTGCGAGGATAAGAAGCCCAGGAAATGGATGCGATAGTTGATGGTTACGATGATGACAGGCTTGCCCAACTCTATCGATCGCTTGACAAGATGGTTCCCGTCTGCCATGAGCAATAAGCGACTGGATATACCGGTTGTTTGGAGTATACATACCGTACTCTGTCGCATTGCTCCCCGTGTTGAACGCTCCTCCATGGATCCAGACCAGCACCGGAAGCTTCTTAGCATTCTGGGAGAACACGCTAGGAGGTGCGTATATATTCAAGTGAAGACAGTCGACTTCATCTTTCGGATTGGACAGGCTCTGCTGCTCATATATGTGGCTAAACAAACGCAAGGTCGGGTCCGCGGGCTGGGGGCATAGCGGGCCGTAATGGCGGGCATCTAGTCGGCCCTCTGTGGTAGCGGGGTTAAGCATGGAGGCTGTCTGGAACCGGGCTGGGATAGCTGCGTATGGGATGTTGAGCAGGTTGACAACGCCATGGCTGGAGATAAACCCATCGAGGGTGAGGCCACCCAGCGTGGCGGAGAAGTCGGAGGCATAGTTGTTGAGGGGCATGTTGTGGACTGCGGGGTAGATGGCTGTAGGAAACTTGGAATGAAGACCCGCGCCATTCCACCTGGCGGGCCGTCCCTCGCCGTTCCCTTTTGGGCGCGAGCGGGCGCGTCAGGTGACGGGTTATGTAAGTCCACAGATGTGGATCTCGGGACTCTTCTCTTCATCTGTTCATATTCAAACTGCCAAACCGCAGGCAAGACTCCAGGGCTCGCGTCAATGGTGACTCAGTCTGTACAGAAGCAGGAGGGAAGGACCGATATGCCTACGCGTCTCGTTTGAGGTGCGCTACCGCGGCGTCCGTCAAACTGCTAATCGACACAGCTTTGTTCAACAGTTTTAGGACAGAAAACTCCATGCTGAACTTCGGGGAAAACCAGGACTGGGACTCAGGTGATCATAGTATCTATCCCGTAGCCTGTCAGCGGCTTGCGGCATCCACATTCATTGTCGAGAGAAGCTGCACGAGGTTGCTGAAGCGCTTCGAGATATATACATACCGGACCATGTCAATCAGGGACCCCCAGTCTCCAGCGAGGATATCACTTCTGCGGGCAACTACTATCGGTCCTGGCCACTTTGCCCGTCAAGTGAGCGATTGATGACCACCGGGTGAGAGTTGTTAAACCCCTTTTGGCGCAGTTACTTCAGCCCAGAAGACTCCAGTCCGGTCAGAAGAGGGCTCTGTGTGTTATGGTCATACATGTGTGGATTACTGGCGGTCTGGAGCCAAAGATTACCGACAATCTGAAGCAGTTCGCCCTTCATAGTGTGAATACACTTGTGCAACAAAGTTCCTCGATCTCGAGCTTCTCCTCAAGATTGCCAAATTCCGATATTATGCCAGTCTAATACACGTGGCTGGAAGAGCAGGATATGGCCGATAGCGGACAGACTCATCCGGGAAGAAATTGGCAGAACAATACTTGGATTTGGTTGCAGTTCCGAGAATATTTGAGATCACCCAGGTTCTCTGCCGTGGTACATATTGGTAAAGGCTGTGTCATTGAGCAGTTCCTTCATATCACGCTTACCACCGCTGGGAAGATCCCGTTTGCCGAGTTCTATCAACAGGTCGCATGCAGAAGGTTCCGAGTAAAGAGGTCAAGACAACGTCTACCGCTGACAATAGAATCACCCCACCAAAAAGAAGCTAGACCCCATGGAGGAATCCCGCGACTGAGACCCGGCCATTCGGCTCTACCCGCCCCATAACCTTGGTGACAGCCTTATTGAATTTCAGCCAGTGACGTAGACGTACACAGACCCTGCTGCGCCCCATCAATCGATATCCGACATCCTATTATCACCTGGGACAAAGGCGCTGTGGCTGAGCTAGGCATGCATGACTCGGGTCCTTCGAGCCAGGCAGCACCTTTTCCTTATAATAAGTACGGGGTACCTCTGAGTCTGTTTTATCGAAGCCCCTTCAACAATTTCAGAAAACATCATAACAATACAGAAGGTATCAAAATGGGGTCCAAACCTTACGAACCGACCCCTCCCTACGAGGAGGCTACCAGCCAGCCCGCGACCCACACGCATATTGTACGTTGGACAGAGACCTAACCACAGCACAGCTAGATTTCTAACAAATGCTCGCTCTATATAGTACGATTCAATCCCACAAACCGAGCTCGACGACATCGAAAGACAAGCCCCTCATGAACATGGCAGTGACAACGGGGCGACTAGCTCCATCGTCATGAAGCCGCACGAGCACTGCGAGACCTGTGAGCGGGCCATCATCCGGAGGGAGAGGCATTCCAGCCACAGGCAGTGCTGCAAGATGGTCGCGATTGTGTTAATTGTTCTCTTTATATGTCTGATGATTTTGGGTATCGTGTTGGCTTGTGTGAGATAGGGTGGATGGGGCACAACCACAACCGGGTTTCCGAAGGAGGAATACGGGGGCTCAGGATGGCTACTATATATATTTGAAGAACTAGGATGGGGAATACGATGTGACCGAGGGCCCAGGCCGGAGGTTCTCCTTCGTTCAGTGATTTTCTGCTATCACGTCGATGTTTCCAATGTCGAACACATAAAGTGCAAGGATCTTTGTCCCATCCTCACGGTTCCACAATGGCCGGATGCAAGTGAGAATCCAGGCCTGGTCTCCTCGAGGAGGGTAGTGGGCGTAATACCACCAGCTTCCCCGAGTTGTTCGTGATAAAAGGCATTTAATACAAGCGCGCCGTCTCCAATCATTATACTATCATCCGGGAAAAATATACCGTGCGTCATACAACAGAAATCATAAATCGTCCTGTCATTGAATTGCTGGGGGGTGGGTTTGAAGATGTAGCTGCTTCGTGTCGGTTTGAGTTATCTGGAAGGGAATATCATCAGGGCCTTAAGGGGTGATGGCACTGGAAGAAGAAGTTTCATTTCTCTTCGCCTCGATGTTTATCCCCCCTGTATTGTTCGTGGGGATGGCTAAGGAAATCGACAAGGACACTAACAAGAACATCGACGTCGAGAAACATACCCATTATACTCCGATATACGCGGATGCACACCGCTACATGACCCCTTTCCCCCAACCCCCGGACTGTGACGCGTGCGAGCGAACCCTGACACGGATGGTGGGACGTTTTTTTCGATAAGGTATTCACAGTGTGGAACGTGGTCGAGATTGTTGTCATGTGAATTACCTTTTTCGCTATCTTGATCTATGTGATGGTTGCCCCTTACAGCAGTGGACAAGAGCCCGCGAATGTGACTGTTGCTGAGGGTATCTGAGGTATAACGAACGGCGTCTGGGGTCGTTGGGTTATGTGTCTCAATGGGGAATTTTATTTAGGGTGGCTATGATGTTTTCAAGTAACCTCTACTATATTATAACAGATGACATGGTTCCAATTATATTATATTTACTGAAGATTGCACGGAACCTTATGCGTATCTAGATATTAGTTTAGACAACACACAAAATATCTCGGGGGAAAAAACAATCGCGGTAAACAATAAAATCTAGCCCTAACTCGCGGAGAACCACCCTCCCGACTAGTTACGCCCGTCCCGCCATCATGACTACCGACGGCAGTCTTATCCAAGCCAGACCTCAGACCTGGCCATCCGATAGAATTCCCTATATCTCTGTCCCATCGATCAAAGATCCCTCCTCCCCCTCTTCAAACGCAACACGCCCACTCAGAACACCAAAATGACCTCTCTGCTAACCCGGCCTCCCAAGGCGCAAACCAAATTACGCGAAACCCAACACCCAACCTCTTATACCTAACAGCCCAGCAAAGACAACACGGCACAGTACATTCCAGTCCACCCTCTCACAAGATTTCTCCCTACCTAGTACGACAAATCCCCATCAGCTATCGAGCTTGAAGACATCGACATCGACATCGACATCGACATCGAAAGCCTCTCCCCTCCATACCAGACCGAAGATGATGCGACCTGCCTGATACCCGCAGTAGGAAAGCGGTACTGGCATCTGGCGTCTGGCGTCTGGTGTCTCTCGGGGTGTGTTGGAGGGGGAGTCGCAATGATTAGGACATTTGGGGAATATGGATATTACTCAATAACAGACTTATTCTCAATACTAAGAAAGCGCTAGCTACTTTAATAACTATATCGCATCGAATGATCTAAATTTTAAGAATATCCCTCCAAGGCCCACCTCAATCTGACTCTTACTCCCACTCCCACTCTCCCAGTACGCCACCTCCCCCATCCCCATCCCTATCCCCATCCCCATCCCACCTCCACCTCCAACCCCGAGGGCATATACATATACACATACATATACACATAAACAAACATATCTAACAAGCCTCCTCTCCTCGCCTCTTTTCTCCACTTTAGTCCGAAACCAACCCCGACATCGAATACCTCGCTTCTCAATACGAATACGACAAACTTCGATATTTTGATGTTGGGACTCAGGAGGGGATTTGGGGGGCGGGGGGGGGGGTCTGTTTTTGTTGTTGAGAGGTCTGGAGAGTGGGCTTGTGGATAGGGGATTAGAGTCGATATTGGTATTGACTTTGACATTGATGTTTCAAAAGGCTGTGCTGGGTGAGAAGGGAGGACTGGTTCGTTTGAACTAAATATCTCATGAGAAAGACTCTTGCTAAAAAAAGCTTTTTGAGAAAGAATTAAATCTAAGAAGCCAACTCTAGACGGGTATATGAAACCAAACTGAACCCAATGAAAACCATGCAAACCATGCCCCCTCCTCCTCTCCCCCCACATTCTATACACACCTCTTCATCCCCATCACGCCTTCTGGGCCTTAACCTTCTTGTTATACGGCCTGACACGGAAAAACCAGTAAAACACCGACGCTGCAAAGATATTAAAGACAATATAAACCCAGAAGATGCCATAATTGCGCCAGCGCTCATCCCAGAAGATCTCTCTTCCAGCCAGATACTGGTCCGCGGAGCGGAGGGAGCAGTATTCACAGTTTTCGGTAGCGTTGTAGTTATACAGCTCGCCGGTGGCGGTGGTGAGATAGTCCGCGAGGTACTGGCCGCAGGTCTGGCCGGAGGGCGGGTTGAATGTGCTGAGTTCGCTGGTGGAGCAGACGATGGGGCGGCCGTGGAGGGCGGTGGCGGCGATGCCGCCGATGTAGTAGGATAGCGGGGAGACGCGCCACATGAAGATCCAGAAGCCCGGGAGGGCATCTGGTGGCTGCATGACGCCGTTGAAGATCAGGGAGAGACCAAACATGAAGACGGCGAGCATGCCACCTAGTGCCGGGTTGGGGAGGGCGCTGATCACGAATTGCGCGAACGTGGACGCGAAGATGTAGAATTGGATGATGAACAGGAGGATCAGGCCCTTGCGGTCGGCGGTTTGGTCGTCGCCAAAGACGGCGAAGTAGAAGGATGCCCATGCGCACACGGCGAGCACGATGTGCCAGGGGATTTCGGCGAGGAATTGCGCGACGATGAAGACTTTCCAGGAGTAGACTTTGGAGGGTCGTTCGCGCACTTCGTACAGCGCGCGGTTGGCGACGAAGTGGGGCATGATTCTGATGAGGGTTAGATGGGGGAGTTACTTGATAGGGTGGGTGGGGGGATGACGTACTGGTTGACCAGGGTGGTGAAGATGGTGCACAGCAAGAACAAGCTGAAGAGCACATTTTGGAAGCCTTGCTGGGAGTCGTCGGACTGCCAGAAAGAGAACCCGATGAAAATACCAGAGACAATGCCGAGAACGAACTTGGCGAGAACATATTCGGGCTGGCGGAAGTACTGCTGGAACACCCGGCGGGTCACGTAGTAGAACTGACTGGCAAGGGGCATGGCGAATTCCATATTGCTTTCATCAACGGCCTCCTTGGACGACCCCTGATGGCAGATGCGATCCAATTCAGCGCGGAGTTCCTTGCGTTCAGGGCTGTTGTTCCAGGTCTGCACCCAGTCGATCGTGCTCTTAGTCGAGGCACTGGCGCCGATAATCTCGAGCATGTATTCAGCGGGCTATGAAGGTTAGATTGTGAATGGATGTATAGGCCACAGGCGGACTCACATTCTCGGTATCTTTACACCGACGAGCGCCGTTGCTTTGAAAGTAGTCAAGCATGGTCTGAGATTGCTGGCCAATGTCACCGAAATACACGGTCTTTCCACCCTTAGCCAGGAACAGCAGCCGATCGAAATGCTCGAACAAAAGAGCGCTAGGTTGATGGATAGTTGCCAGAACAGCCTGTCCGTGATGCGCGAGCTTCTTCATGAAGGTGCAAATAGCCCATGCACTCTGCGAATCCAAACCACTGGTGGGCTCGTCCAAGAAGATGAGAAGCGCCGGCTTGGCAGCCAACTCGACACCAATACTCAGGAGCTTTCTTTGGCACACATTCAACCCGTTACCGGGCATGCCAACAACGGCTTCAGAGAAGTCCTCCATGTCAAGCATCTTGATCACCTCTTCCACATAAGCGTACTTTTCCTGCAGAGAAACGGACCGTGGCTGGCGTAGAACAGCACTGAAACGAAGTGCCTCGCGGACAGTCGATTGTGCCAGGTGCAAATCTTGCTGCTGAACATATCCGACTTTGCGGGGGAAACTAGCGTTCAAATCCTTTCCATTGACCATGAGATCACCCGTGATGACTCCAAGCGATGCCCGCTGGGCGAGAACGTCCAATAGCGTAGTTTTACCTATAGAATCGTTAGTACAAATAACACATATCTAACGACCTTCATCCCGAGAACAACGTACCCGCTCCACTGACACCCTGCAAACAAACGGTCAGTACAAAATCTATCATGTGGGGAAAGGTCACATACCATCAGGGCGGTAAGAGTTCCTGGCTTGACAAAACCGTCGACATCATCAAGTAGCCTGCGTGTTCCTTCTTTGACCGGAATATCGTAGGAGAGACTCTTCCAGGTGAAGATTTCCCTTTGCTCCGGAATATCCGCACCAAACTCCGTCTCCCCCTGTCCTTCGGACGTCATGACTTGAGTGCAATCGCCACCAGATTCCTCATCCTTCTGCAAATTGGCGGGCACGTGTCCGGGACGGAAGACCAACGCTTCGGCGGTCTGTTTCTCGCCAGGAGACAGCTCCGTCACGGTAAGGTAAAGGGTGTTGAAGACAATCAAGAAGGCGATCAGGATGCCGAAATTCCTCCAGATGTGTTTGTAAGTGTATTCGTAGTTGAGATAGATGAATTCATCTCCGGAGACTGTCCGCGCGCCGGCCACTGCACCGACTGACGAGCAGATGAAAGCATCTCCGGTGAGGGTGGCGTAGTCGGGAATGAATTCCGAACACTCGAACATCCGACCGTGGAACTCGTTGGAAATCAGGCCTTCGAATGAGTAGTAAATAGGATTGATCCATCTGATCCAACTGAACCAAGGGTGCATGTAAGGTTGGGGTAGAGTGAAGCCCGCATACACGACCATGCAGATGACGCAGATTCCCGCCAGGGCCATCGCTTGCCCAATACTTTTCGTCAGGGCTCCAAGGCTTCGGAAAATGCCGGACATGGTGATGACGGTGGTGATCAGGAACAAGAGATAGATGAAAAACTGAGAGGGCTCTCGTCGAAGGTTCGCCATGAAGTAAAGAATGATACTGAAGCAAGAGCATCGGAATATCTTGATAGGTAAGTCGAGCACAATTGAGGCCAGTGATTCCACAAAAGGATGAACAAATGCGTAGCCAGCTTGCTTTTCAACAATCGGGCGTTGAGCGTATAGTGACATAATCTCGTTAATGGCGATCAGGGCATTCATCAGGACAGAAAAGTACAACGAGGCTCCTTTCTGGAAGAAGCCGGCTGTGGCATTAGGTGTGTTGTAGAAGATTGAGCCGATGATCAATGAGAGCGCGATTTGAACAAAGACAGTAATGAGTGTGGTTGGAAGATCGTTGCGGGTTCTTTGGTAGGCGCGTCGCAAGCAGATCGAGAGTTGCATGGGAACCGAGAGAAGATAAGGACTTTTGGGTCGAACGTGATTTGCTTGCTGTGCATGTTTGGTACCGCCGAACTTGGTCGCCAACTCATTGCTCGGCGTGTATTCTTCTTTGTAGCCTCTCATCCTTTCCTGCAGAGCCTGGTGTTGTGGGCTCCTCTTCCAGTAGGCCTCAAATTCGGCTGCTGTCCGGGGAACTCTGCCTGCCATCTCGGGTTTGGCGACTCTTTCGCGGGGGTTGGTGACGGACGTAAGGAAATCCGGGGTGATCTGTTTGAGAGGTCGTTCCCAGCCCATTTCCTCGAAATACCGCGCTCCTTCTTCGGTGGGACCGTAGTAGATTTGGCGACCTTCGTAGAAGACGACAACCTGGTCGAAGAGATCGTACATAGACTCGGATGTTTGGTAGGCTGCAACGGCATGACAGGAGCCGACAAGGTCAGAAGACAGACGAAGGGCTTTGATGAATTCAAGCGCCATTGCGGCGTCGAGACCACGCGTACTGTTGTCCCAGGCGCCGATGGGGGCACGGGACAGGGCCATCTCCGCGATACTATCCAGGGTCAGTTCAGTTCATGTTTGATATTGACCAAAGCGACTGACCTCACTCGCTTCCGCTCACCACCACTGACACCACGGACAAAGTCGTTGCCGACCTTGGTGTTGTACGTATGCGACAGTCCGAAGAAGGCCATGATGACCTGCACCCTGGTCTTGACGTATTCCGCCCGACTCATTCCGCCAAGTCGGTTGTGTGGTGCGCGTGCGTGCGCAGCAAATTCAAGTGTTTCGCCGACAGTCAGGTGAGGAAAGTGCTTGTCGACCTCTTCGTTATATAGCACCTCGCCACGGTATTCTTTGATCATTTGGGGAAATGTGATGCCTTTATATTGGATGTGGGTACGAGGGTCCAGATCCAGTCCGTTTAAACGCCCGGTGATGGTCTTGAGGAAGGTCGAACATCCGCTGCCAGGCCGGCCCAAAACGAGAAGCAGTTCCCCGCTGGACAGAACACCATCGACGCTATGGAGAATCGTCCGACGGCTGCTTTTCTTCTTCGTGAACATCGATGCTGCCATTGTGGCCGGGGCCATTAGTGTGGATAGGACAGTCTGTTGGAGATGAAGCGAAGAACCCGATCCATGAACACACAGGTCTTCAAACAGGATGCCTTGCTGCCGCGCGTCGATATCATCGGCATCCAAGGCGCGGATGGTCATCTTGGCCCATTTGTACGGGTCAAACTGGGGGTTGGAGGGGTCCAAGGATTTGTCGTTGGTCGCAACGGCTGCGAGCGACTCGGGATGCATTTCGGATGCGATGTGACTGAGGACTTGCCGATTCTCATTGGTGATCAGGCTGGTGGCGGTTAGGGTCCTCGTCATTTGCAGATCGAGGTCGCCCCCATCTGCTCCATCCCTCGAGGATGGATTCATGGCGTAAGAGCAGTTTGCACTGCGGGTAGGACGGGTGATGGAAGATTAATGATTTGGGGGGGGGGTGTAGTAAAGAGCACCAGAAGAGGGCCGTTTCTAATAGTTTAGAAGTTCATGTCTTTCAGGAGGGATGTCAGGTTGCGGGCGAGCCCTAGATAGATATCATTTACCCCGATCATTAAGTGGAGCTCGCAGGATGATCCACTCAAGGAAGGCTGCCCAGAAATTTTAGACAGATCGGATGCAGCTACGTCCGAGGGGTCGAGAAACGGGGTGTGCACGCCGTGCTCTCGCACATTATTGTCGATCGCGTCCAGCATAAAACAACGGATGGGGGCGCGATAGGCCTTAGCCGGATGGACCCCGTCGGCAATCGGGCCTGCGGATGCCGACCACTCGGGGTGCAAAGGCTGCAGCCTTTCACAGCACTCGCAGCGTTCCAGGATCGGGCGCGGGAAGCCCGACTGGCCGATGGTGGGCCTCACGACCTGTTCGTTACCTCCGGTCCAGGCCGACAACATGAGTCCGTCCGTCTAATTTGGTTCGCCAAATGACCAAACTGGACTGGGCCCTGGGCCATTCTGGCACAAATCCGGACGGACATAAGGGCCCGGCTTATCGTTAACTCCTCGACCGACAACCACAACAATGCAATGCGAGTCAAACTTTCTCAGGTTGACGCCTCGCATTAATAATCCGGATACGGGTGCGCCTAACAGCGATGCTTGGTTAGTTGGCCGCGCCGTGACCGCAAATGTATTTCCTCCACGTGCCGTCCTGATGTCCTGGTCCTTCATGACGATGTATCAGCCCCTAAAGCCCCTGAGTAACTGACTCATTGGTTTTGGGCTCTGGAGCTCTGGACGGTCAACATCTAGCCGGCCCTTGCGGCCCACTCCGTTCGAGCCACGAGGGGCCGATGTCCATATGGGGTCGATCTCCTTGAGGTGGCGCCCGGGAGTCTCAGAATAATAAGGGGGATCATACGGACTAGATAGATCCGGCAAATCGGTAATTCATCGCATTGATAACTTTCCTATGCAACTCACTTCATCTGGGACGGGACTGCCATGATAATTTCGAAATTGAAATGGAAGTCGAAGAGTCGCCGCTGTGAGTCAAGCACAGAGTGGGGGCGCATAATCTGCCCTGTAAGCCACGGACGGTAAGATGTCCCAGTGCAAATACAGTTAACATTGCGAGTACCCACCGAATAGGCAATGCTGTGATCTGAAACCAGAAGGCCGTGCCAGCGGCCTATGATTAAACATTACTTCCCGGGATGATTCTTCCGGGAAGGAACTATTTTCTGATGTGAAATGCCATAGGCTGTTGAACCCGGAAGGATGCCGTGGCAGTTCAGGCTGGATCCGACCGGGCTTCAAGGGTATGAGATGCCAGGAGTAGCAACAATGCAGGGCCTTTACCCTTGACTTTGTTGATTGATAAATAATCCTCATCCATACTCCAACTGTCGCAAACCGGGCCAATATTTTTGTTTCTGGCTACTTTCTGCTCAGCACAATGCGGGCATGCTTCAGGCTCTTTCACCTGCTGGGTAACAAATCATCTCTAGTAAGCTTGGAAGAAATTACTTACTCGCGGTCATTTTCAGACTGCAGAAGAACCCCAGCAGAGCTTTATCGTGTCGCTACCCGCATAACTCACTCTCCTCGGGAGTTTACCCCAGATCTCAGGTACACTTCCCGATCGAATCGAAAAAGCAAGGGTTATTCTCCGCCACCCGCGGGATCGGCAAAGCACGTCAAGCCTATCATTTGGCTTTCGGAAACGGCTCGTTCATGGAATTATGCTCGCTGGACCAATACGGGACGGATCGTCATGTATAACTAGCATAGTTCCATGGGAGCATGAGGTGGAAGGAAGTCCAAATTTTAGATACGTTCGAGGCCATGGGATCGTCGTCTTCACGGCGGAGAATAGGTCGCTGAATCCGAACCTGGTTCTGCCGGAAGTTGGTCGATTTCAATACTGCTCGGGTATTCGCTTTGTAGATGCAAGGGCCGACCCTGTAGCTCATTTTGTGTGAGATTTGTCCACACTATGTAGCGTCGTTGCGTCTCGGGATGTCAAAATAAAACTTGCTCATACAATCCCTTTGCTTTCCGGTGTGACTTCGGGGGTATAAACGCGTCTTTCCCCGTAAATGTCGAAGCTACTCAAGCTCTTTCAATATCGATAGTTATCTTGACTCCTGCTTAATCCACGGGTGTTCATTAGCTATCAAATCTGGCATTCTTCGCAAGTGAGGATTGTGAAAAGGCGAGCGAGAGAGAAGAAGTAATAAAGGAACGATAGTCCACAAAGAAAAACAGACAAACCTGCTATCTAGTTTCTTGTCCTCCGTTCTAATATTTCATATGTCCTGCGATCATGGGTTAATAACGACGTCCCAAGCAATACTTCCGCCGGGATCCACATATCATATATATTCGTCCCCAGAACATGACCCGCAACAGAAACCACAACCGTAGACTAGATTCGATCACCTTCGATGAACCCCTTTGAAGGATGCATAATTCTCCACGGGCAGAAGCTCAGATAGGAGTGAGATATCACTCGCGAGAATATACTCGGACACGACTCCAAACACCCGGTCCATCGCACATAAAGCTGATATTTGTCGGGACCGAGGGAACTTCCGTACGCTATGTTGTGGGCTATTCCGTAAATCGCGGGTAACTAGTTGAATCTGATCGAAGAGAATCGTCAGTCAGGTCTCGTAGCCACGAATGGGACACTGGGACTGAAGTCCAGTAGACCTGGCATGCTCATCCCGAGCTTTGAGAGCTCAGATATCCTCACCACTCAGCTTCAATGACGCCCCTGACGACAGCAAGATGACAGCACGATAGAAAATGCGAAAGATCCACCCCCCTGCCTCGAATGGCATATAATATCCCGAGATGAGACACGAAGCCCGAACGCAAAGCAGCGCAGAGATATAAAAAGCGAGCAATGAAAACCCCTCCCAGCCGGCAAAGCAAGGTAGATAGATAGATAGAAAACAAGACCTCGCCAGCCCACAACCGCCCCATCAACAAACCCCGCCGTGAATACTCACCCCCTTCTTCCCCGTCCGTCCCCTTCCCGCCTTCCTGCCCCAGGCCACCCCAAAGCCCCAATCCAACACCCAAGGCACGCACCTTCCCAAACCAACCCTTCGCGACAAACCGCCAACAAAATACAGCATACCAGCGCAAAACGCACACGACAATACACCCGTAAGATATTATCCAATGAGAGACCGCGAAGCGTCCGACATCTCAAACGAATCGCCAGATTGCCACGAACCTCGTTACGGGGGACGTCACGCGTTGTGGCCAATGGGGACGCGAGGGGGTGTCTGATCTGTTTGTTCTGGAAGAGAGTAGAAAGGGGGTAGAAGGTCATGGAAGGGGAATGGGAGGGGGGGTCTAGGTTGTTTGGGGTTGGTGCTGCGGTATGTTTCCCTTCTATACCTACCTACTACGTAGGTTGTTGGTGATATCTGATAATAATATTCTCTTTGGGTTCCTGATGAGGGGAGTCCGTAGACAATACAAATCATCTGTTTTGTCGCTGCTTGGAAAAGGTGATGTGATGATGTGTGTCTTGATGGTAAATGATGGGGCTATTGCGTAACGTCGAGATAATTGTACTAATTGCCTTCCTACCATGACGTACATGATATCGAAGTACGTACTACCAGGACAAGGGGAATAGCACATGGGTTAAGCGCTCAAAGTATAATAGCTGGAGTCTATATTGCTAGTCCGTACCTAGAGATAAGCTCCAGATAGCCTGCTCTATAGTTTCGATTCCAGGGACCTGATCGGTGGCTTTGTTGTCGGCACTCATCGATATACACTCCAGCAATACCATGCAGACAGATTTCTTATAATAAATACCCCCGGAGTCTAACTGTAGACGTCCTTTTAGTTGTACATCTGTAAATAAATCATTCGATACAGTACTACGCTATATTCTTGCACCGTACCGACGATAAGGCTATTACGATAAACCCCCGGCCGGATGCAGTGTAATCCATCAACTCTCAAGTACACTACTCAGCGCCGAAGGCCTCAACACATGGTTTAAAAGAAAACCTTTTTTTTTTGTTGAGAAGAAAATTATCTTGCCATTCTCCAGCAAAGAGCGAGATGACCTGTCCATTATTTCGGACTTTGTTCGGCAGAGGTCGCACAACGCCGATGTGGAGAATGGTGGCTCAAATGTCAGGCGTCCATAGCTCAGATGCGGCTATATGCAACGGGTTGTTGGACGTGCTGATAAGGGATAATCTCCGTACGGAGTAGCACACGGCAAAAGTAACGTATCTCCGGGTTGACAAGGGAAGTGATAATGGGGGATAAAAGGAGTTCTATAGGACAGGGAAGTCCAAGCACATAGGTAAGCTGAGTTGGAATTGCATTCCTCTAGTGCCACCACCATCCGGCAAACCCGGTCCCGGCTGATGTGGATCGCATGCTGCCAGACACATAAGTGGCAAGGTTGAACGTACTGATGGGTTAGCTCGGTTAGGAATGTCGGAGCTAGGTGAAAATTACGGACTAGCCAGGTAGCTACTCTAAGGAATGTCAGCATGGGACCTGTTTGGGGATAGTGCTCATCCGTCTGATGATAAATTCGGGACTATTTCCCGCGGGAAACAATGAGTTCAGAAGCCATAGACATGGTCGCTGGGACATGGAGACAATCGCTGCCGCACGGTTGCGTGGCTAGTGGGCATAAGTAGCCGGTGTTGTCGTGGACGGCTAGTGCAGTATGTGCATTAGCCTGTGCTGCAAATGCCGCAGGAATGGATACATCAATGCCGACGGCATCTGATGGGGCAATCAAGAAGGCAAATCAAGAAAGAGCGGGATCTGCAAGGTGGTCAGACAAGGAGTGTAGTAGACCTATCTAGTTCGTTCGCATAGAAGATACTAGATTTGAAGCCACTCATGGTATGCGGATAGAGATACATCGCCTGCGGGCATTGGTCTAAGGGCATTGGCTCTGCCCAAACCCATATGTACCAAGCTTTGACGTTGTAAGAAACGAGAGTCAAATAGCCAAGATAAGCGGCGAGCTCGAACCCCCAAGCTTAACCCCGACCTCGCCGGGTAGTCCCCGACGTAAACAACGGGGACTGCAGCACCTTCTGCCAGTCGTGCAACATCTCTGTGTTGACAGTGGACAGGTTGGTTTCGCCACCGGCGCGATCGATCATCTCGGTATCATAGTCGGAAATGGCATCGGCCTGTGTGGATGTTCCAGACACGAAGCGCCGCACCGCCTCTACCAAGTTGGCTGCGTCCGTCACAGAATGATTCAAGCCTTGGCCACGCTGGTATATCATGATGTGTGCTGCATCCCCGGCTAATCTCACTTGCCCATTATGATTCTCCCACCTGTGGCCCTCAGCTCGCGGGTCGAAGTCGGTCAGTCCCATGTACCAAACCGGATGGTCGTCCGGCAGCCATGCGAAGGCGCTCTTCCAGGGCTCAGAAAAGGTCTTGGAAAATTCCTTGACCTGCTGGAGCCTCTGGCCATTAGTCCAGCCGGCAGTCTCCCGTTGTTCCTCCACACTAGAGTGCCACGATATGTAGAAAACGAAGGTCCAGGCCTCCGGTCGATCGCGATCGGCCGCATCGTGGACGCCAAATAGGGACACATGCCCCGCGGGGTAGATTCCGGCAAGATGTAAGGGGTAGAACTGCCGTAGGAAGCGGGCGCGATCGGGGGAATACCGAGCCTGCACAAAGGTTGCGAAGTAAGGGAGTTGACGGGGCTGTCCTATAGTAGGTCCAAGTAAGCTCAGTCGCGTCTTCGACCGCGCCCCATCGTCGCCTACTATGAGTCTGGCCCAAAGTGATGAGCCGTCTTCGAACACTGCCTTGGCATATCCACCACTGGTGGAATACTCGATACTATCGATAGCCTTGCCGTACTGGATGTCCAGACTTTGTTCCATGAGTCCTCTTAACTTGCGACGAAGCAGTCGATAGAAGAATGGCACAGGTATAGACGCCATCGCCTCCCTTGATTGGCTATTGACAAAGGGCAGCGCATCCTTTTCTTCTGGGAGCGTATAAGGATCAACCTGAATCGATGGGATCCGTGCCCAGAGCTGTCCTGGGAGAAGCCCTTTTGATGGTCCAACACCCCAGTGCAAGCCCATATTCCAGTCGCGGGAAGGGGTGTCCAGATTTTCATACTTTTCCACCACGATGCAATAGCAAGATGGTCAGTATATGCTGGGAAACCAGTGGCTGAAGCCATTCTACTTTTTTCAAACCCTGGGCCAGCGCAAGTCCCGTGAAGCCTAATATTATCAGTCTGCCAACTAGGGATGGGTGTCGACACTTCGGTGGAACTGATGCCCACTGAGATCTCGGGCTCCTTACCTGCCCCGACCACCAGAACCGTGGTAGACAGGTTCGGGTCGGGAAGAGACGGGGTCTTCAGCCGAGACATTCCCGTGGGCAAGCAATAGAATACGGGTGGTACTTTGGATGGGAGCGTGGAAATTGGAGGTTCACGAAACGTTCACCGGAACATTGGGGTTTAATGTAGGCCAGGTCGGCCATATACCTCGAAGATCCAGGGATGAAGACCTGGATCCCCTCAGATATCCCAGCGGATGACCCCGCGCATGTTCCCTGATTGGTCGGCAATGAGGTGGCACTCACCCAATGATGCACTCACAGGGAGGCCTGTTCGGTGGAGGTCAAAGCTGGTCAAAGCTCGAACGCCACGATGTAATCCCCAGTGATCTATTTATGAACCGTCCTTGGGCTGACTGCCGGGAAGAGACGCGGTCGCGATGGGATACGAGCCGTTGGCGATCGCTGCGTCTTCAGAGCGTGGCCGGATCCGTTTGCCCGAATTCATTGCGCCATCTTCGGGGACCTGAAATGGCAGCAGACGGGGGTCGGGGTCTGAAGAACTAGCGTGTGAGCTAATAATCAATGGGCGTGTAGCGAGTGGGGGCTCTTGTTGTTTCTTCAACCGTATCTTGTATGTTCTCCGCTGATGGAGAGTGGATAGATGGATGTGGTGGTGTTGCGACGCGGGAGGGGCAAGAAGAACATCTCGATGCTGAAGCCTCAGGCCAGAATGTGTGGCCACGATGCCAGATTGGGTTAGCCCGTCACTCATGCTGCCAATGATGAATGCTGTTTTGGGAGCCGCTAAGCCCGAGGCAGACTAGCTGCACCTGCGGCAGCATGTGACCCGCAGGCCGAGCTGCCGAGCGGAGAGCATCCGAAAGGGAAACACCATGCCCGAACCACAAACCAATGGCCGCCGACCATGGACTACACCGTCCTGGTCAGCTGACCTGGTTCCCGAGGCAGCAATCCGGCCGAGACCAAATGGGCCGGGCGGCTAAACCGCAACGGGCAGGTGAGAGTGGCGGCTTCTTCCAACTCCAACAGCTTCACCGTTCCACAACCATCCTCCATAACGAACCTTGAACCTTCATCTCCAGTAACGGAGCTATGCAGACCGCTCGGGATCCGCTCTTTGTTCCCATCCCTCGCGGCCTGCCCTTCCCCTCGACTCCCCGGATGACTGATTGCCTGGTTACAGATTAACCCCCTCAGTACTTTCAGTCGCTGTCATACTCTTGCAACCAACCAAGCTGCGAACTCTATGACACACCATCTGCCCGAGGTGTACATTTGGCTTCTCGAGTGAAACTGTCCCCATTTCCTGTCGCATCTGTCGCACTGCCCGAGCCGTTCGTGTTTCCTGTACTACTCTCGTACTTGCACCGTGCTACTGCGACAGGGGAGATCTCCGCAACCGTTCACCGATCTTGGCTTCCGATCGCCGCCATGACCTCTTCCCCGTGCGAGGAGCATGATGACCCTGCAGCCTTGGGTCCTTCCGCCTCTCCGGACACTCTGCCACTTCCCCATCTTCCCGTGCAACTCCCACACCATAGCCATGGCGATGACGATATGGACCGCGATTCCGCCTACGGAGATGATTCCCTGATCGGAGATGATACGGTGACCCTGTCGACCTACATCACCGACTACCGATACGAGAATGGCCGTCGGTACCACTCCTACCGTGATGGCGCGTACTGGGTGAGTGATCCGATCTCAGGGGCGATCGGTTGTGTGCTAACAAACTCGTGCCACTACTGCAGGGCCCAAACGATGATTTAGCCAACGAGCTCCAGAATGTGGCCCATCATATGTACCTCTTGACTCTCGACGGGAAGCTGCACCTAGCCCCGATCGACAATCCACAGGTATGACATGTCCTGCTCAGTCAAGCTCACTTGGGTTTCTCGGCGTGTCTGGTCATTTGCGACCGTGGGCTTCAATCAAGAGTGTCTAACCCGGCCGTAGGAAATCCTTGACGTGGGCACGGGAACGGGAATTTGGGCAGGGTCAGTCCCTCCTCGCGTCCTTTTTCTCTAGTCACTGACATCTAGGAAAGAGCCATGGCAGATGAATTCCCCAGTGCCAAAGTAACCGGGGTGGATCTGTCCCCAATCCAGCCATTGTTCAACCCTATAAACTGCATCTTCGAGGTTGACGACGTGACCCTTCCTTGGACCTACCCATCGAATCATTTCGACTTCATCCACGTGCGGGAATTGTTTGGCTCCATCCCCGACTGGGACGAGTTTTTTCGGCAGTGCTGGCGCTGCCTGAAGCCTGGGGGCTACATCGAGGTTGTGGAACATTCCGTCGAGCCAATCGCGGATGACGGGAGCATGGCTCCGGATCATTTCTACCATGTCTGGGGAGAAACCGCCGTCGATGCCGGGGAACAATTCGGCAAGACCTTTCTGATATGGGAACGGAGTGCCACACATCTTCGAGACGCTGGCTTCGTTGGAGTGGTGGAACACGGGTTCAAGTGGCCGATGAACGGGTATGCTCTGAGTGTCTATTGCAATTCTCGCAGCTAATTCCTTTAAGATGGAGCAGCGATCCCAAACTACATGAGCTCGTGAGTCAACCATTTCTTTCTTCTTTCTTCTTTCTCTCTTACTAACATGAAATCAGGGTCGCTGGAATCAACTCCGATTGCACAGCGGACTAGAAGGCTATCTGCTCCGCCTTCTAACCACCGTGCTGCAATGGTCGTACGAGCAGACCCAGGTTTTCCTCGCCCACATGCGCAATTCCCTCCGCGACTATGACACACATGCCTATTTACCAGGAACGGTCGTCTACGCTCGCAAGCCCGATAGCGCGGCACTTCTGCACAACTCTCACCAACAACACCAACAACCGCATTCGTGATTTCTGACCGCACCGCATGATACCATTTTTCTGAGCGCTATACCCATCCTTGATGCACCATGCCCGCAACGAATCACGAGTTTCCTTCCGGGCTATCTACACCCGGTCATGTCTGTGGGTTGTTCGGTATTTTATTTTTCGAAGGAAAAGGTGGATTCTCTCGCTTTTGTGTACGATTCCAAGCATAGAATAACCCGTTATTAAACAAAGCCCTCGACTGAAATCGTCCCAGATAGGACGTGACCTCCATGCATCCTTCCGAGATCCTATGTACAAGTCCCAAACAAACCTATCGTCTAATCAAAATCCCATCCCATCCATTCACCCCCCCCATAAAATCAAAATCATCCCAATCAACCCCCGCAATATCCCAGCTCAAGCCATCAACCGTAGTACACGGTACATAATAGTAATATTAATCCCTACCATCCCACCCCCACGACTAAAATACTGTATTTAGGTAGATTAAACTAACACCAACACCAACGCAAACACCAAAACTAACCCCCTCCACCGTCCTTCATATCCCGTATCCTGTTTCCTGTACTATACCCCCGTATTCTTATCTACTTACCAAACCTTCTCTCCCCACCCAAATCGATGAGAACAGGCTATCTATCTGGACGATGACGCGTGATCGAAAAAAAAAAAAAAAAAAACAACTAAAAAGAAAAGGAAGAGACTAACCCTACCCCGACCCCACCCGATCGGGCCACGTGGTACTGGTGCTGGTACTGCTCGGGGGCCGGGAAGCGGGTGCCGTTGGCGCCGGGCTGGCTCGTGGTCGGTGGACTGAACTAGACTAGACTGGACTGGACTAGACTGGACTAGACTGGACTAGTGGTGTGGGATTGGGTGTTGAGGATGGGGCATTGGGCATGGGGTATTCTATGGAGTATCTAGTTATGTCATGAAGTATGTTAACTATGTTATGGGTATGAAGTATAAGCATAAGGATGGGTCTGGGGGTAGACATAGAGATGAAAATTGGAATAGAACGGGGAGGACGGCGTTGGGATATTATTTTTCAATGGGGTAGATCTTCATCCATAAGTTGTTTCTAGTTACACGATGCTACTTAAGTACTTATCTAAGTTATTTTTTTTATTCAAGATCTGGATGTTTTACTCCGTAACTAGCGGGGGTTGGTTTTCCACCTCTCCGTATACAAGTCTGATAGGAATTATGGAAAAATTAAATACTATCTACTATATTTGTTGCTTTTGTGCGAACATAGAGTTATTATCAAGTTCAAGTATGATGGTTTTCCTTCCTTATTTCCTCCTCACTCTTTGGGATATCCTCAGGACAGTCTGTCTAAATACATAAAGTCGATTGGAAGATATTATTAGTATCATCACACCTATATCTGCGAATCTTTGCGTCTTCGCGTCTTCCACATTACCGTACCATATGAAACACCTGCGTACGCTATAAAATGGTGCCATGGTATATCTCGCCTGTCTCTCCAGCCTCCAGTCACCAGCCTCCAGTCTCCACATACAGCCTCCCGAAGGAAAGAAAGGTAGGGAAGAAAGCAAACCACCAAGACACCCCTGTTGAAGGACGGGAGGAATGCGATGCCGCGAACGAGCAAAGATAACCCATCCCAGGTTGTCCGCTGGACTTTGGCCTCTTCAAGGACGATTAAGCTCAGGGCCTTGATGGTGGTATCTTTCTTCGTCAATTTTGGTGGGATTGCGAAAGGTTCGCAACGCAAGGGGGGATTTAGGAATTATCTTGACGCCAGATTGACAGATTTGATGTCGCGAAGCAATGACAGGGCGTCTCAGATGTCGATGCCTCGGGTGAAATGAATATCAACGCGAGCGGAACGGCTCCTAGGCCAGAAAGCTGAAGCGAAGATGACAAGTGAGATGATTGAGACTGACTGGATGGTAGATAGCCTGGCATCACTGCCAATTGTTGGTCGACGTGTTCGCTCTCATGAGCTTGACTTGGCAGTTTAGGACACGGTTCTGCCACAAATGGATATTCCCGTGGCGATGCGATAACCCGTCTCATTCATTCTACTCTGTATGAAGGGCCGTGTTCCCACCGTCGTTAATCAAGTCCGGTGTGTGAGTTGAACCGACGATGTACTTTGGCTTCCCATCTAGCATGGGCCTGTTGGACAACAGTCAGGGCTTCCTTATTATCCTCACCGTGAGCTTTGTCTGACGAAGCTGGGCTGTGAGTGTTTGAAAGGCAAAGACTCAGTTGCTCGTAAGGGTGCTGGTTCAAAATTTGTTTGAAGTTCATGTTGTGAAGACCAGATGAGTGAACAATTGGGTCGATGACGCGTGTCTTGGTCCTTTCTTAGACCTTTCAACGACGAAGACTCTGTATTATAGGCGTGAGCGACGCGCTGTGGGTATACGATGCGAGATATACCCGGGCATCAAGCCCACAATCAGCTTCAATTCTAACTGAAAAACAACATCGTAGCATGCCAGTCTGATCCTAATGGTTGATTATTGGCAATAGTATGAGGGACCTAGTCCAATAGAAAGAGTCGATATTAGGCCAGGTGGTAAGGGACCTAGTCTGATCGAAATAATCAATGTTAGGCGAGGTGATAGTTAACCTAGTAGTCCCAACGCCATGGCATCGAAGTCGGCCGACGTAGCAGTGACTCATTCCAATAAAACTAGGAACAAAGCCAAGTATGAACAGTAGGATACCGGCCCGAACGGCAGGGCGACAAGTTTCCGGAAGAACATTTTCCGCTGCAGGCTATAGTGTCCGGATGAGTATGCTTTAATCCAAACAATCTAAGCTCACAATCATCGGGCTTGCTTTTTCGCACCCCGATGGAGTGGACAAGGTATTAACCTGCCTTCTGAGCGAGTATAACGCCGCGGTAGAGAGCCGAAGCTTTCCTTGCCTGGGGGATCTTTGTCGTGTAGAGATTGCTTGTCTTACGGCGGAGACAGTTCTTGACAGGAGGCTGGTCGTCCATTAGACCGAGAAACCCACAACCAGAGACGGAGAAATTTGGCCCTTTGGAAAGGAAACCCAGCTGATGGTCAGTTGGGATGGATCATCGACGTCTATATTCTCACGGAAAGGGTAATATAAGTAACCTCATGACGAGATTGAAACGTGTTGATTTAGCAACAACAGCATATATTTCACGGGTCCTGTAGTCCTGACTGGGTCGTTTTTTGACAACTTTCACGATTGCAGAGACTAATATATAGGCGAGCCTAGCATCGGCTTCATGCGAGCGTTATCTTCGGGGGCGTCTTTCGTCCGGTAAATTCAGGTCAACACGCGACCAGTGGATCAAGGTCCAGGTCTAGGACAAGGTTTCATTCGACAATCGCAAACATCGGTCATGACGGGAACAAAGAGCTGAGTGATCGATGGTGTCTTTATCAAAATGGGTGTCTCTCAGTTTCCTTCAGTAGGGAAAATCGCCTAGAAAGTCTGGTGACCGTTGGAAAAGAAGAACGCTGTTCGCTGCGAACTCCCTGGTCGATAGTCGACTGTGAGGGCTTGAGCACTCATACCATTCTGGGATGATGAAAGAGTGTGATATCGTTATCTTGTATGTATAAGGCTAAAACCTTTCCTGTCGTGTCCGATACCATGGTCGGTCGGATTGCTAAAGCCGTATATCGATCGTTTCAGCAGATAGCCCCAGATAGGTCTGATTGAATACAGAATCAGATGTTGCATAAAAAGCTCGCCATTAAAATATTTGCAAGGATGCTAGCACTATGGCTGCTTCTCTGCAGGATGACACAAAGACTTGAGCGCGGACAAGAACTGTCGCATACTGCCGTGCACGGAACGCTTCATCATGGGCCATGGGCGGCATCTGCCGCCCAGAAGGCTGGCCAAGACAAGTGCGAACATTTTGTTGAGCACTCTTGCGTGCCAGAGTATATATTTGGTATTGTCGACGGATAGCCGGCAAACAAACATGCCATGGATCTCTACCTTGATGATCCGACATGTGAGATGCCGAAAGATGCCAAGATAGGGCGACTAAAGCCAGCCACCGGTCCAGCCGCAGATAGTATTGGCTATTCAGGAAGCGTAACCCGGAAATAATTGTCTTATACTGAGTTGACATAGTCCGACTGGGATGTCTCTCAGCGAATGCCCAATTCGCGCCTCAGTATATCGAGTATCCACTGTGTGATAGGACTCGTACACGGCGGAGGACAGACGAGCTTTGGATACTGCCTGGACATTAGTAAATCCAAAGCCAATATAGAGGACCTTGTTGGTTGCAGTCGTGCCAACAATATGCAGAAGTGGCATCTGATGGGTGATATGCATTGTCGATAACGAGCATCAGTCTGGGGAATCGAGGATGGGAATGCTGCCATATGGGCTCTTTGGATAAACTGCCCAGAGCGTGTTGCTTGAAGCAAAACCGGGCCTCCAAAAGGGGAGTTAGATGACATATGCCGAAAGGAAAAACCACCCGCTGGTTGCGGTTGATCGTATCTGTCAGTTCTTAATCGAACAATCGCTTTCCAGTGTTGTTGACAGTGAAGAAAAGCCATGCCATGACACTTTCTGTGGTCCGTGTGAAGATGCCCGTCGGATTTAACTCGGCGTAGATCGATATGGTGATGTGATTCTGCGATAAAACAGACAAGTAGAAGGAACTTAGTTCCTGATATCATACATGTCGCTAAGCAGGACAAGCCTTTCATATTCGAAACAATCCAATGTTTCCCATGGTGCAAAGGGACGAAGACGTCTCGAAGGCGGAGAGCAGATCAATCACCCGATCGAGACTAGCCAAGCAGGCATTGATCTCTCGGAGAAAGACGGCGTGTGGTTATTATTGCCTCGATGTTTGCAATTTTCATCGGCCGTATGGCTGGAATAGAGCAACCAATAATAAGCAGACTAGGATGCCAAGTTCAAAGATGTTATTCTCGTAGCGTCATGAAGCCAGAAACACCATGAAGATGATCATGGCCCTGCCGCATAGCTACAGACTCTGGATGTTTGTCCAGGGAGGGACGCCTTTCCAGATGGCGGCAAGAGTAAAAGTTTCTGGGTTGCCCCCGGCCGTTTCTTGGCTGTCTGAGTATGCGAATGACCAACCACCTCATATTTCGGAATAAATCATTCAACTTTCGAAGGTCAGGTGGCAGCAACCATGAAGAGATGGATCGATGCATCATCGCCTGGATGCAAGTCTGGAACGAACATAAAAAATGAATCCACGACCTGAAAAGTGGGAATCTGGCAGCGCGCAGACGGCATTGTTCCATTGACCATATCGCGTTCAACAGTAGAGACGTAGTCTCTGTGGCGAGATATGGAGGTTTCAATCGAAGAGGACATGTCAATTCGAATAGCAGGCACCATGCCAGTTCGTCTTTTCCTTATCCAAATGGTCTCCCAGGCTGCCGATTAGCCAACAGCCGCATCAACTCTATGGCATGGGCCAGAGAGAACAAGAACCCAGTAGAGAACAAGAACCAAGTATACCCCCCCGCTGACTCATCACGTTCATGGTGAACGCCTGTCTGTGCCAGCGAACGAACGGTAACAAGCACCCGCATGGATAGCGGAGCTTCACGTTGCTCGTGGAAAAGAACCCAATAAAACCCCCACTGACTCATCACGTTCATGGTGAACGCCTATCTGCGCCAGAGAACGACAACAAGCACCCGCATAGATAGCGGAGCTTCAGGTTTCTCGTGGAAAAGAATCCAATATACCGCCTCTCTGACTCATCGAGTTCATAGTGAACGCCTGTCTGTGCCAGCGAACGAACGACAACAAACACCCGCCTGGATAGCGGAGCTTCAGGTTTTCCATAAGAAGATTTCCCAATGACCAATCTGTCACGGCACAAGGTTTCTAGGCTTGTTTTTTATACCCGGGGTAGAGGTGAGAGAGTGAGGAATATCATTCGGACGATTTAGAACGGTACCTTGACATGGCAGTGTCGTATTGTAACTGTAGTACGCACTCCAGCATTGGTGAGAAATAGTTAGTTGTACCTCGATAATAATGTCTTCCGCGCAGTTTTGAGTATGAAGTGGTATCGTCGTTCTCGGAGTAGAGTGGAGTGGAGTGGAGTGGAGTGTCTTTACCACGCTCGTCTGCCCAGATGGTATGGGATCGATGGTACGTAGGAGAAGCGGCGTTGATATGTCCTCTCCATTTTGGTAACCTATTGAGTATCATAAGAGTCGATGATGCATGAGACAAGGTCCGACATGGTTTTCTTTATTGGAAACCTAGACCCAAGAAAACGCACGGAGACAGTGAGCATTTCGTCTTCCTCCCCTGTGTCTCGGCCTCTTTGCAGATGCAGATAATAATTGGATCCAATAGCACGGCCAATAGGCAGCGAGGCAATTGGCAGCTGCGATTGCAGCTCTGCTGTTAAGTATGTCAACGGTGGTGTTATTGACGGTGGTGGAGCCATTCCCCTGCCATTTTGAATATTGGCTTTTTAGCTGACTCGAGGCAGTTGCGTCTTCCGATCCGTTGTGATGAGATCTGATATGCAGCCAAGTCCGACGCAGATCATGTGAAGAAGCGCCAGCGGCGGGACCGAATGAATATGCTGTCCAAGACCATTTCGTTCCCTAAACGAAGTCGAGATAGACAGCGAAACAACGCCAAGTGGTAATATCTCCCACGCGCGCCGGGATCGGCCACGATTTCATCTCTGATAATACCTATGACCAGCGACTATCCTATATCGAAGATAGCGAGACATAATATACCCCGGGTTTGCATTATACCCATAGGTATAACACGATGAGTCCGTTGAAAGAATATTGGTTATCTTTTGTGGCACCCGCGATATAGCGTGGGTCGCAGTCAGAAAGAAAGATATTTCCTTCCACGCTGGCTCTCTCTGTAGTCACCGCTGCTCTGATCTCAAAAGACTGTGTTGTACGTGAATTCCCCTTTTTCCTTGATGGCATCCCATATTTATTGCCAGTCACTTCTGGCGCTCGAGTCGCTTCTCGACCGCGCACTTCGCCTCGAGGGATTTCTTGTCCTGTACACCCCACCAAACATATTGAATCATGTCGGATGTAAAAATGTTCGGGCTGCTGTTCGACCCAATCCAGTGACTTCCGACCATGGCCCATTTTGACGGGTAGTCAGGAAAAGTACCAGACTCTTCTTGAGCCTTTGCGACACTTCAGAATATTGCTGCGCTCGATACCTAAGCAGATTTAGGTTGCAGAGACATGTAGATTGTCCACAGACCACCATTGACAGCGGAGCGAGCACATACGTAGGCTCCATTGCGTTGTGCTGACGAGTTCACTTCAACGACACAATATACAGCTGTTCCGTTGCGGACGTTCATGTCCATTTCTTCCAGGCCGCGACGATAGACAGTCCAAAGAGGGACTAAAAACCAATAGAATGACCGAACAGGCCACTGGCCATATATCCGTGCACTTCGAAGGGCACGCCCAGGTGATGATTCGACTAGTGAAACACCAACGATTAGCTATCTGAACCAGCAATCCCGCTATACAAAACTTACACGAACGGCCTTGCGGGTGCCTTTCAATCCATGCTCACGGGCATGGGCAGATTCCGCACAATCGAATGCAATCGCGAGATCATGGGTCTCCTTGAGAATCGTGCGCTTAACGTCCCCGTTCCAGATATCGCTTTCAATAATGTCCTGCTGCCACTTCAGAATAGCGGCGAGATCGAAGGCGTTTCCAAGCATACCAGTACAGGCCTAGCCAGTGTTAACCTCCAAACTTCGTATATAGAAAAGGGAACGGGCGAAACCTACCGGAGTGCATGTCTTATTCTTGTCGGAACAAAGCCGACACAGCACAGAAGCGCGGGCGTCATGATAACAACCAATATCGAAGGCAACGCCTTCACCGGGGTCGAAATGGGTGTTCACCGTTCTAGGACAGTGCATACAAAACAGGCGGCTCGCCTTAGCGGGAGCAGCCCGCTGGATGCGAGTGCTCTGCGTAGGCATCGCGACGTTTTCGACTGGGAATCCCGCGAAAGATGAAAATGAGATGGATATCTAACTTAGGAGCCTATCCGTTGATGAGAAGTTGATGAAAAGATTTGAAAGAGCAACTACTGCATTTCCCGGGCAATGCTCGCAGGATCGTCGGCCCTCGAACAACAGATATTGGATTTCAGGCCTTTGTGGTTCTTGCACTCAGGACCAGCGGAAAGACCACGCGAAGCGTGCTTAGGGGGTGGTGCTAAAGACCCTGCAGGGACGGTTCATGAGACTGTCAACATAAACTGCTTGTGATGTTGCTCTCTTCGGGCCGTTGGTAACAGTCAAACCATGGAGTTATTTCACAGACAGCTCACCCGACCCGGTGGGGCAGACGGCAGACCAGGTTTTGGTATCTGTGAGAAAATCCAAGTACAGATGGTAGAAATCGTGGAAGATCGAAAGCCCGTCCACCAACGCAGACTACGATGGAAGCGGAACCAGCGGAGCGGAAATCAGTCGCTTTGCCGGTAGGGAGCTTCTTCTTATGGGCGTCGAAAGGTTAATAACAGCAAGAACGCTACCGATCGGACGTGTATGTGATGCAATTCATAACATGGAATTCCGGGCATAGTGTACCGCCAGAATTTGTCCTAGAACGGATGGGCTTTGGATATATGGCCGAAGTGCCTAAGATTGAGGGCGGAGTATATGATAATAGTCATATTCTGCACGCCAAGTGGGTATCTGTCATGGTGGCAGTGTCCAGAGACATGCAGCACAGAAGGTAAGGTACTTCCAGAGTGCTACCTCGAGAAGAGAGTACTCGTAATCGGGGTTGGACGGCAGTTCACTCGTCTGTTAGCTAGTGGCAATATGAGTATGCGACACATAGCGGCCATTTTCCCGGGAGATCTTCTCGGTGATGACCTTTCGACATGATGGACAGGCCTGTGCCATCGTGTGAACGACTGCATCAGGGTCAAGCTTTCCTTTGGCTTTGCTTGACTTCCAGTGGGCGAGTCTGCATACACAACCCTCATGCCTTTGGATTGAAGAAATTCGGTCGTTCTGTCCATTGCGCCTGCAACAAAGTGGGACGACATGCCAGAAACTGCACCACCGCATCGTCAACGATCAACCTTTGTGCAACCCAGGATAGGTGGACTGGAGCCAGAAGCAAACAGGAGTCTTAGGCCGCTCTGAGATTTTTTATCAAGCAGCGCCGCGTCCCATCCGGTGCGGGCATCGATGCAGAGCCTGATTCCATCAGCGATATCCAGGTCCGTCGCGGAAAGAATTCGGCCTGGTAATTTGAATGTCGCCTCATAAGCTTCGTTGCTTGTGTATCTGACAAATTCTCATGCTCAAACTTGTCTTGATCTCGTGCGCAGCCTGGCTGTGTCTTCGAATGAGACAATAGTGTTTTCAGCACGGTTGCCAGCTGAGCTGTCTCCTCATAAATAAAACCACGGATCAGTCAAGTCATCCAGTAAAGCAGCTTGAACTTCTGTCGAGGATGACGAAACGGTTTTCGGATCGTGCTTTCTGTCTCGCAAAGTGCATCCAGGACAGACACCATTTATCCAAAAATAATTATTAATACCCACACGTGATTCTTGCGCGAGCTGGTGTTTCATTTCCAGTCTACCCCCCATACGTACTTGCAAGCCAGAAATATCGCCAGTGGATAATGCTGGTCGACAAGTAAAGAAAAGTGGCATTGCCCGCAATGCGGGAGCTTGGCCGGTTTGGTGGTAGAATCGACTGGTAGTAAGAGTAAGAACCTCAGGCTGAGTCGCAATCGCAGATCAACCGTCTTGTCGGTGATCATCAACGAGCGGTATATACCGAAGTTGTACATTGCAACGTCCATGATTAGGTGTCGGCTTCGTCCACGTGCCATGTTGCCTTTCGCATGGAGAATAATGGCTCGAAAATATTTCGTTGAACGCTATACACCGAAGGAATAAATCGCCAACCATGCGGCTCGGAACATCTTCTCATCTCCACTCCCTGGTGTTTCTTTGGGAGAAGAACGACCGCTCAGAAACATATGGCTGTTCATCGGTAAACACATATACCGAAGCAATATATTGCCAGAAATGATGCAGTCCGCCATAAGTAGCGGAGCTGCGTGGAGCCCCAATTCCACGTTCCATTCTGCGTGGCAGACCACGGTTCAGAGAACAGAAAAGATAATAATGTCGAGCATCGGCAGACAGGCGGTATATAATCGGCCTTGCTAGCTATGACTAAAGCGGCTTAAATGACAATAGTTGAGTGTCTAGAACGCCGAATGAGGGCCGTCTAGGCGATGTTGGAGAGGTCTGGTAAACAACGCCGCAGAGAACCCAAAAATCTGCGAAATAGCGTGTTTAAAATGCTTCAAATCGTCGGAAGACTCATGATACTGTAAGCTCGTATATCGCTAGATATAATGAAACAACGAGCCTCCGGGCTTATGACCCATCGGCCTACCGAACACGAAGCAACGGAAAGAATGGGTTGATTCGTGGAGGAGGGGCCAGGTACCACGTTCTGTCGAACAGGCTGGTTGTGTGCTGTGGAGTGCAGGATAGCAGAGTGGAATCTGGAGTGTTGACTCGATGCAACAGCCCAGATATGTACTTCGTCGGTGGGTATTGCCATCCTCGTGTATGAGACAATCTACTTTTTGTGCAGGCATCCCCAATTTTTAAGAGACTAGATTGCACTTCTTGGTGTGATGGAACCGATGGGAAGTAAACCCACCGACCAATCCGTTGATTTTCGCGGAATCGGAATCGGAATCGGAATCGCCGAATCGGCTGTCCGTCGACCGGGGTATCGGGTCAGACATATTTATGCAGGACGGATGATATCTCGCAGTATGGTATCGTGGGCGTCGCGTAGAGACGTAATGCGACATGCTTTGGAGGTCCAGGTGTGAGCAGACACGGCCAGACTAGATCAGATTGGATCTTCGATCTAGTGTGCAGCGTGTAGATGCAGATGAAGATGCAGATACGCCGTTGTCTCTGTTGCTCAGCCGTAGTAGCTGATACCCTGTTGTCTATTATAGACCATATAAATAAGCATAGACTCCCAATCAGAGCCACCAAGGCATAACGCAGTCAACCCGTCGCTTGATGCAGCTGCCGCTTTGAAGTAGTCTCCCCGATATATCTTCTATCCCGACGACGGTCGGCGCCAGGCCCAATAATGAAAGCGAGGAGTCTGTATCCGACCAAGTTAGTATAGATGGCACGACGCGCGTAGAAAGGATATGGCATACCGGAATGGTCATCTGCCGGTCTCCTTGGGCTTGGGCCTGGGTAGGGATGGATGGATGGATGGATGACCATGACGAAGACGGACGGATATACTTGATGGATATGGGTGGGTATGTGGACGTGTATATACGTGTGTATACGTGTCCTCTCACCATCCCCATGTGAGAATTGCCACAAACAGGACAGGATGGAACAGAACTGAACAGTCCTGCAGTCCTGCCTCCGAGATCGGAAGCAATGAGGCAAAAGTATAGAATATAGACACCACAACCACAGCCAAAACCACAACCAACAAAGCTAAAGCTAAAGCCGGTGTGAGGCAGATGCGATCACCAAGAGGCAAGATATGAGATGTGAGACCCCCAGCCCAGCGTGTTACTGAGAGATGAGAGATGAGAGATGAGAGGGAGAAGAGAGATGCGAGAGGGAGAGAGAGAGAGAAGAGAAGAAGAACAAGAGGAAGAAGAGGGGGATTTATAAGCGCCGAAGGAACCATCCAGTGACGGGTTTACGGTTTACAGTGACGGGCTTGGCGTGACCACTACCGGGTTTTCAACAGTGACGGGCTCGCAGTGACAGCGTATTACGGGCTGGCGGGGGTGCGGCGGGGGGATGATTTGCTGGAAGTCGGCGCGGTGATCGATATTACTGCGTGACTGGGCGGTTTGTCTAGTGACGGCGTTTGGCAGTAAAGGGAATGCGATTGGCTTTGGGTGGAGGGATAGATGGATGAATGAATGGATGCCTTAGTTGTCAGGCGATTTTGCACTGTGCTCTGTAAGATATTGGAGAATAGTTCATGATGAGGTGTAGGATCTAATCTAGGAGCCATGTACAGTAGTATGTATTGTAGACACAAGCTTCTGCTCAATCAGACTTGGCTGCATTCCCGAGATCCCCCATCAGCTGGCACAATCCCTGAACCAGGGGAGGAAGAGCATCCTGGGAGGCGTCCGCCCGCAAAAGCCCCTTTGCGATATCCATTGTTTGGCCCGGGTCGGAGAGAAACGCCGGTTCTTGGGATCCCTGCAGTGCCGGGCGCCCGCATCCAAGACAGATGAATTTCTGCACGCTGATCGTCTCCTCGCCATCCAGGAGCACGGTCGGGCTGCTCTGCGGAGTCCGCCCGGAGGAACGGGGATTGCCGGATTTGGCATTCCTCGCTTTCAGCACCATGCTGTAGGACCAGAACACCAGGCTGGCGTAGTATACCCCCACAGCCAGGAAGCCGGTCAGTGAGCCGGCGGGCATGGCTTTGGCAGCCCGGATAACTTGTCCTGCGTGCCAGACTGCACGTCGGGAGTCGATGCTGTTGATCCACTCCAGGGCGCTGTGGTATACCCGGCGCGCTTCTCTTTTGTCCTCCTTCCCGGCGAATAGTTGGAGTTCCTCGAGCGACATGTGCAGTAACATCGAGATCATCTCGTATACCAGGAAGACTTCCGATCGGGGGGGTTCGGACCACTCGTAGCCGACCATGCGGAAGCGTTGCAGAGCTTGGGATAGCTCCTGGTGGCGGGAGTTGGTCACCAGAGCGTTCCAGTGCTTGGAGCTGCCCTTGGAGATGAAGTTGAAGCGATGGTACTCGCTCACCATTGCAGAGATGCCTTGCAGAAGAACGAACCCGGCCAGCTGCGTGTCAACGCCGCCCTGTAACCGGGACATATCGCGCATGCAATCGACTAATGACGGCTGTCGCTCGGTGCCAAGCAGCCCGAGGGTAATATATACATCTCGCCACGCTGCAGCGGACTTGGCGTCCCATAAAGCTCGAATGGATGGAAGCGGAAGCTCCAACTCGGCATAGGAGATGAGCGGGTTGACATTCAGCATCACCGCAGATTGGGCATCGTGTAAGAAAAGATGGTGGACGAGCCTGCACGCCTTAGCCACGTCGATGGACACCGGAAGTGACTTACCTCTTGAACGATTCCTGCTCCACCCAGGCACGCCACTTCTTCTCCAATGCCTCGTCGCTATCATCCAGGCTCGGGACTATGGTAGAGTAGATAGACCGGCGGAACCGGAGGGCGCGTCGCAGCATCTGCATCATCAGTACTAGTCTGTCGTGTCGGGAAGGAAACCCACAGTCACTAACGGCTGCTGGAAGCTTTCGGCAATCTCTGTCCTTCGACCGTCCCCGCTCCAGATGCCCATGTCTATGACCAAGGCAAACGTTTGGGAGGGCCGCAAATCCCGCGTGATGCGGTTATCGGACTCATACTACACGAATCAGCTTGGTTCCAGATACACCCAGTCAACATACCTGGACGGACATGTGCAAGCGTGCGACTTCCATCAGCGCGTACCCCAGCTTGCGTATCGTTGGAATGGCCGACCGGACCGCACCAGCGGCAGCCACCGCAGTCAGCATGTCCGCGCTCTGCTCATTCGGACGGAACGTTGGCCCGTGGATAAACGAGTCGAGTTGTCGGCTTTGCTGCGCGAAATAGTCCTGCATCAGACCGTCTATGAGATCGGTGCTCGGGAAAGATTTCATTATGCGAGGCAAGTTAGCCTTGTCGCTGGTCTGCAATACCATGCCAAAAATGAGATCCCGACTGCCTGAAGCCAGGCGCTCTGGCAGGATCTGACGATCGGATCTGGACGACCGGGGGCTGTCGATGGCCACCGGGACCGAAAGATCATCCTGGTCGGCAAAGGCGTGGTCCTCCCGGGCGGGCTTCCATGCGGACAGCGACGAGCGCTTGTACGCCTCTGCGCCGAGAGCAATGCCGCGGTCCACATCCGATTGTGCCTCGGGCTGGGGCGCAGGATGTGTAGTTCCTTGAGCGTTGAAGTAGTCGATGAGGCCAAAGTCGACTTCCGTGAGGTCGAAATCGAACTGCATGCTATGGTCGAATAGGTTGTGGAGGTAGTCCTGGGTGTGGTTTGACGGATCCAGCTCGTTGGGACGGGACAGTGATGGAATGAGCGCATCAGGGATGAACTCGGGGAAGAACGTGCCATCAACACTGAAGATGCCGCTCTCGTGGTCCAGCATTGGAGATATTGCTGAAGCTATCAGTAAACACCACGGCAGCGAGTAGAGGACCTACCATCATAGCTTGCTGACACAGGATCCTGCGCTGTTTGTGTTTCAGGCAGATAACCATTCATCTGAAAATCCGGAGTAGCAGACTGGGGAGGATTCTCAACCGAAGCTGGAAAGTTGCCTAGTGACGGTACCGGTGGCGAGAACACCCGTGCCTCGGGATCGGGATATTCGGGTTGACCATCAGGGTCATCGTAAGCTACATCTCTCAGTCTTCACACAGAACATGACAGTATCGGCATGCCCACATGAACCCTGGCCAGGCGATTCAGGCGTCATCTCATCCAGCCCTCCATGCCAATCGCAGACGAGCTTCTTATCCCGACAGCGTCGACACGGCTTCTCCTCGTCGCACTTCAGCTTGGACGTGGCACACGTCTTACAAGCCTGCGAGACCCGTCCGCTCTTCGCATACGACGGGGGACGTTTCCGCTTGCCATCGCGAGGGTGGGCATGACCCGCGGCATGCCGCTTCATCAGGTCCCTGATGGGATGCGGTTAGTATAGCACGAGACGCCGACGGGGAGCATACGGCCTGGCGAAGCCCTTGTTGCACACATGGCAGACGTATGGCCTTTCGCGGGTGTCTGCGCCGGTTAGCGGTCTGGTGGCGGTCTGCTATTGCGGGGTTCATACGCGATCGAACATGGCGGATCAGATGGTCTGCGCGGTTGTAGTGCTTCTTGCAGACGCCGCATTGGAAGTACCCGTCTCGCGTTTTGGCGAGGGATCGGGGTGGGGGGGATGGCTCGGGCAGGGGGGGAGAGGATTCATGCAGCATTGCAGTGATGAGACTGGGGCATGGAGGTGGAAGAAAGGGAGATGAGAAGGACGGGGGAGGAGATGTGGGGACGCGGGGAAACAGACTAACGATTCTACGAACTATAGTAACCCCCACTTGCTCGGATTCTAACAGACCAAACAGACCACTCGACTAAAAAGGTGTCCAGACACCTAAGTAGGCGTGATACTGAATGATACTGGGTTTTGACAGATTCGCAATCACCAATTAGCTGGCCAACCACTACACTGCGGGCAGGGCAGTTGAATCATCAACCCCAGAGATTCCCCGTCGACCCTCAAGACCGCTTATCAAGGCATGCCTCCGGCCCTTGCGTCCTCGGGATGTGGAGGACCAAAGCCGACGACCTCAAATCAACACTCCACCCACCCACGATCAGCCGAAATACCATCCACTCATTCAACCTCACCTCCACCAGATAGCCCACCCAAACCACCCCTCTCAAAATGGGTACGCTCACCCCAGACAAAGCTAACCCACCCAGTCCGCAGTCTACCAGACCCACTCACTCACACTCCCCTCATAACCAGGCCTCACGCCAGTCCACTTCTTCTCGCACGGCTCGCCGATGATGCTCTGCCAGACAACAGCATCTTCGGAATACTGGCGGAAATGCGGAGAAGAGGCACTAGCGCAGAAGGTGAAGGGGATAGTGATGATGGTGCGTACGAACCTACCCTAGCCCTCCCTTCCCCGGCACAATCAATCTCCTTCCTATGCTAACCACCACCCCCTTCCAAAAAAGAGCTCCCACTGGACAACCTCCACCCCCTCAATCCACATCTCCACCAACCCCTCCCCCAACCTCATCCCCATCCCCTTCCTCCCCCGCGACACCTACACCTCCCTCCCCTCCCAAATCCCCACCGACCTCCCAACCGCCCACCGCATCATCGCCCTCCTCTCCGCCGCCAACATCCCCACCACCCCCGACCCAACCTACAACTACCAGGTTGACGTCTACATCCCCCTACTGCACATGTTCCCAATCCCAACCACCATCCCCCCCGTCACCATCCTCTCCACCCCCATCACCCCCACCTCACCCCATTTCCACCTCCTCACCGGCCAAGCCCTCCGTCTCCTTCGCCAAGAGAACTACCTCCTCCTCAGCACCGGCGGCACCGTGCACAACCTCTACCGGAACCGCTGGATGTCGCTGCTGCGGTACCGCGACTCGTTGGCTCAGGAGACGCCGCCGGAAGGGTGGGCGTTGGAGTTTAGGGGGGCGGTGGAGGATGTTTTTACGAGGAATATCGATTTTACCGAGGTTTATGATTGTACCAACAAGAAGAATGATGATGATGATAATGCTGGCATGTGGAAGTCAGGGACGGGAAGAGGGAGAAGCGCAGGCTTAGCAGGAAGGGTGATGCGGTTGATGAAACACCCCCGGTTCAGGGAGGCGCATGCGACGGATGAGCATTTCTTGCCGGTGGTGTGGGGGGCGGGGGCTGTGGGGGGATTCTTTGGAGATGGAGATGGCATAGACGGGGAGGGAGATAGGAATCGCAAGGATACAGAAAAGAGAGAGAGAGAGAAGGCCGTGTTGGGCGCCGAGACGTGGGAGTTGGGTAATATGGCGAATTTGCAGTTTACGGTTGGGAGGTGGGGATGAATTTTATCTATCATCATCTATCTAAGTGTTTGTTTGGATATATTTACTTGAGTAATATGATGTGATGTGATGTGATGTGATTTCCTCCCACTCGCTTAAGTTTCTGGCCTTTCTAGCTAGTCCGTCTCGGTGCAGATGCACTGGTACTAAAATACTAACAACAACAAACCAATCCTGGATATATACGGGGTATACAAATATCCCACTCCCCTCAAAGCTTCCTACCCCAACCCCCTAACAACATTAATCCCATAACCCCCCACCACCACCACTGTCCCAACGACTGAGACCAACAAAACCACTCCCCCCGTGATCATCCCCTGCTCAAAGAACCCGATCGTCTTCCCACCCGGCCGCCCGATCGCCGGCAGCGGCGTCAATGCCTCTTCCCACGCCTTCTCATTCCCACCACTCCCCCCTGCAGTATCAAGCACCCCCCTCACAAAACCCGCATTCTCACTCTCCGACACAAACTGCGGACGGGGGACCTGAAGCCAGGAGGTGGAGTAGCGTGTCTTGCCCGGGGGTGGGTGGGACGGTGGGTAGGTGGGGCCGACTATTTGCATTAATATATTTGTTTTCCGGGGGGGGGGATGGGGAGGGGAGGAGGGGGGAGGGTTTACTTAGGATGTCGGTAGGAAAGTGGTTCACCCACGAGATATGCGCGTCGATGAACTGCGTCAGGTATTTGGCTGATGAGGGGGCGGCGAAGGCGTATGTTGCTGCGAAGGGGGCCATTCTGGATTCGATGAATTTGTTAGATTAGACTTTATGTAGATGGATGCATGGATGTGCATGGATGTGGTGGATACACTCACGAGTTACTAAAATCAATAGCATCGTCCAGACTACTGACGGGGTGGATGATGAGGACTTTCTCGGATATCTTCCTGCGCAGCAGGGGGGATTTGCTGTTTCTGTTAGTCTGTCTGCATCTATACCCGGATCTGCTTGCATCTGGATTGCTCATATGGAAAGGAAGAACCCACCGACCAAGCACCTCAACCACACCCCATTCCGACCCCGAGACAACAACCCGTGCACTTGCATCCTTGTACGCCGCGTCCAGCAACGAGGCCCCCGGACTGGCTCGTCGGGGGTTGACTGTCGTCTGCCGGGCCTCCCCGTTCTGGCCGCCCAGATACCTCGATGATCGTTGGATGACCGCCTCGGTGAACTCCTTCATGATAAATTCCTGCACCAGCACCAGGTCAGGGGAGTAGGTGGCTCGACCCGCGAAGGCGAAGCGCGCAGATACCAGCGCCTCAGCGGCGGCGGGGATATCGGCCGTGCGGTCGACGACAGCTACTGTTCTTGCGGTGGTCGAGGAGAGCAGACCGCGGTCGGATATCGGGGCGGAATGACCCTGGAGGATGACGAGCGTGTTGTTGCTCAGGAACCCCGCGTCGGGTCTCTCCTCGCTGATCGCGAATGTATCTGCGTCTAAGGCCGGGGGGAGAATCTTCCTCAGTATTCCCGGCAACGACATGGTATTCTTGGGCAACTGCACACATCACGATGATCAGCTGAACTCTCACAACCAAAATTCCGCAATCAAAAAAAAAAAAAAAAAAGAAAAAAAAAAAAAGAAAAGGAAAAAAAGAAAACCCACCTCAAAAACAACACAATTCCCCCCCGCAACAGCCGCAGCCCACGCAGCCACCAGATCAAAAAACAGCGTATGCGACCCAGGCACCACATACACAATGCCCACGCCCTTTCTCCCCGTCGGATTATTCTTCCCGTTCGCGACGCGATACTCCTCCTGCAGATCCGTCTCCAGGTCCAGCGAGGCATAATGCGTGCGGATCTCCTTCATGGCGAGGCAGATCTCCGCACGCACTTCCTCGGCGGAGTGTTCCGAGTCCGTGGCGATGGCATCTTTGATCGCTGCGATGTTTTGCAGCACGGCGGTTTGGAATTGGTGGAATTGGAGCTGGCGGTAGCGGATGCTTTGGCAGCGGCCGTCGATGTCGGCGGCGAGGAGGCGGGGGAAGAGGGGTGGGGTGGGCATTTTGGGCTGATTGTTTCCGCGGTGGGCAGTAGCCTGGAGGGCAGTAGGGTGGGAAATGGGGATGTAGAGTGGGTGGTGGTGATGGTGATGGATATAGCAGGGTGGGTTGTATGATGTATCAGCTCATGGAGTCATAGAGAGTATAATGTGGACGTGGACATCATCCAGGAATGCTCGGGTTCTGGGCCGGTCTGGCTTCCGATGGAGTCTCCGGGGTAGATTGAAGGATGCGGGGGAGGAATGGATGATGGATGATGAATGGTAGACGGTAGATGGTGGTGGGATGGTGGTGGTCGGGATGTGGGGGAGCAAGGGATGCCCTCATTCATCCCTGTATGCACCGGGTTATCAGCCTGCCACTGGAGTCCGGATCTCTGGCTGATACGCTTAGATGCTCGCCCACCAGTCTTGAGCAATTTATTCCTCTCATCCACTTACCCTAAACCATCAATCACCATGTCAACCACAACAACCACCCTCTCCATCCTCTCCGACTACGAAGTCCACCACACTGGAGCAGATAGTCAGCCCCAATTCCAAACTCAACTGCCAGTTCCCGCTCCGTCCCCACCCCAACCAGCCAACTGGCCAACAAACCACCGACGCATCCCTGCCTACCGGCCTGTCAACCGACACCTGGACTACAACGAGCGAGCGGCGGGGGGCAGTCTGGGCGAGTATGTGTTTATTCAGACGATGCTGCATGGGGTGTGGTTGAATGCGGTGAGTTCTACTTTCTAGGACTTTTTTGAAAAAAAAAAAAAAGAAAAAAGAAAACAGCCGGACTGATAATCAACAAAAATAGACGGTTGCCCGCCTCTGGCGCTTCACGGGAGGGCGGATCAACGACAGGATATTCCAGTATAAGATTGGGGGGGAGTGGTGACTTCGCCTTTTTCAACATTTGTCTTGGTTCGGTAGTATATACTATAGTATCAACGGAATGTCATACCTGACATACTAATCCCATCGACTCGGAGTCTCCAAAGCAGAGTGAACATATATACTAAATCAGAAACCAACTTCAATTCCCCTCCATGATCTTGTAACCCTACATACAATCAACAATAGATCCTATCCCTCTCAGCCCAGCATATCCCAACAGCCCGGACTGCGATATATATCAAGTGGTAGAGAGAGTATCAGAAATCAGAAACAGCCCTATCTTCAGAAAGAAAGAAAGAAAGAAAGAAAGAAACAGTCAAGTACTCCCCCTAACCCCAATCCCCCCCAACTCTTCCTCGACCCCCTCCCCCAACCCCACCGCCGGCAGAAGCACATACAACATCCTCGCCCAGCCGTGTCCCTCCCCTTCCCCCTCCCCACCCACACCCACATCATCCCCCCATCCCTCTCATCCTCATCAGAACGCATCCCCGTAACATTCCGCCAAGCATGCATCGTCCCCCTCTGCACGACCACATCCCCCCTGCCCAACCGCCTCCTCTCCCCCGAATCCAGCAGCAACTCGACCTCCCCCTCGATCACGACGCCATAGTCCAGCGAGAGGGTGCGGTGCATGGGACTCGTCGCGCCGGGGGGGATGTCCACGATGCGGCAGACGGAGCCGCCCCGGATGGTGATCCCGGGCGGGTGCGCCAGGTAGTGCGCGTAGGACTGGATGTCGGCGTCGTCGGCCAGGTTGGCGGGGAGGCTGTCGGTTGTGTAGGCTAGGGAGAAGATGGCGGAGGCGGTGTCGGAGATGCGGGTGCTGGGGAGGGGGGGGGAGGTGGGGGGATATGGTTGAGGTTGATGTTGAGGTTGATGTTGATGTGGTGGAAGTTGAGAGGGGGGAGTGGGTGGTTATGTAGCGGGTTAGGGGGCGGAGGGGGATTTGGTGGTTGAGGGGGTGGATTGGAGGGTGGGACTGAATTGGGTCATTGTTGGTGGTGGTGGTGGTGGTGGTGGTGGTGGTGGTTTTTTTGCTTTGGGTTTGATTGATTGATGTGAAAGTGAGATTACTAGAAGAGGTACTGGCTGGTATATATCTATCTACCAGGAACTATCGATTCTTTGTTCCCGTGTTGTACGGATGTAGGTAGTATATAGATCTCATCGGCCCTCGGGACCACATCGGGAGTGCACCCGGGTATCACATTTCAAACATTGATTGCTAATCCACCAAACTTCATCACTACCGACCCATCCGAAGCTCCTCCAGCCATCCCCGGGGCGGAATAATAGGCAGCGTGACATAATTGTCCCCATGGCCGAAGTTGATGTGGTTCAGGCCGTGGAATTTCTCTTCCGATCTGTCGCATGTTAGCGTGCCACAATCAATGTAGCGTGTCAAAGTGAACATACCGATCCTCAGGCGCATTATGCTGGAAAATACCACAGCCCTGCGTGTCTCCCGACGACACCTCGAAGATAATCTTCCCCCCCTTCTCGACCACCACGTTCGTCGGCCACACCTCCACATCAACCGGGTACACCTCGCCCGGGACCACCGGGAGGGCATCCGTGGAGTAGTAGTCCCGGTGGGGCAGCCACGGTCTGTTCCGGGGGTGCTCAGCATTGACCTTCCGCAGACTGACGCGCTGCCAGCCCTTGCACAGCGGGACCGGATCGCCAGCCGTGCCGGTGTAGAACACCTCCTTGCCCTCGGGTGAGATGTACCGCAGGGTAAGAAACAAATCAATATCCCGGGGCGCGGGCGAGTCGGGCTGCGGGCTCATCGACACATTGAGATGCGCGACAATGTGGCCCGTGATCTCCGTTTCCTGCTCGAACGGCGCGGTCGTGAACTGCACCAGCTGGGGGTCCTGGATGTTGCCCAGCGCACGATACGTGAGCTTGGAGGGCGTTTCTTGCGGAGCGCTGGTAAGGAGCTCCGCTTTCGAGCTCAGGTAATACCGCGTGTACTGTGTCCGCGCGATCGGCCATTCGGTCTCGGTGCGTCGGGCATACTGCTTCTCTGCTTCGGCGTTGTTGAATCCGACATCCCCCTTGCGCAGCACCAGGTCCACCTTCGGCGCGGTGCCCGTCGACCAGCCCGCCCGGTCTTCGCCCTTGAGGAACGCGTCGAGGAAGCCGCGCTGGATCTCAACCTCTTCCTGGTAGTAGAATGGCAGATCGTGTCGACCGGTGATGAAACGGAGATATTTCAACTCGCTGCCTGCTTGGGTGAAGCCTTCCACGTTGCCACGGAGGTGCAGCAAGATTCCGCCCCAGTTCGCCACGGAGAGCAGGGGAACCTGATCGTGTCAGTTGATTGCACACGATTTGACTTGCTCACATACCTGGATGTCAGTCATGGTGTATTCCTTGCTGGCGTAGTAGAGATCATCACAGAACCGGTTGTTCACATTATCCACCGTCTGGTCCTGACGATTGGCCTCCAACTCTTCTTCCGGCAGCTCGCCTTCGATGGTATCCGGCCCCCAGTTTCGGGCAGCCCGGCCGGGTCGTCCGTATTGATTCGTGATTACCTGGCGGTCCCACCAGAACTTGATAAACGCGTTCGACAAGATGCCTCCGTGGCGACAGCGGTCGCGATAATAGTCCGACATGCCCTCCCAGGGGATGATACACGACAGTCCCTTGGGCTGTCGCGCGCTGACTCTCCACTGGCTTCCGGCATAGTAACTGATTCCCAACAAGCCGACCTTCCCGGTGGACCATGGCTGCTCGGCCGCCCATTCGACCACGTCGAAGAAAGCCTCGCTCGTTTCGCGGGACATGGTGTCTAACTTCCCGCGAGATTGGCCGGTTCCTCGCTCATCCGCCCGGACAACGGCGTACCCGTGCTTGGTCCAGAAGCCAGGGTCGGGTGTTTCCCAGGCCGAATGAGCGGAGTGATGCTCCGGATTGACCTCGCTGAAAGACTGGGGATGGAAATCCGCGTACGGGATGTCCTTTCCGTATGGACCGTATGTGACTAGCACGGGAGCTTTTTCAAGCTCCTTGGGCCGGTACACATTGCATCGGACGAGACCGGACTCGTCCTTCAGAGCGATGGTGACGTTCTGCTCGAAAACGTAGGGGAAGGATGTATCATCCCGCGTGGTGATATCTTCGCGGATGGGATTCGGCATGATGGCTCACTCAACCCACTAGATTCGATGCTTGTCACTTGGAGAATAATCGATGAGCCATCCCAATTACGTGTGGTGTGCTAAATAGTCAGCTTCCCCTCACGTAGTCATTTGTTCCCTTGCATCGCCCGACGTGGAGCCGAAACGGTTGAACCGACGGCGATCGACGAACCACCGGCTGGTGGCCTGACTCATACCCATGTCGACGGCTGTCATTTGTTCAGTAAAACTGTAGGATTTCAGGGGTTTATGTCTAGATATAGCTGGAAGATCGTCCAGTCCATCGGAGTCAATCTTTCTACCCACCAACATTCACCTGCATTATGGGGAGCAGTTACCCAAACACAGCCCAAGGGCTTCACATCCTGATCGCCGGTGCCGGCATAGGAGGCTTGGCCGCAGCTACTGCTCTTCGCCAGCAAGGCCATCGAGTAGAGGTGAGTCACAATGATCCGATTTCCAGTCTGGAGTACCAGGTCTGACCCTATCCAGCTGTTCGAGCGCTCCCGACTTGCAAATGAAATCGGGGCAGCCATTCATCTCACCCCAAACGCCAACGCAGCGTTGCTCAGACTAGGCATCGACGGTGCCAAATTTGGAGCCGTAGAAGCAGAACGGGTATGCGTGCCTAGGTTCGAACAGCTCGGATCTAACCTGAGCAGCTACGGATCTACACACCTAGCGGCGAGCCTCTGGCGGTTATCGACAGCAAAGAAGATGCGGCAAAGTGGAGACACGTATGCCTCTTTCCTCTGCACCTAGTTCCGACTGACAGCCCGGCAGAAATGGTCTCTTGTACACCGAGCCCACCTTCACGAGGGCTTGAAAGTTGCCGCGGAGGCACCTGGGCCTGGTACTCCAGCGCAGTTGCACACCTCGAGCAAGATCGTGGACATCGATCCGGAGAATGCAACCCTCACCCTTGAGTCGGGTGAAACCTTCAAGGGCGATGTCATCATCGGAGCAGATGGCGTCCACTCGCTCGCCAGATCGAGGCTGTCTGGTGGCAGTGGTGTTAAGCCATTTAGCTCAGGCAGAAACGCATTCCGCTTCCTCTTGAAGCGGAAAAACGCGGAGGAAGACCCTGAGACGCGTTCTATCGTCATCGACAAGAGTTCCGTGGACATGTGGGATTCTGAAGAAAAGCGCGTGGTCATCTACCCATGCTCCAACAACGAGCTGCTCAACTTTGTCTGTATTCATTCGGACACATTGAGTACAATTAACACTTCTTCGGACTGGAACCAGGAGGCCAGCAAAGAGGAGCTACTTGAGACGTTCAAGGAATTCAACCCCCAGGTCCTGAAGATCCTGGCCAAAGCTGATCCCCAGACCTTAAAGGTGTGGCCGTTGCTGGATATGGAAACACTGCCGACCTGGGTCAACGGCCGGTTGGCTATCTTGGGCGATGCGGCCCATCCATTCCTGCCATATCGCGCCTCGGGAGGTGCAATGGCCATCGAGGACGGCATCTCGCTGGCCGTCATGCTGTCTCGGAATATCACTCCACAGGAGGTGCCTGAAAGGCTGAAGCTGTACGAGAAAGCCCGCCACACGCGAGCCACCACCATCCAGCAGATGACACGAGAGTCTGCGCAGCCGCAACCACATGGTGAAGGTCAGTCCGCCTCCATTTCCCAATACACACCACTGAGACGTTGCAGCGGAAAGGATGATGAACTACATATACGGCCATGACGAGTTCGACCACTCGACCCAAGTCCTGCGCAAGCATCTCTGGGGCCAGGCTCCAGCCAAATACTGGCGCCAACCCATTGTCTTCGGGCCCATGCCGGGCCCCAGACAAGACTGGTGGGGGCGCAGTCGCGCGCAGAAATCACTCAAGTCGACATTCCAGACGGCATCCATCCGGTTCAAAACCAGTCGCACGCTTCTCCAAAACCTGCTGCCCAATGAGCGCTATTCTTTCACAGACCCCAGCACGGTAGCCTATGCCAGTTTCTCGCAAACCAAGCTCCATGGAATGGACTGGCTTGGCGGCGGCGGATACCGCCATCTGGGACTCTACATCGAAGGCGTGCAGTATAAGAAGTCTGACGGCGAGATAGTCAAGGGGATCTACCTGCCCGTCCTCTTCGAGAATCTGACCGACCCCATCGTGAGCGGTCGTGAAGAGCTCGGAATGCCGAAGCTGTATACGGCGATTGAGGCGCACGAGCGTTCCAATTCGTATCATCTCATGACCAGCTGGCAAGGCGCTGTATGGGGCCATTTCCATCTCGAGGACCTAGAGGATCAGGACCCTAGCTCGACTCCCCCGCCGAATGTCGGCAAGGGCGACTTGGTCTATCGCTACATGCCGCAGGTCGGACGTACGTACAAAGGACAGCCCGAGGCGGAGTACGCGGTGCTGGTGCCCCAGGAGGAGGAGGCGAAGAATGTGCCGTCCACGATCAAGCGAGTCCGGACGACCAAGAACGCCCGCTTCGAGATCGATGCTCTCGGCTGGGAGTCGCTGCCGACGCTTCATCACGTCATCTCGCGGCTGGCGGAGATCCCTGTCGATGAGATCCTCTCGGCCAAGGTTGTCGACGGGGAGGGGGTAGCGGATGTGTCGTGTGCCAGACGCATCGAGTAGCACAGCAACAGCTTCAGTGTACAGCTAGCATATCCTGCGTCCAGCTTGATTCAAGTTAGTTCTGCTAGGACGGCCGGGATGTTTCGTCATAATATAGTTTCTGACGTCGCCCATCTCCTGAAGTAAACTCCATTGGCGGTTGCACCTTCGACCACCTCCCTCCGGCGAGCACAGCAGCAAGGTGTAAATCGGTGTAGGTTGGTGTCACTGGAAGGCGAAGTCGCGACGCGTTGGCGATGCGGTCACGTGACCCGCCCTCGTCCATCCAGACTAGTCCGCTTTTGGAACTCTCCACCGGCATCCAACAGAAGACTACGAGTTAGTAGTTGGACTTCCTCGCATCGCACAGTACTTTCTTTGCAGCTGAACTCAAATCATCTGGATATGACTCGACCAACTACCAGCCACCCACATGCTATCATCCAAATGTGTTTCGAAGAAGTGTGAATTCGAATTATATATTTTTGTTTTCCCGGGGACCTAACCCCCGATGATGACCCTGCAACGTCACCGAATGCTCAATCTTGAACCATACGGAAACCGAAGATAATTCCATCGTGTGACTATACGGGAGAGGAGTCGGCCATACACATCTGAGGAGCTCAGAGCTCAAGCAAATGTACGAAAGCTTAACATGAGTCCATTATCACGATGTCGATGGCATATCGACTACGTGAAGGGGGGGAAGGACACTACTGAGTAGATGACACATTGAATGCCCCTAGCCGCTGCGTAGTGATAATGTATTTCTTCTTGGATAAGGACCACCTTACAACTGGGAGAGGGGGTGATCTGGAGGGATAGCACCGGCTTCACATGCTGAACCTACCTAAGCAACCCGTTTCGGCACCCCGGTCAACACTCGACGTCCAGGATCTCTTCCACTCTGTTCGGTCGGTCGTGGATGGCAATGCCCATATGGCACGATTAGAAACGATTGGGAAATAGCGTCCCAACACGGGTTAAAGATTGAGAATGGGATACTCCGTATGAAGGTCCCCTTCGCACGCTGGCCATCGCAACGATTAATGCCTCGGGCTTCCGGGGGATCTCGGAGGCATAGATAGACGAGCGGGATGCGGACATAGTAGATGAGCTTCTCTAGGCCTCAACGTATTGTTTTCATGTGCCGATCTTTGCCGTGCCTCGTACTAGATATACTAGTTATTCGGTCAACATCGTTTAAGGAGATACCTGCAGGGCAGGGGGCATGATCCCAGCATGATCGGCAAAAGAGCCAACCATACGTTGCTTGGCAGATACCCGAGTTAGGTACCTACGTAGGTCCAGGGTGATTCGGACCAATGCCCGCCTTGAAGCGCACACGAGCACTGATATCCAATAAGCTTATAATCACTCCCGCGCACGACATGCCAGTGCCAGTACAGTGCAATTCGCCACCCGCACGGCCGACAGAGCTCCAGATAGATACGCAGGCATGGCATGGCATGATCCGCTGCGGCGTAGCACATACTAAGCACTAGACCGCACAAACCGTATATCCCGTAGGTAGCTCGACGGTCCGGCCGTCTCACTAGCAAGGGCGTAGTGGGCCACCAAGCCTATTGGATCCTCCGGACCGAGTCGTTTAATCCGTACCAAGCACACACCTCACTGTGCAAGCCCAGCGTACTTTACCTACAGGTGAGCGATGCAGACGCCCGGGCCTGGATGCGTTAGCAAAAAACATGATTCTTGGGGGGACGGTTCGATTGCAGACTCATGCAATGTATGACAGAATGGAGCAAGTTGGCATATGCTCTGTGCGCCGTACATACAGCAGCTATGCATGCATGTAGGTCTATGCCCGGCATTACTACCCCAGAGTGCCGGTTATGTCTGCCTGACTGACGGACAGACGGAGGAATGAACGGGTGGGTGCCCGCCACCCCCTCCCCCTCATGGATGCAGCACAGTACTTTGGTTAGTTCGTCGCCGGGATCCTCTGGCGACTACGGAGCAGTTGCCTCGTATTAACAGTGCCGAGAACCGACCAACGAACGCACCGTGGCGATAGTAGGTAGGGGTTGTGTTGAGCTAAATGGATGCCAGCAGGCGCGGACGTTCATGTGACTTGCGCTAGCTAGCGAGGTAGCTAGCATCGTGGGGGCAGGATTATCGAAGGACCAATGTTCAGTACGCAGTAGCAGCGCGAGCACTGAGCAGTTGATACGAGAGAAGAGGTGTTCGGGGATGGCATCATCGCCGGTGCCTCGCGGGATGCGCCTCGTGGCATCGGGCCGCAATAGAAACCGGGTATAGCATCGGGGGTGGCAAAGTGGGTATTTGCGCATGGATGAGAAGGAAGAACTGGTGGGAGTCACTGGAGGTCAGCCAGCTATCGGGTAACATGTAGGGGCTTGGGGACATTGTACTCATCACATCCATTCGGGATTTGACTGTGCCGCCTGAGGCAGGCAGGCAGGAGACATAAGCGGCGGTCCGTTCCAGAAAGGCCTAGAACGCGACCGCAGTAGTGGACAGTAGTAGCGGCGGGAATCGAGAATTTCCTGCATTCCTGCGAGTGGTGGTATAGGTCAAATGGATGAATCTGGCAGAGGTATTATCGGGTTGATTGAGGGCCTTCGATGAGTGGTGGGAGAGAGAGAGAGAGAGAAAGAGAGAGAGTCAGAAGCGGGCGAGAAGTTGTACGGGGGGTTGTTGTTGTATACGCACTCGCGGGATGACGCATGACTGGCTGCCGACCGACTACTAATCAGGCGGCCCGCGGTGAGAGGAGAGCCTTGAGAGGTGCTCCGCCCGCAGCTGCTGCACTTCACCAGGAACCGTAACCTCAACCTCTCCCGCCTCTGTGTCTCCCTCTCATCCTCCATTCGTCTTCCATCTACCATCCCGCCTCTTCTCTTACCCCCCCCCAGGATACCCTGTCTTTCCTTCGACCACATCCCGGCCTTGTCCAGCCTTGACTCTCGACCCCCTTCCTGCCCTTCCGAACGCCACTACCACTCCCCCTCCTCCCTCCACGGCTCGTGACGATCGCCCGCCAGTCCCACTGTACTTATAAATCCCTCGTTCGACTGCCTGGGCCGCTGCCACCCCTGATCTACCAGTCGCCGATAGAGTCCTACAAAGCCTCATCCAGAGTGGCCCTTCCGTGCATCCTGGTTTCTCCGAAGCTATCTGACCCCTCCGAGCCTGGGAGAGCTTCCCCGCACCCGAGCTGCACAGCATCATGTACGTTGCGGAGAAACCCACCATCGGGGAAATCAAAGACCAAAAGAAATAGGTGGCTAACCAGATCCTCTGACGATCCCCAGGCGGATTACGGTGAGCGTGATTCGCCCGGACCAGCCCGATGCCGACATCTTCTCCCTGGAGGTCGGCGGCGACATGAGCGTAGAGCTTCTCAAGGCCATCGTCGAAAGCGAAACGAACATCCCCCCTCCCTCCCAACGCATCGTCTACAACAACCAGCTCCTTGGCGACGACTCCCGCACCCTCGAACAAGTCGGCATCGGTGAAGGCGACATGCTAGGTGTTCATGTTACGCTGCGGGGCCCTCAAGCCCCCTCTCGGAGCGTAGGGGGCCCCAGCTCTGCTGCTGCCCAACAAAATATGCAACGGCGACAGGCCGCGACGCCAGATCCCGAGACAATCCGCCTCCACATCCTGGGCGACCCCCGCGTGCGCGAGGCTGTTCGACGACAGAACCCGGAACTGGCGGAGGCCGCCAACGACGCGCAGCGCTTCCGCGAGGTCCTCCTCCGGCAGCAGCAGCGTGAGGCCCAAGTCGAAGCAGAGAAGGAGGCCCGAATCGCGATGCTCAACGCCGATCCGTTCAATCCTGAGAACCAGCGTGCGATCGAGGAGATCATCCGGCAGAATGCGGTGACGGAAAACCTTCACAACGCGATGGAGCATCACCCAGAGTGTAAGTGGGATCCATGTTCCCCCCCCCCCCTTCCCCAAGATGGCCTCGTTGCTAACCGGGCAGCACAGCCTTCGGCCGCGTAACCATGTTGTACATCCCTGTCGAGGTCAACGGGCGCAAGCTCAACGCTTTTGTGGATTCCGGCGCGCAGGTCACCATCATGTCACCCGAATGTGCGACCGCGTGCAACATCATGCGACTCGTAGACCAGCGGTATGGGGGCATTGCGAAGGGGGTGGGAACCGCAACCATCTTGGGTCGGGTGCACTCGGCCCAAATCAAGATCGGAAGCATGTTCTTGCCATGCTCCTTCACGGTCATGGAGGGGAAGCACATCGACCTGCTGCTGGGCTTGGACATGCTGAAGCGACACCAAGCCATCATCGACCTGAAGCGGGGGGCGCTCGTCATCCAGGATCAGGCCGTGCCCTTCCTCGGGGAGGCAGACATCCCCAAGCACCTCCAGGAAGAGTTCGAGGATGAGCCCATGATCAAGGGCCCCGGTGGCGCCGAGGTGGGCGCCCGGACAGGTGCGGTCACGCAGCAGGCAGGCGGCGGCCAAGCAGCTGGGGGCCCTAGCATGGGCATGGGCTCGGCGGCCTCGTCGTCCCGCCCAGCCCCGCCGCAATCACGATGGCCGCCGGACTCCATCACGAAGATCACCGAGCTAGGATTTACACGGGAAGAGGCCATGCGCGCGTTGGATGCCGCCAACGGCGACCTGGATGGGGCCATCGGGTTCCTGATATGATGATGATGTCACGCTTGACGTGGTCCTGTCTGCCTGCCTGCCTCACCAACCCTGCACTGATTCTCCCCCTGTTCCTTTGTACCAATGAGCCCACGGACGTCCCTCTACATTTCTGTGAACCTACCTACCTTCCGCCCCCTGGGGCAAGAAGCTAAGCTAAGCTAAGCTATACTAGCGAAATAGAAATCAATTGCCACTTTCACTTTCACTTTCACGTCCACCTATCTGCATTTCATTCCTGTCCATCCATCCAATCCAATCCCATCCAATCCAATCAAATCCCCGCACCCACATCACATCACATCACATCATCGTATGATGTAATCAAAATCAACACTGTGGCGTCTGCACCTCACCCATAACATAATAACAACACCCACCTCCCTAGCTCATAACAAAGACCACCCCGGCATACTCCGAACCCAGACAATATTGCGACTTTTAATATATCTAATCCCTGTCTGCCGCACACCCAATCAGATCCTCTGGATCGGGGAATCCGATGCCTTTCCCTGGTTGAGTTGAGTTGAGTCCAGTCCAGTCCGGTCGAGTTGAGTCGCCTGCATCTCCGCCCCCAGACTAGTGATCCTGGAGGCTGGAGATGGACTAAATTAGCCGGCGGCTTAGCCTACCCTGCCCTGCCCTGCCCGGCCCACCAGAGCTAGAGCCACAGCCACCCTTTTCTGGGCGCAGGGGAAGGGAGGGGCGTGGGGGTTTATGCTACTACTACTATTCCTCCGTACCTACGTAGCTATCTAGTACTTAGGTATCTACACCCAACCCACCTAGGACGTAAATGGGTAAATTACTAATGGTAATTGTGGGTAGTTATAGTAGGTACGTACTTGGATAGTAGGTGGGGTGGTAAATAATTATAGTAGGTACGTGGTCTGTGTCTCCGATGTGGCAGGTCGATGGATGGTTTTGCATACTTACTACCTACTAACTGTCTAGTAGATCCATGCGATCGGTCGGCCCAGCCTGGATGCGGACCTGTAGGTTATTGATTGGTTTGTAAGTTATTTCCGGGGGCCGACTGAGCTACTAGGTCAGTGATGGTGAGGTTGCATTCTGGGATTTTTATGTGGTCTTGTCTTCGCTGGGTATCATATATTGGAAGCGGCGGAGGCGGGGGGGATCTTCGCTCTGCAGTGCGTGCAGTGCATGCAGTGCAGTGAATGTACGTATACTACTACTACTACTACTACTACTACTACTACTATGTATGTAAGTATGTACGTACCTGCCTACTACTGCCTGTCTAGGAATCTATTCTACAATATCCAATGTACCACCGAAACCGAAACCGGACCTACCTGCCGAAGGAATGCAAATCTAGATATATTACTCCCATTCTACTCCGTCTTGGATTTGCCGAGCAATTTCCCCCGAAGACGGGAGAACATATCCGCTGCCATGAATGCGCCTATCCCGTGATATTCATATGTTAGCGGGTTTGCGGTAGAGCCAGCCACGCAACCAAGCATTCAAACGGGAAGGTAAGCACCTACCAAGCGCCACATACGGGCCGTACAGCATGGAGATATTCTGTTTCTGGACGAGGGTGCGATCCTCCCAGCTCCACACCTCCATCAGACAGACGGCGGAGGTGATGAAGGCCTGGACACCGAAGACGAGCAGATGGGCGGGGACGAGCGGGTGATCTGTGAGATGATGTCAAGCGCATCCATGGCGTTAGTTATGTTTCAGATTTATATTATTCAGGGATAGATGGCGCTGGTCATAGCCATGATGATGATGAGGGGGTGGGGGTGGGGGTGGGTGTTATTATTGGAATTTGGGAGGATTTATTCGAATGGACGCAACGCAACGCACCATTCTTGAGCCCGTGCAGAGCCCACACACTAAGCGGGACATGGTAGAACAGCTCCATGAGCAGGAAGGAGTAGAACCATGGGGCCGGGGGCCCCTCGAAGAACTTGTCGTGGTAGGTGGTGATGTAGAAGTCGCGGAGGGAGTGGGACAGGCCCGACTGCAGGAAGGAGGGGAGGATCGGGGCGGCGTCGACCACTGCAGGATGGGGAGGGATGGTTAGTGAGGTGGTATTCAGCCTTAGCTGCGTATGTGGTTCGCGACTCACGGAAGATGATTGGGACGTGGATCGCGAAGAAGATGAAGTAGATCAGGTCGCATTTCCGGGTCCACAGGGACGGAGGAGCGGCGGTTGGAGTGGACATGTTGGGGCCTGGACGGGTGGACGAGGGGTGTGGAGTTTTCCGAGGTTAGAGGTGGGTTGTAGATATCTAGTCGGAGAGGCGGGTTGTTGATGGTTGATTGTTGATTGTTGATGATCGGACGGTGAGCTATCCCCGGTCAGGTGACTGACTGCCCCGGCCCGAGGCCAAACCAAGACTCTCGCCCAACTCACCTTCTGCTACAATTCCTCCCAACTCCCGTCAGAAAAAGCAACCCGTCAAGACTCGCCCAGACTCCCACTCATGTCGCCAAAATCCCCGCCGTTCCTCAGCCAGACCCGATCGGCTGGAAAGACAGGCAAAGGTACGGGCTGTGCGCGATTGGAGCTGTTTGCTTTTTCGACTGCACGCCCCTCAGATTCCTAAACATAGCTTAAGCTTAGCCGCGTGGATCGGTCCATCCGGCCGTCAGTCAGTCAATCAACACCATTCCTCCTCGGGTAAGTCGCCCAGTGCCCAACGGTTCAACCACTGTCTAGTGTTTAATTAGAACTGAGGTCCTGGATGATCTATCAACTTGCTGATCTCCTCTGGTGTTTGTCCAGCCATCCCGACCTTGCATCTTAGCACTCGGATAGGCTTCTGGATCGTATCGACTTGTGAGACATCGTAGTGTACGTTCCCTCTGGGCGGCTTATGCAATCGCCAGGGGGGCAAACTCAGCAGCTTCACCCGGATCAGCCATCGGGACATGGATATTCGCGATGATCTCTCATCCCTAGGCGGCCCGACTGGATACTCACCGCAATTCTCAACCCTTCCTGGACCCGTCCGCGATCCCCGGCCAAAGCTTGTGGTGCAAAAGTCCTAACATAATCCGCCCAGGATTCTTTCGCCGTGGCGGCCACCCGCCCGGGGGCTGATCTTCCCTCTGGTCGTTTGCTGGGCGCGGAACCAACCTGACTCATTGACTCATTTTTATGAATTGGCAAAAGTACTGACTGCAAGGATAGGCGGCTGGTATCCGCCACATGCAGGTTGATCCCACCATGTCTCTCAATAGGAGACTGATTCTGCAGACAGAGCAACCATTCATGGACTCCCCTCTCTCAGGATTTGGCTCGGCCCTCTGGGAAATGATTTGGGGGCGGACGGCGGGACGCCTGCGCCTAGCGCCACACTTTGCACCACCGCCCGTCAGTCTAGTATGATTGTTGCTCAAAAGCTTGGAGTCGGAGGTGCACCGCTCACAGCCAAGGGTATCCCCGACGCTACTTACGTCCTAACGCAGTACGGAGTACTGCGCGACCCTTTCCCCGGAAGTTTCGCGCCACGGTTTGACCGCCGGTAGTTTCAGCATCGCACCTCTGCCAGATCGCCTGCGAATAGAGGTTCGCCTTTGCCCGTAGCCATTATCTACCCACTCCCCGTACCCACTAGGAACAAGCCCGGGATTCTTTTGCGTTCCCTTGCTCCATCTTGTGCCCGCGTGTGTATCGCAGGAATAACATTTCGTAATCGCTAGAGCAAGAGTCCGACCATGACGTGGAGTTTCCCTTTGACCCCTCGACGGGCAGCGAGTTGGGTCATCTTGAAAGAGCGTTTGGGTTCGCAACAGGGTTGAACTGGCTGGTATAGGCAGTAGACATGGCCGAATTGCCGGCACTCATGCCCTATGCCGAGCATGGATTGCCAGCTTCCAGTCGCGATTGCAATTCGACCCCTCCAGGCTCTGGAGCTTCGAATTTGTGGGTCGCTCAAGGCGGACATGATGCAGTCTGACCGGCATCATTGTACATTATCAGACCAACTTCCCTGCATCCTTCCTTTGCGGCTTCGGTGGGCCTTCGGCTCCGTCTGGGAAATGTTCTAGAGACCCTAGACCCCCTTCCGCCGGCCATCTCTACCGGTTATGGAACATTAACGTGGCTTAGTGGAGACCCCGATAGTCCACGGGCATTGGACCGCGTTCCCGAAATGAGAGTAAACGTCACAAGAGGCTCCAGTCGGTCAACATGGCGGACATGCGAGCAGATCGGCCAGGCCTGTCTCTCCACCCTGGTCGAGTAGTCTTGGTATGAGAATGGCCACCTCCAGCACGCGGGCAAGCGTGTTGGATGAGGCCCAACCGAGACTATGTGCGACTCTCATGTACACCAATGCCTGCTTTTTCCAAATAAGTCCGACTCGCTGGAGGGGACAAGCACCTGCCCAAAAGTGTCGATCTTGACAGAGCATGATGGTGGTGAGGGAAGCTACAGAGTCCACCGAGTGTTCGACGAACTTCTCGGAGAGAGATTCGATTGGGTAGAGGACGATCGATCACTACCAGATGGAGCAGATACAATCGCAGTGAACACACCCATCAGAAAAAAGCAATGGGACGGGAGGGGCAAAAGCAAAAGGAGAGACACAACAACTCTAACCCCTTCACAATGTTGTACTGGATGCGCATGCGCCCACTTGACGTGAGAAGGAAGAATCCTACCAACCACGCTACAGGCTAAGTGCTGCAATATTCCTAGATTATTGGCAATGGTTGCGTGGTTGCAGCGCACATACGGGCCACAGTAACACAGAGCAGCTGCAGTCCTCGAAACCGGGAGTTTACCAGCTTCTTCGGTCCAGCGATGCAAGGACTAATGCAAGATAGCAGAGCTACCAGAAGCTGCATCTTTCCCACACACGACTACTGCAGAGGGCAAATTCCGCGATCGAGTGCAGCCCGGCTACCCTGGAAGACACAGAGTCAAAGTTCATGGGCGATACTGGCCCAACGTGCCAGCTGCATCATGGATGGGGCCACCGCCTCCTCTTTGAGTTTGCAGTCCTCCTGGGCTTCTTATCATCATCCAGAGTAGAGCGGTGAACCCACCAGCAATAAGTGGAATGGAGGCCATGCCAGTTACTACAGAGCCAGCTCTCCGGAAGACGCCGGGTCGGGGGCAGAGTACTCTTTGTGCCGGGAGGCCTAATCCGATCCATCCAGCAAGCAATCAATCAATCAGTCAGTCAATCAATCAATCAGTTGTCGATCAATCGGGCTCTCTGATGTCCAGTGTGGGTCCGAGATTATCATCGTTCTGACGGTCCCTCTTGCTGGTGTAAGTCCCCAGGTAGCTAGATGTTAGCCCTGCTGCCGTCCGATGCAGGAAGGAAGCTACTACGACAGGATATGGGTGGAATTACGGAATGTGTGAAGGAGCGGGCGCCCCGATGGGCCTCCATTCCTGCATTGGACTTCCTTCATTGGACCTTGACCGCTCCTGCTCTCGGTCCCTGTTCCGAACGCCTGCCTCGTCCCTTTCTGGCCTCTTCGTCAGTCGGGATGGCTGTATCGTCTCTTTTCCTTCACCCTTTTCGACATCGGTCGTGTGCAGGCAGGCCTCTGAGTGGCTCACTGTTTTGCCGCCGCCCCTCACGCCTACAATGGCCCCCCGGGCCCATCTGTCGAGACCCGTCTAGCACCGACATCTGTACCCCTGTCGTCATGGCTTCGCGACGCCTCTTTTTTTTTTTTTTGTGTCCACCGTGAATAATCGGGCCTGTCTGCCCGCGCAATCTTTTCCGGCCGGAGATTGGAAGGGATGGATCCCAGTCTCGCTGTGTCTATGCGACTCCTCTCAGCTACATGCAATGTCATTGGCGCCGCTGCACCATCACATCCACTTGGTCGTGTTTACAGGTTGCGCAGCCCGTTATCGGCATGACAAGCGGGTGGATGTTGTATCCGATCAGATATTTATACATCGCCTGTCCACCCCCAGCTGGACTTTTTTTTTTCTCTCTCTCATTCATGATCCAGAACCCCACTAGGCCAATCTCCTAGTCTCTGTCCTTTCCCCAGATTCCTTTCACTTTGCCCTTACCGCGGCAAGACCTTGTTGAAAACTTTTGACCTCGGGCATCATTCCATCTATACAGCAACGATGCCTTCCTCTGCACCTGTTCTCCGGCCCAACAAGACCGAGGCCGTCAGCTCCCAGAAGAAAGACGAGCCCATCAGCTACGACATCAACCTCCCCTACGTGGATGTCAAGGGAGACTCTCAAGCCCACACCAAATACCCCAAGTACCTTCCAAGCTGGGACAAGGTGTGGTTCGATCCTCTTCCTCCCTTTGAATATGAAGACCCCGCACTGCGTGTTACGGACAAGTCGAAGCGCAACCTCTTGACTCCGGGCACCAAGGTGTCGGATATCCAGCCGCGGATGGGCAGCATTGTGGAAGGCGTTCAGCTCAATCAGCTATCCGACGCTGCGAAGGATGAACTCGCCCTTCTCATTGCCGAGCGCAAGGTCGTCGCATTCCCCGACCAGGACCTGATTGACGACGGCCCAGCTGCCCAGGAAGGGTTCCTGCGCCATTTTGGCAAGCCCAACTACCAGCCCGTCTCGGGCTCGATGCGCGGCCATCCGGGGTTCCATATCATCCACCGCGACGGAAACAAGGAGGAAATCACCCGTTTCCTGGAGCAGCGCACAACCACCACGTTGTGGCACCAGGATGTCAGCTACGAGATCCAACCCCCGGCCTATGTGATGCTGGGACTGCTGGAAGGGCCCGAAGTCGGCGGCGATACCGTGTTCTCCGCAACCGACATGGCATACAAGTGAGCATTATCCGAATGGGCGTCAAAATCAGATAACCTAATGCAGGACCTAGGCGTCTTTCCCCGTCCCTCACCTCCTGGCTGGACACGCTGCGCGCCGTGCACTCGTCGGCCAAGATGATCAACCACGCGCGTCTAGCTGGCGGCCTGATCCGTAAAGATGCCGTCGACACCGTCCACCCGCTCGTCCGCGTGCACCCCGTCACCGGCGAGAAGTGCCTATTCGTCAACGGCGAGTTCATCACCAAAATCCAGGGACTGAAGGAGCCCGAGCAGCGGTGGCTGCTCGACTTCCTCATGCAGCATGTTATCAGCGGGCATGACTTCCAGGCCCGAGTGCGATGGCAGCCCAGGACGATTGTGATGTTCGACAACCGCAGCACCACCCGTAAGTACCACTCCAACCACCACGGGAACCAGATAAGCGCCCAAAAACACCCATGGCTAACCAATGGTTGTCGACCCCAGACTCTGCCATTGTTGATTATCTAGACGACGATAACAGCGCCAAACCCCGACACATCTTCCGTCTGTGCGCATTGGGCGAGAAGCCCATCCCCGTTTACGATCAGTTCGAGTAGACTAAGCCAGTATCCCGACCTGACCTGACCTCCGCTCACGCCACCCTTCCTCTTTTTCTCTGGTCGGTCCAATGCTCCCCTGCCGACCACCTCTTGCTCGCGAGACGCATGGCCGGCTGGCTGAAAACCGAATGTGGATGTGACTGGACACCACAACTCATGCCTTACCGTGAGGCATCCCGGCAGAAACGCCCGGAAGATACTTCCCCGCCACGCTACGCTACTCCTTACCCCTCGTCTATCGGATCCGTGGCGAACCGAACCCCATTCATCTCATCATTCATCTTCATACCTTTTGGTTTTTTATGTGTTCTGGATTGGTTGGTTCATACCTCGGTTCAATTCTTAGACGGTGGAATGTTTTTTTTCCATCCTTCTGGCTTTGGGGGGTTTTTTTTTTCTTGTTCTTTTGTGACTTGTCACTTATTCGATTTTTTTTTGATTTTTTTATTATATTTTCCAGATTTCTTTCCCCCTATTCTTTTTTGAGATTTTCAGCCTGATAGACTTATTTATCCATCTTCATGCCTGATTGTATTCTCCTGTGATTTAGGGTTTTTTTATGGGTGGTGGATTGGGTGGGTAGCATATCATATCATATTATAGCATAGCATAGCATAGCATAGCATAGCTTAAAATGGGTAGGATAGGTAGGTAGGTGGGATGGGTAAATTGGGATGGAATACGAGAAGAATGGATGAGAACTAGTATAAACAGCGAAAAAAAAAAAATCCAAGGAACTAACTGGTCGCCAGCCCAGACTCACTATTGCGATGCTCATGGACTTCTTCTTTCTACTATAAATAAGATGTAGATTTCTGTGGAAGGATGGAGTCCACAATCCTCCTCCTCCCCCCCTCCTACCAGGTAACTCACGAGGTATGGTAGATAGTATAGTATAGTATAATACCAGTTCCCAGTTCCACTCCCCACCCAATCACACACCAGCATATGAACGGAACCCTTTCCCGCCCTTGTAAGCCAGTAAGCAAGCGAGGAACCCAGAATCCAATCAGGCGAGGCAGGGCAGGGCAGGGCAGGGAAAGGTCTTGCCTGTATATAATAGCGTTGTTAAGAGCAGCTAGCTACGGAGTAGCAGGGAAGAAACTGAATCCTTCCCTTCCTTGGGCCCCTCCCTTTTCTTCCTTTCCCCTCTCGTCTCGTCTCGTCTTGTCTCGTCTTGTTTCGTTCGCATGCACGCACGCACCCACTCACTCCCGGGCTTGTTATTTGGTTGTTTTGGTGGAGGGGATTTGCTGTTTTATGCTGTGCTGTGCTGTGTGGTTTGTTGTGTTGTGTTGTGTTGTGTTATACTGTATGTGTTTTTTTTTTTTTTTTTTTTTTTTTTTTTTGTTTGAGAAATATGTAGATAGTATCCAGATACCACGTGCCCGTAACTTAACTATTCTTAATAATTACGCACAACACCGTGAACTATATAACTATAGTTACTATGCATCATACACTATGCACTATACAGTAAGAGTATACACCATGCCCTATATTATATATTTTGTATACGGATTCCGTATCTAGTTTATGAGTGAGCTGTATTCAACTCAACTAAAAACATATAAATCCTAGAAATAGAAATAGAAATAGAAAAAAAATAATACATACACAATCTCTTCTACCCCTGACATACAGTGCTAGTACTAGATACAGAGAGGTACAACTCCATGATCTTTATGGGATGGGATGTGATGGGAGGTGAGGCAATGCAACACGTGATAATGATATACACGTCTGAATCTAGTATATAAGAAAGAAAAAAAAAAAAGAAAAAAAGGAAAAAAGAAAGAAAAAAAGGATAATCAGTTTAGATGAATAGTAATGGAAAGGATATTTGCAACGCCTAGGGACTGTACCCTCTCACTCTTCTTACTCTCACACATCGTTCTGACTGACGGATCAATCCTCTAAATCGTTAACTGATTAGCTCTCTAACCAACCCAACAACCCAACAACCACAGATCATTCAGGTAACAGACCACACCACACCACACCACAGCGGAATCAAAAGAAGAAGAAGAAGAAGCAGCCCAATGCTAAAGAAGAAAAATATATGAATTGTTTTGAATCAGCTCCTCTCAACGAACAGAACAGACACACGTACTGCAGACGACTCGACTCGTGTCTCATCTGATGCATGCAATCAACAACATGACATGACATGACATGCAATCAATCAATCAATGAAACGCCATGGACCCAGAACTAAGCTGACTGCACTAAACTAAACTAGTGTAGGTAGATAGATAAGATAGATAGATAGATAGACAGGTAGTTTAAAGGACGTGCTAAGAACCCCAAACGAACAGAAAAAAAACCAGCCGGGGAGGCAAGACGAAGCAAGGCAAGATAAGACAAGACAAGGAAACTAAACAAAGAGTCTATCACCGCAAAACATCCTCAATCCTCGACCTCAACTGCTGGGCGACCTGGATCTGATCCTGGGCGATCCCGCCCTGCTGCAGCAGGAGAAGTGTCTCATTAATCCGCTCCGCGACGAGATCACTGCCAAAGACGATGCCACCGAGCCGCACCGTAGCATGGAACCAGTGCTCGATGAGGTAGAGGAGGTCCCGGGCGATGACTTTCTTGTTGGGGCCCTGGAAGGGGGCTTCGTCGGTGTAGAACATGGATTCGAGGACGGCGTAGAGGGATTCGTGGGCGACGCCGAGGTCGAGGAACAGGTCGACGACCCAGGTGGCGGGGCCGACGCCGCGCTGGTGTTCGAGGGCGTAGCGCTCGAGCATGGGGAGGAGGATGGGGATGGGGAAGATGGACTCGGACATGCGCAGACGGCTGCCCAGGCTGCGGACTTTGTCGATCACGGCTTCGTAGGGCATGGGCTCGCCGCGTTCGAGGATCTCGTCGTGCAGGTCCTGCAGGAGGTGTTGCCAGGTGGATTTGACGTCTGCGGGGTTGCGGTGGTCCGCCAGGAAGAAGATCTGCAGGCAGATGTCGTAGTAGCTGGCTGGGTCGGCGTATTGGTTGAAGAGCTGGATGGGGTTAGTAGGAGGGTAGGGTTGGGGGGGGGAAGGGAAAGCATGGGCGAATGGCTATGGCTTACGGTGCTGATGTCCTTCAGGGGTCCATCCACATCCGCGAGGACTTCCGCCCGGCGGTCGGGCGCGATGCGCCTGTCGTCCTTGAGACGTTGCAGGAGATCGTCCTGGATATTGGCGATGTCGATAAGGTTGGAGGCTTCCTGCACCAGGCGCTGGCGGAACTGGCGGCTGATGTCGGACGTGAATGCGGAGGCGTTGGCGCGGGCTCGACCCAGATACTCAATGCGACGGCTAAGGGGCAGTGTGAAGGCGCTCTGTGCAAGGTTCAGCTGTACTTTGGCTGCATCGTAGAATCGTTCCGACTGGGCGTAGTATTTCCACAGCAGGTCCGCATGGAAGATGTCGTCGGCGGACTTGCGCTCGAGATACGTGACCACAAACGTCGAGTTGGTCTGCAGCAGACGGTCGCTCCATCCTTGCTCCAGGTACCAGTCATACAGACTCGTCAGGAACACCTCGTCCGTCGAGTCAGACACAACACCATAGGCTTCGTTCTTGCGCTTCGCAATGATCGTTAATTGTCCGTCAACCACACCGGGGTCCTGAGCAGCCAGGGTATCAACTGCGATGATGACCTTGAAAATAAGGCTATAGCACTGCTCGCGATACACGAAGAAGTCGCGACGGGCATCCTGGAAGCACACAGTCGTCAGTATTTCCAGTCACAACAGCTGATGAGAAAACCCACATCTTCCGGTCGGCCATCCACAATCCACGACAAAGCCATGTTAGCCTTGTCAGAGCGGGCAGCGACATTCAGAGCCAGCTGGATGGCGCCTATAGGTTCGTGTCAGCAATGTAAGCAAAAACCACTCAGATAAGCCATGCCATACCTGCGAAGAATTGGTTGAAAATGTAGCTCTCGATCGCAGTGACCAGGTAATCCATGGGCAGATTATCCGAAACCTGCTGGAACAGATGCAGACTCTCGTTGAGCAGATTGCGACCGAGTTCCGAGTTGTAGCCAGCTTCGGTAGCCCTCTTGAGCAGTTCCTGGGCCTTGAAGATCACCACATCTTCCGCGCTGCAGAAGCTGCCGCAACGGCGTCTCAAAGCATCAGCCACCGTCTCCACATTCGATCCCTTGGCGATGTTGCGGTTCACGATGCCCTTGACCAGCTCCTTGGCAATGTCGTGGCCCTTGTTGTGACTGAACAGCTCCTCAAACGTGAGCTTCAGGAAGCGATCCTTGGAGTCGGCTGGCAATGACGCGACGATCTCATCCACCCGCTCATCGAAGAGAACCAGGACAAAGGAAATGCCCTCAATCGTGTGCGATACAAGCTGGACCAGGGAGTGCAGTGCGCGATGCTCCGCTTGGAGAGCGGTTTCCTCCTGCTTGGTGGACACCCGCGTCAGGGCCTCGGGACCGCTCAGTCCTTCGATGAAGCTCTTGTTCGACTTGAAAAACTCTTGCAACGCCGAGAGGTCTCTTTGCACGGCCTGCAGCTTCGCAGTAGGAACCGAGCATGCCACCGTCTGAGCGCCGTTCGGGGCGGTGCCAACCTGTGCAATCTCCTTCCTCCAGATTGACCGCAAGAGCCGGGAGATGTAGAGCGCAATACCGGCATGTCGTGGAGAAGGAACCACCGCATCAATCGCAAGCGTCGAGTTATCAGCGACGGCATTCTCGTTCGTGGTGGGTCGACCGCCGTACTCGATGAACGTCTTGCGCGCGAACTCCAGAACGTCGGGGTCGTTGATTTGCGTGAGTCGCGAGTCCGAAGAAATCTCGACTCCCTGACCGCAGGCGACTGCAAGGGCGGTAGCGAGCGTTTCACTCCGGCCATACGTGCGGATGAAGTTCTTGACTTCGCCCTCCAGCCCCTCGTCGCCCGTCCCGCCACTGCGCACCAGCGCCGCAAAGACATCAACAAGGCGTCTCCGGCGGATAATGTGAATTCCGGTGTTGGTCAGAATGGCAATTTCGGCCGTGGCGTTGTCGAACTGAACGGCGAGTTCATTCCCAAATCCTCCTGGGGTGGTCGTGGCGGCGGTGGTCGGCGAACAAAGACCGACATCCTCTGCCCGGCTGCCCAAAGAAAGCCAAACCGCTGTTTCGCCAGCCTTGCCAGGAATGACGCTTTCTTGCGAGCGAGCCACGCGTCCGGAATCAGGAGCGGAGATGAAGAGTGAATCGGCCTTGTGCGTGGTGTCTTTACACGTGAAGCAGAGGAAGTAGCCCGGCGGGTATCGCACAGTGAACCGCGTAGGCTGTAGGGTGTGTATCGGGACGCGGGACGCAACGGATGGCTGGAAGCGTGGTTGGCCTTGGAGGGTCATGGGGAACTGGGGCGCGGGGGCGCCTTCGCACGGAGGCGTCTTGACATGGTGAGCCTGCATACTTGTCGGGGCAGTGGTACCATTCGGTGCCGAGGACCAGCTGAAGGAACCCGTGGCACTGAGGTAGATCCGGTATCCGGAGGCAGTCGTGGCCATGAGATGGTACCTCGACGCTTCGGCGGCCGGGATGGGACTAATAGAAACAATTGGGACTTTGGGGTTGAGCGTTTCGTTGGATGCGATGATGTGCCCGATGTTGGCATAGATATCGAGCGCCGGCTTCGTAATGGCCAGAGCAAGACTGCCGTCGGGCTTCATGTGGAAAACACGGATCGTGGACGACGAGGACAGTGTGTAGAGTAGTTTCCTTGTGTCATCAATCTCCATCTGCTCCACATTCTCCAACGTCTTCTGCGAAAAGCTCAAGTTGGGCGTAAATGCCGACAGACGCGAGCTCGTGTGGTTGGCTCTTGAGCAGCGGCCCTGGAACCACTTTTCCTCCTGCTGATAGACCAGCTCATGCACATCGTTGTCGGAAGTGCCGCCGAAGAACACACGACCGGTCGAATCCGACGATGCGATCACATGGATGTCCAGGCCCCGAACAGAAGTCGACATGCCCGTCTGATACAACGATACTTGGCGCGTACCTGCAGCCGTTGTCTCACAGCCCATTCCCAGCAGAATCACATCGGCCGTCGTCGATATCACGAGCATGTGGGTGATTGTAGGCAGGAACACGCCGGGGCGCGGTTTCGCGAGCTTGACCGTGTTGATGCTGTTTGGCTGGTCTTCGAACCCGACCAGCTGGGGGTTTGGATGCGTATAATCCCAGATGTACAGCGCATTGTCAATCGCAACCCAGGCGTGGTTCAACTCGGCGAAAAGGCCCATGCTGGTCGAGATCTGCGCTCGGTTGTACTGATCGAAGATCTGGTCGGGGATGTTGTACATCTTCACTTTCTGGAAGGGAGCCCATGATGGCGACGCGGGGAGGTCGTAGTCGGAAGAGAAGCCTTCTACAAAGGGGGGTCAACTGAGTCACGAGCCACCATGATTGAGAAACGGGCGGTGTCCACTTACGGGACAAATAGCTATCCAGGTCCGGATAGCGCGCCTCCTGGGCGAGGGTGTCATTGACCGTTACCGCGGCACGCTCCTCTGTGCTCAAGGGCTTGGGTTTGAATGTGACTGGAGGGAGTCTGGGCAGCGCAATCGGCGAAGATGGCTGCTCAGCGGGCGCCGGGGCCGCCTTGGGGGAGAACGCAGGCCGCGTCGCAGCAACCGCGGTGGGCGCAGGCGTCTGGAAATAGGCCCCAGGGAGCGGCTTCTGGGGGGTGAGTGCCGGGGTGAGGTCGGGATAAGACATGGTGGTGGTCGAGGAGCCGGTGAGAGAGCTCTGGTTGATGCGTCGCGCTCCCCGGCGAGGTTGGAACAGTTCGGGGTCGGCGCAAGGGCGTGCAGTAGAGAAAGCGATCACGAGGAGGACGAAACGCCGGGGGGAGAGAGGCGGAGAGGCGTCGATAGAGCTGGAGCATCAATGGAGGGGGAGGGGAGGGGGGAGGAGGAGGAGGTCAGTGGAGAGAGAGGGAGGGAAGACCGCAGCGAGGCGAGTGTTGATCTCAGACCGAGTAATAATCACCAAAGCTGGAAGAGAAACAAAATTGTGCACGGGCCCGGAGGTGAGGGAACTCGCCCAACGGGAGCTCGTCCTGCCGCTCGCCGCCTTGGAGCGCTTTTTCCTCCCGATGATTTCATGATTTATTCTTCTCTTATTGTTGTTTACATTTGATCGGCTCTCTCGCTAGCCACGACCTTCTTATTGTTCTATTCCCTAAGCGTGTTCCTGCCATTCGCTTCCCCCCCTCCATTCACCCCCCACACAACCACAAGTCCAATTGCACAATGCTTCAATCCATGCGACTAACACCCCGTCTGGGACTCGGGCTGGCTGTGCGCCAGGTGCGATGGAACTCGACTGGCCCCGTTCTGCCGCCTCTGATGGCGACGCTCAGAACGGATCTCAAGACCGCTATGCGGGCAAAGGACAAGCCCAGGTATGCTCCATCTGCTCCCAATTGACCCCCCAGACCCAGCAACCTGACCAGAAGCGTATCGCAGACTGAACGTCCTCCGCGCCCTGATCTCCGAGACCAACAACGCCGCCAAGACGAACTCCCCCATCGAGACCGACCTGCAGCTGCTGGGCCTGATCAAGAAGCGCATCGCCTTGTCGCAGGACGCCATCAAAGAGTTCGAGGCCGAGAACCGCCCCGACCTGACGGAGGGCGAACAGCAGCACGTCACCGTGCTGGAAGAGTACGGTGCCCAGGTGCAGACCATGAGCTTGGATGATATCAAGACCATTGTCTCCGAGGAGATTGCCAAGGTCAAGGAGTCCGGCGAGAAGCCCCAGATGGGATCTCTGCTCAAGTCTCTATTCTCCTCTGGGGGTGCCCTGGACGGCAAGCCCGCCGAGAGAGCCGAGGTCGCGAGGATTGTCAAGGAGGCTGTTGCTTCCGCCTGAACGCCGACACAGAGCGCATAGATGTATATTACCCACCTGTATAATTACGCATACCCAACTCCACCTAGCTACCAGCTACCAGCTACCAGCCCGAAGACTGGGATAAATACGATGTCCGATGACTTAAAATATAGAGGCTCAATGTGGCATCTCGCAAACAAGTTACACGGGTCCTCACGCGCGAGGCAAGTTTCCTCGTCACGCACGACCCCAGGTAGTAGTATCCCAACAAAGAAAGAAATCCCAAGCGCCTTACCCATTACTGTTGCTAGGTAGTATTACCGTCCCGTATTTATCCGTCCCAGTTTCCCATTGTCCTTGTTGCCGTCCCAAACTCCATACCCGCACATGTACCAAGCCATCGCTCATGCTCATATCGCGCCGTCGCTGTAACGTCCAGACTTGTAACCATCTACGACCGGAACAAGGTGATGCCTCCGACGGCGGTCATGAACACGCCGACCCAGAGCCAGCGATCAGGGTCGCCGACCGTCTCTCTGCTGACAAGGTTCTTCATACTGAACGTCGCCTCCGTCGCTCTCTTGGCGTGGCGCTTCCCCTTGCCAGGGGTGATGGGGTTCAGCGTCTCGGTGGGCAGCATCTGCGGCGGTCGGTATACCAGGTACATGGGATGCATGGGGGATCCGTCGAAGGAGTTCAGGTCTAGACGCTGGACACCATGGTATGCATCCACCGAGACCTTGAAAGCCTGCCACGCTCGTTAGCACAATGGCCCGACAGTTGAAAAGACAGCCAGCAGATAGATGGTAGATACCTTGAAGTGCTCCGTCTGGTTGTAGCGCGTATAAGCCCCCACAGGAGACGAACAGGGATCTGATAACAGCTGGCGACCATCGACAGCAATGGGGGTCAATTCCATAGCCCCATCACTGGATGTCGTATACGTCCCATGCTGCCATTGCATGATACCCTTCGGACAGGAGGGATCCTGGGCTGCACAGGGCACGCGTGATATGTCAGAACGGGGGCACCATAACCATAACACGGTGCCTCGGGGTGGGTGTGGGTGTGGGTAGGGTGCACGAACGATTGGCAATAGCGCGGTAGTACGCCTCCTCATAGTGTCCATCGGCCGTGAAGGAGTACGAGATGCCCGTGAGATTCGGTTCTAGGAATCTATCATGGATGGGGTCGTAGAATCCCTGGGTACAGAGAGAGAAGGTCAGTAAGCCGACCGACCGACCAGTGCAAGAGCAAACAAACGCATACCGGACCTGTCACAACCTTGCGGGACTTGGTGGTCCATGTCCCTACGAGATCGGACACGCTGTTGGCGCTGACACTGGCCACAGCCAGCATGAGGGTGAGGAAGAGCTGGCCTGCGATCATTTTCCGCTGAGCCCGTGAGATCAGATGCAGATGAATGAACGAGGGAGAGGTGAAGCAGACGGACGGGGTTGGGAATGGGAATGCATTGAAGGGCGCAATGGCAATAATAGTCCAGGGAGGGTCCACTATTTACTTCCTGACTTCCCTGACAAGGCCCTGCCGATCATTTGGACCACAGCAAACACTCGACTAACCAGCGCCAAACATGCCCGCACCGCCCGCCAAGACCCCCCTCCCCGATTTAGCATTCCCCCAGGCTTCAGGCATACGGGAGCCAGATACAGAGCCAGATACTCAGCAGCACAGTCTACGGTCGCAGTCCACCGTTGTCAGTCTCCAGTCGCCAGTTACTGTTACTCCCACCCGCATGCCAACATGATGGCCAGTCTACAAGTCGCCAAGAGGGACCTCCGGCGTCGGATGCGGGATGCTCTGCAACAGATCCCCGCGGACTCGATCGCGCATCAATGTCAGCCATCTCCAACCGCTCCCCACGGTCGCAGCACGCGCTGACCACTTCACTTCCTCCCACAGCCCAAACCGCCACCGCCCGACTCCTGTCGCGCCCGGAATACCAGGCTGCGAAGCGGATCGGCGTGTATCTGTCCATGCCGGCGGGCGAGCTCTCCACGACGGCGATAGTGCAGGACGCCTTGGCCAGCGGCAAGGAAGTGTTTGTGCCGTACATCCACAGCCTGGAGATCTCGTCGCAGGCCAAGACCTCGGTCATGGACATGATGCTGCTGGACTCGATGGACGAGTTCCGCGCCCTGGTGCCGGACCGGTGGGGGATCCCGTCGCTGTCGGCGGCTCAGGTGCTCAACAAGCGGAACTGCTTCGGGGGGAAAGGCGTGTCGCCCCAGCCGGAGGATGCTACGAAGGGACCTTACGGGCTGGATCTGATCGTGATGCCGGGCATGGCGTTCGACCAGGGGTTTAGGAGATTGGGCCATGGGAAAGGGTATTATGATCATTTCCTGACAAGGTACTCAACGGGTGCGGAGAGCACCATCACCGCGCCAAAGCTGCCTTCGCTGGGTAAGAAACGCACCCCCCACTCGCCGACCAGTCCAGATATATATCCCCACGGCTGACGAGCTGACGCTGCCCCAGTTGCCCTCTGCCTCCACGAGCAAATGCTGGCTCCGACCGAAGAGATACCCGTCGCGGATCACGACTGGCCCGTAGACGTTGTGATAGTCGGCGATGACCGGTGCCTCGTGTGCCCACGCTGATACAAACGATATTCCTCATCCAGATCCTCAATCTCCCCCCTCCAATCCACAAAAAAAGCGAGCCTTCTCACAGCCATGTTTTCATCTATTGCGATAAATGTGCAGATAATTGTTACTCCAGCGACGACCCGTAAAAAGCGATTAAGAAATGAATGCAAACAATGTCGTATCACGGCACGAAGTCGGCGATAATAAAAAAGATTTTCCCCGTTTCCTGTCTTTCGAAATCCTTCAAACGCCCGGTTCGACTCACTGCACCGCTTGGATCAGAGACACGTTGTCGCCCTTGAGCAGGATCTGGCCTGTAGTTGTAGAGAATCACAATTAGCACGTGTAGGGAGTAAGGGGGGACGAAAAGGCGAGAGGAAATCCATACCGAGCGGTCTGCGCTTCTCCTCGTCGGTCTTGGTCGCCATGCGGACCTCCACGGCATCGTCGATGACGAGGTTCATGAACTCGTCGAATCCCTAGGTCCGTCATTAGCTAAACATCACGCGACCTCCAGCAAAAAAAAGAAACCCACTCTGATCTTTCCCTCTATCCGGAAAGCGAGCTGCTCGTACAGCCAGATGGAGACCGTGGACCGTTGTTGGAGGAGCTTGAAGATGAAGTGAATCGGCGCAAGCAGCGTCTTGCGACCTCCACCGCCTCCACGACCGGTCATGGTGGGCACTGGGTGTGAAGAAGAGGGGCGGGGAGATGGAAGGCGAAAGGAAGGAGCGCAGGGGGGAGCACGGTGGGGACGATGAGGGAGGAGTTGGGGGTTGTTGCGAGACGCGTTGGTGGAAGTTGAGCGGGAGGTGAAGGGCGAAGGGCGGAGGTCGAGAAAGATCAGCGACGGACGGACGAGCGAGCAATTGCGGCTCACCAACTTTTCCCTTTGGGTCGGTCGTCACCACATCCCACCTCCTCCACCAGTCACTCCCTCCTTCCCCCTCCTGATCGCCCTTTCTGTCCCCCGTGCCAGCTGAACTTCGAGCGCTGGAGACCCGCCGTCCTTCGTCGTCCTTCGTCGTCCTTGCGTGTTTGTTGAATGAGTGTTCATGATCGCACTGCCTAGGTGTTGAGCCTTCCGGCCTGGCTGAACCCCTCTTCTCCCATTCCAATCTACACCAACAACACCCCTCTCCTCTCCCCCGACTCCTCCCCCCCTCCCCCCAAAACACATCCCACTCCACCCGTCCATCATGGCCACTAAGGAGGGGGCCGCCGGACAGGCCTTTGGCCCGGTTCTCGCGGCAGTCGCTACCATGCAAGGAAATGTCTCGCGATCGGACAAGACGCACGCCCATGAGTTCCTCGAGAAGTTCCAGAAATCCGTCGGTCCATCCCTACCCCTCACTCGTCTCCCTCAATCCGGCCTCACGCCCGCTCGTGGCCATGCACGCTGACAATCCCCTGCTGTCTCCTCTAGGTCGAGGCGTGGACCATCACCCATGAAATGCTGCGGTCGCCGGATGTTCCTGTCGAAGCCAAGTTGTTCGCAGCGACCACGCTGAAAGGAAAGGTGAAGCCGAACCCGTGGCCTGTGTTGGGCGACCCTATCATACTGACCGGTATAAGATCATCTTCGACCTCGACCAGCTGCCCGCACCGTCAATACTGGCTCTCAGGGACTCGGTCCTGGGCCTGCTGGTGGCCTTCGCGTCCGGCCCCCGCCCGATCCAGACCCAGCTTTGCGTCTGCCTTGCGAGTCTCGCCATCCAGATGCTCGACTGGAAGGACGTCCTGCCTACAGTCGGCGCGGCACTAGGTGGCAGCGCCGGGGATTGCGTGTTGGAGTTTCTCAAGATTCTTCCCGAGGAAGTGACGGAAGGTCGCAAAATCAATCTCAGTGTATGTTCGGCAGAATCAGCGTCCCATATGTCCACAACCCGTTCCTGCGCGATCGGCTACGACATGGTGCTCCACGACAACTCAGACTCTAATATACTGGAATTGCATAGGAAGACGACCTCGTGGTCAGAACGAAAGAGCTCCTGGAAGACAATGCCGAACAGGTCATGCATCTGTTGATCCAGTATGCCCAGTCATCCCGTATGTTCCCGAGCCCCTGCCCCGCTCTGGTGGTCCTTGCGATCGTACTGAACAAGCCTCTCTTTAGCCACGGCTTCCACCAACCCCCGCCTGCTGGAGTGCATCACGTCGTGGATGCGCGAGATCCCCGCGGCGAAGATTGTTGATTCTCCCTTGATGGATGTGATCCTCAAGGCGCTAGACGATGAGAGGTCCTTCGAGTATGGAGTCGACAGCATGTGCACCTTGTACAGAGATACCCGCGAAGTTGATGATTCGCTGCCCATCATCCAGGCCTTGTACCCGCGCATAATGTCGCTACGCCCGAAGATTGCCGAGTATGCTGAGTCTGAAGACACGGACTCGTACCGGGGCGTCACCAGGCTCTTTGCGGAGGCCGGCGAGGCTTGGGTGGTGTTGATAGCGCGCCTGCCGTCCGAGTTCCGGGGTCTTGTGGAGGCAGTCCTGGAGTGTTGCGCCCGGGACTGGGAGCGCGACGCTATCTCACTCACATTCGTCTTCTGGTACGAGCTGAAACAGTACGTTACGTTGGAGAGGTACAACGATGCTCGGGTGGGGTACAGCGACATCTTCTCCAGTCTGGTTGATATCATGGTCAGACACCTGCAGTACCCGAAGCCGGAGGACGGTGAAACAGACCTGTTCGGTGGGGATCGCGAACAAGAGGAGAAATTCCGCCACTTCCGACACGCAATGGGAGATGTCTTGAAGGATTGCTGCGCTGTTATCGGGGTCAACGAGTGTCTGACCAAGTCGTACCAGCTAATCCAACAATGGGTTTCCCAGTATGCGTCGCAGTCCAGCGATGAGCACGTTCCGAACTGGCAAGAACTTGAGGCACCGCTGTTCAGCTTGAGGGCAATGGGCCGCATGGTCGACCCGGAGGAGAATGTCGTCCTCAACCAGGTCATTCCTCTCATCGTGCAGATCCCGAACCAGGAGAAGGTGCGCTTCCAGGCTATCATGGCACTCGCGCGTTATACGGAGTGGACGGCGCAGCACCCCGAGACGTTGGAGGCACAGCTGAACTATGTCATCTCAGGCTTCCAGCATAGCTCGCCAGAAGTGATTCAGGCCTCCGCGTTGGCTTTCAAGTTCCTGGGCACTGACTGCCAGAAATTGCTCGGTGGCCACATTGCACAGCTCCACTCCTTCTATGAATCTGTCCTGGACAAGCTGAAGCCGGCTAGCCAGGAGGAGATCACGGAGGGTGTCGCCGCTGTAGTTGCCGTGCAGCCTCTCGAGAAGATTTACGAGACGATGAAGTTGTTCTGCGACCCCATCATGGCGCGAATCATGAACCTGGCCAACAACGCCAAGGATGAGGAGGGTCAGCGGGCTGTCGCCGGTAAGTCAGCAGAGCTTTCGAGGATACTTCGTACTAATGCCATGGCAGATCACCTTCAGTTGATTACGATCTTCGTCCTGGTCGTCAACCCCTACGTTTCCCCGAGAGAGGAAAACCCCGCTGTGAAATACTGCGGCGAGATCCTGCCCATCATGACAACAATTGTCATGAACTTTACCACGTCCTCGCCGATTCTCGAACGGGTCTGCCGCTGCTGGCGAAACATGATCATCTCCTACCGCACGGCCATGACTCCTCTTCTACCCACGCTAGCGCAAAGCCTTGCAGGCGGATTCGAGGCGTCACGCGAAGGATGCTTCCTGTGGGCCACCGACGCTGTCGTGCGCGAATTCTCGGACGGTGTCGACTTTGTCGATCCCGCTACCAGCCATGCTGTCTTCCAGTTTTACGAGCAACAGGCGGTCTCCTTCCTGCGCTTCCTGAACGATCTGCCGCCGGAGAATCTGCCCGATGGTAGGTGCCAGATGACTGTTCCTGCACGTCTTATGCTAATTGCCTGTGCCAGTGATCGAGGACTTCTACCGTCTATCTTCCGATGCTGTTCGGTACTACCCCAAGGAGTGCATCACATCCGCTCTGGCGGTGCCGATCTTTTCCGCAGCACTCAGCGCCCTCACCCTCCAACAGATTGACCCTCTTATTGCCACGCTGCACTACTACCATGATCTTTTCAGTTTCGCTTTCGACAAGCCGACTGTGTCCGAGTTCACCACGGCCGATGGAAACTCCTACACGAACCCCCCGGAGATCCGCGAGGCGGTCAAGCAGCTCATCGCTTCGCAGGGCCAGCTTCTCACCCAGCACATCCTGACGGGCATGATGTTCTCGTTCCCGGGAGAATGTTTCCCCGACGCGTCGAGCGTGCTGATGTCTCTCTTCGAGCTCATGCCGGATGATGCGGGAGCCTGGCTGCAGGCGACGCTCCAGATGCTCCCCGCGGGCACGATGAAGCATGGCGAGGCGGAACGGCTGCTAAAGGGCATTTTCGAGAAAATCCACATGGGCGAGACGCGGAAGATCCGGGTCCTTCTTCAAGGTATGATGAACCCAAACTGTCTTGCCGGCTTCAGATTGGCTAACAGAGGATATAGACTTCACCAACTCATACCGGCGACGAAACGTGGCACCCAGAGAAGGCCTGGGGCGATTGGAGGCGACCCGGTTCCGGTTTAGCGGATAGATCCTCCGTCAAGGAGGGGAGAGGGAACCCGGACAGGACTGGGCAATTCAGGAACGAACTCTCAGCTGAGCCAGCAAACAAGCGATCCATCCGCCGCCGGCGCCGACGACGCTCAGCCCTCGAGGCGAAATGGTGGTCCTTGGAAGATTAGCGCACGTCATGCGACCCGGCTGGGGATCGATCAACCAGCGTTCGCGCGCGTGTTGAGAATGAAGTTTAAAATTAGCCCAATCATGTATTTATTTTTTTCCCTGCCTGCCCTGCCCCTCCTCTCCCCTTACCCCTCCCTCCCAGCATCACCCATATACGATGATGATTGCATGCGGTTGTTTCAGAATCCGAACCCGAACCCCACTTCCTGGATCTGCAGGATGAGGATGAGGATGTGGATGTGGAGGATGGACCGCCAGATGACCATACCGGGGACCGCAAACCTGTCTGTCTGTATCCTTGCTTGCCTGCCCGTTCGCCTACTTACTTGCTGGATAGTAACTGGCTGGCTGGTCAGCGGGCGAGCAGGAAGGAGGACCCCGCTTGCACACACACACCCCCCCTTTTCATTTCCGCCTTCTTATCACTTACTACTACTATTACTTTACCCATTCAACACCCGCCATGTAAACCCCATTACCATTACTTGATAGTGTAGGAACTTTAGACAATTTATGGGAATGAACCTGATTTGGCTGTAGATGGTAGATACATAGACATTGTATTATAGTCTTTGTATGCGTGAGGATACTGCTTGTCACTGTCAATGTTACTGTCAAGCCAGTATGATGGCTATCTGTCTACTTTCGGAATATGAATCCCAATTCTAAACCGTGGTTTGTATTTAATGAGTCCTGTGGGGTGTATGGGTTCCTGGAGGGAAGTGTAGCGCAGTGTAACGCAGTATACCGCAGCCAAGCACCAAAGATATTTTTATCTCTGCGGCATGTACTTACTCCTACCGTAGGATCTGTGGTTTGCCTTGCTGTATGGTGTATTGTGTACTGTTTACTGGCTACTGTGTACTGTGCAGGTGCTCTATAAACTAAACTATAAAGGAAACTATAAAGGCTGATTGGTAGACCCTCCTGCGGTCTGCATAGGGCAGGCAGATAGGCAACCATACACTCAGACCGGACCAGACAAGACCAGACCAGATTAGACCAGACTAACCCGCATAGTAGTTTACCCACATGCCTATTTCAATCGGTACATACCATACATATATACATAGATGTCCACATAGTACTTACCTACATAAGTATGTATAAATGTATGGACCGTGACATGAATATATAAAGTATACCTACCTAGTAGCATACAAACGGTAATATACCACCGTACGAACATGAGCTACCTTAGGACCCTACCCTAGGTGGGTAGGTAGTAGGTAGTAGGTAGTAGGTAGGTAGATAGGTAGATAGGTAACACCCCCAGAAGATTCGCAGCGGGATTATTCCTCTCCAATGAACATGACTGATCTACCTACTATACGTATGGAGTAGGGGTAGGGACAGGGTCATGTATGTATCATGTACCTAGAGTCAACCTAGAGTCTAACTATAGTCTACATTCTACAGTCTACAGTTTCAAGTCTAGGGCTTATTGGGCAGCAGTGGCAGCAGTGGCAGCAGTGCGATCTACCCAGCTAAGGTAGTAAGGTAGTAAGGTACTACCTAGATGAGATCTCCTCGGAAGTATTCATCCATCCATCTATCTATCTATCTATATATCCACTTACCTAGGTAGGTAGGTCTTGTGAGAAATAGATTCCGGGTTTGATGTGCGTGGTGTGGCTTGGTGGGTGGGGATTTTACTAGTGTTTTCGTGATACTGATACGCTACCTACTAACTACTCCGTACCTAGATAGAGTCTGACATGGTCGACTTTGACTTTGGTTGTTCTTGCTGTCGCGATTATCAGGGTCCCGGGTCAGAGTTACGTTGGGCAAGCACTGTTGATATCTCGATTTGATGTTAGTGTTGATGTTCGGTAGTAGATCGGTTGTGGTTGGGGCTGGGGCTGTGGATTGGATGTGGATTGGATAGGGATTGGATAGGGATTGGATAGGGATTGGATAGGGATTGGATAGGGATTGGAAGTGGTTATGGTTGTGATTTTTAGCGAGGGGGCTTGCTTTTTTTGAGGTAGGGCCTGGTGGTTGGTTCGTGACACCTGCTTGTTTCAATAGGTGGGCATCATATCATATATCACATCACGTCGAGTCACCAGTGTTGAGTGTTGAGTATATACCTCCTACTTTGTAGTGCGGTTCTATATTAAGGCAGCGGCAGTAGCAGCGGCAGTAGCAGCGCGATGAACTCCGGTTTGACCTTGAGAAGATCTCCTGCCAAGAATCCTTGGATTGATAATTTGTAGGTATTTGATGGGGAGCTGTATATAGCTGCCTAGAGTGAGGATTGGGCTGTTGTTGGCTGATCGCAAGGCAATACGGATAGTCTCAGCCATTCTTGCATGTCCCGACACACTGGGACGGGACACCGGGGACTTCCGCACCGTCGGAACCCCAGGGAATGGCAACAGATATGGCCCAAGACCTCGAAGGCAGCTGTCATAAAAATGGATTAGGCACCCCTTATCGCGGACACATACATACAGACAGACAGACCTTTATCTTAACTTTCTCGTTCCTGAACCATGCTTCTCCGCGGTCTGGTCCGGGGAGCAGGCAGCAGGGAACCAGCGGAGCACGCCATCCCCCGATCCCCCCCTCGAACGTGAACAGGAGCATCAGGAGACAAGTTGAAAGTTAGTTTGGTTAGACGGCTGCAGGTCTCGAACCGATGATGCTTTGTTTTTCTGTTCTCTGCTGCCGGCGCATGATGTGTTTGCCGGAATGTCTTAAGGGGTTTAGTTAGGGTCAGTATGTAGGTAAGCTTCCTGCGACCTGCGGAAATGAAACAAGATTTGCTTTTGCTTTTGCTTTCTCGCACACAGCACAGTACAGCACAGCCACTGGGCTGCCTTTTTGCGGGCGAGATGATGCTGGTTGGGCAACAATGTGTAAAAAAAAAAAAAAAAAAAAAAAGGAGGGAGAAAATCTCCAATCCGCCAATCGAGCCGATCGGGCCTCCGGCCTAATAAGCAGGGTTGGACAATAATAATAATTGCAACGAGTAGTATCTAGGCACTCACTCATGCACGACGCTGGTCCTGATCGACCGACGCGTATGTACCGTGCTAGATTGCTAGCAGGCCGCATGTACGTCACTTCTGGAAACTGGATGCTCGTGTCCATCATACCTAGTATCATCACCCTCGAGCCCACCCATGGCCCGTACATCTTTTCTCCGCGTCGCTACTAATAGGCCGACGGTGACGCATGGATGACCATTGGTCCATTTGAAAGAAACCCTTGCGATTCGGACTTGGAGCAAATGATCGCCCGATTGCCTCTGCAGCGAACGTGGCAGTTCAGTATGTATGTATGGCAGATGGCCCGCCACCCCCATCCCCCGTCCAGGGACTTAGCGCCGCTGCCGCATTGCATGTTTCTGCACCGTTGTACTCCGTATCCGTAGCTCCGGCTGCATTGACCAGAAAAACAGGAGTAGTAGTAGTAGTAGTAGTAGCCATTTGGATTTCCCCTTTTCTTTTCCCCTGCCTTCCGGTCGAGTGTTTCTTGGTGTCACTAGTGTCCGGCACTATGTTGTCTCTAGGGCCTAGGGCCTGGGGTCCTCGCGTGGATGTCGGGCGCAATGTGGTGGTGCCTGGTGGGAATCGATTATCGGGGACCCCTACTCCGTACGGGATCCGGGGAGCAGCCATGGAAGGGGAGTAAGTAGTACAGGGCGATGGAGGATGACGGCCAGTTCCGGTTCTAGCTGGCTTCTGTGGACGTTCTGTGCAGGCCAATGACAATTAATCCAATACCTTAACCATCGGCGACGCCAATGATCATGGCGCATCGCACGATCCTCTCCGTGCCGCGCCCGTCCCCTCCTTCGGACCATAGTCCTCCCAGCCCGTTTGAGCCATGCGGTCGTGGTTCCCGCGGAGTCGTGTTTTCGTCTCACGTTTCTTTTTCGTGCCGGACTCGGGAGGAGTTGTGCGGCTGTGGGATTAGTGGCAAATCTGGAAATCCTGGATGGTGTTGGGTGGGAGTGTGGGAGTGAGTGAGGAAGAATTACCTGGTGGAAGAAGGAAAGAGAGGGAAAAGGAAATAAGACCGATAAATAATACGGGCCCATACTTGCAGTGTGCCTGCCCCACCTCGACCCTCCCGCCAGCAGAATAAATAAATATTCAGGGTCCCTCGCCGCCTCTGGACTGTCTGGTGGTGCTGGCTTGTTGGCTTCTGCAGTGAGCGAGTAGTTGCCTGCTTGCTGTGTTTCTTGGGTCTTGTACTGCGTACACCGCCGGCAGTTCAGCAGTTTGGGGGTGTTTTGTTCTGCTTTCCCCTCTTCCGCCTCCAACCTTCCCCTCTCCTCCGCTTCCCCCCCAATCCCCGTCAATCATACGACCTCTCTCCTCCGACCCTCTCCCTCGCCTCGTACACGTTCCAATTTCGACGGACTCACAGACAATATTCTCTCGCCGAATTGACACTCGTCTCTGGCTCGAGAACCATTCTTGGCCACCAAACCGGCCAGCTGTGGAACCAGCCCGTTGTCCCCGCCCGCCGAGTTTTCCCCACGGGGTTCCCCTCCCCGTGCGTCAGACCCGTTGCAGGCAGCGATCTCCCTGTTCCACTCCTACACAATTCGATCGATCCGACTTCACGGCTCATGGCTGGCTCTACCGGGGCTATCTCCTCGTTCTGATTTGCGATCCCTTTCCTTGCCGATGACGACTGTCTACATCCTCCGATCTGATGAGCGGTGTTGACCAGTGCCGGATCTCTACGGGTCATCTTCGGGGTGTTGGTTAAGGCTCGAGGAATACCCAGCGCGAGGAGAAGCTGCGGGAGTAACCCGCACGGTACATCTGCCGACTCTCCGGCAAAATGACCTTGGCTGTTGCCGCAGTGACTCCCCTCGGCCAAGGGCCCAAACGCATCGACGGGGACATCATGGCGGAAGACGATGCCCTCCAGGCCGCTCTCAATGGCGTCTCACGGAAGCGGAAGAGGGCTCGAAAGATCCAGACGGACCGCAAGTATGATTGTGGTTTTGAGGGATGCGGCAAGAGTTACTCGCGAGCGGAGCATCTGTACCGCCACCAATTGAACCGTACGTGTCGGTTTCCCCCTTCTAGGCATAGCTAACAGTCACTGCACTGGCCAGACACCCCCAAGCAGATTTACCGATGTGACTTCCCCGATTGCCATCGGTCCTTTGTGCGACAGGACCTGTGTGTCCGCCATCGCGAACGCCATACCACCGAAGGGTCCCAGTTGCAGAAGCGGGATCATTTTGCTCAGACAGCAGCAAGCAACAGTAGCCCTCCAAAGCACGCGACTCAGATCATGCCTCAGATGACTTCCAATCTCTCGAGCATTTCTTTACCATCGCCCAAGTACCCCTCGACTCAAACATCAATGGAGGGGCGAATGGATCCTGCACCTTCGTCCAGTGGGATAACCCCGCATCTCCCTGTGTCCTCATCTGCAGGATCTGCTGGCAGTCAGTCGTTTAACTATCAGTCGATAGTCCAACATGGCGTCGAGCTGTCTGATCCCACATTTTCCCAATACTCGCGGTCCAACAGCCTAAGCAACCACACTCTCAGCTCCCCACCGGGACAGTCAAGTACGACATTCAGTCCCCCAGATCTACCAGCGGCACCCCATATCATGCCCAAAGGTCCCGCCATGCCCTCGACTAGCTCGGGCAAACTGGGCCAAAATACGCGATCGCGCCACTCGCTGGCCGAATCGGTCATGACGAACGACATGGATGGGCCAGCATACGCAGGCTTACAGATGCCCGTTGGACGGTACGCAGATATGTCGATGGCACCAGCAACGTCTTCAACCTCGGCATCTCTAGACCACGCAGCTACTATAGGGGCATTGGATTCCATCTCTGGAATGATGACATCTGCGTCTACAATGGGGGAGGCCGGCTTTGACTCGTTGGCTTCCTGTGTCTACCCGGTATTCGGCGGCGAAGCTCACAACCGGTCGCCCTTTGCAATGACCGAGGACTTCACCGCATGGCTGTTCAACGACCCCGTCACAGGAGCATCGTCAATGGGCTACCCAGCAACCACCAACGTGGTGCCAAACTACTTGGATGCCGTGCAACTACAGAACCAGTTCTTCCTCAACGACCCGGCGTATGGCAGCTTCCTGAGTGGCGTCATTCCGCATCACCCCATGAGCGTCACCAGTATCCTGGATCCGGGGTCGCCACGAGCCATCATGTCCGAGGAGAAGAGACAGGAACTCCTGGCACTCATGGGCTCCCGATTCAACGAGGCCGCCTACTCGGTGGTTGCGAAGCGCAAAGATGCGTTGATGGATGGCGACATGGATGATGACGAGCATGTGCTCAGCTTACGCATGATGCAGACGTACATCGGCTCGTATTGGTTTCACTTCCACTCCCAGCTGCCTATTCTGCACCGCCCGACCTTTGTGGCCGACAAGGCACCGAATTTGCTTCTGCTGGCGGTCATGGCTATTGGCGCCTCCACGCTGGACAAGATACACGGAGCGGAGGTGACGGAAGCGGCAGCTGAGCTGGCCAACTTCATCGCCTGGCATCTGCGATGGGAGCTTTTCATGGATGCCGATTTCCGGCCCCCGGCTAAGCTCTGGGTGTTCCAGGCACTCCTGCTGCTGGAGGTCTACGAAAAGATGTATTCGACTCGCGCACTCCACGAGCGGGCGCATATCCATCACGATACAACACTGACATTGATGCGGCGTGGGAGCTCGCTCATCGGCCGCTCCGCCTTGGATTCGCCTGCGAGCCTGCGGGACGATCGGCAGGCCCGGTCGGCCTCTGGCTCGACAATGGCGCCTGACTTTGTGGCTGAGGAGTCGTGGACTCACTGGATCAAGGCGGAGGCTACGAGACGAGTGGCGTTTGCGGCATTTGTTCTGGACTCCACCCACGCCACGATGTTTGGACACTCGGCCAAGATGGTCGCGCATGAGCTTCGGCTGCCGTTGCCTTGCGATGAGGCACTGTGGTCCGCGACCAGCGCCTCCGAGGTGGCTCGTGTGCAGTCCAGCTTGCATGCCAATGGGGTGAAACCCGTGATGTGTCTGGACGGGCTCAAAAAGACACTGAATGGCCAGCGCGTCCGGACGAATGCCTTTGGGCGGACAATCCTCATGGCTGGGCTGCTGAGTGTCAGCTGGCACATGAACCAACGCGACCTGCAGCTGAGCTCCCTAGGCGGGCCGCCGGCGCTCGGGGGCCGGGAAAAATGGCGGGCAGCGCTCCTGCGCGCCTTTGACAATTGGCGGCGCGACTTCGATGAGGCGTTGGGGCAGTCGGCACCAGGCACATTCCCCGGTGGGTACCGCCCCCGATATCCTCTGGACGACGACAATGTCTTCGAGTCGCGCGACGTGCTGCATGGCCTGGCCCACATGGCTTCGCACGTCGATATCGTGGATTGTCAGATCTTCGCTGGTGCCGGCCGGCTGATGGGACGGGCCATCACGCCGCGAGACTACAAGGCTGCGCGCGAGAAGATGGTCGATCGATGGGCCACCAAGGCAACGGCCCGGGACGCCACATTTTACGCCCTGAAGTTTCTCTCCGAGTGCCTGCTGGATGAGAGACGAGCCCTCAACGAGGACGGGGAGGTGTACTCAGGCCGCGACGACTACCTGCTCAACCGGCCGTGGGTATTGTATATCGCCGCACTGGTGGTCTGGTCCTACGGGTATGCACTGGAAGGTCCGATCAACCCTCCCGTGAGATTCAACACGCCTGCCGAGCAGCAGCACGATATGCAAGAGTTCCTGCGCCGGGTGGGCGGCGTGCGCGAGCCCAGTGATCTGGAGGGGGTCAAGGGGCGCAACCGGTGCATGGGGCTGCTGCTGATCCTCCGCGACGGATTCGCCAACACCCGCTGGGAGCTGTTGACGGAGGCCGCCGACCTGCTGAGCAGTTGTATCAACAAGCTGAATGGGGTATCCAAAAGTTGATGGGATTGTTGTCAACCTGTATCTTCATTTACTTTCTATTTAGCGTCTGGGTGGATCCTTTGTACCGCGATGGAGGTCTGTTTTGCTTGTTCTTTGTTCTTCGTCAATCAGTAGGCTGTCTGAACATTTACGCGTGATGACGGGATACCAGGAGGATAGCGTTGCTTTCTGTATATGAGGTTCTTGATCCGGTTGGTTCATTCCAGTCCGCGTGAGCATCACGTCATAGCATAGTTGGATCGTAAGAACTGACCCGATGACGAGGGACTCTATACTGCTAGTATACAGAGCAGATCCCGGGGAAATAATAGGGGCGGCAGGGCGGCAGGGCGGCAGGGCGGCGGCCTCAGGTGTCTGGTTACCACAACAACGAACCCCAAACAGATTAGCCCGCCCTGTCCTTTGCTCTCCACCCGCCTCACCTCCTCCCAATCCTTCCCCCTTCCCCTCCTGCTGCATTCCAACTGCCTCGTCCTCCCTGCCATTGCCCGTTCCGGTGTTTACCTCCCCCCCCCTTTGCCATCCCTCGCACCCAGCATTCTGTTCGTGGAACACCCATAACAATCAGGACATCAACCATGGTACGTGGCCACCTCTCATTCCCCATGCGGCAATGAATGCATCATCGTTTCGGGGAGAGACCGCGTGAGGAGACGTCGGATAGCATCAGATCAGGACCCTGTCTGCTGTCTGCTGCATGGCCCAGGGATAGCTAGCGACAGAGGCAGCGACGAACAGAGGATTGTTTGATTGTTGTCGTCGTTGTCGGCGTCACACTTGGATCCGTCCATCCATCCCGGCCCCGACTCCGACCCTCCAATCCAATCCCTTTGCTTGTTTCCGTGGTTCGGCGCCGCTGCTGCTGCTGCCCATCCAACCTCACCTTCTTCTGTCTTCTGTCCTGCTTCTTCCTCCCTTCCCTATCTCCCCTCCCCCAATCCTCTGCGTTTCTGCATCTGCGTCCGTCAAAATGTCCCGATCGCCCGATTCTCACACTCACTCCGACCAGGCCTCGACCAACTACAAGGAAGCCTTCTCGCTCTTCGACAAGCGCGGCACCGGCAAAGTCGCCATCGAGTCGCTGGGCGACCTCCTGCGCGCTTGCGGGCAGAACCCCACGCTGGCGGAGATTGCCGATCTGGAGAAGAGTATTGGGGGTGACTGTACGTTGCCTTATTCATATCTATACTTGTGTGATATGGGAGATGGGGATGGGCTAACATTGGGTGGGGTGGCAGTCGACTTCGAGTCGTTCCTCAAGGCGCTTAACCGCCCCGGCGGCTTCCGTGATCCCGGCGAGCCGGATGAATATTGTCGGGGCTTTCAGGTGTTCGATAAGGATTTGACGGGGTTTATCGGTGTGGGGCAGTTGCGGTATAGTATGTCTACCTTTTTACCAGATTGGGTGAGATGGGAGAGGATGGATATGAAGAGAGTGGGGGCTGGTTAAGATCGGATGGCTAATAGATATACAGTCCTGACGAACCTCGGCGAGAAGATGTCCGACGATGAAGTCGATGAGCTTCTTAAGGCTGTGGATACTAGCTCTGGCGAGATTAACTACACCGGTACGTGCCATTTACGCAACCTACTGGTCTGGTCGATATGCATATGCTGACTCGTATTTGTCTGCAGACCTCGTCCGCACCATCCTCGCCAACTAAACGACTCACGTATCGATACCCTCCTGACGCTCCTGATGATTTCTGTTACATGCGATCTGCGATCCCTCTACCAGCCGTGCGGCGTTGCTGGAGCTAGTTTAGTTTAATTGTATTGTATATGTTGCGATTGACACGATGTGGTTGAGTAGCTGTTTTCGGACAGTGGTATGCTGCGGTATGATTGCTGCTTAAGATAAATATAGCATGAGTTGGTGTCATGGTACATGGATGACTTGCTATTATTGTTACATGGATCAGTTGCTGTTGATGAGATAAGTGTAGTAACTAACTATGTAGGCGTTGCTGTTTACAGGTAGATATAGTAGAGTACATGGCACCGTCTCACCTCCCCGTGCGGATCACGCCGATACGGATCCCCATATGTCCCCCATATTTCCCCAATAGGTAATACTCCGCACCTACTACCTACAATACATAAGGAAAAGAGTGTTAGGTTAGTTCGTGTTCACTAGTATCATAAAAAAGACCCAGAATAAGATATTCCTATCCCAACCACCCCCTCCACTCCTTATCCCCCTGCCCCCGATGAACATCCCCCTCCCCGCCCTCGAAATCCATCATAGTCCGCGTCTCCATCAACGCCCCCGGCAACAGATAAACCACCCTCTCCTTCTCATTGCCAGCGCCATCCTCCCCATCCCCATCCCCATCCCTATCCCTATCCCTATCCCCATCCCTCTCCTCCTCATCCCCTTCCACACCCTTATTCTGATGTTTATGTTGTGTCAGGTGTGGAAAATGCACCCCATCCAGATAATACCCCACGACAACATGACACCGCCCACAGCGCAGGAACCACCGCTTCTCGAACCCGTCCTCGCGCCGGATTAGGGTTGCTTTTCGCGAGGGGATCGTTGTGCGCAGGAGGATGGTGTAGTGGGGTTGGGGCTGTGGGTTCTTTGCTGAGGTTGGATTGGTTGTGGTTGTGGTTGGGTTTGTGGTTGGGTTTGTGGTTGTGGTGGATGGGAGTGGTAAAATGAGCGCGGCGTCGCGGGCGGGCTCTTTTCGGCGCGGGAGGGTCGCGATGGAGCGCGTGCTGGCCAGGAGGAGGTGGTTGCAGAATGTGCAGTGGGAGGTGTGGATGGGGAGGGTTGGTTTGGGATTCGTGGTTGTTGTTGGTGTTGTTGTTGTGGTGGTGGTGGTGGTTTGGGGGGTGAGGATGGGTTTGGGTTTGGGTTTGGGTTTGTTGTTGTGGTGGTTGGTGTTGGTGTTGGTGTTGGTGTTGGGGGCGGGTCATTCTGGCGGTTTTTTTCTGTCGGTGGGTGGTGGTGGTGGTAGGTGGTTGATAGTGGGTTGTAGGTGGTTGTTGATGGAGTAGGTAGAGAGGTAGGTGGTTTGGTGAGGACGAGGAGGATGTTGGTTGAGATGGTCGAGCTGTGAGTTGTGTTGTGGTGGTTGGTTTTTAGCTTATCGATAACTAAGTCTGTCGGCAGCTGGACTGGCTGACTGCCTGCCTGACTGCCTGCATGGCCGGGTCGGTCCCGAGTCGGGTTTGGTTTGGTTTGGTTTGGTTTGGTTTGGTTCCACGGATGGGTGGTGGCTTTACTTCACTTTCTCTTACTCTTGTTTTGTGCTGCTGGTGTTGGGTGAGTGACTGGCATTTCTTATTTTATTTTATTTTATTCTGTTTTATTTTGTTTTGTTTTCTTGGAAGTGTAAGTGGGGTTTTTATTGAACCTGCAATGGAGTTATTGGAGGTAACGTAGTAACAAGAAGTTGGATTGTTTGGTTGGTGGGCAGGAGTATATATCTGCTTCTAGACTGCATAAGCCCGGCTGGGTGCTGTGATGAAAGAGCAGGAAATAAGTACAATACAAGAGGCAACTATCTGAGTCAAACAAGGCGATCAATTGAGAATCTATTTTCTTTACGAGCTAGATTCCGAATTTCTCTCAATTTTTACCATCAAGACTTGTTCTACGAGCTGGGCTTGCTGTGAGCTTCCCATTAAAGAGTGTAATGGATTAGATGAATGGAATTTAAGAGACGGTAAGACATGGATCTCGTTGCCTCTTGTTCTAGTAAAAAAAGTTCTGAATTGGGAAGGTCATGGTTATTGCAAGTAGGGAGATCCTCGTTTCTACAGATTGTGTTCTGGAGTGAAGACCAGAGAGGACGCATAGTGGATCCCAGACTAGAAGATAGGAATATGCTAATAGTAATACAAAGCGCCGGTAAATACGTTATAGCGAGGCATGTCTGGCTCTACCGCCCCCCTCTCCCGATGCCAGTCAGTCGTACACGGCTCCTCGCCGTTCTTGCCGCAGCACTCATAGATGAAGCCCTGGGGATACTCCTCCCGGTTCTCTGGGGTATCAATGTCTCTCCAGGTCCTCTCGTCATGGCCCGCGAAGAAATCATCGTCTGGCTCTGGCTCGCCTAACTAAAATCAGCCTGCGTACAGAAGCTTCCAGGGATCACTTACCAGGATGATACTTGCAGCTCTCACTTGTATTATCCGTGACATCATACTCCTCCTCGCAGTTCATACAGATCGCATAGCGCAGCCGAATCTTCTTCGGACCAGCACTGTCCTCCTCCGGCTGCGTCCTCTTTCTCTTTCTGGCTGTATTGCTACCCTCGGACTCGGACTCGTCCTCGACATCACTCTTCTCAGTATCATCATCATCATCATCAGCATCACTATCCTCCTCCTCCGTCACATCCACTGGCGCAACCTCATCCTCATCGACAAAAAGCCTCTTCTCCACAAGCCCATATGCGTGGGGAACCTGATAGCAGAGCGACATTAAAATATCTTGAAGGGTGTTCTTGGACACGTCCTGAAGCGCCAGATACAGCTGTATCCCTTGCTCTGTGGAGACGAGTTCCATTTTGCACAATGAGATACTTATGCAAACCGAGTGACAGGTCAGGTTCTCGTCCGCGATCCAGACCGATTGCTGTTATGAAAGTTGTGTCTGTTATGAATCCGGTGAACGCGACGACAAAATATGGTCCCCGAGAGGCAATTCGAGGTGGAATTGAAGGTGATAGGTAAGGTTACTATGCAGAGATGAATGTTGTTACTGCTCCTCAGACGAGACGTATCGGATCAACTTCTCGATCGGGTAACAGCGCGTCCGGACCAATGGACGTGCCGCCGTCGGCGTTTTATCCCGTCTCCTTCCCTCCGTCTTCTTCTCTCCTCCACCATCCTCAGCATCCGACTCGACGGGTGATCGGCGGCTGTGAAAGGATGCGAGATGTGATCTGTTCACCATCTACTGACGTACCCTTGTCAGCGTCTACCTTTTCACTTTTCGAGAGTCATCGGGTTCCACATAGGCAGAATGAAGGCCGGATTGCCGACATGCATCATATCTCCAGGACGGAAATTATTGAACAGCCCTACCATGTAGAATACCGAGGGGAGATCGGCAGAGGCCTACTGTCGCTTCACTAACCGCTAACGCACTCACTGGCTGTCACTAGTGATTCTTGCTTCACACTGCCTCGGCCTGCCAGACGACATGTCACTGTTTCAGCACACCTGGGGCTCGACTTGGGATTTGTTCTGTCCTATACCTCGATTCGATAGATCCTGAGGACACCGGAATTCATCTCCAGACACTGGTCCCACGATTCGTGCAATCCTATTGGTCCTCGGACTCGAGGGCACGATGTATAAGCCCTCCTGTGTGAGAATTATCCTGGAACACATCGTACTGGAACGCAATCGAAAGGCTGAATCTACCACAAGTCTACATCTCAGCCACCAATTGGTATATTGAGAGCATTATCCGAGTCAGGGAGCCTAGCTTTATGGCCCAATATGCTCCAGTTCCAGAACAACTACCAGAAAAAGCAATGACCAGACATACTGCTGCTTGAACGGTACATGCGGGCTTGACACAGACTAGACGTCAATAAATTGGCAAACGTCAAAACAAATGTATCTCACGATCTTGGCCTATCGAGCTTGGACATCGATGGGAACCACGAAGTGCAATCCAGACACCATACGCGGCAGTTTTCGAGGATGCGCGCCGATAACCTGTCAAGGAACAAAGGAGACTTCACGGCACTACTCCGTACCGCTAGCCGCTTGACGGATCATTTGCCAGCAGCCGACGATCAATCATCGCGGGACTCCTCCACACTACTAACGCACCTCAGCCACTAGATCGACAAGTGTACCATACCGAGCCTCTGGAGGTCTCCAGAAGTACCCAGATCCGACCCATGGACTTGGAAGTTCGACATCGTTGGCCTGCAATCGAAGGCCCGCTCTATCATACGCGTTGTTCGATATGTCCAATATTTTGGTCGCTCTTGCGATGCTGTTCTCGTGACCCTGCTGACAGTAAGGAGTGCGATCCAGTATCCAGGTCCTTGGGTCCTTGGCCTATCACTTATTAAATAGGCGTTGAAGCAAAAGCAATCATGGATAACAGTAGCTGTCCTCGACACCGAGCCTGTATGTGGCGCCATGACGTAATGACCAACACTGATTCTTACCGATGTGGTCTCGACAGAACCGGGAGACGCCTTAACTATTCGTGTCCTGATACATAAAGCCCGAGAACTGAAAATGTCTATCTATTGGTGTATTGTGTGATATGGGTGCTGCAAGTCGAGGTCACTGGCACATGCAGGAATCCAATACTGAATGTCACTCGAATCCAGTGTATTGACTGCTGCTGCGCTAACCCAAGAGAGAAGGAGCCTAGAAATAGAAGACCGGAGTGCCTTCGATATCATGACCTCCACTATCAGCGTCTGCCTGCTGCCATCCATCATGCCGGGTGCTAGCCCCCTGTACCTTATCTCGCACCGAATGCTCATTGCTCTGGATCTGTCTTCGGGAATCAGGAAGCTATCTGGTATGCAGCTGCGACCCACCCACGCAATCTGCCACCGGAAACCATGGATTTATTTGGGCTATTATATCGGGTATCACATCTGACAGACAGTTATAAAAGGACTGCCGGAGCTTCCTGAACTGGCCTCAATTAGCAATCAGCCTTCATCATGCTTCTCATCCAGACAGATATCACTGCGATAGAGGGAAATGGGTGGGAAAATTGTCGGTTCAAGGTGGGTATCTTGCTGTCAGAAGTCCTGAGCGGGGTCACCTTTGCCTCAGCGTCTTCCTGTCATCTTACTTTCTGGTCGACAGCTAACCTTATCTAGAGGGGCTGTCTTCCCAACAAGATCGGAAGTACCAATGCCCGGTACATTTCATGTACGATTATTTGAATGGAGGCGTGAAATACCTTTCGCCCCCATTCCTGAGCCTCAACCGCTACATGAGGTCCAGATGTTATTCGACGGATAGTCCAGAGGAAGGACAGTTCCAAAGAAGTGACAACGCAATTGAGCTGTCACCTCTGCAAGCCGGCTTCCCCTGGCCCAGTGGCATCGTTTCCTGCCGACAAACTAAACACCAGGATATCGTGATGAAGGCAACAAAGGCGTTGCTCAGAGAATACACCGTCGATAAAACAGCACAACAATTACGCAAGGCGGAAAGGTCGATCGCCGACATCGCCCGTGGAGAGCTTGCAACGGACCTTGAGCACAGCTGGGTCCGGTTTGTAATCCATGGATTTTCGGAGGGGGACCGGCAGCGCATGAAGCTCTTGGCCAACATCAATGTCCATACGATCGTGCTCGATGGTACGTTGATCATTGATATCTTGAATCAGCAGGGTACTGACTCTTTAGACTTCTGGGAGATGAATCATATCGAAGCAGTAAGTGCGCTCAAGTGAATACCCGAAAAAACTGACATGAATCAGTTCAACAAGATACTGGAGAACTACGTCGACCGTATGCGTCCGGATTTGCAGGACCGAAAGCCACCCGTCTCCGCCCTACAGGCAGACATCGATCGAACCGTCGACGAAATACTAGAGCTGGATCGGACCTCTGGTAATACTGCTGGCCAGGAATTACTCGAGAACGTGGTGCGGTTTTTCACGCGACCACCGCCCCCAAGCAAGTACAAAAACATGGAAGAGTACATGAAGTACCGCCACGAGGACATTGCCATTCTGTCAGTCGGCCGTCCGCCACCCCAGCATGTCACTAACCAGCGTACCGCAGATACATAATCAAATGCTGCAAATTTAGCATGAACTCCCCCGTCGACACCGACAGCCCCAAACTCGCGCGCTACCTCCGCCTCTTCAAGGACCACGTCCTGCTGGTCAACGACCTCGCCTCGTGGGAGAAGGAGAAGCGCGCCTACGACAAGGGCAAGGCCCAGTACCTCACTAATGCCGTTAACGTCGTCTACGAGCTGTTCCATCTGCCGACGTACCGCGCCGCTGTCGGGATGACGCAGGCCCTGGTCCTCGAGCTCGAGACCGAGATCGATGCCGAGATTGATCGGCTGATCGGAGAGAATGCCTTCACTACGGAGGAGTGGCGCTTTGTGGATACGACACTGAATACGCTTGGTGGGAATGTATTCTGCTCGATGGTTATGGAGAGGTATGGGGGTGCGAAGGCTAGACTTCCTTAGCCGTGGATGAGGATCTGGCTGGCTGGATTGTTTGCGGGATAGACCATGATTGGGCGTTCGTGTTTGTGTATTGGTATTCGTGCTGGCGACGACTAATTACTTGTAATTATTAATTGATATATCATTGGCATTATCCTATGGAAAAGGGGACGGTGTGTTTCTGATAGAACCATGGCAGTCTGTGTGCAGTTATAGTGTTTTTTGCGACTACCAAGGATCTGTGTGTCTGTCTGTCTGTCTGTCTGCATCTGGTCACAGCCTGAGCAAAGTGATAGAAAATGCCAGCGGTGCCTGAGGTTAGCACCGCCTGTCAGTGACTGTCTCTGCAGCCTCGCGGCCACCTCTTCATCCCTCCCTCATTCTTCCTCCTCCTCCCCTTCCTCTTTTCTTACCAATACAGCAATATCACGTACCCAACCCACCTACATCCTCATCTCCTCACTCTGAGTGCCATCCCCAAAGAGAGAGCATGTCCATCCGTCAACCATCCAGATTCAAAGCATATATGAGATCTACAGATTTCGAAGACTGTACCTGTGTGGCAGTCACTCCCTCACGCAGTCGCGCATGTGAGGGATCAGCCCCTGTGGCATAAAATCTTCTGCTGATAGCTTAAGTGGTATGGCAGCGAAACTACCTCAAAGGCGCACCTGAGGATGAGGGGCGGAGAGAGATTTTCGTCGGCTGGAATTCCTCTCTCCTCCATGGACTATGATCCCTTCTCCACTCTCTCCGACCCCTAGGCAGATAAGAAGCAGGTGTCAGATAATGATTAGCCGTGAAAGTGGCTTGGCTTTATTGGGTCCTTTGAGATGGAGAAGCTCTTAGTCTCCACATGGCTTGCAGATAGGATCTGCGTTGCGCGGGGTGGTTACTGATAGTCACACAGGTCCAGATCCAGCTCTTCCAGCTCCAGCTCCAATTTTGGCTCTACTTGCACTTCTTATACCACTTCGGGGATATGGCTTTTGTTTTCAACACCTTAAATCCTACGCAATACACAGTTACACAGAACAACGGACTCGTGACTGGGTCAGTCAGTCAGTCAGGATAACAGTGGCTAAGCACTACACACCCAAGGGATGAATGATGGATGATTCATGCTGAAGGATTTATGCGGAATACACCCCATTCTCAAGGTTGGCATTGGTATGCAACGCCGGTGATCATTTCCGTGGGCTGGCTTGCCGCTTGGATATCTCCAGCCGGAGTTTCGGCTCGGAACTTGGAATCGGATTGCTGAGTAGCTGTCTGTCTAGCTGATCAGGGCAGATGAGATTATTGTGTGGATGCGAGTGGTTGGGCTCATGGATGTGGGTATGGGTGTGGTGATGTATTGTGTTGGGTTTTAGGTCTCTGGTTGGCAGGAGTTGGCAGCATTGTCTGACTTCCTCATTCAGGGCTTGAGGGGATGTGTATTTGTCTACACACTACATTTGTTCGCTGGTTTTTGTGTCCGAGGGACTGGACTGGACTGGACTGACTCCCTGTATGAATTGAGTGGATGGTGGATGAGTGAGTGGGTGACTGACTGACTGACTGACCCACTCGACGGACAGTATGGCGGTACTAAAAGGTCCACTGTGCTCATTGGCACTGCTGAAAAGTGTGAACGTATCTATCTACATGGTATACGATGAGACCAAACCACCCCGGCTAGACCACCGCTCGGCTGGTCGGGCTGAGATCAACCAAATCCCGGCGATGATCGGACGCGGATTCGCGGTTCCACCACACCAATTCGCCCCTGTCAGAGGGCAGTCAACAAACTGCAAACAATGCAGCGAGTCATTGCAACGATTTAAGAATCGGCTCACACCTATCAGGGAGAGAAAATGACCCTTATCTCAGACGCTCGAGATCTGAACACCCGAGGAATAATTAATTGCCCCGGCAGTCAGCCACGTCCCGAACCGTCGCTAGCGAGCCCGGGACAGGCGTTTAGTGTCCAACGTGGCCGCCATCCAAGAACGGTGGAGCTGGAGGCTTGTCCACATTCTGCTGCTCTCGCATTCTTTCTTTTTGCACTTCCCCCTCCCACGTCACCAGCTCGCTCCGTGGCTGGCTGAGATCAGATAACGTGACGGAACATGGATACCTGACCTATCTGTCGCATACCAATGCTGCGGCAAACAGCGGTGTCTGGCTCGCAGGCTGAGGAAAAACCTGCATCGGGATATGTGGTGGGTCACTCAAAGCCACATTCCCCTCGGGGCAATAGCGTGACAAAATAAGTTCTCGGCCCTTATTAGTTTGGGTAAGGGGAAGCGACGAGCAGACAGGACCCATCGACGAGGGAAACACGCTGGAAATGTGATTTGGAAATCACTATCTGTCGCCTGGATGGAGATGTTCGGTTAGTATGATCGAATCGCTGAATTTTAAGATTCAGCCGCTGTTGTCGGGCTGGGATTAGCTTTGCGATTAGCTTGGGGTTTGCTTTTTTTCTTTTGTTCTGCTTATGGGTTTGGGTTTAAAGTATTTATATACCCTTTTGTGCGTTGTCCGTCGTTGATTTAATTATTGACATCGAAAATGGCTTCTCCCTTTACTGTCACAGAGCATGTGGTTGATTGCCAGCATATTCGGGAGTATTCCCGGGCAACGCGAACGGCGGAAGATCCCCTGAAGCTGGTGGTGAAGAGATACACCCCCAAGTCGAACCCAAACCCGCAACCTGGAGATGTCACCATCATCGGTGCCACCGGGGGCGGATTTCCCAAGGTAAGTCAGGATTATTGTTCGAGATGAACCACATAACTAAAGGTACGGAATAGGAAGTCTACGAGCCGCTCTGGGAAGAGGTGTATGGCAAATTGAACCGCCAGGGCCGGCGTATCCGCTCGATCTGGATCGCGGATTCGGTGAACCAAGCTGCAAGTGGCATACTCAATGAAGAGCACCTCGGGAACGAGCGTACGATGCAATCCCCAGCCCCGTTTGTTCAAGGTTAACTCGAACCAGCGTCGTGGCTGGACCATAGCCGTGACCTGCTCTACATGATCAATCAGTTCAAGGCCGACATGCCCCGCCCGATTATGGGGGTCGGGCACAGTCTGGGGGCTGGACAGGTGTAAGTTCCTCTAGCGTCTGTCAGAAAACGGAGGTATACCCCTAGACTCCAAGGTCCCTCGGCATCTTGTATCTAGGAAGGCCCCTTTTCTGTTTTCCTTGTATCCACGGTGTTGAGAGAGTCTGATGATATCCCAGTGCGCTTTTATCCCTGATACACCCCCGTCTATTCACTTCACTCGTTCTCATCGAACCTGTGATAGCGAAAGACGTGATAGACGGAAAAGGCCCGATATTCGCAAAGCTTTCGCTCGCTCGAAAGGACGTCTGGCCATCTCGGTCCCATTCAGCAGCATATTTCAAAAAAGGATACAAGAAGTGGGACGCGCGAGTCCTCGACCTATGGCTCAAACACGGTCTGCGGGATCTCGAGGATATATCAACCCCCGACCCGGAATCCAGACCGGTCACTCTCGCCACAACCAAGCACCAAGAAGTCGCTCAGTACCTGCGCAGCAACTTCCCGAACAGGCGACCACTAGACATCGACAACGACCCAGACACTCAATTCTCGCACGACCCCAGCTTATACCCCGACATCATCGGGCCCTCATCTGGCATCTATCCGTTCTACCGCCTGGAGCCCATCCTCCTATGGAAGATGATAAAGCACCTGCGGCCGTCAGTCCTCTACCTCTTCGGCGACCAAAGTCCCGTCTCCACACCCACGATGCGCGCCGAAAAGCTACACCGCACAGGCAAAGGCATTGGCGGGAGCGGGGGATACAAGACCGGTCGCGTCAAGGAGGTGACCATCCCGAATACAGGACACCATCTCCCCTTCGAGGATGTTTCTGGTGTATCTGAAGCGACTGCCGAGTGGTTGTGCCAGGAGACGAAACGGTGGGGAGAAGACGAGAAGAGGATCCTGGGGGGGTGGCTGGAGATGTCGACTAAGGAACGATCTTCTATCCCGCAGGAGTGGCACGGGCATTTAGAGTCGTTTTCTGTGCCATCGAGACGGTCGAAGCTGTGAGCTGTGATTGGGGTCTGGAATATGGCCAAGGCTATGATTAGAATCACTGCCACTTTTCCTACTACTACTGCTACTACTACTGCTACTGCTGCGTTTCGGACGTTAGAAACCCCCGGCTCGGCCCGTAGAATTCCCCGACCGGGTACTTCAACCCCCGTCTCTCTCTCCATCATCCATCATCCATCCATTCCACCCCATCTAAACATCTAAACACCTCCCTGTCATCAAATGCTCCCCAAACAATCCCACCCACCTCATCCCCCCTCCCCCTCCCTCACCCCCAAGCCTACAAGAGCCCTCGCCTGCCTCCAATGCCAACAGCGCAAAGTCCGCTGCGATCGCCAGTTCCCCTGCGCCAGCTGCGTGCGGGCCGGCGCGCAGTGCGTCCCCATCGCTGCACCGCGCCAGCGTCGGCGGCGGTTTCCCGAGAAGGCTTTGCTGGAGAGACTGAGGAGGTATGAGGGGTTGTTGGTGGAGAATGGGGTTGAGTTTGAGCCGTTGCATTCGGATATGCATATGCGTTTGGCTGGAGCTGGGGGTGGGGGTGCTGGTCAGGGTGAGAGGGCGTGTCAGGGGGAGGAGAGGGATTGTGATGAGGTGGGGGTTGAGGGGAGATGTGGGAAGACAATGAATACAGATCGAGCTGATGAGCAGCCCAGAAGCGAGAAAGAGAGCGGCAGATCCAAACCGGAGTATGCGGCCAAGTGAGTCAATCCCAAATCAAATACATCCAGACCATCAAGAACTAACCCATGCAGGAGCTTCTGGAACGTCATGCGAGAAATGGTACGCCAACCCCACAACTCAACCTGCATCCCCTGACCAGGCACAGTCCCTAGAACCCGAGGATGACGATGAGAACGGTAGTGGTAGCACACGCACACCCACCACGCACCAGCACCCCTCCCCCCCGGAGAGTGTATTCAAACGAGCCATCGAGCAATCCTACGAAACGCTCGACCAGAGCTTCCTCTTCGGCTCGCGTAAAACCAACGTTGACCTCTCGGCCCTGCACCCCCCCCAAGCCCAGATCCTGAAGCTCTGGCAGGTGTATCTGGAAAACGTCGATCCGCTGCTCAAGGTCACGCATACTCCGACCTTGCAGTCGCGGATCATCAACGCCGCGTTTGATATTGCGAATATTGGCCACACGCTGGAGGCGCTCATGTTTGGGATCTATTGTGTTGCGGTGCTGAGTCTCGATGAGGATGAATGTCGGGGGGTGGTCGGGTCGCCCAGGGATGAGTTGTTGACGCGATTTCGGTTTGCGTGTCAGCAGGCGCTGGTTAATTGTGGTGTTTTTCGCTCGGGGGAGCGAGAGAGTTTGACGGCTTTGTTTCTTTACTTGGTATGTGCTATCTGTCGCTTACGCTTCCCTGCCCAATACCCACCAGTCAGCACTTCCCTGAAGCCCTAATGCACATCACCCATCCACCACCTAACACCACACCCAGATCTCCGTCCGCCCCGACACCGACCCACGCTCCCTCTCCTCCATGCTCTGCGTCGCGATGCGCAACGCCCAACGAATGGGCCTGCACCTCGAGTCCTGCAACCGCAGATTCCCGGCCCTCGAAGCCGAGCTCCGCCGCCGCCTCTGGTGGTCCCTGATGCTCTTCGACCACCGCATCTGCGAGATGTCCGACCACAAGACCTCCCTCCTCACGCCCACCTGGGACTGTCTCCCCCCGCTCAACGTCAACGACCTGGACCTGCGTCCTGAAATGAAATCCCCGCCTCCACCGCACCCCCAGCCCAGCGAAGCCCTCTTCCCGGTCCTCCGCAGCACACTCGCAGACTTCACCCGCCACAGCGCCTTCCATCTCGACTTCACCAATCCGGCCCTCAAACCCATCGCCAAAGACCTGGGCCCCGACCCATTCACCACCCTCTCCGCCATCATCACCGAAAAATATCTCCAACACTGCAACCCCGAAAACCCAATCCACTCCCTCGTCCTGCAGACCGCCCACGGCCAATTGTCTAAATCTAGGCTGTTGGAACAATACTCTACCTTCTCCTCTTCCCCCTCTTCTACCACCACCAACAACAGCACCAACCACCTCTCCTCCTCCCCTAGTTCTACCTCTCCAACCCACCCCAATCCCGACTCCCCAATAACCCACGCAATCACCCAACTCCAATCCGACACATCCCTCATGACCTCCCCCCTGACAAAGCCCTTCCGCTGGCTCACCCACTATAACTTCCCCTCGCCGGCTTATATATATCTCATCCAGGATCTGAAACGCAGGCCGCTCAGTGTTCACGCGGATCGCGCGTGGGAGGCCATGGATGCGAATTATCTCGCCAGGTTCGAGGATATGGCGCGAGATACTCCTATGGCGGATTATTTGGGGAGGGTGGTGAGTTTGGCGTGGGCGGCGAGGGAGGGGGTGCGGATGAAGAAGGGGGGGATGTAGAGGGGAGGGGGACAAGGGGAGTGGAGGGGCAGATGGCGATGGAGATGGAGATGGAGATGCCGCGGATTGTGAGGGATATGAGGAGGAGGATGGGGGAGAGGATGACGGAGAGAGGTGGAGGTGGAGGTGGGGTTAGGGTTGGTGAGGGTGAGGGTGAGGGTGAGAGCGAGATTGCTGGGAAGGTAGGAGTGGGAGTGGGCGGTGCCCTAGGGATTAATTTCGGGGATTTGAGTATGCCCTTTGGAGGACAGAATCTATCCATGGGCATGGGCATGGGCATGGGCATGAGCATGAACGGACAGGGTGAGGGTGACGGTGAGGGGGGTGAGGGGTTGATTGGTGAGGCAATCGGAATGGATAGATTCCTGGATCTTTGGGGGAGTATGGATGGTGGTAATGGGTTGGATCAGGGATGGGCCACGGCGACAGCGAATGTGAATACAAATACGATGAACTGGTTTCCGAATCAGGGGATGAGGTGGTAAGACAATATATTTATAGTATTTATATTTATATTCATACTATTTATATATATATATTTTTTTCTCTTTTCTTTTTGTATACTATAGATACTTAGTATTCACATACCAGAGATAAATAAATAGCCACAGTAAGACTACTATGTTTATACTTTGTATTGTAATTACAATTACAATCATAACCAGAATGATAATTATGACAATGGAATAAACTGCTGTCATGGATTGTTTTGATTTGATTTGATTTGATTTAAAAAAATCCAAATATGGCCCACTAGGCAGGCAGGGCCCCCTCCCTGGTCTCACTCATCCCGCTTGCATACCGCATTCCGCATTGCATATACAACCCAGGGTTTAAATATCACAGCACTACGATACTATACTATACTATACTAGACTATACTACGACTGGACCTGGATATAAGAATTGATAAGGGTGCTAGTTATCTATTGATAATATCTCTTGGATTGCATTGCACTACATCTAAAGTATCAGATTCATGGTCTTTGAGGGCAATGGGCTGTGAAAGAGGGGTGGGGGTGGGGGGGAGGATGAGTGGATAAAGAGAATTAAGGAAGGAAAGGAAGGAAGAAGGAAGAAAGACTGCCTACACTGCTCTACACTACACACTCCTATCGCACACGAACCGCGGAAAGCCCACTCCTCCGATGAGATTTTGTTATTTTACCACGCTTCCACTTCCCATGCATGGCATTCTGATCATATTGACCCCTCGGTGAACCCATCCGCCCTCTAAGATGATGTCAATATAATAAGGATATTCCGGGATAGAATATTCTTGGGACTCTTCATATATAAGTCTCAGGTCCCTTTTCTGACAGATTCCACCATATTCGAGCAGTCATCGTGGCCATCCGCGCCATCGTCCGCGGGAGCCTTGTGACTATGCCTGACTTGTGACTATGCCACGCTTTGTAACGGACACACCCGGCATTTTCAAGCTCTGCGTCGTGGGCCAATGGCAATCATCTGCAAGAAACACGCTCGGGTCGACTTGGTCCTGGACAAAAGGGTCGATGTGGAGGCGATGTTACGGAGATGAGATGGAAGCTCTTGTGCGAGGGCCTGCAGGAGGGCCCCAAAGTCACGCCGGTTCCGACAGACTCGGTGCAACTTCTGCCCGCTCCCTCGCGGCCGCTCAGCAGAAAGTAAATATCGATCACGGCAAGGTGGCGAGTGTCATCCTCAGCCCGATGAAGGCCGTACTGGCCCCAGAACATCGCGCGAACCCCCGACAGTCAATGTCAGAAAAATGAACCCTGCCACCAAGATGTGGATCGAGGCTCTGCCTGGCCGCATCGCGCAGGCAATGTACGTGCACTACCAGTGCCTCCACACAATCACTTTCGCTGATGGGAAACCGACAAGTATATATAAGCATGGCCTATATGGCCATGCTCCACGTGCCAGCCATATCCATAACAACAATCCTCACGATCACCATCACCTATACCGTGCCTTCATCTCCTGAATCAGCGCTACGCACGGCCAAGCCGTGACATAAGCCGTGGAAGCAGCAATCTCCTCAAGAGAATGCTTATGACCCCTGGTGACATGATCTCTCAACTGAATAATCCTCTCTTCCAAGCGAATCAATTCCTCCCCGGAGATCGACCCCTGCTCAGAACCCTGGCCAGAGTCAGACTCCTTCTCACTTGACCCGCCCTCATATCTCAACGACAGCACATCAATCGCCATTTTCTCGACCCCGAGAAGCGAAACCCACTGGGAATCAAAGAGACCTTCAAAGTGCGGCCAGCCATCCAGGGCCTCAATGGCTCGTAAGCGGATGTCGAAGTCGCTGCATCCCATTGCAATAATATATAGGCTTGGAACGATGGACGGCTCCATGCTGATGCTGGGACGGGAGGGGAATTTAGACATGATGTCTTCGACGGATTGAAGTTGGGTTGCGTATTCCGGGGTGTAGAGGTCGATGATGTGGGAGTGTTTGGGGAGGAGGGAGACTTTGACTGCGAGAGAGAGGGTTTTGTAGACGACGCGGATGATGTCTGCTGCGCGGGTTTCTCGCCCGTTGCGGAGGGAGTGTGGGCTGTCGCAGAAGAGCTCGAAGGCCTCCGCGTAGTGCTGAAGTTGGGAGAGAAGTTCCCCTTGTTTCAGGTGCAGGGAGTGGTAGTTCAGGCCGACGCCTCGGGCGGATAGCGGCCAGCATACCGCCAGGTATCGGTAGACGCCGCTGGTCACAGGGTCCAGGGTCTGGCGCGCCTCGTAGATGCTGCTGAATGCGTACGGGTGGGCTTCCAGCCACAGGTGGCACTTGATTGTGTCATCGAAGCAGAATACCGGACCGTGGAGCGGGAAGAAAGCGGACTGGTTGTCCAGCTGTGCGAATGCTGCAACCACGCACGTCTCAATGGGCGAGGAGGTTGACTCGACGAGGTTCCGATCAGCCTTAAGCTCCTTCAGGATCAACAACCCGCTGTTCAGATGCTGACACGCGCGGTCATACTGGCCCTGGAGCAGTTCCAGCAGGACGAAAAGCAAGCAGCAGAGGACCATGACGGCTCGGAACGTCGGGTCCTGCGACGCGTGACGCTTGTTCAGCAGCGAGAACGAGCGGACGGAATGCTCCAGTGCGAACTGCTGCCACACGCTGTTCCGAGTTTCGCCCGGCAATGGCATCCCGTACGCCTCCATGTCCTGTTGAGCGGCGCTCAGCGCGACGACCGCGTGGTACACCGCGGGCTCGGAGTAGCTCATCTGGAGAACGACTCTCTGCCACAGCGGCGATTCGAATAGCTCGAGCAGACCCGGGACGGTGTAGTTCTGGAAATGCGAGAAGCAGCGCCGTTCATCGGAGGTCATCTTCCAGCGGAAGCCGGCTGCGAGAGGACGCGCAAGGGCGCTGGTGAGGTGGGGGATTTCGTGGGTTGGGGGGAGACGGTGCATGTCGTAGTCACAGGATCGACCGGTAGAGGTGCAATTGGTACAGGCGCCGGGCGTTTCGTCGCATTTGATGCGTCGGACGCTGTCGTGGTGGTCAGTATGTTGATGTTGGGACGGGCACGGGGCAGGGGCAGGCGGCCAACTTACCGACAGGTACGGCATCCTGTGCGCGATCGTTTGGTGCGGACTCTCTGGCGTTTTTCAGTGGGAGGAGAGGGCATTGTGGTGGGGAGAGGGAAGGGAAGACGGAGGCTCAAGCTGGAGGAAGAAGGAGAGTTGGAGGTCGGGGATGCGCGAGGGGAAAAGAAGCAGGCGGGCGGGACATCGGGCGTAGCCGACCAGCAGGAGGAGCTAAAGCACGATCCCGGTTTAGTCCCCCCCGGGGATCGTACTATTTCTCTTGAAGTAACTAGTTAATCGGCATTACAAATCAGAAATGATTGTGACAAATGTATTGAAACCTGCTTGAATAACATCAAATAAGACCCCATTACCACCTACGCCATCATATCAAAACAGCCCTGCCCCTCAAAGCTCTCCAATCCCTCCACAAACCCCCCCACGCCGACCGGGACGCCATGGGGGCAGTGCTGTAGGGCTGCGCCCCGGTGTCCTGCACTAACTGCGCTAGATCGGGCAGCACGGCATCAGCCGCCAGAGCCTCCATCTCGCGCTGCTCCTGGCGGGTGAGACCGCCCTGTTCCGCGAACCAGGCTGGATCCTCCTTGACGATGCCGCTTTCATACAAGGCGAGCAGTCTGGGGTCGATGTTCACGTCGATGGCCGCTTCCACGGCCATGCGGTACCCGATGGCTTCGACCAGCGGGAGAGCCAGCGGGAGGATGTTGCGATTGAATTCATCGCTGCGGTGGATGCCGCCCAGCTCCTTCAGGGTTTGCTGGGCCTCGGCAAAAAGGCCCATCTCGTGCTGGGCGATTAGACTGGTGGGGTCGCGGGGGGGTGGGACTTGGTAGCGGCCGATGAGGAGTTCACTTGCCAGTCCTAGATACCATGTGGTTAGTGTCTTTCATGGACTGGTGTTATGTGGGTCGTGGACGTACGGATGGCAAGGACCCTGATGTCTCCTTCCGCTGTTCCGACGGCACGGAATTCTAGCTATGAAAGAGTGAGCATGCTGGACGGATTGCTGATTTACGAGGCTTTCTTACTTCAGCCTGGAGCGTCTGATTATGCTCGTAATACCCCTGCCACCCACACCCCTCATTCAAGGTCTTGATGCTTTTCCCAAAGTGGTGCAATGCGACAGCCTTGAACACCGTCGCGATGGCATGCCGCACGCGGGGATCGGCTTTCGGGTTCCGGAATCCTGTGGCTGCTTGGATGAGGAATGCCTGAAGCACATGGACTTGCGCGATGGCGTGAAGGATGGGGAGATGTTGGGTGCGGAACTTCATGACCGGCATGGAGTTCCCATCGTGCCCGAGGATCATCCGTTGGAAACTGAACTGGCTCGCGTTGTAAATGGCTGTCTTGAGGAGCGGAATGCAGCCGCTGGAGAGGAGCAGGGTTCCCGCGGAGACACGGTGGATTGTGGAAAGGAAGTCATCCCGCTCGCTCTGGGGTTTCGCCAGGCTTCCTAGCAGGGCGGATGACGGTAGGCGTACATTATTGAAGTAGGTGAGCGCGTGGTCGACTGGATTGGCACCGGTTCGTGGCGGTAGAACCTTTGAGACGACGCCCTTGCACATCTGAGTACCATCGGTCAGAGAAACCAGAAAGGGCCGGACTCCGCGATCCTCCCCATCGACCATCAGTCGGGCAATAACCACGGCAACGACTGGAAGGCCGCTTCGAGGTGTCGACGGGGGCATGCATCTGAGATGGGTTAGATCGATCATATCATCGAGACACTCGATTGGGACATACTTCGCAGCCGCCGGCGAAGGACTGTGGAGTTCAAACCCTCCGTTTGGCAGTAACGTTGCCGTGGTTTCCAGGTTTCGCGCATCGAGACCATGTCCGACCTCCGTCAACATGAACTGTGCACTAAAAACATATACCACCCGTCAGTATATGACGTATTAGTTTGGCAGGGCAACTTACGAGACGTCAAATTTCAACGCACGTTGCAAGATCGGCAGCAGGTCGGGACGGCTTGCAGCAAACGGCGCCACCGTACCAATGAACAGGTTGTACTGGATGCTGACAAGGGTTGTTGCACCACCATCCATGGCCCCGAGCAGGTCGGTGTGCAGCTTCCAAAACCGTGGAGTGATGTAAGCCACGTCCTTGATGGTGAGGTCTATTCTCGGTCAGTATGGTAATAAAAGGAGAGCACGCAGGTTGTCAAGTACCATGTGCATTTGCCAAGGCCTTAGCTCTTTTGTACGTGAGTTCAGTACGTTCGTCCAGGCTCAACGACGCCGAAGCGGGCTTCATTAAGGACGACTGGGCTAGTTCGATTGTAGGCCATGACGACTGCCATACCTCATTATAGAGGATCTCACTTTCCGATAAACCACGCATGGCGACTTGATGTGGGAGGTAGAATGAATGCACGATACATCGTGCGAGAGGTCAATGGCAGGGAATACCGGATTTTATACCCGCAGTCACCCCTGCTGCTATCTCCCTTTTTGTGTTTTGCCATCGGTGGTGCCTGACACACGGCGTGAAGATGTTGTGCGAGCCGTGGTGGCGGCTGGACCTGAAGCGGAGCTGAGATTCGCAGGCCGGTTCGCGATATCGTCGATAATTGCCGACGGGAGGCATCAGCACGCGAATCGGGGGCCCCGCAGGACGCCACACCACCCCGCCACGGCTGAAAACTTCAGATCGGCTCGTATTCCACCCACTTGTCGGAGTCACAAGGTTCTTATTGACTGATTGACGCGAGGGTGTCTGTATAAGATATCGTTCGTCGCTACCGGTTACACCGCGGGCAGGCCCAGGACGAACCATCGCAACGAATATCTCGATGATCGCAACCATAGTGGACCAATGGGTCCCACTCGGCCTCGGTCTTCTCTTCTGCTATGTGAGCTAGAAAAGCCTTGTGTTGCCGATCAGATGCTTATCGAATTCCTCAGGCGGTGTGGTCGGTTATCTTCAACCTGTATTTCAGCCCACTGGCAAAGTATCCGGGCCCTTTCTTCGCCCGGATCTCTGCAATTCCCGATTTCTACTGGTCTCTAACGGGCGAGCGCCATCTGTGGATTGATCACAACCACCGTGTCTATGGCGACGTGATTCGTCTTCGCCCAGACGGCCTGCTGTTCAAGACCCCCACGGCCTATCGGGACATCTTCAACATCAAGGCCAATGTCAAACGATCGGCGTTCTACGACATGCTAACCCGACACAAGCATGATCAGAGCACCCTCACCGGTACGGACCCTGTCGGACATGACCAGAAACGGCGGGTGTTGAATACCGTCTTCTCCGAAAAGTCACTTCGCTCGATGGATCCGCTTTTGGAGAGGCATGTAGCGCGGTGGTGTGAGCTCTTGATCGATGGCGATGGATCAGAATGGTCTGCCCCGAGGAAGATGTCTGAGACGTGTGATTATCTCGTTCTGGACGTACTCTGCGACCTTTGTTTTGGGCGGGCTGTCAACACCAAGGAGCCTGGCAAGAACGAGTACCGCGAGATCCCTCACATCATTGCCGGGTTTCTTCGTATCCTGTATCCGGTATGTCTGTCCAACATCGTATCTGGTCCCTGGCTAACTGGACAAGTTGGGCCACTTCCCATGGGTCAATGCCCTTGTCTGGCTTAAACCTCGGGGTCTCGACTGGCTCCTGAACCAGCTGACGCCTGGCCCCGTGCGCTTTCTGTACAATTTTGTGACGGAATCTGTGGAGCGAAGACTTCAAATGGAGTCCAACGACGAGATGGAAGCCAAGCGTCCGGACATGTTGCATTACCTTATTCACGCGAAGGACCCGAAGACCGGTCTCCAAGGATACGCGCGCCACGCGCTAGAAGCCGAAGCCATCATGCTCACCATAGCAGGCTCAGACACCACATCCGTGATCATGGCCGGGTTCTTCTTCTACATCGTCCGCAACCCCCACGCATATCAGCGGCTTGTGTCTGAAATCCGTAGCACGTTTGTCTCTGCTGATGAGATCAAGGGGGGTCGCAAACTTCTCTCCTCCTGCCCGTATCTCCGGGCTTGCGTTGATGAGGCAATGAGGATTGCACCAGCCGGTCCGGCCGAGCTGCCCCGAGCCGTCTTACCTGGTGGCATTACTATAGACGGTGAGTATATCCCTCAAGGGACGACCGTGGGGGTCGCTCACTGGAGCTTCTATCGCAATGCGAAATATTTCACCGACCCGGATAACTATCGACCCGAGCGGTGGATTGTGGATCCAGCAGCAGGCATCTCTGCTGATGATGTCGCTCGGGCAAGATCGAGTTGCTTTCCCTTTACGGCTGGAACGACCAGCTGTGCGGGCAAGTCGTTCGCTCTGTTGGAACTGTATTTGACCATCGCGCGGACATTGTGGCTGTATGACCTGCGCCTACTACCGGGCGATACGACTGGCACTGGCAAGCAAGGCCAGGGCCGAGGAATTGCGGGAGGCCAAGACGTGTTTTGCGTCTATGATAGCTATATCAGTATCCGGGATGGGCCGATGGTTCAGTTTCGCAAAAGGGCAGATCCCGCGGAGCTGTAGATTTGTGTGGATTTGGAAATCCTGGAATAATAGGTCTCGTGGTGTGTGCTTTGGAGAAAGATAGGGAGAGAGGAATAAGCCTGCTAATATGCGCGTGATGTTGCAATTGCCAATGATGCTCAGGCGTTCCTGTCGTTCCAAGTCCGGTCGAAAACATTGATGCTGCGTTGTGCTAAAAATAGCTCTAGCCTACCATCCTTACGATAGCCATGAATGGCTTATAACGTACCTGAAGGAACAACATCCAGCGCCTTAATTGACACATCGAGCGGCTGCTGAAGCATAAAGATGGCAGAGCGCGCAACATCTTGCGCCTCGAGCGGCCTAGACATAAAATATTAGCACTATTTCCCGCATCCCCGATCCCTCTATACTCCAACCCCCCATTCAACCCAGGCAGAAAGAAAAAAAGAGATCATACCTATACCCCTCCATAAAGCCGACATACAAAGCCTCATCATACCCGACCCTCTGCTGATGGAAATTCGTAGCCACAACACCCGGTCTAAGCACCAATACTCTAATATTTGTCTCACTGAGCTCATTGCGCAGCGCGTTACTGAATGCCTCCTGCGCCGCTTTGTTGCAGTGGTAGACCGCCTCCCCGGGAAAGGGGGGCACCTCGAGCCCTGTGATGGAGGTGACGTTCAGAATCGTACCTGCTTTGCGAGGCTTCATGGAGGCGTTGAGCACGGCGTAGGTGGTGAACATCAAGCCGTTAATGTTGGTGGCGTTCATGGTTACTATGTCGCGGATTTGAAGGGAAGGGAAGGGGGAGGGGGCGCCGAGGGCGAGGCCGGCCTTTGGGGGTTAGTACGGGGATTGGGTGGGATGTGACTGAACTGACATTATTGATGAGGACATTGATATGATCGAGCTCCTTGACGCTTGCATCGACGGCAGTTTCGACGGCTTCGTAGTTCTGCAGGTCGACGGGGTGGTAGATTACTTTTGATGCGGGGTATTTGGTTTTCAGGGTCTGGGTTATCGCTTGGAGCTTGTCCTGGACGGGGGTTAGTAAGTAACTATACCACAGTAGCATATTCGGTGATCACGTACCTCCGAGCGGGCAAACAGTATCAAATTCGCGCCTTCAACTGCCACTGCGTGGGCGATGGCTTCGCCGATTCCCATCGACGCGCCGGTCTAGATTGTTGTTGTTAGCAGCGGATCTAACGGTATATAGTCAATGGCATGGGAGGAATTACTATGAGAATATTGGATCCTTTGAGCGACATGTCAGCTGGTGGTAGTCTGAACGGGTTGTTGTGATGAGGTCTGAAGCTGGAGGTGACAGGACGCTTAAAAGTGGCCGCGGGGATGGAGGGGGAGATCCGACGTCACCGGCCGGTCTACGCGCTAGTCCCTGTCGGGTCAGCAACGGCCCGCCTGGCGATTTGCTGGACCATGGTTAGCTTGCTGTTATGGTCGATGATGCTGATGCTAATAAACCTTGATAACATCGTGGGTGCATAAAGGTTTGGTAATCAACTTGGTAAACAACAGGCAATAGTTGTTCGCTGTTACTGCCTGAGGCAGAGGTGAGAACCTAGTACCCTTGTAGATTCTAGGCGCTAGCCTAACTTTGGCAATGAGCGGCTTTCTCCGTCGATCGACTAATTCTCGCTCCGCCCCCTGATTCGCTGGCTGTATAGTAGTATATAGTACGCTTAGTATATGCCGGGTACAGTGTTTGTGGTAGAGGGGCCGCAGATCAAGGGTCCAACAGGCTAAACAAGCTTGATATTTAATCAGGGTTTTAGCAGAAGCTGCTGGTCGCGAACCCATTCCAGTCGCGTCTACAACTACAAAAATCAAGGACGGAGATCCTCACCATAGCTAACTCGGGAATCCACGAGGCGTGGGGGTTGATTTCCACACCGTGTTTGTATATTGCTTGCTGGCTTGGTGACGAACGGGATCCTGAAGAAGCAGCGCACTATTCAGCTGACTGAAGCGTATCAGGAGATGTCGAGCAGACATACGACTTTATTTCGGATCAGTTGCGGAAGATCTGGGCGGGATGGTAGATCTTAACCTGCAGTCCGTGGATGACCTTTATGATTGTCTTGACGGAAAAGAATTGTAAAGTAAAACTGAGTGACAAAGTAAAATAAAATATCCTAAGTTCTTAGTAACTCAAATCCTATCCCCGGTTGCCGGAGCCGCACTCAACACCAACACCAACAGCCACCCAACCCCCGAAACAACCATACAGACTAGAAAAAGTCTCACAACGACCCCCCCCCCCCCTTCCCATTGGTAAAGAAAACTAGCAAAGGTCCCCCGCAACAACAACATTATAATTATCCGAGTCGAACTCCTGCCCGTTCATATACTCGCCCTCATCGCACCGTTCCAGGATATCTTCCGCGTAGGAGGCGAGATACGAGCAGCTGGGGTCGATTTTCTCGTCGTTCTGTTATATTGTCAATTAATCAGCACCTGCACGACCACGAAAGGCAAATATAGAGCAACGGTCGGCAGAAAGGGGAATGAGTGGAGATCGCCCGTAGACAAGGAAATGCAAGGAAGGGATGTGAATAAAAGGAGAGGATGGGGGAGAAAGACGTACATCATTACACAAATAAATCCCCGAATCATACGAGCAACTGATCCTGGCACATGCCGCCGGACCCGCAGACACTCCGCACGTGCCCTCCAACCCCTTCAGGTAGCTGATTCCGTCGCGGATCCAGACTGTCTCGGCCGTTTCGGACAGACGGCCGGGGATGTCGCAGATCAGGGATTTGGTTTCCTGTTTACGAACTCTGTGTATTAGTCTGTTTTTTTGGATGACGAATTTCGGGATTGTGAATGGATATCTTTTCTCGGGTATGGGAATGGATGCTATATGGTTTGGTTGTAGGGGAGGTGATGGTTTGGAAAGTGCAAGGTGTGGTCTGACCTTGTTTCTCCTGGCGAGAGGGGTCGAGCTCGCGGCAGGGGCAGACAGCTTGAAGTCCGGGTTCAAGGCCAGGATCTGCAAGTGGATGTCCTGGATGCTGTGGCCGGTGAAGGTGATGTGCTCGCCGCCGGGGGTGATGGGGCCGGTGTAAGTCATTGGGACGATGGTGTGGTTGGCGAGCGTGCGGGTGGGATAGCCGGCCTGGGGGGTTAGTTTTTGTCGCTTGGCGGAGGGGGATGACGGGAAAGAAGGGGGGAGGTGGTTACCATGGCCGTGCCGGATAGGAGGGCTGTGAGGAGGATGGTGGTAAAGGTCTTCATTTTAGTTGGTGAGGGTTGAATTGAAGGAGTGATGATTATTAAGATAGATAGGGAGTAGTGGAAACGAAGGTGTGTAACAAGTAGGAAGATTAAGATGAGTGCTGGATAATAAAGGCATGTCCATCTCATGCGGATTCCGTTGCTCTATATACCCATTGACCTGGTGTGGATTAATCTCATGATCAATTTGCACTGGATAAGTATAAATTGGAAAACTGGCCCCCAGGTATTAATCTGGGTTAACGGTCCGAGGGCGCCTGAGTTATTGGTAGACCACTCTGCCCTGAACTCTGTCAGCCTCGTCGTATCCACGGGTCATTTGTAGACCAGGAAGCTGGGCGTGGGGGCCGCGGGACCCTTATCCATGGGGCCGAAAGGGTCCAGGACCCTTCTGGTGAGGTTATCTGGGCCCCAATCAACTTGTTCTAAATCTTTATCCGCGCTGATATCCCAGTGGAATGTTGAGGTTTATTTCCAAATCCGTTTGGTTAATGGCAACCGTCTACCAACTCCCATCGACGCTTGAGTCCCTGGTAGCACTTCTGCATGGGCCACACGTGCAGATTCTCGGTTCGATCGATGATAGAAATCAGGGCTTCCCGCTCCTCTGGCTCAGTAAAGTACTCTCCGTACAGAGTGATGGCAATTACAGCATTGACCAGCGCTGGCTGGCATCGACTGTGGTTCAAGCTGATTCCGCAGATTTTCAGGACAATTGATCGAACTTGAGCCTCGGCTTTGCGATGTGCAGCCCGGGTTGAATTTATTTTCCAGTCAGGAAAATACACGGAAACAAAAGGGGGTTGTCTCACTCAAGGCGCGAACTTTGCGCGGTAAGGATCAATCAAAACCGTTACTTTTGCCATGCAATAATAGTCACTGGCTCGCGTTATCTCAACACATACACGCTATTCAATGAACGCTTACATGTAATATCCTGATGAAGCACCTGTTATTTGCCCCGGATTGACGCGGAATACAGCCGTCCAAAGGATGATGGGCTTCCGCGCACTATAACCCTGTGACCATTTCTCCAAAATATATGACTGGAGGAGACGAGGGAATTAGAAACGGTGATGTAATTGCAATTACACACTCGGTCTCCACACAGACTGAGGGTAATCCTCCATATCAGGTGAAGATTTTCTACGCGCCTTTTTCTGTATGAAGCAGCATATTTCTACATGAATTATCCCCGAAAGGGAAACAGACACATACAGATCACATCTATCAGGTCAATGAAACAGTACAATTACAATTGTTCCAAGAACATCCAATCCACGCCGCTGAGATTACAATCCGTCTCCCAGGGTCGCTCTCCATTAAACCCCCCAAACAGCATGTCAAACGAGGATATCTGTTCCAGACCGTCAGGGGTAGGGATATCTTCCGTCTTCTCCAAACGTCGAGCAACCTTCATCCTCTGCAGCTCACGCAGCCCGGTAATGAAACCCGGCTCAGAAGCAGCACCCAATGGCGGATTCGCAGCCCAAGTGTCAAGCGTCGCTTTCCGCACCGCAATATGATGAATCTGCTTCCCCTCCAGGATCTCCAGATGATTCCGATAGACATCGCCCACCGTCTCCCAGATACTATCCACCTCGTACCGAGCAAAGAACCCGCACTTGGCCAGACTCCTCAAGACACAGACCAATGCATCCCAGAGAAAAAAAGCCTTATAGTGCCACAGAAACCGCTTCGTCATGGGGTTCTTGTGCAACATGCAATCCGTCTCCAGGATCCTCAGCGCCAGACTACACAGCTCCCTCCTCTGCGAATCGGAAACAGAAAGCTTCGTCAACTCGCCCATCCGATTCCGGAGCCGGACCGCATTTGCGCCCGACCTCACCGTTCCCATCGTCAGCACGTGGAGGGGATTGACAATATCGCAGTACCGGAGATATTTCGTCTCGATGGTACTCTCCACCTCATCAATCAGATGTTCCATCTCCGCACTCTCGCGGAACTGGATCGTCGCGCCAACCTTCTTCATCCGCACCCCTTTGCGCGTATACAGATTCGACAGCTCATTCTTGGTCAGACAGAAAATCATCTCCGTCGCACCGTGCACCTCCTCCGGCTGCCGCGTCATCCCAGGGTAGATCTGATCGTCATTGATATTCAGCGGCTGCTTCGTGTCCCAGCTATCTGGCGCCACGGAGATCCCCGTGCCGGATAGCTGGCCCGCGTACCCGTCTAGCGGGAGAAGCTGCCAGAACAGCCGTCGACGCATCTGCACCTCAAACGGCGGGAGACCCAGAATCTCCCCGTCGCGATGAAGTCCCATGCGCTGGGAAATCCGCACCGCCACCCCGGTCCAGATCCAGAACGTGTGCGGGTCTGCCTGCGTGCGGACGGAGATCAAAAACAGGATGAACGCTTGCATGACCGGCATCTCTGTGGTTTTGAGCCAGGATGCGTTGACGAGCGCCTGTCGCAGGGCCATCTGGTACTTGGCTAACAGTATAGATCGGGTCTGTCCGAAGTCCCGGATGCAGTCTTCGTCTGTGAGCGAGAAGACGGCGAAGTGGTATATCGCAAAAAGGAGACACTCCTGTGCTTTTGTAGCTGTGCTTGGATTCCTCGAGACAGTCTCAACCATATTCCCCGTCGTCGGGATATGCAGGACCTTGCAAAGCGGCTCGACGTTCTGGATATGCGCTGTCCACAACCTGATCGCATGATAATGAGACGGATGGTAGGCAGTCAGATCCTGAGACCCCCCCACCAAAGCACCGGACACCGGGTCCTGCACCATCCCACTCGCATTCACCGACGCATCCTCTTCCTCCTCGTCATCCTCCGACACACTCTGCATATTCGCCTCCCCCGAATTCAACCAGATACTACTGTCGATATACCGCGACTTCCCATCATCCCCGGACAACAACTTCCCCATCTTCCCTGTTGAACCGGATTGAGATTGAGGCCGAGCTTGCTCCGCCGACCGCGGCACAACCCCCTGGTCATCACCACCACTCAGTGACACTTCCCCCTTGACAATCCCACCCCCCTCCCCTCCACCTCCCCACTCCCACTCCCAACCCCAATCCCATTCTCCTTGAGTAACCGCTCATACCGCGCCAACCGCTCATGCATATCATCGCTCCGTCGACGTCGTCGCTTCCGCGCTCGCGGCGCAGGCGTCTGATAGATACATTCAATAGCAGCTTTGATGCAGCTGGAGCAGGTGGGAAGATTCCGGTCGCATTTAACTTTTCGTTTCACGCAGTGGATGCAGGTGTGTGCTGCTTGGGGGGGAGTGGTGGAGGTGGTGGAGATGTAATTGTGGTTGTAGTTGTAGGGTGAGTTTGCGTTACTGGGAGTGGATGCAGCTGATGGGGAGGGAGCTGGGGCTGGGGCGAGGGGGACGGTTGCGGGGCGGATGGGCATGGTAATGATTCTCGCTGCGGTTGAGGGTATTCCCGTCTTTGTACACTGCCACAGGACGGACACTTTTTTGATAGAAATGACACTGTAGAGAATTGATAGATTGGAAGATGATCCGGAGTAGAGAGAAGTTGAATTGGGGAGAATATGAGATGAGCTGATGATGGGATTCATCGGGGGCATGGCGGGTAGACGACGCTGATTGGCTCGGTCGGCCGGTCGGGGTTTGAGGGGCGTTTGTCGGGGCCGAGACGAGCCGAAAGCTCCGATTGGCTATTGGGGTGCTTTCTGGGAATGGGATCGGTTGGTCAGTTACGCGGTACGATGGAAGGTGAGAACATGCAAGCAGATAACTAAGGTGAGGCAGATTACAAATTCTATATATTTCTATCTTATATCCACGCCTTGATGATCATGATTGATATCAGGAGAGAAGAGAGATGATGAGGTGTCTGTGTGATCGCTTCGTTCAAACGGCACTTCAAATCAGAGATTCAGGACACCGATGGAAAAAAGGTCACAAAATTAAAAGGGCGAGTTGTATAGTCGAGGTCTGTTAGTGATTCTGTATAGTATAGTCTGCCTTGAAGCTGAGATAGCACAACATAATATGTATTTAGTTTTCAGTTTCAGCATATATCCCAATGATATACTTACTCCTTCTACACTCCGCGACACCCGCTCTCCGGCCCCTAGACCCAACCATCATGATTCCATAGAGGAGTCCGGATAATAATTCACACCATTAAATAGAGGAGGGAAGGGTATATAGTCTACAACCGACTCTGACTCCCTGAAAGTCCTCCTCCAAATCCTCCCTAAAATCATCCTCCCCTCTAAGTATCTACCTTCATAACTCCCAGGCAAAAGCACAACCTAAGGAACGTCAGTCCAAAACAGAACCTCCGCACCAAACCGACACTCCTGATTTAGATCTTCGTTGGTCAGTGGTGGGTCGGTGGTCCTCCGGGCCACAGTAAGAGTTTTTTTTTTTTTTTTAGCTTTAGGCTTAGGGCGGGCGAGGGATCCGTCCGGTATTGCGGTGGGAGATGGGAATGGGATGAGAGGACCCCTCTATACATGTCAGGACCCGCAGGTGTCCGTCCCTCTTCCGGAGCGCCATGCGCGGGGAGTACTCCTTTTGCCGCAGTGGCGCTCGTCAATACATCATGCAGGCAGTATCCATGCATGCATGCATGCATACTGCGCCGTATGTCAGTACTATCTAGGCGTCCCTGGTTTCCGTAGCCCGGGCTGTGGCCGATGTGTTAGTATGATCCAATAAGCTTCTTATACAGGGTGATTAAAATGTGTTAATTTATTATAGTGACGCTACTAAATACTGAGGGCTTGTTGTGTTTGCGTGAGGGCCCAGGGCCCACGGCTCATTTAGACAAATTGCTCATGACTATGAGAGACACCAGACCATGAATTAAATGAAATAAGAAATCTTAACATTCATCAGACCGAAAAGACTATTTTATGTAATGAGGTCCATAGATCAAAAGTAGATAGCTACAAATCCAGGTATCAAGGAACACTAAACCCCCCTAATAATTACACGAAAAAAAAAGCCAAGTGAATAAACTAGTAAGGAATTCACTACCTCGCCCCCATCTCAACCGGCGGCGAACCCCAAGCATCCCCAGGCATACCCCGAAAGCCCTGCAGCTCCGTCGGCCTCGAATTTCTCACGACGGGGGGATAATACTCGTACGCCGCTACCGGCTGACGTGACTGCATAGCCAATTTCTTCCGCTGGTGAAACAGATAAAACGCAAGTAACAATGCAATAATACCCACGGCACCCACTCCCGCGCCTATGCCGATTCCGATTTTGCTGGCTGTGGAGATGCCATTGTCCGAATTTGAAGATTGGTCTTCGATTGATGTAGGAAGGGTGGATGATGTGGATGTGGATGTGGATGCTGTTGAATCCCCGGTAGATGTGGACGTGGCTGTCGCGGCGACGGTGACCGGATACTTGATCTCCCAGCCGACGATGTCGATTGCGCCGACTGTTGAGTCGGTGGTTAGGGTAGTGGTGACTATTGTCCAGTCCGTGTGGTTGTTTAATGGTGTTGAGGCGTATGTGAGTGTCATGCCGGAGTAGACGCTGGATAGACACCGTCCGATGACTTCGCCGACTGTTCCCTGGGAGAGGAAGTATCCACTTCGTTTGTCATTAGCACAGGAAGCGCAAGGTCTGGTGTGTGATGGTTGACTAACGAAGGACAACACATCCACAGCGTGCTGTATGAATTGTAGATCGACGATGCCACAGTCGGCCACGATTCAGGACCCGTGAAAGGCCCGATGCTCATCTCCGTCGCATCTGTCCCTCCCCCACCCAATAGCGCTTGCTCCCACCAAGTAACCATCTGCGGGGGACAGCAGCGAGCGTCGGAGTTAACGTCAAGCATGTATCCCGGATCCCAGCCCATCAGACTGGGCCCGTCGAGGCGAAATGAGTTTTCACATCCTGAGGGGGGCGTAAAGACCGTGGTGAGCGGCATGTATGATGTGACGGTAGAAGTGCTTGTCACTGGGGGATAGTTGGACTCGGTCGCATCCAGACTGATGCTGATTGTTGTCGTCGTCATGGCGGAGGTGTTTTCAATTGTGAATAGAGAATCGAACGCTTAAGCTTGCACAGGGAGCAATGGGTAAGGGGATAATTCCTGGGCGATAATTTTCTAAAGCCTGCCAATGGAGAGAATGATCCTGTGGCAAGATCAGATGGCAGACAATGCCCCGAAAGTAGCCTCGCACAACCCGCGACGTTCTCGGTCGGGGAACCAACGACTCATATAGAAGTCCCCTAAGCGCTGGAGAAAATTGCAGCACCATTTTTTGGCCTGCACGAATTCCGCCTAGCCATGTGCTATCAAGGCCTGGAAACGACCATCAAGTGTTATCCAATGACGGTTGCACTGGTTAAGCGCCCATCCAACAAAGGGCAGACTCCAGCCCTAGCCTAACTAGCTAGCGCTATCACTAACGAACACCCATGTCCCCGAAGCGCGAATCGAGCTGATGTCACATAGGCTAACAGAGGGGTAGCCTGAACCTCATTTGCTCATTACTATTATCTGTCACTTGCCAGCGCCTGTCAATCTGAGGAAAATCTGCTTCTATAATTGTCAGCACGCGGGGGCCACCCCCCACCCTCCCCATCGTTTTAGGCAAGAAAAATTGTAAAACTTCTCTCCGGCAATTTTCCTGTCACCATTGTACTCGAAAAGCTACTTCCGTCTGAAGGCATTCTCAATAATGCTGCTATAAAACGATTTATAATCAGTAATTGTGTGATTGTTGAATGAAACCCTTGTATGGATTTGTGATGATCGAAAATAAGATTTGTAGAGCATTCACCCCCTGTGTGTACACTTCTGCATCTGCTCTGAAGCACTCCACGGCATAATAAAAATCGAAATTGGAAACGACTTCCATGCTGTCTTGACGCGCTAGATCGGCAATCCCAGATATCTGTAAGCGATTTCTTTCAGCTTAGTGTGAACCTTTGTAATACCGGGCAAGAACCAACATACCACTGATGTGAGTGATAGAGTACATCGGATTAAGAGCTGGAGGATCTCAAGTTGTAGGCAGTATCCTGCAGCCTGCCCCGGATATATCCAACGACAGCTGCGATGACAGTTCCCGGGTTGCTGCCAAAGACCACGGCTCCAGTATCGGATATTTGCGACGCAGCATCCTTCTCAGCAGGGTTTTGAGCCCGCTTGGTAATAAAAGCTGTTGCCAGCAATTGGTTTGGTTGCCATCCGGCATGAAATCCTCGAGGTCGTTCAAACGCGCTTCAGAACCCGATATTTCCCCGGCTTTCGGCTCTCGAAGGGCAAGGCAAAGCCATAGTCCGACCTCTGCGACATTAGATGAGCCTGTGTGACCCACAATCATGATCCTCTCTTTCCCCAGCTCGATCAACATCTCCTCACAGCTTAGGCAACGAAGGTTTGAATCGGATGCAAATGTAATATTCTCGTACTACCCGGCGACTCCCGTGGAATTCTCAAGCGCATTCGCCATATGTTGCAAGAACCGCCTCCCTGTATCTCCATATGTTCTTTGCACATAGTCCTCGCATAATGCCTTTTCGATAAAGCCATCCTTTGCCGTAAATACCAATGCCTTCGTCAATGACTTGCGCATATCGTCTTTTCCACGAAGTATATCGATAATCTCAGTGTCGTAAGTGAAACGAGTGCTAAGTAGGAGTCTTTTTCTCGTCGATTCCGTAGATGGTTTGATAGCTAATCTGGCATCACTGCTCTGTTCTTCCTCTTGGAATCGTTGCGCTTGGTGTGGGGGATAGCCAGATGTTCCCACCGAGCGTTTTAGATATACAACAGTTCCATCCAACATACATCTTCGATAGTTGCTCTCCCTCTCCAACTTATCAATTTCATCCTTCAGTTGACAAACCAGCGCCTGAGACCTCTTCATATGTACTTCCGATCCTCCCTCCCGCTCCCAGCGCTCCAGTTGATCGAGCTCGGCTGACAGCGTCCGTGACTTCGTTTCAATCTTTTCACATAGCCTGCAATTTGTCGCTCGGGTCTCAGTCATATTGAGCAGCCGTATGGTACACTGCCCACCAGTTCTATGTTCATAGTTGCATCGATGCTCAAACGAAGCCCATTTCACGTGCCCGCAGGCATAATTAAGCCGATTATAAAAACACATAATGAATTTTTGAAGAGTGGGAACCAGAGATCAACGGATGATCTGAGCCTGCTACCCATGTGGGCTTTCGCGAGACTTGTATGCGTGGAGCCCGGTGCGGCAAAAGAGTACAGCCCGCCTGGGCCCTCCGAGAGAGGTGGTTATAAGCCAGCAATATCCCTGCGACATCCCCTCACAGCAGCTGTCCACTCTGTAAGCGCCACGTTGCGACCCTATCGGAGACGAGGATATGGGAATAAGATGCAGGGGTGTGCTGCTAATTTGTCGAAAGCTGGAATTGACCCGATACCGTTTTTCCACTCTTGTGCATAGTAGTCGTTCTCAGTCAATCAGGGTGATGAAGTGATTGTTTACCCGAGGTGCAGAGGTCGTGGACGCCTTACGCCTCTGCACAGCCTCGCCCTGTTCGTAGGTTGTGTCAGAATGAGGCTGGATAGTATGAGGGGATACGTATATTGGGTATTCTTTTCTGTTGGATTCCTCCATGGCTCCAGAGTTGGGAGATACGACGTTGTGGGGATGAGTCCGATTAATGGGCGTGAAGGTAGGGAAGAAGGGAAGAAGGGAAGGAGGGAAGGAAGGAAGGTGAAGGGCGAGAAGGCGAACTTCTTTTGTCTTCCCAGCGACAATCACATGACTCGTGGGTCTGTCCAGTAGCCCTACTGGACGAAATGTATTAAAGTCACAGTCTCTTATCTCCCCAATACCTGATCTCAAGGGACTTGAAGAACATTTGTAACTAAACTCCTGTATCATACCAGTCATGATTTGGGTTAATATTTCCGTGTACATCAGAATTGGACTTTTACACACAAGACATATACCACTGGAAATTGATACTTACTGCATGGCTTCCAGAGCCCTTGCTCCCTTATGTGACTTAGTTGAAGGTCATTTTCAATAAAAGGGGGGTTTTCAAGTTCTCAAAGGAAATATAAATATCCCCCTAATCACCGTGATTTGTCGGATTCTGTTCAATCAAGTTCGCGAACCGAATTCATACTACATAATCAGAATTTGGAGTATTCACCTACTGCTGTATGGGAGCCACTGACCATCACCGTCCAATTTCACCAAGAGTATTCACCCCAGAAAAAGGGCCAGCGTACTGATTCAAACCCGACCTCCCACTCTGGCAACATTCCTTCCTTCTCTCCTTCCCAACCCACGTCCCTCATAATCAGTATCACAAATCCCTAAGCGGCCTCTAATATTTCCTTAATCGGGTAATACTGTCCACATGTCTTGATGGTTGATCGTTTCATGACCACATATATTAACATAATATATGATTATCTCACCGAGTGCTCCATCACACTCAACAGAGCCAACACCTCTATCTGTCGCATAAGCGAAGGCTGGGGGGACGTATCGACAATTGTGTCGGGAGTTCTCACTTGGCATACTTAACATCACCCCAACCGCATGCGGATATTGCGTCCAACGACACGACGTATTAGCCGAGTTCTAAAGGCCCATGGGAACATGAACAGATGAGGAGTATTACTACCCAGCAGAATAATTGTCCTTTCATTGCCCAGCTATCTGAATGTCGACTTCTATCTCCGTATCGAAGCTTAAATACGTTATTAGACTTATATCCTGGCCCGTGAAAATGCCACCAACTGGTGAACCTTGAACTCCAGTGACCACTGGACAGGACATCATTCCAGCAGGCTGAGACAGAAATCCTATTTCACGGTATCTAAAGCTCCCGGATAATGTTCTGAGGCTAGGCCATTGGTCTATTGAAAACAAACACACCATCACTTCTAGGGCTTGGTGCCATAAAATGTTTATTTCCCCGGTGGTTACCGAATTAAACCAATATTTCGAGTTCTCCTCGCGGTGTTAGGGTTGGAATTCAAAATGTCTCCGCTCAAAGTTTCTCAAATAAAGCCCCAATTTCAACTTACAAAAGTCAGCCTGGGCAAGATTGAATCGCTCGATGTTGAACTATACGAAACCTGAGGGTAGCCTTTGTCGCTGCCAAAAAAGCTCACATTGAATGTCGAAATAACATTCCAGGCAATGGTTTCTTATAAGCAGTGTCTGCATCACAGAGCCTTCGTTCCGAATAAGTAGAACCTCCCTTTGGAACCCATGCCTCGAAGCAGTCCAGTCCGATCCTGTCATCGCACAGCAAACCAGTTCCGACTGGTGTCCCGAGTGGTCGGCCAGTCTATGAAAGAAGATATGCCCACATGGGTGGGCTACCACATGACTACCAGGCGGATGGGGGACAGTTTGGACATGAGCAAGGGGGGAGCTATCATTATTGGCGATGATATCCCTCCTGTATCCATATTCGCCTATTATGACGCAGTATCTTTGACTTCTTAGCTGGTCTGTCGAATGGAGGTCTCGGGTGTGCTGCGGTACATTGTGGCTAAGTTCCATCCAGATTGCACTATATTCCGACATATATTAAGCCCTTTAAAACTGTGGCGTGTACGATGTGGGCCATTCCAAACAGATACCGTTCAACCCAACGATGGCTATACATCATCATTCTCCATGTCCACTGAAGAGATGGCAATATTCGGCTCTCATACCGCATTTGGCGACACCTAACTAGGTTTGGAAAGCATTCTATCTCTATGTCGACTATTGTGCATACATACAGCAGGGCATTGGCCCCGATGGACAGAGGCGTGTTATCGGGGAGGTAAAAACACCCTGGACCATCTATCTCCATGGGGGGTATATCAAGGATAAAAGACGGTTACTTGGTAGCTTAAGCTCTTAAGGTGGATTATACTTGACCTTACCATGCTAGTTGGGAGGTCCGGCCAATTTATAACATACATGGACGCGTACGGTTACGCAACTGTGTGCACAGATCCCTGCAGATGCTTTGGCTGTGAATGTGATATTTTATATTCCTTGACCCTGGGTTTCCAAACAGCCTATGATGCATGGCTGAGAGGATTTTGCAGCTTTTGGCTGTGGGCTTTTAATCCACGTGCTTTTCGGTATCGCTGCCGGTTGATGAAGGGTCACATCTGGGTTTATTTGGCTGGAAGTGACATGGCTGACCCGATGAATCCAAGGAGTTCTCGCATTGAGATTTATAAATAGTATATATACTATCAGCGGATCAATACCTAACATTAGAAAAATAATATTATCGCATAAGCAGACTACCTATACTCCATCCATAAAATATCCAATTATTCATTCTGCACACTCAAAATATAAGCCCAACCCCCAATACCACGAAAGGCAATTACCAAGTAACAACCTCCTCCCTCTCGCCCTCCCCCATCACCTCAACCGTATATCGCAACGTACCTTGCCGTCCCTCGTCAAACCGAGGCGAGAGGGACTTAACCCTTGTCGAGCGACCAATATGCCCGGGCTGATACGGCACTCCCGGTGGTATTCCCGCTGCTCTTTCCTCGATCAGGGTAAATTGTTTCGCTACACGGCTCGCGAGGTCCGAGTCCCAGAGCCCCTCGCGGCGACGGCAGCGGGAGAGCAAGTCGATGGCGCGATATCGGATGTGCGAGTTACGAGAGCGGGTTGCGCAAACATAGAGCGGGGTGATGATGCCGATGGTGAGTGAGAAGGTGGGGTGTTTGGGGGTGGTGGTCGAGGGTTTCGGAAGCAATGTGGGAAGTTTCGTCTTGTTGCCCTCGCTCAAAGACGTCGGGGGAGTTCTTTTGAGGTAATGGGAGGGGTCGGTGGGGTCGACGATGATGGAAGCGAGTGTGACGATGTTGGTGAACACGTCTGTGAAATTGTCCCATAGCATCTCGGCCGGTGGCCATTCCATTTGGAGATACACGCCGATTAGCAGCTTCCATATTTTGAGTATGATGGTTCGGTGGTCATTTTGAGACACTTCGTCTTCATTTGTAGCAATCCATTCGTCGAACTTGCATATCCATGCAGTCAGATCACTTCTAATTTCAATCACTTCTGTATGCAGCTTCGGTGCCAATTCTACATCGAAAGTGGTCACCGTTTCGCCTGATGCCGCTTCCCACTCCTCGGCAATAGCGTCTAGACGGATAAAACGGCTGTATAACGGTTCAAATGAACGCTGAATCTGGTCAATGTCTAATACCTTGCTCGGGGTGGAAGCAGGGGAGTCGGATACAGCCAATAGCGACTCGTAGCTAATCGACACCGCACCTTCGATCTCGAGAATCTGATTCTGCAACGAATGAAATAGCCGAAGAACAGGTGCAGGTGAACATTTTGAAGAGCCGCCTGAGAACGCCTCCTGCTGCTGCAGTATTCTAAGCCCCGAAGATGCATGTTGAAGGGCAGTCTTGTAGTGGCCTTGAAGAGATTCGCAGCAAAAGAAAAGTACACATGCCATAAGCACCGCGATATTTGCCTGGGCCGAGCTTTGCCAGCTCCTCGTGACCAACTCGCGGATGGCTTTGTTGTAATATCGGAGGGCGAAATGCGATTCGTCCGTGCCAACGTTTGCACGGAAAGTAAATGCTCGATGCACGGAGCCGACCGCAATGGCCACCGACTGGAGGATCGGGTCGCTGGACGCTGCTGGAAGCAAATAGCAGCCGAGATCTACTCCGAAGCTGGGTATCGTACAGCGCTGGAAAAAGTCAAACGATTGCTGCTCGACCCTTGTAAGTTGGACTGCAGGCTGCGGCGCTCTGCAGATGGGCACATGTTGGATAATGCGCAAAGGGCCTTCTCGCGACTGATCGGCGACCCTGTAGCCTTCGCATCTTCTTCCCGTCGATTTACATCGATGGCAGTCCGGCTTTTGTTCGTCACACTTTACTTTTCTGACTCTATCGCAGCGGATAAGTCTCTGCCCGTCCTGTCTAACTAGCAGACTCACTTGCAGGTTCCGCAGCCATTGCGGGACTTTGCTGGACGACCCTCCGCCATAAAACAAGCGCCCCTGATATCTCGTATTGATCAAATAGCGCCTCAATCGAATCACCACTTGTTAGATTGCGGTGTAAGCTTCAATTCAGGCAACCGGGCACTGCTTGTAACGTGAGGCCAGACCTCTGTTGGCTAGCGTATGCGAGACACGGTCATATTGGCAGAGCTTGCAGGGCGGCAGGGGAGGGAGGGCCCGTCAAATATTCCCGACTTCCAATCCCTGAAACGGCGACTAGTGAGGACTTGGTTAGCCGGTGCGAGCAAGCCAGTGGCCGCTTGCAAGTAGTCTGGGGCGGGCGTTGGGGGCTGAAATATCCCCACTGATGAACACGAGAAAGATGCAGATCTTCAAGCGTTGGATTCAACAATCCACGAATGAGCAGGGCAAATTGGGTTTCCACTTGTGTATACCTTCAAAATGGAAGAGCCTCATATCAAGCCAGGAGGGCGATGTCTATAAAGAGGCAGCTTCCCTCCATGTCACCAGTGGAAAGCAAGCTTCTTCTTTCTCCTTATCAATCGCAAACATGACTCGTATTAATCAATTGTTGATGCTTGGCACGCTCGGGGTCCTTCCGGCCTTAGCCTCGCCTGCCCCCCAACATGTTCCCTCCCACATCAACTTGGTCCATCGTTCCGACCCGGGGGCTAAGCTTCTTCGCCGCGGGAAATATGACACGGAAAGCATTTCGGAGTCAGAGGTGTGTGTGCCGTCACTAGGTCACCCGCAACGCTAATTGCTGTCCAGGGATTTTGGTTCGGTAGTTTCGATGTCGGAAGCTCGAAGAACCTGCACATGTTGATTGACACCGGCTCGTCTGATGTTATTGTGAACAAGGGCTACTATACCCCTGGCTCAAGCTCGGTCAACCTCAATCTCACCTTCGACAACTCCTATGGGACAACAGAGAGCGACGGGTCTGGAACTGGCTCGGTAAGGTGATTCCGTCATAATAGCCCACGATTACTTACAATAATCAGGTAGCGGGTACTCTGTACAATGACACCGTCTCTTTCGGCTCGCTCACTGCGACGCAGACCGTGGGCTCCGCCAACAGCAGCGATCTCATCCCAGGCGACGGTATCGTCGGCTTTGCCGGTGTTGAAGTAGAGCAGTTCCCCAACGGCGCTGAGCCTTTCTTCCATTCCCTCTGCAGTCAGGGACAAGTTGCGTCTTGCCGGTTCGCCCTTGTGTTAGGCCAGAATGACACTGGTATCCAAGTACTGGGAGAGCTCGACACATCCCTCTTCGAGGGAAACCTCACCACCACGTCTATTATCCAGGAGTGGGTAATCTTTGCTGATGTCGCGCTTAACAACACCGTCATCACTACCAACATCATGGTTGAGCTGGACTCTGGCACTGCCACCGTCGTAGGGTAAGTAACCCACTCCCCTGGCCGAGCTTGGTTAACGCGAAATGCCAGCCCTGTCGACGAGGTCCTATCTATCTTTGAAGCCACATCCATCCAGGCTGTTGTCCAGAACACCACCGACGGAGTGACTGTCACCGGGTACTTCCCTTGCGACAGCCCACCCACCCTGGGCTTCAACATCCCTTCCACCGCCAACGCGACTGCTGCAGCGAAGGCAGACTCCGGCCTCATCAGCCACCAGAGCAAAATCTTCAACATTGAGGGAGAGCAATGGATTGCCGCCGACAACGGAAACAACAACTGCACTGCCGTTCTGTCAGGAGCAAACGTGGAGGGCTACCCAACCTTGTGGGTTGCCGGTCAAGGTATGTTTTCCCCTTTATATCTGGCGCACCATCACTAATTATTAGCAGCTTTCTTCCGCGGTCTGTACCTCGATCACAACGTGGCTAACGCGACCATCGGTTTGGCCACTGCGAAGAATCAATCGACGACAGGGTCGGCAACCTCGGCGTCTGGATCCGCTAGCAGTACCCCTTCGGTGGCTGCGACCAGCGGAGCGGCCGCGGGATACTCTATGTCTCCTTCGGCCCTGTTTTTCTCTGCCATCCTGGTTTTCTTGACTTGCTAGTCGGAGACGTAGGTCCGACTGTATAATATCTGCGGGAGGGTCGATGTATAATAGTTCTGTTAGATGATAGTAATGACTGATGTTAGTCACAATCCTCTTTAGCACTGTCCATGGCTAGCTTCCAACGTACCAGATCCCTTTAGAGAGTCAGTCTTTCAGACTGGAGGCCAGTAAGAGCGAAGTTTGACTCGTCGCTGCTTCCTGCTGCGGGTTAGGATATCTTGTCAGTGGATTTCCCTCGGAATGTAGTTGAAATCGCAGAAGCCATGTCGAGGAAAAGCGAAGCTGACTTGGTATCAGAGGATGACTGTGCGCGTTGTTCCAGCGACTGTGTTGGAACAAAGCCAGTGGATTGAAATTGTGATCGTGCGAGATCTGACAGAGTAACATCAGCTCAAACGAGCTCAAGCACTAGCCAAGACACCGCGAACCCAATCTCTACGGGCAAGCATGGAACCAACACCACGAGTAACCGTGAGCAAAAGAGAAGAAGTGAGGGAGTGGGATGAGTTGAGAGGAGAGTTGCTGCTGCTGCTGCTGCGCCGCCCCGCCGAGCCACTTTCCTTCCCCAGGCCAACAACATGGCAACCAACCCCACCACAAATAGACACCACCACCACCACCATCACTTTCAATCATCTCACCCACTCCCCACATCAACCCAGCAACCTCTCCCAATTCGCAGTGTTTCCAAGAACCGATCTTGCCACCACGGACCGTCACCGTGCCACTCACCCCCAGCATATATATAGCTCCGTTCCCTCCAGATGACCGCCGATCAGGCGTTCAGCTGAGTAAGATGTATGCGATGCACTTCGACCCAACCCATTTCCAGCCAGTGAGTATGCATCCCTCAAATAAACATGGACTCGAATGTCTTACCTGACAATCACAATGCACAGACAGTAAATCACTCATCCAAATGGAACATGTGATCTGGGATCGGATCGGATCTGTGTCTGGCTATATTTATCATGCTTTTGAAGTCGTCATCATTCAGAGACATGTTTCTCTTGGATTGATAATCAGGTGTGCTGTTACTTCTGGTCCCTATGCTCTGGTAAGGGCATTCATGAGGGCTTAGTGTCTATATGGGTGGTATGGGTATAAATACCTTCGATATCTCTCCATCCCATCATCAAATACAGAACATACCCATCCATCCATCCATCCATCTCCATCTCCATCTCCATCAGAAAGCACCATCATCCAGCAATCCAAAATTAAACCCACCCTCCTCGCCACCTCCCTCTCCACCCTCACTCTGACCCTCTCTCTCCTCGCCAGCGCAACACCCATCCCCCAGGGCTCTGCCACGTTCCCAGTCTCAATCACCTTCCACGGCACCAACGGGACGTCTTTCCGGCAGGTTTTCCCTGCGGACTCGAGCGGTCATGATATCAGTATGTTTATCTCATCCCATCAAACACGGGCTATTGTTTGTATGAGAGACTAATCTGTCATCCCCAGCCAATCCCATGGTCGTCACGAGCATCTCCTCCCCCGGAGGCGCGATTTGCACCTTCCAGGGCGTGAATGGGAGTACGACTACGGTGGTTGCAGAGGTGGATGTCGCTGTTGATCCGCCACAGGCGCAGATCTGGGGGGCTTGTGATCTTTTGTAGTTAATGGATTGGATCTTAGAAGGTATTGCTGATGGTTGGATTTAACGTCTGGTTGGGGGATGCCGAGTTATGAGGGAATGGGGAATGAGAGTATTGACTGTCTCTACTGGTATAACATGGTATTCTTCGCCCGTATCTATTCTTATTGGCAATGTGGTTCATGGTATCTAGTTGATTCTCTCCATTAACTCACATCTGCAATTTAAGTTCTTTGAAAGATCTAGAACCCAGATAGCAGTGGTCCAATTCAAACACCCGGATACTCCCACAACCACTCAGCAATCTGGCCCATTCTTTGTCACACAAGCCATTGTGAGCGCAGTAGCTGCCTCAATTTAGGGCTGGCAGATACACCCTTGCCAGCACCTCACCATCTAGAAAGCAACCATCTCCATGGCTTGCTTCTTTCCCCACTAAACATATAGGCCCTGGTGCTGGATGTGGCAGTTGTGACAATATGATATCGATTGGGTAAAACATAGGATAGGCTAAGGAATTTGTCAAATTGGGCAAAGCAGGACAAGTAGCAGCGTGGCTTGACTTACCTTAGCCAATACTAGCGACGTTTGCCTGCATGCATGTCGACGGTCCCCCTGGCCGTTGGATGGCCCGAACTTCCAAAATTTGGGCTAGGCCGTAATATCAGAGCCTGATGACCCAGATGCGTCCACGGTAGATAAGCATAGCCATCTTGTATAATCATCATACCCTGGTCGATTGACACCACCATTTCAATGATAAACTTTGATTTCAATGCCACTTCATCGATTTTAGAAACTTGGCACTAATTCAAACAGTCCCGCCAAGTGTCCTCTGGTAAGGTATTTAGCGTCAACGGTGTTATTTGTGTACCGAATCCGATGGGTAACTGACCTTCTGATTGTTTGCACAGACCTCCGGCCCAGCAAGGCACCCCCGATGGCGCGCTGCGGATCTAACCCTTTTGTTTAAATGAGACTCCAAGCTTCAGGGCATCCAGGTGCTGTTTGTTGGTCATACGGAACTGTGACTGTTGACGAAATATCATGAACGAGAATGCAGAATGTTTTGCCTGATCGCGCCTCGGAGGAACATCTTCTGTGAGACCGACTACGACTCACTTCCAACGCCCATCCTCTCTTGGTATCTGGTTTTGCCTCCCATGGTTACTGGCGTGACACTTCGGATACATCGAGTCGGATGAGAGAAAAGGAACTTGCGATCGCAAAACACTGGGTGTGAAGGTGAACAATGCTGGAATGGGGAGGATGTTGTGGGTGGGGTTCAAGTCGCCGCTCGTCAATAAAGAGAAAGCGGACAAGTCACATGGGGCACCTTCCTTTTTCATCCTCGCCTCCCTCTCCTCCTTCCCTTTCTCTTTTCCTCTCCCTTCAACTCTTCTCATCTGAGTCTTCTATGTCAATTCAAATTCTCCACTCTTTATTGCTCTGAAGGTGTACCAGTACGTGTCAGAACTCAGAAGCCATGGCCACTCGACGGAAAAGGTGTCCAGGCACCAAGATCGGCGTGACAGCAGGCAACCACTCCATCCCAAGATTAAGCACCGATTGACAGCTGCTTCCGCTCCTGCAGCCTTGGTCCCCATTGGTGAACCCTGTGGTCCGAATATCCACCGTCCTGCACTAGTAGTCCCGCCATCTACCATGCTGACACTCTTATTTTCCGGCTTATTTCCTATCCCCGATGATGACGTCGCCACAACCTATACTATCATACCATTTCATTCCATATATATACCTCCTACTCGTGAGCCCAAATCGACAGCCAGGAAACTCCAGCACAATTCATCAGCACCATGGAAGCCTCCACACGCCAATTCGCTCTCCCCCTCCAGGGCAAACTCGCGATCATCACCGGCGGATCCCGCGGCATCGGAGCCGGGCTCGCATTGGAATTAGCCCGACGCGGTGCGAATGTACTCCTCAACCACTCCCTTTCAAAGCAAACCATCACTAACAAAGCCTAGATCTGCATCGTCTACGTTTCAGACGCCAGCAAGCAATCCGTTATCGACCTACAGACCAATATCCAGCAACTCCCTCATAAGCCCACAACCTGGGCCTGTCAAGCCAATCTCTCCTCCCCCACCGGCGCCCAAGAAGTGATTACTCAACTCCGATCCCAACTCCCCTCAGATACCAGTCTCAAAATCGACATCCTAATCAACAACGCCGCCGTCGAAACCGTCAACAGCATGAAAGACGCGAGCGTCGACGAGTTCGACACGGTCTTTAACCTGAACGTCCGGGGGAGCATGCTCATGACCCAGGCCGTCATCCCGTACCTCCCACCGAAGAGCCGGATCATCAATGTGAGTTCTGTTGCGGCGAGATTCGGCTTCAAGGGCGTTAGTTTATATACTGCATCGAAGGCTGCGCTGGAGGGGTTCACGCGCGCCTGGGCGAGCGAGCTGGGGGAGAACGGGACGACGGTTAATGCGGTGGCGCCGGGGCCGGTGCCGAGTGATATGTTGGATAATATCCCCAAGAGCATTGTGGATATGCAGAAGGCGACGACACCGATTGAGCAACGACTAGGGACGACGGAGGAGATTGCCAGTATTGTGGCGTGGTTAGCCGGGCCGGATGCCTCGTGGGTGACGGGACAGGTTATCTCGGCCAGTGGGGGGTGGGTGATGTATTAACTGCGATCTCTATGGATATTCTGCGTCTAACCTATCATCATTCCTGATTCATTCATTGACGTCTCAGGTGAGCAATGTACTTCACCAACTATATGTAATTATATTTCCTTTCAAGATGAAGACATCCATCCTTCATAGACATAAAGTCCTCCGATCTGCCCGACCAGCCCTATGTCATTCCTTCTTCTCCTCTTTCCCAACCACTCACCCATATCACGAAACTGATCTTGGTCTTTTCGATAACTTCAATCCACATGGACAGTATCCAAAACCCATCCTGACTTATCCAATACGTCTCTTAACAAGCATTGCCCAGCCGCATGAAAGTGATACTCGCTTGACACAGCGTCTTCCAGTATATCATACCCATCTACTAGCTTTTACCGCCGATATCCGCTTCCCTTTAAAGGGTTTGGTCCCATATCCCCTGCGTTTGAACTACGACGTACATGGAGGAAGAGAACCTTCAGGTTGGATAGACCATCATACTTGGATTCAGGAACCCCATTGTGATAGAGCAGCGGACAGATTACGAAACAGCGAAAGTAGCCTAACGCACCACGCTTCATTGCCTCCGTTTATCGGTGGTCTCTTATCACTCTAGTTTGCCATCGAATGACTCGGAGACTGTTTTGCCTGCATTGATCTTTAGCTGCAGTGGGCCTCCTGCCCTTCTAGATACTAGGGTGCGGGTACCTGGCTTGCGCTAACCTTATTGTGACTATATTTACTTGGCCTTGTACACAATATCCCCAGACGTATACGTATGTCGTGAGAAGATAATTGCAATAGATCTTTTATAACTCTTCATCATTAAAAATCATAAGTAATAATTACCAGTCATAAGGTGTGGTGACAGGCAGGGGGCTTTGATTGGGGCCCAGTCACATGGCCGCCAGATCGGGTTAGCGTGGGGGTGTTTTGCCGCTTTTGACGGACGCGCCCATCATCCCTTCTTCTTACTGCATCCATCATCTCGGTGTCGGCTACTCATTGAACAGAGCCGGGATGTCTCTACAGGAGCTTCAGGAGCTTCAGGAGCTGCGCCAGCGTGTTAAGGAAGAGCAGCGGCTACGAGAGGAAGAGCGGCGACTACGACAGCAAGCTGAAGAACAACTGCGGTATCAGACTCAAAACACCACGCTTCCCGAATTCCTAGAGGCCTGCCATGCGCACTTATTCCTCGGTTTGCACATTTGCGAAGACAAAGGCTCGATCACAAAGGGCAACCCCGCGAATGCCGACCATAAGATTCGCCCCACCAGGATTCGGGAGTGGATCAACTTTCCGAAGGAGCAAATTTCGATATGGGACGATCTAATGAAAACTGACTTTGTAACTGAACGCCACTTTACACCCTTGTTGGTATTGAAAGAATATGGGAAGGAAGTCCGGGGGAGGATGTTGGGCTCAGAGCTGGACTTGGGTTACTTCGAACGACACACGGTCGAGTCCCGTGTCTCTTCGGTAATCAAGCAGCTACACGTGAACCCCCAACTTCGACAAACCTTCGGCCTGAATGGAGACGTCAGTTTCGAGAACCACGCCAATACGCTGACGGACGATTCGGGTATCTTGACAGAGATGAACTCGCTGAGTCTGAGCCAGGTGCAACCGCGTCGCTCTGGTCGATTAGCTGCAAAATCAAGCAGCGTTCAGACCTCGACTCAACCACCAGAGACAAGTCATAACAAAGCTACCCAGCCAAGGAATTCGCGGCCTCGAGCGGACCAATTTTGTGTTTATAACAAGGGCATGGAAGGAAAGGTCCCAGCCTTTATCATTGAGTATAAGGCACCCCATAAGGTCTCGCTTTCCCATATCAGAGCCGGACTGCAAGATATGGACCTCGATGATGTGGTTCGCTTACAGGATGACGAATCGCCAGATATTATCTGTCGTCGTGTTGTGGCAGCAGTTATCACCCAAACATTCTCATACATGATCCATGCGGGCCTGGAATACGGCTATGTATGCACCGGTGAAGCATTTATATTTCTCCGTGTGCTTCAGGATGATCCTTCTACTGTATACTACTACCTGTCGGTACCAGAAGAAGATGTTGGTCCCGTGACATGGACGGGCAATCCTCATGATGATAACCGGCTGCATCTGACCGCTCTAGGTCAGGTACTGGCTTTCACTCTCCGCGCCTTACGAGTACCGACTCGAGACATCGCTTGGACAAATCGGGCCGTCCGCAGCTTGAAGACCTGGGTCATGGTGTATGATATCCTTCTAGACAAAATATTAGAGAAGGATATTCCCTCTTCTGCCTTTAAATCACCGACAGGGAGTCGAAACGAATACTGCCGTGTGTCTCCGGTGAAAATAAGATCAAAGGCTGCTGCTGTTGCGTCCTGTAATTCTTCGCAGGACGCCAGCCTTCTGGATCATGATGATGATGATGATGATGATGATGCCGGCGATGACTTTGATTCTAACACCCCTAGTCGACCTCCACGAGAGCGCCGCCTCGCTCACCCGCCAGAACCCCGTTCTGTAGCAACACGGGCATTGCCCCAAGATTCATCCTCCAAAGGCAAGTCTCGGCAATATTGCACTCAGCGGTGTCTTCGCGGCTTGATCAAGGGAGGACTGCTGGATCGGCAATGTCCTAATGTATCGGATCATGGGCTGGACCGACATCGACTGACCCGCACGACACTTATCCGTCGGTTGGACCGGCAGTTCTTCGGCAATGAGCAACAGCTAACGCAACTGGGGTGCGAGTCGCTGCATGTTCATGGAAGCCGCGGGGCACTTTTCAAAATCACCCTGTGGTCCCACGGGTACACTTTTGTGGGAAAAGGCACGCCGGTCGAGTTTGTGGCAGGCTCGAAGCATGAGGAGTCTATTTATACACATCTCACTCCAATCCAAGGAGTATACGTGCCCGTGCTCCTTGGCAGCCTGCGACTTCGTCACCCATTCTCCTATGACGGTATTGCCGCTATCGTCCATCTCATGTTTATGAGCTACGTCGGAATAACCCTTGAAAAACGCCATGATCTAGATGATCGCCAACTAATTCAGCAAGCGGAGAGATCCTTAGAGGCGATTCACAATCTGAACGTGCTTCAGTGTGATCCGATGCCTCGCAACATGGCCCAAGAAGATGGCCGAATGATGTTCATTGATTTTGAGCGAGCAACGCTGGAACCCCGACGAATGCCACTTCGGGGTATTTCGCCTAATCGAGAACGGAAGCGGGAGACGTCTCTCCAGGAGAAAAGCCCAGCCAAGCACAATCATGATGACTGTTTTGAGCGCGAGAAGCGATGCATGAGAGGTGGATTATGGCAATGGCCGTGATAATGACTATGATAACGACTCTATTTTCTCACTCTTTAACTACGCAGGAGGCTGTTGCTTATTTAGCCGCATAATCATTCCATACGACAGCGATTCCAAACTTGATATAGCCGTGAAGAAGTAGCGCAATAGCCAGGAAACGTTGGAAAAATGAAGACCACTTTGAACCAAAGTACCTAGCCTTTCCGACTGAGGTTTCGGGAACACTATCCGATATTATCCCAAGCTTACCAGAGAACAAAGCCATTACCCCTCCCGTAAACCCATAATTTCAGCCACCTCGTTTGTGTCCAACGCTTCGCAAGCAGGCATACATAAACGCAAGTACCTGACAACAACAAGCAACCGCTATCAAGTCGAACGAGCCTCGACAGATCTTTTATCGGAGAATAATCAACATGAGCTGGCGCCTCGAGTCTGTCAGCCTCAAAAAAGGGGAGGGCACGACGCTCACCCCGGGAGGCCTCGAGTACAAGCTCACCGACCTGTACTCTGAAAAAGTCGACGCTATCCTGGCTGAACGACGGAGCATCTTCTTTGCACATCGCAAAGAGGACAACAGGGACTGCGTCCTAAAGATCCGATACCAGTAAGCGGTCCTTCCCCTTCTTCGCACGGGTCCTGAACCTCTATACCAAAGATCGATTACTGAGAAACCACCCCACCCTAGGATGAACCCAATCATGCTCGACGCAGAAGAGCGCCAGATTGGCATTGGACTAGCGAAGCAGACCTTCGACGAAGAATTCGGTGCCCTTCTAGCCACCCAGTCTCTGAGGTGCACCCCCACCATGTTCGGCCACTGGATCGACGAGCAGAAGCTTGTCCATGAGTATTCTGGCGGGTATCTTCACAACATTGCCATGGAAAAGATGCCTGGGATTCCCGCACACGAATATCGCGACCTGGGGAGGGATGAACAGGAACTCATCAAGGCGGCACTCATTTCCATGCTCGGTAGGTTATTTTTCGGTTATCCAGATCGCACTTTGTGCCATAATACAGCAATGCCAGGACCTTTCCCTAATTATGAATACTTATAATCATGTTATAGGAAAATTCACGGACATATGTGGATGGGCGATCGATGAAGGATTCCCTGATAAGGTGATTTATGATCGACGGACAAAGACAGTGTACGTGGATGATGCTACACTATCACAAATTTATCCTTGGTGCAGCTGACTGATATATGCACGTGTAGATCGCTAGTCTTTCTGGCACACAGCGAAAAGCTAGACCCCGGCGACACCGAAGACCTATTTACGACGAGAGGTCCATTCGTGGGTTTGGCCAGAATATTTGGTGGGTGTGAGATCCTCCAGCCAGGGTATCTCGAGGCGGGTCGGGGGTCTACTGATAGGATGATGGTTACTTTTGTTTCCACGAGGTTGTTTGCTTGGCTGGGAGATCATTGATAGTCAGGGACCAGTTGGGACCCCTGCGTGAAATGATGTCAGCGGGGTGGTGCCTGAGGTTAGTTAGCGTGGGGTGACTGCCCCCGCGGTCCTACCCGTCCCACAGCCGACTCCCTCTCCTCTTTTCTTCTCTTCGCTTCTCTTCTCCTCCCCTCTGCCCTCCTTGCAGGCCAAAGCCACTCACACAGCCAATATCAGTCCTCCATCATGCCATGGAAGAGCTCCATTAATATGTGGAACTTCGCCTGTCTCTTGCCAATACCTGGCGCGGCCCTTGACCGTTAGGCCCATGTCAGGCCCATCCAATCAAGAGCCCTGACTGCCGGCATGCGGTGCCTCTAAAAAATCACTATTGATGCTCTATCGGGCAATGTCGTCACACCGAATCAGACGATGTCTCCGGAGACTTGCCGGGCAGATACCCGGGCAAGGGGTGGGAAGACTGCCGGGCAACCCGAAGCCATACGCAGTCGTGAAGAATCCCGCCATTTGGAGACCACTTCTCCAGACTAGTCCCTCCCCGCACCCCACACTATCTCCAGTTTTCCACGCTTGCGGAACAGTCTTTACCCTTGCCCGTTTGCTTAAATACCCGATCAAGCATGAGGTTTTTTTGGGCAGCATCCGAGTTTCCTTGCCGTCAATATGTGGGGTCGTACGATTTTTGCAGCCTTGGCTTTACTCTCTGGCTGTGTGCCGGCTGAGGCCAGCCTCACCATTCTCTTCCAAAACGATGGCAACTGGACAACGCATGCCCAGACACCCAGTGCTCTCTTTGTTGATGATGCCTTGAGCTACCAGGCTGCCCAAGCCACCTGTGCGCACTACAATGAAACACTGCTCAGCTGCAAGGACTACGCGGACTTCCACTACTCCTTCACCTACCAGCAGCATTTGCAGAACATCAGCCCTGATCAACTTTTCTGGTCCTCCTGCAGCTCGGATCGCCCGACAACTTGGGATGGAGAGGTTTCTAGCACCTCGTCTTCTGCTTCCCTCCCGTTCCTCTGCTCCAACTCCGCGCCTTTCGTGGAAGAAGTCGCAACCGACTACTCGGTATTTCCGCGGGTCAACGCCAGTGCCAATGGCGTGACATTCGAGGGTTTGCGCGACCACATGGCATTCCGGTTCATGGGAATCCCGTTTGCCCAGCCTCCTGTGGGTGATCTGCGTTTCAAGTATGCACAGGAATGGACCGGCTCTTATGTCAATGCCACCAAATATGGTCCCGCTTGTATGCAGACCGGCTGGTACGATGGAAACAGCTATGGCCTCAATCCTTGGGGCAACAGCGAGGACTGTCTACATCTAAATGTGTATACCCCCTCTCTCCCATCGTCGGGAAGTTCACGCAGACCTGTCATGCTTTGGATCCATGGGGGTGGTCAGGCCCAGGGAACAGGCGCCGACTCCACATTCGATGGTGACAGTTTCGTTAGCCGTAACGACGTGGTTCTCGTTACCATCAACTACCGATTAAACATCTTCGGATATCTCAGTCTGGATGACGACGTGGTTCCGGGCAACTGCCAGCTCACGGACAAAATTGAGGCGCTCAAATGGGTTCAGAAATACATCACGGCCTTTGGGGGCGACCCTGAGAATGTCACGGTTTTCGGCCAGTCTGCCGGAGCTTCGTCCGTCATCGACCTTCTCACGACTCCCAAGGCTAATGGGCTCTTCCAGAATGCCATTGCACAGTCCATCGCAGGCCACGTGGAAACCTCCAATGCGTCAGCCGCTGCCATCCTGCCGTCTATTCAGCCATTGTGCAACAGCACCGGCACGGAGCGTCTGAGATGTTTGCAGTCTCTTTCTGCTGAGACCCTCCTCAACATCAGTTCTGTCGCGACCTGGGACACTGTGATCGACGGGATCTATATTCTGGACTACCCTGTTGCCCAGGTTGCGAAGGCCGTTATCAACAAGGTGAACTTCCTGACTGGCTACATGCCGGAAGAGGCGCAATCGATCCTCCAAACCACCATCTCCCCCAATGCCACCAGCTTCAATGCCTCCCTTCAGACGCTGGTCGGCACCGACTCCATCACCGAAGCTCAAGTCCAGGCGATATTCTCCTCGCAGCTATGGGCCAAGTACGACAGCCCTTACAATGCCACCGTGCATGTCGACTCGCCAGCTGGAATGACCTGCTACTCGAAGGAATTCGCCGAGGCAGGTGCTGCCTCCCACGCCTACAAGAGCCTCTACGTCTATCTCCACCAACGTGCCTACGGACTCAATTACTACGACTGGTACGACCTGTGCACTTACCCCGTCGGCGAGCCCGACACGCCGTACTACCGCTGTCACTCCGGAGATCTCTACGAGGTCTTTGGAACATACTACTTATTTGACCAGCCCGTCCGCAGCAACGAGGACATCTACTATACCAACATGGTGCAGGATATGTGGGCCTCGTTCGCTCGCTCGGGCAATCCCAATGTCGAGAGCAGCTACCTCCGTGCCCGAGGATACTCCAGCACACTCCAGTTGACATCCAGATGGAACTGGGTGGAGTACACGCCGAATAGCGCTAAGGTGGCTAACCTTCAGTATCCCCAGCCTTCCTTATCGACGTTGCCATACTTGGAGGAATGTACTGTCTTGGGCCTTGATCACACCAACTAAGTAATTGGGGAGTTTACTGTAGCCGACAATCACAGCATACCATCAGACCGATCGATTCAGCGGGTGTCTAGCTTCAGCTGCGACCTCCGGGATCAATATCAGACTGTTTGTTCCCGCTGTCATTCCGTTCATGGTTAACAGACCCGGAAGTAATTAGAATAGAACTGACCACCGTGTCCTAGATATGTGAGAATGAGTTAAATGAATCCACTACTTACTGTTTCAGCGATGGTATTGCTTCCATCTCGCCCGTGCGGTTCCCAGAGACCCGGGTGCAAGCTACGCTCTACGTCTTCGGGCGAATATCCCTCACACTCCAGGCTGGATTTAATGTTGGACCGGAAGTTTCTGCCCTGATTAATGGTAAAAGTAAACCACATGTCTCATGTCTGCTGCGGGGTATGCATCCCAGGAATGCGGGCTCGACTCACCGACTTTCATCATTGTTATTTGGCTGGGTCTTCTCGTCTATGCAATATGCAAGCAACTCTGGCTAGTCCAAGAGAAATCCTGATCTATACCCAGTTTGGATGCTCCAGGGGGCCTTACAAACTCGCCACCACCACTGGTACTCCTTGGAATGGCGCGGAACAACCCATGCATCATCTCATGATTTCCACCATCCACGGGCTCTCCATTTTAGTATCTGTTAGTGCTCACTACTATCTATCGTCCAATCTGGTGTGTCTATCTACCCAAGACAGCCAGGATGAAGATCCTGCATTCCCCGAGGATCCCCCGCCCGTCTAAGATTGCAGGAATCGCGCGGCAAGCCCCGTCAGCCCAACCATGCAGGATTTCTTTCTGGGGTACGATCACTGATTCTCGGGTGTGGCTTTATCAACAAGGCTCTACAGTTATCCGCCATGGCCCTTTCAATGGCGATACCAACCCTCCCACGTGTCATATTATGCCTAGTTCTACATGCAACTCGTGCCAATCGTGCTGCTTGCGATGCCTTGCTTTGCATAATTCGCGATACGGGACCTTCCCCAGCAGTACACTCTCGCTGGCGATGCGCTCAGGCCTTTGGGGACGTCTATTGTTCACGCGGTCGAGTTAGGGCCGTCTGCTCGCCCGACACAAGAGTCCACGATCCCCTGACGATGCTGCGAGGGGCTCTCAGTCTCTTGAACACACTCTCTCAAAAATGCAGGCCCCTATGGCGGTAGCGCCCCTTCTCAGTATCTTACCCGAGGCTAACTTCGCTACCTTTTCTTCTGACGTCTGCGTATGTCGCTCTGGCCGATTCAAACACAGCGAGGCTATCTAACATTATCTGTCCAGTGCGCGGCCCTTCAGGCGACTTCCCTCCGCGATCAGGTCCTCTACCCCTTCAGTGCCGGATACAACGAGTCAGCGACATCGTACTTCGCGACGAACGCGCAACTCAGCCCCTGGTGCATCGTCCAGCCATACTCCGCAGAGGATGTCTCGATCGCAGTCTCCACTCTCGTCCAGGCCGACGAGTCCCAGTGCAGGTTCGCCGTGCGCAGCGGCGGCCATACCCCCGGGGCTGGCGTAGCCAACATCGAGCAGGGCATCACCATTGATCTGTCCATGATGAATAGCACGACCTACCACGAGGACAAGGGCATTGCGTCGATTTTGCCTGGCGCGCGCTGGGAATCAGTCTATACGGCTCTCGACCCCTACGGAGTCACTGTACCTGGCGGTCGGTCTGGAAAGGTCGGCGTAGGCGGATTCCTCCTTGGAGGTAAGATCCTCCACCCACCAACCCAACCTAAACCTAACCCCCCCCAGGCGGAAACTCATTCTACACCGCACGCGTCGGCTTCGCCTGCGACAACGTTGAGAACTTCGAGATCGTGCTCGCGAGCGGCTCCATCATCAACGCCAACCGAACCAGCCATCCGGATCTCCACAAGGCCCTGAAAGGCGGCTCGAACAACTTCGGCGTCGTCACCAGATTCGATCTGAAAACCCTCCCGCTCGATCTCCTCTGGGGGGGCCTAGTCGTCTACGACAACTCCACCACCGCGCAGCAGATCGCCGCTGCCGTCGACTTCACCGATAACCTCCACACCGACCCCTACGCTCACTGGATCGGCACATGGCGGTATAGTTCGGACACAGACGCGAATATCATCGCCCATGCCCTCGAATATACCAAGCCCGTCCCGAATGCGCCTCCCTTCCGCGAGTTCGCGAAAATTGCCAATATCTCGGATACCACGCGCTTGGATACTATCGGTAATTTGGCTGCGGAGTTGGATCTGCCCCAGGGATATCGGTAATCACCCCCTTCTAGCCTCCCTCTCTCCCTCCAGCACATTACACATGACATTGCATAGGTGGATGGATGGATGGATGGAGGTGCAGATACTAATCAAATATCCAACCCCAGCAACATCTTCACGACAGGCACATACCTCAACAACCCCCAAGTCCTCGAAAAGGCCATCGCCCTGCACAACGCCAACATCGAAAAAGCCAAGGCCAGCGCAAAATCCGCCTCCTGGAACATGAATATCCTCATCCAACCCTGGCCGAAGCTCTTCTGGGAGCACAGTCAAGCAAAAGGTGGTAATGTTCTTGGTTTGGATCGGTTCGATGAGAATCTCGTTCGTGAGTATTCCCCACCCCAACCGCAACAACAACAACAACAACAACAACAACAACAACAACAACAACAGCAGCAGCAGCAGCAGCAGCAGCAGCATGGAACCCTAATTCCACCCTCCTGCCCTGCCCACTCCTACCCCACCCTATCCTCCCAATTCCTTTGATTATAATCGTCATCATCACCACTCCTCAATCACCATACTTTATATGATACGCGATACCTAACACAATCAACTATATAACTATAGAACTCCTCTTCTACTACACCTGGGCCCACCCCACCGACGACCCCCTCTTCCAACCCCTCGCCACAACCATCCTGTCCGACCTAAACGCCCACGCACAATCCCTCGCCGCACACAACGAATTCATCTACCTCGATTACGCAGATACATCGCAGGATCCCCTGGCCGGCTACGGGGAGGATAATGGGCGGTTTTTGAGAAAAGTCGCCCAGAAGTTTGATCCCCATGCGGTGTTTCAGGAGAGAGTGCCGGGGTTTAAACTTGGGTAGGTAGGTTTGGGGTTTAGGTTTAGGTTTAGGTTTAGGGTTGGTTGGGGGGTGAGGTTGTACCTTCTTGCACGTCTGTATAGCTGTGATGTTGTATTGGCTGGTTGAGCTGGGAGTGGAGAGGGGGTGAGTAAATGAGTAAGTGTGAGTGAGGGCTATGGAATGCGAATTGGCAATACGATGTAGTATTTGGAAGGGGTTCATTCTTCCGTGTAGATCAGAGGGTGAGTAGGTAGGTAGGTAGGTAGGCAGCAAGGGTCGGTCATAGATCAAATGGATGATCATGAATCATGATCCTATAATATAAATACAGTGACATGAGGCAATTTACTATAATATACAATCCAGTCGATATGATACTCCATCCTTCTATCCTAAGTCCCAATATAATCAAATTGATGAAATGAGATGAATGCAAGACAAACATCCCATCATTCCTCAAGTCAAGAGTCAAGAGGCCCAACGCGAACCTCACCCCGTTTCCTCAACTCCTCCAGACCGCGCGCCCTGTCCTCCTCCGCGCGTCTTTCCTTCCTTTTCTTCGCGAACCGGTTCTTCCCCCCGAACTTCAGCTTCGTGATCAGATCCGCGGCCTGCCCGCGCGTCAGATCCCCCGACTTGATCAGCCCGTCCCGGATATTGGCCTTGTTCAGCATGGCGGTCTGCGCGTCGGTGGCGGGGCTGTGGCGCCAGGACTGTCGCGTGGAGATATATCGCTCATCGAACTCGGAGGCAGCGAAGGTGTCGGCGGCGCGGACGGCCGATTCGAAGTCTTCTGCTGTCGCGATGACCCGCGGACGGGTGTAATGGGCGAGGTCCATGAGGTCTCGGAATTTCGTGACCTGGCTGACGGTGTAGTGTGGCTGCGGGGGGTCTGGTTTCTTCTTCGTCTTGTACTTCCTCTTGGGGAGGAGGGGAGGGGAGGGGGGAGGGGAGGGGGAGTTCTCTTTTTCGAGGGCGAGCCAGCCGGTCGAGTCGGAGAGGACGTATTTGTGCTCGCCGACCCGGACCCAGGCGTACCGGCTGAGGGAGCGGATGTGTTTGTCAGTCTTCATGTCGTGGATGAGGTCGTGGATCGTGTCGTATTTGGTGAAGGTGATTTTGAGGTTCTCTGACGTTTCGGTATTGGCGGCGGTGGGCTCGAGGTTGGAGTCCGGGTCTGCTGAGTTGACGGGCACAACGTACTTCCTTCCTCGCAGATCTCGCGCGTGCTCTTCTTTCAGGATTTCGTCCGGGTGGAGTCCGAATAGCGTCGGGACGGAGAGGACCCCTGTTTCCAAGGTGGCTACCATGTCGATGATGTGACAATCCTTCTTGCCGGGATGGAGCCGGAGGCCTCGTCCGATCATCTGGGTGAGGAGGTTCCGGGACCGCGTGGGCCGCGCGAGCAGCACGCAGTCGATGTTCGGGATGTCGGTGCCTTCCGTGAAGAGCCCGCAGTTCAAAAGCACGGCGTACTCCTGGTTCCTAAATGCGCGCAGCTGCTCATCTCGCTTTTCCCTCGGTGTCTTGGCTGTGATGTACCGGGCGTCAATACCTACAGCGCGAAACGCCTCGGTAAGCTGTTTGGTGTGCTCGACGTCGACGCAGAACACCAGGGTGGACTTTCGCTCACGTGCGTTGGCCAGCCATGCACGCACGGTGATATCGTTGGTTTGCGTTGTGTTGACAGCCTCGGAAAGAGAGCCTAAGGCGAAGTCGCCAAACCTGTCCTTCTTGACCTTGGAGAGATTTGCTTGGGACCGGACGGTAGTGAAAACGGCGTTGGAAAGCCATTTCTCGTCAATCATGTCCATGTAGTCCTTGTGATACACGATGTGGTCGATTGCAGCCCCCAACTTGAGCCCGTCGAAGCGCGAGAATGTGGCGGATACCCCGACGAGGGCAGGAGAGTTGGGCGATGGCTCGTTCAGATCAAAATGCGCCAATGCGACGCGATAGCTTGGCGCGACGATGTGATGCGCCTCGTCCACCAGGATTAGTTTGAACCGCTTTGGGTCGAACTTTTCGATTCGATCCTTCGAGGTGAGGCTCCGTATGGAGGCAATGATGATGTCCCCTGACCCCGTCGCGACAGTGTTCCCCATTTCGATCTCGACGGTCCGATCGGGGTAGGCCAGACGGCAATGCCGAGCAGCTTGCTCGACCAGCTCCCTCCGATGCACGATTATCATCGTCTTGTCGTGGCCATTGCGCGGTGGTATTCGTCCGATCAGCTGTGTGAAGACGACCTGGCCGAAAAACCGTCTTTGTCAGTCCTGAGCGATCCCCGCACGTGTCGGATTGTACATACCGTTTTTCCCGCACCTGTCGCCAGTGAGACCCCCAGTCGCTTATGTCCCTGTCTCAGACTGCCCAGCACCGACTGAATGCAATCTTCCTGGTAGTCTCGGAGGACTATCGCAGGCGGCTCCGGCGACTCGTTGGGGGATGCGCCAACCGCCTGGAGGGGGGCTGTGGAATTGAAGCGTGCGCGTGGAGGCCTGATCGACGTGCGAGGCTTCCACGCACCTCGCAGAGCCCTGAGGGCTATCGAGACGGGAAATAGGCCCAGACTTTGGCGCATACGGTCCATTCAGAGGCCATGGAGGCATGGAAGAAGCAGCGGAGAAAAGAGGAAGTTGCGGCGGCGGAGGCAGACGGCGGGGAAGCAAACACGGCAAACACCGCCTCGTCGGCCCAGAAATCTTTCGGCAGAACCCAAAAAGTTGACGAGTCACTCCGGAACCACCTCTCGACCCTGCCCTCATTTGACGCCGTCGCAATGCTCTCTTGATCGTCCGTCCGGACTGTGAGACTCCGGGGGAATGAGTTCGTCATCTTCCCCAATCCCCACGCCTGCGGTGCGGTTGCCTCTCGGCCTTCCGACTATTCGACCATGAGCAGCCCAATCCTCTACGAAATAGAAGACGACGACGACAACGACGACGCGGATTTCCAACTCGATCTTGAACACGCGCAAACCGACGGCTCCTTATCTGACGCTCCACTGGACGATGCGAATCCATCTCTTTCAGACACGGAACCATCGCAAACCATACGCACAGCTAGGAGGGGCATCACGCGGGACCTGGAGCTCCACGATCTAAAGTTGGCGTTCGCCAGGAAATCAATCGATGCATACGCCGATATACTTTCAAAGACCATTGAGGGTCATGCGCCTGTTGTGGTGAACGCCGGGGGGGATAACTACAATGCCACGCAGGATGGGGTCGTAACGTGGACTCCAAAAGAGAAAGAAGCGCTTTACAACGCGCTGGACAGAAAGGGCAGAGACGGGATTCCGGAAATCTCCCGTCAAATCGGCACCAAGTCCGAGCTCGAGGTCCAGGAGCATTTGAGACTGCTCCACAAGGGCCTGGAAAGACAGCATCTGCAGGAGCGCCATACCAGAACGATTGTCCTCGGGGATGTCCCCGCCGCCGCTGAAATCAGCAGCAGGTGCTGTGATGCGCTCGATACACACGCCAAGATAGCTGCGTTGCAGGAACAAGAGACACACGATGCTGTGGGGAAACAGAAGCATCAGGACCTGTGGATCATCGATGAGAGAATCGCAAAAGACCTGGGCCATCAGACCAAAGCGCATGGTGTGGACCCCAGTGCCAGGTCAAGCGCACACGTCACCGCTGGCTTACTCAACATGAAGAACTGGATACGACTTTCGGATCGCTGCTTCATGAATTTCGGCGGTGCACGGCTGGAAGACAACTGGGTCAATGTGGCCTATGCTGGTGAGACACCATCCATGACCGCGGATGCCTTTGCAGACTTTTATGCATTGACGGTCAGCATCACGCGCCGTCTGGTCCAATCTGCGCTGTTCTTCGCTTCGTCACGACTGCGGAATATGAGAGAAACCGGCCGTCACAAGGCAAACGTGGTAAAAGCCCGCGATGTCGAAACTGCGCTAAACGTGCTCAACATGGAACGAGATGGCTCGGACTTCTGGGTCGGGGTGGCGCGGAGGTTTTGCCTGAAGGTTAAGGATTATCGCCATCGAAAGGGATGGGATGCGGTTGACCTGGAGTATGATGAAGTGGAGGAGATTTTATCTGGGATAATAACCTTCGACCCAGAGACAGGTGAAAGAAGCATCTCTCCGAAACGCTCCCTGAGCCGCGCGCCGGAAGATGCGGAAGAAACAGCATACAGCAGTGACAACGAATCCAAGATGCCGTCCCCGCCCTCCTCGCCGCTCTCCTCACCTATTGTGTCGGGGGATGAACAGAAACAATCTCTGGTCACGGAAGACGATCATGCCGAATTTGTTGACCAGAAGATGAGCCAGCTTGAGGAAGCAGAACTGTGGACGTTAATTGGACAGTCTCCACCTCGGAGTCTCGCGGCGGACATTCGCAAGAGCGAGTCGCAGGATTCCCATCAGAAGAAGCCGATTGGCGAGCGGAAAACGAAAGAGGAGATGGCCGACTGGCGCGACAGGATATTCCACCGGACTGAATGGGAAGAGTACGGGTCCGGATTAGCGGACCTTGACGAAGATCTCTCGGGGCACCGGCAGAAACGACGACGTCTTGGTCAAGACAGCTCGCGGTTCGTCTCGGTGGGCCATGGAAAGGCCTCTGGCTCCGCTGCTGAGCGGAATAGCTCGGTGGTCTTGGCGCATGATGAAGAGGAGTTTGACTCTGCTGCTGAGCAGATTGACAGTCCTGGTGCACATCGTCCAGTTCTCGATCGGGCGATGTCCGTGGCGGAAACGATCCCAGAGAGATATTCTATACAACCTGGCACTCCGGAAGACGAGGAGTTTCACTCCGCCGCTGAGCAGGCCGACGGTCCGGCCCATCACCATAGACATTCATCAGAGTTGGTGGACGAAGTAGACGCGGACTCCCACTCCACTGCTTCGCAGACCGACAGTCCGTCCCACCACGATAGACATTCATCAGAGTTGATGGACGAAGTGGAGGCGGGCTCCGATTCCGCTGCGTCGCAGACCAGCCGTCCTAGCACCGACCACGATTCCCCCGACGAGTGGAACGAGGATGCAATGTCAGTGGACGAACCCACCCCAGCGAGGCATTCAATCCAAGCCACCCCCGAGGAATCCCAGCGCGACGAAAGTCCCACGTCCGAACTTGCATCCCGACTGATCCGCCATCTCGAGGATGGGCAGTCGGGTTCCTGGCGCACGCCACGCTACGCGGACGAAGACACAGACTCCGAAGTGATATCCACCCCAACCAGGACTATGACTAGAAGACGGAGTGTTCGCCTCGCCAATAAAGCGTCCTCCGTCTCAGCCAATAGTCCCTCCAAGCGAGCGCGTTCTGACTCCGACGAGGACTACGAAGATGAGGTGCCCTCCTATTCCCACGGCGTCAGCCCGCTTTTGGCGTCCGACGCGTCCGATTAAGGCGCCGCGCCACGGCTCGAATAGTCCGATTGGGCTCTGCTGTCGATGTGCTGTCACTCAGCCCTCTACTTACGTCTTTCTCGATATAAGATTGGAGTGCGAGATCGGGGGCTACAAATTTATATGAATCCCTGGTGAGGTTTTTTATTTTGTTGTATATATTGGTTTTTTTTTTCAGAGATACCTGTTTTGGATATTATATGATATGATATTTTGCATTTGCCCATGGCATAGCGCCTAGTCCCTTCAATTGGAGCTAATTGTGAAATGTCTTCCGGGATGTAGCCTGACAAACAAGACGAGTAGGTCTATAGCTAGATACTAGATATGCATGCCCATTTCGATCCAGTTCAATTCGGTGGAATGCGATTCGATGGCAATGTCAACGGCAATGTCAACAACAATTCCTGCCAAAAATCAAAAACGTAAAGGGCCGAACGCGATTTGAACGCGTGACCATAAGATCTGCAGTCCCACACTCTACCCCTGAGTTACCGACCCTTTGGCGATATCCGGCGCCGGGATTTTGGCACTGTGTGTCTGGGGGAGTGGTCGGGGTGATGGAGATTGTACCAACGGGCATTATCATTATTTGACGGGGTTGTTGCACCTGCATTTTGGGGGGGGTCTAAAAATTGACGTTATAGGGTTAAGATGACATGCGCAGGAAATAAATACTTACTAGGTTCGAACACGTTGTGTGTCTGGTGGTGGAGTGGGTACAAGGTACAGATATTGGGAAGGTATAGATGTGAATATCCGGGTCCATCGCAAGAAATGACAGAGTGATTTGATTGATTAACTCGTTAGGAGCAGAAAGAAGGAAAAGACAAAGAGGAGAAGAAAAGAAGTGTTGACAGAACTGAGAGCAAAAATCAAAAGATTAAAAAAAGCTAGGGCCGAACGAGGATCGAACTCGTGACCTAAGGATCTGCAATCCCTCGCTCATACCACTGAGCTATCGACCCGTCTTCGCTTGTAATTGAGTTTTGGTTAATGGTCTATAAGGAAGTCTTTATACTAGACTGACGTAAGCCCCGTGCTGGCCTTTTATTGGGTTGTGGATGTTCACGGGTTTTACCTGCGTTTTTTGCATTTTCCTTGGTAGATTTGGGGCTCGGCTGGTTTTGCTTATACAGTAGGGTAGGTGTGGGTAGTTGAGGACTTGATGTTGGGTGGTTTTCTTCTGACGGTTGTGTGTTTGAAGGGTGGGGGTGGCTGCGGATAGTATATATACTTCGATTCTGGGAATGTAGTCAATGCGATTTTAATAAAAACCTCGATGGGAGAATTATCATGGGATTGCTGCTCTTTATGAAAATGATCAATAATCATGCCTTTCTGTAGCAGTGAACAGCCAACAATGACAACATAATTTAGATCAGAATGAGCATGGTGAGATACTAACACACCACCTTGAAAATGCCACAGAGTGAAGGCATCGCAAGATTTGACCTCGACTACTGGATATCCTGGATTTATTCAAACATGCACTGTCTACCTTCTTATACTGCTCGTGCTTTGTCACGTCTAACCTTTCTAGTATTCTTATGTCTAGATATAAGGAGATAATCAATCTATCATGTTTTATTCACAGATAGTATAAGAACGCAGCATGTCTTTATATGATGAAAGAATTATCTATACACAGCTAGCCCGGGCTCCATCAGCCTCCGACCTAAACTGTAAAACACACACACCCCCCAGCCTAGCGCCCTGCAGTAAGTGTAAGCAGGAACACAAAAATTCAGTGACACCCACAGCATTCTATAAAACACCAAACTATAACTTTATCCTACCTGATATGACCCTGACCGACCAGATGACCCGGAAAGCTCAATCTGACATTGCCGTGCAGGATGTATTATTATCCCAATTTATCACCCCACTCCGACGGGTGTCCTCGACGGGTAAATAATCCACGGAGCCACGCAGGCCATCGCATTCGATCAACTTCCAATGCTGACCAAGATAGTCGGAAGCTATCTTGCACTTGCTCGTTTCGGCAGGGCGAGCTTAATGAAGTCCAATCGGGTGGCTTCTACAGATAGCAGACCCTGATAGTTAACTAGTTATAGGGATATTTGTCAGCGGAAGATGGTGTGATCCCAAGCCCCGAGTGCGAGCCGATCGTAGTTGTGGTTTCTAAGCAACTGTACTAGTAATTAGGTCGAAGTGCTGTGTCGGTGTCGTAGGCATGATAGGTGATAACACCAGACGTGATGGTTGGGAGTATATCGACTCGTGGGGTTGGTATATATATCTACCCCGTCCGCAGTTCGATGAGATATCCTAACCATCAAGCCATCCATACTATTTACTGGCAATCCAAATACGTCTCTCGCGGAATTACTTGAAGAGATGTCCCTCAAACCGATCATCCTCCATGGAAGCCTCATCGGCGCCAATCCCTGGAAGGTTGCAATGATCATCAACGAGCTCGAAGTCCCATACGAGATCAACTCGTTCCCGTTCTCCGAAATCAAGAAGGAGCCCTATATCTCGCTCAACCCCAACGGCCGGACCCCCGCCATCGAGGACCCCAACACCGGAATCATCCTATGGGAATCGGGCGCCATCATCGAATACCTGGTCGAAACATACGACAAGGAGCACAAGATCAGCTTCCAGGCCGGCACCCCCGAATACTACCACGCCAAGCAGTACCTCTACTTCCAGGTCAGCGGCCAGGGCCCTTATTTCGGGCAGTCCATCTGGTTCCGCGAGTTCCACCCCGAGAAGATTGCCAGCGCCCAGGAAAGATACAAGAACGAGGCCCTCCGCGTGTCAGGCGTGCTAAATGGCATCCTCAAGGACCGGGAGTACCTGGTGGGTGGGAAATACACCTATGCGGACGGCTCGTTTGTGGCCTGGTATGAGGCTTGGGGGCGTATCGTCGGCGACGGGGTCGATATGGAGCAGGAATTCCCGAACCTCCACGCTTGGCTGAAGAGACTCCGGGAGAGACCGGCCATTGTGAAGGCTATCCAGGCCAGGGCGGAGGAGTGTGTGCGCCTGCCCTGAGCTTGAGTTGTACCCGATCATACATAGTACATGGATGTTGGGCTTTGGCGTATACATTGAAATATATAATAAATTGATGTCGTTTGTTCCTTGTTAGTATGAGGATCTAGATAGAGATAGTAGGATATATGCCACTTGTGATCTGGAGCTTCTAGTGGTGTTAGAGGAGTTGAGTTGTATAGACGTTGTAGAGAGAAGGAGAGAGGAGGAGAGAGGAGGAGAAACGGACCGATGGGGAAGGAGGCGATCCCAGATAGCCGCTAGTCCACAGACGGCTAGCGCGGCAGAAAGGGCTTGGCGCGAGGATTTGGAGTTTGGAGGGCGGAAGACGGGAGAGTGAGAGCGTGTCGTCGCGACAGCTGCTCTGCTTCCCAAGCCACCCTCTCTTTCCTCATCGCTCGTCGCTGTCCGGTGGAGTCTTCCACTCCCCCTCCCCCCCCAATCCCCCTCATTCATCTTGGATATCCTGCCTACTTCTTACCTTCTACCCCACCGTCAATTAGTGGGTTCTATCTGCGCCTTGTCGACCCTCTCTTCTGACCAGAGCCAAGGTCCCTTGCTCTCTGCTACTTGCGACTTCAGCTTTCCATCGCCCATCATCGAATCGACAGGATGGATGACAATCCTGCTGTGTCCGGTGGCGCCGCTGAAGATTATCAGACCGGTGCCGCCCAAGATGCCCCTGGGGATGTGATCACTGCTTCCGGTGCGTTCTACTCTGCCCTCCCTCCGTCCGTCAGGGACTGGAATCCGCCAACATTCGCAACCATCAAACCCGGAATCGCAATCACAGCCGCACCAGCAATCCTTGAGCAAGAAGAATAACCCTGTTCCAGAGACTGATAACCCGCTAGATGCCCCCGCCTCACCAAAGCCCGATGGCGAACCCGCAGATGAAGAGATGGGCGGCACGGAGACGGAGGCGAAGAAGGAAATCGACGGAGGCGACGAACTGGCCGACGTCGCCGCGGAGGGTGGTGCGGACGAGCAACCCGCGCAGGGCAAGGCCGCCGCGGAGTCTTCTGCACGGTCACACCTCGTTTCGCAAACCCACGCCATCATCCTTCCCAGCTACTCGACCTGGTTTGACATGCACCTGGTTCACCCGATCGAGAAGAAAGCTCTGGCGGAGTTCTTCAATGGCCGGAACCGCAGCAAGACCCCCGCTGTCTACAAGGACTACCGCGATTTCATGATCAACACCTACCGCTTGAACCCGATCGAGTATCTGACCGTCACCGCATGCCGTCGCAACCTGGCCGGAGACGTGTGTGCGATCATGCGGGTGCATTCTTTCCTGGAGCAATGGGGTCTCATCAACTACCAGGTACGTATCTGATGGGACGGGAATCATAGGCCCGGTTACTAATGCCTTCAAGGTGGATCCTCAAACGCGCCCGTCAAACATCGGTCCCCCGTTCACTGGCCACTTCCGAGTGATTGCCGATACCCCGAGAGGCCTTCAGCCATTCCAGCCCGGACCCAACCACCTCGTCAAGCCCGGCAAGCCGTTGCCAGCAACTGACCGTGCGGCCTCGGCCACTCCGGCCACCAAGGCTGACCTGAACCTCGAGATCCGTCGTAATGTGTACGATGATAAGGGCAAGGAGATCACGCCTGCCACCGAGGACAAGGAGAAGCAGACCAACGGTGAAGGCTCGACAGCAAATGGCACCAGTGGGGACTCGGCCAAAGCGATCGAGACTGCCTCCAAGGAGCCCAGAAAGAAGTCCCACTGCTTCTCCTGTGGCATCGATTGCACGCGTCTCCGATTCCACTACGCAAAGACCACCCCGGCCACCGCCAACCCGGCTGCACCGGACTCGAAATATGACCTCTGCCCCAACTGTTTCCTGCAGGGCCGGATGCCTTCCAACCACAACGCCTCGGACTTTGTCAAGCTCGAAGAAAGCCCGTATAACATCACCGCCGACAAGGATGCCCCGTGGTCCGACTCGGAGCTCGTCTTGCTGCTGGAGGGCCTGGAGAACTTCGACGACAACTGGGAGCAGATCGCGGAACACGTCGGCACCCGGACGAAGGAGGAGTGTGTGATGAAATTCTTGCAGCTGGAGATCGAAGACAAGTACCTGGACGAGATGCCCGAGATGCGGGCGTCGGGTGGGCGCGACCCCATCAGCCAGGCCGAGAACCCGGTCCTGTCCGTGGTCGCATTCCTGGCTCAGATGGCCGAGCCCGCCGTGGCTGCCGCCGCCGCCGGTCGCTCCGTGGGGGAGATCCGTAAGGAGCTTCGGAAGCAGCTGGAGAAGGGCTCCGACAAGGCCCAGGAGAAGGGCAAGGAGCGGGAAGGCACTGCGGTCAAGGCCGAGGACTCCATGGAGATGGACGAAGCCTCGGAGCAAGCAGTGTCGGTGGCCGACCCCGAGAAGCAAGGCAAGGCATCCCTCCCCACCGTGGCTCTGGCCGCGTCTGCCGCCCGTGCCGGAGCGCTCGCCTCGCACGAAGAGCGGGAGATGACTCGCCTGGTGTCGGCGGCCGTCAACGTGACGCTGCAGAAGTTCGAGATCAAGCTGCAGCAGTTCAACGAGATGGAGGAGATCATCGAAGCCGAACGCCGCGAGCTCGAGCTGGCCCGCCAGCAGCTCTTCCTGGACCGGATGGCCTTCAAGAAGCGGGTCAAGGAGGTGCAGGACACTCTGCAGAGCGTGAGCCTCCGGGGCCCCGGCGAGGAGACCAACGGCCTGCTTGCCGACGCCGCCACGACCGGGCTCGGCAATCGATACAACTTCCAGCCCGCGGGCGGGGATGCGCGAGAGATGCAGCCGTTGAGTGCCGATGCGGGCGCCGACTACAAGGCGTTGGACCTGTAATGATCTAACCTTTCTAACGACCGGATCGGGAATTAAGTGTGGGGGGGGGTGCGTTTCATAATATCCATTGTTGTATTGTACAATATCATATCATATCTAGGGCGAGAAGCAGAAGCAGAGGCCGAAGCCGGAGGAGGGAACGTCAGTCCACGACACTGACTGGACGAGGTTACGGTAGAGACAGACCATTTGAGTGATGGATGATGGATGATGGGTTTGGTTTCTTTTTTTTCTTTTTTTTTTTTTCTTTTTTTCTTTTTTCTGTCTTTTTATTTTCTTTCTCTTCGATTGCCAGTCAGCTAGGTAGGAAAAGGCGCAATGTTTTGGAGTTCAGAGCTAGTCAGTCGTGCCTACTACAAATCAGTGAAATGTTCATTCTTGTTTTCCTTGGGGGTGATCGATAGTAGTATACATATAGTACCTATGGAGTGATTAAGTACTGTATATTGTCTTCAGTCAACCACCCAGTGCTACTGTACCTACCTACTTAGTGAATGCCATGGCAGTATGTAGTAGTTATCTAGGTAGGTAGTAGGTAAGTAAGTAAAAGGAAGGTTCCGAGTCAATTGATCAATCACATCCCACCTCACCTTTTTATAGTATTACTTAGTTTAGTACAAAGATACCTACGGGCTAGACATGGATCCAGCTTCTCCAGATCACAGGCTCAGCCGCAAGCCAGAATCAGAAACAGAAAGGAAGCGAACAATACATCTCCCTCCATGGCATTTACCTACCTACCTATCTACCTAAGGTAGTTACCTATAGTTAACTACCTCCCGTATGATGACTATGAATGTGATATGATGCATCACATCAAATTAATACCTATTGCCTGAACCCTCATCTCCTCTCATCTCATCTCATTTCATACCTTACCATACATACATACGACGTGCGAGAATAGTAACTAGGCACCGACAACTGACTTGATAAGTAAGTACTCCGTAGTAGCACCGGTATAGTATACAAGTATAGTATAGTACTATAGTATAGTAGGGTTCCACCCGACCCGGGGTATGACGCACGCCCGTATAGTTAGTTAGTTAGACAGACTACTACGTACTTATGTATAGTACTATAGATAGATATAGTACCTACGGTACTACTGACAGCCTGGGAGGAATTATTCAGACTTTCGGCGCGTTTTGAGTCGCGTTGTTTTGTTTTGGCTTGGCTTGGGGTTTTGATTTTTGTGGCTCCGTCTTTTTTATCTTTTCATCTTTTTCATCTGTTGACGCTTTCGTCTTTCTTCTTTCTGTTGATCCATCATGCATTCATTCATTCATCCAAAACAAAACCGCTATATACAGAGTACACACGGTGCATATATCCATCCATCCATCCATCCATACAGCAACCATGCCCTCCGCAAAGAGAAAATCCACCACCACCACCACCACCAACATCCTCCCACCACCAGCTCCCACACCGACGGGCCCTGGCATCGATAAAGAGAACTACCTAACCTTCACCACATCCACATCCACATCCATGCCAATGCCCATCCCCATCCCCCCCCATCTACATCTACATATACACCTACATCTCCATCTCCATCCACCACATCCCTGAAAACCTGCGACCAAGTCCGCGCCGAAATTCGCGCGTTCATCGCCTCTGGGGCCATGAAACCCGCCGACTTCCAGCGCGCCATTGGTGTGTCGGTCCGCTCGTATACCGAGTTTTTGAACCAGCAGGGCGAGAGGAAGGGGGCGAGGTCGGCGACGTTTCTTGCGGCGAGGGGGTTTTTTGTGCAGTTGGGGAGGGGGCAGGGTGGGATGTTGCAGCAACAGCAGCAGCACGGTTTGGTTACGGGGGGTGGTTTGGGGGTTGGAGCTGGAGCTGGAGCTGGGGCTGGGGCTGGGGCTGTGCCGGCACCGCAGGGTGTTCCTGTTCCTGTTCCTGTTCCTGTTCCTGCTGCTGTTCCTGCTGCTGTGTCTGCTGCCCCTGCTACTGCCCCCCCAGCGAAGAGAGCCAAGAAGAACACTGCCGCCGCCGCCGGGCCAAACTTCGACGTATCCGAGATCCACCTGGACGGGGAGGAGACGATGCAGGTGCCGGTATTCGACACGTGCGACGTGGTGCGGCGGAAGATCAAGGCGCATATACGCAAGCAGGGGGTCACGCAGGCCCGGTTCCTTCGGGAAATAGCCCGAGCGGCGATCCCCGAGACGGGGAAGAAACTGAAGTCGAAGTCGCTGGCGGATTTCCTGTCGTACAAGGGCCCGACGACCGGCAGTGGGGGGATGACTTTCTACGCGGCGTACGTGTTCTTCGAGAAGCTGAGGGTGCGGGATGGAAAGCCCAAGAATGACTTCCGGCTGGAGATGGAGAAGGTCTGGCCGCGGGGCTTTGAGAGGGAAACCAATGCGGCTAATGGCCGTATGTTTTGTGGGCCGGGGGAGATGCCGATTGTTGATAGGTATGGGCGGGTGGAGATTCACCGGGCTCGTCGTTGAGGTGATCTGGAGTTTTTCCTTCCTGGGGGGTTTCTTTTTGTTTTCTTATCGAGCGGTGATGTTATTAGGTCTCCTTCGTATTTGTATTGTATCTAGTTGTTTGCAATCCTCATCGTTGTGGCTCGACCTGCGGCGCACTCGGATATTTCGGGGGTTGTTCTTCGGCTGCCTGCTCGTCTTGCTCTGGTTGCGTCTCAGTCTCGACTACACTCTCTTTCGGCTGCTCTTCAACCGTGCTCTCTGTCGACTGTTCTTCGATGATGTGCCTCTTACTCGGTTCTTTGGCAACACTCCCTTTAGCATCGATGCCTTGGAACAGCTCAGCCGACATGCTCTCTTTCAGTGGGACGACGACGCAGGGCGACGAATGGAGCACGTCCCACGTGAAATAGCTCTTTTTGTACGTGTCATTCCACTGTTGACGAGGGACCAGACACGATATGCGTTTCCAGAGCCTACGCATAAGTCGATGCGTAATCTTATGAGGTCGCCCATTTGTATAGTGTGTGAAAGTCTCTTGTTTCTGCGGCCCCTTCGTCAGGAACTCCACATCCAGGCTGGATTTGACGGCAGCGGAAGAAGTTTCTCCAACCGGTGTTCTTCTTTTTGGGGCCGTCCACGGTATTTCCCCCGATATCAGGCCTTCTAATGCCCGGAGCTCCGTGTCGGGCAGAGGCGGGAATATAGTGTGCACCATCGTATTGTACCATTTCTTTTTGATGTTTCTCTGACGGGATGGCGAGAGTTCTTTCCCCCAGATGTTCACCTTCGGGATATGCGGCCGGGTATGCTTGATGCCAGCACTGGAATTCATCGTGGATATAATCTCACTGTTCCTTTGCGAGTTCAAAAGATCGACCATGATTTTCGGCGGCGTCCACCCGTCCGAGAACATGTCAGGTGGTGGCTCTGCCACCTGCCCGATGACCTCCTCCCCCGGGGCGTCCTTCGGGGCAATCAGCGCGTTGACCAGCTGTATTCTGCGTTTCCCTCGGCGGCCATAGGCCATCTGCAGGACCTCCTCCAGTGGCTTATAGTATCCCTCATTGGCGCGTTTGAGCAGCGAAAGCCGCTGATGAGCTGTTCTGTGGAGGGCGATCTGTTTAAGGGTTTTCTCCTCGGGGATGGCCTTGGGTTTGTTCTTGGACTTGGATTTCGGGCCCTGGTAGTATCGTTGATATCGGCTCAGGACATCGGCTTTCATCGACAATCTGGCGACAGGGTCCGGGAGATAGGAGCATTCGCGGAGCAAGGAGCGCAGGAGGTGCCTCCACGTTTCGGGGGGGATGTGGAGGGCCGACATGGTCGGGGGAATGTTGTTGTTGTTGTTGATAATCGACTACAATTATTCTGCTTGTCTTTTCCTGGGGCGTTGCCCTAAGGAGAAGGCGGTGAGAGCACCGTCCCGAAAAGGCAATGATGTTTTTCGGGGTCGGGATACGCGAAAACGGCTAGCCGCGAACGCGACCATCAAAGGAGCCCCGCGACTTTTGCTTCCCATTTACTCCCCATTCCGTCAATCTTGTTGTACAGTGGGATCTCTTGAATCTCGATACCGCCCCTGACACTGGGTGATCTGCAAATTTATCTCCCTTCGAGCTGAACCAGCCAGCCCCGGGGCAATCCATCGTCTCATCCCTTCCGCGGTCGGTGCGCTAACCCACGCGCGCCTCGCTTTCGCGCGCCTTCCCGACCGGCCAGCCTGCCAGCCTGCCAGGTAAGACCGGAACAAGTCGATCCTGGATAGCTGCGGTTCCCCACATGCTTTCATTCTCTTGCTCTGTCATCTCCTGATCTTGCCCTGCCATTGGCCTGGTGGCTGCCATCCATACTCGCCCAATTTCTGCTTCCTGCTTCCTGTCATCCAGCAGCAGCTTCAACTCGGGTTGTCGGGGTCGGGCACCCTCCACCGTTATTCTCCGTTCCCTCATGGCCGCCAATAACCACCTCCCTCCTCGTCCCGGCCTACCCATGTCGTACTCGCAGAGTAGCATGGGTTCCGCCAACGGCATGGCCTTTTCGCAGTCGCAGATGGGCTCCTTCAACGCTTCCCAGTCCGTGGCCTCCACCCCTCGCGCCACCCCCCCTCCGAAACCCTCGCAACAATCTTTCAGCTATCCGAATGGCCTGCCGCAGGCCCCGAGACAGGGGTTCGTCGGCTTTGAAGACATGAATGGATATGGTACCATGATGTATCACGAGGAATTTAAACCCCAGATATACAGGGTCAGTGCCTTCCTACGTCTGCGCATCATCTCCGGAGTTTCGTCCGATGTTGACTGACATGCTCTTCTCCGCATAGGCCGTCTACTCCAACGTCCCCGTCTACGAAATGGAGGTGAATGGTGTTGCCGTGATGAAACGCCGCGCCGATTCTTGGCTGAATGCCACCCAGATCCTCAAGGTTGCCGGTGTTGTTAAAGCGAGAAGAACGAAGACATTGGAGAAGGAGATCGCTGCCGGCGAGCACGAGAAGGTCCAGGGCGGATATGGTAAATACCAAGGAACCTGGGTCAACTACCAGCGGGGTGTGGACCTTTGCCGCGAATACCACGTCGACGAAATGCTAAGACCCCTTCTTGAATACGACATGGGCCCCAACGGTACCACTGGTGCGGCGCTGGACTCCTTGGATACCCCGACGAAGGAACAGGCGATGGCTGCGCAAAGAAAACGGCTCTACAGCGGGATGGACAATCGGGGCATGTCTCAACCCCAGCAAGGCACCTTCTTCCAAAACATTTCTCGCACTGCCGCAAGCGCAGTCAATGCCATGAGCAAAGCCCGCTTCGACTCGCCCGCAGCCCGAGGCATCGACGGCAGGCGATCAAGTGTCATTCGGAAGCCCTCGCAACAGATGAGCAGCCAAGAGACCCACGTCCCTTTCAACAGTCAACAAAGCATGTATAGTGTGGCATCTGATAGCGGCTTTGGGAGTAACTTCCAGACCAATGGACGCTTTCCTGTCCACGATGGAGCTAGCTTTGACCATGAAGAGTCGAATGAACCCCCCCGCAAGCGCTTCCGGTCCTCCTCTCACCATGCGCAGTCTTTTGCGACCCCTTATGAGAATTCGTTCTCAATGAAGGAGCCTACACCAACGGAGCCAAACGATTCCTTCTACCAGGACATGGATGTCTCCAATTCCATGATTGATGACAGCAAGCGCGGGTTTGAGCCATTACCCCCAGCCACAACCCCGGAGAGGTTTCAGAAAATGAAGCTCATTATGACACTGTTCCTCGATAAGCGGACTAAGGATTTTTCAAACCACCCCGCGTTAATGCAACTGACCGGAGAGGATCTGGAAACGCCGTTAGACGAATACCGGAATAATGCCCTGCACTGGGCGGCGATGCTTGCCCGGATGCCTCTTGTTTATGCGCTGGTCGAGAAGGGTGTCAGCATCTTCCGCCTTAACGGTGCCGGTGAAACTGCGCTGCAGAAGTCTGTCGGCACAAGAAACAATCTCGACTACAGGAGTTTCCCGCGCTTACTCCAGGTCTTGGCCCCGACGATTGACATGGTCGACTACAGTGGGCGAACCATCCTCCATCACATCGCCGTCATGGCCGCGACCGGCGGCGGGGGGCATGTGTCCGCAAAACACTACCTGGAAGCCTTGTTGGAGTTCATAGTTCGCCACGGTGGTACGTCGGCGAGCCAGCCAACTAACGGGGCGACGGAAAATGGAAGAAGCCTGTCACAGCCGGGGGAGCTGATCAATCTCGCTCGTTTCATAGCGGAAATCGTCAATCTCCGGGATGATCAGGGCGACACGGCCCTGAACCTGGCGGGGCGCGCACGCTCTGTTCTTGTCCCCCAACTGCTAGAAGTCGGGGCAGATCCGCATATCCCGAATCACACTGGTCTCCGGCCGGCAGATTATGGTGTTGGAGTGGATATGGTTGACGGCAATGCTCAGTCGCAGCAGGCTGGCAGTGGAGACTCGTTCATGGATCAGCTTGCGAAGACAAAGAAGGAGATCTTGGATTGTAAGCTCTGTCCGACGACTTATTTTTGATTACCCACTGACTTTTGTAGCAACGTTGGCTCAAATAAGCTCGATGGTGCAAGAAACATTGGGCGGCATTGACCGAGAGCTGGCCTCCACGCTCACCAAGAAACAAGAAAAGTTTGACCACTGGCATTCGAAGATCCGCGAGACAGCCAAAGCTCGGCAGATCGAGCAGAAGCAGCTTGACGAGTTGAAGCAAAGATCCACCGATCGAGTGGAGCTTAGTCGACGGTTCAAGAACCTGGAGAAGTCGTCGGAGGACCTTCTAGTGGTCTTGAAGGGCATCCACGGCGATTCGATGGACGTATCGAGTATCCGGTCAATAGGCGATGCCGATAAAGAGACTGGAATCGACATTGCGGGGTTTGAAGCCGTCTTCCCCGAAACATTCGACCCCGGCTCTGGGTTTTCCGAGCAACAGGTCGCCTTCCTGCGGTCCTTGTCCGCGCCCGACAGCTTGCAACAGCGGGTCGAGTGCTATTCCAAGTACAACGAGGACATCCTGGACGAGGTGGAGCGCCTGCGATCCAAGAACGTGGTGCTGGGGCAGAACTACCGGCGGATGGTCATGGCGTGCACGGGGTGGAGCGCGGAGCAGGTGGACGAAGCTGCGGAGGGGCTGACGCAGTGTGTCAAGGAGCTGAACGACAACCCGGTCCCCGAAGACGAGGCCATCGAGATCCTGATGAAGGACCGCGGCCAGGACTGGTGAGTCGATTGATGTCCGGGACGAAATGAGAGATGTGATGGTACATATGTCAGGCTCGGATCCTTGGGATTCGCCGCGGTCTTTCAAGCGATACAGCGATTCTTGTTTATTGTTACTACCAGGTATCTATCTACCTAGGCCGGGAGCATTGTTCATACTACGACGGGGATGGGGGCTTGGGTGTTCACGCCGGTGTTCTTTCTTTTTGTATTGACGTCTTGTCTGTATTTGGTGCAGATACCCTCGGGACATTATGGCATATAATGAATGGATTTGAACGGCCAGCAGGATAGGGGTGTATACCCCGGATCGGTTGCTAGCTGGACAGTTGAATGTAATTTACCTTGGTGATCTCGAGCCTCCTAAGAGAAGCAAGTAGACATATAGTGCGTGCCGGGTTGGGAAGTGCGTGGATATAGTGGGTTCGGGGGCAGACCGCCTGCGTGTGCGGGGAAGGCTGCTAGTGCCACGCGCGGCCAAATGCGGTCACCGCCCGTGGCCCTTATCGCGATGGGGCGGCAGAAAAAAGGAGGAAAAAACGGAATGGCGGGGTTGCTTCTCGTCTTCCTCTTCGTCTTCATCTTCCTCCCCTGTGCTTTTCTTGAGCCGGGTTTGATTGTCGGCGTGGATTCCTATAGAGCACATGGTCTGATAGTCTGACTCTTTCTCTGCCGTCAATCCTTTCAATCTGGTCTATGTAAGGGTCCTGCCGCGTCTCTTGCTCATTAATAATTCAGTCACTTAGAAGCCCGGCCTGATTCCATTGGTTTCTCCCGCAGAACAGACCAGATCAGACAAAACAAAGCCTCTCTTTCCCCTTTCAGAGATCGCAGACGATCTTTCGTGAATAATCACCATGGCCGACTCGACGAGTCCCTCCCCCGCGTCCCTGAACACCCTGTTCGATGAGGCCTCCTCGCTTAGGGAGCGGTACGACCCCGTCCGCCTGGCCGATGCAGATATCGTCCCCCTCCTACAGCTGCCTTCCGCAAAGGCCGTCTTCGGACACAATGCGACGGACGAGAGCGCCCTCGCCCGTGTCGCCCGGGAAGAGATCCCTTACACAACCTTCTTGTCCGAGAAGGCCAGGGCGGTCTCCCAAGCACCCGTGGAAGGCCTGACTGTCGAACAACAACGCTCCCAATTGCTCCATGTCGGTCTGGCGGCCCTCTTCGGCTTCCTGCAGTCGAATGTCACCGGTCCTCCTTTGGACTTCAACCCCGCGGAGCTTATCATTCCTGCGACTCTGCGGCCCGACGCTGCGGCCTTGAGAGCCGTCCGCGCTCATGTCATCCGTGACCTCTCGGTGGACGGTGAAGCGGCCTACAAGCTAACTCCTAACGTTGAGCTGTTTGCTGTTGCGAAGGCGCTTCTGGCTGACGCTGATGTTCTGCTGGCGAATGGCCCGGTCGTGGCGAGGACTGCACGGGTTCGCGTGAACTTCCTACACCAGAAGATGCTGTCCGAAGTTACGGGCACCTTGCAGGATGCCATCTACAACGATGTGAATGAGCTCGAGAGGATCGTCCTGAGCGACAAGTGCACTGCTCAGGAGAAGGGCCGGTATCTGCTCGAGAGAGCGACGATCCATACCCACCACAGCTTTGACGCCAAGGCCAGGAAGGATCTCGAACAGGCTGCCGCAGAGAGGAAGTTCGAGTTTGCGTTGACCGGTAAACTGGGAAAGAGGACCAAGTTCCAGGATCGTGATATCAGTCAGCTTGTCATTCTGGCCAAGAGCGCCGACGACGTGTCCGAGACAGTGGGCTCGTCGGAGGCGAACGACACGCCCTCTGGGCCCAAGAAACTGGATCTCAACGATGATACCTTGCTCGAGTCCATCTCCTTCACCAAGAAGAACGGACAGCAGTCGGAGGACAAGCAGGTGACTGTCCAGGATGAGAACCTGCCCCCAGCCCTGGCGGACCTTGATCCCGGAAATCAGCCCAAGCTCGACCCTGTCGACTCTGCTATTCTGCTTGCTCTCGCATCGGCGATCACCAACACCTCACCTGAGGACGGTCTGACTCGTGAGGAAACTGCGCCCTACGCCACCCGCGTGCTCGAGGGCGGCAGCTCAAACTGGCAGATTTACACCCAAGCCTTGCTCGTGCGCAGTCGGGTCGAGGGATACAAATCTCGGACGGTCGAGAGATCCGTCCTGCAGATGCAGGCCCTCGTGGACCAGGTCATCGCCGACACGGCCACCTCCGACGCCCAAGCCGGCACCTCCGTCGAAGAGCCCACAACCTTCCTCCCTCGCCCCGAGGAATCCGAGTCTGCGTCCGCCGCAGAGCGTCTGGAGTACATCTGGATCCTGAACTCCTCGACCCGATGGGACCTTGAATCGGAACTCGCCACCCGGTGGGTTAACCTGGGAGGTCTGCGCACTGCCCTGGACATCTACGAGCGTCTGCAGATGTGGGCGGAGGCTGCTCTCTGCTACGCCGCCACGGAACGCGAGGACAAAGCCAACTTCCTCGTCCGCCGACAGCTGTACCAGCCCACCGGCACGGATCTCGATGACGACAACGAGAAGTTCGACGGACCCGAACTGAACCCTCTCCCCGCCGACGCCCCCCGTCTGTTCTGCATCCTTGGTGACATCAACACCGACCCCACCATGTACGAGCGTGCCTGGGACGTTTCTAACTCGAGATACGCGCGTGCCCAGCGTTCCCTGGCCCGTCACTACCTGACCATGAAGCCCCCGGCCCTCGACAAAGCCGAGGACGCGTACCTCAAGAGTCTGCACATCAACCGGCTCAATCACGGCGCGTGGTTCGCCCTCGGGTGCGTGCAACTCGAGCTCCAGAAATGGAACGACGCCATCAATGCCTTCACCCGCACCGTGCAACTCGAAGACAATGACGCCGAAGCCTGGAGCAACCTCGCGGCCGCGATCCTCCGCTCCCCCGAGCCCGAGCCCGAGCCCGAGACCAATAACACCCTCCCCCAACCCCTCTCCGCCGACGAAGAAGAAGACACCACCACCACCACCGAAACCCCACCCCCACCGACCCCCACAAGCGCAAACGCGAAGCCCTCGCGGCCCTCCAACGCGCTGCCCAACTCAAACACACCGATGCCCGCATCTGGGACAACGTCCTCACTGTTGCTGCCTCCATCCCACCCCCCTACACGCCCTTCCGCGAAGTCATCACGGCCCAGAAGCGGGTCATCGAGCTCCTCGGCGCCAAGAACGGCGAGAAATGCATCGACCTGCCCATCCTAGGCCTGCTGATCGACCACCTCGTCACGGCCTACGACTACGAAAACCTCCTCATCGTCGACCCCACCGCCCCGGACTCTTCCGCAAAGGTCATCCGCAGCGGCACCATCGCCGGTCAAATCCTCTCCCTCGTCGACGACAACATTGTCCCGCTGATCACTCACTCCGCGCCCCTGTGGCTCCTCGTCTCCCGCGTCGAACTGTTCCGCGAACGCCCCTCCAAGGCCTTCGAGGCCCACGAGAAGGCCTGGCGTGCCACCGTCGCCTCCAATACCCAGGGTGCGTTCCAGATGGGCGAGGAGAAGAATTGGTTGGATGTTGTCAAGGCCACGGAGCGCCTGGTCAGGGATGGATATGCCCGGTATGGTCCGATGGATAAGGAGGGTCAGACTTTGGCTGAGGGGCAGGAGGCCGAGATGGTTGCTAAGGATTGGAGATTCAAGGCGAGAAGTGCCGTTAGGGGCGTCCTTGGTAAGGGGAAGGACTTTTGGGAGGATAGTGAGGGTTGGTTGCGCTTGAAGGAGTTGCAGACGGAGGTGGGCAGTTCGTGATGATTTATCCTTTGTGTGTTGAGTTGTTGCATGGTTATGTTCGTTCATGTTTATGTTTATGTTCATGATGTGAGATGGTTTTTCTTGAGATGATTTCTTTCCTTCCTTCTTTCTTTTATGTGCATAGACAGAGAAAAGTAGGCGTGGTGTGGTGTGGTACTTAGGGGTGTGCTTTCTTTGTTATTATTTATTATGAGGAATGAATACTTCAGTGATAGATATAGATATAGATATAAATATCAGGTACCTAAGTGCATAGTAAATACTAGTGCAGTCATGGGTTGGTGCCAATGCCAAAGTCCATATAGTAAAATACTATATGGTTCCTGATACTACAAATGGACGGTACTACTGTAGAGAAATACATCCATCCATCTATCCATGCGGTGCCTTCAAACCGTGGATCTCAATGATCTGTCTGATGTCTGATATAATTAAAGCCCAAGAGTACTTTTACTGTTGTCTCGCCTCTTGCTTCCTACCCACCCCAAGCCTCTTGTTTTCTTTTTCATTTTCTTTCTCTTCTTTCTTTCTACCCCTCAACCTTCCTCTTCAACATGCCACAGAAACTTTCAAACAGAACCGTATCCGTCCCCTTTAACCACCGCACGACCACCACTACTTTCATCGCATTCCTACTCCCATTCCCATTCTTCTTCCCCTGCCCCTGCCCCTGCCCACTCCTATTCCTATTCCCATTCCTATCCCCATTTCCATCTCCATATCCATCCCCATCATCGTCTTCATTATCGTCTTCATCATCAAGCATATCCGTCCTTAACTGCACCCTAAATCCCAGCTCCGCCTTGGCCGCATCAATCTCCGCCTTATCAGGCCTGGTGTCCGGGTTCAGCATCTTCCTGCGCGCCTGGCGCGACCAGACGTTTTGCATGGCGAATCCGACCCCCGTGGTTAGGTCCTGGCGCCAGTGCCATTGGATGTGGAGGGAGCTGAGCTCGGCGTTGATCTTGGCGATGAGGTCGGTGAGGCTGCTGGTGCTGGTGCTGGGGCTGTTGCTGGTTGGGGCTGTTAAGGTGAAGGCGTATTCGGAGGGGAAGGGAAGGAGGTGTTTTGGTATGGAGGTGGTGCCGCGGGCGATAGTCTGGTGTTGGTGGGTTAGTTTTGGGGTTGAGGCTGGGGGTGTGGGTGTGGGTATGGATGTAGTGAGGAGGGGTGGGGGAGGAGAAGGAGAGGGAGGGGGCAGACGTACGACTGCAGGACGCAGGTCTGTCCATGACCAGGCTATGGCCCACCTCCGGGTCTTATTTCCTTGGATGAACTCCGTCACGGCGTAGTTGTTGTTTTTGTGTTGGAGGAGTTTTTCGACCAGGATGGATACGCTGCTTAGCTTGCCCAGCATGGAGGTATACCAGATCACTTTGTCGCGGAGATGAAGGCTCTGCTCGATCATTCGGGCGATGAAGGCAATCTCTCCGCCGGATGTGACCATCTCGGTTTCTGAGCCCGTGCAGGCCTATCTCTGTTAGTAGGTGGTCTGGGGGTTGCTGAATGGTTGGGGGTTTACTGTGAAGGGAGGTCGTTCTTTGGCGTCGGCGGAGGCGACGAGTTCGTCGCGGGAGGCGTAGAAAGGCGGGTTGCACATCGTGAAGTCGAGTCTGTGGGGGTTAGCTGGTGATGGAGAGGAATGAGGACGGTTGGTTGTTGGACGCACCGATCGACGTTCAGTTTCGATAGGGGGAACAGATCATCTTTTGGGTCTGTTTGAAGGATCTCGATGCAGGAGTCGAGCTTGTTTGTAGATACAGTCTTTCGGGCGGTTTGGATGTTGTCATCGTCGATGTCTACGCGGTGGGTTTAGTTGAATAGGACTGTGAAGGACGGTGGACATACCCGTGGCGACGAAGCGCCAGTGCGGTCGCAGTGAACACCCCAGGAGAGGATATATACTGCAGCATCCGGTTCCGCTACAAAGATTAGAGTGGTGATGCGCAGATGGAAAAGGGGACATACACGTCGAGTCCCAATACCTCTCGATCAGGGTCATAGTCGTCCCGATAGTGGTCTCCCGTGGTGTCGAGCAGATCTTGTAGCCACAGGATATAATTCAGCCTATTCTGTCAGAAGCCACACCACACCACGTACGGATAGAGAGGTCAGGCTGAATTTACCGATTGGGTACCTGCACGCCTCCTGGTTAGCTGCAGGATCGGCAGTACATAACACGGCTGTTATACATACCGGCGGGCACAGCCTATTCTCCGGAATCTCGACCTCCAACTGGAAATCTCGCTGCAACAGGCTCTTGGTCAACTGCCTATTCCCGGGTCAGTGACACCTCCACGCACCTCCGGGTTCCGGGTCCAACCTACCGGACAGCATCCGGGTCGCTGAAGTCCAGCTGCCCGTTGGCTTTCAGGCTGGATGAGGTTAGCCAGGAGAGCTCGGTGTTACACTGGGACGGGGGGTCAACTGACTGCTTTGCAAACGCCGGCGACTGCAAGGCGAGGGCGGTGAAATCGACCTCATCCCTGTAGATATTGCGGGAGGCCCTCATGCTCATGGTGCCGCCACGCGCGACGACAGGATCCAAGCCGTGAGCCACTAGACAAGGGAATCCTTCAGTCCTTCAGTCCTTCTTGGTCCCTGTTGTGAATGGCCGACTGGGAGGGGCGGACCAATGGGTGCGGGTGGAGCGAACCGGAGATATCCACCGTTCGGCCGGCAGAGACACGCCTATCGGAGTCGACTCAGTCCAGGGACAGAGATCTTGTTTGTTTGTCGACTGTCTTGGGGGAGATGGTAGAGAAGAGAAGAGAGAGGAGAGAAGAGAAAGAAGAGAGAGAAAGTGACCGGGAAGTACGGCCCTGCCTGAGGCGCCGAAGCCATCCGTCAAGTGCCTGGGTGCCTGGGTGCCGGGTGATGTCATGCCAGGCAGCCTTTTGGGATCCGTAATTCCTGCTAATTCCTGCGCGGCTTCGTCCTTCCAGCCTTTCCCTCCTCCTCTCCACTCGGTTCTTGGCCCATGCCGCGTGTCGGGGCCTCTTGTCGATCCCCTCCATCGATCTGAAACCAGCCCAGGCAGCATCGCAGCCACAGCTCGATCGCTCTCCCAGTCCCAGGTGGAGCCCCTCTGCTTTCTTCCCCTCATCCGTCACATTCCTGATTCCCTGCAGCGCGACCACCACTGCATCCGGTGTATCTCCCAGGGAAGCCCCCATTGCCATATCGCAGTCATGGAAAAGTTCAAAGATAAGCTGGAGCACCTGGAGGAGCAGCTCAAAGGTCTTCCTTCCCCCCCCCCTCGTGCCCCGAGGCCCAACTAACCGCCCTTCGCGGCCAGAATCCCACATCGAGGCCAAAGCTTCCAATTTCAAGCACAAGGTCGGCAAGTTCTTCAACATTGTTAATCCCAACCATCGCCATGATGAGGCGCACGAGCAGGCCACGGACCACAAGAGGACCGCCGTTTCCGAAGCGCACCGGTTCCAATCATTCGCCCCCATCCGGGAGGGCAACCGCGTCAAGTGGTACGTCGATGCGCTGGACTACATGTGGGCGGTCTCCATCGCGCTGGAAGAGGCCAAAGAGACCATCTATCTCGCGGACTGGTGGCTCTCCCCCGAACTGTTCCTCCGCAGGCCCCCGTTCATGGCCCAGGAATGGCGATTGGACCAGGTCCTGAAGCGGCGCGCCGAAGCGGGGGTGAAAATCTATGTGATTGTGTACAAGGAGGTCAGTGGGCGTACCCGTCGGTCGTCGGCGTCGCTTACCGTTCGGAACTAGGTGAACCAAGCATTGACCTGCAACTCGGCCCATACCAAACACGCCCTTCGCAACCTGTGCCCGGAAGGAAGCCCGGGCTACGGCAACATCAAAATCCTGCGTCACCCGGACCACAACATCTTTGAGAATGCAGCCGATATGACCCTGTACTGGGTGGGTGGGCGTGCTTTCAGTCCGATGGGCGACTACTGACACCTGCTAGGCGCATCACGAGAAATTCATTGTCATCGACTATGCGTTGGCGTTCATCGGAGGCATCGACCTCTGCTTCGGGAGATGGGACGCCCACCAGCACCCGTTGGCCGACGTCCACCCGTCGAACCTGCGGAATGAGGTCTTTCCCGGACAGGAGTTCAACAACAACCGCATCATGGATTTTCAGAGCGTGGGCGATTGGCAGGCGAACGAACTCAGTAAGGCGGACTACGGCCGGATGCCCTGGCACGATGTGGCCATGGGCCTGATGGGTGACTGTGTGTATGACATTGCAGAGCACTTTGTCCTCCGGTGGAACTTCATCAAGCGAGACAAGTACAAACGGGACGACAGCGTTGACTGGCTGATGCTCGAGGGTCGTACTGGGGAGGACGAGGACCTGGTTGCGGTCCAGCGTCCGAAATATCCTTGCGGTGAATACGTGCAACACCCTCTCACCCCGCTCGATACGAAGCCCGTGGGGCAGCAGGGCTTTGCGCGGGCGCAGATCGTGCGCAGCAGCGCCGACTGGAGCAGTGGGATCCTCACCGAGCATAGCATCCAGAACGCCTACAAGGAGATCATCAGCCAGGCGCAGCACTTTGTCTACATCGAGAACCAGTTCTTCAGTAAGGCACCCCAGCCCAGGCACCAAGCAGTCGCTAATCCCACCAGTCACTGCTACCGGAGATAAGCAGGGGCCGATTCTCAACACCATCGGACGGGCGATTGTCGACGCGGTGATCAACGCGGCCAGGGAAGGGAGAAAGTTTCGCGTGATCATCGTGATCCCGGCCATTCCTGGGTTTGCAGGAGATCTGCGACAGAATGCAGCCACAGGCACGCGCGCGATCATGGATTACCAGTACAAGTCGATCCATCGCGGCGAAAACTCGATTTTCGGCCAGATCGCTGCCGCGGGCCTGAACCCGAGAGGTATGTGGAACTCGTCTTGCCTGCGCACAACGCGCTGACCCGGCTAGATTATGTCTTCTTGTTCAACCTGCGTGCATACGATCGGATTAACAAGACCCCCGCTCTGGTCAAATTGGAAGCAGAGGCGGACGTGACGTACAATGACATCCAGCGCGGAATTGCCGAGTCCATCATGAGTGACAGTGTCCACCCTGCCATCGGCAAGGACGGGGACAAGCACGAAGTGAGCTACGACAACGCGCAGCAGGAGAAGGAGATTCGTCTCGCGCGACTGCGCAAGTACGAGGAATCCCACGAGCGTTACCAGGAGCTCGAGGGTCTCAAAGGCAATGACTCTGTCGCCCACGCCACCATGCTCAACGGCGGTAAGATGTCGGATGAGCACTGGGAAGGAGACCCGGAGGTGGAGAAAGAGAACTTTATCCAGGAAGAGCTCTATGTGCATGGAAAGGTGTGCATCGTAGACGATAGAGTTGTCATCTGCGGTAGCGCCAACATCAACGATCGAGTATGACCCCCACACCCCCAGGCTTTCAACCCACGACTGACACAAAGCAGTCCCAAGTCGGCTATCACGACAGCGAACTCGCCATTGTCGTTGAAGACCAAGACATGATGGACAGCGTCATGGACGGCGAGCCATACAGGGCCTCCCGCGTCGCCGCTACCCTCCGCCGCCAGCTGTGGCGCGAGCACCTCGGCCTCCTCCCTGCGCAGGAGTACGACGTCTCCGAACACCCGAACGCAAAGCCTCCGTACCAGTGCATGAACTACATCCTCGAGGGCCCTGAAAATGACTTCGTCACGGACCCCATGGACGACGATCTCTGGGAGATGTGGACCGGCCGAGCCACGGTCAACACGGACATGTACCGGGTCTTGTTCCGCGCCGACCCCGACGACAACATCCGCACGTTTGACGAATACGACAACTTCTGCCCTCGCAGCGGACAGAAGCAGGGCCACTTGTTCGACCCGTACCAGCCTGTCTCGGAAGTACGCGAGAAGTTGGACAAGATCAAGGGCCATTTGGTCTGGATGCCGTTGGAATTTTTGAAAGATGCCAACATGGCTGAGCCGGGGTTACAGGTGAACCAGATTACTGAGGTGAGATAGCGCGCTACATGCATTGCGTGTATATGTCGAGACTGAGACTGACACATGACCTCTCACAGAGCATCTACACTTGAAGTCCCCCTTCGTCCCTCCCCCGCCTTCTCCATCTCCATCTCCATCTCCTCCCGTTCGAGTAATGTATATGGTGAGGCAATCTAGTTTGATATAATACCATCTCACCGCGTATCATTTCCCCATAATTACCTTACCCTCTTCTTGTTCTACTTCTACTTGTGTAAAGAAAACATGTATCTCATCTCCGCTATACCCATCTCCATACCCATCTCCATACCCATCTCCATACCCATCTCCATACCCATCTCCATACCCATCTTCATACCCATACCCAGACCCATACCCCCCAAGACATACCTAGCCTCACCAACTGAACTCCCACCAGCCCAGTCCATCACTCACCACTCACCACCTCCCCATAACCCCCTACCCTCTCCCCTCTCAATACCCCCTTCCCACCCACCCATCCGACCATCCCACCATCCCCTACCTCGTAACCCATTCTGCCTATCACCCGGAACCCCCGAGTCCCCGGTACCCAACCCCAGCCAGCCAAGACAAAACAAAACAGAAAACAGTGCGGAGTACATACAGAGTTTTAATCCTCCACGCAAGGGACATCCGTCCATCCACCCATCCACCCGACCCCTCACTGAGCCCGCCCAATGAAAGCCTATTCTCAAGAAAGGGATGCTTTTTCCGGACAGCGGTCTGTCTCACTGTCCTTCCCTTTTCTACCCCTCGTTTGTCTGTACCTCGTCTATGTATGTGTATACTATGCATATGTATATGTATATGTAGATGCACCTGTTTAATCTTTTTGCTGGGTAGGTAGGTACTAGATAAGTAGGTGGATCTCCTACCAGATAGAGTATAGACAGATATATTGTGATCGTAGTTACTATCTAGTAACTTGACTATCTACGCCACACCATCTATTACATTCCCATGGATACCCTAGCTACTTACCCACCCACCATTTCACCGATCCAGCTATCTGGCATCCAGCAAGGAAACCGGCACTTATTGATTGCTGAACGGATTCTAAATTGTAATAAAAAAAAAAGCGAGATGGTGGAATAGCCAAGAAATAGATAAGATTCAATCAACCGAATTAAGTGCGTCGCCGCAGTCTAATATTCCTAATAAGGATCTATAGGGTAAGGTCATCATCTCTATGGGAGGGACACGAACAGGGACAGGGACAGAAACAGGGGCAGGGGCAGAAACAGGGGCAGAAATTTGCAAAAAGGGCAGGAACCAGGACCAGAACCAGAACCAGAACCAGAATCAAGCCAAACCAAACCAAACCAGAAAGTAGAGACCACAAAACAGAGGCAGAATGAGTAGTAAGCGGGTGCAAAACATTAGAGCCAGAGTCCGAGTCAGAGTCCGAGTCAGAGTCAGACAGAACAAACGGCAAGGACAACCAGCAACCAGCCATGACGACAATGGCCGAACGGCCAACGGGACCGGACCGGACCGGATTCCCCCAAACCCAACAAAACCAAATCAAACCAACCAACCCAACCAACACCGGAGCGATGCGTTTTGATTTGTTTCAGCGTCGGACGGAAAGCAGCAGGATTGTGCACATAGAAGGAATTTTCACAATTTCAACGGGATTCCGGCCGTGGCTCTGCATTAGAGGAAAGGAGGGAGGGTAGAGCGGACTTTTGTTGTAACAGGAGATAAATCAACCCGACAATGAAAAAAGGGAGGCCAGATCGAAGGGCAAGGTGAGGTAAGGTAAGGTGAGGTGAGATGAGATGAGATGAGATGATATTAGTGGCGGAAAGTAAACCCGGCTTCTCCCTGGCAGCTGGCAGGTAGGTGGTAGGTAGGCAGGAAAGTGAGCGAGTCAGTGGTGGCAGTGTCGAGACAAACGGAGTGACGTCGGAGAAAGGTATGTCTTTAACTCGCAGGCAGAACAGGCGCATCACATCGCATCGCATCGCATCGTCCCAGCCAGCCAGTCACCCACACATCCTTGTTGATCCATTCAGATCCGCTCGGAAGGGGGGCAGAGCTCCGATTGGGTCATGAATGCTGCCGGGATTGCATTTCCGCGGGACTCCAGGTCGATCCAAAACGGCCGTCGAAGGCTTGCGGCATGACCAGGTAGTGCGCGGGAGACAGAAACATGAAACCACAAACAGACAGACAGACAGCAAAACAGAAAAAAAAAAAAAAAAAAAAAACCAGAGGAATGAAGCTAAATCGCGCAAGAAACAAAGATCCATGGACGGATGGATGGATGGATGGACGGACAGACAGACAGACGGAATGGACGGACGGCTCTGCCGGCATTAATGCGCAAGGATTGCTGCAGAAGGGATGGTTTTGAAGTTCCAGGAAATGTACGAATCAGAACTAGAAAGAGAAAGAAGTTAATGTCGAGTTTCACAACCGGTACACAGCATATCACAAAGACGCTGGACCGCAGTCAGGCCACCTTGATACTTACCGATTTGAAGGGCATTCTTGCATGCCGCACGCCGTTCGTCGCATGTCGCATGTCGCATGTCGCATCCGTGACGTGACGTGACGTGACTCCCTCTAGCCTTTGGCGGTGTGGCAGGAGTTGCAGCGACAGTGGTTACAGATCTTGCAGCGCCAGATCGCAACGAATGGCCCATTGTTGCAGTCCGAGCATCGCCAGGTAAGGATATTCCCGTTTGTTGCCTGCACGATGACGAAGACATGACCCGAGCACTGATTGGCCATTTCGGCGCTATGACAGTCCGTTAATCAGGGAATCTGGACGATACTGCGGTCCTTACTCACACGTTAAATCTGGAAACGATGGACGGGAATTGGGAGATTCCGTAGAAGGGTCGCTCGCGACTCGAGAGCTGAGAGGGAGTATATCGAAGGGCTCGGGAACGGTTTCAATCGCAGTTTCAAGACAGATGGTCGTTCCGGAGCGCAGAGAGGGGAAGGATCAAGGATAAAGGAGGAAGCTTGGGATGGGAGAGGTGAAGGTCAAGGAAGAGGTGAATAGACTTGAGAGAGGCAGAGAATTTGTTGTTGCTGGTGATGGACAAGGGACTTGGGATGCGACGCCATAGCTTATATATAGGGCAAGTTTGCAAAACGGACCAGGACATGAGACATCTCCTTTCAGTGAAGCGATGCCTGCATTACCCTCGGATTGACCCTTTCTTCGCGAGGAACCCCAACAGCTGTACGAGGACCCGACTAGGAAGCAGCTCTACCTAGGTATTGCATGGAACTGCTCTTTCCGTCGGCAGGGAATGGCGATGCACGTACCCGAGTAATGTCGACGGGTCATTAGTTGGGTGGGGAAAGCGACAGAGAGGAGGGTGATGGATAACAAGGCGACAGGGAAGAGGTGGGTGTGAAGAGTCGGTAGACAGGAGAGAGTATAGTATCGAACAAACAAACAGCAACAAAAGAAAGAAGAATGTGATGGACTGCGCCAGAAGAAGGAGAAGGAGGAGGAGGAGGAGGAGGAGGAGGAGGAGGAGAAGAAGTCGTCGATGCTTCGATCAGGAATCGGTCAGACTGCGTAGGAGGAACCATGGATGAGACCCGACGACCCGAAACAGGCAAAAGAAAGCAAACTACATCACCCGCATCATCTTCCTCACGATATCCCAGCAAACCGCAAATGTGGGAATTGCGAAACGGACACAGCAACACCGACACCGAGAGGAACCTAGTGCTGTGTGGCCGGCGATGGGGAAGTGATATATCGTCGCCGAGAGTGGACCCAGCCAAGTGGGTTGCGGAATGCAAGCGACAGCCGCTTTTTCACTTGCTTTTTCAGGTCTTTTTCTTTTCTTTTCTTTTTTAACTCTTGTTTTTGTTCTCTTTTGTTTTTCCTTCCTATCTTTCTCGATTTAATCTCCCCTGACCTTTAAGCTTTTGCCCCTAAAATTAGGATTTCCCCAATGAGAAGTTGACAAGGGGGGGGGCGAAGGAGGAAAGAGACAGATAGTAGACGCACTACCTACCTAGACAGGACAGCAGCATGGTAGAAGAATCGACCCGGGAATGTTTGGATCTGGACCCGATCCATGCGATTCCATTCATCCAGCCCTGCGGTGCTTGGGCTTGTAGATCCGATCCGATGCGATGCGCAGGGTATGTTCCCTGGGTCTGGCTCCGACACCCACCTTAATTGCTATTCCTATCCTGAAAGTGCAGGTACTGTAGATCCTCGGATCAGGATCGCGATGTCGACGAAGAGACGAAGAAGGGCGAAAGAAGGCGAGGCTCCCCGATGAACATTCCTTCCGGCAATCTCCACTCGCTCCCTCGATCCCTCCTGATAGTGAGATGGTGCATTCCCATTGGTCTTGGGTCTATGGATCTTTTGATTTTGACACCCGGCTAGCATCATTTGCAGAAACGTCATGATCACCCACCCGATCATCCATCCTAGCAATCAATCGCCTTCGGGCAAGCTTCTATGATGAGTAGATCAGGGCCCTCTATCCGTATCACTCACTTCACCTCACTGGAGGCTGGATGCTGGTCGATTTGTTTGATCGCAGAAGCCATCGCCGAGCAGCACCGATCATCCAATCCCCATTGCCTGTCATTTCAGACTCCTCTTCTTGTTCCTGACAGGAGCAACGCAACCAGGCCTCGGCCTCCCGGTACAACCGATCCACCACCACCATCACCACTGACAGACAGCTGGACAGGGGTTGCCGACCGGACAAATAACGGAAGACATCCTCAAATCCGGGCCTTGACAGAGTGTGCAATAACAAGCCACGATCTGCAGGTCTGCGCCCTCGCCAGTCTCCTCCTCGTAACCCTGGCCCTCCATACGCCGGCTCTACCTAGTCATGCACCTCCATCCGCATCCTGGAAGTTTACCTGCATCCCTCTTCAAGGTACGATGCAGAGGAACGTTCCGGGCGTTGAAGGTAAAGCAGTCCCGTTTCCCGACCCAACATGGCGGCCACCCGCTCGGCCAATGCCACGGAAAGGCCTAGATACACAGTAGTTAGCGAGTACCATGTCAGTCACATCGCTGCTGCTTGGGTTCTGCTCCTTGCTGATCTCTGGGCCGATCGCCCCGGGCATTTGCAGAGGATCCGCGGGCCCGCCAACCAGGTTTGGTCCTGGTGGTGGCTTGCCGGTTGCGATTTCCCAGCTCTCTCTCAACTGTCATCTCCATCTGAGTTTCTTTCGGTCACTAGTCCTTCGAGGGGGAGGAGGGGGAGGTCACACAGGATCTGAGAAATGGGAATCCTGGCCTAGTAGGTCCCGCCCGGTGGAACAGAATGGGCCTGGCGAGTCAGTGTCAGTAAGTACGTACTTCTGTCCTCCCCTTCAACTGCAGCCTGCAGATGTCTATACCCCTGTCAAAACTGTCAAGCCCGACTCAAGCCATCGCGGCTCATTAATTTCCTCAGCACCCCCCCCCCTTCCAGTCCCTCCATCTCAAGCGAGAAAGAGAGATACGCGGCGAATCGTTTCCTCTCATTCCCACCAATGAATTCAGACGTGTCGATCTCCTCCAAATGGACGCTGGAGACGGGTGTCAGGGGTCCGCTCCACCGCGAGATGCTTGCTACTCCAGAAGGGTTTAGGGGCTGGGCCTAGTCTTAGAGGCCGGGTGTCACTAGGGAGGCGATCCCAGTTGCCCCGGGCAAATCAGCATCCCACGGCGTCCCCGCCTAATGTCTTCGGCCAGATTAGATAAAGGTCTGCTTTCCAATGGGCCAAGATGAGCACGCGGGTGCGTTGAGTGCCCCGAGCTTCTCCTGTCCCCTGGTTCTTTCTCCCAGGATCATGGTTGACACTGGCTTTGGAGCCCGGTTTTGAAGCCCGGACCGGCGCTTGGGCCAATTCTTACGCACATGGCGGGCAGGCTGGCGGTTTTCTGTCGTGAGATGGTGGTGGATGTTACAATGGCCTTCTTGCCAAATCGGCCTGGATCAAAAGCCATGGGCAGCCCGTCTGTCTGTCTGGGCTGGCTCAAGGGTGCGGCGGCGGATGCCAAACATCCGAACAGTAGTATCTACATAGTATGTAGTCGACCAGCTCGCACGCACTCCACGGTTCCTGATTCAAGGTTATCCCTGTCCAAGTCCAGTCCCCAACGACCAGAGAGGCTAAGCAGTATGGAGTCAGTGGGATATGGCCGGAGTCGCGTTGGCGCACCTGTCGGAGTCTTATCCACTCGTACTTAGTCCAGAGGGGGCATCAGTTCCGCTATCCGAGGTCCTTCTTTTACTCCCCTGCTCGATTGTCTCCTTTAGGTAATGGCGGATGCACCTTAGTCGAAACGCAAACATTGGACTGCTGCATGCTTCCCTGATCTACCGGGAGTGGCTCCGGGGCATAATGCCTGGCCCAGGGCACCATCGTCTATCGGGGCTGTCTAGCGCCGCATCTAGGAGACTAGGACTCTCCGGTCTCCCATGGCGCCGCGCTTCAGACGGTGTTCTCCAGTCTTGGTGACGCAAGGTACTTTTGGCGTCGCGACACGTCTTTTTGTTCCTTTTCCCATTATCAGGGGAGTGTCGGATAAACCACCCCCGGGGCGATGACGGCCCCCACACGCACCCGACGCGCCTGCGACCTCCATTTGTTCCAGCCGGCATGCCAAATATGCAGCTTACAGTGGCGTCCTGGAAACGAGCTGTTTGGGGCCCATGTTCGACCGGGCTAGAACAACGGCATTCTTTCCCACGATTGTGATATCACGTAGGATTGTCCCGGGTGAGAAAGCCTATCGCCCTGCCTGCCCCCCCGTAATATCTGTCTCCGCGGGCCGGAGTCCGCCAAATGAAGTGAAGCTTACTTGCAGGCCGGGGTCCTGTCTGCTGAGGCTGAGAGCGTCCATCAGAATTGGATCCTGCCCATCGGGGGTTTCGGCTTATGGGAACCTCACAGCTGCGAGATGCGTCGGGAGCCGTCTGTCTCCCGTAAATGAATCCCAATTGCGCATTCACCTCTCGGCCTCATGCACACCGCTACTATTGTCAATCAGAGTTGAGCACGGTGTACCCGAACACATATCCACTTACTGGAGCCGGGTTGCTGTCCGGCAGTTCCGCTGTACGACCCTGTTATAGCTTGATGGCCATTGATTCAGGACGATGCAAGTCGTCTCCAGCCGGCTTCCGTCGAGCCAAGGAAAGCAGATAGGCTAGGTCGATTTTTGGCCCCGAAAGCTGACAGGATGGGCGTCAACCTCTAGAGTTCCACTTGGAGGATCCTTTCCAAATCTCACGGTGGGTGAGGGTCACCAAGTGTCATCCCAAGAGGGATCAAGAAAAACAAAAAAAGATTGTCACAACAAGTCCACGGCGGGTGTGGGAACCAAAATTGTCTATTCAAAAAAGCTAACATAAGACTACTTTGCGTATACAGTAATTTCCGAGAGGCTCTGGGGCATCAGTTCCACTGGCCAGGGCCGCGAGAATCTCGCCGCAAGACGTAGACTCAAGGAACTGATGCCTTCGATTCTCGACCGGTCCTGTACAGCACAACTACCCCTCCACGCCTAACGGCATGGGGAGGCAGAGAGCTAGAACAGGACTGGATGATTTTGATCTCCCAACGCTCCGTTAAGAACATCCTGTGAAATAGGGCCAGAGAGTGATCCCTTTCCCAGCAAGCTGCTCCTGCAGTACCCAGAGTGGACTGCATCGCTGGTGTAAAGTTATGCCGTGTTCTCTCCTCCAGTGTTGTTGCAAATTGACCGGCCTGAGCGCGCCTACGCATGAAGCAGAGACACAAAGGAAAGGGGGCCTTGATCCGACCAGGCAAGGGGATCTTGCCTGATCCAAATGGATTGGGGACAGTAGAGCTAGTCGCGTGATGATTCGGTCCAAATGGCCGCATTTGCAGGTTTGGCTTCGTCAGACCAGAAATAATTCTTCCGTGTTTCGACATCAATCATAAGATGTAGTGAAAGAGAAGGTATCCTGACGTTATCATCACAAAGACGACGCTTGTGCGGAAATCGAAGCAAAAGAAGTCGCCATGCGCTGTACGAAATAAGAAGGCAGTCATAGTTTTACTCGTCGTCACTGTCTTTAGTCATCATCTTACCGTCACCTGGCCCGTTAGACTGCCGTGCGATGGCGACTCAGGTTGATCAAGAGAAAAAAAGCACTGGAGGGCAAGACCCTCGGATATTGAACAGTGTTCAAGTGCTGGGCATTCAGTCATTGAGGTGGAACAATGCCGAAACACTGAAGCAGAGTTAGCAATGAAGGACTCCTCCCCAGATGCTGTAGATGACCAACCTTTCACCGTAATGGTGGCGTCTGATGCTTTCCGCGATAAGGCTCGAAACGTCGATGACAATCAACTTCTTCGACCTCTTCACCAGCTGGGGCGGAACGGGGAAGCTGTTCGTGACGACGATGTGGTCGATCGACTCGCATTCCTCCATTTGCTCGAGGGATTCATCAGTGAACAGTCCATGCGTGGCAATGCAGTAGACTTTCTTCGCACCGCCCTTCTTCACGACAGTTTCTGCGGCAGCGATCCAGGACTTGCTCTTATCGATCATGTCGTCCATGATGAAGACTGTCCGACCACGTACATCGCCGACCAATGTGATGGTCTTTTCTGTCTCCAGATAGTTTCCAACACTGCCCTCTTCGTCATCAGAAGACTCAGCTGCGTCGAACGAGCCACCGAGGGCGTGGTCAGCGGGGATCGAAGACGTGGTAGACATCATGGAGTTCACCATCGCGTCCGGCACCGGCTCCGATTCATCACGGCTGACGGTCTGCCCTGGGGTCGTTTCACCCGACGCGGGATGAGACGTAGGGCCGGTCGACGGATAGTCATCATCGACCAGATGACCTTGCACCAGCCGCCCGGTGATGACCTCGCGCACGCGCACATCGGTATACTCATGGGCAGCTTCCAACTCGGAAGGACGACGAGCACCCGAAGGAGTCTCAGGACGCAGGTAGTTCGCCGCGGTGAGCGACTCCATGTTGGCGTTCGACTCCCCTCGATCCTCAGACGGGGCATCGTCGCTGCTTCCGCTCTGGCAGTGCAACACGAAGGGGTCCTGATCGTTGTCATTCGCCGACGGGGTGGGCTCCTCTTCGATCGAGTCAAAGAAGACGGTACTATCCGACATGGCCATGGGCATCTTGGGACGTCGGCGGTCCGTCGTGACAATGCCGAAGTTGAGCTTCAGGGTGTCTGCCAACGACGTGACACGCTTCGTGCCTCCTGCATTTTTGCTAACCACGACAGCTTCCCTCCACCCGGGCACGTTCATGCGGATCCAACGGGCGATGAAGGGCTCGGCGAACAGGTTATCGACAGGTTTGCCGAAGAACCCCTGCATTTGGGAAGCCTAGCGATCACGCTGATGAGAACTCCATCCATGCCTCGCAACCGAGCGCCTTGTGACTCACATGCAGATCCAACGTTATCACATGGTCCACCCCGGCAATCGAGAGCAGATTGGCCAGCATGCGGGCCGTGATGGCACCACGGTGGCTCTTCTTCTTGGACTGGCGGGAGTATGGGAAGTACCTCGTTCGCGTCAGCATCCAGCGTGCACCAGGAAGTTAAACGGGAGCATACGGCATGACCGCTAGAGGAGACACGAGTCAGTCATTGACATGATGTACCAGGGGGCAGTAAGACATCGACATACCTGTGATAGATTTTGCGGAACCACCCTTGCAGGCAGAGATCATGATCAGAAGCTCCATGACGCTGTCATTGATCTTTCCACTGCCGCTCTGGACGATGTAGATGTCCTGGTTCCGGACGGAACAACCGATGTTGACGCTGGTCTCGCCATTGCTGAATTTGCCCAGGTCGGCGCGTGCCAACTGGGTGCCCAGCCGCTCGCAGATGGTCTCGGCCAGGAGGGGGTGGGATGTCCCCGAGAAGATCTGGACTCCCCGCATTTTAGGAGTGAGATGGCTTATAAGGCATGGACCAGTTTAAGAGGGAAGGGGGATCAAGGTAGGCGGCGAGATCATCTCAAGAGCCTGAAGGGGGATGGGGGAAGTAAGGGGGAGGTGGTGGGGGAAGAAGGAGGAAGAAAAAAGGGCAGAAGAGGAAAGAAAAAGAATCGGAGCATTTCTTTATTTGCGGGAAAAAATTCGCGTGGAGGGAGCTTTCTCCTGGCCTCAGGCGCCCGTCACGTTCACGGTCGCTGTGGCGTGCCGTAGCTGCCACTTTAGGCTCTCCACACCCCCGCCATCCGCCCCCCTCCAAAGCCTCCCTCCAAGCAGGTCGGACTTAATCGAGCTCCAAGCATGGCGTCCAAATTCCCTCCCGTGCAAGGGGGAGGCTCCCTAATAGTCGCTTGGCAAACCAAGTCGAAACATATCCTGGTGGTTGGCGGTGGAGAGGTGAGCCCGAGACACCCTTGCAGCCGCTGGTCTCATATATCTTGCCGTGCTCACCAATGACTGGATTCCTCCCCCCAGGTGGCTGCAGGTCGTATCCTGCACGCCCTCAACGCCGACGCCAACGTAACCGTGGTCTGCCCGGTATCCGGGCTGAACGAGGAAGTGGCCTTCCGGGTCGCCGAGGGCCAGGTCACCCACGTCGATAGGAATTTCGAGCCCGCCGATCTGGACGGAGCCGACATGGTTCTTTGCGCCATCGACGACCCGGAGGCCTCCACGCAGGTCTGGAAGCTGTGCAAGGAGAAGCGCATCCCCGCGAACATCGCCGATGTGCCGCCGGAGTGTGATTTCTACTTCGGGAGCGTATACCGGGATGGGCCGTTGCAGGTCATGGTCAGCACCAATGGGAATGGACCCAAGTTGGCAAGTATCGTCCGGAAGAAGATCGCGAGCACCTTGCCGGATAACATGGGCGCAGCGATAGACAACGTGGGCCGGCTGCGGAAGAAGCTGAGGGAGATAGCCCCGAGGACGGAGGAAGGACCTAAGAGGATGAAGTGGTACGTTGGTCTTGTCGTCTGCGCGGTAGTAGTCTGCTGATTGACCGTGTAGGATGTCGGGGGTGTGCGAGTCGTGGAGCCTGGACGACCTTGTGGAGATGAACGACGCCGATATGGAGGGTCTGTTGGCCCACTACGAATCCGGGAAGATCCCAGCCTTGAACGAGGTCCGAGCCTCGCAGTAGACCTCGTAGCATTTTGTTCACCCTTCAATGGACGCCCTCGACAGCTGATGGCCCGTCTTGGGGAATCATTACGAATGATGGGTCAGTGATCGAACGGGTAACGAGAAGAAACGTGCGACGCTCGCATAACGATGTTATTTTGTACATATAAAAAACCCGCTTGCAAGTAAATGAAGAGCCTGAAGTAAAATAAAAGGGAAAGCAGAAAGTAATGCTCTGCTGATTCTACATTCAATACTCCCCCAGATCGAAAAAAGCCCTACAGTCCTGTTGACGAGGATATCCAAAAGCAACGCGAGAAACGGATTAAGAAGAAGATAAACAGCACCACCACACAGAGCTCGAGGACCCAGTCCTCGCTCAACGTCCACCGTGTTTGCTGGAGAACTGGCTCGAAACCGAGTTTCGATGACTGACGGGCGCCTGCGATGCAGGGATGCCCAGTTTGGCCTCGCCGATTCTCCGCAGCAAGGATTGGAGGGAAAGGCGAATCTCGGGGTTCAGGTCGCGGCTCAGCAGATCGACGGCCAACGGGTAGAATGTCCCAACATGCTTGTCGAAGCCCTCGGAAGGAAGGTTCGTGTAGCCCTCGATGACATCCACCACAACCGGACGCCATGCCACGACATTGCGATGCTGTGAATCTTCATCCAGGAGGACAAAGCTGTGGATGATGTCCGCACAGAGTCTGCGATGGGTGGTTAGCAAGACCGACGTTTCGTTACGGGGAAAAGAATTGCAACACTTACGGAATCAGGGCGGCCTCGGTTGCTGCGCGGCTGCTCTTCCTCTCCTCCCTCTCATCGTGGTACATGCGGAAAAGGATGTGAACATAAGTGGCGGCGCTTCCACTTTCCTGCTTGAGCAGGTTCGGGGGCTGTTTCATGAATCCCTGACGCCAAAGCTGCATCCGCAGTTCCTTGTCTTCATTGAACTTCTTCGCGAACTGATAGCTCTTCTTCAACAAGCCCATCAGCCGCAAGAGTTCATGACTGGGGATTTGAGAGAAGACCTTGTCGTTCGAGAACAATTCATGCACGGTTTCGATCATAAGCAGCTGCAGCACACAGTTGGTGATGATCCGGTTGAAAAAGCGACGTCGGGCCACGGTCACAGCGGCGGGCTGTTGTTGGGCCTCTGCCTGAGGTCTATAGTCCTCCAACGCGGGAGTTTCGGCTGCTTGCATATCGCCTTCCTCGTGCTCAGAAGAAAGGTTCTGCGTTCCATTGGGCTTGGGCGATTCAGCTCCATGTTCCTGGTCCGAGGTACTTTCAGAAGAGTCTTGGCCAGCGTCTTCAGTATTTGCCGAGTCACCGTTAGCGGGTTTCGACGGTGCCTTTGAAGACATCGAAGCAGCGGCGGTGAACAGCTCGTAGGCGGTGGTCTTGCTGAAAAGCTCGACAAAGGCGCCAACAACCTTTTTCCAGTGCTCGAGCTGGAACTTGGTAACGTTCTGCAAGATCAACTGTTGCAAGCAGTTACTTCCAATTCTTGCAATCGTGTCATTTTCCTGGCAGATACACAGCGTGAGAAGTTCCAGGATGCGACCAAGCATGTATTCCAGTGCATCGAAGTAATGGGTGAACAGTGTGATCATGTTTCTCAGAGCCTGGATCATAGTAGTCGAGAGCCAAACGGAAAGCTCCTCGTGATTGGGCACCTTGGACATCTCCGACTTGGACTGCAACACCACAAAGATGGGATAGAGAAGCTGTCTCCACAGCACGTCCCAGAATTCTTGCGGGAATTCGCCACCGTATCGTATCAATGTGTCGAACAGGTAGGTCAATGCTTGGGACCGGACCTCGAGATCATCACCGGTCATCAGCACGTCTTGGAAGGCGATTAAGATCGGGTACCAGAATTGCTCCTCCTTAGACTGGCGCGTAAGCTGCTGGGTCAGGTTGGTAGCATCCTCATGGAAGCCCACCGGCGGTGATGCGCCGCGATGAGACAGCGGGCACTCCGGCGTCCTGAGCAATTTGGAGACCGTCGACTTGAGCATTTCAATGGCTTGCAACGACTTCTTTTGGAATCTCGAGTTCTTGGAAAATTCTGTGAGACACACAACCAGATCGGGGAATGCACCCTGCGTTATGACAACGCCAAATCGAGTGTTGTAGATCTGGGTCACATGTTCGAAGGCCATGTTGACAATGCCCTCGTACGGCTCACGGGCAGCAACCGTGAAGACACCGAACATTGTTTTCCAACCAGAGCGGATGTTGTCTCCGCGTGCCTGAATCATCTGGATGAGACACCGGAGAATCATGTCTTTGACGGTAACGGCACTGCTGTTCGCCATGACATGCTCAAACGGCTTGAGGAAATCCTTCTGGAACTTGAAGCCAGGCAGCTCCTCAATTTCCATGAAGCGCATCGAGAGCTGACGAAGGGAATCGAGGGCGAAAAAGACGACAGTAGTGTTCGAATGGCAGCCGACCTGATTGAAATGCTGACCAAGCACCTCCCAAATCTTGGACCACTCTATCCTCACTCTCGTCATGTTGTAGTAGCTGATCTCGACCAGCTTCTGTAAGCTGTACGTCCGCGGAGACTCGGTCTGCCCAGAGGACTGGATTTCCTGCCAGCTCACCTCACTCAGCGCCTGAATGAAGTCGATGATGGCCTCGTGGGAAAGGTTAGCCGTGTTAGTGAAGATGCGGTCCACTCCCCTGATCATCCCGGCGGACCGACTCTCCATTGCAACCTCGCTACGGAAAGCGGTAGGTCCATTGATTGATCGAGGACGAGGCCGTCTCGATGCCTGCATAGACTTCCGAGACCCGTCTGGAGATGGCTGTGTCACAATGCGGGCGCGGGAGACATCAGGCAGGGAGTCTTCGTCGACGCCATCGGACAGGAGTTGGAGGCGATCAAGCTGACTGACGCAGGTCAGGATTTCTCTCCAGGAGCCCTTGAGATGGTTTCCTTCCGTAAGAGCCACGTCTAGCAATGCCTTCAAGGCCTCGACGTTCTTTGCCACCATCTCCCTCACATTGCCCAGGTTCGTGAACTTGGCCAACGCTGTTACGAACGCCACACGGGGTGTCTCCAGTTCAAACGCACAACTGATACGTATGGCCAGCTTCATACCGCCCATGCAGAGCCTGATAATTTCAAGGTACTGAGTATCCTGCATCGGTGCAGATAAGCCGGAAAGGAAAGACATCCAGGTTACATTGAACATAGAGCCAACATGTTGGACCGAGGTTGCCGGGATGAAGCGCGACAAAGCTTCCTTGACGGCCGTCTTCCGCTGCGCCCGGATCAAACTCCGGTAGAGCTGCTCGGTTTTGTTGGCCATTTCCTCCGAGGCCTGTGAGTATTTCTCTCCCTGGATATCCCTACCCACGGTAGCGAACACTTGGCCAGCTCTGGATGCGAGGCCGGCGGGGGCGGATGTAGGAATACTGAGGTTGGCAGCATGCTCCCGTTCCGTGTCCAGAACGATTTCATTGTTTGCAATCTCCTCGTAGATGGAGGTCAGATATTCATCAGGCAAGTTCTGGCTATCGTTGATACCGCGGTTGTTCTTGATGAAATCTTCTGGCGTCATGCGACGTCCCTTGATCTTCGCACTGTGCTGATCCGTGTTGAGCAGGATCACGGAGTACGCAAGAACGTACGCTGTGTCTGCGTTGGCGAATGCATTCGGGTTCTGAGTGACGTAGCGCTCTGCAAATTTCAGCATGAAGCGATCGATCTTCTGCGCCTCGCCAGGCAAACGGAAGTTCTGCAGAAATTGGCGGAGAGAATCAACGAAGCGCCGCTTCGAGAAATCCATCATATCCACAAAGGCGTGCATGATGGCAATATTTTCCGCATCTCCTTCGCCTAGATACTCGCCGATCATGGCCTTGTCTAACCGCTCATTCCGGTACAAAAAGGCTGCAATTTCCTCAGGGGAGCCGGAGCGTACGAATCCTTCCTTGACAAAGAGCTTGATTCCACGCTTGGGCTTGAAGTTGAACTGCTGAATGGCATTCGTGAAGGCAATCTTCCTTTGCTTGACCCTCTCTATCTGGCTCGGATCGTCTTCTGCTACCGGGGTAGTGTTGCCGTCAACGCTTTCGATCCGTGGGGAGGCAAGATAGGTGCCGGCAGTTGTGTCTATCGACTCTCTAGGGTTGTCAATCGACTTCTGCGAAGACGAGTGGGGAATGGGAGCAGCCTGGTCGATCAGACGCTGAGAGGCCCAGTTATCCAACGACTGCAAGATTTCCACCAAACACTCGATCGCTTGATTCTTCAATATGTAGTCGGGGGGCACATGTTGCAGGTTTGACTGTGGAGCGCCAGTAACATTGGCCGTGGTCAGCGACGGGGTAAGAGTCCCCCGTTGGTGCCAGTCATTCCCAATGGTTGAGACCTTGACGTGGTGCTCCTGGTACTGTTGCTGCTGGAAGGCGGTCACTGTGACGGGTACACTCGCATACCGGGATAATTGCTCGATGACGCTGTGGAGGTTAGAACTGTAGACAAGCGTTCGGAAAGACATACTTCTGGAAAATATTCTCCAACGCGGTTCTGTCGCAGTCATAATTGAGATACATCTCAACCAAAGCGCGCGGATCACCGGCCAACCTCTCCAGGATTTCCATAAAATACTGCTTCTGGTACATGGGAGAATTGCGCTTCTCGAGGATGGTCAGGTAGATCTCCTTGAGAAAGACCTCAAGCTCTTTCTGCTAGATGTCAGATCAATCCGTGAAAGCTATCTAAAAGGGGACAAACCTTCATCATGACTCTCATGTCCTTCAGCATGAGCCAGAATATCTCACAGCAGACCTCAAAGATCCTGGGCACCGAGCTGGAGCCGTTTCGACTGAGGCTGAGACAGATATGGGGCCGAACAGCCTGAAGTAGCGTCATTGCATCCGGACCGTTGGAGCTATTTTTGATCGTAAGGAGTGGAGATACAAAGATGGAGACGTGGTTGTTGAGAAGGTAATGGATAAGGTGCAAAGACAGCAATTTGGACCTCATGTTCTGTGACTTGAGATCCTGCTGTTGATCATGGCTCAGGATCTTGTGGCTCAGCTTGCACAGAGCCCTGAAGACGAGGAATGCGTCTTTGACGTATATTTCATCTTCGTCATCGTCTGCAGAGTGGTCATCCTCTCCCGAGGCAGCGGACAGGGACCGTGAAGGCCGTTGGTTTACCCTGGCACGGGTGACCATTGTGGGGGCATTGTCATTGACAGAAGTCACATCCTTGTTGGATTCGAAACTCTGCAACGTCAGCTTTTCCACGGGCTCCTTGGTTTCAGACTGCTCGGGGATCGCAGAGGGTGCATCTGACACGTGATCATCTTCCGCCGTCTGAGCCTCAGTCGGTTCGAGAGTGACAGTGTCTGAAGATCCGGATTGCCCCTTCTCACCCTCGCGCAAGTGTAGTTCCTTCAGCTCCAGCCTGGCCTGGACTCTATCGAACACCGTGCTGACCATCTGAGTCAATGACCCCTGGGCAATCTGCTGGTTCTGGGAGGATTTGGAATATATGAAGATGTTGTATATTTGGCGGACAGCTTTCAGGAGACCCGCTCCGTGGACAACAATCTTGTCATTCAGGACTGCTGCAAGAAGCGACTTGATGATCTGCTGCTGGATCTCAACAGGGGTGGCCTCGTTCTCAAAGCATTCGCAAATCGCATCGATGGCTCGTTCGATGAGGGGAGGCTGCTCCGGGTTGGCCTCGGCCTCGGCCGTCTGGGCCGAAGGGAAGGCGAAGTATGAGTAGGTAATCAGTTTCCCGATGCAGTCGAGGGCCGTCACCTGCAGAGGAATGCTGAATGATTTTGTGGCAAGGTGCAGGGGGCGGAACAGAAGTTCGGGGTCGATCGGTTGACGGTCCGACTGTTTGACATTGGCGAGCGCGCTCTTCACGGCCTCCTCCAATTTTTTATCCTTGCGCGCCTCTTTGGATGCGCCGATTGTGTCGAGCGCGGTGACCACGAAGACGGTGGAACTGACAGTCACGGAGCGATGCGTGGCGAAGGTCGCCGTTGTTGACCTGGAATCCGAGCGCATGCGGGCATCGGAGGCGGGCTCATCGCGAGGGGGTATCGAACCGGCATCGTGCCTGTCGGCCGGGGCTTCGTGTTCCACGTTGACAGCGGGAACCTCTGGTGGTATATCGGGACTACCGCCCTTCGACTTCGAGTCGTGTTCCGCGTCGGGGGTGGGTTCCGGGGATGCGACGGGTTCCTCCGGAGGGCTTGCAGCGTGATCGGGCGAGGCTGTGTTCTCAACGGTCTCCAATTGCGCGGGGGACGGGGAGGACTCGTCGGATGCCTCGAGCTCGACTGTCTGGGGCTCCAGGTCCTCTGTGAGGGCGGGCTTGTCGGCGTCGAGGGGGCCCTCAGCATGCGCTATGACATCGCCGGCATCCTCCTTGTTGTCTGCCTGCGGGAGGGCCGTGGGTATTTGGGCTGGCTCGGTTGGCGAGCCATTCTCGACGTCCGCCATTTGTGCGAGACTCCGTACGGAGGGTTAGGAAAGAGGCAAACGAGGGGTCCGCATGGGACTGGGAGTGAGGGAGGGGGGGTAATGCAGGAAGAAGAAGAAGGGCCGTCGAGGCTACGAGCAGCAACTAGTAACTAGTAGCAACTACTGGGGAATTGCAGCGTGTTCACTCCCGCGGACGGGGGAGCCAATCCGGTGGGCGGGACAGACCAGGCCCGCAGCATGCTGACATAATCGGGCCACGGCGGCGCCCGGCGAGACTATTCCGAACGCTCACCGGGAAGCTCAACAGAAAAGTTCCTGGAGCTGCAGTCCTCAACTCTCGATACGGGCCCTTCAACTCCGCCAGACACGTCGCTCGGCTCGCCTTTCATCTCCATTTCTCTCTCCCTCATTCCCGCCGCGGGCCTCTCCCTCTCTCCATCTCTCATATTCCAGCTTTGGGCACCATGGTTGCCTCTGCTGTCCGGATGCGCACCCCCAGCGCCATGTTTCTGTCCAAAGGCGCCCTCTCCCTGAGGCGGCCGCAGGCGGTTCACAGATTTAAGGACGTTGCCCAGTACGTCGCGGCCTCTCCCGGCCTCTTCCAACCCCTGGGATTCTTTCGTCCAGTCTAATATTTCTGCTCTCCAGGTCGCAATTGCCTTCCCTTTCCGCCCTTTCCCGCTACTATGCCTCTAAGTGTATGCCGTTATCCCGGTCGCCTTTCATCTGTGGACTCTCGGATTCTGACATGTGGACTCGCAGCCTTCCCCCCCCACACCATCATCAGCATGCCTGCCCTGTCGCCGACTATGTTGGCCGGAAACATCGGAGCCTGGCAGAAGAAGGCCGGAGACTCCCTGCAGCCCGGTGATGTTTTGGTGGAGATTGAGACCGATAAGGCCCAGATGGACTTCGAATTCCAGGAGGAGGGTGTTCTGGCCAAGGTCCTGAAGGAGACTGGCGAGAAGGAAGTCTCCGTTGGTGCTGTATGTGGATTTGCTTGTCTTTGGGCTGTTGGCCCCCATGCAGCGCTTGCTGACCGATATGTAGCCCATTGCCGTCCTGGTTGAGGAGGGTGTCGACGTTGCCGCCTTCGAGGGCTTCAGCCTGGCTGATGCCGGTGGTGACAAGGCCGCCCCTGCCGCTGAGGAGAGCAAGCAGGAATCCCAGTCCACCGATGCTGCCCCTGCCGCGTCTGAGCCCGCTCCCGCTGCCGTGGAGCCCGAGACTTCCGGTGACAGACTCCAGCCCAGTCTTGACCGCGAGCCCGGCATCAGCCCTGCCGCCAAGGCCCTGGCCCTGGAGAAGGGAGTCCCCATCAAGGCCCTCAAGGGTACCGGACGTGGTGGCCAGATCACCAAGGAGGACGTCGAGAAGTACAAGCCCGCCACCGCCGCCGCCGGGCCGACCTACGAGGACATCCCTCTCACTTCCATGCGCAAGACCATTGCTGCCCGCCTCCAACAGTCGACCCGCGAGAACCCCCACTTCTTCGTCTCCACCACCCTGTCCGTGAGCAAGCTCCTGAAGCTCCGCCAGGCTCTCAACGCCTCCGCCGACGGCAAGTACAAGCTGTCGGTCAACGACTTCCTCGTCAAGGCCTGCGCCGCGGCCCTCATGAAGGTTCCCGCTGTCAACTCCAGCTGGCGTGAGGAGAACGGCCAGGTGGTCATCCGTCAGCACAACACCGTCGACATCAGCGTTGCCGTCGCCACCCCTGCCGGCCTCATCACCCCCGTTGTCAAGGACGTGCAGGGTCTCGGCCTGTCCGGCATCTCCAACCAGATCAAAGACCTCGGCAAGCGTGCCCGTGACAACAAGCTCAAGCCTGAGGAGTACCAGGGCGGTACCTTCACCATCAGCAACATGGGCATGAACCCCGCCATTGAGCGCTTCACCGCGGTCATCAACCCCCCTCAGGCCGGTATCCTTGCCGTGGGCACCACCCGCAAGGTGGCCGTCCCCGTCGAGACCGAGGAGGGCACCGTCGTCGAGTGGGACGACCAGATCGTGGTGACTGGTAGCTTCGACCACAAGGTTGTGGACGGCGCCGTCGGTGGCGAGTGGATCAAGGAGCTGAAGAAGATTGTTGAGAACCCCCTGGAGCTTCTTCTGTAAGCCCGTCCTGTGCTTTGGAACCCGACCGGCCCTATGCTAGCTATCTACGATCGGAGTTTCTTTTGGTCTTGTTGTAATATGTACTAAAATCATTTGAATGTTTCCCTGACCGCGAGGTCCCGTACAGCCTAGATATTCAATGCATTTCCTATGTTTAGTACCTGCATTAGTACTTTATCAACAGGAGCATGAGCATATTACGGACAGTCCTGGACAGACCTCAACAGTACCCTAACAGTGTCTTGGACACTAGTAACCTAATAAACTTAGCACCTCGATAAGAATGACCATCACCACAACAGGTGGGCGCATGTCCGTGCATAAGTCCGTGCATGCGTCCCTGAATCTAGCCAGCCCACCAACAAACAATCATCCACAGCTAATCAAGCGGTAGACTAGATAGCAGCGATGACGGTAGAAAGTAAACCAGCAGGCGAAGCACCCACGGTACCCGGAAGCGCCCTCTCAAAACCGGGCTTGGCGGCGGTGACTGGGCAACTCCACCCAGCAAATCGATGACGTGATGTCATTCTTCCCGGCCTGCGCTGCCCATAAATACTGGGCGCCTTCCATCGTCCCTCATCCCCTGGAACCTTAGATAAATACTTTTCCCGCGTGCCACTATCCTCCCATTCGCATATTCTTCTCTTCTCTTGCGACTGTGAGTATTCCCACTTGGCTGGCTGCTCTAGGATCTGGACCTACATGCAGTCAAGGTATCCTTCCCGGATGGACGCATTGACTGATGACGTCGCAGACCTGATCTGATTCTCAACCTTCCACGCGAATCTCTACAATCCATCTCCATCCCTAGACCAGTACCAACCATCATGTCCTACGCAGACGCTGCCGCTAAAGGACCTAAGCAGTCCCCTGAGGAGGTGTGTACAATCGATTGATTCCCTTGTCCCACGTTCATCCCTTCATAAGTATCAGCAGCTAACACTCCACAGGCGTAAGTCAAGCCACCACACCACACCAATCCACACCCCCGCCACTAACACCAGCTAGCCGCGCGCCCGACGTCGGCGGAATCTACCGCGATGAATCCGAAAGCACGGCGTCGCTGGTCGACGTGGACTCGCCGCACGTGCAGGCCGTGGACGCCGAGTTCCTGCAGCAGGACGTGAAGACGACCACACAGGCGGAGCGCATCGAGCGCGAAGAAGAGGCGGAGGTGATCGCCAAAGAACAGAAAGCGAAGGCCAAGGCCCGCGCCAAAGCCAAGGCGAAGGCCAGTTCGGTGCGCCGCAACACCGACAACCCCGTTTACATTGGGAACGCTCTCATCCTGGCTCTGGCGGGTGCGGGGCTGGGGTACGGCGCGTACAGGAAGCATGCGGTGGGACAGCTGTCGTGGGAGCTCGTTGGTTGGGCTTCCGGTGCCGTGGGTGCCTTTGGGGCCGTGGATTACTTTGTTAGCAAGTGAGTTTGTCGTCTGATAGGGGGTGGGTGGGATAGTTTGCTAATATCGGTGTCTAGGTGGCTGCTCCAGAACAAGTACCCTCCCAAATGAGCGACGGCTTGAAGACGGTGCTGGCGGTTTGATATCCTGAGGTCATTTGTGACTGGCTTCGTGTTTCTTTGTTGTCTTCCGTGCTGGTCCTAGAGCCTACGAGGCGTCGTCGATGACTGGGCGTTATAGTGCGTTTACTATCGTCTCTAATTACTGTTCTTGCGGGGGGTGAGTTCCATAGTAGTCTGTTAGTCTATCTTACAGCAATACATCACTCGGACATGTTGTATGCGCAGAATAGACCTTATGTACAGACGACATCATACACTAGTTGTAGTCCTCTCTGGATGCGATTGAGTTGCGGCTCGCTGCAGGCGGAGGCGGTCAGGGGCGTCAGAATTGCTGCAAGAACATGTGGCCTCGGCAGCATCATCATAGTCGGCGGCGATAGCTCCGGACACGTCGACACCGACCCAACCAACCGCCTGGCGTGGTGCACCCGACAAGACCACCTTTTCAAACAATCATCAATCCCATCAGCCTCTGCGAGTCCGGTGTTGTGTAGTAGCTCTGTCCCGGGCACACCGCAAAATGGTACGATCCGCCCGCTGAGACACACAGTACCATCAGAACGGGGTATACTGACTCTGCGTGCAGAACTCCCTTTTCAACTCCGCCCTCAAGCAGTCCTCCGCCATCCGGCGGGACCTGGACACCTTCTCGCAGTCGCCGGCGACATCATCCGCCGCGCTACAAGGTACGCACACCGACCAGAATGGGGATGCTGAATAGAAGCTGACGCGCCGGACAGGCCAAATCGCCGCGTCTCTCGCCTCCCTCTCCCGCACCGTCGACGACTACTCCGCCTTGTCGAAGAAGGAGCTGATACTTGAGAAACAAGAGAAGGCGTTCGACCGCGTGAAGAACTTCCGCTCCGAGCTGGCGGATTACAGACAACATTTTGATCGACTGCGGAAGGAACGAGAAGATGCTGTAAGCTACGCCCATCCATCCAGACACTCTCCATATATATCTGCCTACGCATCCATTTACACATCTACACATCTACAAGCACTAACCACAGCCATCTACCACAGCAATCCGTCACAAACCGCAACGAACTTCTCGGCCGCCGCCCCCACCACACCGCTACGCCCGAAAACCCCTACGCGCAATCCTCCCTCCCGCCCACGTCCTCCGCCTTCGGCAACCCATCCTCCCGCGCCGGGCTCAGCTTCGGCGCCTCCCCGGCCGACTACACGCGGGAGACGCACGCTCTGCGCGAGCAGAGCTTCTTGTCGAGCACGAGCACGCAGCTGGACGAGTTCCTGGACCGGGGACGCGCCGTGTTGACGGATCTGGGGCAGCAGCGGGAGGTGCTCAAGGGGACGCAGCGGCGGCTGTACAGCGTCGCGAATACGCTGGGGGTCAGCGGGGAGACGATCCGCCGCGTGGAACGCAGGGCGAAGCAGGATAAGTGGATCTTTTGGGGCGGGGTGTTGGTGTTCTTTTTGTTTTGCTGGGGGGTGTTGCATTTTTTGAGGTAGATGTGGTGCTTTCTAGGTTGGGGGTTGGGGGTTGAGTTGAGGGGTTAAATTAGCTGGATGGGGGGGGGTGATGGTGCTTGTGGTTGGCGATGGGGCTGTGGGCTTGAATGAGGTTGTTGGTGCTTGCAAGTCTGCGATGGGGTTGATTTCTTCGGTTTTTGGGATGTATTTTGCTTGTCTTACAGCGCGGCGTTCGGAGCGCATTGGAGGTATCGCATTGGTACCGATGTAAGTATTGCTGCAGGGTGACGGTTAGCTTCCTTGTTGCCGGTGCAATTGAGTGGAGTCGCGGGAGGGAGAATGTCGGGAAGCTGAATACCAGTCGAGTATCTATACGGAGTAGAATACCAGAATCAGGCCAGCCGGCAAAACGGAACGACCGCCAAGCTGTTACGGAAGCCGGCCACTAATCAGGACCACCCGCTGCCGTGGGGATCGGAACCGGAGCAAATCGCGGGCCCAAAATCCTCTCACCGGCCACCGCGGCTTCTCCCTTCTTCTTCCTCTCTCCTCTCTCTCCTCCCTTCTTCCCCCATCCCCAATTATTTCCATCCATCCATCTCCCCCCTCCCCCCCCCCGGTCAGATTCACTTCTGTATCTATCTCATTCAAAATGTTCGCTGCTCGCCAGTCTCTCAACCTCCTCGGAAAGCGTAGCTTCTCCGCTTCCGCCAGCCAGGTGAGCTATCCTGAAAACATGGAGCTGTCCTGTCAGCACTCTCTAACACCCTCATCTCCAGGCCTCCAAGGTCGCTGTGCTCGGTGCTGCCGGTGGCATTGGCCAGCCCCTGTCCATGCTCATGAAGCTCAACCCCCTCGTCACTGACCTCGCTCTCTACGATATCCGCGGTGGACCCGGTACGTCGGACAATCAGAATCCATCCGAACCCCCCCCCGACTAACAGACCCAGGTGTCGCTGCCGACCTGAGCCACATCAACACCAACAGCACCGTCACCGGCTACGACCCCACCCCCTCCGGCCTCCGCGATGCCCTCAAGGGCTCCGAGATCATCCTCATCCCTGCCGGTGTTCCTCGCAAGCCCGGCATGACCCGTGACGGTATGGCCCGCCTGAGTAAGGCGTCAAGACTAGGCTAATCCTGCAGACCTGTTCAACACCAACGCCTCCATCGTCCGCGACCTCGCCAAGGCCGCCGCTGAGGCTGCCCCCGAGGCCAACATCCTCGTCATCTCCAATCCCGTATGTACACTTTCTGGTCTGTCTGACTGCAGCTAACGGATCAGGTCAACTCCACCGTCCCCATCGTCTCCGAGGTCTACAAGGCCCGTGGCGTCTACAACCCCAAGCGCCTGTTCGGTGTCACCACCCTGGACGTTGTCCGTGCGTCCCGCTTCATCTCCCAGGTCAAGGGCACCAGCCCCGCCAACGAGGCCGTCACCGTCATTGGTGGCCACTCCGGCGTGACCATCGTGCCCCTGCTCTCCCAGTCCAACCACCCCTCCATTGAGGGAACCGTCCGCGACGAGCTGGTCAACCGCATCCAGTTCGGTGGTGACGAGGTTGTCAAGGCCAAGGACGGTGCCGGTTCCGCCACCCTGTCCATGGCTTTCGCCGGTGCTCGCTTCGCCGACTCCCTGCTCAAGGCCGCCAACGGCGAGAAGGGCATCGTCGAGCCCACCTTCGTCGACAGCCCCCTGTTCAAGGACCAGGGTGTCGACTTCTTCGCCTCCAAGGTCGAGCTCGGCCCCAACGGTGTCGAGAAGATCCACGAGGTCGGCCAGGTCAACGCCTACGAGGAGAAGCTGATCGAGGCTGCCCTCGCTGACCTGAAGAAGAACATCCAGAAGGGTACGCCCCCCCCCCCCAACTTGAATCATATCTATGATCCTTATCGGTCTGAAGCTAATAAAATCAGGTGTCGACTTCGTCAAGGCCAACCCTTAAATGATTGACCATGTACCTATGTATAAAGCTGTGTAATACCCTTGCACCCGCTCGGCTTTGTATTGGAGATGGATGTGTATTTCAAATAGGAAAATAATAAATGGACAGTAGACAGACTTGTAGTAGACTGATGACTATAATGACAGTAACTAGTGACTACCGTGTCTAATGACTAATGACCGCAATGACTGTAGTGACTACTGTGTCTAATGACCAATGGACTATACAATGGACTATATAATAGACCATATAACAATTCGATAAATGTTCGAACTGGAGGTAATTCTGGATTCCACAAACCCAAATCATATCATATCATATCTGATCCGATAGATACAGAGTAGAGAGATATCTATCCTTTATCAGATAGCCATAGCCATAGCCATAGCCATAGCCATCCATCCATCCATCCCTTCCCCAGCCCAGCCCAGCCCAGCCCAGCCATGGTCTATTTATTTATTTATTTATTTATATTGTCAGATAAATATAAATATAAGTTGCCACAGGCGGGAATAGGAATCTAATCATGGGTGTTGTAATTCAGGTGAGTATGGAGGGAGGAGGTTTGTAATATATCATATTGATCTAGTTAGTATCTACTGGGTATTTGGGAGCGTGGTATCCCATCCCATCCTATCCTATCTATCCTATCCTAGTCCACTCTATCAAATATATACATATAAAGAGTGCTAGTATTGCTAGTAGACGGTAGAGGAGGGGAGAGATGGATGGATCGATGGATGGATCGATCGATCAGACTACTGACATGGAATAAGAATAATCCTGATAATCAGAATAATAATAATCATTATTGTCATTGTGATTGTCATTGTGATTGTCATTTCTGCTCGTAACTAGTATCTCTGATCCAATCTAAGGTAGTCAACTAACTCAGTCCCATCACATCCCATCACATCCTGTCCCTCCCATCCCATCCCGTCACCAGTAATAGAGCAAGTTCAACCAATCCGATCCCCGGTGCCAAATAAGATTGAATTAAGGCGGAAAAAAAGGAACAAAAAAAAAAAAAAAAAGAAATCGATGAGGAAAAAGGGATGAAGATAGAAAAGAAGAGCGGGGGTATTTCATCATCATCATCATCCATCCATCCATCCATCCATCCATCCACCATCCACCATCCATCCATCCACCATCCATCCATCCACCATCCCCGGGGAAGAAGCAAAACCAGAGCGGAATAACACGGTGCAAGACAGACAAAAGCAAAGCAAAGCAAAGCAAAGCAAAGCAAAGCAGAGCAAAGCAAAGCAAAGCAAAGCAAAGCAAAGCAGAGCAAAGCAAAGCAAAGCAAAGCAAAGCAAAGCAAAGCAAACAAAAACAAAACTAGAAGCAAAAATAGGGAATATCGCATCATCCATCCCCTCCACCTCCCTCCACCGCCACGTCCATCTCAATATACCCAAAATCATCCATCCATCCATCCATCCATACATGCGTGCGTGCGTGCATACATGCGTGCATGCACCCATACATACATAGATAGATAGATAGATAGGGAGATGGATAGGAGATATAGCTCAGATGATATATAATCCCTCCAAATAACCCCAGCCCAGCCCACCTCCAAAAAAATACTTGTAAAAAAAAAAGTAAAAAAAAAAAAAAAAAAGGTCAAGTATAACTCCGCATCGCATCCAAATAACCCGTCCCGCCGCGCAGATCCTGATCGAACGTCTCCGCGACCTCCAGCACGCGCTTGATGTGTTCCATCGAGAGGGGGGTGTTTTCGTTGACGGCGAGGGCTTGTGCTGTGCGAACGGAGTTTTTGATCTATCCAGTATTAGCGTAATCTTCTTTGGGAGACTAAATAGGAGGGGAAAAGGAGAAGGAAAGGAAGAAAGAAAGAAAGAAAGGAAAAGGGGGAACAGAGGCAAAGGGAAGGTGTCTGTCTGTCTGTCTGTCTTACCTGCCGCCCATTCAACCGATGTCTCGCGAGAAGATCAAAGTCCTTTTCCGTGAAGCCAGCAATCACGCCCTGCTCCTCATCCTCACCCCCACCCCCACCAGCACCCTCTTCGCCAGTCTTACTCTTCGACTTCGAGGCGGATTCCAAATCCTTGACCCTCCCCAAAAACATCCTCCAGACACACCGTTTCGCCTTGGTGGTCAAATCGCCATACCTAAGCGCGACATGAATCCTGCTCTGAAACGCATCATCGAAGGTCTCCACGCGATTGGTCGTCAAAAACAGAATGCCCTGGAAATACTCCAACAGCCGCAAAAAGATACTCACCAGGGCATTCCGATGAATATCCTGGATCGTGCGCTTCTCGAGAAAGATATCCGCCTCATCGAGCAGCAACACCGCGCCCCAGCTGTGCGCGATGTCGAGGATTTTATTCAACTCCGCCTCCAACGTGCGGGAATCTGTGCCCAACTCGCCCGCACTGACCATGTAGAGGGGCCGTTTGAGCAGTTCCGCGATGCCTTCTGCTGTGAGGGTTTTGCCGGTGCCCGGGGGCCCGTGCAGGACGGCCACGAGCCCTTTGCCTTTGCCTTGGATGACGTCGTCGATGTTTTGGGCCGCCCGGAAGGTGTGCGATTCCACGAGGGCTTTGACGATGGATTTTTGGTTTTCCGGGAGGACGAGGCTGGAGAAGGCGGTCTCGTTCCATGATATCGGACTGATGCCGGATATGCTGAATTCCAGCCAGAGTTTTTCGCTGAAGGCGAAGCCGAGGACGACCGGGCTGGCGGTTAGCAGTTCTTCTTCGGTGAAGGTGCGGGTCGTGTTGGTGTTGGTGTTGGTGTTGTCGGGTGAGGATGGGGAAGCTGTGTCTTCGACGGCGTCGATGTCTTCGCGCCGGGGGCTGATTTCCTGGCCGTGCTCGTCGAATTCGATCTCGACCACGTGCGGCTTGCCGTCTTTGTCGCGGAGGACTTTGTATTTGGGACTCGGGGAGGCAGAAGAGGCAGACGGGGAGGAAGAGTCGAGGGCAGCGTGGTGGTTCTGCCCGTCGGAATCCGAGTCCGCGGCGCAGCAGCACGAAGCATCACTCGCATCGTCGTCCCCACCGAGGTAGTCCGGATCCTTCGGACGGACGGTACTGATGGGATAATTGGGGTTGATGCGGCGATGGATGGCCGGATCGATCATGACGCGCCCGTTGATGTTGACTTTGATGACGGAGCGCTTTTTCTTGTAGAAGGCCATGCCCTTGTGGAAGCGGTAGTTCATGCCGCGCAGGGCGACGAACTTCTTGCCGCGCTCGATGAGCTTCGTCTTGACGGCGTCGGCGTCACGGTGGTATTTCAGCGGGTAGCAGGCCAGGCTGGTGATCTTGCGGGCGCCCTTGAACGATTCGACCTCCGCGGCCATGGTGCCCATCCCGAAGGTCTTGCCGTCGTATTCGAGGTAGCGGCCCTCGATGCTGTACCATTGGCCTTTCATGAAGGAGGACTCCTTGGTGGCGTATTCGATCTTGAACGCCCGCGGCTCGTCCGCGTTGCCGTACGTCGAGGAGTAGGCGATCGTGTTGGGCTTGAAGATGGCCCACAGCAGGTCGAAGGTGATCATGTTGGCGTCCAGCAGCGGGTACAGGGTCTTCTTGGTCTCCGCGTAGTCGGTGTCCAGGTATTTGAGGAGGACTTTGAGGTGCGACGCCTTGAGATCGGCCACCTTGCGCGCTTTCTTTTTCTTCTCGCTCTTGGAGAGCTGCCGGAGCTCTTTCATGTATTGGCGGGTCTCTTCGAGGTACAGGAAGAGCATGTTGGGGTCGACGACCGCCGTCTCCTGCACCAGGCTGACGCCCTTCACCCCGTCCATCACCTTGGCTAGCGCGTCGCGCAGGTACTTGCTCTTCAGGTCGACGACCGTCTCGAGGTACTTGTTGTCCCAGTCGAACTTGCGGCGCACGGTGAAGAGGTACTGGTCCCATTCGTTGGCGTCGGGGTCGTCGACCGTCTCGGTGAGTTTGAAGTTGTGGATGGTGTTGTCCCACACTGCCGAGCTGGAGTCAGTACAGTAGAGAATATAGTATCCAGGGGGCAGGAGGACGCACATTGATCGACGCGCTTGAAGGCGATCTTGGACGCGGCCTTCTTACGGCCCTTCTTCAGGGTCTTCGGGGGTCAGTCTTGCGGCCCTTGCGGCGATCGACCTTCAACTTCAGGGCGGCCAGCTTCTGCTTGGCCAGGAGGAGGGCCAGCTCCTCCTCCTCGTCGTCGTCGTCATCATCATCGTCATCATCGTCATCGTCGGGCTGCTCCTCGGAGTCGTCCTTGCGGGCCTTCTTGGGCTTCTTGGCCTTGAGCTTGGCGATCAGCTTCTTGAGGGTCTTCTCGTCGAGCTCATCATCGTCGTCGTCATCGTTGTCCTCTGTCTCGGAGACATCATCCGAGTCGGACTGCGGACGGGCCTTCTTGCGGGTATTCTTGAGGGCCTTCTTGGATTTGTGTTTGGGGCGGCGGCGGCGGCGGCGCGGCTTGCGGTCGGATTCCGAGGCGGATTCCGCGGAGGACGATGGCGAGGAGGAGGAGGAGGATTCGTCGTTGTCGGAGGGGGAATCCGGGGCCGATGACGAGGAGTCGTCCGATGGAGTCACGACGGAGGCGGTCTTGGGACGAGACTTCTTTTTCCGAGGGTCTTTGGGGGGGTGTTTGGCGCACACGCACACGGGCTTCTTGTCGACGAGGGCGGGTTTGGGGTCGGGCAGGTCGGCGTCCAGTTTGGTGGATACAGGCGCTGCGGAGGTGGAGGTGCCTGGCAGGGCGTTATTCGTCGTGCTGTTGGGATCGGCCATCGTTCGGGTTCCACAGTGGAGCTGCTGGGGGTTGGGGCTGGGTGTCAGTCCGACAGACGAGAGGAAGAATGGAAACAGACTTGGAATGTTGTTTAAATAAGTACCTCGGACACCCTGCTGCCGCTGCTGCCGCTCTAACAGGCTGGATGCTCGCTTGCGAAGCGCCTTGCGTTTGTTGTTGTTGTTGTTGTTAGTGATGGTGGTGTTGAGTTGGCAGCGGAGCGGTGTGATGCCTGAGAAGGACTGCGACCCGAAGCAGTGAGCCAGAATCTGGGGAGGAGGGGCTTAAATAAAAGACGAGAGCAGGCAGAAGGAAGGCTGACAGGGAGCGGCAGAGTGAGGCGATTCGATCGGGGAGAGAAAAAGAAAATCCACCGGATTGGGAGCGGATGACTCTGTGGCACAGACTGATGGCCGGCCAGCCAGCCAGCCGCCAAAGCTGCCTGGACGGCGGCACAGTCACCGACATTTGTGAGCTGGCAGGTCTAGAGTGTGGTCGATGTCAATGTCAATGTCGATGTCGATCTGAGTCGTACTCTGTCTCGAGCAGCAGTCCTCTGATCCTCCGTTCAGAGAGACCAGAAGCACCCCAACCAGGGATCCCTGTCTGTTGGTGATTTACAAATGGGCCGTGAAAGGGAGTGCGCAAGACCGGGATGCATGTCCAGATGCATGTCCAGATGCATGTCCGTGCTATGCTCTGCCATACCATGGCCATCCAGTGACTGGCACCGTAACCAAAGCAGGCCACTGGCCCGAGCCCTAACGAATCTCCCCACCAACGCCGGCTATACCGAACCGCAGCCTCACCACCTCACCATCTCGACACCTCGACACCTCGCCGAATCGGCCGCTAACAGTGTCGTCCTGTAAACCGCAAGCTCTGCTATCCCAAGCGGGTCCATCTGGTCGTTCACTGGCGCAGACAGGCATTCACCATGAACACGATGAGTCAGAGGTTATACAGATTCTTGTCCTGTCCGAACTCATCCTCACCTTATTCTCTTGACACGCTCTGAAATCGACCTGCTGTTGATTGGATTCATCTGATCCTTGTTCACAACACCGTCACATCCAACTCGCTCTACTCACACCTTGCTCTTTGTTCTACGCCATGACCGACCAGCCTGCGGTCAAGAAGCGCAAGGTGGCCAAGGGCAAGGACGCCGCTGCAGGTGCTGGTGAACCTGCCCCTGAGAGCTCCACCAACAACACCACCACCACCCCCTCCAAGCCCCCCAAGAAAAAGATCGCAAAGCTCCCTCCCATCCCTCTCACCGAGGCGAGCGCCGGCCCTGGGGACCGCCTGATCATCCGTCTGAGGGAGAAGGAGAAGAAATCCTGGGAGAAGATCTACAAGGAGTGGAACGAGATGACAAGCCTAGAAGCAAAGGGGACCACGCTGCGTGGGCGCTATGAGGCCATGCAAGCGAACTTCCGGGGGATGGACCCGGAAGACGTAAGTAATTCAGTTCTCTCTTGTCTTTTCTTTTACTTTGCGTTCACCATCCATCCATCCGTCACCCCCAACAAAACAACAACCCTAACAGCACACAACCAGGAACCCAAATTCATCGCGGCCAAAAAAGCCATCGAGAAGCGCCTCGAGCGCCAGAAGTGGAAACTGATCCGAGACGAGATCGTCGCCGCCCAGGGCGGGAAATACTCCTGCCGCTATCTGGAGAAGAAGTGGAAGGAGCTGGTGCGGACCGGAAGGCATGAGTTGAAGTCGGGGGGAAGAACGAGGGTGAGGTTGAAGTTAAGGAGGATGACGCTCACGGTGAGGAAGAGGAGGAGGAAGAGGAAGAGGAAGAGGCCGACGCTGTCGATGAGGAAGATGTGCTCGGCATTGAAGACGATGAAGACGATGAAGAAGAAGAAGAAGAGAAAGAAGAAGAGAAGAAAGAAGATGGGGATGGGGATGGAGATGTCAAAGAAGACTGAGATATCGGTGTTTCCTGGTTTTTTTTTTTTTTTTTTTTTTTTTCTCTTACGGGTCTGAGGGACCTGGCTTCGAGCTACGGGCTACGATCTACGAGGTTGCAGTTGTGGTCGCCGGATTTCTTCATGTTCTGCACCTACACATCGGACGAAGAGAGTTGCCGTGCTTGAATTAATCTAGTTTCTGAACACGAGGTTAATTCCCCGGGTTAATCGAGCAATGGATCGGACGTTTATCCTGAAAGATTCAAATCGCAATCAATAATCATCCATAAATAATCCTATCATAACGCTATTCGAGGTATCATCAGACAGACAGACAGACAACCCAAACCAAACCAAACAATACCAATAAACCACAACCCGAACAACCAGCTATCGAGATCAGAAACAATATCCAGTAGCCAATACCAGTACCAGTACCAGTACCAGAAACAAAGCAAAGAGCTCGAAACAACCAGAAACAAAAAAAAAGACCAATTACACCACAGTCAACTCCCTCCTCGCATCATACAAATCCTCGCCGTTAACATTCACCTTCGATCGAAAGCTATCCGCCCTCACAATGGCCGGCCGGATCTTAGTCCCCACAAACCCTCGACGATCCCGGCCTGTCCGCCCCCGTCCCAGCCAGTTGTGCTTCAGCTCCTTGCTCAGCAGCTCGATCTGCTCCTGCGAGCGATCCGAGGTCTGCACGCTGGCCAGCACGCTGACGCACTGCAGCATGCGGCCGACGGTCTCGGTGATGATGTGCGAGGTGTCCGCCGTGTGGGACGAGCGGTGGATGATGCTGGGGCGCTGCGGCGGGGACGAGAAGGACTGGAAGATCAGCTGGTCCGGGTTGGAGGACGTGTTGGAGGCGGCGCGGCTGCGGTTGTGGCCGGACAGGGATTCGGACGACAGGCTGGCGCTGGCGGCGGTGTTGAGCAGCGTGGACGACTGCGAGCTGTAGCTGCCGAAGCCGCCGTCAAGGGAGGCGGACGTGGTGGGTCGGTTGCTGGGGGCGCTGCTCTTGGTGGTTACGCTGAGGGAGGTGCCCAGCTTGATGCTGTCCAGGCTGAGACGCGAGAACGTCGCTTTGAGGATGTCGTACCGGTAGAGGATCACCATGTCGCGGAAGGCAATCAGCACCAGGTTGCGCACGTCCAGATCGCAGCCCGGGAACTCGCCGTGCAGGGCCGACGCCCAGAACTCGCTGGCCTCGCGGCGGTTCATCACCGATCCGCAGCCTTTGAACTCCAGGTCTAGCGGCAGGAACACCGCTTGGATGAAGGGGAGGATTGTGCCGAATACCAGCATCCACACCTGCACCAGGTGCGGCACCAGCTTTTCGTCTGGGATGCCGCTCAGCGTGTGGTTCAGCGACGCGCACCCCGTCTCTAGCAGCTCGCGCAGGTCGTCGACCACCGCCGTGGGGGTGCGCTTCTGCACGCAGCGCTGGATGTGGATCAGCACCAGCTTGTTGAGGTCCTCGATGGCGATGCGCACGTCCTCGCCGTCGAAGATCACCATCAGCTTGGCCTTGAGGAAGTCCCACGCATCCTCCGGCGTCATGTTGTTCAGCCCGAACCCCTGCAGCGTCTCGCGCAGCGCCGCCTCCGCAAGCATCCCGGTCGAGCTGCCCAGCGACGATGGCCCCGGGAACCCGCTCGACGCCCCCGGGCCCGACGAGCTGGCCGTCCATTCCACCTGCTCCTCGGCCTGGGCCTTCTCCTCCTTCTTCTTCTCGCGCAGCCCGTGCAGCAGGTCCAGCCCGCTGACCGACTTGCCGAACGTCGTGGTCACCGCCCCGGGCGACGCCGGCGTGAACGAGTACAGCGACTGGGGGGCGTTCGGGTCGGACGGCTTGGAGTTACTGGACGCCGACGACAGCGGCAGGTTGTAGTGATCGTCCCGATCCTTCAGCTTGAGCTTCTGGCGGGACAGGAAATGGTGCTTGTGCTTGTCCTTCTCCTTCTCCTTCTCCTTCTCCCCAGGCTTATCGGACGGGACGACCGTGCTGACGGACGCATTGGACAGGTTGTACATAGACGAGTTGTTGGAGGGAAAGGTATCGGCCAGACTGGTCGTCGACGCACTGACAATCCGGGACAGACCGCCGCCGGGGAACCCCATCTTGCTGGGCGACGGCAGCCCGCGGTCCTTGCCGATCCCGTCCTTATCTCGACTGATGCCGATGTGCTTCGGCTTGGAGAACAGCTTCATCTTCGACTTCTCGCCCTTGTGCTTGTGCTCGCGCTCCTGCGGAATCTCCAGCCCGGGCGGCTGCAGCGCGGGGGCCCGTGGGAAGACGACATTGGCGGCGGTGGTGGCGACATGGGTATGGCCTCCCCCTCCTCCACCATTCTGGTATGTGCTATTCGTGGGCGGGGCGAACAACGGGGCGGGGAGCGGCGGGGGAGGCGAGGCGCTGCCTCCGCGGGCCAGGCGACTGTCGTCGGAGACGCCGCGGACGGTGGGAGGGCGATGAGGGGAGCTCTGGGCGGAGGACTGCTGCTGCTGCTGCTGCTGCTGCTGTTGCTGGAGCATGGCGGCCTGGGCGGCGATGCGGGAGGCGGAGAGCGAGGCGTCGGAGGAGGCGGTGGGGAGGGAGGGCTCGAAGAAGCCCTGGGAGTGGTGGCGCGAGCGACGCTGGAGATCGGAGGAGCCCCGACCGGAGGGCTTCCTGCTCAGGATGTCATTCTGCGGCATGAAGGAGACGGGGGAGCGGTTGGTGTGGGGTTGGGTGTTGTGGGTGTGAGACTGAAACTGGGCTGAGTGTTGATGGTCGGGTGGGTGTGGTGAGTCGCGGCGGTGATGGAGGAGGAGCGTGGGGGGCGGGGCGAGGAGGTGACAGCAGTGGCACTGGGTTGAGAGGGTTGGTGGGGAGAGATGGTGGTCACATTGGAGGTGATGGAGTCGTCGCTGCCGGAGGAGTAGTCGTCGAAGGAACGGCGAGGGGGGAGAGGGAGAGGCGATCGGGGGGTCGTTCGGGGGAGACGGGGGAGCGTAGCATGATTGTTGGCAGAGTCGGTGTGCAGAATGCGAGGTGGATCAAGGCATGGTATGCAGGAGTAGAGACCGTAGAGCAGTAGAATGGAGAGAGTGTAAAATAGAGAGAGAGAGAAAGAGAGAGAGAGAGAGAGAGAGAGAGAGAGTAGCACAACGATCAGCAGGAGAGATCGTCATGAAACCCTTTTGCTCCCCGGCAGTCCAGCCTCTTTCCCCACTGCAACCACTGCGGTCGGTCTCTCTCTCCCGCACCACTTCACTTCACTTCACTTCACTTCTACCACTCCCGCCACTCTCCCATTTACCACCACACAACCACCACCACCACCACCACTCCTATTTCCAACAACAACAACAACAACAACAACAACCAACAGCAACAAAAAAAAAATGTCCCTCCGCGCAATCTACACCTCCCCCACCCCCAACCACCCCACCCAAACCTTCAGCCACCCCATCACCACCACCACAACCACCTCCCCCCCTCGACCGCCAACAAAACCGCCCATCTCGCCGAATTACGGGCCCGCGTCCCCGACCTCCAGAACGAAATCAACGTCTTCCTGACCGCGCGCATGGAGGACGATAAGAAAGCCGCGGGGCAGACGGACGAGAAGGAGAGTCGCGAGGAGGAGAATTACGGGGAGGAGGTGGTTGAGGAGGATGCTTGATTTTTTTTTTCTTTCTTCTTTTTTTAATACGCTTCCGAAAAGAATCTTCTTTTTCTTATCATGAGGTGGAGGGGGTGGAGGGGGATTGGATTGAGGGATTGGTGTTGGTGGACTTGAGGATTGGACTGGAGGTGGGGGGGGGGGGGAAGAATGAGATTATACTGGGATAGGGTGGGTGGATATACCTGATATTGGAGAGGATGGATGCACACACAGCTACACCGGACAGGAGAGAATGGTTTGCTACGCAACTACAATAAAACACAACAAGAAAGGGAGAGAAAAACATGCAGACCGGGTATCACGCAAAGCCACCACTCCGGAGCGTGAGGATGACAGCCGAATACAGACAAAAAGAACTACGCTACCGCTACCGCTACCACTATACACTCCGCATGCGATTGGCACACCCCAGATGAACCACCGTGTTGCTGTCGGGTCAGCACATTCATGACTCGGGTGAAAAATAATAAGGATCGGGGTTGAACGACAAGGAGGGTGCACTCACTCTGGAAACACATTGATCACACTCCCCCCAATGCGCTTATGACACATCCCGCACACGCGCTCCTCGGTGATGGTGACATGGCGCGACCGCGTGCCCCGGCCGTCGGTCGCCTCGCCGACCAGCAGCTGCGCCTGGGTCTTGATGTTCTCGGCTTTCTGCAGGCTCGACACGATGCGGCTCTCGTTCAGGATCGAGTTGGCCGCGCGCATCCGCCCCCGGAAGTAGAAGTCCAGCTCCTGCACCGGCAGCGTCTCGGGGATCAGGTCCAGCGCCGAGTTGGGCGGCAGCCGCGAGCCGTGCTTGGCCAGCACTTCCAGCGCGGGGCCGTAGCGCGGCTGGTAGCCGTGGGGGGGCGAGAGGTAGAGTGAGAGCAGGGTCAGGTAAATGGAGGGCTTGTCTTCTTCGTAGGCCAGCAGGGCCACGCAGCGGGGGGGATGCCGTCGGCGGTGTCTTCTGTTTTGTGTAGGTGGTTGCAGTATCTGCATTTCGAGCATTAGCAGACGTTATAAGAAAGATCATTGACAAAATCGTTGGAAAGAGCAGCGTAGGATGATGTAGCAGGTGTAGATAGAGATGTAGGAGCAGGTGCAGTGCGGTGCAGTGTGATGTAGTGTAGGAGTAGGTGTAGTAGGACTAGGAGTAGCAGCGATAGCAGATGCAGGTATCAAAGCAGGACATCATAGGGACAGGATAGGAACACTCACTCCTCAGCCTTAGCATAATCCTCCAACCGAAAAACATAAATCTCCAAGGCCTGGCGATGCTGCCCCATCTTGCTAAACACAATAGCGCGAGCCTCGAAGAACTCCGGATCTAAAGGGTCAGCACCAGCCACTAACCACCAAACAACCCCCAACTTCAAAGGTAGCAAGATAAGAAACTCACCCTCTCTATCCAACCGATCCAGAATCTTCGCGGGCGAATACTGCGAACTAGACCTCAACATACCCAGGAACCTATCCCGCCAATCAACATGCTCATCCTCGGTCTTAAACGCCCAATCATGGGAATTTCTCTTCTCCAGACGATCCAAGTACAACATCAACAACTTCTGATGCAAATCCGGCGACAGATCATTCAGCTCCCCAATGACATGTTCGAGATACCTCACGGCAAGATTAACATCCACCCCCAACAAGAACCCCAGCACACGATCCCGCGGCAACGTCTCCGCGTTCTCCGTATCGGCAAGGAAGATCTCCATGCCCAGATCCGGATCCTCGGTGACAGGCCACTCCGCGAACTCGAGGATCAGGTCGATCCGCTCGGGCGACAGGTTCTGGAGGTATCCGACTGTGCGTTTGGGGCCGTGGAGCTGCGGCGCGGTGTCTTCCTCGTCTGCGGCCTGGCCGAATTTGCGGAGCAGTTCCAGGGCCTGGCGGTGGAGTTTCTTGCCGTACAGGAAGTCGATGAGGTCGTTGTGGCGGCCGGTTTCTTCGAGTTTCTCCATGACCACGTCCGGGTCGCAGAAGTTGGCGATGCGGAAGAGCGAGCCCGCCAGGGCGGGGATCGCGTACATGTATGCTCGGAAGAGGGTCGTGTCGACGAGTTTGGCCTTCTCGCGCAGCCTCTCGCCGAGAAGGTCGTGCGGGGTGTCTTTGGTGGGGGTCGTGATGGAGAGGAGTTTCATGACGGAGTCGGTGAGTTCGTCGTTGGCACCGTCAGTCGTCGCGTCGATGGTCTTGAGGGTTCCGTCCGGGTTAAGGAAGCGCTGGAAGCGGCGGCGCACGTCGGCCAGGTATCGTTGTAGCTCACGCACGGCGAGCTTGAGATCGTTCCCTTCCAGCGCCTTGTCGGGGCGAGCTTCCTCGAGCCGGCCGCGGATGCTGCCTGCGTCGCTGGCGTCGTCGGTGCGGTTCCGGAGCAGCGACATCACCGAGGGGGCATGGGTGAGCGTCTTCGGGGGCGCAGTCTCCTCGGCGCTGCCATCCGTCTGGTCCTGCGTCTTGTGGCTGTCCTCCGTGCCATCCTCTGACTCCTCCGTCTCGACCACGGCCGACTGCTCGCCCGCCACGATGCGCGGATACAGTCGAATGACGGTCTCCGGGGGCGCGGAGATCTCCGTGAACAGGTCCATGGCATCGGTGTACTTCCGCAGGCCAAACAGCCCCTCGGCCTTTTCGAGCTTGATCTGGCGCAGCCTCCCCCATTTATCGCGCAGCAGGGCATCCTCCAGCATCCCCGCCAGACTGATGGCCTCATCGAGGTACCCCTTCTCGACCAGCGAATCGATCTGCGTGTCGTAGCTCAGCGCCTCCATCCGCCAAATCGTCCGATCGCTCGCCACCAGGAACCCCTTCCCGGCATGCGCCAGACTGATCGTCGGCTGCGGGATATGCAGAATGCTCGCGGCCGGCAGCGGCACGGACTGGAGCAGGGACAGCGTCTCGGGGTTGCGCACCTCCAGCACCCCCTTGGAGGCGTCGTGCAGCGCGAGCAGAAACGGGTACGAGTAGCCGATATCCGCGGGCGCATGACTCCAGGGGATCTGTCTCCGGCCGAGCGAGTTGCCCTGGGTATCGATGAAATGCGTATGGATGTCCTTCGCCAGCAGCACCTGGCCCTCGCGTAGCCGCGTAGCCAAGGGGCGTGACGCACTGCCCCCGATGCCGATATACCCCATACTGGCGACACCAACCCCAGCCAGTCTGCCAGCGCCGGTGGTAGCATCCTGTCCGCCCATGCCAGCGCCGCCGACCAGCTCCATCACACTGACACCATTCGCACCTTTCCCACCCTCCTTCGTCCCCCCTTCCAAATCCACCAACACAAACCCGGATCCCGACCCCAGTCCCACGACGATCTTCGTCCCCGACACCCACCTCAAACTCTTCACCCCACTGACCAGACTCACCTCCAGAACCTCATCCCCAACGAGCTCCATATCCCTCCACACCCACACCAGGATCTTCCTCTTGACCGCCACCGCCAGCCGCGAGACAATAGTGGGCATGCCCGTCTCAGAGTCATTCTCAATATTAGACGTCACGGCAAAGGTACTGGCGCCTTTCGTCCGCGTGAGCTGCGTTTGTAGGGTGTAACTCGTGAGGTCGTGGATGGAGACATACCCCCCGGACAGCGAGACGAGGAGCTTTGCTTCTTTGATCAGCGACAGCTGGTCGATTTTGTACCGCGAGAACCTTTCGATTTCGCGGAGGAGCGACGGTTTGTTGAATACTGCACCCCCTGCTGCTGTTGCCCCTGTGCCTGTTGTCGCCGTAGTCGTAGCTGTAGCCGTAGCCGTAGCAGGGGTATTCGTATCCTGCTCCTGCTCCGGATGCGAATGACTCGGCGCATCATTCCCCTTCCCATTCCCATTATTCTGCCCATTCCCATTCCCACGCCCACTATTCTCATCATTATTCCCATTCACACCCCCATTTCTACCCCCCTGCCCCTGCCCTGTAGTATGATCCCCCTCCTCATCCTCATTCACGCGATATACGCGCAAATTGCCATTATTCAGACCGACGAGGACCCGGTCGCCGTACGCGAGCACAGACTCGATGCGCGATTTGTCTCGCGGCTTTAGTTCGACGAGCGGGCGGGCTGTGAATGCTGAGAGCATTTCGTCTTCTTTCTTTCTTTCTTTCTTCCTTTCTTGGATTGAGTTGTGTGGAGGTTGGGTTGTGGTGGTGCTGTTGGTGTTGCTTCGCTGTTATTCAGGGTGGAATGGGCGTGGTGCTGTCGCTGCTGTCGCTGCTGCTGTTGCTGCTGTTATTTAGAGGGTAGGCGCCAGTATGAGCTAGACGTGATGCTAGATTAGACAATCGGAGCGAGGCGCTGTGCTGTGCTATGCTGTGCTGTCCCGTTGCAACCAGCGAACCGTTGGAGATAGATTGAGGTGAGGTGAGGTGAGGTGAGGTGAGCTGCGGAGCGGAGATGCAGTAGGTAGGTAGAGGTACACCAGTGCGGTGTAATCTAATAGAGTGTGATGTGATGTGATGAATATGTATATAGAGTCGCCTAGCCGTCCTCAGCGAAGAGAGTCATTTCTAGTGGCAGGGCGTATGAGAGCAGCAGATTGAAGGAGTTAAGACGGTTGTAATTGTGGCGGCAGCATTGTGCGGAGAGCGAGGAAGATGTGCGGTGGGTGGGAGTGAGTGGGTGGCAGGGACGATAGCGGAGAGCTGTCTATACCTCCGGCGGTGACGACGGGCTGGTTAGTGTAGAGCTAGCTGGTGGTATGGCTGACCGCCTACTTACCACCTACCCCCTATCACCTATAGTACCACCTAGTAGATACCGCCTACCGCCTATCGTCTGGCGGGAATGAGCCGATATGGCAGACACTATTTACCAGTACTAACTACTTACTTACTACTTAATAATTACTACATTATGAACCCAGCTGGACAAAGAGATGGTACTTACTACCTGGACAGAAGATACTACAGGTGGTAATAAATGGATTCATGTTCAGTAGGAGTAAAGGTGTGTGTGTGTGTGTGTGTGTGTGTGTGTGTGTGTGTGTGTGTGTGTGTGTTTTTTACTTCACTCATATATATTCAGAACCGGTATGTATTCTAATCTATCGCTAAACCGGATGACGTCTCGCCAAGCTAAGTCAGGTCAAGTCAAGTCAAGCCAACTATCATCCACATCCCCATCTATCCCTGAATCAACCATCCCAGGCAGCATGTCATGTCATGTACCTAGTGCTGCCAAGGCAGGCTATGTTAAGCTATACCAAGACGTACAATTACTCTATAATATAATATAGACAGACAGACCGGACAGGAAGCTGTACACGAACCGAGCATCCATCCCCATCCAGCGCGGAATCGGATGGATGAATCTCACTCTCACGTCTTAATCTCGGTCGGATATTCCTGGTGTTTGGCGGAGGTGCCCTTGGCCCGCCAGGTCGAGACGGCAGGGATATCGGCCTTGAAGCGCTGCTCCTCGGTGCCGTAGGCGCGCGGGGTGAGCTTGATGAGGGTGTGCAGGGGCACCTCCATCCACGGGCTCTGCTCCTGGGGGGTATTGAGGAAGTAGGCGTAGATGCAGCGGAGGACGGCCTGGTGGGTGACGATGATGACGTTCTCGCTGCGCTCCAGCTCCATGATGATCGGCTCGAGGCGGATGACCACGTCGCGGTAGGACTCGCCGCCGCGATACCGGTAGTTGTACTTGTCTTCGTCGCGTGCCGCGAAGTCCTCCGGGTATTTCTGCGCGATCTCCTCGTAGGTCAGCCCGTCGCACATGCCCGAGTCGAGCTCGTCCAGCGCCTTCCATTCGAGTTTCTCGTATCCCGTCTCGGCTTTGAGGTGACGCGCGGTCTGGATGGTTCGGCGTAGCGTTGAGGTCCAGATCACGATCTTCGTGTTGGGGGGCACCCCGGATTTCTTCATCAGCCCCGGCAGGGCCCGCGCGTACGCCTCGCCGCGCTCCGAGATGTTCGAGTCGCCGCCGATTTTCCCGGTGAGATTGTATTCTGATTCGCCGTGCTGGGGTTGTTAGATGGGATTCTCGATTGAAGAAGATTGAAAAACCTACCCGAGACAACCAGATAGAGCGCGGCTTAATATGCAAATTCTGGATATAGTAAACCAGGCGACTAGACAGATAGTCCTTAATCTGGTTAATGATGACAGTCGAGCCGACATTGATGAGCTTAACATAGGTGAAATGCTTCTCATTATCATCGATAGTCTCGTACGACTTCTCGTAATTGCGGATCCGGTTCCGGAAGTCGAGAGCAGCCTCTTCAGGGTCCTGCCCCTTGTAGTCGGGCGAGGTGGTCTTGACCTCGAGGATATTGTTCATGATGAGGTCCTCGTCGTCGCATATCGACTCGACGTAGAGGGTCTCGACGTCGGCCTCGGCGCAGCGCTCGTTGATCCACCGCCGGCGCTCTTTCGTGGAGTTGGTGGCATCCAGAATCGCCACCACGCCCTTCCCGGCCCGGAACCACTGCAGCATGTCCGACACGGCCTCCTCGGCCGCGGCGCGGCGCATCTTCTCGCCTTCCGAGTTGTGCGGGTCGAAGAACGTCGCGTTGGGCTGGGGGGTGCCTTGTCGGCGATACGTGCCGACGTTGAACACGCGAGCGGGGATGCCGACCCAGGCTAGGTATCGCATTGCTGAGGGAGTTAGCTTGGCTTGTGATCTGGTGTAGTGGTCCGAGGGAGCATACCCTTTCCGGCGATGAGACTCTTGCCTCGGGCTGGGAGGCCAACCATGACGACGCAGATTTTCGACTCATCTGACTGCGAAGGTTAGCGGGGAGAGGGCTGAGAGCACCGGCACCCGAGGACCCAATCCAGTCCAGACAGCCACTTACACTAGCAAAGTAATTATGGCCATTGCCCCTGCGAATCGCGCCGGAAGACATGATTGCGGCGCTTCGATTTCGGATTCACCGATTGTGATGTGCTGTGATGGGCTCTCGACCTCGGCCAGGTGCTCGGGAGAAGGGAAGAGGGGAGATGAGACGGAGCGGGGAGGGGGGCGACAGCGACAGCCGAGATTCTTAAAGTATACGGTCGGAATGGAGGACGGCAGGGAGGAGGGAGGGGACGAGAATGGCCCGAATCAGACAGATCCGGCTGCCTCACGGGAAAGGAAGAGCGAGAAGAGTTTTGGTCGGGTCGAGTTAGTTGGGTGTATGCGATGATGCCATGAAGCCAACAGAAGAGGTCGATGCGGTGAAGGCGACGAGGAGCACAGACGTCATGCCGCGGGGCAGCAGCAGCAGTAGTGTATAGGAGTAGGAGTAAAGGTAGTAGTAGTGACGGTAGTTCCAGGCAGGCAGAGACAGACAGACACACACAATCATATACTCACGCACACACTCGCAACTCGCAACCCCGATGAAAAGGAGCAGAAAAGAGCGAAGAAAGAATCCGGAGTCTGGAATTTGCGGGATTTCCCCAGGTTGTCTGTGTCTGGCTGGCCAGGCAGACCGACCATTTGCCTCGCCCCACGTGATGCTTTCGGGTGAAATCGTAACGGGCGGAGTCGGGCCATTCCAGGAGGGATTTTCTTCAGGGGCAGACAGACGTTATTTTTTTTTTTTTTTTGCTACTACTATAATTAACTCGGTAACTAGGATCTAGCCGCTGAACAATACAGAGATAGTAATCAATATCTAACCCAGATGAATGGTATAGTTGTTTGTAGGATGAGATATGGAGCCACGCCGATTGGGCCCCTTGCATGATTCCAGTGGGACGGAGCATGCCGGCGGTCCGTCTAGAAGGAGTCTTGACAGCCACTCCCTGCCGAGGGATGAGCGATTTTCCATCTCGGTCTCCCCTGACCGACCCTATTCTGTAGATAGTCCCATCTAGTCCCATTCGGTCGATTCGGTCACGAATAAATAGCACCCATAAATACAGCTAGTGAAAGAGCAACGGTCCCTGGTACGGTCTATATGTATTTGCTGGGCTATTGAGTATTTACCTATTCTATTTTATCGACATTAAACCAGGCCATTAAGTCTAGCCCGTCTGTACAGTACATGTATACACTTTTGAGCTCGCCCCTCCGGGATGCGTCCTGGAGCAGATGCCAACCATAGAGCCATGCAGAAATCAGCAATCAGCCATCAGCTATGCAACAATCCAGAATTCCAGCAATCCAACCAAACAATGCAATTGATACCAGTCCAGCCCGACCCGATATCTCACACCTCACAGCCGGCTGAACATAACGGGGGGGGGGAGAGAGAGAGAGAGGGAGAGAGGGGGTCGGGAGAAAGAGAGAGGTAAGTCGTGATTTTTTGTTTCGGGGAGATCCCCATGCATATCGTAACAACGTCAAATGTCTATTTTAATCCATCAGAGTCGGTCAGTCGGTCAGTCAATCGGACTATACGCCGACGACCGGGACCTCCTCCTCGGCGGGAGCGGCGGCCTCACCACCCCACCGGGCGCGTCTCTCCTGGGAGCTGGACTCGCCGCGGGCGCGCTGCACGCGGATCGGGGCGCCCCACGGGCCGTCGGCGCGGTTGAGGGCGTTCATGGCGTTCTCGGCCTCCTCGGCGCTGCTGAAGTCGACGAACAGGTAGTAGTGGTCGCCGGGCTCGAAGCGCTTGGCGGGGTGGGGGGCGAATTGGCGGCTGACGTTTTCACTGGGTTGGGCTGGTGTTAGCATGACCATATACCAGCTGTGCATCCACACCGACACCGGGGGTTAGGTAGGGATGGGATCACTTACACCGTGTAATCCTTGAAGAAGTCGATCATGTTACTGGTGATGGCCTCCTGATCCGTCAACTTGGGCAACCCGCCGACATACAGCCTCTTGCTGGCGTCGCCGGTGCTGCTGCCGCTGCCGGTGTTGTTGGAAACCGACTTCACGGGGGTGGAGGTGGCGGAGGACTCGCCGCGTCTCCAGCGATCCATGCCGAACAGCGACGAGCGCTCGCGCGGGCTGGTCTGCGGGGACTGGGACTGCTGCATCTGGGCCCTCTCGCTGGCCGACTTGACGACACCGGGCTTGATCTTGACGGGGCGTCCGAGCATGTCGTTCCCGTCCAGGGCGTTCATCGCGCGCTCCGCCAGGTCCTTGGTCTCGAGGTCGACGAAACAGTACGACGGGTTCCGGCCGGTGAAGGGGTCGATGGCGATATCGATGCGCTCGCTATGATGACTCAGCCAAACTCTTATACCACTTGTTTCTTCTCATGCTCATTTCCATGGTTATGGTCGTGTTCATGTCATGCAAGTCGGGTAAATTTCATACATTGCAAACTCCGCGGCCGTGAACAGCGCCTGCACGTCCTCGGACTTAGCGGTGTAGGGCATGTTGCCGACGTAGAGACGACGGCCCTCGGAGATGGCCTGCGGGACATGCGGGCTGGGTTTGCTGAAGGCGAGGCGCGAGGTGTTGGTGTTGGGGGTGGATCGGGGGCCGGGGGAGGAGGCGTCGGCGGAGGGAGACGGGGCGGAGGGCGAGGAGGCGCGCTTTACGCGCCAGTTGGGCGAGTGGAAGGCGCGACCGGTGGTGCGGACGCCATTTTGGTAGATGGGCTTCTGGGGAGCTGGAGGGTGTTAGTTGCTGTCTGTGTCTGTCTGTCTGTCTGTCTGTCTGTCTGTCTGTATGGTTGTGGCTGGAGATGGGAAATGTGGAGGTGTTGGGAGGATGGGAATGCGCACTCTGCTCCTGCGGCCGGGGCTCTCGGGGGCGTCGACCATGGTGAGGGTAGAAACGAAGGATAAGAAGGAGACGAAGAAGAAGAATCTAAGACGGACCTGTTAGTATCATGCGTGCGTATATAAAATGAACTGATATCCGAACCAACAGATCGGACAGATCAAACCAAACCAGATGAAGCAAAACCAGACAGGATAGACCATACATACCTAGATCACACACAAAGCAACCAGACCAGACAACATACACAGCACAAAACTCCTCAAAAAGAAAGAAAGAAAAAAACACACACACACCAGACGAGTACCAAAAGCAAAGTCTCACAGGCAGGCTGTCGCCTGATGGAAAATGCGCTCTACTTTTTTTTTTGGGTCCGACCGAAACAAACAGGCCAAACGGGGCAAACAGGGACGGCAAACCGGGGACGCGACGCGCCAGGGGAGGGCGCGTGATTGGTGGGTTAGCGAAGGCGTGGTTTTCGGCGGGTATAAATTGGCCGTCGGGGTTGGATTTTTCATTCTTGACTTCATCTTCATCGGCGAGTTTTCTTGTCTGTGTCTGAAGAGCAGACGATGAGAATGTCAGTCTGATTCTGGATTTCATTTCGGATTTGATTCGTCATGCTTTGTTATGCTATCCTGCGAGATAGAGATGTCATCTCCGTCTATCTTTGGCTGTTTTATGTGACGCCTTGCTTGGATGGATTGTTTGATATCTCGCCTCGCAGCTGATCTGGATAGGATAATAGGATATCCCTTCTCAGCTTCCCACCTCAACCTCCCGATTTCCCGATTTCCCTATATATCACCTCCCCTCCATATCCACATCCCCCCTTCTATGATGAAGACAGATTTCACACAGACCTGTTCCGAGTTTTATCGTGCGGATCCACAATCGTACCAACTGCTGTCTGAGAAGATGACCCCTACCCTACACTTTGTTTTTGCACTTTTACATCCTGGAAATGGAGATGATTTCATTTCATTACCACTGCCATTACTGTGTCATTGCATTATACCCCGATATCACCAGTTATCATCGTCAATGAAACAGAAATTGAACAGAAAGAAAGAAAGTTCTTCGTAAAGAGAAAGAAAGAAATCGAGAAAGCGTAGTCATAATCATGCACGGTATCGGGGATAGGCAATACCACGATTTGTCGTCCAACCCATTCCGTCCCGACTCACCAAGTAGATAGCGCAGCGTAGCGAAGCCAGGCTTATCTACGAAATGCCGTCCAAATCGATCAACACGTCCGTCAGTCAGTCCAATCCATGTATATCAACGCCTCATTCCTCTCCCTCTCCCTTTCCCCCCTCCAGCCCCATCCATCAACCATCAACTATCAACTATAACCCACCAAGACACCCACCCACGAGCTCACGCCCCGTCCCCCGCCAAATTAAACCCCGCCTCAGTATTCACCTCATCCTCCCTCTCATACAAAATCTCAGGCTTAACATCCTGCCGCAGGATATACCTGCGAATAAAATACGGAATCTGCCTCAAGCCATACGCGGCATGAAACCTCGTCGGGACGGAAAACACCTGATCCAACTCCTCAAGGGTCTTCCCCTTCGTCTCCGGCATAAACATCAGAATCAGCCACCAGCCCACAATACACCAGGCGGCGTACCAACTAAACGCGCCTTGGGGGGTGAATGCCGCGCGGAGGGAGGGCCAGGTGATGGCGAGCAGGAAGTTGAAGCACCAGGTCGTGGCGGTGGCGAGGGCCATGCCGTGCGAGCGCACGTATAGCGGGTAGGCTTCGGCGGAGTAGGTGAAGGGCACGGGGCCTTCGCCAACCGAGTAGACGACTCCGAAGAGGTAGGTTCCGAGTGCGATGCAGCCCATTCGCGCCGATTGGTGCGTGTCTTCTGGGATCCAGAAGCTGAAGCCCGTGAAGAACATGGAGAGGGCCATTAGGGGGAAGGTGGTTAGCAGGAGGTTGCGTCGCCCGAAGGTGTCGATCGTGTAGACTGCCGGGATGGCCAGGAGCCAGTTTATCATACCCCAGCCGAAGGAGGCCGCGAGGGCTTTGCGTTGGTTGGAGATCGTTAGTTGCGCGTCTGGTGAAACCGTGTCGAGGAAGATTTCGGAGGAGTAGTACGCGATTACGTTGACGCCTGGGTGGGGTTAGTTATGGTATTGGGGGTGGGATGAGGGATAAGGGTTGAGGTTGAGGATCATACCGCAGAACTGTCAGGTCAGCAAGGATCAGTCATGGAAAGTGGAAGGGGAAGCACCTGTTGCATGAACATCACCAGCTCGGACGCAATCATGGCGCGCCGGTTTCGCGGCACGGCAATCAGCTCGATCAGCTTGTTCTGGCCCAGCTTCATGTCGGTCTCGGCCATCAGCAGCGTGTGCATGTAGTACATGTCGCGGGCAGCCTGGACCTTGATAAACCGCAGACTGCACATGGACTGGTACGCCTTGTCGTAGCAGTTGCGGGTCATGTACCAACGGGGCGACTCGGGACAGGTGAACACAAAGCAGCAGACGAAGAGGGCGGGCACCATGGCGGACGCCATCATCAGACGCCAGTTCAGCCCGACCACGCCGGGCGGGTCCTCGACCTGGAAGAAGGCGAGGTCGGCGACATAGCCAAACATGATGCCGAAGGCCGTCCACATCTGCCACTGCATGACCAGGGCACCGCGGATGGGCGGCGGCGCGGTCTCGGCGGCGTAGATGGGCACGGTGGCCGACTTGGGCCCGATGCCGTAGCCCAGCGCAAAGCGCGCGATGAACATGTGCCACCAGGTGTTGACGAAGCCCTGCCAGAGGCAGGTGATGGCCGAGAAGCAGCAGGTGATGAAGATGGTGCCGCGGCGGCCGAACCACGAGTTGAACGGCACGGTCAGCCAGCACCCCATCACGGCGCAACACATGTACGGAGCCGAGTTCACCAGACCTAACAGCCAGTTGGCCCGCGAGGTGCTGCCCGCGTCGATGCCGAATTGGGACTTGTAGTACACCTGAGCACCGTTGACCACGGTTTCATCTGAATGCTAAGTTAGCCTGCAATGCGACCAGATACTGAAAACTTACCCATTCCCTGTACGGCCGCAGACAGCGAGCACAGCACGATGACCAGGTACATGGTCCAGGGCTGCGACCACCGGTGCTCATACTCGTTCCGCAGCACCTCCATCTCCTCCGGGGTCAGACCCGGCACCTCGGCGAACTTCTCGGGGACCTGGGCCAGCATGGCGCCCATGGCAAAGGCGCGGATATCCTCCTCGTCGCCAATCTGGTGGGTGATGGCGAAGTTGATGCCCTGCTGGCGCAGCTCGTCCTGGGTGTAACCAGCGAGCGGGTTGGCGAGTTTGGCGTTGAGGTTGCGGCGGGCGCGCTCGGCGGCGTTGCCAAAGGCGCGATGCACACGGGGGGGCTCGGGCTCCTTGGGCTCGAGATTATAGTCGATGGTCTCGGACGGGGTCTGGATGGGAGCCTTGAAGGCTTTGGGCTCCTCCTTTCCAAACATGGTGTTGCAAGTCGGTTATAGTGACTATCGGGCATGGAAGACGCTGCAGGACATCAGCAGATGAGAAGAAAAACAACAGGCAGCAGACGGCAGGGGGTGAGATGCGTGAGTGACTGCAGGGTTATGAATGTGAATGCCGGATTCATGATGGCTGGCCTGGAACATGGCGCCACCAGGCAGGATCGACAAAGAGGGACAAAGAGGCCTGCAGAGGAAGAGTGGGTGAAGAGTGGATGCGGCCGTTATAGTTTCTGCATACAAAGGAACGGGCCACCTGCAGGATGGGATCCAGGGATGCGGCCGTGTGGAGCGTGGAGAATGAAGCCGACCGCACGACACCTTCTGGCCGGTCCATGCGGTCCATGCGGTCCATACTGACCTTCCAGTCATCACGAGGACGGCCTTTGTGGCCACCAGCGGGGGGTGGGGGGCTGGAGAGAGGAGGACGTCCGTCAGCCTCTGGTGGGAGAACTGGAGGGAGGGGGGGAGATAGTGGAATGGGGGATGGGAGAGTCAGAGGCAGACAAAGACGCCGCAGATGGCCTGCAGCCAGGGTGGCCCCGGCTGGATGTTGAGGATCGAGGAGTCCTGCGTGGGACAGGCTGTCTGACGGGCCATTGCTTGTATGATGGACACCGTTGAAATACGCTGATGGAACAGCTCCCTTTATAAGCATGGTCACGGTGGAGGCATCTTCAGACAGACTTGAACCTGCTGGCCCGCTGCAAGCCTGCAGTTGAAGCTGACGGATGCAATGCTGACGGAAACGAAGAACCCGGATTCGGGGTGAGGTTGACAGATTGACAGTTGACAGACAAGTACTGGGAGAGAGTGTTGACAGCTGCGGTCCGTGCGGGGCTCCACTTCCCCGTCGGATCGCCCAGGCAGCCAGGCAGTCAGGCACGTCGGATGGCAACGTTGTCAAGAACCAGGTCGGATCCGAATGGTTCGGATGTTGTTTACCCCGCATGGACAGCAGTCCACCACATGGACTTGTGCAGAGTAGAAGATGTCAAGGATGATGTTCTTCGCCAATCTTACAGCCTGCTATCCAGATCGCTGCTGATGTACGACAGAGTACCTCTATGTCACCGTATTCCACCATCGGAAGCCATCTATATCCATCCGATCAGGAGCAATAAACTAACCTGACCAACAGCGACACTAACACGTACTCCTCACGGCCAGAAAGAGGGGAAGTATCAGAGTACCGGTAACGGAACTTTATCCACCCCTCCCAAAGTCCCAACCCCTCACCTATATAAGTCACACCACCACCACCACCACCATCCCATCTCCGTCCTTCCAAACCACCCCCGAACCCACAGAATCAGCACATATAATCAACATGCTCGGCAAAATCATCCTCGAAGAAGCCTTCGCCCTGCCGCGCTTCGAAGAAAAGACGCGCTGGTGGGCGAGCCTCTTCTCCACCGACCCGGACACCCACGTCAAGGAGATCACCGACATCACCAAGCTGCGCCTCGAGTACGCCGACAAGCACGGCGTCGGCTACCAGATCCTGTCGTATACGGCCCCGGGCGTGCAGGATATCTGGAACCCCGTGGAGGCGCAGGCCCTGGCCGTCGAGATCAACGATTATATTGCGGAGCAGATTAAGGATGTGCCCGATCGGCTGGGGGCGTTTGCGTATGACCCCTCCCTCCCTTTCTTCCCTTCCTTCCTATATACATCTCATGTACTATATCCGGCAACAACACACAACCAATGACTGATAATACTGACACCGAACAGAACCCTCTCCATGCACTCCCCCGCCGAAGCCTCCGCCGAACTCCGCCGCTGCATCACCAAACACGGCTTCAAGGGCGCGCTCATCAACGACACGCAACGCAGTGGCCCCGACGGCGACGACATGATCTTCTACGACCAACCCCAATGGGACCCCTTCTGGGAGACCGTCACCTCCCTGAATGTGCCCATCTACCTACACCCGCGCAACCCCACCGGCACAATCTACGCCAAACTCTGGGCGGACCGACCATGGCTCGTCGGGCCGCCGCTCTCCTTCGCGCAGGGCGTCAGCCTGCACGTCCTGGGCATGGTCACGAACGGGGTTTTCGACCGCCACCCCACGCTCCAGGTCATCCTAGGGCATCTGGGCGAACACATCCCCTTCGACATGTGGCGGATCAACCACTGGTTCGAGGACCGCAAGAAACATCTCGGGCTCCAGGAGACGTGTAAGCGCACCATTAGGGACTATTTTCGGGACAATTTGTGGATTACCACCAGCGGGCACTTTTCGAGCGAGACGCTCAGGTTTTGTGTGAGGGAGGTCGGGTGGGAGAGGATTCTGTTTAGTGTGGATTATCCGTTTGAGACGTTTGGGGATGCGTGTGGGTGGTGGGATGGGGAGGTGGAGGGGGAGGGGGGTTGGGGGAGGAGTTGGGGGCGGATGTGGTGAGGGCGATTGGGAGGGATAATGCGAAGAGGCTGTTTCGGTTGGAGGGGTTTAGGGATTGTGATGCTTGATGCTTGGTTTGGTGGGTGGGTGTTTGGGTTGGTGGTACTATAGGATGAGGAGATGTTTGAATTGTTGGATTGTATGTATATCACATGTCTACGTAGGTGTCTGCACGCCTTCCTTCTAGCCAAGTGGTTTTCTTGCACGGGTATTCGGTATTTGATATTTAGTATCCCTATGGGACGAGTGTTCAGTATACCAGGTCCCAAACCCCTCCTTGTCTATCTACTAAGTTTAATGTACTACAATGTCATAGGATCATAGGTATCATACCATATCATATCATCATTTGTCTAGTACCCCAGCTAAACAACCGCGATGATAGATACAAACAAGTAAATAGATACCACTCGGTCCATCCTCCATCCCATCCTCACTTCCCCGACCAAGCATGATGTTTCTTAATTTCGATTTTCTTTTCTTCCTTTTCTGTTATTTTCCAATGTCAATGTCAATGTCAATGTCAACGCGTTTCTTTTCTTTCGAATTCGGGTTATTCCACTTCATCTTCGTCTCCATTGCACCTTTTCTTCCCCGGGTTTTGGGTTTCGGGTTTCGGGTTCGATTCATAGCCATGTGCATATCCATGTGCATGTCCACCTGCATATCCATATCCATATCCATATTAATCTTGTTCTCTCCTGCCCCGTCCCTCCGTGCTTGGTAACCGGTTCTTTGTTCCCATCATAGATAGATAGATAGGTATGTAAGTGAGTAAGTCTTCCACCGTCCCCATTCCTGCATCCAATAACAAATACCCCCATCCCATTCCACCATGCCATCATTCCCAGTCTCGTCCTTCCAAACATTCCCAATCCCAATCCCAATCCCAAGCTGCAAGCTGCAAGCTGCAAGCATATCAGATAATGAGATGAGCTCACCAATCGTTCCGTCGAGGTTTAGGGACGAATTGCACTCCGCGGCGTCTTCTCAGGCCCTGTCCGTCTCGCTGGGAAGGGGTCGTTGGCTGGAACTGTGCCTGCGTGTGGGCCTGGGCCTGGGCGAGGGCTTTGGCGTGCGCTTGGATTTGCGCTTGGGCGTAGGCTTGGGCGGGGGTTTGAGCTTGAGCTTGAGCTTGGGTCTGTGTCTGTGTCTGAGCTAGAGGCTGGGATGCAGTCTGGACCTGAGCCTGACCCTGCGCCTGAGCAGCTGCCTCTCCCTGACCCTGCTGACTCCCCCCCTGCCTCATCACAGCCCTCAGTCTTGCGCGCTCCTGCTCCAAATAATGCCCCACCAGCACATCGCGCCAGATGCGCGGGGCTTCTTCCATATCGCGGAACGCTGGGCCGACATACGTCTCCTTCAGATCGGAGTTGACCTGCACGATGGCGTCATACATCTCGATGGAGTGGTTGATGGTGTTCCAGATCTGGGCGAGGTAAGCAGTGAGCTGCTCGCGGGTCGGGTCCCAGTAGGCCTCTATTTCGACGGGCTTGGGGTGCGTTTTGAGGTAGTCTCGGTACATGAAGGTGTCGTAGAAGTCGAGGACGAGGGTGAGGAGCTGTTGTTCGGTTGGTCGGGGCTTTTTGAGATGTCTGTTATGTGGATACATAGAGTCAGATGGTATGGTTATGATGGAGAGGTTGGGACGCGAGGAAAGGGAAGGACAGACCTGATAATAACCTCAGACATATTCTTGAAGCGCATCACGACATTGAACCTCGTGTCGCTGGCAATAAACGCGACCGAATACTGCACGCGTTGGGCCCAGGCGTACTCCTGGGTCAGGATGTTGTCGATGATGGTGACGTACTTGATCAATTCGGTGGCGTGGTAGAACACCTCCTCGACTTCCTCGGTGCTCAACGAGGTGACCGGATCGACGGGGACCGGATGACGACGGAAGAGGAGGTATTCGATGCGCAGGATCAGATTGCACATGGCGATGAAGCGACGCTTGGTATCGGTTTTCAATTTGTCCGACAGGATCAGACGCTTGACGTCCGCGAGGGTCTCCTGCTTCCATTCCTCCGAGCATTCGCGCTCGTGAGTGGGATAGGCGGCCGGGACGTCGAAGAGCTGGGGCTGGGGCATCGGGGCCTCTGGCTGGGTCGTGGGAGGAACGGGGGTGTCGGTGTCTCTGTTGTTGCTGTCGACATTGCCGTCGGTCGTTGCGGGGGTGCTGGGACTGGGGTTGAGGCTATCCATGGCGAACGGCAGAGGGGAGGTCACACTCGCGTCGAGGTCGCGAAAGCGGATCACTTCCTCGCAGACCTTGGAGATGGCGTATCGGTAGGCCTGCTCGAGCTGCTCGTCCACGTGGGCGTCCTGGGTCTCGCACGATTGCCAGTACTCGGGGAAGGGCTCAGTGCGGGAGTCGGCTTCAGGGGCAGTGGAGAGAGGCTCGTCGCGAGACTCACTTGCTGCAGGACCGCGCACCGAAGGTCCAGGTCCATCATTCACCTCCATCTCAACACCCGAGTCTACGCGAGTCTGTCGGGTGCTCTTGCGGAGGGGCTTCGAAGAAGAGTCCGACCCCTCCATCTCCATCCGAAAGATCTCCTCCGCGTTGTTGCTGGTAGCGTCGTCCTCGGCATCCTCGAAGCGTTGCTGCAGAAATGCAAGGTTTCTCGTAAACATCTCGTAGAGGCTGGCGTCTGGCGTGACGGGTCGGTCGAGGAGAGAGGCGTCCGGACATGGTCTGGTGCTGGCGGGTCTCGCGTCACTGGGGATGAAGGTGAGGCGCGTTGAGATTGGGTCATTGGGGCTGGAACTGTAGGAGAACGCCATAATGAGCGCGCTCACGGCCTGCAGGGCGGGAAGCGGGATCAGATTTAAGCAGGCAAGGAGCTGGAAAGGATGTCAGATTACTGTGCAGACAGAAAGAGAAGGAAGGAGGAGGCAAGAGTGAGGATCAACAAACACGCCGAGAGGAGAAGGACTCACACCGCAGACAACACTTGGGGCGCGCTATTCACTTTCATCACTCGGGAGTGGGCAGTGGCAGTAACGGTGAATAGTCGTGCTGTGCAGTATCCTGGTAGGATAGTAGTAGACAGCCTGGTTAACATTCATCTTGCACTTTGGATATTGAGTGAATAGATTGAAGGGGAAAAAAGGATAGTTTCAACTATCATCAACTATCACAGAAGTTATCTGGACAGGACAGCTACCGGTCTTGAGTCATAAAAAGTATCCAGACACGTGCCTATCATGACGTAGTATCTGTTTAATCTCCTTTTCAGGGATTTGAGGACAGCGGCGGAGCTCCTTCTAAGTAATATACATAACTCAGATCATGGTCTTGCTGTCAGCAAATCAAGAAAATCTTTAACCTCAGTTACTGAGGATGATCCTCTATTATTATCTATCAATCATTTCCCAAGACAACCGCAGTAAACATACAAGGAGAGAGATCCTGGAGAGAAAGACATGCTCCTTATAGTTCATCACCGATCAGCCTCACGGAACGGCCCTTCCCGTGCATCCTTTAAGCCACAACACTAAAATTCCAACCTGGGCGGTTTATTGTCAAGAATAGGAGGTCAGCCAGCATAAGAAGAACATGGTGAATATTGACAGTTACCTATTAAATATAGTGTTCCGGTTTCATTCCTATCTCAGCAAAAACAGCGGGAATTTATACTTTGCAGGTCAAGTGCGGATACTCTGTTTTGGGCGGCTCATGGTACTGAAGGTTGGCACGTTTTATATTTATACTAGCAGCGTATGACTAAGGGAATGCGAGACACACATCTACACACACCTACACAAGTCTGATTGGATAATGATAACAATAATATTAACAGGGTATACGCTAGTGTACTGCAATGGATCGAAAACGCTCACGGAAAACGCCCCGGGCAAAACGCCCCGAGCAGACCGACAGCAAGCTGACGGAGCGCCTATACGGATCGAAGCTGCAGGTCGCCCTCCGTCCAGACCGGCCTGGTGGAAAAAGCAGCCGCCAGAAAGAACAAAACGTTCCCCTGTTGAGCCGCTTAGCAGGCGTGGTCGGACTCCCGAGGGTCAGGTCGCTCTTCGCACATTGACTAATTGGCACCCCACTGACAGGAGCGTGACAACTTAAAGTAGTGCGATAAACTAACGAAACGAGTCGCGAGGTATGCTGATCAATCTTCCTTCTTACTTTCGGACTTCTCCTCGTCGTCGTCCGGCAACGTCACATCCATGACCTTCTCGCCCGCTTTTTCTAATGCCCGGCAGCTCCAGGTCCTTACGCCCTTGTACACCGCCTGCACAGGTTAGTCGAGTCGTGGGAAAGTCGGCGCAGACTTACCCAAAGAAAGCTACCAACCCCGATAATAATGACCAGCCACGCGACGCGGTTCCGTCCGGTATTGCGGCCACCGCCGAGGAACCCCGTGCCGCGCAGCGTCAAGCCCTGCCACGAGGACAAGGCGAACACGGCCTTGATGAAGGACAGGAACCCCAGTGAGGCCAGACCCTTAACGAAGTGCTCAGTCCAGGAGGCGCGCGGATCTTCCGGCGGATGGTCCCACAGGTCCAGCGGGAGGGTGGGATCCAGAGGGTCCAGGTAGAGGTTAATGATGGGGTCAGCAATGAAACCAAGCAAAAATACAGTAAACATTAAGACGACTAGGGTCAAGCCGAGCTGCGTCAGCGGGCTACTGATCCAGCGCGCCCACCGGAGGCGCTCTAGGCGATATTGGAAGCCGCAGGTCGGACAGTGCCAGAAGTTCCGATTGCCATAGCCGGGGTCCGCATGGCGCCACAGCCGCAGGCATCCCTCGTGCACATAACGGGAGGAGCCTTTGCACTTGCAGGGGCGCAGTAGTCGACCCGACTCCGGGTCGGAGGACTCGTAGACCACGCGCTGTCGAGGCTGGAGGAAGCCCGGCAGATGCTCAGAGGGCGGAGGAAAGGTGGGGTGCACCGTCTCCAGGCAGATGCGACACGTACGCGAGGGGTAGTGCTCGCTGGGGATGGTGTGCGGAGAGTCGCCCGGATCAACAGGGGTATCTTCAGGTTCAGTCTCTTCCGTCTCGTCCCCTCCGGCAAAGGCGGAAGCAGAGGAGCTGGAAGGCCACTGCCAGAGTGGCTCTCGGCGCTGGTCCATTCTACCCCAGAAGAAGAGACGCCTGTGGCATAATATTAATATGAGTCAGATCCGCCAGCGACCTGATGACCCCCAGGATTAAGTGGGAGGAGGGAGGAGGAGGGAGGAGGGGGATGGATTGGAGGGGAGGGAGAAAAGCGAAAAAGAGAAGAGGAGAAGAAAAGAGGCCAGGTTCGAGATGTGGAGAAGAAAGACAAGGCGGTCAGTGGGAACCGCACTAGCCGCTCGCCTACCGTCACCGCCCCAGGCGCGGCTTGGCGGGCGACCAGCGAGTGAGCTGCTGCTGCGTCAACATCCTGTCGCCTTGAGCTCCGACGTAGCTTCTCATTCATTCCCCTCCACCACTTCGACCTCATCCCCCATCTCCATTCCCCTTCCGCCATCCCCACCCATTTTCATTCCTGCTGGAGCTTGTGACCCCGGCAAACCGCACCCATGGCTGATCGCTACTCCTTCTCTCTGACGACCTTCTCCCCCAGGTAAGAGCGCACCCCGATAGCTAGGATCGGCATCTTGCTAACAGTTGGCAGCGGAAAGCTGGTTCAGATCGGTAATGAACACGGACTCTCTCCCATGGGTGATGCTGACCGCTACAGAATATGCCTTGAACGCCGTCAACCAGGGTGTCACCGCCCTTGGCATCAAAGGTAGGATAGGATGTCTGCCCGATAGCGCCGACCACCACTGACCTAGCCAGCCACCAACGGAATCGTCCTGGCCACGGAAAAGAAGTCCTCCTCGCCGCTTATTGACCCCCCCTCCCTCTCCAAGATCTCCCTGATTACGCCCGACATCGGTATGGTCTACGCCGGCATGGGCCCCGACTACCGGGTGCTCGTGGACAAGGCCCGCAAGGTGTCCCACACCGGCTACAAGCGCATCTACAACGAATACCCCCCCACCCGGATATTAGTGCAGGACGTGGCCCGCGTGGTGCAGGAGGCTACGCAGTCCGGTGGTGTCCGACCGTACGGTGTCAGCTTGTTGATCGCGGGTTGGGATGAGGGCGTTGAGCCCGAGACGGAGGTCCAGGTCGGAGACAAGGACGGCGAGACCAAGAAGGTCAGCGGAAAGACGGGCGGGATCATGAAGGGCGGCCCCAGTCTGTACCAGGTCGACCCCAGCGGCAGTTACTACCCGTGGAAGGCCACGGCCATCGGCAAGCACGCCACGAGTGCGAAGACCTTCCTGGAGAAGCGCTACACCGAGGGTCTCGAGCTGGAGGACGCCATCCACATCGCTCTGCTGACGCTGAAGGAGACCATCGAGGGCGAGATGAACGGGGACACGATAGAGATTGGTGAGATACCTGGGATTGACATTGGTGGAAGAGACTGCTGACCCTGATTGTAGGCATCGTTGGCCCTCCCGCCGACCACCTGCTTGGCTTCGAAGGCGTCGAGAACTCCCAAGGACCCCGGTTCCGGAAGCTGACCAAAGAGGAGATCGAGGACTACCTGACCAACCTATGAGATATCCAGTGAATACAGATCATGAGCCTTGTAGTATAATAGACGTGTCTCAGTCTTTCGAGGTTCTCACGAGGCAGTCGGTCTGGGACTGCACATTTGATGAATGTTTGGCGGTGGAGACCCGTCAGTAATACTCTAAAACCTTATCCGGAATGAATCTTGCCAATGGAATTATGTCTGCAACAGCCAGAGCAGTAGTCGGGCATTCGGGGTTTATCGGTGAAGACAGCAGCACCGCATCTGCAGAGGTCGTGGCAGCACGTAGCGAGCACAACAGAAATATGTCCCTTACAAAGTACTCCGTAGGATCTGCCCTATTAGTTACCTACCTACCACTGCCATGCCAGCTCGACACTCCGCCACAAGGACGGATTGGACGTCTCCGATGCGGGTTGCCGCCGATTTGCCCGCCTGCCGACCTCTCAGTCTCCAGCCTGATCGATCGCCCACTCATCGCCCCTCGATCCATCCCCCATCCATCATCCATCCATCCACTCACTCATTCCTCCATTCTCCGCTCGCGCCCGCAAAAGCAAAGCCAGCAACGTCCAAGCTCAGCAGGGACGGGGACTCATCCGCACCGCATCCCGCACCGCACACCGCACACTTTACCTGTCATGTCATTCAGGCTGAGGTTGCACTGGGCCCCTGGTCTAGCTAAGTAGCTAGCTAGCTAGCTCTAGCTCTAGCTCGCTGGCTGATGGCTGCCTGTCCGACCCCGACATCCCTGATCACACTAAGTCGATACATGCGAGATGCTATTTTCGTGCGTGACCCCGTCCCCGACCCAGTCCCAGTCCCAGTCCCAGTCCCCCCCCCCCCCCCCCCCGGGATCCGACGCTCGGACGTGCACCTGTCCCACTGTACTCCTCGAGATGTGTCTGTGTCTGGACTGAGGAGGTCTGGGTCTGGGTCTGGGTCTGGGTTTTATGGCTCCTTTAGATGGAGTGTATCACCTGAGTTGATGAAATCTGACGCGGTGCGGTGCGGTGTGTTGTGCTGTGTTGTGTCGTGCAGTGCAGGGCTGAGATTCAATTGCTTTGCTGCTTGCTGCTTGCTGCTTGCTTGTGAGTCAGATCTTTCTTTTGTTTCTGGTGCGGGAATCTTCTGCTTGGGCTGGCATTGTCTATTGTCATGATTTGAAAAAGAAGATCTGATATATGGTGGATCGATGAACTGACTCCCTAGATCAGATTACTTTTTGTCGATTACACATCACCCACCGCCATCCCAGTTCGCCGCGTTGTGGCTGGCTGTGGCCTCGATCTGCCGGCACCTATATTGATTGAGGTAGCCACCATCGCTCACTGTCTTGATCAATCTCAGACAGGTTTCCAAACACTGCCACTGCCACTGCCACTGTTTCTGCTACGCAGCGGAGCATTTCTGATACACATTTCGTGCGTTTACTCTCCTTATGCATATGACACACATACACATGCGCATATTCAACCATCCGCACATCCGACTATCCCCACACATAACTATACTACACCCACCTCCTCCTCCTCCTCCTTCTCTCCCAAACCACCAAAATCCAAGCAACATGGCAATAGTATCAACAACAACAACCCCACTAGACGGCATAACCGGCGAAATCGCCACCCACGGCTCCCTCTTCACAGGGACCATCCTCTTCTTCATGTCGATCTCCATCTACAACGTCCTCGAACTCGTCATCCTCATCCTCACCACCTTCCGACGCTGGCGGGGGCTCTACTTCTGGAGCCTGCTCCTCTCCGGCTGCCTCGGAGTAATTCCATACACACTGGGCTTCCTTCTCAAATTCTTCACCTCCGCCAACTCGACCCTCTCCGTCACCGTCCTCACCATCGGCTGGTGGGTAATGGTCACCGGTCAAGCCATCGTCCTGTACTCCCGCCTCCACCTCGTCATCTGCGACGACGAACGTGTCCTGCGATGGGTCGCATGGATGATCACCCTCAACATCTTCCTCCTGCACATCCCAACCACCATCCTCACGTACGGATCAAACGCCTACCCCACCTCCGAACACATCCGCGCAAAATTCGTCCTCGGCTACAACATCATGGAAAAACTCCAAATGACCGGCTTCACCGTCCAGGAAATCATCCTGTCCGGGCTATATGTCTATGAGACCGTCAAGTTACTCCGTCTGTGCTACTTGCCCCAGAATCAGCGCATTATGCGCCAGTTGGTGGGGATTAATGTTGCCATGTTGGGCATGGATCTGGTGTTGTT